CACACGTCGCCCCTCTGCCGAGAAGGGTACCACGAGCGCGTCGCAGACGAGCGGGCTTGGCCCATCTGGCGACCGCGGGGACGAGCAGCAGCAGCAGGAGGAGGAGGAGACTCGGACGCGTCGCGGTTCAACGACACGCCGTCCGAGATGGTCGTGGCGCGTCCTGGGGATGGCATGCGGGCTGGGCCGTGGGAGGGACGAGGGGACCCGCTGGTCTCGCCTGTGGGCGTGGAGGATGGGCCGCGCGTGCTGGCGGCCGTCATGGGTGGGCGGGGCGGAGGTGGGGGAAGGCTGATGCAGGTGGTGGGCGGCAGCATTGCTGGGGCAGGGGCGCTGGGGAAGACCATCAGGAAGGGCAGAGGAGGGGCCGGGCGAGGCGGCGGTGCGTGTGGCCGGGAGGGGATGACGAGGATCCGAAGCTCGTGGGTGTGGTCCTCGCGGCTGTTATCGCGGTCGTCACGCCGGCGGAGGTAGACACAGCACCAGAAGAGAGCGGCGATCGTGACACAGGCCACGATGGTGATGATGATCCCTATCTGGGCGGGCTTGGGGAGACACTCGAAGCCGGTGCAGGCCGTGGTTGTTGCCGAGTCTTGACCTCGGACGGCGTTTGCGAGGGGAGACATGTTTGGGCGTCTGCTCGGTTCAGGCGGAATTGTAGGGACGGCCGAGGTTAATGAAAGAGGGTTTTGGTTTTGTGATGTCTTGAAACGATGAGAACGGACAGGGCAGACTCAGGAAGGAGAAAGAGGGGGGAGAGTGTTCTCGCCATGGTGCTACTATCTATCGCCACCAGAGCTGTCGCTATCCAAGCTATCCAACAAGTTGTCGCTATGAGGGGCTGGTCCCAAATCACAAATCACTATGAAGCGACAAGGCAGGATTCAGAACATGAGCAATGTGGGGCCATTGAGAGACAAAAGATGTGAGTGAAGCCTGGAGTAATTGCCCAAGCAATGGGACGAGAGGTAATTCTTCCATGCTGCCATCATAAGTGATGAGGATCCTCAGGCAGGCTGGGTTGGACTGATGTTTCATTGAAATAGAGACCATAATCTCAGACATACGCAAAACAAATCCGTGCAGACGAAGAGCTGAGGTACCATCCAGATAATACCACAGAGTGAGAAACAAGAAGAATTACAATAACAGATTGAGATATACAAGAGCAGGATCAGAGGTACCATATTGGGACATGCAGAACGATGAAGTATATATCTGAGGACCATGGAGCAGTCGGCGTAGCTCAAGAGCCCTTATTATGTGAGATAAAAATAAGAGGTAAATAACATGTTGCTGATAGCCTGATGTAAGAAGTCAAGGATTCAACCTTGGAAGTGGCAGCAAAAGGCATCTCAACTCGTCTGAGCAGTGGCATAGAGAATACAGACCATACCAGACCTATTCAAGGTCACAGCTGTATCTATCGATCGAGTTGAATGTGACCTGTTTCTATTGTCCAGGGTGTCTGGGGTGGGAACATCACTGCTGACCTGCCATTATGATTCGGTTTAGCAAGGAATCAATTCTCAGGTACCGAGTCTGGCATTTGCTGGAGGCTTTGCTTCATCAGTGACAGACAATACTCTTCATCAAAGCTCACCAGCTGCAACAAGTAGAGTTCTGTCGAGTTATGGAAGGGAGCTATATATTCCTGGGGGTTGCACGTACACAATGAACATCAAAAACAACACTTCAGATCCAGAAGGTCAAATGGCATGCAAATATATATCTATGTATGTACCGGTCTTGTCTGATATGTTCGGTACAACAGAGAACAGTGTCAAGTAGATGGTTGAAGTTTTGGACTTTCTTGTGAGTTCAGATACAATATTATTAGAGGTGTTGAAAGTGCTGTTATTTGCCATAGAATCAGCCAGGTCATTTCCTGAGACTGCACGTAGATATTTGGTGACAAGCCCCCTGACTGTAATAGAACTACATGCCGAAAAGCCCTGGTCCATTGCTATACTGTCTGACCCCCCCTTGCCAGACACCCGTACCCGCCGGACAGCTAATTTCCGACAGCGCCATACAAATACCAACATCCTCACTTACATATTATTTCCTCAATATTGAAGCTATTCAGAAACTGTTTTGATAGATAGATAGCCCTTTAATTGACGAATCTATTGATATACTTATATCTATGCCTGGACGCCTTATGACGCAATTCTGGCAATGCCGGAAGCTAATATCTGTTCCTTCCTGTCTTCATATCCATGATCCTTTTCCTTCAACAATCTTCTACCTCAAGCAAGCCACAATGCCTTCCCACGCCTGGAATGAGGAGAATATGGCTGATGCCCTCTTCGATATTATAGATAACCATTTATCTTTACGAAAATCAGCCAAGAAACACGGAATCGCCCCCCAAACGCTGTCAGATCGGCTGCATGCAGGGTCCTCAGTTCAAGAAGCAAAGCAACCTCAACAACGCCTTTCTACTACTGAGGAAAAGAAGATATCGAGATGAATCATCAAGCAGGAGAGCCTAGGATATGCTCCATCAGCTTCTGCTGTGCGTGGTGTTGTAGGAGCCCTCCTCAAGCAGAAGGGAGATCTCAATGCCCTTGGCCGCAAATGGATAGAGGGCTTCAAGAAGAGAAATCCTCAAATTCGCCATAAAATAGGCACTCGCCAGGAAGCCACCAGATACGATGCCTTCACCCCGAAAGCTGTTAACTAGTATTTCGACATTCGCGAGAAGGAATATGGGTGGATCGAGCCACAGCTTACAGTGAATGTGGATGAGGGTGGCATTATGACTGGATATGGTAAATTTCTATGGAATCCTCATCTCAGAGCTCCTGAACTGATACTTTTGATAGGCCTGAACTCGCTGGTCCTTGGATCCTCTGAAAAAAAGAAGGCATTCCTCAAAAGCAGCCAGGACAGAAGCTGGGTTACTCTCATTGAAAGCTGTACAGCCACAGGCCAGCTTCTCGACCCAGGCATCATCTTCAAGGGCAAAGATCTTCAAAAACAGTGGTTTTCTGAAGACATGGAGCAGTCTGTGCCAACCTGGCGCGTGATTACCGGTCAAAACGGCTGGACAAGCAATGAAATCGCGGTAGCGTGGCTTGAGGATCTTTTCCTCCTTCAGATGAATAATCTCCGTGAGAATGATATATCTCGGGCTATCCTCCTCATCCTAGATGGCCATAATAGCCATACATCAGTAAGTTAAGATCTTTTGAAGCTCAAGGTGGTATTTCTCGAGGATAATGTGCTGATATAAAACAGCCGGAGTTCATAGCTTCTTGCTACTTGAATAACGTTTTCCTTTGCTTTCTCCCCGCACACACCTCCCACAGCCTCCAGCCACTAGATAACGGCATATTTGCTGTACTGAAAGCAGCCTATCGGAAAGAACTTCAAAAGTTGCAAGATCTCACAGACTCAGCCCCTGTTAACAAGATCAACTTTCTACGGTGTCTCATCACAGCCAGGGCAGCAATCACTCCTAAAGTAGTAAAAGGAGGATGGAGACATAGTGGCAACTATCCAATTAATCGCCATAAAGCCCTATCTCATGAGGAAATCCAGGAGGATAAGCAAAAACGAGGAGCAGATGAGTTGGAGGAGGACGAGGAGAATGAGCCCATTTCCCATGAGTTTATTACTGCTATAGGCCGAGACCGAAGCTACAACGAACGCAGCAAGTTGAGGAGGATCGCAAATCACCTTGAAGACCTCCAAGCTGAGGTTATCTTGCTCCGACAGCGAAATGCCTCCCTTAAGGCTCAGAACGAGGCCATTTCGAAGACCCGAAAGCGCAAGAAGATCCCCAATCCTAACAAACGCTTTATGACTATTTCAGAGGCACTTTCGGCTGGAGAAGAGGCCAACACAGCCCAGGAAGAGGATGGTTTGCCTGCTGAGGATATTGTGGAGGTTCAAGACGAGGTTGACGAGGAGGACTCTGAGGACGATAATGCAGACATTCCACGTAAGGATTCACCACCAATTCGTCGATCTTCTGGGCGGACTAGCCGTATGCCAACTAGATATTTGGAATGAGGAAATTTAGATCATTTCGATGATATATTTATTATTATTATACGATTTGAAGTGAATTATTTCTATATACTTGAAAAGGTGGCAATTGTGTGGGCCATTTCGCATTTTAGTGTCCGGCGGGTACGGGTGTCCGGCAAGGGGGGGTCAGACAGTATTTCAATGGTGCAGTACTCAAAACTAATTACCCCAACAAATATATTGAGCATGCACTTTCAAGAGGAGACAGAAGTAAAAGGACAACACGATACTTGCCAAAACCTTTCTCTGAGGACAGTCTCTGTTGCTTAGTAGGTAGCATTATCCTGTATTGTAAAATTCATACCTACGAAAGAAACAGAGGGAAATTTTAGGGCATACGATGCAGTGGACTACCCAGAGAGATGAATTCCGCCGCTCCTAACAATTCTTCCTATGGGAGAAAAAGAAGAGGAATAAGGGGAGGAGGAAAGAACACCAGGATACGGGACAGAAGACACCACCTAGTAGGCAACCAAGCACATGGATATCCATTACAGCAGGGAGGATTTTGAATATGTGGACTTTGCATTCTCCAAACACGTGTACCAATCCGGTCATAGCAGACGCCTAGAAGGTCAGGAGTCTCCCTAACCTTGTACGGCCTGCACGTCCAGTAAGAAACCCGAATGTAGTGTTGAGACGCTGAGAAACACAAGAGCAGCTTATTCCTTGAACATTCGAAGTGTCTAAGAACCTCATAATGCTGCGCGATGACCGAATGTCGTCTGCGCAACTGTAAGACAATTCATGCTCAAGTCAGTGATGACTTTCAAGCTGCCGAGGTTCGTGGTGACGTTGAATAAGGGGGCCCGTGCGTGATGAGGCTCCCTCGGCCAAACAGGGGTCCTCTGACAGGGATAAATCGACGAACTCACCATTCCGAGCAAAGCAACTCTTTTTCTTTTAATCATACGAGCACAACGAGTATCGAGCCAGAACCCAGAAACCAAACAGACAACATGGGTGCTGATCATCCAGCTTTCACACTCGCTGGCCTATGTGAGTCTTGCCAAAGTATCCCGTCATGCTGTCAAACTCTGGAGACTGAGACAAAGTGTTCAACAGTGGCCGTCGGTGGGACGATGGGGTACGTGAAGGGTGGCTCAAAGCCGTCCCTCATTGCTGGGGTCGGACTCGGCGCGTCGTACGGCTTGGCCGGTGAGTACATCCACGGTGTGTCAAAAGTCTTTTGATTTCTCTATCGAGGCTGACTTTATGTCTGGCAGGTTACCTTCTGCGGGAGAACAAGGACTATGGATCCGAATTGGCCCTGGGAAACAGCATTGCTCTTGTCGGTGCCGCAACAAGCAGGTGTATGAAGACCAACTGGAGAGCGCCTGTGCCTCTGGGTCTCTTTGCGACAGGCTCATTGGCGACTTATTACTTCCTGAAGAAGTACAGGGAATTTACTCACGGTGTTTAGGCCTGCGTCAGACTTTGCACCTCGAGCAGGACATCGGCGGCTGGCTGGCTGGAACTGGAATGGCATCTGCGGACGAGGCAGGCAGGCCTTGTAGATACAGCCGTGTAAAAGTATACAACGCTCCTCACTACATGACATATATAACGTACTGATCATTCTGGTCTGAACTCTGAATGCCTAATGCTGCCTGGTCTTGCTCGCATTTCTGCGGCGAGCCGAGCAAGAGGGAGGAGGGCTTCTTTGATAGGTATTTTACCCGCAAAGCGATCCTGCATGGATATCTCGAGAAAGATACAACTGCTTATAGTACATGGTTTATCTCTTCCTTAGCAAATTGATCCGAGTAGATTGGTGATATTCAACACTGCTTCCGTGGTGGAAAATGAAATCTGAAATGCCCAAAACCCTAACCCTGATCACTGGGATTTTTTCCCTCCTGCTCTAGGATCCCCTGGGATGCGCCAACCAGCAGGGGTGGTCGGTCGCATCGCGCTGGCAGCCTCAACTAAAGTTCAGGTCGGCCGACCTCACCTAGCACACGCGCCTTTCTTCGTCTTCTCCCTCCGCCCCTCGTCAAAAGAGCGCGCACAAGCTGAACCGCAGCCTGCGCGCAGAGTAACAAGCGTCGCAGATTTCACCCCTAGCTGTGGCCGTGCAGGAACGACACAATTTTCTCTGACAATTGACTGTGCCGTGGAGTGCCAAACAATCTGAGCCGGAAAGGTGAGTGGCTCTGTTGGCAGAGTCTTGGTCCAGCAGAGGGTGATTGCGGCTCACACGCAGCTTTACGGCAGGTCTCATCTTTCAAACGGCAGCCCTCCGCGGCTTGGCCCGAATCCTATCCTCGAACTTGCTTCCGATCACGACACACGTTTCGCGATAGCTTGACCTCCCCCCCCCCCCCCGGCGGAGACATCTACTTCCTTTCTCTCGCCCAGCATGGCTTCGACAGTGCACGATGGCCACACCAACGGGCTCAACGGGGGCTCCAACGGCGTCTACACGAGCAAACGCTTCTCTGACGTCCCCCCTGTCCTCGACATTCCTGTACAAGATCAAGATGATGAGGCTGTCGAGATCGATCTGACCAACTTGATGGACGATCCGTCCGACCTTTGCGACCTCTTCGAAGCTGAGCGTGCAGCTCGCACTTATTGGATGGCAGTTGCGCTGGCTTATGCAAAGCAGAAGAAGGTGGACTATGCGATCGAGACGCTGATTCGCGGGAACGCCCAGCAGACGATCAACCAGCGGGAGAAGCTGAGCATGATCAGCTGTCTGTGTTGGCTGTACCTGTGGAAGAGCCGCGAGGCACCTCGAGTCCCGCCGGAGGGCCAGGATGCTACCGAGGTCAAGACCAAAGAATACTACCTACAGCAGGCGATGACGGCGCTCAACGAGGCCTCGCGGATCAGCCCCGCCTTCCCACCAGTGTTCCTGGCCCGTGGGGCTCTCCTTCTTCTCAAGGCCTCGTTGCGTGGGTCCTCGAAAGCGGACTCTGCTGCAGACAACAAGGACAACAAGAATGAGCTGTTGCGGGCCGCTCTCAAGTCCTTCGACGATGCTGTCAAGGTCTCTTCAGGAAAGAACATGCTGGCTGTCATGGGCAAGGCCAGGGCTTTGTTCACCATGGCCAAATACCCAGAGGCACTGTCGGCTTATCAATCGGTTCTGCAACGCATGCCAGAGATGGTTGATCCCGACCCCAGGATCGGTATCGGGTGCTGCTTCTGGCAGCTGGGATTCAAGGACGATGCCAAGACCGCCTGGGAGAGGTGTTTGGAGATTAATCCTGACTCCAAGATTGCCAACATCCTTCTTGGCCTCTATTACATCGACAGCAGCGGACACGTTCCGGCGAACAGCCCTGAATTTATCCGTCTCTATAAGAAGGCCATCACCGAGTACACTCAGAAGTCCTTCAAGCTGGACAAGGACGTGCCGCTGACCTGTGCCACCTTTGCTGGTCACTTCCTCTCCACCAAGAAATACGACAATGTTGATCGTCTGGCACACAAGGCGATCCAGTACACCGATGTGAACGCCATCGCCAGTGACGGCTGGTACTTGCTCGCACGAAAGGAGCACTCGCTCGGCAATATCGCACGCGCCGGCGAGCACTACAAACGCGCTGACGATGCTCGAGGTGGGGACCAGATCGGTTATCTGCCGGCCAAGTTTGGACAGGCTCAGCTGTTGGTCCTCAAGAATGATCTTCCAGGCGCGCGGTACCATCTGTAAGCTGTGACCCCCCCTTCCCTGTTCCTCCTTTCGGCCCCCCCCCCCCCAATCCAGGACTTCTTCCTACGGTACAGGAAGGGCCACTGGGGATTTTGTGAAGCGAATTCTAACACACAACAGGGAGAAGATGCGTGATAGCAAACAGGCTCGAAACCTCGAGACTATGACACTTCTTGGAACCCTCTACGCGGAGGAGGTATTCAACAACGAGACCCTTGCAATCAAAGAGAACAAGACCAACGAGGCGAAGAATGCCATATCGTTGTTGGAAGCTGTCCGGGCTGCGTGGAAAGATCCCAAGAAGAACATTGCCGCAGATGCTTCGGTGCTCCTGAACCTCGCCCGGCTGTATGAGAGGGAGTTTCCAGAGAAGGCCCTTCAGTGTCTGCAACAGGTAGAGCAGATGGAGCTTGACCAGATCCCCCCTGACGCCATCCCCTCAGACATCACGGATGAGGTTGAGAGGAAAGCCGCCCTGCGTAAACTCCTATCCCCCCAACTCCTGAACAATATCGGCTGTTTCCATTCTCACGCCGAGAGACACGAACTTGCAAGCGACATGTTCGAATCCGCCCTAGGCTCTTGCATGAGAATGAACGATAGCGGTGAAGAGGAGGATCTGGACATCGACGCTCTCATCACGACTATCAGCTTCAACCTCGGCCGCAGTTACGAGTCAAGAGGCCTCACCGACAGGGCGGTCGACGTCTACGAGGGCCTCCTTAAGCGCCACGAAGACTACACGGATGCTCGGACCCGGCTCGCATACATCAAGTTGCGCAAAAGCCCTAACAAGGAAGGCCCTGAAGCCATTTCGACGCTTTACAAGGAGCAGGGCAGCGATCTGGAGGTCAGGTCTCTGTACGGGTGGTACCTCTCCAAGGTCACAAACAAGAAGAGACCGTCGAATTTCGCCGAAGATGATGAGTACCGAGTCCATAGAAAGACTCTGCAGACCATCGAGAAACACGACCGCTACGCCCTGGTTGCCATGGGCAACATGCATCTCATGTTTGCGAGAGAAATGCGTCGAGACACAGAAGCAGACAAACAACGCCGGAGCAAAGAGTATAACAAGGCAGTGGAATTCTTCGACAAGGCACTGCAGTTGGATCCGCACAACGCGTACGCCGCACAGGGTGTTGCTATCGCACTCGCAGAAGACAAAAAGGACTACCGGACCGCCCTGGCCATATTGCTTCAGGTGCGCGATACGATCAAGGATGCCAATGTCTACATCAACCTGGGCCATACCTATGCGGAGCTTAAGCAGTATCCCAAGGCCATCGAGAGCTACGAGACCGCCCTGTCCAAGGAGGGTAAGGCTCACGACGCCATGATACTGTCCTGCCTGGGCCGCACATGGCTTAACCAGGGGAAGGCCAGTGCTCCTTCAGAACACAATCAGCAGGGCACTCCAGATCTGAACTCCTATCATAAGGCTTTGGAGTTCGCGAAGAAGGTGAGACATCTAGATATAAAGTTGGGTGGGCGAAAGATGAAAACGAGAGGCAATGTGTGGGTTTGCTAATGTTTCCTTGTTTTTAGGCACTGGAAACGAACGCGGAGCAGGTGCACTTCAAGTTCAACGTGGCTTTCGTGCAGATCCAGCTGGCCGACACGGTAAACAAGATGAAGGAGGCCGATCGCACGCTGGAACAGCTCCAAGAAGCATCTGAGGGCCTGGACGCCGCGGTCAAGACGCTCGACGAGGTGGCAAACAGCCCCCGACCTCCCTACCCAAAACACGACATTGAGCAGCGCGCGATCATGGCTCGTGGCACCATGCGCAACCAGATGACTCGAGCCATCGACGCACAGCGGATCTATGAGGAGCAAAACAAGGAGAAGATCCAGGCGGCCAAGGCGGCACGAGAGGCCGAGATCCGTCGCCGCGAGGAGATCAAGCGCAAGGCGGAGGAGGAGGAGCGCAAGCGACAGGACGAAATCCGTAGGAAGCGCGAAGAGATCATCGCGCGTGACAAGGAGCAGGCAGAACGCCGCGCCCAGGAGGAGCGCGAGCGCCTCGAGGCGGAGATGACGACGGATACCGAGACGGGCGAGCGTGTCAAGCGCAAGCGCAAGCCTGCGCCGCGGGCCAAGGGCGAGGGCGGCGGCGATGGTGGTCGCAAAGGGCGCGCGCGCCGCAAGAAGAAGGATGTCGAGACTGATGGTGACGAATCCGAGGAGGAGCAGGAGCGCGAGGAGCGCCAGCCCAAGAAGAAGCGCCGCCTCACCAAGAAGGAGAACAGCAAGTACAAGAGCGCTGAGTACGTCAACGATTCCGACGAGGACTCTGCAGCCGGCGATCGGCAGCTATCCAAGGAGGACACCCCGGCCTCCCGACTGTCGTCACTTCCAGCGATCGCGGATTCGGACGAGGAAGATGCGGGCCGCATGGAGGTGGACCGATCCGCGTCTCCTGCTGCTGCTGCTACTGCTACTCGGGATAATGACGACGACGAGGAGGCGACGCACAGAAGGCCAAGAGCAAGGAGGGGTCGCGTGCTGGAGAGTGACGACGAAGACGAGGATGGCGATGATGGGGCCCCGGCTAAGTCGCCAGAGGATGGGGCCGGTGCAGACGTGAGTATGAGGGATGCGTCGGATGACGAATAGTCAATCCTCACATCTGCGGCATGGATCTTGATCTGATCTCGAGTTTGTCGCACTAAAAAGAAAAGGGCATACCAGACCAAAAAGGCGTTGGCGTGTTGGTGGGGGGGGGGGGGGTGGTCCTGTGTCGTACCGTTCTCTTCAGGCATCACTTAGAACAACAAAACGATCATACAGGGGAGGCCCTTCTATTGAATATCTTTCCGGGGCATCGCCATCCTTGTTTGTGCGCTCATCAACGCTCTTTGTGCTTGTGCTTGTGCTCCACTGTGTTCAGCAGCCTTGTCAATAACATGCTAACTCCTTTCTTGGTCCATGGTCCCTCAACACACCAGAAAGGGATCAAGGGGGTGGTATTCCCACCAGATCCTGCCTACATCCCCGAGGGCACACGACGTTGAGCATAGAGTATAGAGTAGATGGTCCGATCCGGCGCGGATAGATCAAGCGAACCTGTCCGCCAGCACCTACTACAAAAAGATGAAATCACCGAGGGGCAGGTTAGACTATTGTAGATCTGGGTGGTGTGTGCGCAACGGGTCGGAATTTGGTCGAGATCCACAGGAGGAGGGGTTTTTCCCTTTCCTGGGGGGTCGAGTGACGCTTGTGGCCCACACTTGCACATGGTTTGACGGGTCTGGAAGCGGGAGATGATGTTGCTGTGTGTACACACGCTTACACACTCACACAAACACAAGAAGTACTCCTAGGAACGTGAGTACCGCGGTGTAGTAGTAGCAGTAGAGAATGCTTTTACTACTGCACTACACCAAGATGCTCCCTGTGCTATCACTATGTATGGCATGCTTTACAAACTCATGTGCACACAATCTGCCTTTATCTCTTTTTATTCTCTCTCTTTTCTTTCCCTCTTTTTCAGACTTTACTGCAATATCTACGCGTTCCCTCTGGAATGTCTTGCTCACCAAGTAGCGATAGTTGCCCCAACAAATAGGCCTGCTCTACTCATTTCCGAAGGAGGAGGGCCTGTAGCGAGAGAGAATTGGGAAGCTATGACGGGGGGGGGGTGGAGGGGTGTGCAGGGCGGGAGAGCGCCAGGGCCCTATCAAACCCCAACATCAGAAACCTGCTTCGAGGATCACTGCCCCGACCGCAGGGCGCAAGACAAGCAGCCGTTCGCTTGTTTGCCGGTAGGAGGTTAGTTCCTTATTCTTGTTCTTCTTTTCTCCCCCTCAAATGAACTATGGAGAAGAGCCCTGGAGAAAAGAAAGCTTGGATGGGGTGGTGACGGTGGTGGGTGGCGTGGGCCATCCGAGAGGCCGACCCTGCATGATGCTAAAATTGGGAACCACCATTGCGCGGGCCCCGGTTATGGGTGGGAGATACAAAACTGTTGGAGCACCAACAAAGCTGCCCCTGCTGCAGACTGGGAGATCTGAGCCAAGCTTTCTGGAGCCCAAGGTACGAGAGCGGAGAAGGAGGAAGGGGAGAAGAATGGAGAAGGGGTTACGACGACTCATGGGGATGTGGCAGAGAGACGGCGGTTATCTGAAAGACCCAATTACACAGACGCGGGGGGCTTGGAGCTGGGACGGAAGGGGGGGTTGATTGGTTTGGGTTAGAATAGTAATCCAGATGTGATACGAAACGATGAGCGCGCGTATGGGCGAGCGGGCCTGGGGTCGCCAGGGCCAGGACATGATATGACATGACATGACATGACAAGGACAGAGGAATGCGCAGATGGAGAATGAGGAAAAGAAGACGGAAAGGGGGAAGAAGAAAGAAAAAAAAGGAAAGAAAGAAAAAAAGAGGAGGATGAAGAGGAGCAACAGGAGTCAGCAACATGCTCGGACCAGACCATGACCTAGGAAGAGGAGGTCTGGGCCTGGATGACAGGATAATATTCCGGGGGGGGGGGGGGAAGCGAAGGATACGAAGAAGAAAAAAGCAGAATGGAGCCTCGATGTGGCTGGTTTAAGTTTTGCCTTTGACGAAACTCGGGCAAGGCTGGCAAGCTGGATGCAGGGCTGCGTCATTGTGGAGTTGATAGCTACATCAGCCCTCGGTCGAGACCTTGAGAGTGGCTCCTGCCCGGCCCTGTACCCTTTCTTTTACCAATCTTGGTAGATACTATCTATGTGAAAAATAAAACAAGATCAGCATGAATTGTTTCCTAATCCCGACAGCTTGGTACCCTCACATCCATGGGTGAGCAGAAGAAGGCAAAGAGAGCGAGAGAAGAGGTACAGAAAAGAGAGAGGGAAGAAAAAAAGGAAGGGGGGGGGGGAACCGAAATGATGACGAGTCTGACAACGAAATGTAAACAAACATGTACCTTAAAGTAGACAGAGAGCTAATTACAGAGTCTTACCTAGGTTCAATACACTCACCCTGTGGCACAGCACCCCATGCCCTGGGAGGGAGGAAAGAGGGGCATGATGCAGTGTCACACGGGTACCATGTAGATATACTATGTACGTCTTGAACACAGGCAGATGCAGCTACCAATGTACTACTAGGAGAGACTTGCATAACGCAACGGCCGCTGTCAACTCTCCACTGTGACATGGCAGTCGTGTGCCTGTGTGCCTGTGTGTGTCTCCGAAACCACATGTGGCAGTACAAAGAAATCATCCAGCTATGCTGGGATAGAAAAGCTTTTAATTCTTCAAAATAATGTCCTCACATTCTAGAGGATCATATGTATATATATATATATATATATATATATATATATATGTTATATGCCAAGACGAGACATCAAAAAGATATGAATGCAAAGAAATCTTAGCATTGCTGGAAGCAGAGGTGTGCACATGGAATAAATAGACCCGCATCCGACCTCCTAAAGGAGTACACATCACATGCACTAGCGCCCAGCCATGAATTTAACCTAAGAGTCAAGCCGCACAGCCCTCAAGATCCTGACAGATGACCTGCAAAGCCTGGCCTGCATCCTGTGTGGAGATGAAACGACTTCAAGATTTCTTCTCTTCAAGATTCTGATGTCTAGGCTTGTTTGGAACAGTCTGAAGAGAAGATAGACACAACAAAATCTGTGTCTCTTTCTTCCTCTTTGTGCTACTGGGGCCAAAAGGGCTGTCCCAGTAAAGTACCTTTCACATTCAGTATGGTAGCATTGGAAAAGGAATAGTGCCCTCAAGGTAGCATTGTAATCTCACTTCAAAGAAGAAAAAGTTGGTAGCCTCCCTCCATCGATGATGAAGTCACTCTGCACCTTGGAGGATGCAGCCTATAGAGAAAGCACATAAGCATGTGTGTGTGTGTGTGTGTTACTTACAGTACTTACCATGTGGCTGTGGCTGCACAGTGTTCTGGGGAGTTAGGCGGGGGGCTTGGTGGACCGAACCTTGTCTGTTGGTCGTAGTAGTGGTGCTGAGGTGTGCTTGTGCTGTATTCTGGTGCTGTACTGCTGACTTCAGCAGGCACAGAAACCCTTGTAGAGGCCCAACCAACCAACCCAACCCAACCCAACCCTGGGGCCAAGCGCTGCGCTAACACCAGGGCAGCACCTAATATTGAAGAACTGCGCCCGCGCCCGCACCTGCACCTCTGTGTGCCTTGTGCTGCCGTGTCTTGTCCCTGTCCCGCCATTTGGTCTCTCACGTCCAACAATCCATTCTCGACCTTGCTGCTGTGCTTTTTGCTTACTTGCCTGTTGGATCGCAACAACATCACAACAACGCTTGCTTTCGGCACCTCTTCCTTTCAAAAACTTGTCGACACAAGGACTGGGCTACTAACTTGAGCTTTGGGCACACTGGCTCCCATCACAGTTGCGACAATATTGGCCCCAGCTCTGGCTCTCTCTACTGCACAGCACTCGTCGCCGCGTCCTTGTCGCCGCCGCCGCCGTCGCGTGCGGTCGCCTCCACCATGACGGCAGCGAAACCGCCTAATCCTCCGAATGTCCACCCGCCCACCACCGTAAACCACGAGACTGCGCGTCACATGGACCCTCCGACGCCTACGGCGACCTCCCACGCCTCTCCTCCGAGCAAACGAGATCTCAAGTCGTGGTGGAAGAACTTCAAGCTCACGTCGAGACACGAGGAGTCACATGGTAGAGACCCTTCTTCTTTTTCTCTTTCTGCAGTACATCCAGCTACTGCTCGTCGTCTTTCCCCGTGCCCTCGAGCCATCCTACCGTCTTTGTTGGGAGGTGGGAAAACAATCGCAAGCATGCATCCATCGAAGACGCCTTGAGGTGCTTCGACGGGCCCGAGGAGGCTGTCGTTGCCGCCACGCCGCCGCCGCCAGCCAAGTCCAGTAGCAACAACAACAATAATGGCTGGTTGACGTGGGTCTCAAAGGCGACGGAGCGCGCAGCGCAGCTACCTCAGCTTGTCTCGCGACGAGGCACAGCGCCATCATGGTTCCTTTTACGGATTCCTTTCAGCTGCAGCGTCCAAGCTAACTTCTGCAGAAACCAAACCACAGGGCATCTTCGGCGTCCCTTTGCGCCAGAGCATCGTCTATGCCAACGTCGCCATCTCCCTCGTAGACGATAACGGAAAGAGCTACATCTATGGTTACGTTCCCATCGTGGTGGCAAAGTGCGGGGTGTTTCTGAAGGAGAAAGGTGGGTGTTCACTGTTCTTTCAAGGCTCGCTGAGCCAGCGGGATGGCTTTACGTGGTGCTGACGCGTAGAGGGGGTGGTATACAGCGACGACCGTCGAGGGCATCTTTCGCCTCAACGGATCCGAGAAGCGCATCAAGGAGCTCAAGCACATCTTCGACTCTCCAGATCGCTACGGCAAGGGCCTGAGCTGGGATGGCTATACGGTCCACGACGCGGCGAACGTCTTCCGCCGATACCTGAACGACCTGCCAGAGCCGGTGGTGCCCCTCGACTTATACGAAAAGTTTAGAGAGCCCCTCCGAGGTGCGACCAAGACGGCTGTTGGAGACGCCGACGGTCCGCAGTTTATCGACGACTTCGATGTGGACGCCGCCATCAAGAGGTACCAGCACCTGATCAAGGAGCTTCCTCCCCTGAACCGACAGCTTCTGCTCTACATCCTCGACCTTCTGGCCGTGTTTGCCGCAAAGGCAGAGGACAACCGCATGAACTCGCAGAACCTGGCCGCCATCTTTCAGCCCGGCATGCTCTCCCATCCCATCCACGCCATGGCCCCCGAGGAGTACCGCCTGAATCAATGCGTCCTCATCTTCTTGATCGAGAACCAAGATCACTTCCTCATTGGGATGCAGGGCACTGCTGCGGATGAGAAGACCATGCAGGAGGTCCAGCAGGGCACGCCCAAGATCATCGCCCCCGCGACCCCAGGTTCCTCCAAGAAGTCGGGCGTTCACAGGTCAGCGTCGAATGCCAGTGCAGGGGCCGAGAGCATCGTGAGGGACGGCAAGATACGCCGAAACAAGAGCACGAGCAGCCGGCACTCTCGCCAGTCTACCGGTGCGCCGAGCCCTGGCAGCCCTGCCATGCCTACCACACCTTCCAGCGGACTGGGCAGGAGCAATACTGTGCCGTCCAAGCGGTCTCCCGCGTTGCAGAGTGGGAGGTTTGGCCACGCGAGGAACGGCAATGAGACACTGGCTGCTCCGCCTTCACCCCTGACGCCTGTCACCGTGCCGGTGGCAGCGAACGTGCCCGCGACGCCCACCGTGGAAGAGGTCACAACGCCCGACTCTAAGGAGCCCGCGGACCCCATCCTGTCAAGCAATGCGGCCGGTGCAGACCGCCTAACCCCAGCGCATGCGGCAGAACGGAGCCAGGAACGTCTATTGGACCCAAAAGCATCCTCCGAGCCGGTGACTACTCCAACCAAAGAGCGCAGCTTACACAGTCTGTTCCAGCGATCCCCTACTGAGACCAGCGAGAAGAAAGCACCCAATAAGCTGCGGAAGAGGCGTGTGCCAAGCAGCACCAATCCCAGTGCTGCCAGCTCCACGGCGTCTCTTCCTCATTCTGCCGGTGTGTCGCCCAATACAGAAGCCACCAACCCCCTCGACACGGTCGGAGAATCCGGAGGCAAAGAGCCCGAGCAAGCAACATTAGACGCGAGGCCGGACGCAGTGGAGACGCCATCTGAGCCGACCCCACGAGCGTCGCAGATGCCGTCCAGCGGCACATTGCCATCGTCTACCACCGGAGAGCCCGGCCTGAAGAGCAAAACATCGCACCCCACGTCGCTACAGAGCTCTTCGCATGATGACTCCGAAGCAGATCGGCTGGGGGAGCGGGTCTCGTCCCCTGAGCAACCAGACAGGGAGAGAAAGAGACGATGGCGGCTTTCTCGCAAGAGGGATGACGTATCCTCAGAGACCTCAGAACCACCGCCGCTGGTCACTTCGCCGCGGAGGATTGGTTTCAACAGGACGGCGGAGACAAGCAACAGCTCGGTCGGGACCGACGCCAAGTTTGGTGAATCCTACGAGCAGACACTTGAACCTCACTCCAGCCTTGAGTCCGGCAGGGATAACAGGGATGAATCCCGGGGTCTCTCTGGGTGGATCAAGAGCAAGATGCGAGAGGCCAAAGAGACTGCCGAGATCCGACGGACAAAGTCCCCACCGGGTGATCACGGCTCTTTAAGCTCGATGCTGCCCACGCGGGGCAAGAGTCTGGATATCAAGCGGTCGACTGAGCAGGACAAAGAGGCTCCTCCTGCTTTACCAAAGGCTGAAGAGGCCGGCGCCTCTTCCTAGGTCATGAAAAGTCGGCTCAGAGAAGGACAGGGCGATATAAAATTTCAACGACCGAGAGACGGGATGGGTTCGATGCGGATGTTCGACCATGGCATACGAGTCTCGCAACCCCTTTCTGTCTCTTACAAGTAGCTGTTGCTCTATCATCACCACCAAGAAGGGGAACGAACAAAGCCCTTGATTTTCTTTTATGTATTCGAGCTCAACACCCCCCCCCCCCCAAACACCCAAAACACCCTTGGATCGACGAGATGAGTTGCTTTGATTGAGATGTGGCAGCGTTTTTGGGAAAGCGAACATGGATGTTGTGCTTCATTTAGATGAGCAAAAGATGTTTATCTATACGCAAGTGAGTATACACTTAAACGGTCTGGATTGTTCGATTAAAGGGGGGCCTTGGAGATGCAAGAGGTGGAACGAAGAGCTGAGTGAGTGAGAAAGTGTGTCTGGACAGAGGGAGAAATTGTTTTGTCAGGTTTTCAGTCGGACTTTTTCAACAACATTGTTACGGAGCCTTGAAGAAGAGAGCGCAAGAAGAACCCCCTTCGATTCGGTGGCGGCGTGTTGATATTCGAGCAGCTGCTGCGTGAGGATACCCTGGTGTTATTTTACTACTCTACATGATGTATTACAATTTGCGAGGGAAAAAAGGAAAAAAAAAAACCAACAAAAAAAACCAGAGACGAGCGATGAAGGTCATAATTCTACTATTTACAGGTCCTCGGGTCCTTCTTTTGGCGTGCAGCAAGACTGCTGTTCTCCGGTTTGTTTCATAAGAGTCGTGCTAAGACATTTGACTGCGCACCTACACGATGAGTCTGGGATCTCCCGCGAGTGACGCAGGGGCCGACGTGTTCTCCGGCGATTGTGACAGACAAGATAATAATGGCACACCAAAAGGCCGCCTCATCGCGGGGTGGTAGGCTTGCTTTGTCTTGCATGATCCCTTTTTCCTGCAGGCGGTGAGCGAGTGCAGTAGGTTGGTTGATCCGTTGGGCACTGATACCCGGCGCATATTGAGTTTTTTTTTCTCTTCTTCTTCTTCTTCTTCTTCTTCTTCTTCTTCTTCTTCTTCTTCTTCTTTCTTTCTTTCTTTCTTTCTTTCTATAAAAAAAATCATGTTCTTGAGGGAATCTGTGGGATGTTACGTGCATGCCGAGATCTGAATACAAGGTAGGGGCGGATCACTTGAATGGACTGTCCTAGGGTGAATAGAAGAAGAGAAAGAAGGAGAAGAAGAACAATAGAAAGAGGGACACCACTTTTTGATGTGTACATTCCCTTTGACAGGTACCTTTTGTCGAAAGGAAATAAAAGAAAGATATGAACACCACAGCTTTCGGGTCTCGATATACTTCTTGCCAGGCGACCCTCCCTCAGCTTATCCATTCTCCCGGGAACGAAATCTCCACACGGGTTCAGGTTGTAATAGTACAGTAGTAATCAAATCAGGAGTAGTCAGTATCCCCCCCCCCCCCCCCGTGACCGGGGAAGAGGTAAATTCCCGTCAGCTCGACCACTTTTCTGGGGATCAGGTCTAGCGCCCACGCTTCCCCGCAGATTTTCAGTACAAAATGTCCAGAACAGTTAGTCGGCTCTGGGGCAAAGCTTTATAGTAGCACATAAGGTTAGTACAAGCACGCTGGCTGTCATGGCTCTGTGGGGAATCTTTTTTATGGTCCCGTGGGGCGGGTTGGCAGCGACTTCGGCTGGGCGTGATGCATTGAAAAGAGAGAGAGAGAGAGAGAGAGAGAGAGAGAGAGAGAGAGAAAAGTGCGTACGAGCAAGATGCTGGGTTCTCGAACAAGTATGACGGTGGTACATACATCTGTTCTAGATTTGGTAGCAGGCAGAGGCAGCCAATTCACGAGAGAGGCGGAAAGAAGAAAAGAAGAAAAAAACCCTCACAAAAAATTCAAGTCTGAGATTGCATGCATGCGCGATCACTTGACCAATCTCAGGGGATAAGCCACTCACTTTACTTGTGTACTGTCTACTCGCTCTGGAGTACAGTAGGATCACTGTTCGGGATCATTCCCTGCTGAGGTGAGCGGCGTCCGTCCTACGGCAGCCCGTCGGTGAGGAGGGATGTGAGTGCAACAACACCATGATGTACTACTGCATGTAGGTTATCTTTGATGCTGTGGAACCTTCAAAAGGCCGGTGCAGCATCGGGTGTCTGTCTCAGAAGGAAGAAGTAGAAGAAAAGAAAAACAATGGGGGAGAGAGAGAAGAGAGAGAAAGAGAAAGGGGAAAACCCAGTCAGCCCCCCGTGGGCTTGTGGTACTGCCGAGTATGAATTCTTTTTGTGATATCTTGCCACGAGATGGAAAGATGCGTCTGCCCGAGTACCCGCCGTCTCTGGCAACACAGGGTGTGAAGAGACTCGTCATTGGAGGAGAAGGAGGAAGATATGAGGATGGGAGTGGATGATCCCAATCAGTTTACCTTCAGCTGCCGTTCCAGCTTCCCGCCCGCGCCCGCGCCTGGGGAGAAAATCCTTTGTTAGCGGGTCCGGAGCTACTACCGTGGAGTGCAGCCAACCCCCAAGCCTGATTGAGTTTGGTATTCCATGGGGTTCCCCTCGAGTCTTGATTAGAAAACTGGGGTGTTTGGCTGGGGATGGTGGCGTTCACACGAGAGGGAAAGAGCAGAGTGAGAGCGATTAGTGTAGGGCGTGCGTAGCACTGCCTGTCCCTGTGTAGTACGGCCTGTACTGTCATGGTACCCAACGTGCTGGACTACTCCCTTTTCAGTACTTAGTTACTGCATGCATGCAGATGCATGCATATGGTGTACTTCTTGATTACTTTCTTATTTTCGTGCCATCCACCCTCGTCACTTTTCTCTTTCTTTCTTTTCCCCCGTCCCTTCCTTTTTGTCAGCGAGCTGCTGTTCAACTGCACTCGCTCACATCTGTTCAAGAACTCGAGAGACAGACAATAAAAACCCAAGGAGATGAGTCTTTCGAGACGGGCTACTACTAACAAACTTCATCAAGTTACTTGGCCGCCTCGTGGGCAACGACAAGGCGCTCTCCTTACGTACAGGTTCGCAAGATCGCGACCATGTTTGGCAGAAATTCAAGTACGTTTTCAGTTCATATTTCCTTCCTCCTTCTCAGCCTCACCTGCAGGTCCAAGGAAGCTAGTGAGCGTTCATCTGGAACGACGCCATCTCTCTTGAAAGATAATTCTTGATACTCGACGCTTGAGCTAGGAATCTCAAATCATTGCCATTGACTGACGGGTGGAACATTTTTTATATGATACAGCCCCGAAAAACGCCTCTGGCCAGGACGAGATTCATAGCGACGGCATGAAGGAAGACGGCGGCATCAAGGACGGGAGCGGATCGCCCGATTTCCAGCGAGACCAGCTCGGTGGCGGCTACCCCACGGAGGAGTACGATGAATTGGGTGTCGTGTGTCCTCCACATACCACCGAGAAGAAGCTCATGGCCAGGATCGACCTGCATATCCTGCCATTCATCAGCCTGCTGTACCTCCTCGCCTTTCTGGACAGGGTGAATATTGCCAATGCCAAATCTTTTGGGCTCACCACCGACCTCTCTCTGGGAGGCGTCGAGTACAACACCATCCTCACCATATTCTTCGTCCCTTGTGAGTAGTCTTCATTACAGTTGCTTATTGTGATCGGTATTCTATCCGACAACGAGGCCCTCGGGTTGTTCGCCTAGCCAGCTGCTAATCAAGTCCCATGAGGAGGAGCGGGGGAAAAACAGACGTCTTCTTCGAGATCCCCTCCAACATCCTTCTCAAGAAGCTGTCCCCAAGGATCTGGCTCTCCATTTGCGGCATCGGCTTTGGTCTGGTCATGATTTTCCAGGGCCTCACGCAGAACTACTCAGGGATCCTCGCCACCCGCTTTTTCCTGGGCCTATTCGAGTGCGGCATGTTTCCCGGCTGCTTTTACCTGCTCAGCATGTGGTACAAGCGTGCCGAAGCCCAAAAGCGCTTTACGTTCTTCTTCTGCTCTACATCCTTGGCTGGTGCTTTTGGCGGGCTGCTGGCCTCTGCTATCGGGAAGAGTAAGTTGCGAGAGCCGTGCGTGGGCTTCGAATTCTGTATGTGTGATTTTCTGGCTAACAACGCCGTGTGGTGTTTCCATAGTGGACGGCCTGCGAGGGTACAGTGGCTGGCGCTGGATCTTTATCATCGAGGGCTCTTTGACGTTTGTCATTTGTGTCGGGTTCCTCTTTGTCTTTCCCACCTTGTGAGCATTTTCTTCCTCTTATATTTACGAACTCTTGTGTCTAACACCTAATTTTCAGTCCTGAACAGGCCAAATGGCTTGACGAGACGGAGAGGTCCTACCTCAAAGCCCGCCTGGAGGCAGACCTAGGTCGAAACGCCGCAGAACGTAAGATCACGTTCAGCGATGTCCTGAACACCCTGCGCGACCCAAAGGTCCTCCTGGGCGGTTTCATGTATATGGGCCTGATAGTGTACGTTTTGAAAGCAGACCCTTCTCCAATAAATCTTCCTTCCCAGGTATGTATATACAACAACTGACATTGAGATCTAACAACCATTCAGCCCGGCATATGGATACGCCTTCTTCAGCCCAGCCATCATCGCAACCTACAAGTACGGCGCGATCGAAACGCAGCTCCATTCTGTCCCACCATGGTCAGTGGCCTTCGGCTTTAGTATGCTCGTCGCCGTCCTCTCGGACCTCAGCCGCCACCGCTTGCTCTTCGTCCTTGCCCCGCTCTGTCTCGCCTTCACCGGCTTCGGCATCCTCCTCACCGTCCACGATAACCTACACCTAGAGTACGCCTCGCTCTTTCTTGTCTGTATGGGTACCTACAGCGCTATGCCGGTGATCGTCTGCTGGTACAACATGAACCTCGGTGGACATCACCGCCGCGCGGTCGGATCTGCCTGGCAGATTGGGTTTGGAAATATCGGGGGCATTATTGCCACGTATAGCTTTTTGAGCCGGGACGCGCCCGAGTATAAGCCTGGGTACAGCATCTGCATAGGGTTCATCTGCCTTTGCGTTGTGAGCTGTTGTCTTTATGCCGCGCTGATAACCTGGGAGAACAGGCGGCGGCGGCGGATGGTGAGGCGGGAAATTAGTGACTATGAGAGGACTGAGCTTGGCGATTTGAACCCGGAGTTCAGGTACATGCTTTGATGCAACCTCTGAGCGCGAGGTGAGAAAGGAGGAGGTGATGTCCTCTGGCCGGTGGCATGCTTTGGATATAGACCATGGAAATTTACTCGACCGTATTTGACCATATGGGAATATCTGATGATGTCTTGGTTGGTGTCAAGTACGTGATACGAGGACGATGATCTGCTCTGCACACACGCACACACAAGACGTCAACAACACGATGTATGTAAGCTGGTGCCGAAATCTTATGCTTCGTTTTACATATATTGGTGTCACAACGACACTGGCGTCTCGTCAGAAAATACGCCTGTCTCCCAGACAGCCAAGAACCCTTCCTTCCTCTCGTCATCGCTGAACAGGCCATTCCATCCCCTCCAGACTTTCCTAAGCCTCACCATCATGTCTCCCCCACCGGCCCCCTTGCCATCCTCCTTATCAAAGAAAGTCCTGAGCATCGGCTCGATACTCTCGAAGCCCACAATGTAGCGCGGGACTTCACCTTCTCTGCCGTTCTTGTTGCTCTTTGGCGGCCACATCTCCTCCGCCAGAAACCCCACACCCCAGTCCTCGCTCTGCCCAAAGTCCTGGTAGAACCGCTTCGTCTCGTCCATGTATGCCTCCCGCTCCTCGCTCCGTGGCGCCGTATGGAGCGGCGGCTCGCAGGTGAGAGCTCTGGCCCGGAGGGACGGGTAGACGAGGTGTGATCGCCAGGGGGTGGCGTGGCATGGCGTCAGGAACAAGGCAAAGAGCTCATCCGTCGCCTCGTCAAGGGGGGTGGGCGGCGGTACAGGGTGTGCCGCGTGGAGCGTCAGCCGGTCAGGGTGGATGCGCTCGTACTCGTGCCGGAGGAAGTGCATTACCGAGATGGGCGCGGCGGCGTGGAAGAGGGAGAGGTAGGCCGCGATGACGAGGTTGACAAAGATGAGGCCGGCGAGGAGGGCTGTCTTGGCCTGGGACGGTTGGCGGCCGGGGGGCGCGGAGAAGAGGCTGGCGAACGAGGGCGCCGCAAGGATGTGGAGGACTGGAAGGAGGGGCAGGATGAAGCGGACTTCCTTGTGAGAGATGAGAGACAGGGTTGTGATGGTGGTGATGACGATGAGGGCGAGGGTCTTGAGCGTGTTGGACTGCAGGGCCGTTGCTTCTGGGTTGGCTGAGGTGGTGGACCTGTACAGGCCGATGAGTGCGAACGGCAGGAAAGTCATTGTGAGCTGCGTGATGCCCTGCGATAGGTAGTAGTGCCAGTCCATCTCGCCATAGAACACGGCGAGGTCCTGCGAGAGGTTGAACTGGAGAAAGTGATAGGGCGGAAACGTCCATTCGCCGAAATACAGACGGTCAGACAGGGCAGACAAGAGCAGGGCGGCACTGCCGCAGAGTACTGCCTCTCGGACGAGAACAAACAGGATCCTGGGGGTGATGGGACTCTTGCCCCGGAGCATAGGCCGGGCCAGCGCTGTAAACACCACGGTCGCCCATATGAAGACGTTGGTAGGCCTGAGAAGGACAGCAAGAGCAGCCAGGCAGAGGGACACACGAAGACTACACTCCCTATTAGCACATGCAAACACCTACGTATAAAGATGCCCTTCTGCGAGATTATGAAAAAAATTACCTGCTGAGGCGCTCTCTCCTCGCCGGGATGCCGCCATAGGTCTCGGACACATCACCCAGAAGATCCCAAGGCCAAAATCTCAGCGCTGTGACTGTCAGGGTCATCTCGAGAGAATTCGAGAAAGTCCTAGCGGTGCAGTACCACTGCCAGGGGTTGAGCACTGTGATACACAGCTGGGATGGGCTATTAGTAAAAAGCGAGATGTGGTCGATAGGGGAGCAGGGTCCCATACCGCTGACCATGCAGACCTGCTGCCTTGGCCATATACTCTCTCTGCCAACTTCCAGGTGTAAAAGTCTCCCACCACAGCTAGACAGGCCTGTACCAGTTTAGGCAGGACGGTCAAGAGGGATGCTCTGAGAGAGGGAGCACATGGCAGCACAGCAGTGATCTTGTCTGCAGCGGCGTACGCAGCAGCGAAGAGAGCTGGGTGGAGAGAGGACCGTAAATGGTATTTCCATTCCTACTTGAGCTGGTCAGCCAATTTTATGATGTTCGTTTCCCTTCTAACTTGAAAACTATAGGTGTGCCTCTACCCATGTTATCCATGCACCGCTGTTTGGCCCAAATGCCAGACTCCAAGCTGGTTCGAGAGCCTGAAAGTATTCGTCCGGCTGGAAAAAGGTGTGACCAGTGCAGAGCGCATTCACCAGACGGATGATGAGGAGGCCAATGAGCACATGTTGTGATTGGAGCCAGAGCCCATGTTGAGAATGTGTTGGCTGACGGGCTTCATGGGTAGACATCGTCAAGAAGCGAACAGCTTCATAAGTCAAGGAGTGTTTTCAGTTATCCCATGCGACAGACGATATCTATAGGCGAAAATGCTGGCCTCACTGTTTTGGGGGTTGAAGGTTTAGGTGTATGTGTGTAGCTTGGGTTAGGTACTATGGCAGGTGGTACGTATAGTGAGTGAGTGCTCTAGGAATAGCTTGTTGAGCCTCACTAAGGTTGCCCAGCTGCACCAGTAACCATGGTGTCCCCCTGAAAATGCGCCGGGCGCTGTGATTGGCCTGTAGCATCGATTGTAATTGAGGACGAACGATTGGTTCTGGCGCTCACAGGGGGTCGCCCGCTGCATCGTGGGGGGTGGGATTGCCCCTCCATCCCGCTATCGGACCCTGAAACTTGAGGGAGGGGTGGGTGGTACAAACGTTCCAACCTTCCCCTGGTGTAGGTTGATCTATCAATTACACCGAGTATTTTCCAGACAAGGTACAGCTCAGCAGGCTTAGCAAAAGGCTGAAAGTGGTTTATGCTATTAGGTGGTGTAATCAAATCTGACATGTACTTGACCAATTCGTTCACGATTTGACCGCCACAAGACGGACGACTCAGCAAGGATCATCTGGTGCACCCCCATAACAAGAAGAGTGAGTGACAAGAGTAGTAGAGACGATATTCATTATTCATAGCGCCGGCTTGCTTCGGCACGCAGCTGTGGGCGCATACTATCTTGTGACCCTGAACGACCCAGGCACGGCTTAGAAGTCGATCAAATGACCGGTCGCCGGCAGTACTACTGTTCCAACACACCGTTCACGGTTATACTTGCACTTAGGGGTATAGCCTTGACGTAAAATCGTGCGTTTGAGAAGGATTTCATATGGGGCATTATTTTTCTCTCTAGACTTTGACTTTTTGCTTTCACCTTCTTTCTTGTTCGAATTGGGATCTTGGGACCAGCTCGTACAGCACTATTAGTAGTGGTATCCATGTTCGTTCCCCCCTTCCCTGTCTTCCTTCCCTCTTGTGTGCATTCTTTATAGTTCCTGCCTCCCCTTCTTTAGCACCTTCCCCTTCCCGTGAGATTTCTTTCTCACCTCCAGGTTTCTCGCGCGTCTCCTCTTACAGTGTCTTGACATACTACAGATACACGTCAGACGAGGAAACAGGAATTCTGCTCTTCTAGGCAAAAATACAAAAAGAGAGAAGAAAGAAAGAAAGAGAAAGAGAGAGAGAGAGAGAGAGAGAGAGAGACAGGGCCTGTTACGACTTTGACACAGTCCTCAACCCCGACCTCGCTGTCGTCCTGGACTCACTCTTCCTCCCTCCACCAGCCAAACGTTCAACCGCACCACAGCCACAATCGAGTAGCCAAGATGGCGCCTCACGCAGACAAGGACGTCAATGGCGTTGCCGCCAACGACGCCTCCCGCTACCACGCTTCCTCGACCAAGGCCGCCATCGCCGCCGAAAATGAGTTTGCCGCCCATAACTACCACCCCCTCCCCGTCGTCTTTGCGCGCGCCGAGGGCGTCAACGTCTGGGACCCCGAGGGCAAGCAGTACCTCGACTTCCTGTCCGCCTACAGCGCCGTCAACCAGGGTCACTGCCACCCGGAGCTGATCAAGGCCCTCACTGCCCAGGCCGGCCGCCTGACCCTCTCGTCCCGCGCCTTCCACAACGATGTGTTCCCCGTCTGGGCCGAGAAGGTCAAGAACATGTTTGGGTACGATATGGTGCTGCCCATGAACACGGGTGCCGAGGCTGTCGAGACTGCCATCAAGATCGCGCGCAAGTGGGCATACAAGGTCAAGAAGGTCCCCGAGGGAAAAGCCCTGGTGTTTTCGGCCCTCGAGAACTTTCACGGAAGGACGGTGAGTGCTGCTTGCGGCTGAGCAGCACCTTTTGTTTGCGTCAGAGCTTGCCCCAGAAGAAAGAGAAATACACACAGAGAAAATAAGCAGAAGACGTTGGGATCTAACAACCGCGGCCGCTATTCTAGATGACGGCCATCTCGCTGTCCACTGATCCCGAGTCACGAGATAACTACGGCCCCTACGTTCCCAACATCGGCGCTACCTCCCCTTCCACCGGCAAGGCTATTCGGTATAACCATATCGCCGATCTCGAGGAGGTCTTCGAGGCCCACGGCAAGGAAACCGCGGCTTTCATCGTCGAGCCCATCCAGGGTGAGGCGGGTGTCGTCGTGCCGGACGAGGACTACCTCGGCAAGGTGTCGGCCCTGTGCAAGAAGCACAACGTGCTGTTCATCTGCGACGAGATCCAGACGGGCATCGGCCGCACAGGCAAGATGCTCTGCCACCAGTGGGCCGGCATCAAGCCTGACCTCGTGACCCTTGGCAAGGCCATCTCGGGTGGCATGTACCCTGTCTCGGTGAGTAATTTGACCGTTTTCCTCGCGCTGCAAAGGAACCGAAACTCCTTCCGCATCTACACGTGTACACAAACTTTGTTGGGGAAGGAAAAACAAAGTCCTGAGGCTGACTTTGGTTCTACAAGTGTGTGTTGGCCGACAAGGATGTTATGCTGGTGATTGAGCCCGGGACGCACGGCAGCACGTACGGTGGAAACCCCCTGGGATGCGCCGTCTCGCTTCGCGCGCTCGAGCTCATCGAGGAGGAGGACCTGACAGCCAAGGCTGAGAAGCTGGGCAGCATCTTCCGCGAGGGTGTGGTCTCGTTTGGCTCGCCAATCGTCCAGAAGGTTCGGGGCAAGGGTCTCCTGAACGCTGTGGTCATTGATGAGTCTGCAGCCAATGGCAGGTCTGCCTGGGATCTTTGCATTTTGTTGAAAGAGAAGGGCCTTTTGGTGAGTTTCAGCATCCCCGGATTCTGCCTACCTCTTGTTTGCTGGCTGCATTCACATGGGGGAGGCGAGATCGCTTTGCTCGAACGGCCCCCTTCACCGCCTGTCCTGCAGGTACCGCCCAGCGGCGCTCTGGCGAGACCCCGGACCCCCCCCCCCCTTTTCTCCCTAGCGACGGACAGCAAAGCAATGTGGAGACTAACACGGAACAGGCGAAACCGACGCACGGGAACATCATCCGATTTGCGCCCCCTCTGGTCATCACGGAAGCGGAATTGCGCAAGGCGCTGGGCATTATCGGCGAGGCCCTGAAGGAGCTGCCGAACGCGAAGCATGCCGAACATTAGACTGGACTGCTGTCGCTGAAAGGGAGCCGCGGTCAGCCACATGGCTGGGGGGCCCGTTCATCCTCGTGACTCGCCGGTACCGTCATGGTGCAGGCTCGTTGAATGACCGGGGAGGGGCAGGCCAGCGACAGAAAGTCTAGAAGTCGTTTACCGCTTCGCCTGCTGATGGGAAGGATGTAAGAGGTGGATCTTAGAACGGGCTTGAGAGTCCGGGGAAAAAAACATGATCTTTCTCAGCAGCGAGGATGGAAACGAACAAGGCTGCTGTCCCGCGGCTCTGGGGCCAGGGTCCCCTCAAGAAGGGGAAGGGGGGCTGGTCCGAGACAGACAAAACCATGGGCATGGAGTTTTGTTGAATGGACAGCAGACAAAGAGAGCATGACGCCACTTGACCTAGTACAAATCAACCCATGCTGACAGCCAAGATTTTGATGCTGGCCTGCTGGGTTGGTTCGGCTGATTGGTCTGGAGATGATTTGTTGCATCATCATCATCATCATGATCAAGAAGATATATAGCCTCGGGCAGCCGAGATCGAAGTATGCATAGACTCCCCCGGAGAACTTACAGGGGGGCAATGAAATACATATGATATCACACAAAGTTGCACATGAGAGCAGATCTCCGTCGTGAAAGGAATCGCCTACCAACCACCCTGCTTTTTTCTGGTTCCTCGGCCACGCACGAACCTGAACGCGCCACCAGCCTAGCCCTTCGTCTTCTGGAGATGGGCGGGGATAGAGAGTCGTGTGAAACGACCCCAGCACACCGTTGCAACAAGCATGCATTCGGGTGGCCCAGCCAGGCAGAAGAGACAAAACATGCAAAGGACAAAGGAAAGGAAGCTCACAACAGAGCCTCACCCTCCTCCCCCCCCGCACGATAAAACTTGTCGTCTATTCCTGCTTGACGTTCGTGACACATCACCGGGATACCAAAACGGGATAGGCAGAGACAGAGCCCCCTGCATTCATGGATAACGACAGGAGCTTTCGTCTTGGTTGGGTTCTTGTGCCGGCACGGCACAGCACAGGCTGCAACAAAGTAGAATAAGTATGTTCCCACTCCCCGCCAAGTACGCAATGATCCAATCAGTTCTCGAAAAAGGTGAGCTTTCTTCAAGGGAGAGTTTGTGCACTTTTTAGACAAGGGTTCTCTATTCGTCCAGAATCGGCAATGCAGCATGTGTTTACGCGGCCGCCCGGGCCCGGCTTGTTAAGAGAGAAAGAAGCGTGCATGATGCAGATAGCCTATGTTTGTGTGGGTGTGGCCGCATTCCCGCGTGCTGATTTGCGTATCTCACTGTCGTTTTGGAGAGGAATGAGGGGGAAAGGACAAGGTAGGTAGGCCAGCGGCGCTACTGTCCTGATCTGGTGGGTTGCGTGTGGTGTTGCTGCTCTGTGCCGGAGCTACGACAACATGGGAGGTGGCAGGCAGCACCTGATCAATGATCCGGGGGGCCAGCGCGTCTTACAGTCGATGAGATAGGACTACATGGACCGTGGGACCGTGGGACGTGCTTGTGTTGCTGCTAACTCTCCAGGTCGAGTGTCAAAGCTCAGGTCCAGGCTCGGGCTCAGGCTCGGGCGGTACTTGACGGATGGTACGTGAGAGCCTGTCGTGAGTGGTCTGGCTGAGTGATGCCCGTTGCTGCGGTCGTGGAAGAGGGTCTGTCCAAGGTGAGTTGATGGTTGACGAAGTCTTGTCGCCTGTGGTGGAACCTTGTGCAGTTGGAGTGCACATGTATGCCGACTCCACCAGTGGATACAGTACATACCATGTACTATAGTATAAGTATCCATCGTAGTACGGTAGCCCATAGGACCAGGGTATAGTGGAAGGTCCCTACATACTACAGTAGTACGTTCCATCCCAGAGCCCAGACGTCCTTCTCTTGTCCCTCTGCTGGGGGAGGAAAGCAGAAGAAGAAATGACTCAAGGCCTGCCTGCACTAGAGCAAGCATTCAAGGGCATTGTCATCATATTGTAGAGTCACGTCTGGCTTCTGACTCGGACGAGGGCCTTGGAGAATTTAACATGGGCTGGCTGATTAGACGTTCGTGAATTTGAGTGTTGGGCGTGTCTGGTTCACTTTCGCCCGGTGAGTTCAGCCTCGTTCTAGGATATAATACGCAGCGCTTCGAGACAGCATTAGGGACGCTACGTACCGGGCCAGGGGGAGGTTGACTAGTGGTCTGAACGAATACTCAGCCGCTGTGGCCCCTTGGGGAGCTGCAGGAGAAACGAACTCCTCCCAAGAAGCAGGGACTGAGACACCCAGATGCCGATATCATGCAGGCGCAACCATGGTGTGGGTCTTGTTTGTGTGGTGCTGCTCTTCTCACACTTTCTTCTTTCCCCCGGTGATGGATGGCTGGCTCAGCAAATGGGTGTTGTTGCTGAAGCCCACCGAGCCTGAACCAATAAGGGTGGAGCAGGTTTTGCCGCCGCAAAGGTGTCATGCAGGACAAGGACAGCTCAGTCAGAGAACCGCCACCAAGCTGTATGGATTGAGGTCTAGGGAACAGGGTGTAGTGTGCGTGCGTGTGCGTGTGCGTGTGTGCGGTAGGCATGACGAAGGAAGAAAAGAAAAAGGAGAGGGCTTATGTTTGAGACATTGGCTCATTGGGGTTCGATCGCTGACTGTCTTTTGACTGCACGACGACAAACCTCTTCTTTCTTCTGCTGAATTTTGGCAAGTGGTGTGGAATGACTGTGTTGCGCATCGCTATTAGTAAATCCGTAACTTCTGTTGTTGCGTATGTTGTAGTTGCTGGAGGAAGCGATGGTCCGCTATCGTTATCGATGTCACCTAAGGCGTCCTTTCCCTCTACTGTTTTGGAGGCGATAAGCCCGGGTTGGAGCTTGGCAGAGTGAGGAAGGAGGTTGGGTTACCCTGCACCGCATCGATCCCGGATCGCCATGTCACAGGATGTACTATGTATATGTACCGTTGTGGTGGTAGGCTGGCCATGGTTGTACCGCAGGCCTGTCCCCAAGACGATCGCAGAGATAGTGCATCCTCACACGCACACACCACGCTAGAGACCAGGCAAAGCGTCTCGAGTGGATTGCGTGGAGAGGACGTGTTGTTAGCCAGGCAATCCTCTCCCCGGGTCTGGGCCTGGGAAAGGATAGTGCGGCCCCCTCCCTCCCCTGCTTCGTGTGAAGACTGGTAGTGCAGCGTTGTGAAGGGAACACTGGAGCATGCATCGAGAGCTGTCCTTTGAAACTATCTATAGCCTGCAGCCGAGTGGGACCAGGCAATGAGCAGGCCGTTTACGGCATCGCCAATACCTGAGTACCAAAGTTATTTTAAGTTTGGTGGAAGGAGGACCCTGAGATGCACATGGTCCTTTTGTGCGGTGTGTACAAGTCAACCGTAACACCATAGTACAGGCTCGACACATGTGTGCAGACCATAGTACAGCACTTAAAAAAAAAAAAGAGTGGGATGGTGTTATCCTCATCTGAGGACCCAGTGGTACACCAGCCGGTGGCCCCGATCGTACAGAGCAATGCTGTTATGGGATCTTCCGGGATCGCCCACTGGTTGGCCATGAAAGAAATATTCACAGTAGTGTGGTGACAGCATATCGAGAGTGGGTTTCTGGATTAGATTGATGCGCACGGCTCAAAGTTGAGTCATGGCTGCTCCCGGGGGACCTTCTTGTCACTTCGTATCATTCTAATCTGCGTGTTTGCTGGTGGATGGATGGATGTTGGTGGACATGGGGGGGAAAGGCTCCGTTATCGCAGACGAGGCGCGTTGTTATCGCAATGCAAGGCGCAGCGCGACATTCGAGGCCAATGGCTTTCTAGATTGATTCATCCATCGCCCATTGTCACTAAACTTTGTCAAAGAGACGGAATTAGCTTTGTGGTCTGAGGTTCATCTTTTTTAATAGACGGGTTGCATACTAATTTTTTTACTTTTAAAAAACAGTCAACGATCCACAAAGAAAAACACGAATGTGCCATTGTGCTGGAAATGTTAGAAAAGAACATGTCTCTGTTCAACATAGTATTACAGTAAGTGCGCTACAGCATGGCACATCCGTAACACATGAAAAGACCACCATTGGTAAAAAGGTCCAAGAACCCAGGAAACAAATGCCGTCTGACCCGAATTGCAGCACCAGCCCATTCTGTCCCATATATATGCAAGACGGTGAGAGGGCGATCCAATAAACACACTGACGGCTTTTGCTCAGGGCTCTGCTCTGTACAGTATTGCTCGTCACCCAGCTTGCCTAGCCTGCCCATGGTGTGTTGCGGGCTAGAGTGGTTGCAGCTCGCTCCCGCACCCTTTTCCACTTCTGGAGTGGAGCTTAGGGGTCTGACGGGAATCATAGCCACGGACTTATCGCAAGGGTCGTCTTGACAAGTCGTCATGCATACTTAGTACTTGACTATGTACCGAGCACGTATCACGTCTTATCTGGTCCCAGCCTGCCTGTGCTGGCCTTGTTCCGTCTTGTCTCTACTTGGCCCACCAACAAACGACTGAATACTGTACAGGTGAGAGCTTGGTAGTAGCAGATTCGTGCGATAACTGATCAAATCCTCTTGGGTTCTCGGCGCTGCGTATGCATGCGGGCGCCTGCGATCTGGTTATGTGGAGAGAAGGAAAGAGACAGAGGGAGAGGGAGAGCCAGCCAAACAGCACCAATAACGGTCACGTCAACATTGGTTCCTGACATGTAATTCAGACTAGGCTCCTCTCCCCACATGGAAGCGGCCGTCGTGACTTTCCGGGTTGATTTCGTGTTTTTGTTGCTTTGACGTCGCCACGAGGTCGCGCTGGCAGCAGACGCTACGGCAGGCTGGCCAGCTGACCATGTGCTGTGAGGTGAACCGGTAACGTACTATAGTAGAATTGGGCTTGTGGAAAGGCGCAGTTCCAGGCCAGGCTAGGGAACCCCCCTCCCCCCGTGGATGGACCTGGGGCTGCTCAAGGTGAGCGCTGCACAGGGGGTTGCTCCCAGTCCAATTGAGTGCTGGCGGCATTGGCCATCTCCCGTTTCGATCGCATCACGAGTCCTAGGTCACCCACCTCCCATCCTCACTCATACAACCCGATCGCATCCCCCCCCCCCAAACCAAATGTGTACCTGTGTGACTCTCTCCTTCACTTTCTCTCTGATCGTCTCTTTGTTTCTCTCTCTCTCGCGCGTTCATCTGTAATCCCTATTCTATCTAACGACCCTTGAGTGCCTACTGGGTTCTCTTTTACTTTTTTCCTTCTGTTTTTCCCCCTTCTTTTCTTTCCCTTCCTGATCTGGGCTTTCGTCAATCTGCCAAGCCTATTCCGTGCTGACTAGTCGACATCATCCATCCTGCTACTGCCACCATAAGTAGTACCTCTGCTCCCGTACTCGACGTCCTCCCGTCGTCTGTGACTAATCGACTTCGATGATCCATCCTGCCCCCTTGTACCCTCTCACTCTCTATCTCGCTCCCAACGACTCCTCTCTCTTGTCTTTTCTCTTTACCTGTCCCCCATCGTATTTGTCTTCCCCTCCATTCATCTAGAGCATCGCTCTCCCCGACTGACTGACACTTGACTGTCTGTCGGGACCACATTTCTAAAGATTTGCACTTGGGTCTGGCTGGGCCTTATACCTGAGCACTCGTTATCTTCCTACCCGAGTCACGCTGAGTTGATCTCAGTAGCTCACAAGCACAGATAAGAGAGAGGTTACCTCACCACATCGCCTGACTTCCAAGAGCCTCCTGCAGACCTACACTCCTCACTCACACAACCACCTTACCTCAACACAAAGCCCACAACAGCTGTGCTCAGTCACGCCTGCCACACGTACGGCACATCTGCAACTCGAGCAGGGCAACACAAGACCATCCAACCAGCGGCACCGCCTACACCGTTCAGGACCTGGGGTCAGTCATAGGACCCTGTCGCACGCCGCAGCCGCCCCCGGCAACAAAGCAGCAACAGCAGCCGCTGAGCGCCTCTGAGCGCCACTTGACCCTCCACTACTTCTACCACCGTCATCGTTGAACTTCGCGGCTCGCCTTGACCGTCTGGCTGGTGGTCACATCACAACGCCCTGCCTTACAGTAACCTACAGGTGACCCCCTCCCCCTGCCTGTGTCGGTACTCCGAGCCGTTGTCGTGTCCTGCCAAGGCCTGCCTACGACGATCGCGACCAGCAGGCTTCACATCCAGCAAGACCCCCCCCCCTGGTCGCTAACTAGGGCCCCTGTCTGTTGAACCCCCAGCCTGCTGCAGCGCTCCAACAAGGTACGCATCCACCAATGCACCCCATCCCCATGCAATGCCCACACCCCATGCTTTTGGCTCCATCACGGTTGCGCACTCAAGCACTCCGAGGTCACTCACCTCCCATCTCGACGAGCATCATTGCGCCGCGTCGAATCGGATCCCTTGCCTGCCGTTGCCCTGACTTGACCCATCATCTCAAACCTCCTGGACTCCCAACACCATCGGGACGCCATCACTTTCTCTTCACTCTCGCTTCTTTTCTTCTTCTAACCGTCTTCCCTTTTGTCTTCTTTAGGGCGCACTTCTTCTTTCCTAGAAACAGGATCCACCACCCAGCAGCCAACTTCGTCTCTCAACCTTACACCACCAGCAGCCCTACCCCCTTCATGCGTACATGACGCCAACGACAGAACTAGTCGATTCCTACTATCTGTGAGCCCGCGGGCTGCATCAACACAGCTGCCTTCCTGTCCCTCGCCAGCCCTCACAGGAAGACATGGCTTCACAATCCTCGACTCCGGGGCGGTCCCGCCTTTCCAACGATGCCATGGATCAATGGAGTGTCGGTGTTAAGATCGGGAAGGGCAGCTTTGCCACTGTGTATTCGGGCACTTACAAGGTCAGCTTCCTTTGCTCTAATCTCCCATGCACTATCCTGAGCACAACGTACGTCCATGTCTTGGGCGCCTTCGCCTTCTCTCTGCGTCTCTCTTCCTAAGAGAGGTTCCTAAGAGAGGGAGAGAACGAGAGAGAGAAGAGGGGGGGGGGGGGGTGGTTGAGAACGAAGTGCGCCTGGTTTCGACTCAAAACACACCTCATGCACGCCTTCACACCGTCTTCGTTTGCCTGCCACAGACTGACATCCTCTTGTCCGTGCAGAAAACCGGAGCCTTTGTCGCCATCAAATCCGTCGAACTTGGGAAGCTGAAGGGCAAGGTGAAGGAGAACCTCTACACCGAGATTAAGATCCTCGAGACCCTTCGGCACCCTCACATCGTCGCCCTACATGAATGTGTCGAGACTCCCTCGCACATCCACCTTATGATGGAATACTGTGAACTCGGCGACCTGTCGCTATTTATCAAGAAGAGGGAGTTTTTCCCAGAACATCCAGCCACCAAGGACATGGCAAGGAAATACCCAGGGGTTCCAAACGGCGGTCTGAACGAGGTCATAATACGCCATTTTCTCAAGCAGCTGGCAAGCGCTCTTGAGTTCCTCCGTGGGAAGAACCTGATCCACCGCGACATCAAACCCCAGAACTTGCTCCTGCTTCCATCACCTGTCTGGCGAGAACAGGAGAAGCACAAGCCGCTCATTCTCAGCGCCAGCAACGACAGCCTCATCCCGGCCGCCGGGTTGCGGTCGCTACCTATGCTGAAGCTCGCAGACTTCGGTTTTGCACGTGTGCTGCCATCCACCTCGCTCGCTGAGACCCTCTGCGGTTCCCCACTCTATATGGCCCCGGAGATCCTGCGTTACGAACGTTACGATGCCAAGGCTGACCTGTGGTCTATGGGGACGGTTCTGTACGAGATGGCGGCAGGGCGAGCTCCATTCAGGGCTACTAATCATGTCGAACTTCTCCGCAAGATAGAAGCAGGAGGTGATGTGATCAAATTCCCCAGGGAGACCGTCCTCTCAGTCGAGATGAAATCTCTCATCCGCGCGCTCCTCAAGAGAAGTCCTGTGGAGCGCATCAGCTTTGAGGCTTTCTTCACCCATGACATCGTCACAGGTCAGATACCAGGACTCGTCGAGGAAGACTTGCCCCGGCCGGCACAGCCTAGAAGGTCACATGAGTCCATCACGGCCTCCAGGACCAGTGAGTCAGATTCACTCGGTCGAAAGTCATCACTGCGGCGCTATGGCACGGATCGAGACCCCAGCGGCGGCGAGACGGTCTCGTCTCCCGTGGATCCTGTCGAGAGGCCATACAGGCGGTCCCCCCTGTCTACCCCTACAGAGACCGAGAAACAGCTAGGTCACTATTCACCCAGGCTCAGCTACTCTCCGCGCCAGGAGGTGGGACAAGGCTTGGGTATACGTCGTCCACAACCTGTGCCATCCACTTCAGCTCCGGCACGCCCGACGATGTACGAAACTCGCCGGCGTGGGCAGTCAAACGCGTCGGCCCACACAGTCGCTCGCGACGGTGCCCCTTCGGGATCCACTGCAGAACAGCAGGGCAGCCGAAGCGGGAGAAACCCGAATGAGCACGAGAAGGCGGAGCAGGAAATCGCTTTCGAGCGTGACTATGTCGTGGTCGACAAGAACCAAGTGGCGGTCAACGCTCTGGCTGACGAGTTGGCTGCTAATGGGCGCATGACCTCGCTTGCGCAAGGTCAGTCTCCTCAGACTGGACAAATGGTGCGGCGGATTACGACCCAGGGTGCTCCCGACTCCATTACGGGTGCCGTGGCACCTTCGCCGTCCCGAGCTGTGCAGATTGCGCAGGGTAGACGGCCAAATGTTCACGAGCGCAAGTCCTCGCTGAGTGTCAGCCCAGGCTCTGCCACCAAATACATCTCCAGGGCCATCCAGGAGACGAGCCTCCGTCTCCTGGGCATCAAAAACCCGCCCCTTCTTGGTAAAGGTGCATCTCCGCCTCAGTTGTACAATCCCTTCCCGGCTTACCCCACCCCATCGGCACCTGTGAACCTGATAGGTGATGGAAAGCAGACCGCACCATATGACGAGGACGCCCGTGTTGCTCAGTGCATCGAGGAGATCGCATCGCGAAGCGACGTTGTCTACGGATTTGCCGAAGTCAAGTACAAGCAGCTTGTGCCCCTGGCCCCATCTATGGACCATGGACTGGGCGGCGTGCCGGCCGACGGACCAGCTTCTAATGTCGAGGATGGACTGACTCCGGATGCCGTCGTTTCGTTGTCAGAAGAGGCGCTTGTGCTGTATGTCAAGGCCCTGTCGCTTCTTGCCAAATCTATGGATGTGGCGAGCTTGTGGTGGTCGAGAAGGACACGCTCCGAGGCATCTGGTGGTCACGCATCATCGGCTCGTGATTCTGGTAATACGCAGAACCTCACGCCTAGGATCAACGCCGTCGTGCAGTGGGTTCGCTCACGGTTCAACGAGGTCCTGGAGAAGGCTGAGGTGGTACGTCTGAAGCTTATTGATGCACAGGCAAACCTGCCGGAGGAACATCCCAGCCACCCCAGCAACCATTCGACAGAGGCCGGGAATACAGGCGGATCAGCCGTCGATGGCGTCGTCATCACCCCAGGCATCAGTGCAGAAAAGCTCATGTACGACCGGGCCGTGGAGATGAGCCGCAAGGCAGCGATCGACGAGATATCGAATGAAGATCTTGTAGGCTGTGAGATCTCGTACGTCACAGCCATCTGTATGCTCGAGGCTGTCCTGGACAGCGACGAGGACCTACCTAAGAGGCGGGTCTCGGGACCTTCTAAGGAGGAGCGCGCGACCCCGCGGGAGGACACGTCAGAGATAAACGCCGACGACCAGCAAGCTATCAGAAAACGTGAGTTGTCTTGATGGAAACCCACGAAGATAGACAGAGAGAGGTAGAGAAGTCCGCATCTGCTAACATCAAACAGTGATAGGTATGATTACCGGTCGACTGACCACGGTCAGGCGCAAGCTGCGCATGATTGCAAGCGCAACGAAGCAACAGCAACAGACACAGACTATCGCCCGACGTCGCAGTGGTGACGGAACGCCGAGGAGCTTGTCTTCTCAGGCCTCATAAGAAGAGCATCATCATTCATGATTTGACGAAATTGCATCGATGCATATTACGACAGGGTGTTTTTTGGCCTGGCCGACTTGACCTACAATGACAGAAACCAGTCCTGCGGGAGAGAGGTCACGTCACTGCTGCGCCCTGATTTCTCTCTTCACGCCCTCGCATGTTTGATTTTATGGGGAAGGGGCAGCTCATTAAACGGTGTTTACGGCTTCTTTTCCTTTTCTTTCTCTTTCTGGTTTGATTCATTACAGATTGTTACTTCGTAATTGCTTTCATCTTGAAACACGGGCTTTTTCTCTTTCTCTTATCGTCATGACAAAGGTTCACGCGGGTCTCGGGCGTGACGGTGGTTGGATCGGCACTCATCGGTTTACAGGACAGCACGGTAGTTGGACTCGGATTTCCAGGCTTGTTTTTCTCTCTTCTTGTTTTTCTCATTGGGCGTTACTCACTGGTTTCCTTTTGCTTTGTGTGCCTTTCTTCTTTTCAGGGGACAAACTCGAGAATGGATCAGGTCCCAAGGCCAAACAAACAACATTTTTAGTATTTCTTCTTCTCAGCAAGGTTGATTCAGAGATGAAAGCATGGCCAGCGTTTGGGTGTCTTGACCATAATGCTGCTAGCAGGCAAGGACGCAAGTCTGCTGACGACGAGACGCAGGCTCAGGCTCATGAGTATCGTTGTTGTTGTCTAGGTCTATGGCCAAGGGTTGTGCATTCTTCCTTGGGGATACCTACTTTGAATACTTTATCCTGTATCCCTTGCAGTGGGTGTATAAATCAGAGACAATTACCTGGGGAAATCAAGGGCGTTCAGATCATGGAAGCATCACTTTAAGCCATCCTTGGCCAAATTCTCACATGGGTTGGACAGGTAGCGAGTGATGTATACCTGTCATATTCCGAATAGCAATCAGGTATCACCTGGTCAGGACCAGCAAACCAGCTTGCACAGCTGTAAGAGCAAAGCATGCTTGGTAATTACATGACCCCAATAATTTGTTCCAATTCACTTACTGAATGATAATGAAGTGACATTTGTATCTAGACCCCGTTGGCAAAAGCCTGACCTCCCATCTCCTTGTCAAAGGCAGCATACTTGTTCAGCCCACACACCTCAAAACACTCCCTCACACCACCCCTCACGTTCCCCTTCTCGTCCTTCCTCTCCGCCACCATGCCCGTGCTCCGAAGCTCCTTGGCCGTCTCCCGATAGGCAAGGATGGCGGCAGTCATGGAAAAACACGGCCAGATGACAATCCGGTAGCCCATCGCCCGCGCCTCCTCGGCCGAGACCAAGGGCGTCACGCCACCAGCGACCATGTTCAGCAGACACGGCGTCGGGGCCAGAGCGCGCACGCTGTCGCGCACCTGGTCCAGGGTGCGCATGCCCTCCAGGAACACAACGTCGGCGCCGGCCTGCACGGCCAGGCGGAGGCGGTGGAGGGCGGCTTCGTAGCCCAGGGACTGCAGGGCGTCGGTGCGGGCGATGAGGACGATGTCGTCGGCGGCGGCCTGGCGGGCGGCGTGGGCGGCGCGGATGCGGGCAGTGTAGGTGGTCTCGTCGACGAGCTCTTTGCCCATCAGGTGGCCGCAGCGCTTGGTCGTGGCTTGGTCTTCTATGTGGAGGGCTGCTACGCCGGCTTGGATGTAGCGCTCGACCTTTTTGGGTTGGGGTGGGGGGGGGGGAAACAAATCGGAAAATCAGCCTTTTGTTTGTTTGTTTGTTTGTTTGTTGGGGAAGTGGGGGAGGGGCAGGGAGAGACTATAGTTTAACGAAAATTGTAGGATCACTGGCTTACTGTCCTGGCGACCATGACGGGCCCGCCGTAGCCTGTGTCTGCGTCTGCGATGACGGGGACGTTACGGTCCAGGCTGGCGATCATGGCGGCGTTGCGGACCATGTCGTCGGCTGTTGCGATGCCGAGGTCGGGCATGCCTAGGACGGAGATGGCTGTGCCTGCACCGGTCTGTAGTCCCAGGTCAAAGGAAGAAGAAGAATTGAATTAGTACACGTTCGAGCTGTCATTTCTTGAGGCTGCTTGTTGTTGGAAGGAGACAATAACAACGATAACTTACCATGTACAGATTCTCGAACCCTTCGTCCAGGCATACTCTTGCAGAGAGACCGTCTTGCACGCCAGGGCACACAATCAGCTTGTTCTCGTCTGCGAGCTGGGCGCGGAGCTTGGCAGCTGCCTTGTTGACCATCTTGGGATAATATCTAGGAAAGAGGAGGGGGGGGGGGGGGATTGTGTGTGTATGTGTGTACAAGAGGGAGAGAGGAGAGGTGTTCGGGATTGGGGTACTGGGGTCCTGGGGCTGGTATGGATGGAAGAAAGAAAGAAAGAGCTGTTGCTGTTTATCTCCAAATGAGACTTGGACTCGACGGAGAATTATATCCTGGTGTGGTGTATATATGTATATATATGTGGACGTATGCGGGAATAGTATTAGTCCAAATCGGGCGAATGTGCAATACTTTTATGGTTACCCAACCGGGGCGAAAGCGGGCAAATTGTTGGTCTGGAAAAGACCTACTTCAAAATTGGTATCTGTTATAATTATTCATCTGCTCTTCCCTTCCTCCTAAAAGACTGATGAAGAATTTCTTGAGTGGCGACTTGCACGGCACCGGTTCGGCATCTCGCGGATTCGCGGTGTTTGGTGGAAAGCGGGCGCGGCCAGGTTTTTCTTTCTTTGTTGTCCCCTCTTAATGTGGGCTTTTTGATGTGCGGAGCCGGATCAAGACCCGTTTTGATGTATTTTATTACATGTATGCATAAGCACTCACTATATGGACCACCGTCATAGTACGGCAGGTACAGCAGCAACAGCAGCAACAGCAACAAGATTTACCCAGGTGGTTTAAGTATCTGTTGACATACAAGTCGGGCAATGAAGGTGACCGACAAGCGATATGTTTTTTGACGACCGGGCTAAACTATGCTCTATCTACGTGCAGTAAGTGGCAATGCATGGTTTCCCACCCGACAGCTCCAATTGATAAATCATTCTGTATTATTGCCCTATTTTCTGCACTTTGAGCAACAAGAATGACATGAAGGTGGTGATAGAGGAGGGTACCTCCTTGGATTGATGTAAGTACTCAAGCTACACTCAAAATACTTAGGTACTGTGTACTCAACCAACGACAGAGATACAGGCGTTACAGGGATTGAGAACACCCACCCGAGAACATTATCCTCGAACCGAGGAGAAGCTGTGGTTTGTTTACTCCTTCATTTGAGCGAAAATCACAGTACAGTTATATTCTTTTAATTTTGGAACAAATTTCAATTGGTCGAATGGTGTAGTGGCTTATCACGTGTCGTTCACAAGTTTATGTGAGCTCTCTCCGACAAGGTCCCCGGTTCGATCCCGGGTTCGATCACAGGTTATTTTGCATTTTTTGAGCAGCTTTTCACGGGTTGTCTGTCTGTCGCCCCATGATGAACAATTTTCTTGCAGAATAGTGGGTGGGGGAGGTGGGAGAGGTTTTTTGTGCTGGACGTCTACCAGGACTGACTGGGCCATGACGCTAATGCCGGTTAGGTCATGGGTAGGTACCAATGTTTTGTGAGTAGTAAGTACTGACGGAACTGACCTCTCTGCAAATGCAATTGACGTGAATGATTCTATTATATCTTCAGGTAAAGTTTCAGCAAGGGAAGAAAAAAGAGGGAAATAACGAACGGAAGTAAGAGACTGAATCAACATTTCAGTCTGGGAGGGAAGATACATCCAATAATCGAGTGAGGTGGTAGTTTCACGCGTGGACATGGACAGCAAGTACTGACGAGGTTTCAAAAACAGAAAGATTACAAGCGCTGACTTCTGGACATGCATATCTATAAGTTTGAAGATGGTGTCTTGGTATTATTGTGATAAGAATAATTCTTAATTTGCTGGTCATGCATCGTTAAGTTCAAGTCCGACTCCGTCTAGGCGGTCCGGTCGAGATCCCCCTTTTACCACCCATACTTGGTTATATACATGTACACCATACGAGGATGACACTGGGCCTGAGGTTTCGCCTTGAATATACCAACACGGCCCCCGCATATTAAATAATCATTACCCAGCTGCTTGTCTCTCTCCTGGACATAATAGCTGACTCTCGCCCAGTCGAGACCATATCACCGCCCGCCCCTGCTATGCACTCGTGATGATAGATGAGAGTAATGGTACAAACAGATTTTGGTTTCTGGTTTGCCGCCCTAACGAAAAAGAAAAGAAAATTCGAAACTTCGAGTAAAGAATTATCTTTAAATGACCTGCCCCAATGCGTCCCTGTGATTTGGACTCCGACTGCAAAAGAAAAGAAGAAAAAACGCTTTCGATCCAGGGGGTATCTCCTCAAAACAAAGGTTCAGAATGTATGGGATATTTCCCCGCCCCTCACTTTGCCTAGTATACAGGCAGCTGGTGCTGTGTCGCCCTGGGAGTAAGCCAGAGTGGCCAATGTACAAAAGAGGTGACGGAAGCCGGAGAGGGGGGGGGGGGGGAGAAAATGTAGACAATGACGTCGGTGACGTTAACGACCATGAATATCTTCGGGAGGTCAGGCAGCTCTGGAGGAGAGAAAAGAGGCCTAGTGTCGGTGAGGTGGCGGCGTCGGTGATGAATGTGGAGGTGACCGCAGTCCCTGAGGAGGAGCTGAGGACGGTAAACCAATATCTAAGTTCCGTTGTATGCGCAGGCCGATCGTCCCGGGTCATTCAGTCGTGAAGATGAGAAGAAAGTGTTCAGAGGCATTTTATATCTGCCTGATCTGTAGGGAAAAAAAGAAGAAGAAAGGTTGGGCGAGGTATGGTTGCATATGCTGGGCGGAGGAGAATGTCGAGGTAAGGATCCGTGTGGGTTCCAGACATGTTGTTTATTGACGTGGGGAGATCAAATGCGTGTGTGCGTGTGAGAAGCCAGTAGGCGAATTAGTAGCACTGGAGAGGTTATCAGCTCCCAGAGGTCCATCCCTCCTTGACAGCAGCCACTGCCAGGCCTACGACAGCGCCGATGATGAGGAGCCCGACGAATGACATGCAGCGGTTGAGCATGCGCCACCACTTGGCGTTCTCGTAGCGGAGCTCGTCGACCGACTCGATGTGGCGGTCGAACTCGTGGGAACGGGTGCGCACCGCGAGGTCGCTGTAGCTCGAGTCTCTCTGCACCATGGCGAGAGGCGAGGGCTTCGGCAGCGGCAGCACGGCACCAATCATCCAGGCGAACGGGAAGATGAAGCCGAACACAAAGAGTACCACCTGGGCGTTACGCCGTCCAAACATGCCGCTCTCTGCCGACCAGGCCACCGAGGGCGTGTCCCAGATCGTGTAGCGCGCGCGGACATCTCGCCGCAGGTGGGGGGGACCACAGGCTTGAGGTCATCCGCCGTATGCTCCTCCGGAACCCGAACTCGTCGTTGGTGGAATCGGCTCCGATCTCCATGCTTCCCACCCTTGATGTCCGCCGGCCGTCTTGTCCATACTCCTTGGGCCTCCGCCGAGGGCTGTAGATGCCCTGAGGATAATCCTCAGATAGGGGGGATGCGCTGTGGTGTAGCATCGACCCGGGACGGCTGCTCAGGTCGGACATGCTAGAGATGGACGTCGACCTGAGGAACTTGCGCTCTCCGCTGCCGTAGTAGACCTTGGCCCAAAGGGGGATGGTGTTGCTAAAGGAACGCATGCTCGCAGACGAGTGCAGGTTCCTCTCGGAATGGTTGCCATGGGCAAACAGCTCAGAGAGCCTCGACCGCGACGGTCTGGGGCTGATCTGGTGAAGCTCCCCGAGGCCGTCGCCGTCCTCATCGTGATCCCGGATCATGCCGCGATACGGCGGGCGGTAAGAGGGGCTCGGCTTCTCGAGGGAGCCAGGCTGCGAGTTGGAGTTAGATCTGGACCGCGAGGCAGCCTCGAGCTCGGCAGCCAGTGATGAAGAGATGCTGAGCATCTGCCTGCTGTGGGAGCTCCAGCCCCGGCTGCTGCGCCTGTCGTGGCTGCCATGGCTGCCCGGGACCGATATCGATCCGAAGGAGTTGCGAGTTCCGCTGGAGCTATCGGGCTCCGATTCCGACTGCACCGTCGAGAGCTGGGAACTCCACTGGTGCGGTGTCGTCGGCAGTGCCATGGGGCCCTCTGAGTCTGGTGCCACCACTGGGCTGTCCCACTCAGCTGCCTCCCTCTGCTGGCGCTCCCGCTCCCGCTGCTCGTCGAGCTGTCTCTGGCGCTCAGACGGGCCCGGGACAGACTGTGTCGCAACCTCGTACTCGCCAGCCGGCGCATCCAGATAAGCCTGGGTGGCGAGAAAATCCTCGGACGCCTCCTCGTTGATGATAGACGAGATGGATGATTTTGTCGACTTCAGCGGCTTCTTTGTTCGGAGGTCCTCCTTTGACTTGGTTCTCGACCTGGCTGTGAAGTATCCGAACCCTTCAAGAGACGCTCTGCGAGGCCTCAAAGGCGATACCACCAAGCTCTCTTGTGAGTACTCCTCGCGCGGGCGTCGAACAACAGTACCTCCGGACTCGGCAGAGTTAGGACTGGCCTCGCGAGATGGCTCGGGCGTGGGTTCTCCGAGAACAACGTAGTTTGGCTCGGCAGCAGTAACAATACCGGACGGACCAGCCTTGGCCTTCTCTTCTTCTTCTTCTTCTTCCTCCTCCTCCTCCTCCCCCTCCTCGTCGTTGTCGTCGTCCTCCTCTGCTTCTTCTTCTTGTGTGTACAACGACGGAACGGCGGCTGACGGCGAGCCCAGGAGAGGCGCAAATGAGCCGGACTCAGAAGGCGGGTTGAAACTCTCTACAGAGCTGAGAGCAGAGCTGTTCTGTCCATAGACCACGTAGTTGGCTGACTCGGCGAGGCTGGAGGTTCCAGAGAGAAAAGAATTTGCCGGTCTGAGCTCGCGTGTGTCCTCTGCCGGAGCGGGAGACTCTGGGACCGGTGAAAGAACAGGGCTGCTGGGTCCGTAGACTCGGTAGTTAGGATTATCAGACGTCGACGATTGTGCTGATTCAAGGGACCCGATTGAGTCCTGATGTGGCTGAAACTGGGGGCCGTATGGGTTTCTCAATGCCCGCGAGGATGGCCCAATCTTGGGCGATTCGGCGAGCGCCTCGTCGGAAGCCTCGTCGTCGCTGTGCCCGTAGACCTTGTAGTTGGCAGTCTCAAAGTCTGTCGACGCGGTCTGCGCAGTGGCGAAGGATGGCTGTGGCCGGAGGTGAGGATCCACAAGGCTCTCGTCGGAGTCTTGGCCCTCCTCTCGTTCTCCCTCGGGTGCCTGTGCTTCAGGATCTGGACCAGAATCGCTGGGGTGCCGGTAGACCTTGTAGTTGGTGTTGTCAGAGCCAGTGGACGGAGTTCGAGAGCGAGCTGCTGGTGATGACTCTTGGTGGTGTTCTTCGCCTTCAGAGTCGTTGTCTGCACGGTTGTCGTCACGACGAGTGTCGGTCTCGGGTACGGCAGGCAGTGGAGTCTCGGTTGTATCAGAACCAGGCGAGTGGGCCGGCCGTTTCCCCTTGCCGTCAGGGTCAGGAAGGTTCGGCACCCTACGCAAACCCCCCACCATGCGGCCGATCCAAGACGGGGTGTTGAGAGAAGGTTCGACAACAGCAGGATGCTCAGTTATGGTCTCTTGGTAGGAGGAACCGGGAGAAGAAGGCACAGGTGTGGCAGGCGTCAGGCTGCGGTCGGGGATGGTCTCCGCCAGAGATGAGCTGGGCCGATCATAATGGCTGGACGCATAAGAGGAGACACCCTCGTGCGAGCTGGCCTGTGAGACGCGCGGCGTGGTCGGGAAGGAATGCAACTGCGAGGACCTAAGACCCAGGCCAGCATATTCGGACAACCCTGACGAGGAGCGTGGAGGATAATACGACTGTGAAGGTTTCGGATCCGATTCCCTCGGACGTTGTGGGACCAGGGAGAACGTCTTGTCCTCGTTCAGGACTGCGACGAATTTGCTCCGGCGGGAGCTGGGGCGACGCCCGCTGCCTGGGGGGGAGGAAGCTCTTGACGAGGGTGGCGGCTCGAGATCGCTGAGATGGGACGAGGTGGTAGACTGGCGTCCGCGACCAGGTACGCTGGGACCGGGGAGAACATTGGATGAAGGAGAGACAGGGACCACAGTAGGGGTCACCGCAGGGGCGGCTGTGCCATATCGTGGCTCGGCGAACGATGTGCCTTGAAATGTAGCAGACCTCCATTCTGAAACGGCATCATCCCGTCGTTTTGCCAGTTGAGGAGGTGGCCGCTCAGAACGTGTCACCGGTGGATAGTATCGTCTATTCTCACTGCTAGCAGTCGTTGTCTTCCCAACCGTCGGATCGGCCCGTCCATCGTTGTTACTGTTGTTATTATCGTCTGTGGTGCTGCTGAAGTCATGCGACTCTTCCTGCGGCCGAGCCGCCTCTGAGGAGTTGCGTGCGCGCGGAGGCGAGTACGGCACGACACGGATGGCGCTGGATTGCTGGCGTGACGGTGATCGATCCAGCTGGTCTGACGGCGCCGACATTCTGCACCAGGCCCGGTGCGACGAATGTCTTGTTCAGAAAAGCAACGAGGCCGTCGATCAAGCTCGGGACATTGCGTTTTCATGCGTGCTGCCTCTTTTTAATGCGGGCTCTCTGCTTGCTGCTGCTGTCGGTGTCCGAGCCGGCCGAATGTTCTTTTGAAGCGGCAGCCCCCCGGGACCAGTGCTGGCTCGTGAGCGACGTCGAAGATCCTGTCTCAGTTCGCATACGAGAGAAAGGCCACTGGTGATGGGTTGAGGGCTCGATCTGCCTCGAGCTGTTCCCGGAAAGGCGGTGATGTAAACACGGAAAAGCAAATAGGGGAATAAGAATAGGCGCGAGGACAATCGGGATGGGCCTCGGCAGAAAAGCGCAAGTAATGACAATACGCTATGCAATAAGAAATGTGTAGTCAGGGAAGAAAGGAAAAGGAACAAAGTAGAGAAGTCAAGGATAGACAGCAACAATAATGATATTGATGGTAGTGGGGAGGATGATGATGCTAATGACGATGAAGATGATTGAAATGAGAGGTCACATCCGCGAAATGGATGACAAGGGATGGTTTTCGAGAGATTAAAGACAGGCAGTGCTGGGTCAGCTTCATTAAAAGAGATCTGTGGTGAATCGACAGGTCGAGAGGCACGCAAATTCAATGCGATGCAGCAATGCTGGCCAACCACGAGACGACTATACCATTAACCTTTCCCCCCTTAAGGAACGTCGGGTGTGAGAACGAGGATGGCAGGAGAAGGATAGGAGGAAAGCTCGTCGAGGGCCACAGAGAGGTGCAGACGAGTAATGCCCAGTCGCGAGCCTGTATCCCCATAATTTTTCCTTCCCACTCATCGACATGATATCCACCGTCTGGTATAATTACGAGTGGGCGCTGGCGGATCATGGACACCGTTTGGGGATTAGCTTGGGGTCGCAGCCAAGGACAGCTCACCGACCATCGCGTGAAGGGGTGCATGGCTCTCCAAAGGATTGCGCCCACCAGCAGATTCTCTCCAGGTCCACAAGGTCCCATGCAGTAAAGATCCGTGCCCTGGCGCGTAGGCGCTGCATTGGTACGGTACCAACAACCATGTCGCGCGGTTCGGTTTCAAGGCCGAGCGGCTGCTAGAGATCCTGCGCGTCTCTCTGGCTCGGCCGCGGGTCATGCAACCTCCAGGAGACCTGCAGGTCGACAAACGAGCTGCGCACAAGGACCGCCGGCGTCTCAGTCCAGAAACGGATCGGCGGACCAGAGTTTACCAGCAGGATGGAAACAATAGCTAGGGTGTGCGCCGCCTCGATCTTACCTGCTTGGGTGTGTGCATAAATTACGGTCCCCCTTGAATAAGATAGACCTGGATGCGCCACATGGCAAACTTTATCCCACCCGCCACAAAAAGCCCAAACGCTTCTTCCACAGATGGGGCGTCTTCTGCTTTTCCCTCCCCCCCGCCCTCTTATCAAAGCAGATACAAGAGCTCGTGTGTGCAATTGCAATCGATCGCCGTGTCGTGATTGGGCGCTAGGACGGTACCAGATCCGATCTGGATCTGAAGAGGATAGGACGAGCTCTGATGTACACAAAAAAAAAACTCTTTCATGCATGCTTCGCTGGCTATGCAGGAGCGGCGCAGCCCAATTCAAAACGACGCACGTCGAGCCGACACGTTTGAAGGTGGCAAGTCCTCTCGATCTCGGGCCGACCATTCACCTCCATCAATTTCCGCCCAGCGCAACAAGGTGGGAAGAGAGTTAGAATAGACGCTGTCTCAAGAGCCGCCGCGTTGCAGGTCTGCCAGTTGCGCAGCAGAGGAAGGCAAGCCTCGAGCAGGAACCAGTGCAAGGGTCTCTTAGCATGCGTGGCATGGTCAATCTGGATACACAAGCGCGTGCAGGCGTTGGCGATGCAGCCAAGCGCCGGGCCAGGACTGCTCCATGCCATCCGATCGTGAATGCATTATGCTGTTCTGCCGTGTCCACTTTTCGAAGCAGGCTGTCCCCAATGATCTTGATGGATCTGCCCAGTCTCCACGACTCCTCTGGATCTGACCGGCAGTGGATGTTTCACGTCGATGAAGAAACCATCATGGGCGCCAAAGCAGGACATGGGGTACCGTGGCCACAGAGGAGCAGTATTCAGTATCACGAGAGAGCTCTGCAGTCCACATCCTGGAAGGCCCCAGCGGGTTCATTTCTGTGCCGGAAGTGGCTTCATCAGAGTAGTAGGGCGACCACACCTGCGAGACCAAGGGAAATTGAGTCTTCATGCCATTTAACATCAGTCGTGACGATGCGACTCCATGCAACCAAAAAGAGGGCGGCCACCAGTTTCGCAACGCCAGCGAATGTGGCGGTTTGAACGTTACGACTGGCTGGGTGATGGATGGCGTGTTCCCGGTACCAGCCAGTAGGGCTGCTCCCGTAGGCACACATCGCGGTGAGCACAGCGTGCTACCACCCACCAGTGATCAGCGAGACGGGACTGCTCTGTGGGGTTGCCGTTCTAGAAGCCCGCTAGAAGGTCGCTGTTCTCTATTTATAAATTGTGGGCTCTTCTCGATAGTGTAGCGTATCTGCGATCATGAAATATGGTTGACGTTGCTGGAGGTTTGGCCAATATCAGCGCTGGTGGCTTGACCTGACCGAGCTGCAGTGTCTCACGAATCTTGCTTTGGGGCCACTCACTCTTCTTTGGCTCAGACGAGTGTATTGGCACGGGTGTAGGTCAAGTCCAGTAGCATACCGAAGTAGTCAACTGAGTGAGTATAGTGTAAAATGAACAGGACATGCAAGGAGAGGCCGAAAATACAAGGGTCCATGCACCTGGTGCTTCATACGGTTTGGAGGGGATACAAGGTTGGCGAGGATCGAAAAGAAGCCGCCACGTCCTATGCGCGACTACTTCTAGGCAGTTACTGCAACAATTTGGCAATGGGAAGGAAGGTGCGATGATGACGTCTGGATGGGTTGGATTGCCCTTGCTGTTTTGATGCCCTTGCTTCTAGTAGCAGGAACGTCAAAACAATCCGATGTTGCCTAATCGAGTAGACTCTTCCTGGAATCAGAGTCCATGTCATGGAATCTTCATCGAGGCATGCTGTTTCATGTGGTATTTACTGTCGGCTCTGACGTACACACGCATTGGCTGGCAAGATAAAAATGTTCAAGATCTCGCAAGATCAACAACCGCCCCTCTAGATCGAGCGTTACTGCAGGAATCTTGGGTTTTAATATTTGGAGTAACTTGGAATGCTGCAATTCATAATTTGTGATACACAGTGTTAGAAAACAATGTGCCGTCAACCTCATCATAGACCCCCGAGCAGCTGCCGGTTAAGTATTTGCCACTTCATGCCTCCGCTCACACAGCGGCACTGTCACACTGTATGACGAACTAGTGATGGCTTGGGCTGATACTTGCCCATTTTTCTTCTCAACTTCCACCTCTCGCGGAATTTTACGTACAGGCCTGAAGTTACCCCAACGTCACACATGTGCTTCCTCGCTCTTCTTGCTAGACGGCGATATCTCGTCTAATCAATGGATCGCGTGCTCTCAGCACCAGAACCCCTGGCTCACTCCGTCCTCGTCGCCCTCTGCGACGACAACCACATCCAGACCCTCGCCCTGCAATACCTCACCGAGCTGCAGGACTACGCCGCCGCCCTTGACAGGGCCCCAAGCAAAATGGGCGATGCCAGTGGCGGCGAAGGAGGAGGAGGAGGCCCGGGCAGCTCGAATCCGAATCCTCTCAAAAGGAAGTCCATCGCCCAGCCTCCGCAGCTATGCATCCAGTGCAAGAGGGCCTTCACACTGGGTGATAACTCGCCCACGGCGTGTCTACACCACACAGGTGAGATGGACATCAACAGGGACAGCGAGGTGTGGGATGACTGGGACGAGGATGTCTACGGAATGCACGACTCGCCCGAGAGCAAGGCGGAATATCCGGAAGGATTCACGTGGTGTGAGTTGTAGCTCGAATGTGTTCTGTTCTTCTTCTTTCTTTCTTTCTTGTTTCTTTGCTGGTCTTGATTGTTGTCGGGCGTGAGCTGAATACATAGACTGACTTGACTGATGTCTTCGATCGCAGCCTGTTGTAAGGAGAACGGCACGAGGCCAGGATGTACCAAGGGTTACCACCTCGCCATCAGAAACAACCAGTTCAAGCGCTTCCGCATGCTTGAGAGGGCCATAACGAGTCCCGGAGTGGACAGGGTGTTCGAGGGCCGGCTTCTACGGCCAAACGAGTTCGTCAACGAGTCACTTGCGGAGGATTCTTGGGAGGCGTCGAATGCTCCTCGAGACTGGGCCGCCTACGACATGGCTGACAACAGTGGTGCCTCGGAGGGGGACGAGAATGATCAGTGAGGGGGAATGAACATGGTGCTGCGTCGGATGGCAAACAAGGCATGGAGGAGTTGTGATTTATACAAAATTTCGGTAGCGATCTCTCGTTCTTTCTTTCTCCTCTCTCCTTTCTGATTTTTTTTCCTTCAAAAAATGAGTGCAGCACTTATGAACTTCCTTTCTCTTACAAAACGATACCCATTCATATTACGCTTCCTTTTCGCCAAGGCAGGTTTTGCATTTGCACAGCATACAAACATAATTCCTAGTTAGCCAAGTCATATTACGGCTTGAATAGGGTGGTGTTTTTACACGGGACATTGAGCGTCGAGCCTCCTAACACTTCAGCCTCAGGAAAGACTGATGACGCTGAAGGAGATTCTGAGTTTCTAGAATAAAAGTATGTCACAACTTGTCAGGAGGATGTTGTCTCAGGGAGGCGCAGCGCATCGTATAGAGTTTCGATTGAAGCACTACTTTTCAGCTTAACAAAACATAATAAATTAAGGAACACAAAGAAATAAAAGGCTGATAGTCAGGCCCAAACCGTACCATCGTTTCCTCGGGCTCAGTCTCAAAGGCTCAGCATCCCTTCGTGCCCAATTGGCCCCCGTCTCGATTGGAAGGCTTACGACTCAGTCACCACGTTCCTCGAGCTTCCCAGCAACAACGTATTTTAGCTCTGATATTGGGTTTGGGCTCGAAAAGTCCTTCTTGACGCTCACTAGGCCTCTTCCGTAGCCTGAAAGCCTCAATTTGCGATTACCACCTCGCGAGGAGGTGGAACCATCCGAAGCCACTGTCCACGCTCGTGATTACACAGCTAGACCACCACTGCCATGTTCACAGACACAGACTCCCCCCTTTTCCTCTATAACGCTGCTATGATGGCAGACAGGGGTTGGCCATTCCAGGGAAATAGGCAGTGGACCAGTGACGCGTCCTACGTTGGTGCTGGGCAGCTGAAGCAAGTCCAACGTCGATTCCAGGGTGGTTCGGAAGATCCAGGGATTTCGATAGGGCAGCTGCGGTTGGGCATTGGCAAATTTGGCTGCATCGCTGATGGATCGTGCTGCTTCGAGGTCGAGACTGTTGAGGCGGATGCTCAACCCCCGAGCATCATTATGATCACTAGACAGCGGCCACGCAAAAGTATATGGACGGGGGGCATGATTCGAGCTGTCGATGGTCAGCCACAAGCGTAAATCCCGAAAGAGAAACAGAAACCGTTCTTACCTCGAACGAGAGTGTATTGGTGTGGCAAATGATGTGGTACTCCTGGCCTGAGGCCACAAGCTTCTGACGCTCATCGATGATCGAGGTGACGGGGGCCACCTCTCGCTTAGCCCGGCAAAGATCTTGCCGATACCCAACGTACGCAGGTACTTGCGGTACATCTCATATGCCTCCTGTGTACACCCGAAATAGATGAAGAAGACGACGACTTCTAGTGCGGCGATGTAGTTGATGTACATGCTCACGAATGGTACGACCGTCGAGGGCTACGAAATTGTCAGTGGGACAAGACTGGCTTCTTACCATCTGGGAAAGAGAAAGATTTACCATGTAGTCGATCTGGTCCCAACCTGGGCCGTGGAGCTGTGCAAAATCATAAGGCTTCGACCATGGCATACCCAGCTTGATGTTGTTGAATAAGAAGATCAGTTGCATGGGACAATACGGTGCGATGATCGTGAGAGCCATGAAGTAGAGTTTGCGTTTCGTCCTGTTGCTTCGTGCGCGTGATCCAAAGTCGCCGGAATTGTACAATGCCCTCCGGGCGATCACATCTATCTTCCTATACCGCCACCATGTGAGGCCTATGGTCAAAATCCTTTGGTAAGTTTTTGCACCCAAGCAAGTAGAAAAGCAAAAAGACATTGCAACTCACCTGCAAAGTATGCGGCAGCCACTGCGAAGATAGGAGGCGGTAAAACAAATACGGTCAGAAATACCGAGGTGCTCGTGAAGACTGCCTGGCATCCTACAATGCCCGAAATGCTGTATCTTTTGGCGATGTTGAAATAGTAAAGGACGACCTGCAGGACTGGAACGGGAATGATAATCAAGGCCTGCATCATGTTCTTTCTCGCCTTATCCCTGCGCGTCAGCTCGCTGGCTCTCATGAGCGAGACCTGGTTGGAGATGTTTTGCATGACAGCGCAGATCGCCGCCGCATTCAGGGTCTCGAGCGGGAGGAACGAGGCAAGCTGGATATCACACCACCCGTAGCCCTTGGGCCAGCTGGCGATGTCGTCGTTGTGCCAGATCACGGCGTTGAGGGCGTAGTAGAAATTGAGAATACCAACAGCGACCACCATGACCATTCCTGCAAGCTCACCGTTCTTTTGAAACAGTCTGAAAGGCACCCAGCAGGCTATGGCAGCCGTCAAGTTGATGATGGTCCTGAGAATGATGTTGGCGAGCATTCCTGGCGTTGGGCCGTAGTCCCCTCCGACATAGGCGATTGCAGTGTCGAGCTTCATAGTGAGTGGTCGAGATTGTTCGAGAGAGACTGGAAAACCTAGCTTGGACGCCCTGTGCACGGTGGGCTGTGGTGATGTGTAGGTTTTGGGTAGGAAGATTCTGAAGAGTTGAGCTTGACGACTTTGAGAATCGGCAGCGCAGTCAGGAAAACTGAGAATGAGACGCAGCATAAATCAATCCTGGTTATCAGCAGAGAAAATGATCAACGAGGAAGGGTTTTTGGCTCATGTGGACTAGATAGAGTGAAGCCATAATTTTTCAACGGCCACATGAATAGACATAGCTATTCAGGGGGGAAGACCTAACGTAGTTATTGTTGTGGAGAACGGTGTCTGGTGTCTATTGTTTCGAACACCGAAGATAGTGTCTGGAGCTGATGACATCGTTGTTGTGTTCTATCGACAAGTAAAATTATTGAGAGGTGAGTTTATTGTTTACCTATTGAGAAGTGCAGCTCTGAGCTGGGGCAGTTAATTCTCATATTCGAGAGATTGCTGACGTGCCGGCAGACGACATCTGGATCCGTATCTTCTTGAGTGTAATCGACATGCCCATTGTTGGACTAAGCAAACAACTTCGCCTCCATAGGCTGGATCTCGGGAAAAGGTATGTCGGTTGATACGTATACCCCTTCGTCCCAGTCTATCCATCCTTTCCGTGAAGGAGTTTCGTCACCTGCAGGCGCTGTTGAAGAGATAATTCACGATGGACGACTGGCTCCGGCGAGTTGTAATCAACAATATATGTATCCTGGGCACACTGTACCAAAAATTGATAGTTCTACCCCACGTTTGCGATGTTGATGCTTGCCTAAAACCGTTTGAGGAGGGCACGCCTGTTGAATGTTGCCAGACGGCAACTCAAGACACTACATGGCGTTTTGAGGTGAACTGTCGCGAGCAGGGATCTCCTACAGTATTGGCCAGGGCAGGCCTACTTTGCCTGCTCTCTCCAGTATATGTATCTAGACTTTTCTTTTGTCCTCTTCATTTCTCCTCAACTGAAGGAGCAAGAGATAATGCCTATTTCTCTCAACCATTGCACCGCGCTGCTCGTCCCTTGAACTCATACGATCCAATAAGTTACAGCGCTTCCAACTCTGGAAACCCTCAAGTATGTTGGAAATACTGTCGAAAACGGTCATTCCAAAAATTCCTAGACATCGAAATGAATTCACTGACGAGATCGCGAAGTTGCGAAAATAAATGGGGATGTCCACTTGAACACACCCAGTGGAAACGCTACCACAATAACGGGGCTGAGCTAGTGCTGGGTGGAGGTCTATGCATCTACAAGGTAGAAGAGCTTCCCTTGAGAGGGTTCGCGTCAGAAGCCGACGCGCGCAACTTGCGACAGCTGCGGTTCAAATTTCCCCAACACCAACCAAATCATCGCAAAGCAAGACCACAGACGCGCCCTCACACGAAGCCGACCAGCTACCACCCTCACGTCTCGGAGCCAATTGCGCCCAGCTCAAAACATTCGTCAAGATGTCGTCCTTCCTCGCCCGCCGCGCAGTCGCCGCCCCCCGCATTGCCCGCGCCTTCAGCACCACGCCCGCGCGCCCAGTTGCCAAGATCACCATCGTGGGCAACCTCGCCGGCCCTCCTGAGCTGCAGGCGACATCAACCGGTCGCGAGATTCTCAAGTACGCCGTCGCGTCCAACCAGGGCCGTGGCGAGAATGCCAAGACATCCTGGTTCCGCGTGACGGCCTTCGAGGACGAGGGCCCGCGCCGCGATTACTTCCAGAGCCTGCCCAAGGGGTTCGTTCTGCCCCTCTTTTGCCCCATCATCTTACCCCGCCTATCCGGAGAAAAAAAACCAAAAAAAAAAAACCATGCGCGTTGTCGGAAGAGTGCAGCATTGACAATATGTGCTGTAACAGGACTCTGGTTTACCTCGAGGGAGAGGCGAGTATCAGCACTTACGACGACGAGGGCAAGACCCGGAGCTCGCTCAGTATCGTTCAGCGTGAGTAGTCCTGGCCCAGAATAGGCGTCTCCTGCCTTGAACCCATCTCAGTGCTGACTTTTCTGGGTGGTAGGCAACCTGGAGGTCCTCCGCAGACCCGCGTCGGCCGGCCCTGAGGAATCTTCGAGGTAAGAGGCCGTACTTCGCGCCTACGGCCGTGCATTTCGATTCGGCCTGTATAGGCCATGAAACACCTTGGAAGAGATAAAGGGATTGATGATGATGATGAGGAAATGCGAACGGGCTCTGTGTCGGAATCAATCACTTTATTCTTCTTGTCGCGCTCGTCTCTCCACTCTGCAGATAACTGGTCGCATTCGTCATAATATGTCTTATTGATTGATACCTTTCGCGCGCCCATGGACGGTGGACGGAATTGGGGTAGAGAAGGGAGTCCAGGCATACCAAGTTTTATATAAATATTTTTCTCACGTCACTGTCACCTTTTTTTACCATAGCTGTGAATGCAATCTGCCGCCCCCCCCCCCTGGTCAATTGGCTATGAGCTGCACACTTTACCGAGCAAGGTACAGATCAATTTCTGCTTAGTTCTTCGAGATTATGTGAATTGCTTTTGTCTTAGACAAGGTTACATGAATCCATGCAGCCGAAGCCAGCAGCGACGCCTCCCTCCTCGCTCTGATCGCCCTTGGTCCGCAGCAAGTATCCTGCCTCCTCGTTGTGCAAGATCTCGCCGGTCTTCTGGTCCCAGACACAGCTACCATAGATGCCCAGCTCGCAGATGACACCGCCCTGCTCCAGCTGCCCGTTGCGCAAAATAATGTTCGTGACCGCCGGCGGCGTGATCAGCTCCATCAGGATGTACGACTTCCAGTGCGCCTCGGGCAGGTCCTTCAGGAACGGCGGGATCGCTGCCTTGTAGCAGTTGTTTCCGCCGCCTTCTCGCTGAGGTTTGAGCACGTACCGCTTGCACTCTTCCGGGTCGAGCGCGAGCTTCCGCGCCGCCTGTCCGGCTGTGCTGTCATCCATGGGAAAGATGTTGGTGAAGGTCGCCCACAGGTCTCTCCACGCCTGCGAGCTCTCAGGGACGAACCTGCTCAGCTCGGAGGACGACGCGGAGTCCAGCTTGGGCGTGGCGAGAACCTGCTGGACCTTCTTCGCGCCGGCGAGCTGCGTGAGGACGGTCGGGCATTTGATCGCTGCGGACCGCTCAAGGTGATACCTGGCGTCCCAGGCGCTGGCGTCTGGGTAATCGGCAGGGCCATAGCCGGAGCGCATGTAGATGACGGCGACCTCAAATTCCTTATCGGGATTGCTGGGCAGGCGGTAGAGGAGTTGGCGCTTTGGGGTCTCGGCGATGCGCGTGCGCTGGAGTATCTCGCTGAAGGGCAGGCGGAAGACGGGAATGCGTGGGGAAGTAGTCTTTTTAAGGGCGTACTCGAGGTGTCGCTGGTCGAAGACATTGCGCTCGCCGTCTTGCACGAGGAATATGATGCAGGTCTCGAGGCCGAGTTCTGAGGAGGAATAGGCATGGAAGGCAGCTCTCATACCGGCTGCTAAGCCTTCGATGCTGTCATTTGGGGGTAGGTCTTGCTTGGTGTGTGCCCCCGGCTGCTTGACGTAGGGGTACTCGGTGTCGGCGAGGAACCTATCGCCAGCCCTCAGTATCCTACCTGGTTCGTGTGGTTCTGTATTGCATGAGACTCACCTGTGTAGAAGACATGTCTGAGATGACAAGCCGCCGAATGAAGAGGCGATGGTGTTGAACTCAACCTGTTTGATCTTTGGCCCGGCTGATAGGTCTGACGTGTCCTGATGGACCATGTAGTCGGATCGGAATAGCCCTAAAGAGAGGTTCTGTGTGAATGGTCAGAGCTGATGGTCTGCCCTTGGATCTGAGACTGCACTCGCCTGGACATAGCCCTCCTCCTTGACTCTGCAGTGAACTTTCCACAAGTTTGCAATGAACTCGTCCCCATCGGCAACCCTACCCTCCGTAAGCTTGAATGCTAGACAGGATGACTCGAATGGCTTGTCTACTCACTCCTTGACGACGAGGCATAGAAACTCTTCATCCTGGCTGACTTTGGCATACAAGTCATTGTATGCCTTCTGGACAGCCTTGGCCTGATCAAAGCAGACTCGTGGAAACGGACTGGGAAACAAGGTGACAGGGACGCTCGTCGCAAGAACCCCTTGAGGATCAGAGTCGGCTGAGACCAGAGCAGGTGGTGGGCGGACTGTCAATCCGTTGGCAACCGTCCAGTCCTTGATGACCTCGACGAGCCTACCCCTCTCAGCAGCATCCACAGCCGGAGGGTAGGTGTCTGGGGTGAGATCATGGTTGACCATCTCCGCCTTGAGTATATTCTTTTTCACACGCAGCCTATGTTAGTCTCTTACTCTTGTAGTGGTTCGAAAGAATCCATGAGCGTTGCCTGGAACTAACCGAGGGTCCTTGGAGCGGCTTTTAACCACCCTCCAAAGCAAGGAGCGTTCTTCGAGGCAACGACTACCGGCAAATATGGAGCACTATGTTGCAGGTGATTTCTGGAAGAAGAAGAAATAGTAATCTCTTAGATGGAAGGGTAAGTAAATGACTGGATTGATCTCAAGATTGAACACTTGAGAGCAACGGGACGTCCGTCCTTTTGGAAGGTGCAATGGTTTCTAGGTATTATTAATCCCTGAGCGGCTGGCCTCCCGAGTCCGGAGCTCACGATGCAGCGGAGGCAGGACTAGAGCATCTACTGAGGATCACTTGAAGTCGAGTGCCATCCTTTGACAAAACGTAACAAGAGACTGTTGAACATCTGATGACAATGAGGCTAGTTCACTGTACAAGTAATTCTACAATTATGGACAGAAACGTGCAACTAGTCAATTCCTTTAATCATTTTTTAAATACAGACTTGCCTGCTGATTTGTCTAGCACAGGTGCGGCTTGCTCCCCCAAAATCTTTCTCAGTAGCCAACCCTAAGCAACCCTTATCAGCCCTGAAATGGTGGGTCGCATAGGGCGGTTACAGGAGCTTATCAGCACATGCCCCTCCATGAGTACTCACGGTCCCGCTTGCGCCCCCCCCCCTGCAACAGCTCTACCCGCCCACGCCATATTGAGGGGTGGGCTGTGGCCTAAGCCCAAGGCTCCAGCACCTCGTCATGCTTCATTTGCCCACTGTTACCATTGACAAAGTCGACATCACTGCAGCAACCTTTGTTAATGCTCCTTCACGCAACCTCAACAACTTGTCCATAACGCGCTGTCTATCCCTACTCCACTTTGGATCCCTTTCACTCTCTTCTCCGATGTTCATCCAAGTATCTTTGCCCTGCAAGCGTGATTGTTCGTCTTGAATTCTTCTGATCAAATCTTCGACCCAACTCTCAGCACCAAAGCGCACCCCACCAACCCACAGACAAGCTTGATGGACTTTTCTTCTCCTTTGATACCTGCATCGCCTGTCATATTGTCTACAATCTCTTGAGCAACACTTGCAGACAATCTCAATGCTGTCTATGACTCATGGAGCGCGCATCCATCAACACCAAGTAAGGCTGTCCCTACCACGAAGCCTCTTTTCAGAGAGGCCAAAAAGCCTAGGACTGACAGCGTATGCAGCTTTTCTGACCTTTCTTCAGCCTATAGCACCCTGCGTTGGCCTGCTTATTCTTAAGGCTCTCTTTCCAGGCAAGTACATACTGGCCCAGAAGCACCATCACCCTTTCATAATCAACCCAAGATCAAACCAAGCTCTGCTTCAAACTTGGGTCGATGTGAACATTGCAGACACCCACCTTCCTCTTGCCCAATATCTGCCTGCCACCCACCCAGTGGATCCCAGGCAGTGAATCACTAGTGGGGTACACTTCTACATATTATCCTCTTCAGCCCTGTATCTGCCTGTAGGCAGAAGTCTTAACAACTTTCTCAGGACACACACAGCTGCAATAGCGCAGTCTGCCACCTAGTCCCCCAGACAGAGACAAAGGCGAGAAGCTGGTTGTCCTGTTGCAACACTACAGCAGCTAACCCCAGACACAGACCCTCCACGGTTCATACCTCGATTCAGCCCAGATGGCGGGGCTTTCAGACGATGATCCCTTCACTTGGGATATCGAACGCGTCGTGAAAGAGCTCTGCACTGCTGACTACACTTGGACACCCACCGCTCGCTCCCGACTGCCAGACCCCATACACTTGGAAGCAAGACTTCGAGCATGCGAGTATGATGGCGAAGTGCTGTTGGACTCGATGGATCATGCAGCTGAGCTTTGGGCTGATCTGGGTATCACTGCTACAAAGCATAAGATGGCCCTTCGTACTGCTATTCAGCAATTCCGCACAAGGAGCCCTTTGTACAGTGCGTACAAGAAGTCATTGCACAAAGATCTCAATGACGAGACAGCTGTCAAGGAAGACAATCGATCTTTGTCCTGCACACTGAAGGATGTCACTGCCCTTGATTCTGTACCAGATACGATAATCAGCAAGCACTCATCTCACTCCTCCTCGCTTGCTGCCCAGAATGATGCAGACGACATACAAGTCAGCCACAGTGGCAATCCAACTGAGCCATCCAAGAAGAAGCGGCGCTTGAACCCGACACAACTCATCACTGTCGATCAACCTCCTCAAGATAGTCGCTTCAGTACGGTGCCCATTTCGACGGAGGCTGATGTAATCAGAGCATCTATGGCAGCTACGAAACCATCCGTGCTGCCCTCAGCGCCCTCCAACGAGCTGTTGGCCCAGGGCGTCAACTCTTCAAGCGAGCCCGACCATTTCCAATCCAGTCTTCTGAGCCTACCAGGAGCCTATTGGGGTAATGGAAAGTTCTCTTTTGTCGACATTATCAGTTTTAATGAAACGATCGATGACGATGCCCAGTTTGGGTGGGGCCGACCGAAGCTTTTCGGCCGAGCCAGAAAGAGATATGTCAATGGGCTGATGAAGCGATACCTTCGTAACCCCAACAGCTTTAAGGCCGACGGGGACGACGATGAGTCTGCTCTACCTGTTTTCGGAGAATCTGATGACGACGACAATCCTGAATGGCAAGAGATTGATCACGAGATTGAGGAGGAAGAAGAGGAGGTCCGTCGAGAGCAGGAACGTGGGCTGGCCAAGAAGTCCCAACTTCAACCCTCCCAGGTTGATACCTTTATTGGCCAGATGGTCCAAGAGTACATCTCTCGCTGGCAGGAGAATAAGCTTCCAGTACGGCAGCGCCAGGCCTTCTCACTATGGGATAAGGCTCGTCGGAATGGCACTCGCAATAGCCAGGTTGTCAAACTGACTGATTCCCTGCGAGCTGCAGACATACGTCTGTCCAAGTGGCTCGAAAATCTCAAGGACAACACATACTCAAATGAGAACGAACTTCGCCACATGGGGCCTATTCTCGAGCCTACCATTGATGACATCCAACAGCTCAAGTGGCACATCAGCGTCCTGCAGTTGCGGGAACCTCCCGAGAAGATAAAGTCGGCACCGGTACCCAAGCTTGCGCCTACGAGGAAGCGGCCTTCGATGTCTGACAATGACGGCATAGATATATGGGACGAGGACGAGCTGGACGACTTCATTGTGGACGATCCTATTCCCGAACCTGAAGATGAGGACTTGATGGCTGATGACCTCGCGGGTGCTGCGATGGACATTGACGATCTAGCGGCCTCCGACATACCGAATATCAACACAGGACACAGTTTTACGTCCATGAGTGACGGTGATATTCCGATGCATGACCTGACGGAGGTTGGCCCATCGAACGCTCCCATTGACCTGCGCACCCCTGATAAGCCCTTGCAGCTCCGAGCCGCTTCAGACGATGATTTCCCCAAGATTCACTCTCTGGAAGCCATTGTCGATAAGGGCACGGAATACTGGGAGTTGAGGTCACACTACAAACATCTCATCATCACCCTCATTTGGTTTTGGCCACAACAGCGAAAGTCGAGCGTTTTCAACGCCATCATCTACTCGGACAATTCAGAGCAGGTCTGGAATGACCTCATGAGTCAACTGACACAAGACTCTCGCAGAACACCCACAAAGAATAGCCCGGGGCGGTCGCGTCGTGAGACCGGGACCCATTTGGCACGGCTCTTCGACACATTCATTGGCACAATCACCCCTCGCACATCTGAACAGTCCAGCAGCACTGATAAGACAGCCTTGGATAAGCTGACTATGGAGCGGATCAAACAGAATAAGGGATTGTTCGATAATTTCTACTGTTTCCTCACGAGAGTTGCCCGCTATTACGGCTTCACACGAGTCGACAAGGATGTTGTGTCTCCATGCGATCCAGATCTTAGCTACAGCACGCAAGGGTCGAACATGACTCCTAGCCAACGGGCCAAGCTCATAAAGCAGCAGAAGCAGGCCAAATCGGCTCGCATTCGCCGGGAAGAGCAGAGCAGTTCCCAGAATATCGAGGCCCGCAAACTCCAGTTCAGACAACAGTTGGAGAGTTCAGCGCTTGTTCCTAAGGAGAAGAGCCGACTCATCATCAACGAGTCGAAGGATGATGGCAAGGGACTCATATTCATAAACAGCCACATTTCGCCCAGGATCCAAGACCACCAGATTGATGGCGTTCGTTTCATGTGGGACGAGATCACCAAAAAGACGAAGCAGGGATGCTTACTCGCACACACTATGGGCCTTGGAAAGACCATGCAAGTCATCACTCTGCTGACTGCTATCGCCGAAGCCGGGAAGTCTGAAGACGAGTCCATCTCGTCACAGGTACCAGAGCATCTGAAGGACGCGAAGTTCCTCGTACTCTGTCCAGCTTCTCTCTTGGATAACTGGGTGGAGGAATTCGGATTCTGGGCTCCACCCGGTGTTCTCGGAGAGATCTACTATTTCCAGGCTTCCGACATCCCTCAGATGCGCGCCCGGACCATCAAGACCTGGGCCAAGACTGGTAGTGTCCTTGTGATGAGCTATACTCTGTTGCGCAGTCTCGAGGACCAGACGGATGGCAAGGAACTTCAACGCCTGATTTGGGATACGCCTTCTCTTGTCGTCGGCGACGAAGCTCAGAACTTCAAGAACTCAAAGTCCAAGACTGGCATTGTTGCAAGCCAGTTCAAAACCACCAGCCGCATCGCTTTGACTGGCTCCCCTCTGGCAAATAACGTTGAGGAGTACTACTCGATGATCAATTGGGTCTCTCCTGGATTCCTGGGCGAGCCAAGCGAGTTCGCAACGAACTATGCTAGGCCTATTGAAGACGGACTGTGGAAGGGAAGCGATGCCGCTATGAGGAGAAGAGCCAAAATCTGCCTTGCTGCTCTCAAGAAAGTGGTAGAACCCAAGGTCCAGAGAAGGACGATCGCCTTCCTCAAAGACAGCATTCCCCCGAAAAAGGAATACATCATCTATATCAACCTTGGGCTGATCCAGGAGGCTGTATATCAAACCTACGTCAAAGGCGTCCTGGGAGAAATAGGAGGGAGGAAAAACCTTTCTGTTACATCTGTTTGGAGCCTGACCGCTGCTTTGAGGCTTCTTCTAGCCCATCCATACATTCTTCAGAAGAAGCTACAAGAGAAGCAAGCAGATGAGCAGCCCAGAGAAAAGAAAAAGGGCTCGCCAGTTGACGAAACGGACGCCAGTCTCTCTGATGCATCAGATACAGTGAAGGCCCTGGTGCTGGATGTCCTGAAAGCCCAGCAGACCTCCGAGGCCATCGATTCCTCGCAGAAGATGCTTGTGTTGGACATGATTCTTGAGGAATCAATGAGACTGGGCGAGAATGTCTTGGTTTTCTCACAAAGCCTCGATGTCCTGGACTTTGTCGAGCATCATCTTTGCGCAGCGAAGAATCGGGCTTACAAGCGGCTCGATGGCAAAGTTTCTCCTGCCTTGCGGCAGGGTCTTGTGAAAGAGTTCAATCGCAACAAGTCGCAAGCATTCCTCATCTCGACGACAGCTGGAGGTGTTGGTCTCAACATTCATGGTGCCAGTCGAGTCGTCATTCTTGATTTCCAGTTTAATCCTGTACACGAGCAGCAAGCCATAGGGCGGGCGTATCGTATAGGACAGACGAAACAGGTGATTGTGTACTGGCTCATCTGCGGCGGATCGTTTGAGAAAACGATGCACAATCAACAAGTGTTCAAAAATCAGCTGGCCTCGCGTGTGGTGGACGCCAAAAACCCCTTGTCCAAAGCAGACAACAATGTCTCAACCTGGTTCAGAGACTATCAAAAGCATGAGGCCAGGGATAAGACCGCTTTTCGAGGCCAGGATCCAGTCTTAGACGCTCTGCTCAAGTGTGATGTTGTCAAGGGAATACCATGGATTGAAACTACAGATACCTTTGAGGAAGAAGAGCTGGACAAAGACCTGCCCGCAGACGCACAACAGGAGGCTGACCAAATGGCTCATCGACAGCAAACAGCTGCTCAGAACTCGGGAAAGGCAACTCCATCCCAGCAATATGGTCAAGTACGGACTTTACACCCTGCGCCTTCCCCTGGTCACCACACAGAAGCCTCAGCGCAAGGAGTGGGCCATGAGACCGGTCTTGCTTTCGAAGGCTATGACACATGCATGGACTCAGGACAGATTCGCGCTCTCTCTGCGCTTCCTAGCACTGGCATGAGAACTATGCCTGCTGGGACAGATGTTGGCCTTGTATCGACTCATGGCTCCGAGTGGAACACACAGACTAACGAATCCACCACGCAGGCACCTTTCAGTGTCCTATCAGGACCGTATCAGGGCAGACAGAAGCCAGCAGCGGTGCTGCCTGATTTTGGCTTGCACCCCGCGACTCTGACAATGCGTGGCCAGCATTCCCAGCAACCAGTGATGCAGTCGCATGATGCTTCTGTTGTAGCTTCTCTTGAGCGGCAGCCTTCTTTCTCTTCCCAGAATGAACCCCCGACGTTTGGTGCTAATGGGGAATCGCAGCAAAATCCACAGTCGATGGCCACGCATCTGAATGCGTTTCCAGCGCAGCCAGCAGCTCCTCTTCCCTTTGGCATGCCCCGGGCTGGCAGCGTCCAGCAGGATGTGCATCGAAGGCAGCCAGCGCCCCCTCCTGCCTTTGGCATGGATGGGGCTGCCAGCAGGCAGCAGCAGAATACGGCCGCAACTCCTGTCAGCCTACCAGGGGAGGCAGCAAGGCCTATCACAATGGGAAATACCCAAGAGGGACGCACTTCACGTGTTCAGGACTATGGGTTTCTGGCCAAATCCCGGATAGAGGAGGAGATGAAAGGTCATCTAAGCCCAGAGGAGGATAGCCGATTCGGCGTGATCAAGGAACATCTGCAAGCGCAGGTGCAAATGGCCAAGATGGGGGGCATGGAGAAGCACACGGTGTGGAAGAATCTCGGACGGCTTGTCAAGACCTATCCGGACAGCCTGGCCTATCTGGAGGTGGCTGAGCCGGCGCAAGTCGTTGCCCTCCTTCTGAAGGGCGGCAAGTCAGAAGAGTCGATGCACGCCATGCTTGTTGATCTTACCAAGAAGCCCAACACCCCGACCACCAAGACGAGGGAGCGGGACCCTGACGTAGGCGACCCTTTTCTTTAGCTTTGAAACATCTTCAAAATGAGCCGGAATATGCACGAGAAACGTGCATTCGGCATATCGAGTTGAGACCTCGACTAACTTTCAGGCACAACCTTTCAGCATGTTAACAAAGTTCTCGGGCGAGCTTCTAAGGATGGCAAGGGCGGGAACAGTGCAAGCAAACAACAGGCGGCGGATCTGGCGGCGGTGCACGAGATAATTTCTCGTAGACAAAGCAGAATGACCAGTGAAGGAGGGGCACGGCAGACACAACGAGGTCTGTCCGGACGTGGTGGCTCAATATCCGAACCGTTGGTTATTGACGACTGAAGATTGATGATTGCTTCTGCGTCCACCATAGCCCCTTCCCCTTCCCCCTCACCTTCGCTTTTCTTTCCCTTCCTTTTTTCCCCTCCCTATTTTTTCTTCCCCCCCCCCCCTTTACTGCATGTTTCTTTTCATTTCCCTGGTTCTTGATTTTCGGCGTTTCGTTCTACGATACCCCCGGCTGTCCAATGTACAGCTCTACAGGATCTTCAGGCGGTTTCGAAGATGGACACGCGGGCGCATACCTGTTACGATGGGAGAGGGGTATTTTAGTAGGCCTGCGGGTTCCTCTGTCGGACTCATTTGTGGGCGTATGTGTGTGTGCGTGGGGAGAGAGGGACAGGGATGCTCGGTTTGGGCTGGCGTATTCGGGTTTCTCGCCTCGCTATGACCAAGTGACCCAGGCCTGGAGGGATGTTGTATGTGTATTTGATTGATACTGTTCATGGGCATTGGAGGAACACGGAATGGCTGGAGGAACTGGCTGATAGGTTCTGATCCATAGGACCTCACACGAGCTCTACATCTACAGCCGAACAACTCCAATTGACGAAATTTTAACAAGTGATGAAGTTACCTAAAAGTTCAGGTATTGACTCGAGCGATGCTTTGAGAGGATGTTGCTTCCGTGATGGATGGCGGAGAGTTGCACCGGTCCGAAGGCGGCGCCGGTGGGGGGGGAGCGGGTTGGGTTTTTAATGTATGTTCCTCCTTTTTGCCTGTGCGTGTGTGAATGCTACGGTACATAACACTTACTATGTATTTAGTACCCTCCAAGCGGAAAAGGGTCTGTTTTTGTTGTGTACCTGCATAGACGTTGTGTTGCGATCTGGCCTATTATTGCTTGGCTTAGCGACACGTACGGTACCTCAGTCTGCCTCCCCCCCCCCAATTTTGGAGGGGTTCCTTCAAATCTACAGACCGAAGTGGACAAAAGTGTGTGGGGCAAGAGCCAATGGGCGCAAGGGTGATTACGCCGACAGAGCCGAGTCAACGAGTTCTTTCCCCAGGATACACGAAGCAGATGCGGTTAGACCAGGAGGTAGAAGGTGGGGTTTTTTCTTTCTTTTTTTCTTCTTCTCTTTCTCTTCTCCCATGCCAGTACTACATACAGTATCCACCCCTCGCATGATACTACCGTAATACATTACATAGTGTGCAGCAGATGTAACGGAGGTCCGAGGCCATAGTACATACGTGTCTTTTAACTGGCTTCCAAAAGAAGAACGAGTTTCTGAGGGAGCGAAAGGCGTTTTCTTCATCTGGACAAGCCAATTGAGGAGCGGGTACTGTAGTAGACCATGCACATACTGTTTCGCCTCCCCACCAAACAAGCACCAAACAAGGGCGTGTAGTACTATTATATTATAGGATATGTAATAATATAATACACTATATGGTACGAAGATCGTTCTGAACCGGATCCTCGGGTGATGGTGGAGGAGGAAGAGGAGAGGCGGTCAGGACGAGCGCCACTGTTGATGGAGAACAATTGATTGATGGAGTGAATTGAATTGATGAGTGATGAGTGATGAGTGATGACTGAGGTACTCGGCTAGTTTGGTTATGAAACTTTTCGGAGTCATCAGTTAGTAGTAGCCCCTCATCCCGAGGCTTCGTCCCCCTTCCCGACCCTCCGACCTAACTAATTTTCAGCCTCCTCCTCCTCGTCTTCCTTGTCCTCTGCTCCTCCTCCTTCTTCTGCCGACCATCCTCTCTCCCTCTCTTGCTTTCTTCCCTTTTTCTATCCTTACTCCTTGATTACTATAATCACACCAGCCTACCACGAACATTTTCAACACATACGCCAATTGTTGGCCTTGATTTTTCCTTCCAGGCCAGTTGCCGCCCCCCCGCCCCTTCAATCATGGACGCTGTTCTGCGTCAGTCCAAGGCCATGTGCCCCTTCATGAAGAAGGCCTCTCCTGCCACGCTGCGGGCCCTGTCCACCTCGACCCGACAGGTGCGCCCCCAGGTCGCCTCGCCCTGCGGCGGCACTATGTCCAAGCTGCAGCTGCTCGCCCACCGCTGCCCCGTCATGGGACAGGCCCTCGCCGTCCAGTCGGCCAAGTTTGGCCACATGAGCGGTGGCGGCATCGTCGCTGGTCACCACCGTCATCATCAGCAGCATCATCGCAGCGGAAAGCTGGGCAAGGCGCGGGGTCTGCACTCCAGCCGCAGCCAGGAGGCGAGGGCCGTCGAGAGCCCTTTGTTCACGCGCGAGAAGAGTATGTACCAACTTCCGTCGCTTTCCCCCCCCCCCCTCCCCTCCTTCTACTGGACATGTTTCACTCACCTCTTTGCGTCTCCGGAAAAAAAAACAGTCCATTCCGCTCCTCTCAAGGCTTCCCCCACCGCCTGTCCCGCTCACACCAACAAGACCGCCGATGGCAAGTTCAATTACGAGGCCTACTACGAGGCCGAGCTGGACAAGAAACATAAGGACAAGTCGTACCGCTACTTCAACAACATCAACCGGCTGGCTAAGGAGTTTCCACGCGCCCACATGGCCAACCGTGAGGAGCGCGTCACCGTTTGGTGCGCCAACGACTACCTGGGCATGGGCCGCAACCCGCACGTCCTGCGCTCCATGCACGAGACGCTCGACGAGTATGGCGCCGGCGCCGGCGGCACCCGCAACATCTCGGGCCACAACAAGCACGCCGTCGAGCTCGAGGCCACCGTCGCCAGACTGCACGCCAAGGAGGCCGCCCTGGTCTTCTCCAGCTGCTATGTCGCCAACGACGCCACCCTCGCGACCCTGGGCAGCAAGATGCCCGACTGCGTCATCCTGTCCGACAGCCTGAACCACGCCTCCATGATCCAGGGCATCCGCCACTCGGGCACCAAGAAGGTCGTCTTCAAGCACAACGACGTGCAGGACCTCGAGGCCAAGCTTGCCGCCCTGCCCCTTCACGTCCCAAAGATCATCGCCTTCGAGTCCGTCTACAGCATGTGCGGCTCCATCGGCCCTATCGAAAAGATCTGCGACCTGGCCGATAAGTATGGCGCCATCACCTTCCTCGACGAAGTCCATGCCGTTGGCATGTACGGGCCGCACGGCGCTGGCGTCGCCGAGCACCTCGACTTCGACGCTCACAAGCAGGGCCGACCCCAGGGCACCATCATGGACCGTATCGACATCATCACGGGCACGCTTGGCAAGGCTTACGGCTGCGTCGGCGGCTACATCGCTGGCAGCGCCCAGCTCGTCGACATGATCCGATCCCTCGCGCCCGGATTTATCTTTACCACCTCCCTGCCCCCGGCCACCATGGCCGGCGCCAGGACCGCCATCGAGTACCAGATGGACTACCACGGGGACCGCAAGCTCCAGCAGCTCCACACTCGCGCCGTCAAGGCCGCTCTCGAGGAGCGTGACATCCCTGTGATCCCCAACCCGAGCCACATCATCCCCCTCTTGGTGGGCAATGCCGAGGTCGCCAAGAAGGCCTCAGACCTACTCCTGCAAAAGTACCAGATTTACGTGCAGAGCATCAACTATCCGACGGTGCCCGTCGGCCAGGAGCGCCTGCGCATCACTCCCACCCCCGGCCACACCAAGGAGCTCCGGGATCACCTTGTCAACGCCGTCGAGGCCATCTGGACCGAGCTCGATATCAAGCGCACCTCAGAGTGGGCTGCCGACGGCGGGTTCATTGGTGTTGGGGAGCCCGGTCTGGCCGCCGAACCGCCGCTGTGGACCGACGCACAGCTTGGCATCGAGGAGGGCGTCAAGGAGATCAAGGCCCAGCACGCGCAGGAAGGTGTCCAGATGAAGAGCGGTGGGGTCCTGGAGATGCTGCTGGAGCGTGAGATGATTGCGAATCGGCCGGTGACCGTTGCCGCCTAAAGAGGACGAAGAGAGAGAGAGAGAGAGATTCTCAGTCTTTCCTTCTCTCTCAAAACTCTTCCTCGTTGCTGCCTTTCTGTATTTGTTGTTGAAAGAGAGAGAAAGAGGCGCGCTCACCGGACCGGAATCACCTTCATTCGAGCGGCGACAGGCAAAAACAAGCCAAGGACTGACCATACCGTTCTGATACTCTGAAACTGGAAACCTCCCATGTTCAGATCTTTATGCTCGAAGGCTCTTTCTCTCTTTCGCTGCTCCTGGGCATACTGGCAGTTGGTTCTCCAGCTGCTGGTGTATCCCGAGCCGGGGGAGGGGGTGGGGATTCTGGAGGCATTTGAAAACAAACCAACCATATTATATATAAAAAAACATGACCTACCTAGGCATATATTAAAGATTGGCCGTCGCTTCCAAGTAAGCGACTTGACTGCCACCAAAAAAAAAAAAAAAAAACACAATACCGTGTTCTGACCGTGATGATGGCGTGTGATTGATTATATTCATGGTGAATTCGTCTTTGTCTATCTTCTATGGGACTTTGTATGCTTGCTGCCAACATGATGATAATAACAACTTCTCCGTCAGCGTCTCATATCCTCATGAGCATCAGGCCGACCGAGCAGGCGCAGTAGGCACAGGCACACGACGATGCAGCCTCGACACAATCTCGACATAATCCGGCTCGTTCTCGTCCGTCACGATGCCATGCCTCACGAAAAAGTCAAGCAGCACCAGCGCCGTGTTGGCCTTGAACTCCCCCCTCGCCATGGCGGCCCTGACCGTGTCCAGATCCCACAGGTAGAACTGCTCGACCTCGTCGTCGCGCGGGCGGGGCACGACGGCCTCGGCCTGGTCGGCGGGGATCTCGAGGTCGTAGACGTAGATGACGTCCGGGCAGCACAGGCCCGTGTCGTAGCCGCCGACCTCGGCCTGCTGGTCGCCGGCGCCGGTGCGCGTGACGTAGGTCAGGGTGCCGGCGGCCCGGGCATGGCGGCTCACAAAGTCGGCCGGCAGCGAGGCCTCCTCGTCGGCCTCGTGCACGATGCACTCGAGTGGGGTCTCCTCGGCGCGCGTGCCGCCTGCCACGGTGTTGTCGAGCATGCCTGGGTACGTGGCCAGGTGGCTGCTCCGGCGGGGGATCCAGAAGCTGTAGGCGCCTGTCGCGGGGTGGCGGAGGTAGACGGTCATGTGGGCGCCTCTGTTGGCGATGCCGAAGAGCGGGGCTGCGGAGCGGCGCATCTGGATGAGGCTGCTGCTGTTGTTGTTGTTGTTGTTGCTGGTCTTGTCATTTTGGTCGGGGTAGTCATTGCGCGCGCCCATGATGCGAAAGTCCTCGCCCTCGGCTTTGCGGCCCAGCGTCTTGGCGAAGACGCCCTGCTCCTGTGCACGGTGGATCAGGGCAGCGAGGGAGGCGTTGCAGGCTGTGGTGGTGGCAGTGCCGCTGGAGGTGTCGAGCAGGCGGACGGTGCGTGGGAGGTGGCCCTTGGGACTGACCTCGAAATCCGCGGTCCAGGGCATCTGCTCGACCACGGCACTGGGCATGTAGCCGTGGGGTCTGGGGTCTTGGGGCAGGTGGAAGGCATAGTAGTCCTCTCCCGGGTTGGTGCTTGTTGGGAGGGTAGTGAAGTCGATGTAAGGGAAGCTTGAGAGAAGGAAAAACGATGTCAGTAAAGAGAGAGAGAGAGAGAGCTGGTGGTTGAACTTGAGGACTTTTACCTGTCACACTCGTTGACGAGATCTAGGTTGGTCTTCATCTTTTGAGTTGTCTCCATTTTGGACGACAAATTCTCATATGTGGGTAAGTAAGTGCGTCCTGAGCAGGAAGTGAGGAAAAGGAAGAAGGGTGATGTCAAGCATGTGAAGAGGTTGGAGTGAGAGTGAGAGTGAGAGACAGAGTCAAGAGTGAGGACCCACCTGCACTACTGTGCTGCTCATGCATCATGAAAATAGACATCATATCCTCACTTGTTACTACATACTCTCTCTTGATTTGTAATGAAATTACAGTCCTTGTGTCACATGAGAATTTCCAGGAGCATGAATGATTAGCAGAAGACAGACTGTACAGGTTCCAATGCAAGCAGAAACTTGCCAGAGCGAAGGGGGTTTCAACCATCTCGTCATTCTCTAGGGTTAGGGTATTAGAAGGTCTACCCAACACAACAGCATTCTATAGAATGAGTCCAGAGTGCACGAAACTGGAAGTACCATTGAGTTCCAGGCAGGCCACAGGAGGGTGTTCTTGAGGTGCTCGATATGAGTGCCTCATAGGACACTTCAAAGACACGACAATGGCACCGAAATAGGACATCATCTGCACCAAAAGAGGGTCTAAATTCTCTCTCAGATGACCGTATAGTAAGGGAAGATACAGTACCTTTTGAGGCTCCTCGAAACCGTGTGCCACCTATAGCACCCTCCTCCTTCTTCACCCCTACTTGTTCAAGCTCTTCTCCCGAATGAAAAACGATGACAAGAACGCCAACGCAAAAGGCAGCGCCTGAAACCCAAACACATGTATGGTAGCAATCTGATAACACCGCCTGACGATCGCCGCCGTTCCAGGCTCCAGAAGCTTGATATAGTCCAGGCTCTCCCTTACGCGCTGCTCGATGGCCTCCGCCGCATCGCCGCTGCCGAGCCTCGAGGCCAACTGCGCCCGCAGCACCTGCTGTAGGATGGCTGACGCCACGCTGACGCCAATGGAGGTGCCCAGGCTGCGGAACAGGTACGAGCAGGCGACAACCACGGCGGTGTCGTCCTTGGAGGCGTTGGAGAGGAGTGCCACGAGAGTTGTGGTGATTGCTGCATTTTCACCAGCAAGAATATTGAGTAAGTAAATGCATATATCCCAACTTGTGTATGCTGACAAAGGGAGGGGGCAAAAAGAATAGAAACCAACCTGAGCCAGCGCCAAGTGCCACCATGGCCAAGGCGACCGATGTTCCCACCTCCGAGTTGATCCAGGCACCTGCGAACAACACCATGGGAATGACACTGAGGAGCAGAAGGAGGAGGCTGAAGATGGTGAGCCGGTAGTACCGACCGGTGCGCCGCATGATATACCCCGACCCCAGCGAGGCTGACACGCCAAAGATGGTGACGGGGATCAGGAGCAGTCCAGCCTGCACGGCAGAGAGGCCATCGACAGCCTGGTACAGCAGCGGCAGGTAGAAGATGGTCGACATCTGGCCAAAAACGGCAAAGAAGTTGCAGAGGTAGCCCGCAAACAGCGACCTCTCGAAAATGATGTGACCCGGGGCAAAAGGGTGCGAAGCAACCTTGATCTCGACAAGAATGAATATGGCGAACAGGGCAGGCGAGGCGGCGAGGGGGATGATGGTGACCAGCTTGCTCCAGCCCTCGTTGCTGCCGTTGTCGAGCCCCAAGAGGAGGGACAGGACGGCCAGGACAAGGAAGAGGGCCCCCAGGAAGTCCACCTTGGCCAGCTTCTCGAGCCAGTGGGATGTGTCTCGTCTGGGGAGCTGGATGACCGAGTAGGCCCCGACCCAGGCGATGGCCACAAGAGGCACCTGCGCGATAAAAGACCTATGTACAGAGAAAGAAGAAAACAATCGTCAGCCAAACGAGTAATGTGACATATACTACTGCTGGGTAGTTTATGTATAACGGCAGCAAGGTCAGGGTCATGAGATATACGCACCATCTCCAACCCAGAGACTCTGCCACCAGCCCTCCCACAGGGGCCCCAGTTCCGGTTCCGGCGCCGAAGATGATATTCAGATAACCCTGCCAGAGACCACGGTCGCGCAGAGGCACGATATCACTGAGGAGGATGGAGGTCACGGCGTTGATGCCCCCGCCCCCAAGACCAGCGACCGCCCTGGAGAAGATGAGCTGCCAGATGTCCTGCGAGAACCCACAGCCCAATGAGCCCAGCCCGAAGAAGAAGTAGGCGAACAGGAGGCACTGCTTCCTTCCGAATATATCGCTCAACTTGCCATAGAGTGGCTGACAGCAGGTGAGCGTCAGGAAATATCTAGAAGAAAGAAGAAGAAGACAAAGGTCATCTCGTCAGTCGTCGGTCGGCCTAAAAGAATAAAATAGAAAAGAAAATACTGGGGCTTTCAGACAACGACGGCGGCGACGATAGGGAACAACTCACGAGGTGGAGATCCAGCTTGTCCGGTTCAGGGCCTTCAAATCGCTGCTCATCTTGGCATATGTCGCGACGATGAGCGTCTGGTCAAGGGCGCTGAGAAAGATGCCCACTGCCAGCACTGGCAGAAGCAGATGCAACTTCTTAGTTAGCTCTGGCACGCCCTCCCCTCCTGGTGGTGCAGCATTCCCACCAACACCGTTGCTGCTGGACCCGTCTTCCTGCGCCGCACAGCTGCCCTCGTTGCCATTGGTCACCTCATCGTCATCATTGTCACCAATGACAGTGGCATTCGAAGAAGAAACACCCGTTGAGGAGCCATAGCTCACATCGCCCGCACCCACGGAGGAGGAGGCACCGCCAAGTAGCGGGCTGGCCTCGGTCGGGTTATTCGTATGGGAGTCCTCGCCCCCGGCCATTCTCAAGATATATGTTTACCAGGAACCCTGATCGACCTGTACCAGATGGATGGAACAGACAGGGCAAGAAATTCTGCTGATTGGCCTTTTCTCTATTGGCAACTCCTCGACAAGCACAGCCCTTTTTTTCCTTCCTTTTTTTTTTTTCTTCCTTCTTTTCCCCCTCCCCCCCTCTAAGTAGGAGGACCGAGCATTATTCAGCAAGGACGTTAAAAACGTCCGGTCCGGCAAGTGGAGAGAGGTTACAGGCGGTGTCCATTCACCAACCAATGCTGGTCTGGTCTGGTTCAATATCCGGTGCCCTAGACCTGCCGAGAGATAAGCGGTTTTTCAAACCCAGCTCTTCGATCAGTCCCGGTTCGTCCCGCGCCCGCACCGTCGCCGTCCGTCACGGCGCCGGCGCGGACTTTGGGCATGTGGCCCATGAGGATTAGAAGCTCTGCGATAGCCAAGCCTCATTGTCATACCAGGGTCAATGTCTTTGCTATCGGCTGAGAGAAATTGTCCCGTTTAGGTCGCATCATCTTTTGGTTTCTGATAAGCGTATTTTACTGTACAGATTCATGTGGGTGCGATCATAACCTGGTTGAACTGGGTCAATTGGCTGGCAACTCACCTCGTATGGTCATGGAGAAACATATTTACTCCTGATCCCTGGCAAATTGTTCCTCTTGTGTGTGTGAGAGTGTGTTGGCGCACGAAATATGCATGTAATATCGCCCTGCGGCCTCGCTTGCAGCCAGCCTGCAGCTCACCGCAGCCTTGGGCTTGCACTTCCTTACCCACCACACTGGGAAAATCGCCTGCATAAGCCCAAGAATTCTTCTGATCCGAAAAGTAGGGAACACCAAAAAAGCCCACGTTCCACTCGGCTGGGATGCAGGAGATGCAGGTACGGGACCAACATGCGGCCCCCTTTGAAAAATTACTATGGTACCTGTGCCGAGAACTGAGGGAACACATATTCACCAGCTACAATTTACGTATTGCTGACTTTGAAGAAGGGGCCGTGATGACCAGAGTCCGAACTCGTTACAGTCAGCCTGTGGCTCCTGTTCTATACAGAGGTCATTTTCTTAGTTCCCTTGCCCCTCTCTCTTTGTCTCGTTCTCATCCTTTCATTTATTTGAGACCATAGTAATCATTTCTCTGCTGCTCTGCAACCCCCACCGGGCCCTCCCCAATGTGTCATCGCAATCACCATGACTGCATTGGTTGACGCAACCGGATGAGCATCCTTGCCTTAGGAACACCTGCGAGAGGAGGAGGGGGGGGGGGGAGCAGATGAGCCGAAGTTTGGGAAAGATGTAAGAACAAAAAAAAATTAAGTAAAGAGGAGCGGGGGAAGGGCTGATGAGAGAGGGGCGGACCGGCGGCAATTACACCTCCAAGTCACAAATTGAATGGGCTGGACTATGATGGTCTAGACAAAATAATCAAACCCAAGGAGCACCAGTCGTGTTGATCACACTGGTCACCGAGGTCACAATATACAGGAAAACCTTGATTCCCCAACGAGAAAATGGAACTTGCCTTCTTTCTGTCTGTGCTGTGGACTCACCATAATAGTGCGTGGTGAAAACCGGGTTTCCGGAAATAACCTCGCGGGTTAGCCTCTGCAATGGACTGGCGATGGGCGCTGGGTTGGTCCTAGAATCTGATCTGAGCTGACCTGAACTGAAAACTCGGATGGAGGAAGGGGCATGCAGTGCGAGATGGATTGGGAATATGTATGTGCATTGCAACACGCGGGGAGAGGTTGACGTTGGTTGAAGATAACGTCCTACTCAGGGCAGCCAGCCACACATCTTGTACTCGTTTACATCGTATATTGTACCATTGTATGTCTTCCATATTCTGGTTCAGCCTCTCGGAAAGATTATCTGTTTCTTTAATCTCCTTTTCCCCCATTCTTTATGTCATACAAGGAGATGGTAGTTGGTGTTTGCCTAGAGGAGAGAAAGGCCTCTAGTTTTTTCTGCTATCCCTCGTGGTGATCTCTCCCAAGAGCCGAGACATGCAGGAAATTATCGGATTTCTTGAGTTTTGTGTGTACCGTATTATGTACAGTGAAAAAATGTCACACAGCTCATTTCCGCAACCTCCGGCAAAGAACGCGATCGTCTCAGAGGTCGCCGGCCCAACCCCCGTATCCCTGGCGACTGATGTCACCCGTCAGCAGCTATTATCGATAACTCGACAGGCCACTGGCTGGCTTGTCAGATGAAAGGCTGCTGCCAGGGGCCTCGACTAGGTTTAGCCTGGCCAGCAGGCGCAGGCCCTAGGCAGGGGTACTTTGGTTTCAGATCGGACCCTCCCAGAGCCAGAGACAGGAAAAGAAAAGAGTTCGATCGCCCCACGAGCATATTCCCTGGCACGCAATGCCCTGTCATTTCCTGGGCTGGTCCTGCCGTTCACCATCGTTGTACTTGTACTGAGAGTATTGCTAGTAACATGCTGTGGTACCATGGATACCACCACCCTCTTTCTTTATCCTTATCCCTCCCCAAGACGAGGCGCAGTCCCCAACCACTCGCCATGCTTGCCAAAATTGCTGATCGGATGAAGGAGGCCACCCACCAGGCACGCGCCCACTTCTTGGAGTCTTTAATAAATAATAAATTTGCCTTACTCGGGTGGCCTCTCAGTTGCGGCCAACATGGTGCGTAGCAGAAGGGCAAGAAAAAAAAGAAGAAGGATAGATTCTGGATTGGTCTCAAGACACAGGACAGCCACGATGTACTCTGGTACCTTAGTACTTATGGGCCGTGTTGTCTCCTCCCGCCAGGGCTCTTTCTGACGCGCAGGAAAACTTCCCGGCATAACACAATAACCCACATCACACGCCTCAACCAGGTCTCCAAGGCCACGGCCAAGGCCCTTCCTTGTCCACCTCCCCTTCGTCCCGTCCTTTCCCTCCTCCTCTGCTCGACTTTACCTAAAAATATACTTGCAGCCGCCGCCGGGGGGGAAGTTTGGGGGGAACAGGGTGAGCTTCCATCATTATGGAAATATACTCGTACACATTTCTTTAGTAACGATTTCCAACAAAGAGCACTGGTCCCTACCCAATCTTCTTTTTCACAGCCCCCTTTAAACTTACATCCTGGGACGCATGATTTCCGTTGTGTGTATGTGCTCCTGTCCCGCTCGCAGCTCATGTCGTGCCGCATGAACGGTAACCCCTCCATTCTCGTTACGTCTGCGGTTTTCCTCTCCTTTTCTTTTTTTCGCCTTCCATTCCCCTTGTTGTGGTTACCTGGGTCACGGATGATACTTCCGACTCATACGTACACACACATAGACGACACATCCACGTCCAGTCACACTCCACATCCACATTCTCATCCACTCACAAGACACAGATACAGACGCCCATACCATCCGCACTGCCTCGCCACGCCGCAATAGATTCGTTTCTTGTGCGATGTCGTGATACCCTGCGCGCTATTCTTGACCACTCATCCCTGGTCCTAGAACATCCACCACGTTTTACACCCACCCAAAAAAGAAGAGAAAAGGCAACCATACAATCTCCAAAGAAAAGGGGGGAAAAGGCAAGGGGAACAAGACAAGAGAGACCGGGGGCCTTCCGTGTGGCGTACAACAGCATAAACCTCATTATTCACCATGGGGACCTCTTCTGCTATAGTAGGGCTCCGCAAGTCTGGCCGCTCGCGTTTCTCAAAAGCCCTACCAGCACCACCTCCACAGCTTGTAGACGACGACCAACCCAGCTCGGCCCAATCACCACCACCACCACCACCACCACAACAACCAACGTTCGTCTTACCAGCCAGAGGGGACTCGCTACCGTCCAGGCCAGCTCTGCCACCCAAGGACCCCATCGCGAGAAAGCCGACCCCGTCCAGCAGCAGCATGGCAGCCAGTGTCTACAACATGACCGTCAACAGCAACAACAACTCTCCACTCCCTCCACTCCCCTCCCTGACGAGGGTCAACAGCCCACCGACCAGCGTTCCTAAGAGGAAACCCGTGGGCAGCGGCAACAGTGTTAAGAGCCCACCGGCGAGCATGAAGAGCCCCCTTCCTCCTCCACCGCCTGCGCCACAACAGCCTACGGCAGCACAGACAGAGGGGGATATATCTCCTACCGAGTCCATCTCCAGTTTATTATCAGCCTATGGGACGGAGGACTCTTCAGGAAACCGCTACTCCCAGGACACGGCAGCAACAAAACACTCCTTCGTCGAGCCGTCACCACCAAAAGTCCTACCAAAGGACGGCCCCAGCACAACGAGCAGCAGCGCCCTCAAGCTGGACCTCGTCTCACCATTCTCCCTGCCCACGCCTGTGTCTTCATCTAAGACAATGATGACGACGAACGCCAACCGGCAGCAGCAGCAGCAGCAGCAGCAGCAGCAGCATCAGGGCCGACCCCCCACGCCGCCGGAGAAGGACAGCAACTCCAGCCCGCAAAAGCCCCCCATGACTCCCAAGAGCACAAAGATGGCCCTGCCCAGCCCGCCAGCTACAGACAATACCTCTGCGGCCGGCCAGTCACCAACCCAGCCGCAGCTCTGGAGGAGGAGGTCGCTCAAGGCAGTCAAGCCCTTGACTGTGCCTGAGTTGAAATTGACGGTGTCGCATGGCTCCACGGCCTCCACCCAGCAGGTCGCCACCTCGGTCATCAATGGAACTTTTGCCTCTGCTTCTACTTCTTCTTCTTCTTCCTCCTCCTCTTCATCGTTTGCGTCTGCGTCTGCGTCTAGGCTTGAGCCCTCCTCTCTTGGTGATACCAGCGGCGAGTCTCCCATCCTGAACAGTTATCAGGACGTTTCAGGCCAGAGCAGCAAGCCTTCCCTGCCACAGAGGTCACTGGCCAGAGGAGAAGGCTCCTCCTCCTCGTCGTCGTCGGGTGTCATGGGCCACAAAAAGTCCAAGGAGGCCCTCGATGGGTTCTCCGAGTACGCCCAGGAGATCGAAAAGGGCATGTCGGACGGCACCTACCACGCGCCTCAGTACTCGCCAGCCACCATGTCCCCAGAGATTCGCCGACCACCGACGCCAGAGTACGATGAGGAGGTGTCTCCGTTCCACGATCACCAGCAGCAGCAGCAGCAGCAGCAGCAGGCTTTCTACCCCCAGCCAGCCGCCTCGCCCAAGTCGCCCATCACACCTCCTGATGACGCTAGGCCGCTAAGCGTGATTCCCGAGTTTCCTGACCAGCCAGGCGAGGGTGAAGCCAGTGCCGTGGCAGGTGCGGCCCCCGCAGCGCCCCTTCCCAACCTCCTGTCTCCCAGAAGCTCGTCGCGGCCTCGTCACAGTCCTGCCTCTGCCCCTACTTCTGCCTCCGCCACGTCATCAGCCCAGTCTTCGCCTGAGTTGGCGCCCACTGTCCAGCCTCCAGCCCTTGTCCCGTCTCCAGAGATCCGCCCTGCAGCAGCGTTACGGGCGAGCCCGAAGCTCGGCCCCACCATCAACGTTGTTGCTGCCGATGACGAGGACGTCGAGTACCATGACGACAACGACGAGGACGAGAAGGGCGACGCGCCGGCGCCGGTGGCGATCATGATGAGTGAGGACTCACCCACGGCACCGAAGCCTGGCGAGCCGGCCTACTTCCCGATGCGCCGCTACCAATTTCAGCCTGTGGCACCAGGGACGGTGCTCCCTGCGGCGCCTCTGAAGCGGATCCAGCTCGAGTGCTTCGCGGGTCACTACCGGCTGGTCCCCTCGCGCAACGAGGGCCACCCTCTCTCCTGCCAGAGCTGCGGCCACCGGGACAACGGCGCCCGCTTCACGTGTGCCCACTGCGCCGTACGGGTGTGTGGGGACTGCAAGGACGTGCTGATGATGAACGGGCGAGACCTGGGACAGCTGGTGGAGATGTTGAGGGCCGCCTAGAAGTCGATAGAGGGAGAAAGAAAGAAAGAAAAAAAGAAAAGAAAAGACATGAAATGGACGGAGAGTGCATGCAGTAGCAGGGTTCAGATCTTTCTATCCTTGCTGATTTTGGGGAGTGGTTTGGTTAAAGAGTCCTTTTTTTCTTTTTCTTTTGGTTCGCTTCTATACTGGATGGCCTTTGGCTTTTCATCATCTTTTGGGGTTGGTTTTTTGTGTCATTCCTTTTTTTTTTTTTTTTTTTGAGCACCATTCTTCCTTTTGTTTACACATCATACGCTGAGACACCCTGGTGGTACACGATTTGTGGAGGGAAACGTGAAAGAAAAATGACCAAAAAAAAACAACCACAAGATATACCGACGCCACGAGGAACATGCATATGGAGGGGGCGTTTACACTTCTTTTCTTCTTCCTTTTCTTTTCTGTTCCAGGATACCAAAGACAAGAGATTGCACTTTTTCGATTCTCATCAAAGAGGAAGAGGGCTTTTTCTCTTTCGAGTCCCCCTCCCTTTCTTATTCTTTTTCATGGCCTTCCTACTTTATCCCAATGGGATGATTTGGAAACACTTGCAGAGACGTTGTGGTCCAGGCTAGACCCTTTTGTATCATCGTGAGAGTGTTGTGAATAGGCTTTGTGGATGGTTAACAGATACACACGGAGAGAACAGAGTGAAATGCAGAAATTTTGGAAATTGTGGCGGCTGTGACTTGTCAGCTTGTCAGCTGGCTCTACAGTAACTGATGGTTTTGTGATGATACTGGACATTTACCGGACCACCACCTGGTCTCTCTGTCAATCTTGTTTTATCTTTAAGAAACAAACATCAACACAAGACCGCTTTGCACCAACCAATTCCCATCCTCCCTCTCTCTCCTCCGATAAGGCTACTGAATTGCTTACGCACAGCTTTTGTTCCCAGCCTTCACCCACAGAGCAGCAATAAAACCGGCCCCTATGCCCCAAACCAGACTCCGCAGCGATGAGAACTTCCTATTGTCCTGCAGGAAGATAAAGACGATATTGTAGAGGACGCGGGAGGCCAGATACCAGGCGCAGTTCAGGTTGACGGAGAGGGGGGGGACGCCGGCGGTGAGGGCGGCGACGACTCCGGCGGCGTAGAAGCCTAGGGATTCTAGGCCGTTTATGGAGGCGGCTTCGGCGCGTTGGATGCGGCGGGTGATCTGGGTATGGGCATCATGGTCAGGGGTCTGAAAAGAGGAAGCGTGGGAAAATAAAAAGGGGGGGGGGGCAAGGGGTGGTTGGATGTGTGTGGATGAGGAAGAGAAGAAGGGGTGCTTTTTCTGTCTATTTCTCTCTTTTTTCTTCTTCTCTGGAGGATGATGGTGGTGGTGGTGGTGGTGGTGGTGGAATCCTTGGCCGATGCTGGCTTTGCGAGCTTGAAGCACTTTCGGAAGAGGACAGTGGGGGTTTTGATAAGAAAAAAAAATATAAATGAAGAAGAAGAAGGAGGAAGAAACTGACCTTCTTGTCTAACGAGGTGTCCTTCTCGACGTTCGCGGCAATGCGGCGTGGTTGGGAATGGTCAAAATTCTTACCGGCTTGGGGCCTGAGGAGAGTTGGTGCGAGGGCAAGGCACCAGGCTGCGGGGACCTGTGAAGAGAAATCGTGTTAGTTACAAAGCTGTCAGTGCATCATAGAGATTTCGATTTGAATTGTTCTCTCTCGCGCGCTCGCGGGGGAGTAATTGATTATTACCGAGTAGTAGGCAAAAAGAGGCTTTGTGAAGTCGAAGACGGTGGCCATTTTTGTTGACTGTTTTGTTGTCGAGTGGTAAGAAGACTGGACGAGGGCTCTCTATGTGTGATTGCTTTTTCGTTCCTCGAAATATTATAAGTTGCGGACTAGGCTTTTTGTGTGTAAATAACAGTCGTTTTGGGACTTCCTAGTCGCGTCTCGGATCGTAGTAGTAAGCTGGCGGACCCTTCAGGCCTCTATATAAATCCATTGAAGAGTGTCAACGTTAGTTAGTAGCAGGAATGAGTGATGTCAGACAGATGCACCGCAGCCACACAAGTGACCCAAAGGACCACATGTTTGGCTGAATCCTCCTCATGCTGCGCCGCCCCCGCAAGGCTTATAGCAACAAATGGAGAGTTTCAAATTCCTGCCAAGGCCCCCGACCAATGTGCCTTTGCGGCTGACGGGAACCGGGGCAGGCCCCGTCCAGCAAACCTCCGTGGCTGGTCGGGATTGGAGGAATAGCCGTGCTCAACCTAGGTGGCAAATGCAGCCAAGGTACAGTAGGAGCGTAAGCAATTGTGGAAAGAAGACGATCGTCTTCATCCCGATACTGGATGTACCTTGGATATCTCGACAGCAATAGTTGAAGATTGTCAAACTTGGCTTGTTCAGTGTCAATGCGCCAAATATTAATACTTTGCCTTCCAATGCAGTCATGAAAGAGCAAGTCTAACATGTTCAGCAATTGTATTTGCATTGCTGCTTACATTTAATACCATATTCATTAATCTTGAAGCAAAGGATTTTCATAAGAGTCGGAACTCGACTGATAAAAAGGACCTATATGTACATCTGCTAGATTTGCGGATTTTCGACAAACTACTTAATTAATTTGATTCAGAGCATCTGACTGCACTTGCGGCACGAATCATTTTTCTCGCTGGATTGGACTCTTTCGCCAAGGTTCTTCCGGCTCGGTTGAGAGCACCACTGAACAAAACTTCGCTCGAGGCCGTTGCCTTTTTTTCTTCTTTTTTTTTTTGGACATGTATTTATATACGTGTATTTCTTATATCAAGTGTCCCTTTCCAACTTGAACTTCCAAAACATCAGACACTCTGTGCCCAACCAGTACTGATATAAGTACAACACACTTCTATGCGCTTCATGTTTACCCTTCCGCAAAAGTTGACATCACAGCACACATCACGCCGCCTGGACGGGTACGAGGGTCAAGTTTCCTCTCTCCAGTCTCGGCACGAGCCCGTCGATAACATCAGCAGTGACACCGCCGGTACCTGTAGTATCATCCAGGTACGACGTCATGAGGCTGCGTATGATCTTCAGGTCCTCGATGTTAACGTTCCCCTTCATCTGCTGCGCAGGGTTCTTCGCATGAGGGTCCACATCGTCGGCCGGGTTCAAGACTGGCTGCAGTGCGGTGGACAGGAAGCCGACGGTCTTGTCCAGGTCAGCCTGGGTGAACTTTTTGGTGGCGTCTGCGGTGCCCTGGATGACTGCAGAGTGTGTGAAGAAGGCATCATTAGTATTATTAAACCGCAATCTGGGCCAACGTTGACTACTGGCGCAGTCCACAGGGATATTAGAAAAACGTACCGGGCTTGAAGAACGAAAAGGCCCTGTCAAAGTTATCCTCGCCAAGCTCGCTCAACACAGGTTCCTTCTGGTTCCGCATCTGCTGATAGGCGCTGATGACAACCATGAGGAAGCGAGCGTAGCTCTCACGGATCTTGTGCGAGTGCTGTTACAGTAGTGGAATTTGTGGTCAGATGGATTCATCAAATCATCATGTGAGAGGTACTATATCTCTTGAGGGTGTTCATAATTACTTACCCAGTTGGAAGCTCTCTCCTCACTCAAGTCTCCGCGGATGCTAGCCGCGATGGTCGCTCCGGCCGACAGGGCACCCGTCACGGCAAGATGAACGCCCGATGAGAAGAAGGGATCAATGAAGCAGCCGGCATCGCCGACAATACGGGCATACGGCAGCGCATATGTGCTGGCGTGATAGGAGAAGTCGGCTCCGGAGTGTAGTGACGACACTTGCTTGGCATTGGGACCGAGGAGTTCCGTCAACATCGGGGCCTATTATTTATGCCATGTTCTGTTAATTTCCTGAATTGCTCTTGTGGAATTTTCAGGACATTTCAGAAAGGAATCCATCTCCTTGCGAGGGATTCTCACCAGCTTCAGAGCATCTTCATAATGCTCCTGGTTTGACTTTTCCTTGTTCGCAGCCTTAAGCTTGTTGGAAATCTCTTGGTTCCTGACGTAGCCGACAGAGTGCGTGCCGTTGTGCAGAGGGATGAACCATGCCCAGCCGCTCTCGTCTACTCATTTTGTCAGTTGACCATCCATGGATACCAGCAAAATGGCTCGAGGACAAGAAGAATGTGGCTTCTTTACCTCTCAGCGCCTCGAAGAACGGTACACCCTCCCGGTCAGTGCCCTTGCCATACGTACCACCGCCCGAGAAGTAAGCCCAGTTGGCCACGTTCTTGAGCGCCTGGCTAAAGGTACGGTTCTTGAGATACTTGGTGCTCAGCAGACCTGCACGGCCGCTGGCATCCACCACGTAGTCGAACTTGATGGTTCCGCTCTCGCCCGTCTCCTTTCGGCTCCACTGTGCTGAGACGGGGCGGCCGAGGGCCGGGTGCGCTGCGTCTCCGTTAGAGTGCCCGTTTGCGCTCTCGCCGAAGTTAATGGAGCTGATCCGGACGCCGTCAAATACCTTGGCGCCGCTCTCCTCTGCGTGGCGGAACATGAGCTCGTCTGCCTCGGAGCGGACCACGTTCCAGGACCGGTTGTCCTCGTTGGGGGCACGGAAATCCGTGACTAAGGTAGCGAAAATTTCTAGTCAGTATTCTTGCAACAAATGATGATAGAGGAAGCAACATTTTGGGCCACTGTGGTGACTTACATCCTTCCTTCCTGTGGGGGCTCATCTTAAACACCGCACCGTGCTTGATCACAAAGCCGTAATTGTCAAACTTGGTGTGCAGGTCGATGAACTTCAGATAGTGCCGGAACGAAGCTAAGAAGCTTTCACCAATATGATATCTTGAAATACACAACATCAGCATATTTACAAAAAACAGCTTTTGTCAGTGTTTTTCCCCTCACCTGGGCATCTTCTCTGCTTCGATCACCACAGTATCGATGTTCTCTCTGGCGAGCACCGCGGCCGCGTAGGACCCTCCTGGGCCACCGCCGATGACAAGTACAGTACACTTCTCTGGGATAGCGGCAGCCATTGTCTCGACAGAGGCTACAGATGAAATAGAACAAAGAAAATGGCAATACTGAATGACAAGGAATTTGATTTTCGAGGACAGCTTTGCACGTGATGTTAAGTCTCTTCTCAAGAGCGATAGCAAGAGATGTTCCAGACTTCTCTGGAATTTGATCTTCCCCCTCCTTCTTTTATAATACATATCCCTTCGCTTGCGCAAACAAACACTAGGTCCCACTATACACCCTGCTCGCGCGAGCTGATCCTCCAGGCTCCCGGGTAAGGTGCGTGATGAAACTATGTGTAATAACAATCGGAGCTGCAGGATTGCGGAGGAGGGCCGGCGTCCACACCAAGGACCTGTCGTCGCTGGAACAACTCCCGGCCTCCGATATGATCTTTGTGGGGAGGATATCAAGGGCAATCTGGGTCGTAGCAGAGATCGACCATAATAATACGGGCCGGCAAAGTATCGAGCCCGCAACGCGGCTGACTGTGTTCAAGGCTGTCAGCATATAGAGACAAACTAGGCCTATGTGTGCGTGCCCGCCACACACTCCCTACCTAATGTTGTCGGTGTACTATGAGTAACAGCATATTAAACAACGCCTTACTTGAGAGGATGGATGCAGGATGACGGGCGAAGGATGTAGGGCGATCGACGAAGGATGAAAAACTGCTAAGAAAACGAGGCGGTCTTGATATCCTAGTTGGTGGTGAGACGGCAGACGGGCTGTTGATAGTCACTCGGAGTCTTGTTATGACCGATATCCCGCCTATTTTACGACCGACCCCCCGAGGCGGGCTCTTCAAAGACTCCTCTATGGCCTCTCTGACCTGATGGCTTCTTGTGCCTCGTATGCGTACAGTACAGCACCACCACAGCATCGTTACGGGCAGCGGGTTGACCAGGCAGGGACTTAACCGATCTGGACGGGCTCGGGACGGTGCGCCAGCCGCTTTGGTGCTCTTGGACGATGGAAATGCGTGTGATGGTCACATAGAGACTGCGACAGGACTCGGTCCCTTTGGGTGTTCGACTGCGATCTTGGTTGAGGTGGATTTGCCTCGTAACTCCTGGACTTTCCGTCAGATTCACGTCAGACGGGGTTCAAGTCATGTCCGAGCATATGCCCCTATTTTGTTCTCTGTAAAATACTGGAATGACCCCTTTACAGTACTTAAGCTGGTAGGTAGTCCAAATTTGAGGGCATTCATTCATCATAACAAGCAAAATCCAGCTTGAAGATATTCCCAAAATCACACGTGAGTGAAAAAGAAGAGAAATTTACTGCACTGACATCAGAAGCGGGAAAGAGCGATGTATTGTTTTGCCTCCTTTATACTACTAAAGCACATAGTTTGCCCCTAATTACGTCTTAATTTACGCCCTAGGTACGCCCTACAGAATTTTACCTGGGAAAGCACGCTATAACAGGAAAGAGGAAGGAAAGAAGGAAAAAAGGAAGGAAAGAACCACCGCCTACAAACCAGCTACTCAGTCCGTACAAGCAACAATGACCTGCGGATTTGGCTTATACCCGTCGCCTTCTTCGGCATACACCACACTCTTATACCCAGCCGCCTCGAGGCTCGTCTTCCAGAACGTCTCATTCGCCAGGCAGTGCTTCCTCCCGTCCTCAAACAGCCACCAGCCCTCGAGCAGGCCAAATACCAGGTCCAGCCAGAACAGTCTCGGGGTGACCTCGACGACAGCCAGGAACCCGCCCGGTCGAAGCATCTTGTGGGCGTTTGCACAGCTGGCCGTGAGGCTCTTGGTGGCGTGGATGCAGTTGGTCGAGATGACAGCGTGGAAGCGGTTCAGCAGCGAGGGGGGCGGCTGCTGCTCGATATCGAGGGTCATGTATTCCACCGTACCCTTGGGCAGCTGCGCGTACAGGTTCTTGTAGCGCTGCCTGGCCGCGCCCGTGAGCGAGGGCGAGATGTCCGTGTAGGTGAACTTGAACGGGATGCCCGCCTCGACAAGCATGTCGAGAATGTATTTGGCTGTGCCGCCTAGCCCAGCGCCCACCTCGATGATCTCGATCACCTCGTTCGGAGAGGATCCAGAAAACGATGAGAAGACGCGCCGGAGCAGCTCGGTGACCACCTTGGACGCCGTCACCAGCATGGGCGCGCTGGTGTAAAACTCCTGCAGAAGCAGCCGGCTCTTGCCAAAGACGATCTGCATGGGATCTGCGGCGCCCGTCAGACATTCAGCCAGACGCGAGCCCGTGACGTGCAGCAGCTGGTGCGTGTTGGCGTGTGGAGGGTCGTCCCGGACCAACCGCTCGTACAGCGTCTGGGAGCTTGTCTTGTCGACAGGGCGGTACGTCCGCACCCTCTTGCCATTGCGCCACTCGAGCAGCCGCCCGTCTTCCAGGATCTCGTGCAGCGCGTTGAGCAGTGGGTTGTACTTGGGCAGGACGCCGACGGGCTCGAGAGGTGCACCCTGGCGAACCTTGTCCAATGGGCAACCCAACTTCTCGAAGGCCTCTGTGACGAAGGCGAGCACGAGCTGGCGTTGCGCTGGGTACACCCTGGTTAAGAAATCGAAACACCCAGCCTCCTTTGCAAACTGCGGCGCGAGCGTGATGGCCTGGCCAAAAGCTTCATGGATCACGGGGCGCGACAGGCGAGATTTCGGCGAGGACCCGGGCCGTGGCATCCTCTTCTCTAGCCGAGACACTGGCTGCTGCGTTCCGCTCTTGCCCAGAGTTGAAAGCATCCGCTTCATCAGCTTCTGGCACAATGGGCCCAGCTCTACTTTGACCTAGAACAGGGAAAACCGAAAAGTCAGAACATGACGATAGCCACACACGAGGCCGAAAGAAGGAGGAGGAGGATAACCTACGCGTGGGCGCATCATAATGGAAAAGTGGTCGCCGTCGATGACAAATGTCTCGATATTGTTCCCAACCAACTTGTCCCAGCCGCGAGGACCATACGACCTCTTCTCTGCCTCGAGCCACTCGACCCACTCCGGATTGAGTTCCTTGTCGAGTCCGTCTCTCTCTGCGATGGCATGGCCCACCTCGATAATCTTGTCAGACAGGTGCTCGACAAACCCAACCCGCGCCCAGATACAGTACACATGTTCCGGGCGGAGCTCAGGCGGGATGGGAATGGGATCAAAGTTCCCAGCGGTCCTGACACAGCCTGCAACGTGGATCTTCTGCAGCTGGGTGAGAGGTTTTCTCTGGTCCTCCTCAGAGATGCTGTCGAACAGGCCCATCATCTGACAGACCTCGACATTGACATCGATGATGCCCTTGAGACTGCGAGGACAGGCGGCGTCCAGGACCAGAAAGCCGTGAACCTTGTCACCCGTATTGATGAGGTACCGTACCGTCTCATAGGCAAAGACACCCCCGATCGAGTAGCCACCGACCATGTAAGGGCCGTGGGGCTGAACCGACCGGATCGCCCTGGCATAGATGGAGGCGACGCCCTCGATAGTCACGCCAGGCAAAAAGAAGTCGCCTTCCCTTCCTCCGGTGAAAGGCGAGTCGAGAGCATAGACTGTCAAGCCGGGAGCCAGAGCGGGCAGTTGGACATAGACTGCTGCCGAGCCTCCTCCGTCCGTGACGAGGAATAAGATAGGCCCTTCTGACCGTGGACGGCCCTGGAGAAGAACTGCCTTGCTCTGGTATTCTTCTGGGTTGAAAGTCTTCATTGGTGGCGGTGGAGGCAAAGCGGGCATCAATGAAGGTGGTGGAAGAGAGGGAGGAGGGTCTGCTTTGTTTTTCCACAAATGAGCACATCAGCATGCATTTTCTTGTTGAAGAGACAAAATCACTCAGGGATTAGAAGCCAAAGGACTTTACCGTCTACGGACCATTTGCCACCTTTTCCTCCTCCCCGAGCATCCTTCGAATCTCGACAATCGTCTCGCAGTCAGAAAAGAGGTTGGCCGGCAGCTCCTCTCCAGTCTTGTCCTTGACTACCCCGATCACGGCGACGCTCATGAGGGAGTCAATACCCAGATCCACAAAGGGCGTATCCTCGCCGATCTCTGCAGGTGTGACGCCGGTTTCTTTCGCAATCGCATCCAGGATGGCCTCCATCAGGACAGACCCGGACCCGGACCCGGACTCGGCCTTGCTGGCTCCCCAGGGCTCCTCCGGATCGTGTGTAGAGCTGACAGGTGTTGTGCCTCGAGCCAATAGGTCGGGTGAGCCGTGACTGGGCAGGTCGTTGTCGGTGCTGCTGAAGTCATCGTCGTCCTCGTCCTCATCTTCAGTCTCGTCTTTGTCCTTGACGACTACGTATTCATCTCCTGTGGATGCTGCGCCGTCCTCGCTAAAATAGTCGCGCAGTTCGGAGATTGTTGTGCTTCCCGAGATCAGAGACGCTGGAAGCTCGAGGTTCTTCTCGCTCTTAAGCTTGGTGGTGATCGAGACTGTGAGGAGGGAGTCGACGCCGAGTTCTTCCAGCGTCATGTTGTCTCCCATCTCGTCGAGGGAAGTTCCTATCTCCTTGCTTATTAGGGCAAGCACTGCTGACAGATCATTATTGACATTTGGCTTGGGCGCAGTTACTGGCGCCTTGGCCACAGGTTTGACAACTGCTGAGCCGTTGGTGTTTGCGAATGGATGAATCGGTGCAGCTTGTTGTTGACCAACATTTTCATAACTGGTAGGCACAGGGGCAGGCGCTGCTCGTGGCGCTGCAGTCTTCTTTGGGACTTGCGGCGAAGAAACTGTTGGCATCTTTGCCACCTGCTTGGCCACAGGAGGTCTGACAACCACCTCTGGTGCTTTGGGCCGAGTCACGGCGTCACGTACTGGACCACCAGCAGCAGCAGCAACAGGTGGGCCGGCCGCGGACAACCCAAGCATTCTCTGAAGAAGCACCTTCTTGATCCGCTTGAACCGAAGCCCCTCGCCTAGGGCTACGACGCCTTCTTCGTCAAAGACAGTCACATCGCAGACCAAGTTATCGCCGCCGCCGACAGCCTCAGCTCGCACATGGCAGAGATACTGCTTGCCGCCAGCAAAGTTCTTGCTGAGGCGCATGGTGTCGCAACCGGTGGACATACAAATCATGTCGTCTGGGTTCGAGACGTCCGAGTTGAGAACAAACCCGGCTGTCTGGGCAATGTTGTCAAGCCAGCAGGGGTCAAACGTGAAGCTAGAATCCTCGGGCGTCTGGCGCAGGTCCAGGCGGACAGCTGCCTCGCGGAAGGACTTGTCGATGAAGATCTCGGAGATGGACTGGTACTCGCTTGAGTACTCAGTGATTGGGAAGAAGATCTTGTACACCATGTCCTTGAGCAGGTGATGGACGACGACAGATTTGTCAGGCGAAGGAGGAGGACTCATCAGCCCTCGCACTCTGTCCTCGATGAGGTAGCGCCTCCTGGACCAGTCACGCGTCCAGTCCGCCGTCTCCAGGTCGATTGTGCAGCGGCAGTGCTCCTTGTCCGAGCTGACCGTGACCTTTGCGGTTGTCGTGCCTGGCTTGATGGTGGCGCTGATCTTGACGAGCTGCGGTGCCTTGGATTCTAGGTTGAGGAACATGGGAGATGAGATGACGAGATCGTGCAAGTCCATGGTGAGCACCGGGTTCCCAGGTTTCAAGCGCTCGTAAAGATACTGGGCAGCTCCTAGGGCCATCTCCTTGTACAAACTACTTGGAGCGAGGGCAATACCGATGACCCTGTGTCCGTCGATCAGCTTGTGCAGTTTGGGATGTTGGAGGTTAGTCGAGAACTCGACCGTGGCGCCTCCCTGGCTGCTGGGCGAGATGTCTTCCGCCAGTACTCGGTGCAGACAAGTGCTAATAGGAGGTATTTCGACCTCCTCAGGGCGCTCCTTGAGGCCTGGCAGCGAAGGTGCTGGCAGATGGGCCTTGGCCGCTGCCAGGGTTGCCACCTGTTCCTTGAGTGAGGCAATCTCCTCCTCGAGGGCTGCCACGCCTCCTTTATACTGGATCCAGAAGTCCTTCAGATTGAAGTGGTACGACGGCAATTCCACTGCTACCAAACCCGACTTGTACTGCTTGTGGTATTCCGCCCAGTCGACAGAGATGCCGCTGTTGTAAGCCTCCGACACGATCTTGGACAGCGTCTTCCAGTTGCTGTCGGCGGACTTGAGGCAGGGCAGTAGCTTGCAGGGCGTGGCCAGAGTAGCCTGCGTCATGGAAAGGCACATGGCGCCAGGGCCCGTCTCGACGAATAGCGTCTTGTCTGTGACGAGACCAGAAGCCTGCATGGCCTTGATGGCTGCCTCAAATTGTACTGGCTTGCGTGTCTGGTCTGCCATGTACGAGGCTGAGAAGGTTCCCTCGCTGTCCACCATTCTGCCTAGCAGTGTCGAAGCGACTGGGACGACAGGCCTAGAGAAGGTCGCGCCCGCAGCGACCTGCCGGTATTCCTCAAGGATGGTGTCGAGCTGCGCCGAGTGGAACGAGTACGGGACCGAGACATACGAGGACTTGGCCATCTGGTTCTCCTGCAGGATGGTCTGGATTTTCTCGAGGTTCTTCATGCGTCCGTTTACCACAATCGAGTTGGGCCCGTTGTAGCATGCGATCTCAAAGGCGCCAGCGCCGCGACCCTCGATCATGCTCTTGAAGCGGTCTGCCGACGCCTGGATGACGAGCATGCCATGGGTGCCTCTGGTGCATAGCTCCTCGACCAGCTGCGCCCGCCTGCCGACCAGGAGGAGCGTGTCTGCCACCGTCAGGACTCCCGCGGTGCACAGCGCTGCATATTCGCCCAGGCTGTGGCCGACGACGGCGCTCGGGACGAGACCCCAAGACTTGAGGAGGCGCGCAAGGGCAATCTCGATGGCGACGATGGCGAGGTGCGCCTCGACGGGGCCGAGGTTGCTCACGTTCTTAATCTGGTCATCCAGAATGCGGTCAATGAAGGACGGCAGATCCATGGATTTGCACATGTCGTCGAACTCGGTGAGGCTCTGTTGGAAAGGGGCGCAGGTGTAGTACAGCGTCTTGGCCAGGCCGCAGAAGTTGAACCCCTGGCCTGGGAAGACGAAGACGACAGAGGGCTGCGCCTTGCTGTTGCCTCTGCTGGCTGGCTCTGGCGTCGTCGAGGCCAACTGGGAAGTGAGCACTTGTCTCAGCTCCTTGACGCTCGATACACAGAAAGAAGAACGGAGGGCATGGTGTGGCCTCCGGGCCGTCGAGGTGTAGGCAATGTCCTTAAGTGGCACGTTTGGATGTGCGGCGAGGAAGTCGAGCAGCCTCTGCTTGTTCCCTCGCAGCGAAGCTTGTCCCTTTGCTGATACGACCACGACGTGTTGGGAACGAGGATCCTCACTACTGTGTCTGGCCTTGGGAGGTTCCTCGACAACCAGGCAAGTATTTCCACCCTGTGATGATGATAATAATCTTGTCAGCAAAACCGGTTCCGGTAGGTAGGTCAAAATGATTTAAGAGGGCTCAGGTGCAACCACATTCACGTACCGTAGCACCAAAGCTGCTGATGAGGACTCGACGTGGCTCTTCTGTGGAGAGGAAAGGTTCCACGCGGCGAGCAATGCGGATATTTGCGCTGTCAAGTGGCGGTAGCTTTGGGTTGAGGCGTGTCTTGATGCCTGCATGTGGAGGAATGGCATTTTCGCGGAACATCATGAGCGATTTGATGAGTCCCGTCACACCAGCGGCCTACGAGGATCAGGTAAGGTCAGCATTTGCCTTCCAACGACTGCGGAGGATGGCGGGACGGAATGAAGAGCGAAAACTTACACCCTCGCCATGTCCTACGTTCGCCTTGACACCTCCCACATAAAGAGGGTTATCAGGCTGCCTACCAGACCCAAAGGTAGAGACGACCGATGTCATTTCGGTGACATCTCCTGCCTGGGTTCCCGTCCCATGCATCTCGACATAGCCAACCTGGTTGGGGCTGAGACTGGCCTTGCGCAGGACCTCCCTGTACAGGTTGACCTGCGTGGGAGCATGAGGCTGGGTGATGGACGGCGCATTTGCCGAGTGATTTGTGGCAATGCCCCGGATGACACCCTGTATCTGGTCGCCTTCAGCAATGGCATCGGCCAGCCGCTTCAGCACAACAACTCCAACACCCTCACCGCGACAGTAGCCGTCGGCAGTCTCGTCAAAGGTCTTGCATCCGCCCGTCGGGGACACGAACCCGCCGCGGCTGAGACCAGACCACAAGTTAGGGCCCGTCATGATACTGCCACCGCCAGCGACAGCCATGTCACACTTGCCACTGACCAGGGAAGCACAAGCTAGCTCCATAGCCGCGCCGCTGGAAGAGCAGGCCGTATCGACGACGTAGGAAGGGCCTTCAAACTTGAAGAAGTAGTTGAGTCGTCCCGAAGCGAAGGAGCGCAGACCGCCCGTAACAAAGTACATGTCGACGTCCTGGCTGATGTTGTACTCGCGCCAGTCATCTGTGGCGAGGCCCATAAAGGTGCCGATGCGGCTCCTGTCGGGCTTGACATCGTAGCGGTAGCCAGCCATTTCCAGGGCCTCGTACGTGGTCATGAGAAGCACGCGCTGCACAGGATCAGTCTGCATGCTCTCGCGCGGGGACATATTGAACATGAGGTTGTCAAAAGCGCCAGGCTGGTCGAGAAAACAACCATAGGCAGAGTGGGCTGTGTTTGGTTTCTGGCCCGTAGGATCGACATGAAGGTCGGCATCCCAGCGAGTCTTGGGCACCTATTCATTCACGCAGGTCCTGTTAGCGACCGTGTACTTATCTAGTTTGACCGGAAGGTTGTGTGGTTTAAGAAAGGTAAGAATAACCTGCCTTCTCGTGTAGGTCTTTGTTCTGGACAAGAGTGTCCCAAAACTCGTACAGGGTCTTACTGCCAGGAAATCTCCCAGACATGCCGACGATGGCGATGGCCTCGGATGCATCGGCGGTCTGACCCACTTGGGGTGTCTGGACCTTGGCGGCATTGTCCAGACCAGCGGCCTTGAGGGACTGGCGCAGGAAGTTCTCGGCATTGGAGGGACCAAAGATGCAGACGGCGAGGCTTGAGGATGCTGCCCGCTGCAGCCCGTTCAGGGCCCCGTCGACAGCCCTGACGGGGAACAGCTCCTGCTGGAAGATGTGGTTCAGGGCATCTTGCAGCAGGTCATGAAGGGTCTTGCCCGGATACGGCGAACCTGAGCTGGGGTCGATAAGGGCCGTGCCCGCCGGGACAGAGGCGGAGAGGACAGGCGACGAGCCGACGATGGACTCGGCGCTAGGACTGGGCAGATGAGGTGCATGGAAGGCAGCAAAGATGGGCAGGCGGGAGCACCGCAGGCCTGATGAGGTGCAGGTCGAGACGAAGTCACTTAGGACAGACGGTGGCCCGCTGACGGTGACGCTGGAGGGAGTCTCGGAGCTGATGTAGACATGCTTGTGCACAGGGACAGACTGTGTCCTGTGGAAACGGTCGACAACAGTACGCAGGTCGGCTGGATTCGAGCTCCCACCAATGCTGATGGCGACAGACCAGCTGTCCGAGGAGCTGGAGCTGGAAGAGGAGGTAGAGGAGGTCGCCTCGATGAGTGAGGACCGATTACGAACCTGGAGGCCGAGTCGAAATGAGACGAGCGCGATGTGGGTGGCGATGGAGGTTAGATCTGACAGGTTGGTGGCCACTGCCGCGACGGCTGCGGGCAAAAGGCCCGTACAGAAGCCGATAATACGACGCTGGGGTGACGCCGAATGGCTGGCTGTGGTGGTGGTGGGAGTAAGACTCTGGGAGGGTGTTGGACGACCTAGTAGTGTGGGGTCTTGTTCTACTCGGCTGTGTTGGTGTTAGTAAGTAACTAGTTCCAATATAGGAAAACAAGATATAATAAAAGCAGAATATAATAATCCAGTTTCTTCTTTTTCTGCTCTGTATGTGTACTTACCGGATATAGTCGCCCAATTGGGCCAGACACAAGAGAAGAGTGGACAAGACAACCCGGTTGCCAGCCTCGCCACGGTATTCAACCAGGTCCAAGGCTGAGTGGAAGACAGGTAGTGACTGCCTCTCGTCCTCTGGCAGGCTTGAGATCTCTAGCCGCAGGGCATTGATCGTTTCGCCAAAGAACCGCTGCAGAGCTGGCGAGGTCTGAGACTGCCGGAGTAGACCCTGTAGAAAGTGACCAGCTTCTACCGTCTGGTCGCCAAAGAACATGACACTGTTGAATGCCATTGTTGCTAATGTTGAAAGAGAAGTGGAGGAAGAAGTATGACAAGGGATATGACAAGTAGTAAAGGATGGGACGAAGAGGAGGTACTTGGTGGAAGGCAATTATTGACACAGTGGGAGACGGGGGAGAGTGCAGAAGTTCAGTCGAAAGTATCAAATCGACCTAGACATAGGACAGCCTCATCCAGTTTCTTTAAAACATTTTGTTGTACACCGGTGGACTTGGCAACCGCCCTTTTTAAAGAAAATCAGAGGGCAGCCCAGATGTTCTGGCCCAGTCTCTTTTGCCTCTGAAGATCCTTGGATCATTATCCTTCTTCCTCGAGGCAGTGTCAAGTGTATCTCTTTCCGTGTTTTCCGTCTCTCTTGCCAACCTGCTAAGCCATGTCGAGTCAAGATACCAGGGCTGCAATCCATCTTCTCCCCAGTCGCCACTGGAATCTGACAGACACTAAACTCTTTAAACCAAAGTGATCAATGGTGTGCACCGTTGATAACTGGGTCTGCGATTACAGCACAAGATCCTCAATTGTTGATGATGGGCAACCACTTCGAAGAAGACCAAAGTTTTCTGATGCGCGCTAAATGCTACGCCCACGCTCTCTTGCTGATTTCAGGAACTGATAGCCAATCACTCTTGATGAAACCTCACACCGGTTGAGTCTGAAGGCTCAAATGGCTTGGAAACAAGTCAGCCCAAGTGTGTACTATGTACTTGCCTAGTTGCGGGCATGTAAACCCCCCCCCCCTCCTTGCCAGCACCCCACTGCCTAGGGGAGATACGTAAATGTACTTTTGTATCCCCTTATTCAATTAACAAAGGTCACTTCGAGCTAGTGCAATATGAGGTCTTGGCAGATGCATTAAATCAAAGAATTTTTTGGTGAGAAAGAAAGTAAAGAAACTTGGAACATTTGTGGGCAAAAAGAGGCTTAAACTGAATATAATGCAGTTTTGTTTAGATATTTGTGCACTTATTTCACGTTTTAAAACTACAAGAAAATAACTACCCACAATAGGAAGAAATCCTAGTACCAAATTCTATCATATTGGGTTCCAAAACAAAACAAAATAGTGTATATAAATGTTGTATTTTTGTACTTGGTACAAACTCAAATATGTTAGATCTTGGCAGTGGGGACAAGGATTCAGCAAGACTAGGCACCTTATATCGCTGCTGCCTTGCACTGCCAAAAGGCTGAAAACGTGCAGATCGTTCTATCTAGTAAAACTACTCAAGTGTTTAGTTGCATAGATATGTCTCGCAATGCCATGTGGATACCCAATCCGACCTGGATCCCTCTCGATCTTTGGGAACTCCTTCCCAATCCTACTTGATTCCTGCACCAAGACCCGAAGGATCCAGCTCTCTCCTAGCATGCATCCGTGTGTCTGGGCACCACTTCCGCCTGCTTACACCTCTCCGTCAAGGTCGCTTGCAGTCAGTTAAAAGCTGTAGCTGTACACGTGGATTGTCTGGGGTCGCCCAAGCTCGCGCACCTAGGATCGCCTGCGTGGAACTCTTCCTTTTCGTGGGGGACTAGCAGGGCTGTTTACGAAGCCCGCTCTTTACTCCACCCACACCACCTCCCACCCGCCTCAACTCTGGGCTGGAGGAATCTCTTGGCAACGAGCTCTCTGATATCATAACCGTCAAGGCGTTTTTCGGCTGGATGGAATCAAATGTATTCGTCAGCTCTTGCATCACATATTCCTTATACAATCACCGGCTCCGGAAGTGGGGTCCCGTCCACGATTCCCGTCTCAGCCGGCTGCACCCTCTCGGTGGTAGCAGAGCAGAGCTCACTCAGCATGTGATACCTTTGAGGATGCAGGTGTGGAAGGACGGCGCAGCGCACACGCCCTAGTTTACTAATCAAAGGGGCCTGGAACGATGCAAAAAGTCCAGTAAATCAATAATTGCCTCAACACAGTTGCAAGGCTGGCGTCACAGCGAGGTATGCATACACCGATACCTAGGTCGCCGTAATACTAAGTAGTATTGGCACCGTTTCATCCTCTCACTCACGCTAAGTTAGCCGGACACACACATGGTTCTTTTGGCCATCCTCGCCTCATTAGGTATACTATTGCTAAGCCCACTACCACCTTAGGCAATCAGATCGGCAGGCAATGCATGTGATCAAGGCACAGCTGCCGCTTATCTTCAAATAGCTGGGCTGCTACTCTTCCAGTCAGCTTACGGAGAACGGTACATAGCCCAGTAATAGCCCTGCAAGTTGATAAGAACATGGGGTTATTACTGCTGACATGGGCCAGAGTATTTCACTTTTTCTGGCATAACTAGGTTGTACAAAGTGCAGCTGGAGAGAGCGCGAGATAGCGCGACGAAGGGCGAGAACCCACAAAAGTGCAATAGTGCGATAGTGCAGGATGATTGATTATCACAAATCCGGCACCAACCTCCTGCGAGCATGTATAAGTGATTTGTGCTTATCGAGACCAGTTTACTGGCTGTGTGGTTCATGCACAACCTCGGGAGGTGAAGAAGGCCAGAGCTTTATTGGTTGATACTTGGTCATAAGTATCAAGTCTGTTTTCAGGCTAGCCCACAATTCATTGAGACATCTAGTAAGTACTTGCTTATTTACTGCGTAAGCGAGTTGACGGGAAAGGCATGGCGGCGGCAGTAATCGACAGGTTACTTTGTTTCTACGCAAATCAAAAATTGACAGCTAATCAACACCCGGTCTCTATAGATCTACAGACTTTCAATTGGAAGTGTGCTGTTTGAAGACATCATCAAAGACCTCCTGTGCATGCTTCTCTGCATCAAACTCGTAGATCCAGTCTTCTCTAGGAAACGCAATGCTTCCAGGGTTCTCCTTGACCTTGCCCCAGTCTACCTTGTGCCATATGTCCTTGTTTGTCTCACCCATTTTCTGAAGTTTCTTAACACGTTCATATCTGTTTTTGCGTCAGAAATCATTCATCAGTCATTGCAATATCAATCGTAATCCCCCTCCCTGGTATGAAATTGGATTATTTGTTGTGTACACGTACCGGATGTCTTGGTACGTCCTGAGCGCCGCCGGGACGTTTTCCTTTCCTGCTTGTTTCAAGCAGAATGCCAGGGTCACAGCATCTTCCATCGCCTGGGCGGCGCCCTGGGCACTTGTGGGCAGGAAGGGATGTGCAGAGTCACCCAACAGGGCAGTCCGGCCTTGTGTGCCGATCCACGTTGCTAGCGGAGGCCAGTTGGCCAGTTTCCAGTCGTTGAGATGGCCAGCGGGTGTCTTCTCGACAATAGCCTTCAGCAAGGGGTCCCAGCCTTCCAAGACCTTATACACGTCTTCCAAATTCCCTGGGGAGGACCATGACTGTTGATCCTGGATCTCATAATCATCTTTGTGGGTGAGGAACCAGCAACACTCTTTTCCGCCCTTGATCGTGCAGAATAGGAAGTGCACGTCAGGGCCAAACCAACCGTTGAAGGTGTCTTCTTTGCAGAATTCCTCGGTTCGAGGGTCAGTGGCTAGGTCAGTCGTCGGGAACCTGAAGAGAGAGAGAGTGTGTGTATACGAGTTAGAAATGGCGTGAAACAAAATGACAATACTCTTCTTCTTTTTCCTCTTTCAATCGCTCTGAAAGATTATCATCAGAATTGATATCGATAATGCAAGTGTAGGCTTACCATGCTCGCCAGATGGCATAACCGCTGCTGACCGGCTTGTCTGCTGAGCCGAGAACCTTATCTCTGGCTTTGGAGCGGACGCCATCAGCTCCGATCACCACATCGGCAAAGATCTGAAGATAGAAATTAGTCTGGTTCATGTAGCATGGACTGAAAGAGAAGGATAGAAAGGAAAAAAAATAACAGAGTCTTCCATACCTTTTCGCCAGTCTTGAGTACAATCCCAGCTTGATCGCCATCCTCCACATACTCCGTTATGTTCTGCCCCAGATGGATGGGAATTCCAAGCTGGTCTCTGGCATATCTGAAGATGACGGCGTGCAGCTCTCCCCGGTGGCCACCGATGGGCGGCAGCTTGGGCTGTGCAGGTGCCCCCTTGTCCGCAGGCGCCTTTTCTTTACCCATGGGGGAGTGCTTCTGGATAAAGACAATCTCGCCAGTATCGTACTTGTGGATACGGAAGCCATAGTCTCGAACGTTGATGCTCAGCCTGGCGAGCTGCCTTACCGTCTGGCCGTTGTCCCAGCGGTAGATGATCCGGCCAGCGTTGGCACCCAGCGTTATCATATCGCCCAGGATCTTGTGCTCTGGGAAAGACTCATAGATCTCTACCTTGTGACCTTGGCGGTGGCATTCTATGGCAGCGGATAGGCCGCCGAAGCCTGCACCGACGACAATGACTTTGATCCCGGTGTCGGATGCCGCCATTGTCTTTGTGCAAAATGATGTGTTTGTTTTCTTCTTGTGAAAGTAGAAGGGAATAGCATAAGATAAAAAAGAGAAAGGTTTCTTGGAAAATTATTGGGACTCAAACTAAGCTGCAGTGGAAAGATGGCGTAGCCTGAAAAGTTCAAAATATGTAAGGAGAGCTGAGCTGAGGGCTCGGTGACCCAAACGGCCCGATGGATGACCGACAACCCGGACTCACGGTGGACGGACTCAAGTTACCGACGTTTTTTTTCTTTTGGTTTCAATGGATTCCTGTTCAGCTGTAAGAATTAAGAAAACAAGGACGACGCGCAACCCAACACAGCGGAGGAGCTGATCAGGAACATGATAATGTGGGGGGGGGGGGAGGGGTGAAGGGTTCTCACCGGGGGATAATCCTAGAGCAAGAACCTCTTGTCATCCCATGGTGTTCAAGTACAATACAGCTTGTTCTAGGTATTAATCTATGAAAATTAAACGGCTAAATACTTAATCGGGTTAAATGAAAGTGTTGCTATGCTGCAGTGAGACTTGTGAATTATTGATCAAATAAGTTCTGTTAAACATTGGAAGTATTTAGTACTTGGGGGGTTCCATATCCCAAACAATAACTTGTGTGAAAATGATCTTAATAGGACATCAATCTTCATATTGTGTCAATTGGAATTGTAGCTGAAAATGACATTGAGAAACCTGTGCCTTAAAAACATAAACTCGGACGGTGCATGTGGAATCATCAAAGCTTCGCTTGAGAATGCTCACTGCATAAGTACTAAGCACTTACTTAACTGAAGGAATTACCCAAAAAGGCAGCAACCACGATAAAATACAATGTACCTTTCCATCACGGCATTGCATTATACGTCATACACAGTGTTCACATCTGACAAGGTGCCGTCTTACGTACTACCCTAGCGTATCCCCTCAATTATTACAAGCAGGTGGGGTTCTTGCACACCAAACAAAGGTACAGCGCAGTATGACCAATCACATTTCATAGTCAGCCGGTTTACTGCTCCTCCAAGCTAGCATCCCGGTGGCTAGGAACTGCCAAGTCTTCCACACAAGTGAGTCACACCTCTTTCGTGACCATATCTTTTGTACCTCTAGGTTTTTTTCTCCTGAATGGCACAGACACACATGCCGCGCCCTTTGAGATTTGCTAGTGCGTCCTTCAGGATCCGCTAGTGTCCTCATACGAAGGAGCTACCGCTGCGGCCGATGATATCAGCCCCGTGAAGGTCTTGTAAGTGCACTCCCCCTAGTGCTGAGTCGAGGCACGGACGGACATGGCGGGGTCTCCAGGCGCCGACCCAGCCCAGCATTTCCGTGGTTTTTCTTCGTATTAAGGTAAGCTGTAGCAATTGGAAGCTTGTTCAAAGCTCTGGAAGCTCTTGGGGAGCTCTATCTGGCACTGGTACTGGCTTCCGGCTGCTCACCCTTCTATCACCTGAATCTGTTGTACATTTGTTATCATTTCGTTCTTGGTTACCCGCAAGCAACCATGCCTGACACAACTATTTCCCTCCTCTCTGAGTCCATCTTCAGGAATATCAAAGTTGTTGACTCGTACCTCAAGGCCAATAATCTTCCAGGCCCAAGCTTCGATGTTGACGGCCCAACCTTCCTGGACATCGGATCTGATGGAGAGCATGTCGAAGAAGCTCGTGTAAAGGCCCTGGAGGCGGCTGTGGAGTTGGTCGACCTGCTGCAAGGTCCACTAGCGACTCTGCGTCCTCTGGTATGTGTATATCCCTCTCACGTCTGGCTTTGGAGAACAAAAGAGAAGCTGGTGCCATTTTTACTAACAGGATCTCACCCTATTATAGACCAACGGTGCCAGTCTACAAGCCATCTCGAGGTGGAATGTCGCGAGCAAAGTGCCCCTCGACGGCGAGGTGTCCTTCACTGACCTGGCCAAAGAATGTGGTGTGAACGCGGTTGACCTGCGCCGCGTGCTCCGCTACGCCATGTGCTACCACCGGCTCTTCTGCGAGCCGCGCGAGGGCTACGTGGCACACACGCTAGGGTCGCGCAAGCTGGCCGAGGAGCCCCTGCTGGGCGACGGGCTCTGGCTGCTGGGCGACCTGACGTACGCGGCGATGCCCAAGACGGTGGACGCGCTCGAGAAGTGGCAGGACCAGGAGCCGTCGCACACGGCCATCGCGCTCGTCTCAGGCAAGGAGGTGAGCACGTACGAGCTGATGCAGGAGCTGCCCGGGTTCGCGCCCAAGTTCGCGCGCGCCATGACCTCGTTTGCCAAGTACAACAACCGGTCCGCCAAGCTGCCGCGCATCAACTTCGTGCCCACCAAGCCCTTCCAGACGCTGGGCAAGGCCACGGTCGTGGACATTGGCGGGTCGCGCGGCACAGACGCCATGCTGCTGGCCGAGAAGTACCCGGACCTGAGCTTCATCGTGCAGGACCTGCCGCCCATGATTGCGAACGCCGAGGCCGCCGTGCCGCCGCCGCTGCAGGGCCGCATCAAGTTCATGCCCTACAGCTTCTTCACACCGCAGACGGTGTCGGCGGATGCGTACCTGATCAAGCAGTGTTTCCACAACTGGCCTGACCACTACTGCGTGCGCATCATCAAGAACCAGATCCCCGTCATGAAGCCCGGCACCAAGATCATCGTCATCGACAGCCTGATCCCTGCGCCTGGCACCATGTCGCTGATGGCGGAGAGAATGGCCAGGTACGTAACGCTGCTTAAATCCACATAGCAATCGCCTTGTCCTCTCTCTCTCTCTCTCTCTCTTTCTGTTTCCCTCTGTTCTGAAACACTTGTATGCAATAAACACTGACCTTTTTTCTCTTCTTCTTTCCTACAGGGCTTTCGACATGTTGATGTTGACGCAAACCAACGGACGCGAGCGCGAGGCCGAGGACTGGAAGCAACTTTTCAAGCAGGCCGACGAGCGGTTCAAGGTGACCAGCATGCACCCTCTGGCCTCTCCTGTCGACTTTGGACCTGCCACTGGCATCATCGAGGTCGTCTGGGAAGGCTGAAGGCGCCAATCACACAAACACCGCCGTGTACTCTCTTTTCTTTTCCCCAGATTATCGCGTGTTGAGGGCGACACGTGTTGTTTTTTTTCTTGTTTTTTGATCATTCCATCTTCGTCAGAAGCTTCCAATCATTTAGTTACAATCAACAAGCAATTGTATCTCTCGGTCGTGGCCGCGTAGATTTCCTCAAAACTGTTGAGCTTCAAAGGTGCTGGCACGGGGTGATGTCAGAACAAGGAATTCTATTGGCTGACCGCCTTACTATCGTGGGGCAGGAGCTGGGGCAGGGATCATGTCCCTAGCGTAAACGCCATCTCATGTGTGTAAGTGGGCACGGATTGGTGGGTATGCGGGGTAAAACGGTAGGGCTGAGTAAAAGGGCCTGCGTAGCCGACCGCAGCAGGCGGGCGCGCTCCTTTCTCCAATGTGGGGGTTCATCAATCCTAAGTTTCATACTATGCAGAATTGCAGAATTCTTCTTCGGTCCGATGCGAATAGGCTCCTCTTCCTGGTGCCTGTAACCAATCCTACAATTACTAGCTAGATCTCACGCAAATAGTCCCTGCAGCCAAGAGAATAGTCAAGTGTGTAACGTGTGAGGGGCAAAAAAGAAGGAGGAAGAAGGAGGGAAAAGGAACGAACGAAAGGAATAACCAAGGGATTGGGGGGGGGGGGGAGAAAAGAAAAGAAGAACAGCAAGACGTCACTGCTTACTGGCCTCAACAGACCCACATCTCAATCGACTACGGAGTACTCAGGCATCTAGATTCATTGTCCAAAGCAGAGAATCGATTAGACTTTCACTTGTTGCTCAGCCTGCTTGCTAGACTCTGTCAAAGTTGAGGACGCTCCGACTGGATTGGATTGATCGCCATGACGTGTCAAACTAGAGCTGACACCCTTCTTTTCTATCTTGACTGACAGGCTGCGCCGACGCATCCTGGCTTGCTTCCCACCCAGGCGCCCAGGCGTAAGCCTCTAGCCCCTTGGCTGTCAGATCTCTCAAAATCAGGCTCTCGAGGACTCGACTCCTCTCGCATGCCCACCAGCTCTGGGGACCGGTGAGAAGGACTCGTGCCGCACGGTAGAAATGCAACAGCACAACTAGTGCCCTGGCATCACCCCGGAAAGCGAGATCTCGGAACGTCCCAGCACAGATGATAGGGAGTGAGAAGAAGTAGCGTTCAATATCGGGCTGCAGTCGAGACAGAGCATCCGATGGCCCCTCGTCTGGGCCTGCAGAGGACAGGGAGGCGAGGCACAGCGCGATGGAGACGCCCCTCGAGACAAATTGGAATGCCCTACGCTGGGCATCTGAAGAGTCCGACTGAGGCTGTGTGGGTGTGGAGGGGCTTTCGGCCTCCTCAGGGTGGGGCCGTGTGGCTATATCATGCTCCCGTGGCAGCGACGGTGAGTCTTTGATCACACGACATGTTAGTATTTTGAAGACCGTAACCATGGACGACAGTTGCTGCTTCACAGAATGGCCGCAGGGCGCCTCGTCGCTGTAGAGAAACACTTCAAATCGGGCGAGAGAAGATGACTGCGAGGGTGGCTGCTCTTGTTCGGGGCCCCGGGGAGAGGACTGAAATCGCGGGTCATCCCAAACCCTCATGAAATGGGCCACATGTGCGCCCGGGTCTAGACCATGCTGTGCGAGAGACTGCTCTATCACAAGCCTGGGGCTGTAGAGGCTGGTGGATAGAAAGACGCTAGGGCTGCCCCAGAGAGCCGGGAAGGCCTCAAAAAAGAGATCCTTGATGCCCGAGCTCAGGCGGAACAGCGGATCCTGGGAGAAGTCCAAGCCGTCCGGTGTGCCATGGCCTGAACACTCTGGTTCCTGAACGAGGAATTCGATATGGCTCCAGGCTATGTACTGCATCAGGATGGAAGCACCGATGAGCTTCTCAACGCTATGTGTCTCGATTGGACCAGACAGCTTCTCGCCCAGAAGGGCAGCCGACTTGGTCAGCAACTGGAGTGCGATACGCGAATATCGACTTGGCTCAGGACGGGTTGCGGAGAGGTGAGTCGCTGAGAGACAGAGGATGGCGGACATAATGTAGGGCTCCTGCCATGTCGTCCCAGCCTTAGTGACAGGTTCTCAAGGCACCTACCGACGCTCTGCCGCCACTACATAAAAGCCTGTGGGGAGGAGGGAGCTGACCTGAAAGGACCATTGTATGATCTGTGGCCATATTTCTCGAAAGGATAGAGTATCGATGATATTTGTTTGGAAGTGGTGGAATATTTCCATGTGAAATAGGTTGATGGCGGTGTCATCGACCACAGCAGAAGGAGGATTGGCAGACTGGTGGGTGATGGCATCGCCACCAGCCTTTGCTCCCGACTTTACGACGAGCTTCGGTTGAACGCATGCTTCTTTCCTCTTTGCACAGTTGGAGCACGGAATTTTGTAATCACACTATTACTACTCATCAGCATCACCAGGTTGAGTGCAGAGGAAAGACGAGTGAAGTGGAGTTTCCAGTGTTTGTCTCTGTACGTCTCTCTCACCTTGACTCTCCGTCGCTTGCACGTGATGCAGCCCTGGCGGCTCTTGTGATGGGGCCGTTTCCTCCGTTCCTTGTCCTTATCAGACGAGCCTGTCACTCTGGGGAGACCCTCAGTGTCGGCTACGAAGACGTGGTAGGTGCCATGCTCAGAATCGTGGGCGACATCCGCCGCCATGGCCATGGACTCGTTGAGATGCCACGGATTGGTCGGAGGACGCCTCGCATGTCGTTGAATTCTAAACGAGAGAGCCGGCAGATTATCCTGTCGCGTCATCCCCCCCTTCTTAAAAAGGACCCTGCCAGCTTCGGACAGGGATCTTTTGGGGCAGGAAGCGGGGGCAGGGATCCGCAGCCAGGGTGTGCCACTGGCGCTCCTTCGAATTGCAGTATGCATGTAAAAGAGTATATATGCAGGGAGATGGCATGCATATGCATGTAATAGCAGTTGGCAGCCTGACATCACGTGAGTAAGCTCGTTCCCGTTCGGGGAATATGCGAGGTGGGCCCTCTCGTTCACCCGTTTCGGCAATGTACGAAGGGCCGCCTACGGCCCCACAATAGAACATCGATCGACACTAAGATAGCCGGCAGTCCCGCATCTTTCCGCCTCTTCGCACCAGAGAGCTGAAACAACATCGCTTCTACAGACCACCGAAGCACCGATGGAGCGGGAAACTTTGCACAAGCTGAGACCCGAGTGGAAGGCTTCTATCGCACCGATGGCTATCTTCTCGTTCCGCTTTCGAGTGCGAGGACAAAGGCAAGTGGCCGTTTGGCATCGCATTATGTTGCCTCACGCCGTAGGAGTCAAGTAGGCAAGGAGATGACGAAACCAGCAAAGTCACAACAGTACCAGTAGCCTGCGCCAACATGTCTATTCTGTCTTCGTCTTTGGTAAGCAAGCAAGGCAGCTTGTCATAGGAAGTGCGTGGTAGGTGGCTTGTGGAACTTCATCGTGGCAGTGACTGCGCAGTCACTCTCACCTGACTTGGGCGGCAAGTTGGCCTCGTTTCTTCTCCTCCGCCTTTTGTCTTTCTCGTTCCTGTACTTCCCAACTACTCTTTTGATTACTGCCATCTGGGACTCTTGGAAACCAACAGCAAATTTGTTTGCTGCTTTCTTCCACTATGTCTTTCCAAAATGAGAAGAAGGGAGCCGCCCATGACTCTGAGGATGGGAACCCGTTGGGTTTGGGCGAGGTAGATGTTGCGCTGCTCGACGCGCAGGTGGACATACCAAAAACCGACGCTGGATACAAGGCGATTTATCGTTTTGCAAACAGGACAGATTTTGTGGTGATGGGGCTTTCTTGTATCTCTGCGGCAGCGGCAGGGACCAGTCTGCCTCTGATGACAGTATGCTTCTTCGTCTTCTTCTTATATATCCAATCTTACTGCGATATTTGAATTGTCCCACTCACTGATCGTGGTATTAGGTCGTCTTTGGCTCCTTGACGGGCGAATTCACCGATTTCACCCCCTCCGATATAGACTCCTTTCTCAATAGCATCCACACGTTACTTCTCTACTTTGTCTACATAGGTCTGTGCCTACTGCCCCAGCATCCAATATGTCAGGTCTTCTCTCTTGCGAAGGCAAGCAGGGCCTGCAGCTGACACAGAAACAGGAGTTGTATGCGTCGTCTGCACCAGTCTCTGTGTCCTGGGCTTCACCTGGACGGGCCAGCGCATCTCCAAGCGCTTGAGAGCGGCATACCTAAATGCCATTCTGCAGCAGAACATCGGCTTCTTCGATTCCATCGGCGCTGGCGAGGTGGCGACCCGTATCACGGCCGATATGAAGCTCATCCAGGACGGTGTCTCGCAAAAGGTCTGCCTGACCATTGTTGGGCTGAGCTCGTTCGTGGCCGCCGAGGTCATCGCCTTTGTCATCTCGTGGCGGCTTGCACTCGTCATGCTGAGCGTTCCCGTCGTCATTATGGTGTGGATGGGTGCCGTTGGGAAAAGGATGAAGACGGCCCAGCTGGGTGCCATCGATGCATACGCCTCCAGCGCCACCTTCGCCGAGGAGGCTATCTCATCAGTGCGCGATGTCATGGCCTACGGCACGCGGCATCGCTTTACCGAAAAGTACGACAAATCGCTGGAGGGTGCAATGGGCTTGGACTTCAAGGCTAAGGCGATCTTGAGCGTCTTCATTGGCGGTCTCATGTGGGCGATGCTTGCGTCTTTTGCTCTCTGCTGCTGGGTTGGTGGGCGCTTTATGTCCGCTGGCGACGTCACAGTCTCCCAGGTCGTTACCGTCCTCCTCGCTTCTGTCACTGCTTCCATCACCTTTGGCAGCGTTGCCCCTAATATCCAGGCCTTCGGTGCAGCTAGTGGAGCTGCCCATCGATTGTTCGCTATCATGGAGCGGAAGTCACCTATTCCCCTAGAGTCAGGACAACAGCCTGATACACCTGTCGTCGGCCATGTCAGGTTCCAAGACGTCAGTCTCGTTTATCCGTCTAGGAGAGGCCAGTTCGTACTCGAAAACTTCAATCTGGAAATCCCTGCGGGTAAAACCACGGCTGTGGTAGGACCGAGTGGGTCGGGGAAGTCGAGTATCTTTTCCTTATTGGAGCGTCTGTACTCTCCACTGCGCGGTCAGATATTCATTGATGGCTACGACATTACAAGCTTGAGCCTGCCGTGGCTGAGATCCCAGATAAGGATGGTGTCCCAAGAGTCTTTTGTGTTCAACACCACTGTGTTTGAGAATATTGCTTATGGCCTGGCGGGGACTCATCTTGAGAGCGTTAGTATCTTCTTCCAGTCATTTCGTGTATGTCGAGAGGACTACTAACGATAGGTTGTTTAGGCTGATCATGGCACAAGAATTGACCTGGTCAAGCAAGCTGCTAAGATTGCAAACGCGCATACTTTCATTATGGACCTTCCACAGGGATATGACACAGTCCTGGGAGAAGGTGGTAACCTCCTGAGTGGTGGTCAACGACAGAGGATTGGCATTGCCCGAGCTATCGTTTCGAACCCGACGGTACTGCTTCTCGACGAAGCCACGGCAGCCTTGGATTCAGAGTCGGAGAGCGTGATTCAGAAAGCTCTACACGCAGCCTCGCGGGGACGCACGACGATTACCGTTGCCCACCGGCTTTCGACCATCAAGAATGCCGACATGATTGTGGTCTTGGAACACGGCAAAATTGCAGAGCTGGGCACACATGACGATCTACTAGAGAAGGGAGGCACGTATGCCTCGCTCGTCTCTGCCCAAAAACTCGATGCCGGCCTGACGAGGCCGAGCGTTGAGTCCATGTCCACCGTGTGCGAGGATGACGCTCAAACTAGTAACCAAGAAGCGTGGCTCGCCAAGGTGGACAGCATAGCTTCGGCGGCGCATAAGCAGCAACCTGGACCCAAAACCGAAACCACGTCACGATTTACCTTGGTCAAGTTTCTCTGGGGGCTCAACCAGCCAGAGCGGAATCGCATGCTCCTTGGATTCATTGGTAGCTTTTTCAGCGGCCTGGCCTATCCCTTCACAGCCATCTTCTTTGGCAACACCGTCCTCGCCCTCCACGACCCTTCCGAGACTCTAGGAGGCCTGGGCGTCGGTTTCTGGACCGGAATGCAGCTCCTGCTCGCCTGTGTCGTCTTCATAGCCTATCTCGTACAGGGCATCCCCTTTGCCTTTGCTTCTTCCAGGCTGGTCTCACGGGCGAGAGCCGTCGCATTTGCCGCCATTCTGCGCCAAGACATGACCTTTTTCGCCAAAAATGATTCAGGAGCGCTCACCGCGTTTCTATCGCTACAGGCAAACCACCTCAATGGTCTTAGTGGCTCGATTCTCGGTGCTGTTCTGGACGCCCTCTTCGCCGTTATAGCCGGCTTTGCGGTCGCTGTCTCGTTCGGCTGGAAGCTCGGCCTTATAGCGGCAAGCTTGATGCCCCTGACCATCATAACGGGCTATTTACGGTACCGCCTCCTTGCGGATTTTGAGAAGAAGATTCTTGGAGACACCGAGGCAACGAGCATTGTGCTCGAGGCCGTTCGTGGTATCCGCACCGTCACGGCCTTTGGGCTACAACCGACCGTCAACTCCAGGTACAAGGCTCAGCTGGAAAAGGAACACCACTCGGGCGTTCTCTGGGACGTCGGGATGGCTGTGCTTTATGGCCTGAGCCAGTCCATCGTGATCCTCAGCAGCGCTCTCCTCTTCTGGTACGGCGGAACCCACCTGATCGTCACGGGCGAGTACAGCGTTCGCGAGTTTCTGATCTGCTACATCGCCACTGTCTACAGTGCCCAGGCTGCCGGGAGCATCTTCTCACACGCGCCTGACGTGGCTGGTGCACAGGAGGCTGCGACTCGGCTCAAGGCCCTTGTGGAGACAGTGCCGATTATAGACCCTGAGTCAGAGGCTGGCAGCGGCGCGGAGAATATAGTCGGGAACGTGGAGCTGTATGGTGTGGACTTTGCCTACCCAACGCAGGCCCATCCGGCGTTGAGGCATGTGAGTCTTCGTGCAGACTTCGGGAGGTTCATCGCCTTGGTCGGCGCGAGCGGCAGCGGCAAGTCATCGGTGCTCGCCCTGCTGGAGAGGTTCTATGATCCGCGTGCTGGGCACGTCTTGGCTGACGGCAAGGACTTGCACCGGTATAACCTACAGTCCTACAGAAAACAGGTTGCCGTCGTTGCTCAAGAGTCCACTTTGTACAGCGGCACGGTGAGGGAGAACATTACCAGTGATGTGGACGCCGATGACTTTGCCATCTGGAATGCTTGTCATCAGGCAAACATTTGGGAATTTGTTGTATGTGTTTCTCATCCCCCCTGCTTTGATTTCTGTGGTTACTTCAACGAAAGATCTGTCTAACGAGGCCACAGCAATCCTTACCCGACGGGCTCAGTACACTTGTTGGCCCACGAGGTAGCCAAGTGTCTGGAGGTCAAAAGCAGCGCCTAGCCATTGCAAAAGCTCTGCTTCGTAACCCAAAGATTCTGTAAGAGGTCCCCAGAGCCCAGATGTCCAAACAGACACAGCGCACTAATGATATTCCTTTTTAGCCTCCTTGACGAAGCAACCTCAGCCCTCGATTCAAAATCGGAGGCGACCGTGCAGAGGGCACTCGACGCGGCGGCACAGGGCCGAACAACCATCGCTGTAGCTCATCGGCTGAGCTCCATTGCTCACGCAGACTGTATCTTCGTGTTTGAGAGCGGGAGTGTCGTCGAGTATGGTGATCATCAGTCGTTGATGGCGAGGAGGGGCAGGTATTGGGAATATGTACAATTGCAGAACCTCAACAAATGAGTGTCTCGTTCGGTTGCAAATTCTGCATGCATCCCTCAGTCAGTCAGAGATTTTACAAAAGAGCTTCATTTAATGTTTCATCTTGTACAACTTAGCTTGTTCGTCTTGTTTGAGTAATAGACACTTGGCCTCGTGTCCGGCTCAGGAGCGCAGCAATTCAACATCTCAGCTCGCCTGGCCAGCTTCATCCCCAGCTTCCAGGCTGGTCCCATGCTTGTTAGTACGGAGCTTCTCACGTAATGAAATGCAATATACAGTACTAAAAAAAAAAAAAAAAGATAGAGTCAGAGTCTGAAGATGGCGTGTCGGGTAGACGATATTGATTGGTGTAATTAGTGGTGCACACATAAAAAAAAAAAAAAAAAAAGGCATTCCAGTTAGAAAAGGCTCCTGGGCTCCTATAATGGAGGCGAGTATTGCCACTGAGCTTTCCCCTAGTAATTAGTACGTGGAATACAAGGTCTGCCGTCCAATACAGCGGCACGAAGGACTAGTCCCGAGAGATGTAGTATTATAGATAAAGTGTCCCCATATTACCGATGCCTTAGCCAGTAGGAACGAGGCAACGACTGAGAATTCGAGAACAACGTGACAGAAGAGGCATCAGCTCTTATTACATGGGTGCTATGATATAGCTAGATCATCAAGGACGTTATATAATAATTTCGTCTGGTCATAGGATATAATCGGAATTGTAAGGGGGATTTCGTTCTTTTATTATTATTGCTTTTTCAATTTGTCTTTCTCATGCCAAAACCCTGACAGTTCACTGGACAAGTTCACATAGTCTCAAATGCTCGAGCTCGCTCAAACTAAATGGCGCCAGAGTACCTTGCTCTGGCAGATCGCAGTTTTCTGCTTGCCACTCGAAAGATCGCGTTCAGCATGCTAAAATAAGAATGTGGCAAGCATATATGTGCTGACTTGCATTTAAAAAAAAAAGAAAAAAAGACGAGACCAGATGCGTATTGAGACCGATGTTCCGCTCGATTGTGTAAGGCTAATGAACACCGAGGAGCAGGCCACTGGGGTTGATCACTGCTGTAAGTGTTCATCTGGTAGGTATTCTGTGCGAGGGCCAGTGAGTCACTGGCCCTACTGTAGGCTGTGCACGGCCCTGCCAGCCAGCCAACAGCCAGGCCTGTTGATAGCCTCAGTTAGTTGCCCTCGTGGCTCTTCTCTTCCTTTCTCTTTTCTCTTCAGCGCACAGCAATATGAGCCTTTTTGTCCTTGCATATTTTCTGTTTCCTCTTCCGCGATAATCAAACGCATGCACACTCAGCTCGAACACATTAGGAAACTGAGGCCCCCGGACGGATGAGCAGCCGCTGGTGAGAAAGGTGCACTTGGATCTTCAAGTAACAGAAATGGAGCGCCTTACCCTTGTCCATCCTCCCTTCTCTTTCCTGTCTCCTGCTGCGACAGGCCTCCATCTCAGCTGAGACCCGTGACGCATTAATTACGGAGCTTTCCGACTTGGACTGAAATCTCTGGCTCTTGTCCTCTGAGTTGACCTTCGTCATTACTTTTCATAACAGCAGCTCTGAGAAACAAGCTCCAATTCTCTCATTATAGCATTCAGTATTAAATGCTTACTACTTGCAGTCGTCGCCAAAGCCACCTCTCTAAGCCTACGGCATGTAGCCAATTCAGGATGTTGGACTGAGACCAAAACAGAGGTGACAGGTCCGAAGGGATATCGAAGAAAAACATTCTTATGTCGCCCTTGGATACTTCTTTGACTCTGCCTTCAACGAAGGGGGAAGGGAGATTGAAGCCGCGTAATCACTTCCCCGATGAAACAGACGGCGAGACACGCGAGTTGGATTGGATCAGCTATGTCTGTCCTGTTTGTTTCTCTAATGCCGGCGCTTCGGCGCCAGGCCGAAAGCACCGCACCGTGGGGGAACGCATGATAAAGTTGATAGATTTGACCAACAAGGCGGTGCTCACTTTTTGAGAAGGGTTTTGGGGGGGGGGGGTGGGGAGCATCGATGGGTTGCTGGCCCAAGGTCCCAAGTCAAAGACCTTTCTATGAGGAGGCGCACCAACGACGGATTACACACAGAAGCACATGTCACTTTGCTGGCTTGATATATAATACTATAACCAACACCCTGAGCAGGCGAAAAAAGTGAGTCGAGAATGATTCCTTTGTTTCTTATTTTTTTTTTTTTTGGAGGGGCTTTTCTCTTCCCTTTTAAACTTGTTCTTTTCTGTCGAGGAAATGGTTCTTCTGTGCCTTATGTGACGTGACACCGCAGGTGAATCGATCCCTCCTTGTGTGTATGTCCTTGTATGTTCCCCCTCTAGGTACTATTTCTGAATGCACCAAATCGCCTCCACTAATAGGTACCCAGTGCCGGAATGAGAAAAATAGGGGTTTACAAGTGCTGTCGCCCGTATATCGCTTCAGGTCTTTCTTATGTATCAATCAATCAATGTGTGTTGGGGGGGGGGGGGGGGCGTCGGGCTGGCAAGATGGACAGGCGTTGTTTCAGCCCGTCATCTTGGCGTCAGTCCTCTTTATGTTTGCGTGGATTCCTGCCCGCAGCCCGCGGACTCTTCTCTGCATCTTTTACACATGCACCAGCCACCCAGGCTTCCCTGGGCCCACTCTCTTCTCTGCTGGACCGGCAGGTTGATGTCGCAGTAGTGATTGAGAATCTCTTCTCCGGCTTTGATGCCGCCCGGCTCGTCACTGTTAACCTTCTTCTCTCTGGCCCAGAGCCGCATCCGCCCGCCCCATTCCCAGGTCACGTTCGGACTGCAGTCATGGTTTGCCAGGCACCAGAAGGGATGTACGGCCGCCACGTCAGGTCGACCGTCTCGCGTGCTCTTCCTGGCAGATGCCGTGCCCCTAAACTTGGCGTAGCAGGTGTTCAAGACCCACAGGTCGTGGCGATCAAGGGTCTGATAGATATCAATGTCCATCTTCTCGAGGATGTGTAGGGGCTGTTCGATGTTGTACTTGAAGGAGAACGGAAGGGTCCAGTCCGGTGGCGGCCCGGCGTTGGGCGAGAGGTCGATGGCGTTGGTGCGCGTGGAGAGGAAGTCGCCCCAAATATACTTGATATTCTTGACGTCCAGGGGGTGAATTTCCTGGTGTGCAGACATGGCGATCAGGCGGGCGAGAAGGAGCAGGTATAATGATGCGTCTGCCTCTTTGGCCTCTGGATCCTTGGCGATCGCGTCCACGTCCTTCTCACAGACAGCTGGGTGGTAAAGCTCCTGCGCCTTGTCGTGACAAAACTCGTCGCAAAACACCGTGTCGTAGCATTCTTTGCACTGGATGGGACCGCCCTCGGCGCTCAGAGGCGGCAGTTCCACGCCGCAAGCGTCACAGGCTGACTCCTTGTGCCTGTTATTGGCCGTCAGGAGAGAATACTCATTCAAGACGGTCTCGCCCGGGGCGATGTCCTCCTTGGCAAACAGCCCCAGCTGACTGCAGGTGGGAATGATGGCATAGTCGTCTGTGTTGCTCGCGCCGTCCAAGAGCACTGGGAGCTCGGAGACCCGAACGGCGCATTTGGGGGCCATGGGCGCCAGTTCTCCGTTGAGGAATGCCAAGGACTCGTCGGAGAACCGATCAGGCTCGTACACATTCCAAGGGTAGACCTCCCGCCGCACAACGCCCCACTCTGGCAGGCGGTCCATATCAACGTCGCCAGTCTGGAGTCTACGGCGGCCCATAGTCAGGATGTGTTTCTTGGTGTTGAGGAGCTCCTGGTTGCTCGGGAAGGCGGAAATGCCGCGCTGGCAGTAGGTGTAGGCGCTCTTGAGGCAGCCACAGAGCAGGAGGCTGATAGATATGATCTGGTAGCAGCGGATTGATGCTATGGCGGCGAGCTCTTGGTGAGAGCTGGGGCCGTGAGGGCCATGGCCGTCCACCATGTCGGACAAACCCCTGCTGAGGTCACCATAGCGGAGGACCTCCGGGAGGGCGGCAGGAGAGGATGAGTAGGGGCTGAGGGCCTCGATGGCCTGGTCGTGGTACTCAAAGCCGTCATTGCGGATCTCGTCGGTCAAGAGCAGGGCGCGGTAGGCATCACCAGCAGCGAGATCAGGATAGCCAAGTTCTGAGTAGACGACGGCGCGTTGGAGGTAAAGGATGAGGTCGTAGGGGGAATCTGCCAGGGCGTCGGTGATTTGCTCACGGCGCTCGAGCAGGCGATGGTCGGTGGCGTCTGTATCGGCGCCATCACTGGTGGTGTATGAGTTTGTATAATCGTCAGAGTCCATGGCGGGCGGTTGGTGGGGACTGTCCAGAGGCGACCTGGGGAGCTCTCATTGCGCGCGTTCTCTTTTCTGGTTTGCTTGAATTTCGAACGGTCTAGATGCAGGGGCGGGACGCGGCCCTCTCTGACCAAAACCCCTCCTGCTCTGCTGTCGGAAGGAGGGTCAGCTCCGGTTCTGGCGTTTTGAGAGGTTTGAAGTATGGCGGGACATGCCTGACGTATGGGCCCACCCTTTCGAGGTATTGGGAGGAGGGGGAGCAGGAAAAAAAGACAAGAAGAAGACGAACGAGAGGGGTGGGGGATAAAAATGGGAAGGAAAGAAGAAGGGGAAAAAGTAACAAGAAAAGAAAAAAAAAAAAAAGGGTGCTCGAGATAGGGCGGGTGGGCTAGGGCCCGGTGCTGGCGTCGAGGGTTATGGGACCCTCTCTTCCCAACTCAAAAAAGATGATCGCAAATCAAAAAAACCCGAGTAGAAAGAAAGAAAAATCAACGAAAAAGTCAAAAGTAACAAGAACCAAGTGGGGCGATCGTGAAGATCAACAGACGGAACTCTGGATCAGGATGACAATTTGAGGAGCTTAGGCTGGTCCTGCGTGGTGTGTGTGCGAACGTGTGTATATGTACACCTTTGGGGCATGTCGTAGAGGTACAGTGTGTGTGTTTGTCTGGTGCTGGCCCTGCGGGGTCTTGTGGCCAAGGTCACCGTGACGGGGCTCTGGTCAGGGAGGGGCACGCCCCGTTGCGTTGGTGTGCGTAGTGTGTGTGGTGCGCGGTGCTGCAACAACCCCTGCCAGGGACTTTGCGGGTACGACACAAGAAATGATACGCAGGACTTGGACCCGATAAGTGACAGAGACCCTGGCTGGCGACTCTGAGTGGTGAGGTATGAAATTGCTGGTGCAGATGACGGGTGGTCGGTTTTGTCGGTGTTGCGGGAGACTCTGGGGGGTTCAGAGGCGTCCCCTGTCTAGTGTCTAGTGTGTACATACAATGCTACTAATGTACGGGCCAGGCCCCTATGTACAGTACAGGACAGGCCTAGCCTACAGAGCCTGTGTACTTAAAAGTAGGTAGAAACTGGCTGATCCCTCTGGGAGTGACCAACATCTTTGTACCGTAGCAGCGCAGTACCTTGGCCACTGGGGTCAGGTACCCGTACTGGACACTCCTGACGTCTCCGAGAGGTCGGTTGTTTTCATAAACAAATTGGGACCGACTACCCCCCCCTTTCAATCGAGACGAGATCTGGTCCGTCTCCCGGCACAGATCGTTGGTAGCACTGTGTCCATGACAACCCTTGCCCACAGTGACAAGACCAGGGTAGGAAAGAAGGAAATAAGAAAGAAAAAGAAAACCAAGAAAAGAGAAGGGGGGCGGGGGAATCATTATCATTGCCCTCTGTCTCCAGATAGGTTGCGCTGTCAATCTGTCAAGATTGTCAATAGCCTTGATTTGATCTCTCAAGGTCTGGGGGTGGTATGTACTATGGCAATTAGTGGTTAGTCCGAACCTACTTTGCGCAATCCGAGCCATGGGGCCTTGGTTGTTTTCAAACATGGGCCATAAGCCACGAGATGGCGTTTTTCGCGCGAGAAAGCTGAATTTGCCATTTTTTCGATTTTTCCCGGTTGGCTGAATCGGGGAGGGATCTACCACTGTCAAAACCTTAGCCCAGGATCACGGCCACTCGCTAGCCTGGCGTCCAGACCAGTCTGGCGCACGAAAGAAATCTTTTCAGGCATAGGGGAAACCCCCAACAAGAAACAAGCCGCCGTTTCTGAACCTGAACTTGCGAGATCACTATCTCACAGGACAGTCCTTCTTGAGTTGCTGAGACAAGAATATATATGAGAGGGAGGGAGATGGAGAGAAAGGAGGGGAAAACTACAGAGGGGAAGAACAATATCAAGGTGCAAGCCAGGTCGGTTCCTGTAACAAGGAACCCAAGTATTTCCTCCCGGAGCTTCTGCACCGGGCGGCCCCAGTGGACCCAAGGCACTGAACCCCCACCTGTCTTGCCATTGCCTTGGTGCTGCCGTGGTCACGATGGCGCCCGGTTCCTGAGCTTTCGTTGGGACCCTAGACACGGACAGAATCGAATTTGGACCCTGAAAATTTTACCATCCCTCCGCCTAACCCCCCTCCCGCCCCCAAAAATGATCAAGGGCGGACATCTGACTTCAAGGGTCCAGGGTCCAATTGGCCTCAGGGTCCACGGAGGGGTGGTTTTTTTCTGTCTCTGATGACCATTCAAACTCGATCATGATATCTTTCTGCAGTGTGTGGCGATATTGGCGCCCCGCTGTTGGCTGCCTCACATGATACTTACGTAGATCTAACCTTTTTTCTTCCCTTCTCGTCTTCGTGTTTTTTCCCCTGCCTCACCACCCAGTCAACTACTCCGTGCGTCCATTCAGATCACACCGTGAGTCTCTGGCAAAAGAAAAAAGGGTTGTTCGTCGGCGAGGCGCCCGTTGCCGCACGAGGAGCTAGAAATAGTGCATGTCTCGACCGTTGCCTTTTCTGTCCGAGCGTGCATGTTGTTTCAAGATCCCCTAACTTGGTAGCGGGACGTGAGCTCGTAGAGTGACCTTTGCTTTCCCCTTCCCTTATCCCTCTGTCTTTTCTCTGCAGAGGAAAGGGGAAGGGAGGGAAGAAGGAAAAAGAGAAAACTGACGCACAAGTCGAATGGCGAAAATGGGCACGGGGACACAACGCATGAATCACCTGGTAGCATGATCATTACCACTTTCTGCGATGCGGTGCACACACAAGATGAAAATCTCGACTGCTCATTGAGGATTCATGACCTTGGGTTGTTGGGGCGCTGACACATCACAAAAGACCTCCATTTCCCGAGACATGCACTCCCCTTCTCCTCCCCCTCCCCCAACCAAGCTACCCACTGTTGAGGCGCTTGTGCTCGTCAGTATTAGACTCTCTATTCATCGGGTTCACTTCATACCAAGACTAAGAGAGGTCCAGCACATGTGCTATTCGGGCTGACAGAGGAGAAATAACACATGGTGCTGTACGTCCTGCAGGTTAACCTCATTTACCTAAAACATATGCACATCGCCGGGGGTGGTACCGCGATGCGACCCTGGGGTGCGATTCGTGCGTGGCCCTACGGTGGTGGTGGTGGATGTGACCCGATTCGGGACTGGAATTATGCAGACTAATAGGGACGACCACGGCATTGAGGCATGCGTACTCTGCGATGAGCAGACGTGTAATATGTCCAGTACAGTACAAGAGAGAGACGGAGAGAAAACATGTTTACTTTTTCGATTGTCTACATTTCTCTCTAAGGAGGGAGAAGAAACTCTTCTAGCACTATATAGTAAGTAATTTACGTATCATTGTCACATCTTCGAGAAGGAAAAAGTGTCTGTCGCATGTGCACACTTGTGTTGTGGCCCTTGCTCGGGGCCCGATACGCTTGAACCCGCCCTTCCCCGTATGCAGCCCATCTCTTACCAGCCTGGCTCCATCTATCCGTCCCCCCCCCCCTTTCCACCCAATATACCCGATGACCCAATCATCTATTGTCTTGCCTTTCTCTATGACACACTACAGGACGCCAGGGGTCTACGTGAGTGTGTGTGTACGTGTGTAGTCTGATCGACATGCATGCATACATGCATATGCGCACATGGCCCTTGTGTCTCCCCCCCCCTGCTTCTTTTACTGACCAGCCGCCAGCAGATCTGACAGTCCATCCACGTAGTACGCTGGATGGGCCACGGCCCCTTCGGCTTCCCAGTCGGCCTTCTTGTTCACACCCGTCAGGACGGCCAAGGTCCCGCCCAGCCTGCCCTCGATCCCAAACAGGATGTCTGTGTCGAGCCGGTCTCCGATCATGCATGTTCGGGCCCGGTCCAGGTGGAACTTACCCTCGATGGCGTCCATCATGGCCTGGCTGGGCTTGCCCAGGGCCAGCGGTTTCCTGCCTGCGACGTTGGCCAGGGGCGCGAGGACGGAGCCGGCGCCGGGGAAGAAGGCGTGGTTCATGGGCAGGGTGGCGTCGGTGTTGGTGGCGAGAAACTGGGCACGGCCTCGGGAGAGGTACTGCTGGGCCGTGGCCAGCTTGAGGTAGTTGACGTGAAAGTCGAGACCTGCCAGGACCACTCCGACGTCCGGGTCCAGCAGCGAGCCGTCGGCGAGACCGGCAAAGTCGGCGTCCGTGATGTCCCGCCGGAGGGCCGGGTCGGTGCCGCCGAGGAAAGAGACGCCCTCAGACCGCAGCTCGGCCTCGATGCCTGCCTCGCCCAGCACAAATACCTTGTTCCGCGGCGCTGGTAGCTGTAGGATACGGCTAATATAGATGGCTGCCGAGTAGGACGACCCGAACACATCCTCCTCGGTGCAGGTGATGCCCTTGGCCGCGAACTTTTTGGTGTACTCTGCGCGCGACTTGGTCGAGTTGTTTGTCACGAACACGGTGCGCTTGCCTCTGGACCGTAGCATGTCTATCGTCTCGGCAATGTTGGGGAAAAGGTGGTCGCCCGACCAGAGGACGCCTAGAAGTCTTGATGTTAGGGGATGGGATGTATAGCTTCTCTCTTTCTCATGTGGACCAGCTGATACATACCATCACAGTCTATTAGGAATGTCTAAAATCGTTTCCATGTTAGTACAGGTAAGGAGAATTGGTGGATGGAATTGTGAGAGCCTCGATGCCTTGTGTGGCTCGTGGTCGAAAATGACGCACATCGAACTTGTCGAGGAATTCATTGATGGCGGCGACATCGCCGGTGAGATAGCGTGATTCTTGAGAAGACGCCATGATGATTGTGGGTAACGACGAGGTTGCTGCAAATAGTAAGAAGGCCAAAAAAATGAAATTGGGAAGGAAAGATGTTTGTAGTGATGAGAAATAACCAGTGGCTGTGAGTTGAAGTTGTGTCGAGAGTTGACTAAGTTCTCAACTTAGTAGCGAGTATCGGAGCTGGGAGGTTTCGAAAGCGGTCGCGTCCACCTCGGCCTTGGTCCGCAGCAAACAGGCGATGAAGCAGACCACATACATACACACAAGGTACAATCTTTTGCTGGAGGTCAAGTTTTAGTATATTTAGTTGTTTCAACTATATACACTTACTGTGGGTTATGAAATTCAAAGGTTCATGGGGAGGAAAGGCATGTGGACAGACACTTCAGAGCCCACCTATAATCACCTCCCCTAACCCTGCCGCATACGTTGTACAAAGAGATGTAGGCAACAATCAGTGAATGCGATCACGGTAAGGGCAGCGGCCGGCGGACCGAACCTTCTCTTTTTATTACTTCCCGCCATACGCCTTTCCCAGCACAGTTTGGACGACGTATGGACTTGTAAAGCGATTGAGATGCTTTTATTCTTTCTCATAAAAGAAGAAAATTCAAGTGAAAAGTCATTTCAACTCTTATCCCGACCCAATAGTTACTAGCACTACTGCTATACAATGTTATACGTGCGATCGCCATAACAGTACGACGTGGTAAGGTCGGGCTAAAATCTCAGACCAAAATGATGTGCACACTGCACAATGACGACATTGGTTCTCCACTTCGGATCGGGGGCCCTGTTGGCGATGCTAAACTTCCAGGCCCCGCGAATTTGGCAATTTTCATCCATGTCATGCCACTTGGGAAATTAACGACTGTATAACTCTATCGCTACTTGCAGACATGTGCGTGCGCACAGAAAGCAATCGAAATTAGTCTTGTACTTGATTTAGATGAATGAAATAAACCAAGAACCATTCCAACGTATCCTCGTCCTTGCATGGCCTAACCCCACTGGGCGCAAGAGATACAATACATAAAATGTCGGCGGATTGATCAAGAGCACGAGCTGGCGTCAGAGAAGCTCATTTGCCACACGAGGCGGGGACTCTTGGAGACGGGGATATATAGTGTATGTGCGTTGAAAAGGAGGGGAGACGGTGCATATGGTCCCCTCCTCCCATGTGGTGGCGGTGACGGTGACGGTCGCTTATTGTTTCGAGATTGGTTTCTTTTCTAAGAGTTGCTATGGTACTTGTACTTGGCATGTGAAAAATAAAGGCATCTTTAGAAGTCCCGTCCTTTTCATCCCTTCGTCCCTTGCTGGGAATAAAGTTTAGGGACTGTCGGAAACCGGCCTGTGATTTCCAAGGGAGACAAATAGAGCTGTGCCGGATCCTCATGTCCATAGGAAAAAGAGCCAAAGCTGAGCGGTTTACTCAATACTGTACCATGTTACTTGGGAGTCAGCCACTCACTTAATGCCTGTCTAATGTCTCGATGACGAAGGCAGGAAGCCTCTGTCGGGGATGTAATTTGACTCGTCACCTTTTGATTCCCGCCACGAGCACGCCTAAAGGCAATTACTCTGGTACACTTACCAGACCATTGTTTCTTCTCTTGTCTTTTTTCTTTTTTTAAAAAAAAATACTCAGAGGTGGCTCCTCTGCTGTGCTTATCTTTACTATAAAACCCACAAGATCAGCCAAGCCGGTCAGCAAGCGGTGTGTGATTTCGCGTGGCAAAAGACTTTCGAAAAAGAAGATACAAGTATTTATCTCTGACGGCGGACCCAGCACGCCGTCACCCCCCTCCACCAGACCGGACCATCCTTGCAGCTGCAGCCTGCCAGGGCCTTATCGATAGCGCCCAGATACCAGAAGTGCCAGGGAACTTGCGACGTAACCCCCCACTATCGCAGCAACTTCCTTAGAACCCATAGCACCACAGAGCTCCCCCTCCCCACCAACCCCCAAGAGAACATACCAGACCTGCCCCTCCAACCGACGACACATTCAGGCTTTCCTCCAATCTTCGATACCGCATACCCGCATACATCCACCTACCAACCCCCCTCGACTCAATTTTTTTTTTAACCCCTCCTCTATCTTGTATTATCTCTTCACCTCTCAGGAGGCATACTTGACTCTTTTTCTTTTGTCCCCCCCCCCTTCCGTCAGACGTGTCACAGAGCTGGACCAAACAAACAAACAAATCGTACTCGCGCAGGCTTCAATTGTCACACTTGATCTGGACGGTGAGGGTTTTGTGGGAGCGTGACACACCACCAACATCTGCCGCCGTCAGATCGTGCAACAGGAAGAGAATTTTATTGAGAAGAAGAAGAAGAAGAAGAAGAAGAAGAAGCCGCCAAGCTCGCCTTAGGCAACATCGACACAAGACAGAGCAAGAAAAAGAAAGAAAGAAAGAAAAATCATCTCTCAACCCAAACACGAAACCCCCCTCCACACACTTCCCCCCCCCCCCCCTTCTCGACGACGAGCTCGACAGAAACAACCCCCCGCCCCTCCCCCCAAAAAAAACCAAAACTACAACAACATTAGCATGGCATCCACCCCGCGCCAAACCCTGGCCACCCACGGCCAGGCTAGCCTGTTCCCCTTTCCAGACGTCGCCGCCCTGGCCCCTGCACTGCGCGCGTACGTGATTCACTGCCAGAACGCCGGCATACAGCGCCACGGGTCCTTCAAGGTGGCCGTGTCGGGCGGCTCGCTGCCCAAGACCCTCGCCGCCGCCCTGCTGGCGCCCGCCGCGTCCGCTGCCGACGACGTCAAGTGGGACAAGTGGGAAATCTTCTTCGCCGACGAACGCGTCGTGCCCCTCGACCACGAGGACTCCAACTACGCCCTCCTCAAGGCCGAGCTGCTCGATAAGATGCCCGCCTCGGGCCCCCGCCCCACCGTCTACCCCATCAACGCCGACAAGCTGAACGAGGAGACCCTCGAGGTTGCTGACGATTACGAGCAAGTCCTGGTTAGCTCCTTTGCCTCGCGCGACTCCGTGCGCCTGCCTATTTTTGACCTGCTCCTGCTCGGCTGCGGGCCCGATGGCCACACCTGCTCCCTCTTCCCCGGCCACGAGCTCCTGCGCGAGTCTAGCGCCTGGGTCGCCCCTATCGACGACAGCCCCAAGCCCCCACCCCGCCGTATCACTCTGACCCTCCCAGTCGTCACCCACGCCGTCCGCATCGCCTTCGTCGCCACCGGCGCCGGCAAGAAGGACATCATGAAGCAGATCTTCGAGGACGGCGCCACCTCTGGTCTCCCTTGTGCCCTCGTCAACGAGCAGACCGGCGACCGCTGTAGCTGGTTCGTCGACGAGCCCGCCGTCCAGGGTGTTGGTTATCCCAAGCGCGGCTTCAACCTGTAGGCTAGGGGCCGGCCAGCCTGGGATGCCGCCTTCGCCTTCAGCGGAGGCGAGAAGGACAAAGTCCCTCACCCAGCCAGGGCTAGGTTCCGGAGCCTGAGCCTGGGAGGTAGTCACATCTGAAACCAGGGGAGGGGATCAGTGGTGGCTAATGTTTACCTTTTTGGGTGGGGAAATTGGAAGGGGAGCAAATTCTGTTCTGGAGGGGGACGATTTCCTTCTCTTTCCCTCTCCCTTTATTTCCCCCTTTGTTTTTTATACACTTTTTACTTTTTCTTTCGAGAGGGGGACACCGCTCGACATTCGCTGTGTAGACCACCAAAAGGAATGCAAGGGGTTTGGTGTGGGAGGAAAAAGAAAAGGAGAGATTGAAAAGAAGGAGGAAAACATGTCCCATAGAAAAGAGAGAGAGAGAGAGAGAGAGAGCTGGATTCAGTCAAAAGAAAGGGGAGTGCTCCTGCCCATCTTCTGGGGTTTCTTCTTTCTTTTCTTTTTCTTTTTTCTCAAATCGTTACACCCCCATCGCCAACGAATTTTTTTCTTTTGTTGTGTTTTCGTACGAGTTTCAGATATCCACCACGACGCTCGTCTTGACGGATGAGAGTTATTTTTGAAAGGAGAGGAGAGGAGAGGAGAGGGAGGGAGGGAGGGGAAGGAATGTTGATGGTCATGCAAAAGTCAAGAGCGGTCGGATTGGCTCTATGGAGGGAGGGACCAGACCATCTTTTGTGCATCGCGCTTCGAGATGTTGGAGGGGCAGCAGGAAGAAGGGTGTCTTGTGTGTGTACATAATGAAAGAGCATTCTCACGGAATCACAAGTAGAGCTATTCATCAACGCAGCCAGTCCATTTATTGATGAGTTGTCAAGCACACGAGTGAAGTGAGCCTTCTGACCCTTCTGACTTTGACGAGAGTATCGAAAGTTCGCTTGGTTTCAATTTGAGGTTTAAACTGATATGTGGTCTGATAGTGCCTGTTCCACTGGGAGTTTAATCTCCTTCTTTCCTCATTACTGTCTGTAAGACTTGTCCATCGATTTCCGAAATACCCCTCCCTTAGCTGTTCCTCCGATACCTCTTCCTGGGCACACTGCTCCCATCCGAGCTGCTGTTCCGCCGTCTCCTCTCACCGCGCGGCGCATCACTTACAGGGGAAGAATTATCCCTCCTGGTCCGACGAGGCGGCGGTGATCGAGACCGCGAGTCCACTGAGGGTGAATGGCTCTTTCGAGGAGCCGCAGCACCTCTGCGCGGCGGAGGTGACTGGGAGCGCGAGGGGCTTCGGCTGTTTGATCGGCCACGATAGCTACCGGCATCGCGCCTCGGCAGGGGTGAGCGAGATCGTGACAGGGACCTCGGAGCCGGGCGGCGTCTCGGGGGTGGTGTTGGGGACGGAGAAATAGAGCGGTCGGCTGCACGCCTGAGGGGCAGTGGCGATCTCGACACCGACCGGGACAGCGATCGATCGGCGGCACGTCGAGGTGGCGGTGACCTCGACCTGGTAAGAGACCGGTTGACGGTCCGTCGAGGTGGCGGGGTTATGGACCGGGACAGTGAACGCGGTGGCCCTCCTCTGCGGGGAGGAGGTGGCGAACGGGAATCCGACAGCGAACGCCTAGCCGGAGCCCTTCTTGATGGTGGTGGGGGCGAACGAGATCTCGACAGGGACCTGTCCGAAGAATAAGATCGTGTCGACCGACTGTACGATCGGGGCCTCGCGTTGCCGCGCCGCGGTGGGGAGCGGGTAAGGGAGCGACCTCGATCACCGTCCCTGGCGTCCCGGCGTGGAGGTGGGGGAGACCTGGACCGGCTCAAGCTGCGGTCGCGACTGTACGATGAATCTCTCCGGCTACGACGCGGCGGAGTAACGCTTCGAGTGTACGAACGGCGGCGGTCGACATTGCGTCGTGGAGGAGGCGATCGAGAGCGGGGCGAGCCAGTATAGGAAGAATAGCTAGACGCTGAGTCCGAATCCGAGTCGTCCGCCACCTTGACTGGCGCAGGAAGTGCTGGTGGGGGTAGGTTCTGTAGATATTCTCGCATATCCTCGGTGAGAGCACCCATTCCGATTGATGTGAAGTAGTTGATGGCAAAGCGGATGTTGCGGCGGTTGTCACCATGGGGGAAGAGACCCTCGAGACTCGGCCCAAGGATATCGTCTCTGCACCGAGCTTGCAGCTTGGCCATGCCGATCTCTTCGACGACCTCCTGGAAGAGGATCTTGATGAAGATACGAGAGGCCGAAGTGGTTTCTTCCTCGTTCAGGTGGATGACTGAGAGGCAGTGCCAGGCAATGGCGTCAGAGCCGAACATGTGTCCGAACAGCCTGGCGATATTGCGGAGCTTGTTGCTGTCGTATCGGTGGATCTTCTCGTAGTATTCGACGAAGGCGCGCTCAAAGAGGTCATTCCACATCCTGTTGATCTTTGCCAGCCGCTCTCCGATACCGCCATAGAACTTAGTGTAGGTCTTCTCCTGGCTGCAACATTCAACGACCATCTCCGGCAGCTCCTTTTCATACCCCACTGGGATTTGAATCCTCAGAAGCTTGTGGACAGATTCTTCGTAGTCTGCGGACGACATCAACGTCAGATAGATGGTCCTCCGCAGGTTGACCAGGTCCGCATTGCTCTGGTCCTTGATCTCCACGGCCTTCTGTTCCTCGTCCTCGCTCTCTGAGGACTCGTCGTCATCGTCGTCGTCACTATCGTCATCATAGTCGCTGCCCTCGCCCAGAATCTCGGCCTTCAGTTTCTTGTAGGCCTCTTCGTGTTCTTCATACTCGGCATCATACTTAAAAATATTCAGTCCGTCTTGCCCATCAATGTCCTCCTGCAGCTCCAGATTGTGAGTGATCTGGTCCTCCTCCTCGACCAGGTCCAGCTCCTCCCTCACCGAGGGGTTGTCCTTGAACTTGTCCTTCCGCTGCTGGAACAAGACCTCGATCTGGTACTGCACCCGCTTCTCGATGTCGCTGTCGTGCAGGATGTTGCGGAACTGGTCAAACACAGCTCTGGCGATCGGCTCGTTCATCTCCTCGAGAAACTGGCCGACCTCTCTGGTCAGGTTCACGGCAATCTCCACGCTGTCGTCCGTCGGCTTGTGCAGCAGGAGCAGCAGCATCTGGGCGACCAGGGTCTCCGACACGACCTGGTGGTTCGTCAGGTGCGCAAGGAACGTCGTGGTCGACAGGCACACCGCCTTGTCGTTCCTGCGAAAGCCCTTGCGGAACCGCAGGATCAGCCTCTTGACGAGCAGCTCCCCGACGGCGGGCAGCTTTGTGTTGACGATGGCTACCATGGCTGCATAGATAGGTGTGAACGGCAGCGACGCCGCCTGGGCCTTCATGACGCTCTGGCAGAACAGGCCCTTCCCGCGCACCAGGTTCTCCTGGAACAGCTCCGGCACGATCTGCTTCAGGTTCGGGCTGTTGGCCTTGTTGATCAGCCCGTTAATCGACTTCTTGAGCGCCTCCCACGCCATCCGCTGCCACTCCTTTGTTGTCTTGTCCGTGATCTGCGCCTGCAGCGCCCGGAGCCGTGCCGGCGGGATGTACGTGCCCCCCGACCGCGCGTTCAGCAGGCGATCGTACTCGGCCTTGGCGGCGGCCTGCTTCTGCTCTTCGGTAGGCACCGGCGGCGGCGTGCGCTCGCGCCTAGGTTGGGGAGGGCCTCCGCGGCCGCGAGGAGGAGGGCCACCGCGTCGCTCGGGGCGGTAGCTGTCCACGGCCTTGCGTCGCGGCCGGTCGTCGCGGCTGGGGGGCCGATCGCGTTCATTGTCCCTGTCGTCCTCGTCCTCGTCCTGGTAGCGCTTGCGCGGTGGTGATCGAGAAGGGCGGATAGGGGAGCGGTCGTCCATGTGATGATCGCTCACCACTGACGCGGTTTCTGTCGCCATCTTGAACGGCGCGGACAAACCAAGCCCTCTTGCAGAGGAAGTCCTTCGTCCGGAGCAGCTGTGCCCTCGGCTGTCGGCAAGAAATCGAGAAAGGCCAAGGCAAAATAAATATACTCTTGAGCCAGATACCCAGCAACGATCGGATTTGACAGGATCTGAGGTGGGTGGAAGACACTGAAGCCGTGTGGCTTGAATGTTTTGTGAAGGAAAATCGAGGCTTTGAAGCAGCTACAACAAGGCAGAAGAAATTCTGGAGGCGAAAGATGACTGGGTCCTTCCAGTGCACGGGCCCTGCAGGTGAGCAACCACTGTACAGTAGTAGTTCGGCAGGCACTGCCTCCCCCAAGAGACAGAAGGAACCCCTGAGCTAGATCGCTTGACAGGGGCGAACCTAAGGCTAGGGTCCCCAGTAGGCCAGAGCTGTCTGTCTCTCTCAGCAGCAGCAGCAGCAGCAGCACGGCGGCGCGATGCAATCGTGGCTCAATCCCATCTCGTTATTTCAACAACAACACCACCTCCCACCCACCCAACATCGTCCTTTTGCCTTCCACCCACCAACCTTTCTACAGGGGGCTGAGACTTTTCTTCTTCTTATGAGCCTGGACCCTTTTCTCTTCTCTACGCTCATTCACCACCATTTACAATCACCCTTGGTCTTTCAACAATGGTACGTCACCTGCTATCGTCCTTTTGGAACAATCAACAAGGAGGATGGAAGGATAAATAGGTGGTATATACCAGAAGACAACTAGCTGACATGGCCCAACTTTACAGCTTGACAAACTTGTGGGCATCGCCATGCTTGTGGCTGCCACCATTGTCTTCCTCTACTACACCTTCTGGACCCTTTTCATGGTACGACATCTTCCTTTAAACACATCCCTTTCTCCAACCCACTTCTCATAATTCTATACCTTGGAATGCTAACACTTCGGCTCCTCGCCTTTCCCCTCTTCCAGCCCTTCGTCGATTCCGACCACCCTCTCCAGAACTTCTTCCCACCCCGCGTCTGGGCCGTCCGTATCCCCGTCATCCTGGTCCTCTTGGGCTCTGCAGTTGTCGGATCCTTCCTCAGCGTCGTCATGATCAAGAGCAACCGTAAGAAGGCTGCCAAGGCCAAGGCTGCTGCAGCGAAGAAGACCTCTTAATTGAGTGGCACGGACTGTATACATCAAATGACGGGGAGGGGGTGTATATCGCATTCAAGAGGTTCAAGCTGGGAGGAAAGGAGGCCAGCCCAATGATTCTTGCTGTCGGATTCAGAACCCCTGCGAGATTGGAATCATAATACAAAAGCTACAGCCTCTCGTCACGGGCCACGGGTGCTCGTTCCTGATTGAGCTCGCAGGATCCCAGACTGTATCACGAGTAAACAGCCAGAAATACCACTGCAAAAAATAATCAATGAAATAACAACATAATCTGCACAACATACGCGGCGGCGCCTTGTCTTGCTGGTTTGCAAGTGGCATATGGATTGCTTTGTGGGAAGCGCATTCTCGTACTCGAAGCACTGCGCGTTTCATCAGGACTTCACAGAGTGCAAGACAGGCCATGGTAGTCTTCCAGACTCAGTATATTGTCTGAGGGGTGATAGCTCTCTATGTAATCTGTGGATGTACCGCCCCAGAGACCGCAACGCCCGCAGACCCACCAATAGAGCAGCCGGACAAGTGAGGAGCTCAAAGAAAAATCCCAGAAGCAAGTGACATCATCATGGCCCACCAACAAACATTCTGCTGTCGAACGAACAACAATGTGTTTCTCTCTACCTCGGCAAGGTTGAGGTTTGTTGAAGAGCCCCCGCCCGTCACGTCAGTCAGCCAGCCACAGGATCTCCTTAAACCCGCTGGTCAGCAAAATCGAGAACTTCACAATCATCCTCAAAGAAGCCATCCTCATCATCCATGTCCCCGGTCCGACCTCTGCCCCTTCGGCGCCTCGTCGTGACAACCAGCTGCTCCTCATCGCCGCCGTCCCGATGGCGAGCCACAGATCGCTCCATAGCTGATTGTGGCAGAGCACGCACGTCGTCCGTCGGAATGGTGAAAGCTTCGTCCTCACTACTTATGTGATGGTGGTGAGTGAGTCTGTTCATGGTGAGTGGCTGACCAAATGCCCAAGCGGCCCCGTCCGCGTCACTAGGCGCCATCTGTTTCACTGCTTCTGCTTCTGCGGCCTGGGCGGCGGCCGCCGCCGCTGCCTGTCTGCGTTTAGGCGAAGGCCGTACAGACTTGTCATCCAGATGAGTATCTGTCAGAAGCACCGAGACTGTGGGCAGCTGCGGCACCGAGGCGACTGGTGCTCGATGAAGATCATACTCAAAGAGTGCAACCCGTCTGTCAGTGTGGAACGGTTGATATGGAGCTGACGACTCGATCTCAGCTTGTGGAATAGACGACTCCGCGCTGGGATTACGTCGAGATAGCTTAGGTCGAGCGGTGAGCACCATGGTGTTGTTGACTCCATCCCCATCCTTGTCCAAGAGGTCCAAGTATTCGTCGGGGTCAACAAGCCGCTTGACAGACGGTGCCATGATATCGTCAGGCAACATCGGGAGCTTGAAGTCTCTATACCGCCGGAACCGAGTGGCACTCTGTCTTCCATCACTTGTGCTCATCTTGCGCGGTCGCTGGGGAAATGCCCGCACCAGCCCGTCTCCGAGGACGAAGAGCGCGTGGTCCTTTCGGTTCGCCACGAGGATGACACAAGCTGGTCCCGGGGCGCTCGAGCTCGGAGGAAGCGATATGCGGTTATCGCCGCTGTGTCTGAACTGATTGATGGCGTGTCCCGTTTTGCCAAGTGAGTGACTGATGCCGGCAGCGATCATCTTGCTGCTATAATTCGCGTGCTCGACGATCTTGGAACCAGTAGTCTGCGGTGCATTCGCAATCGAGCTGCTGCGCCGAGACCGGTTGATCAAGGGACGAGCAGCGTCCCAAGCCGAGTTCAGAGCACCTGTCGCCATCGACACGGCAGAAGTGCTGGTCTCGGGTACGTTCGTGTTCGTCTCTTGTGGAGAAGCTCGCCTGCGAGGAGGAGGCCAGAGAAAAGCACTCGTGGGTAAGTCAAGAAGATGAACAGTGCCTCTCTCGGTGACCATCGCCACACATTCTCCGTTCGGTTTCATCCAGGAGACATCCACAATTCTAGCGACAGTCATGCGAGAGAATTGGGCAATCTGTCGCACCCGGGGACCGCTCGACGGACTGGGCAAGCTTGCTGCGTGCAGGGGTGACGTTTTCGTATATTGAACGCGCATCAGATCCCATATGGTCTGCACATCACCCTTGGTGCTGGCGGTAAAGAGTGACAGCCCATTCGGCGCAAAGGAGAGGAAGCTGCAGCCAGACGTCGCGAAGGTAGTGACCGGATGTATCGAAGACGCATTCAGTGACAAGTCGACATCTACAATCGACACCAGGCCCGGCTCCTTGGTGATCGCTGGAGCCATCGTACCGTGCGTGGGAGGAAACTGAGGGGGCTCTGCTCTTGCTGCAAAAGGGCCAGGCCAGGCTTGCGTGTTGGGAGGGGACCGAGCTTGCTGCGATGGCATGGCTGACTTGTTCCAATAGTTATTGAACGCTTGTAGGCCTCTTTCACCAATCCATTTTGCACCAGAGATCACCTCCTGCGTGGTCTCTCGCATGAGCTTGTTCATGATGCTGTCGGCAGCTGGCAGGTCAACATCGGAGACAACGCTGGGCAGCTGAGGCGGTGTCAGGGACGTCAAACCCGGTGCTTTGCCTTGGACGGGCACCGGCACGGCTGCTCTCAGTGAAATCTGAGACGAGGGGGCAGCGGGACAATAGGCTATCCATCTGCCTTTCAGTGCAATGATTGGGGCTTTCACGGCCTGACGCTGTGCAGTATTCCGCAGCCGATCCGTCTCCTGCGACAGATCTGGAGACTGCTGCAGAGAAGTCCACAGCTTTCCCACGCATCTGAACTCAATGCCCGGCTCATGAGGGATAGTTGCTTGGCGGTAAACCCAGCTCTCGCCCGTCTGACCCGAAGCAATGACAATGTTCCCACTGTCTGCGAGGATCCGCAGGGCTCCGGTTGGCGGTGGTGCTTGGAAGATAGGACTTGTGATCGGCACCTTTAGAGGAATCTTTGGGCCCTCCAGGAGGACTGCAATGTGTCTGCTGTCCTGCAAAGAGTATAAATCCACCGTTGTTTGGTAGAAATCCACGGTTGCACCCCGAATCCCGGTGCCGTCTCTCTGTCCGATATCTGTACCTGCTGGCGACGCGGCTCCAGAACGCTCTTGGCCAGCAGCATAGTTCCCGTCGCCTTTAGCCTCTGAACCGGTAGATGGTAGTACAGGGCCATGGACGACAACGGCCACAATCGGGCTGGGATCCGCGCCCTGAGCATCCAATGTCCAGGGTAGGATCTTGGCATAGTGCACCCCGCCTCGTAGCCCTTTCAGACTCGCGACAGTGTCTAAACCATTCTTTGTGACCGAATGCACTTCTAAGCCACCCTCATAACCCGTGAGGACGGCTGTGTCTTTGCCTCGCGAGCCAGACCCATGCAAAGTCGGAATCGTGTCAAAGCCGTACGCATAGCCTCTCTCGCCAGCCCTCATCCCTGTCTTGGGCTCGAAATCAAGATCAAGATCTGGCGCGCCATAGAAATGGGCTTGTGGCTGGTGTGGAAGAGGCGGGTTTGCCAGACCACGGGCGTAGGCGGTCTGTGAGTGCATCGAGCCTCGTCTGAGGGAAGCCATCGACGGAGCGTACGCCTCGGAAGGGTGGTACTGGTTATCCATATGGTAGCTCAAGGGTCTCCTCGACTGGGTCGGAGGTGAGATGGACGAGGCCTGTCCTCCGTTGTAGTACTGGCGTGGTGAGGACCATCCGTACGGGGCTCCGCGGCTGTCCTCGTAGGATGAGGGTTGTGTTGGTGGCGATTCTCCCATCAGGTTGATCAGGTTTCCACCAGGAGAGCTTCCTAGTGCTGGAACATTCCGCATCCAGTCGCTAGTGCTTCGGGTTGTGCTCGTGGTATACGAGGTCGCGGAAACTGCGTCCAACGCGGGCGACGGCGCGGTGATTCCATTTGAAGGAACGCTGGCAGGTTTCAGGACAGGGGACTGAACTGAAGGCGAGGAGGTCTCGGTCTCTGATGCTGATTCTTTGTTATTGGCACTGTAGTGTGTCCTCATCGTGTTAGCATCTATGCCTAAGGTTGTCGATGTGATAAGGTATAGTTCTCCAAGAGGCCCCAAAGGGCCCATTTGGGGGACACATACGAGAACTTGCTGGCGGTGTGTTTTGTCACCGCGGCGACAACACCCCCGCCGTCTTTTCCATTCTTCCTGTCTTTCTTTGCGCCTTTCATGCTCGCTCATCAGCGAAAGTTCTTAAATCTTGACATGTGTATCGTAAGTGTGGACGGGCAAGGGTAGGTAGTGGTTGTTGCGGTTGTGATTGATGATAGTAATGTTGGGTCTTGTCGAGGGGACGAAGGGGCAACGACGAACCGGGCATCCGAATGATCTCGAAAGCCTAGAGCAGGGTTTCCTGCTCCGGACGAGAAGGCGGGTCGAGAGAGACCACTGCCAGTCGGTGACAGGTATAGGCTCGGTGACCGGTGACGACAAAGATGGCGCGTGTCAGAGGAGGATCGGAATCACGGGACGCGATTGGGAGGCGGCGTGCTCAGTCGGTCAGGCCGCCCAGGGATGCGAGTGACAAAAGATTATGACAATAGCTGGTTCGTGGCAGTCGATGGTGCCAGACAAAGGAGAGATAGTCAACCGGCGGCACAAGCCGGATGACGTGGTGTATTATCAGAGTGAAGGTGGATGAGTAGGCAGTCAGACGAGGCCGCGGGTAGCAGCCAAGAAGGGGAAAACGTCGCCGTCGTAAGGTCTAAGTTCAAAGAGAAAAGGAGGAGATGTATATCGAGTCTAGGCAAAGAAAAGAAAAGGAGAGAAGGAGAAAGAGGGAAAGGTGCTCCGTATCGTCACAACCAATGCAGAGGAGGAAGAATCAAATATCAGGAGAAGGGCAGTACGGGCGTGCGGCAGGATCTCCGAGTGAACGAGGATCACGGGCTGGGCAGGCGCCTAGGTATCGTGAATAACAACAGAAAAACGTGGGTTCTTGAAGAAAGTTTATAATGAAGAATAACAGACTAGGTTGGTCGACGAGAGAGAGGGAGGAGAGGTTCGTTCGCAGGCTTCTGGGAGGAGGAGGAGGAGGAAGTTCTGGTCACCGGAGACGACATGGAGGGGGACTGGGGTAGCGGTACAGTACGTCAACCCCAACCGGGCCCCGCCCCTGGCGGCATCTGGCATGGAGGGGGTTGCCGAGTATGGGATCTGGCTGCTGCGACGCCGCCTTTCTGAAGCGGGGCCCTCGATCCCAGGTGTCAGGGGGTCGTCCCTTCCACCACGCCCCCCCCCCCCCCAAGTACCAGTACTAGTACATAGTCAGTACATGCATAGTACGAGTGCCAAGTACCTCTCCTAAGCAAGTATAGGGGAGAGAAGGGTCCCTGCTGGTCCAATGTGTTGTCGAGCGAAGTTGAGAGTACTTGTTCTCAGTCTTGGACCGTCATACTGCAGATTGCCTTGCTAACCCACACTCGCTTTTCTGTTCTTTCTATTCATTGACGTGTGTGTGCAGGGGGGGGGGAGGAGAACCAGCAGGCTCCTGTACGCGGTAATAAGTACCGTGATGGTATACGAGGCGTGCATTTGGGGACACGATATGATTGACTGGACAGCCCCCTGACAGCAACCCAAGCAGGGGTCCCAAGATCTGATTGGGGGGACGACCTCGTGGCCAGCCCCCCAGGCCAGGCATCATCTCACACCTTTGGGTACCACCGTACCACCATATAGTCTCGTAATATCTCGAGGGGTTCCGTCGTGGCCCTATGATCATACAAGATAATACCACAGTGGTATAATTTCCCATTAGAAGAAGCCCTTCTCATTTAGGATACACCGTTCACCAGGATCATCCCCTTTGTGAATATTTAATGTTGCAATCTTGTCGTGAGGAAATCACACACCCCTTCTCACCCCCCTCCCGAACCTCTTCCAATCATTTCCCTGTACTGTAGGGACCATTTTCCAACAGGCATGCCGCGGGTGCCTATCAAATCAAATCAAACCAAATCAAACTAAAAGACTGTAAGAATGGACGTGTGTATTTGGTGGCACCGGTCCAACTGAACCTGGAACATCCCCCAAAAGCCTCCTCCGCTCTTCAGCTCGCCACTGCAGGGCGTAGCACCGTGCTGCTTGACAGCTGTCGCTTTCCAGGCTCCCGGCATGATCATGCACTCACAACCAGTGGACTTGATCCCTTCCCGACTTGACTCAGCTTCTTTCGAGTCACCGGTCTCACCTTTTTTTTGTCCTCTAGCCCTCTCGCCAAGCAAAAGGAGGAGGTACATTGCGCTGTCGTGGTCCCTCCCCACGGGCCCCCTCACCTGACCAGTCCCACGTCCCTTGAGAAGCATCATCCTACGAGGCTGAATGATAGGTGATTGATCATCCGCGAGCCTTCCTTTTCCTCCCTCCTCCATAGTCCATACTATGTGTACATATACAGAAGAAACACACAGAATTCCCCACAATGGGCTTCAATCTGTTCTTCAGCCCAATCTGAATCTCGGGCAATCTGGAGTGACTGGTCGTGGGCACACTGCCGCTTCCCGGATCTCATGCCTGACGCGCCGGCCCCGTAGGGTTAGCAACAACCCCGCTGGAGGGGGAACGATAACGTGCAGGTGGGGGAGGAACCAGGGCCCTGTCGTAGGCGGGGTCTGCTGATAAGGGCCACGATATCGGCACGGGAGCATGTCATACTGCATACCTTTATTCTCATTCTCAATGCTAGGTACGTACATGAAGAACTGAAGAGCAAAAAAGGAAGAGTGCACAATTCCAGCCCATAGACATTGACAGCAAAGGGCGCCACATAACAATAGAGGATAATGAAGCCACACTTTTCCAAAGACATTCATGATTTGGAAATCCTCAATCCTGCACTCATGCATGATATTTCTTCACCTCTGAATATACACCCTGTAATATGCAAACTTCCACTTCTTATCCTCCTCTGTCCTAACAAGCTTCGCATAGCCAGCCCAGTCCACAGCATCCTTCTCCTCCGTTTCCCTTCCCTTCAGCCTATACACCACATTCCCATACAGCATCAGCTCAACCTCGTCCCCCTCTGCAGACCCAGCCGCGAAGGAGGCCGGGAACACCTTGAAGACGGTGTGTTTTCTGGCCGCAACCTTCTCCCACATGCCCTCGCGGACCTTGAAAATATCTGTGTCCCACCAACAGACGCTTTAGCAGTGAGAACGCCCCCCTTGTAAAACCAGAAAGAGAAACAGAAAGAAAAAGAAGAGAAAGTGTAGATGTGTAGATGTTACGGAGACATTTGTATTTACCATTTTTACCAGTAACCTCCTTTTTCTCCATCACAAGCGTGGCACCATCTTGGAAAAACTCAACCCATTCCTGGTTCTTCCCTGGTGTGTCGGAGACGCTGTAGAATGTAGTAATAAACTCTTGAACGCCCGCATCAACGGACATATTGGCCGGATAAGCCGGTGTGTAGTTTGCTGCCATGCTTGAAGCAATCGCAATCAGTGAACAGCTGGGATGAATGAATGAATGAATGAATGAAGAATGACTTTATATGGTTAGAAAGAATAAGGAGAAAAGAGGAAAAGGGATAAGAGTGTTCGTTTGTGCAACTCTCGACATTCGCGGTGGCTTTTAAGGGACCTCGTTCAGTGTACGGCCCGAGCACCGACCTGACTGAACTTCCCTTACCCGATAACATATGGGTCTCATCACCAAAATCACTTGTTCAACAACACAATTGGAAAAAAGGTTAAAGTCACCAAAACTTTGAAGGGTTTCTTTCTTCTTAAGCAAGTGTCCCATGGCGTGAAGACAAGAGCAAGAGTCAAGTACCTCAACTAAGAATATCAGCAAACAATAAATTGTGTGCAACCAAGGAATTGAGAAATTGCCCTGGTATAGCACAACCGCTTTGTTTGCTTGACCGATAGAATTATCTTCTGATCTCTTCTTTCATGATCTCTCCATAGCTGATAGACCTCTCTCTGTGCCCCTCTCCCCCGCCCCTCTCTCTCGGGTCTTTCACTCTCATGGCTCATAACTAGGTGTTTGTCTTGCTCAGAAGCAATATTGCTGCTGCTGCACACACCTGATATGACCGGTATACACCCGGCATCACCAGCATACACCCGTTATTACCGGCACCATAAGAACCATCTCCATGTAAGCAGAGCCTCACCTGGAGGCAGCCCTCTTCTGACGACCCCGATTGGTCTGTTGCGCCTGGACGCTCCCCTTTATGGGCACCTGCGCAGAGCAGACCAATCTGACGGACTCTCAGGGCCGGCAACGTAGATAGAATCGGTAGATGCGGCTTGCCCAGAAAATTCGGAGGTTGTCGAAGGCGTTGGTTGACTCCGAGGGCCGGCAAGTGCAATTCTGGCGACGTGTGTAGAAGGGAGTAGCAAAGCGTTGCGCTCCTAAGCGCCTCGTCTCGTCGTCCGCCTGCTTCCTTCACTCTTCTCGTCGAGGCCCAGCAAGACTTTACAATCAGAGCAGTACCAAGTCTTAGCCAGTCCTGCCGCGTTGTTAAGCCCTAGGCACTCAAGGTGAAACCATTCGTACTTGCACTTTTTGTGTGTTTTTGGTCAGTCAGTCATGCACCAGTCACAACTATGAGGCCCATGGTCTTGTCCATCCACGACTGCTGATTGGGCGGGTGGCGTGCAACTTACACTATCGTTCTCGCACATCACCATCGTCCCGAAACTAACACGGTTACAGATGCAGTATCGTGCTTCATTGGGGTCGATCACATTGCCCTCCTCATCCACCTCGACCTCCGCCTCCGCCTCGGCAGTCTGACCGCGTTCCTTCTTCTGTGACCCACGTTTAGATTTCTTCGGCGCCGCCTTGCGCTTCGTAATCGCGCTGTTGTTTCCGCCCGAATTCGTCCGGCTGATGATGCCCGGCGCAGGTCTCTTAGTTCTCTTGCTGGGCTGTCTCAGCGATAGTTCGGGCGCAGGCGTGTTCCGTGCAGTACTGGCGCGACGGGCTCGCTCTGCTGCCAGACCCGGTTGTGATCCACCCTCGGGGCCTGCCGCCTGCCCACGAGACGAAGGTCGTCGCGATGACGCCTCTGGTCCAGGAGTTATGGAGCGCGGTGTGTTTCCGCGAGAGCCAGCCGTCTTGATCACAGGCGGCGGTGCAGCTGCCTTCTCCTTGGCCTTGGCTTCTCTGGCCCTGGTCTCCCTGACAGGAGGCAGGATGGGTGTGTTTGACTTTTTTGGTGAACCAGGAGCATCGTTAGCCGGCCCCTTCGTCGGGACAAGGGTAGTGGTAGTGCCTGCATCGGTGCTGGCGGCAGGGGAGGTCGCGCCCGAGGACTTAGCTCCAACCAAGATCGACTGCTCGTGGCCGTGTATGGGGATGGGCACGGGTGTCGTGGAGTGATGACTATGTGTGCCGCCAACCGTCAACGAGGGAGGCTGAATCGGGGTGTGACGGGTCAGGCCGATGGGCTGGGGGACAGGGACGGGAGTCTCGGTCTTTGACCGCTTTAGAGGCGCCGGTTCCGGCTTCTCCGTGTCGGCCTCAGAAGGGGAGTCCCGTTTTCGTTTCTTCTGTTGTCTCTTAGTATTCTTCGCTTGAGGTTGGCTGGAGGGCAGGGGCGGCTGGAAAGACACCTGAAGGTTCTTCGCAATGACTGCGATCCGCCTTGCTGACTCTTCAGCTTCCTTAGCCGCCTGGTCGGACAGTCGGTCCTTCTTGACCTTCTTGGCCTTGTTCAGCTCGTGACCACGGTTCGTAAGGGTCTTATCCTCCGCTGCTATCGCAGAATCCAGACTCACGGCTCCCATGGGGAGGTGCTCTGAACCAGTGGCATCATCGAGGATGGGTCGTGGGAGGCTCGTCTCAAACGGTATCCCGTCCTCTTCCGCCTTCTTCTTGGCAGCTGACCATCCGTCAAAGCCACGACCAAGGATCTTGAGCTCCCTATTGATCATCGTATCGCTTGGTATCCAGGCAGCATTCTTCTTCATGCGCTTCCTCAGCCTAGCAAGCTCCCACTGCGTAAGCTGCAGCCACGGGGCGTCCTCGCTCCCAATCGTAGCATCGGGGGGTGGCGGTCGCAACGGTCCTGTATCTGCTGGGACTACAGTGGGCGCGTTCGAGACTGGATTCGGCGGGGCAGTCTTGGGAATTTTTAGCTTCGGCGCTTTAGGCGTCTTGTCGAGAGGCTTCCTGCCCCTGGGCTTCGGCATCTCGACTCGCGCCGCCGGCGTCCGTCTGTGGCTCACGATCTCCTTCTCTTCCTCCTCTTCCTCCTCGCTGCTTTCGCTCTCGCCACTGTCTGTATCGTAGCCGACATCATAAGGGGCTAGCACCTCGCCAGGAACCGTGATCCTAGGGCCACGCGGTCGACGGCCCTTGTCCCCGCCAGTCGGTTGCCTCTTGGTGTTGCCCCGCGTAGCTTGTGGTGACCTCGCCGTCACGACGGGACTTTGTATCTCTTCGTCAGGGGGGTAATTCTCGAGCATCGTCCTCAGCTTTGCATGGATCAGCTTGAGCCTGTTCACATGCCGATTCACATTATCCGCCATGCGCAACGCCTCGGCGTGCGAGTACACCCTCGACGTCAGCACGCGGGACAGGTCGGCCGAGATCTCCTCGCGCAGCCGAATCGGTTGTGGCCGCTCGTCCGCCGCCACTGATGGGAGCTGGCCCCAGGTCTTGGTCAATTCGTGTAGGCGCGCGGAGGCATCGGCGTAGTCGCGGTCGAGCTTCCCGATCAGCGTCAGCGAGCGAATCATGTCGGCCGGTAGGTGTTCCGTAAACTCCAAGAAGTCGGTGACGGTCGCTTGGGCGTCGGGGTCGGCGCGCCCGTCGAGAGAGCCGAGGCTGGAGCCGAGCGACTCGATGGCGCCGTGCATGGAAGCAGATGTCTGCCGTGGCGACATCTGTTCCTCTTCGTCCATGTCGGCGTCGCCAGAGGCCACTCCTGCGCTCATCAGGGGTAACAGCGTCGAGTTTTCTTGTCGTCGATACGTCACGGACTCATCGGTGCAGGCTATTATTCGGCCTGCCTTTTCAATACGTCGAGGCGAGCTGACCGCGAACTCGAGACGTTTTAGACGCGCATTGCTGGGAGGGGTTTGGTAGTCGCGACTGGTTGCTGTGATCAGCCACAATGCAGGAGTCGCGTCCCTCAAGGAAGCTGCATCCCTGCATGCAACTATCGAGGATATGCACCTACGTCATCATCAACAGGGACTCGCAGAACCGTCCAGGAACGAAAATCACAGGTAATGGTCAGTCACCCAAAAAGGGTCTGAGAAGGGTGAACAACCCGTAGGGACTCATAATAGTCTCTCTATAAGCACATATTATACACGAATTTGTCTAGTCGAATGTAAATTGTGAATTGTTTTCTCTGGCTACATCATTATCAAACGCGTAGCTACTTGATCCTTGGAGCTTTGAGATTTTAAGAGACATTTCTGGTCCTCTCCTATATAGAAAGCAATTCTTCGTACTCCTTTTGCTCAATGTCCTCGCCGCTTAGTCCTCACCCACGAAACTCAAGCCCACGCCAGTGAAGAATGCTGCGAGTGCCCACACCGATGCGTATGCTGCGGCACCACTGCTTTCGACCCCACTGACGGTCAAGTCGCATTGCAGATAGGTGTTGATACCCGTCACAGCCACCAAAACAGCAGTCCTCACGATTCCGACCTTAGTCTGCGTAGTGTAGCCCCAGATGTTCCACCACAGAGTCTCTCCCAGGGTAGCCTCCACAGGGTCGAACCGCGCCGCCTTCTCGTCCTGGTCCGTGCGGCCTGTGGCGGCCAGGGGCGTGAAGATGAAGCTCCGTGCTGCGATGCCGGACACAAGGGCCAGCGTCGTCAAGATGACCAGAGCAGCCTGCGCTGGCTCGACGGTGTGGATACCTTCAAAGTGCAGGACAAAAGCGGGGCGCAGATAGATCTTGTATGACAGGAACAGCACGACGTTGTAGATGAAGCTCGCCAGCAGGGTGGACAGCACCGAGATCAACCGGTCGGCAATAATCTCGCGGTTCGGAGTGGAGGATGTGGCCTTGTGTGCGCCAGAGAGCGGGCGCAGCAGGAGGAATGGGACGAAGCTCGCAACGACATCGACGGCGAGACCGGCAACGGCGGTCTTGGGGCTGAGGCTGTAGAAAGCCGTCATCAGGTAGAACTATATTCGCACATATTAGTTTGCTATTCAACCGGCTGGAAGTGCCCCGTTCCAACCCTGCAAACTTACAGTTGGGCTGTGCGACAACAAATTCAGCGCCGCCAGGTCGATCGAGTCAAAGTGGGCGAACCAGCCCAGCGCAAGCTCCGTCAGCCTCCAGGCCGCCATGGTGCCGACCTCGCGCGGCGTCTCGAGGGTGCGCATGACCGTCGCCAGCTCGCCTCTCGTGAACTCGTTGATGAATGAATAGCCCAACGAGGAGATGGAGAAGCTCAGGATCGCGACGAGCGGGAACTGGAACAGTGAGGGCAGCTGGGACCTACGCTGCGCCGGGGCGGACGCGTCGCGCTTGACCACCGCAGCTGAGGCATTGGCACCAGCTCGACTGGAGCCCTCGCCGTTGTCGGGCTCGATAATGTCAACTTGTTTGGATGATGAGGACATGGCGCATCCGTTTGCGAGCAATGTCAGAAGAGAAGACGGCCGAGGAGCGATGAGGTAGATCTAGGTGGCGATGTGAGTTCAGATTGCCTCTTGTTTGTTCTTTTTCTTTCTCTTATCATTTCCAAGAAACTTACGCAACAATATGGCAAGGCTGTGAGGTCTAGGAAAATTGTGCGACAGTGTGGAGTGGGGGAGGGAGAGAGAAGACCAAGTTGGAGTGATCTTTTCTTTGCAGCTGGCGCTCTCCAAAACACTAAAGTCTAGCTGGTTTCCCCCGCAACAGCAAAAAGTCCCCACTACCTGACGTCTAAGCGACGATCCCTTGAATACTGACGGTACTGGTATTGCCTTTTAACTTTTCAACCGGCCCGGGAGACAACATTATTCGCAATTTTTCGGTTGGGTTTTTTTTTTTTGTTTTTTTTAAGGACGCTGACCAGCATATTAGTTCGAGTTCTCCTAAGTCTGAGTTTTTTCTACTTGTTCCTCTTTTCTTTCTCGAATTTCCATCTCAAATGGGGGAATAAAGTCTCTCACAGCTAAAAGCTAACGGCATGCAAATTTCCGGGGCTGCATGTTTAGACCTCAAGCAAATAGTATCCACTGCTCCATCAAAATGGACAAGGACTTTCTTAAAGAGATTTTCCTGATCAGTCTTTCTTTTCGTCCTCTTTCCCACTCACCTGTATTTTCTCCTCTCCCTGAAACCTCCCCTTTTTTGATACACTGAAAATGAAATATGGTGAGTCTACAATAGGTAGGTACTGTGTTCATTCCCACTCTCAAAATTCTGCATGTATGCATGCCTTTTACCTTACGCACGTCATTACGGAGAGAACTCTCTCTACTTGACTACTCATGTCATAATGTCTGCCAGTCACACAGAAAGCAGCCAGCAATTGGTGATGGAATCAGATTCCATTTCATGTTTCTACTTGGAGGGATCTTACTCGACGCAGACACAGATCCGGCCCTCGCTTTAACCTCGTTGCGCAGCATCCCACCACAAAATCGAACCTGTGGTGGTCTGCTCTCAACTCATCGGTGCTGAGGTCCACTGCCGCGGAGCAACTCGTCCCTTGACACAACGGATATATAAATGGTACCGGGGGGGAAAAGACAAAAGAGCGACAGACACCATCCCAAGCCAGCCAGGTTCAACTCCTAATCCTCCAAAACCGACCGGCTCAGTTGGACCTCGAAAAGCAGGTCGTGGCACATCAAACGCAATCGAGAAGGGAGAGGAAAACACGATGGTCCTTGCTGGATTATTCTTCCATGGCGAAGACACCGTGATCATCCTCGTCGCTCCGAGCCCGAGACCGCATATCGTCGTCGTCGCCGTCTTCCATCCGAACGTCACTATCGCGACGCGACGCACCACGAAGGTGACTTTCCGGAGCTTGCGCCGGAAAGCTGTTAAGGAAGGGCGATTGCCCCAAGGAGACCTGGCCCAGGAATTGAGCCGGGATGGCAGGCACAGCTGGAATGTCCAGGGGCAGCTGACTCGTCAGGGAGCCTGCGTTGCTGCCATAACTGCAGCTCAACATGGCCACGGCCTTGGCCAGATGATCCGCCTCACCGGACATGCTGGAGGGGCCCAACGGCGGGCTGGATTCCTGGTATCCATACAAGCTTGTCGCATATCCGCTGTCCGAGGGCAACGGGTGCAGGGAGCGCGAGAGCCCACCGCGCATATCCTCGTCATCGTCGGATGACATGGGAGAGAAGTCGAACTTGTGCATGTCCAGGGCCTGCAGAGCATCCCTCTGTGGTGGCGGCGTAGTGTTCGCAGAGCTGCGGCCGTCCATCTGTTCGGAGAATCCACCAGACACTGAGGGAGAGGTCTCGCGCGCGGAATCCGGGGGGCTCGTCGGCACATTGTTCATGGCAACCAGCACGGACGCAGCCTCGAGGAGCTGAACCTGCTGGTGCTTGGATATAAGGAGCTTGGATGTCAAGGACCATTCCGGGGTGTGTTCCCACCTGAAGCGAAAAAACAAGTCAACAAAACTGTTTGCCTCGCAATGTTCAACAGCGGCAGAAAATGGTCCCAGGGATCGGCCCGCCGGCTAGGGGGGCAGGGTATCTTCACACCCATGCTATGGAAGGAGGAGGGAGTGGAGGAGGGGGAAGACAGGGGCACAAACAAATGCTTGGTCAAGCAGCTGCTATGCTTGTATCCCTTCCCGCAGTGCTGACAGTGGATTTCCGGTCGGTTGAATTTCCTCCCCTCCTTGGCAAGTGATTGGCCGTCACTGGCCCTACGCGTGCGTTCCTTTTGCGAAGGGTCGCCGTCTTCAGGGGAAGCATTCTCTTGATCGTCCACTGCGCTGTCTGATGACTCGGCCTTCTCCGCCATGCTGAGGAATTTGTTCACAGGGAGGCTCGCTGCAGGCCCCCACGCGGCAGGTTCAGGCCTTGGACCACCAGACTTGTTAGACGCTCGACCGTTCCCGATGTCGATGGGGTTGGCAGGCATCTTCTCGCTCGGGTCTGCTATTCCAGCTGCGACAGCGGCAGCCACCATAGTTGCAGCGTTGTTCGACGCACTCTTGCGGCGTGCACCACCTACGCGGTTCGCACCAAGGAGAGTGCCCGAGAGCGTCGTGTGAGAGTTTGTTCGGGAGTGTGCTTGTCGAGGGACGCTCGATCCCGTTAAGGAGTTGAACGTAGGCGGCGACGGACGGGGTGGGACTGGTCTTGAAACCTGCTGCAGATCCTATATCGGTTGTGACTGGAGATCAGCGCTCATGGTTCGAAAAAGAAACCAGTAGCATTAATGGAGAATCGCATTATTTAGAGGGGAGAGGTAGGGTGTAGATCACAAACCTTAGATGAGGCCATCATTGGTTTTGCCTTTTAAATCACAAAATTAAAACAATCCTGGAGAACGCGCGACAAAAAAATCGCTGGCTATTCCTGAAGATCAGATTTCCAAAAAGAGAAGTCCACAGCAAAAAAAAAGAAGAAGAAAAAAAGCACGAGACGGTGTTCGTATTGGAGGGCCGTAGAGTAGTTTGGGCGAGATTGAGGAGGACGGAGTACAATTTTGTCGCTTGCGTAAGTGAAGCTGGGAAAGTTTTGGGCTTCCAAGTAACACCTTGTCGTGATGACTGGACTTTTTTGCTAGAGCCTTCCGTTGTCGGTGACTGGGCGGTCGCAACAATGAAAGTTGATTTGAGTCCAGCTGGTCTGCCGAGATGGGGTCTCCCGTGCTAATTAGCGCAACCCTTCTGCACGAGAGAAAGGCAACACTGCAACAAGAGACGTTGACGGAAATCCAGGGGGGTGGGCCGGCAATTCGACGTAGCTCGACGTGCTGTGCGAACGGAGAAAGTGTTACGATCGAAGACGATAATAATTGGAGGCTCAGGGAACCGAGAGTCTGGAACGTGGAACTGTTGAATTGTTGGTCTGCCGGAAGGCTACGCGGGCTCGAGACGGACAGGGCACTGTTCGAAGGGGAGGGTTCAAGGTGTGGGCAGATTGCGACTTCGTTGAGGAATTCGTTGTTATCAGTGCGGCATCGACAGGGCCAGATAGGTTGGGTCGCGAGGACTGGCGAAGAGAGAAAGCCACCACCAAAGAACAAGAAGGAAAGAAAAAGGAATGTTATCACGATTGGAAGTTTGAAGTTTAGCAAGAGGAAAGAATGAGACAAAAAAAAGTTGCCGATCTTCTGGCAGGAATAGGGAAAATGTTATTCTACCTGTGGAAGGGAAAGATGGGCAATCCTGGGATCCTATCCTGGCTGTGCCAGTCACGCACGACAGGCAAGCCGATGTGAGACCATTCCGCTTGGGAGGTGCCCTGCCCGGGAACATACTGTAGACCGTACATTGTTCTGTGGGCAGCCTACTGTGAGTGTACTATGTACACAAGTACCCCGTATCGGCTGGGCTGGGGGGAGGAACAAAGGGGGTGTTTCTAGGATGATGAGAGGGGTTACTGTGTACGTGGAGACTCTCCTGAAGCTCTCATCCTTGGACACGCATCTCGGTCGCGCCCCCCCCCTTCTCTCCTTCTCTAGTCGATTTCACCCCTCAGTCAGCCTGGGCCTCTTCCAACCCCAACCCAAGAATTCTGGAAGTCATTGTTTGTCTGGAGTCCAGGCTTGGAAGGTATCAGCGACAATGCAGAGCGGTATTACTGTTCATTTTTTTTTTCCCCTCCGAATGTTTTACGTACGTGCATAGCCAACCAAATGTATGAGTTGTTAGCAGAGACAGCCACCTCGATCTCAGGAGCTACCTACGTGGTCACCTGAAGACTTGTTGATCCGCCAAGGACCACACCATCTCCAAAGTCTAGCCCTCTGGAGAGGAGGGGGGCACGAGAGGACGACCACGAGGGCTCAGGGCGGCAGGGCAAGCTGGTAGAGCGAGTGGGGAGCTCTTGAGCGAATGGTCAGGACCTCGTCCCTTGTTCCTGCACAGTGGGTGTGCAACCAGGTGGGATCAGCGCCCTCCCTCTCGTTCTCCCTCTCTCGCCCCCCGGGCGTGAACCAGTCAGTCAATAGAACATGTACACTTTAGGTCTCTGGCGGGGGTCAGCGCATGGGACTGACACCAACAACGCCTTTTTTGCTTTGGTTGACCAGCCATGGAATGGAAGCGCAGGGGGGCAGGGTTGTCCAGCGTCCCACTTTTACACCTGCAGGCCATGGTCTCCCTGGTGCATGTTGAGAGGAGTGGAGCTCACTTTGTCGGGATGATCGACAACCTTTAGCACCATAGTACCATAGTACTACGAAGATGAGCGGGGGAGGGGTGCCAATGTCTCACTGTAGCATGTCGACGTCGTCAATGGCATACTGGTTTGGATGGTGGAAAGGCTGGTTTAAGGCGACGGAAGCCGTAAGAGGTGGTGCGCCATGTAAATTGAGTGTTGCTGGAGGGAAGAGGGAAGAGAGTGAGGATGAATTTGAAAAGAGATGGTGCGACCAGCCTGGCAAGAGCGACGGGCTGCGCTAACGAGAGCCCGGCCAAGGAAGTACTAACGGCTGTTAGCAAGCAAGAGAACCCCAGCGTCTATTTTGGTACAGCACGTCTGATCCATCAGCAGGCGCCGCACAATTTTGTAGGATCGATCCCGAATCGAATCGAATCAAATCATCAAAAATTAAAAAAAGATTAAAAAATTTAAAAAAAAAAATTAAAAAAATTTAAAAAAAAATTTGCTACTACATATGGCACTTGCGAGAAATGCCACTGTGTCTAATTTACTGTACATAGCAGCTCTCATTATTTTTTTATTTTTTTATTTTTTTATTTTTTTTTGTTCGCTTCATGTATCCCAATGGAGTCTGTACCAACCATGTCATACATACTACTGTAGTAGCTATAACACAATCGAAACTTGCAGTCACCTTACTTGCCAATCGAAGCCTGAAGCGTGGTTACTATGCAGGCGTCGTCCAATGATAGATACAGTTCGAGCTCAGGTTTCGCCAGGTGGGGAAAGAGGAATGCTCGAGGTACCTACTTACGATGGTACTTACCTATGGCGGGATTCCAAAGCTTCCCGTTCCCTCGATCTGACCAAGTTAACGGAGATCTCGGTTGCCTGAAAATCTTCTGTCTGCTGCTATGTACAGCCTATGACAGGGGCAAGGTGGAAAATTTGAGATGCGTCTGCTCATTCCAAATACCCAAACAGGTAATACGCAAAACGAGGTGCTCTCATCAGTTACGCAACAAAGACTGAACACACAGACCAGGGGCCCCGAATTCCGATGGTGAGTGCACATCAAGAATGCGCACCAAATAACATGGAAATTCGGATAAAGAAAATGAAAATAAATAAAATAAAATAAAAACTCGCCTGCAGCTTGCAGACAGAAAATGGTCCGCATCCAGAGTCTCAGCCGACTGGTGCACAGCAAGCCACGAATGCCCAGGCCCTGGGGCCCCGCCCACCGAACCCAGTCGGGCAGTTCTATTGCATTGCATTCGAGACAAGGAAGACCAAATGGTTTTGAAACGAAGCGCCTGCGCCGGCTGCCTCTCCGCCCGTTCCAGCTACACTGACTGACCATTTTGCTGAGACAGAGAAGGAGAAGGGGGGGAGAAACCTGGCAAGTACATACTGCTGCTGTGCACATTACTCAGTGACATAGTACTAGGTAGGTACATAGTAATAGCAGCTCGCATTGACTTAGTCCGTGCCTGACAATCAAACAGGCGACCCATCACATTCATTGTCGGTCCACCGGATTGATCCAACATGGGGAAACAGATGGTCCAGGTCGGGCCTTCACACTGTAGGTTGCAGTTATTGTCGCGGCGTCTCGAAACCGAGTGTGTGGCCGCCATGTCTGCAACGGCAATCTCTCTTATTGGGCCAATAATATAGGTTAGCACGCACACCTGCCAGGAGCCCTCTAGCGCTGAGCAGATGGATGGAAGGGCTGGCCAGCTGTACCAGGGGGGACACAACCTGGGCAGCTCATGTCGACCGTCAAGTGTACTATGTATTCACACACACACGCACGCACGCACACGTACTCGTCTTCAATGAACAAGTCTATCGCAAAAGGTGAAATAAGTAAGAGAACAGGAAGGAAGACAAAAAAAGAGTGGCGTTTGACCTGCTTCGTAAGAGAAACAATGTCCAGCTGTCTTGCAACGTCAACGCTGATCCCGACATGACAGAGGCGATCGGGTTGAACCAGAAAGCCCAACGTCACACCATCGGGGAAAATAATAGAGGTTGGCCCTGTTGTGGGAAAATAAAGTCGAGGTCTGGACTTTTCGATTTCATGGACCAGGTCGGGTGGCCTCTCGAGTCCAAGAAACCCTGTGCCGCCAGATCACCAACATAAATGCCTCTTTCGGGATGGGATGATGTGGTGCTCCGTACCCATGCTTGCCATGGACGGGTCGGGTGAGGTGGTTCTAGGGGGCGTGGTTGTAGAGAGCGGGAGAGGGAGAGGGCAGCGTGACCAGTTAGTTATTGGCAATACTACTGTGGTAGCATAGGCCGTTACCGTATCACACAGCAGTGGCGGAAGAGATGGAGGGAGGGGGGGGGCAGGTTACAACACATTCGAATTATCCAGAAAGTGAAGTTTGAATGTTTGATAACACTGTAAAGTGGAGGACCGAGGAGATATGGAATAATTGGACCAGGACGCCCATTATCCTTCTCCCATCAGGACTAGGACATCTCATGGGATAAAAGCAGATGGAAATCAAACAAAGTTCCAGACCAACGGCAATGGAATAAAATCTGAATCAATGAAATTTGAACACGCACCACCCCCTCGCAGGCGCTTCAGTAATGGACAACAATCTAAAGTCCGCATACCAGCCCTATAGGAACCACACACTGCACAAACCCAAAGTGCTCAGTTACAAAGCCCAATGAAGTTATGACGTCTATGTGGCTCTTCACAATGCCCCATCAGCCCACCTCCCCTCGCCAACAAGAGCTTTCTCTCTCCACCTCCAGGCCACAAGGGAGGAAGAATGGTCTGCCAATGCCTGCTTCACGATGGTCTGCAAGTCTGTCATGGCAAGTTCAAGTAGACATCAAGTGGTCCAGGCCCGCTCAGTCTGCCGGATGACGTTGAGGGAATCCACGGGAGGGAGGGGGGGCCAACTGCTCAAGTGACCCGCATCGTTTCTTTGTTCCCGGGGGTCCTGGCGGCAGCAAGGTACCGTACCAAAATACTGGGTGACGAATTTGGCCACGTTGAAGGGGGGGCTGGAGGGGGGGCGTGGGAAGAAGAGGTGGATACAGATACTATGTACTTTCTTTGTATGGAGGAAAAGGTAGAGGGAAGACAATAAGAAAAACAACTCATGGTGGTTGCCAGCAATACTGCTGCTACTGCTGCATCTGCTGCTGGCGCGGAACAGGAAGGCTCAGCGGCAGGATTGCGTGGCATTCTAGCTGTGATCAGCAGGTACCATGTGACAGAGAGAAAGCGCTGAGGGCACTGAAGGTGTGTACTGAATAACCCCTCTTTTATCCGTCTTCTCAGTTGCCGGTGATCAGTAACGACCACGGAACTTTTTTTCTCTTCGAAAATCGCATCCCGAGGGACCCTGATTGACATGTATTTCATCTCTTGAAAGGGAAAAAAGGGGGCAAATGTTCTTCAATTTACGTACGAAAGTGCGATATGATTAACCATATTTAAACTCGAAAAGGTCGAACCCTTTTGGCGACCAGCAGGAACTCGAAACAGAGGAGCCCATGAGGGAGGATCAGCTCACTGTTCAGCTCCCGAGGTTCAGCGTCTTGCCGCCCTGCGTGGGATCCGCCAACTTTACTTGGAAGAGGCGAGAGATGTATCTTGCCAGGTACCATGGGGCAGGAGGGATACCTCGCTGCCTTAATCTTCAGACCCCCCCCCCCACCTTTGGGGGGGTCTGTATGTCTTGAATACCAGCTGCTCCCTCTTCTTGCGCCTCAGACCAACGTGATCAGGTTTTAGCTTGCCGCCAATGTTGGGCACGTGTACATAGACAATAGTATTGCCGTTCGGGCTGTCCTAGTCTGGACTGAACGGATCTGACGGAGAAGCAGGCATCTTTGCTTGTTGCTGACGGGGCGGAGCAAAAAGAAGATGGCGTGCCATGAGTGCAGACTAGAGCTGTCAGCAGACCACTCTGAAAGGTTAGTCAGACGGGCCCCGACCGGGATCCCGATGTCGGCGGGGTTCTGTGCCTACCCGAGAACGACAGCGACGGCGACAGCAACCCACGCGTTCCTCCTTGAAGATAAGACGGCGCGGACGGCTAGGATCTGAACCGTCCCTCAGGCCCCGTACCTTGGACCTGGTGTCGCCTTGGCAAACGTAGGTACTTTTCTTTTCGTTTCCTTTCTTTTCCTCACCAAGGTTTAGCGTGCTAGGCCAGGTGTGCCAGCGAGCTGGGCGCGGACCCAGGCACCAGGGGATTAGGAAAGGGGGCTGTGGGGCTTGCGTGCAGCGAGCCTTCCATGTTCACCAAGGAACGAATGAACGGGGAGGGGGGTTTCCTGGAAGCAACACACCCCCCCTTTCCTCTCCTCTCCCATTCCTCTTCTGACACGATTTGGAAGGATCGTGCACAGTCCCGGTTCCAGCTCCTGAAAAGAAGTCCACTTCCTGTCATTCCGCTAAAACCTCAAGCGATTGCACACGGACGTTCCGGGTCAGGAGGATCAACATACGCATCTGTCCAGTGGGGGGGTTTTCTGGTCCCTGAGTTGAAGAGGGGGAAGAAGAGGGGGAGAGAGGAGACTCGTCGAAGTTGATCTGACCTCAGATCGGCTGTAGGAACACAATGTCAGGCATGCTCAGGGTCGGCCGCGGCGGCGCCGGTAATTTCATCAGTCAGAAGGACGTGCAGGAGGCAGAGAGGAAAGCCCAACAGGCCAATGTCAGTTTTTGCTAAAACAGCCTTTGATGATGAGGAAATTCTCTTCTCTGCCGTGATGACCCAGCACGCACATACATACACACACATAACGAGTCTGACACAAAGGAACAGCCCCAAGGTCCTGAGGCCCAGAGACCACCACCCTCGGCTCCAGAGTACCCCCCGGCGCCAGCAGTACCGGAAGCGCCACAGTATGTCAGGTCCGGGCGTGGCGGCGCAGGCAATTTCGCCGATGCCCCGACCATTGCAGAGTCTCAGGACAGAGAAGCCGTCGTCGACAGAACCAAGGCTGCCGTGACTGCATCGCAGGCTGGCAAGCCGCGAACGGGACTCACAGGCCGCGGGGGTGCTGGAAATTGGACCGACAATACTCCTGCCGCCAGGGACAGCGCTGGGGGAACACAGGCCAAAGAGCACGAGATTGAGGAGCAAGTTGCTCACGATATAGAGGCGACCCTCCCACCACCACCCAAGACATATCATCAACATGATCGGGATATGGACTGAGGGGACTTTATCTTTTCTCAAAAGGAAGGGAGAAAACCCGTAATGAGGAAGCTCAGCAGCTGCCGTGAAGATGAACAAAGAGATGCAAATAAATGATACCCATCGGAACCTAAATGCTATCCAACCATCGGTGTCACGAAACTGTGTGTAAATCTTGATGAAATATCTTGCACCTGTTCTTGACAGTACATCTTTCGGAAATTTTGTCTATTTCTCAAAACCTCCAAAAAAAAGAAAAGGAAAAATAATCTCTTCCTCGGGGAAGTTTCGCGAGTTGGAAGTCCCATCCATGCTGTGCCCTTGCCCTTGGCTTTTCCATGAACGCCGAAAACGCCACCATGCTGAACGCAATGCCTCCTCCCCCTCCTCCCCTCTCGCGTCACCACGTCGTGGGATCATCTGTCCATGTCCATATCGTCATCCTCGTCGAAGTCGTCGTCCTCGGCATCGTCGTCCTCGTCGCCCTCGTCGACCACCGCCCGGCCGCCCACCTGCTCGACCTCCTCCACGACATCGCCATCCGTCGTGATCCTCCTCCTGCGGACCTCTCCGCCAAACACCTTGGCAACGTTCTTCCTCTTCTTCCCGACCTCGGCCTCCTCCACCGCCGCGGCGCCCTGCTCCGCCTCCAGCCTCTTGCGCTCGCTGGCCCGCATGACAGGGAGCAGGTGCTCGTGCTCGGCGACCAGCTTGCGCGCCTCGCGCAGCTCCTGGGCCCGCCGGCCCGCCATGCGCTGCTTGTAGAAGACGCGCTCGCGCCGCTGCCGGATCTCCGAGATGCGCTCCATCGCCTTGAGCGTCTTGTTGACCAGGTCGCGGTCGTACTTGACGGGCACGTTGCGGCGCGCCCCAAACACCAGCGTCGAGTCCACTGTCATCTCCTTGCCCGCTGCCTTGCGGAACGCCTTGGTCCACTTCAGCTTGCGGGGGTTACGCTTCATTTTGAAGTTCTTGTGGCATTTTGAGCGCTGTTTTGGTTTATTTCCTCCCTAATTGTTAGTCTCTCATCTTGCTCATTGTCGTATGCTTTCTGGTTGGAGTAGGGAGGGGTAGAGAGGGCGGGCTCTGCTATGTCGGTGGGGAACGTACGCAAAACCGGAAGACCTTGGCCTGTATTGCATCGTCAGCTTCCTCTCTTCCTCTCTCTGTCTGTCTATTCCGTTAAATGTTTTGGAAGTACGTACATCATTTCTAACAAAGGTGATACCCTTGGAAGGGTAGGCCGGTCGGCTGCTGTGTGGTTGTTAGTCGTGCACGCTCTCGAGAATCATCTAGCAGTGGGTGCAACTTGCCAAAAGTAACAGGTTTCGATACTGGGAAGCAGGTTGAAATATTGTCAGCAAAACATACATCACACCGAGCACAACCAATCCAGGAATACATACCGCATTTTGGTAGAGTCAACTGCGCTCGAAAAAGTTTCTTATGGTGGTGAACGAAACTCTTCGTTGGGAATGCGAGGCAAAATCGTAGAAACCGAATTATCCTAGAATCAAAAGTCGAGGCCATGAAAATTTAAAGTGGAACCTGGTAGTCTGTCAGCCAATAGATAAGCATCCCTGCTTTGCGGGCGGGCAAGTCGCATGCCAATCGGACCCGACGTCAAGTCCAAAAGAGAAAAAGTGCTTGCATTTCTTTTAGCCCATACATGCTTTCCTTCACTTGCCCATTTCGCTTCTCTTCCTCCAGACCAGACAGACACTCCATCCAGACAAGATGGCCTCCGCACTTGTATGGGGCTCAGGCATTGCCGCTGCCGCATTTCTCGTATGTTCCCATCTACCCCCCCTGCGCACGAAATACTTGACGAAGGATCACATACTAACTGGCTGGATTTTCCTAACAAGGGTCGCGCCGGCATGATCGCATGGCGAAGATCTCGCGGTGGCGTCGGTGCGATGGGCCAGGCTTTCTACAAGGGCGGCTTCGAGCCGCGCATGAACAGGAAAGAGGCATCGCTTATCCTGTCGCTCAAGTCAGTAACACTCGTGTCTCCCAAGTTGCCCGTGTCCCTTCGAGGTTTCCGGGGCTAACTAGCTTTTCTTGTTCCAGCGAACGAGCCATCACCAAAGAGAAGGTCCGGAAGGCACACCGTACACTCATGCTTCTCAATCATCCGGATCGAGGTGGCAGTCCATATCTAGCGACGAAGGTGAACGAGGCGAAAGAGTTCTTGGAGAAGAGTGCATCATGAGGAGGGTGTCAGAAACGGTCTTCTAAGGATGAATGAACGAGGGACGATCGATTTCCCATGTATATTGTGAATGGAGGGTGTATCAACAACAAAACATAGCAATGGCGTTTCAGGCATTGGTTCTTGACAGGAAACAGGGGCCATGATGGGTCAGGCTGGAAAGATTTGGCTGGGAGCTACGTCCACCTGACATCTTCACATCGACTCGAGTATGGAAGGGGAAAGTAAGGTTCTCTACTCAAAACATCTTTACACTTCTCAGCCTTTTGTTCCAGATGCTCCAGAGGATTATTGAGAAAACCCGTTGCAAAGTTGGTTGTCTCGAAAGCCCTGATGTCCTCCTTTGTCAGAGCATCAACTGCAACAGTCACAAAGGCTTCACCAACCAGCAGCCATCTCAGATGCTCATCCGGAAATTTTGCAATGCCAACTCGAGTAGGCTGGTGTCCCTAGGTCGTCGTCATCTTTGCCCACTGTTCCCCTCCCCCTCTAAGACACCTTCAGGTTCGCATTGGGGTCGATTTGAGGAGGTACAGGACCACCATCAGAGGCCTCGCCACCAGAGCTCCATCCATCATTCATTAAAGGGTCGAAGTATCCCTTCTGGCTTGAAAGAATGAAGGGGGAAAATTAGTGGTGTCAGCTCATCCAAATTGAAAAGAAGGGAGGTTTTTGGGGCACTCACTCCTTCTCGGATCCAGGTTCTCGCGCCAGGCTCTCCTGACGCTTGAGAACTGCAAGGGCCAAGAGAGACTGAAGAGTCAGCACGCTGTCATTACCTGCGTTGTGCAGGAAGGCGTGCGGAATCTCGAGACCGCTCAAGACGTTGGAAAGGCTCTGGGGGTTGGGCAGCTTTGCCCAGTGCTGTTGCAGTTTCTGATTGTCCACAATCTCCTTGAGACCGACTAGCTCGTGCACGTCAACATCGATAACGAAGAGGAGCTCCGTATCCTGGTGGATGTCATGGCCAACCAAGATCACATTGCGAGGCTTGCCCGTGGCGGGGTCCTTGGGTGTTAGGATCTCTACGCAGGTCTTCTCGATGCCGTCGATGCCCACAAACTCAGACACGCTATGGCAACCTCAGCACAGGTAACATCACACGGATGCACTCTCAAACGAGGTACAAAGGAAGACGGTGACTTACCCGTACTGGAAGTGCTCGGGACAACCTCGGACATAAGTTCGGTTTCTGTACTGCTTGTACTCCTTGATGCGCAGGTGACGGCCCTGGATCAGCGGGAACCAGTTCTCAGCACCCTTGCCAGGTGCAACGCCACGGATATCGCGGGTATCCAGGATGGCAAAGCCGACCTCAGTCACTAATTTGGGAATTCTCTCATAGGTCTCGATGTCGACACAGATGAAGACCACATCATCCTCGGGGGTGTACGGAGCGGGAGTGTTGACATCGAGAACGAGCTCGTTGGCCGGGTTTACCTGACCAATGAATTCTAAGGAGAACAGATCAGCTAATGACGTCTCGAGATTCAGTTTCCAGAAACACAGTGATGAGAAAATTTACCATCGTAGCTCTGGACAGACGTAATCTTCTGGCGCAGGCCCAGGAATCGCTGCACGCGTTTTGTAGCGTGACCCCAGCCTTTATGGGTATTGTGTCGCTTCATCGCGTTCTGCTTGCTTCTTCCCTTGCCCTTGCCCTTGCCACCAACCCAGCTCTCCTTGACTTGCTTGATCATGGCCGCAAACTCGTCTCGCTGGATCTCAGGGACCATTTCCAGATCGTCCTCGGGATCAGGCAGGGGCATAATGCTGGTGAGCTTCCTATAAGACTGGACGCAGGTCGTCCGACCCAGGTAGCGAGGCTTGGGAGTTGACAGTCTACCGAAACGGTAGAAAAACTTGGCATCGTTGCCGCCGTCAGGGATTTTGAGGGCTAGCTTGTGTTTCTTGTTGAGGAGACGCAGATAGGCATCGAGCTGGGCGGTCAAGACGAACAAGATCGGATCCTCGTCAAGGTCCTCGGGGTTGTACAAGTAAAAGAGGTCCCAATTCTGGCCGGCAAGCAGATGCTCAGGTTGAAAGTGCGGCTCGACCACAGGGGTGTTGGCCTTGCCAACGTAGAGCTCGCCATAGCGCAGCAGGAACTTCCAGGGAACAAAGGCATCCTTTGCGCCCGATTGCTCACCGACCTTCAGACCGAGGTCCTTGAAATCCTGGGCGTCGAGCTTGGCCACCTCAGCAGTGCTCTTCTGTCCCGGCTGCGTATTGATCTTAAATCCATCTGCATCGACAGCGTTTCGAACAAACATCTCTGACTCACTCTCGTCGGACCAGTTGGGCTCCTCCTTTGTCTTTGAAGGGCGAGGGTGCTTGGGTTCGCGCTGGACGGAGCGGATGGGAGCGGGAGGCAGAGAGGGGCGTGAGGTAGATGCAGCTGGCTGTTCCTCTGGCTTTGGAGGAGGCACCCTCCATTCCAGGCCAGCCTGTCGGAGCTTGTCGAGAAGCTCATCAGCAGAGATCTTCGCGCTCTGTCCTGGTGCCATGTTTGCAGAGCAAGCTGTATGAGACTATGAATGGGATGTAAACACCTTGCTGTTAAGGAGTCAGCAACTGCTGGAGCTAAGATGAAGTCGTCGAGTTTGGTGATGATATCGAGAGTCCCAAAGGCTTCTGTTCTCCATCTATCTGAAAGATATGGAGAGTGGAGGGTAGAGGTTATGCAATCAACCTGTGCATCTATGGTTGCTGAAAACAATAGAATGCTGCCTGCTATTTGTTTGTTTGTTGGTTGGTGAGCAGGACGCGACAACAAAGGGCCTTGTGAAGTCAACAGGTCGGGTTGAGCAATGCCCTTGTGGGTTCTGTCAAGGAGATGAAAGACTGTCTACTTACCTAGTAGAAGCGCTACAGAGCCTGAAGGTGGTTGCCTGGGTAGGTGCAGAATGGACGCTTGCCCTCTTGCCTCCCACATGCCCATTTGCAAGATAATACATGATTAGTGCTTGGACTGGGCACCACCCTCCACATCTTTGTAGCCAATAGTCTCTTTGTAAGCACCGCATTGTTCTTGATGTCTCCTCAGAATAAAGTCCTGAACCCAGTATCTGAGAGGCTTGAAGCTGTAAGTGATACAGTCTCATCAGCCTTCCTCCTATCGAGCTGTCCATGCATGTGCTCCCTGACAATTCGCCCCTATGAGCAAGACATAGGCTGCCCTCCTATTGTTCCAGCCAAGTGAGACCCCATTGGCAATGCCCTGCATTGTTCGATTCAAAACCCAACAAGCCTCCCCGCCTTTGACTTGTGTCTTGTAGCCTTCACCCTGTCTTGAAAAGACATGTGGCTCAGCTCAAGGCTTGCTGCCTGCCTACACCTAAGACTCTGGATAATTCCCCTGGTTCCTGGGATTCTCAGCCCTTCTCACTTCACGAATAATACGCCTATGACTGAAAACGGGCCTTCACTCGGAGGTTCAGAGGCGGACCGATCAGAGAGTGCTATTGCCCCCCAAGATCATGTCGGTGGTGTCGAGGCTGAAGATTTTGGTAGTAGTTAACGAGGGTGCAGAGATACTCAAGAGACCGGATAGCTCAGATATCGTTGTAGTTATACGAGGCAAGATAAAGACAAATAGCCAAATGCACAGTACGAGACGAGGGGAATCTCTTCATAAGACCGAAGGCAAGAAGAGGATCATTACTGATAGGGCAATACGTACAAATCAGCGTGGTCTGATCATGATTGGTTAGACGCGTAGACTACTACGTTGACGCGATCGATCCCTAAACAGAAGTAGAAGTTGCATACGGCCAAATGACACATGGGAATCCACTCACGTGCAGGGTGTGCGAAGCAGGAGAACGTCATCTGGCGGCGAAAGATCAACAGTTTCTTTTGCAGGCTAGCGAGCGAAACTCCCCAAAACCTTGAAACTACTATTCCTCCATGGCCACCCGAAACCCCCCCCCCCCCTCCCTTGCCACTTATCTTTATTCTTTCCCCTTCCCTATTCATCCTCCTCTATCAATTGCATGGCAATACGTCCAATCGTATTTTGATGCCATATGGTAGGTTCCTCCTCACACCATCGTTCATTCATTATTTGGGCATTCGCCTGACTCATCATATGCCGCTTTGCCCATCATCTTCCCTCACAACCTTGCAATCACGAAACGGGTCGTTGTCAAGCATCGACGCGAATCTTGGCAAAGGATAGTGACAGACCGAATAAGATATGGTCTTTGTCCGCAACAAAAAGAAAAATTGAGTTGTTGAAGTCTCCAGGACGATGACAAAGGGAACTGTTGAAAAGTCAAGATTGACGTGTGGTGGGCCTGCAAGTTGTGAGCGAGCCCTTTGGCCTTCCCATATAGGTCTCCAACGCGCAGGTAAATGGTGTCTGTCGTATGGAGACCGAGACCGTTAAAAAAAGGTAAGTTGATCCAATTTCCAGAAGAAAATAAACTCTCAACACGATAAGATGGTGATTCGTGTATTCCCCCATGGGGCCAGGACGCCATAAAGTTGAGTTGGTGTTCCAGAGGTCGCCGCCTCGATCGAGGTATAATATAGTGGCATCCAGGGCAGCCCCACCCTGATGAGAAAGACGAGAATAAAAAGCCGACCTCCAGCCGAAAAAAAAAAATACCGAAATTATATGTTAACGCCGTCGCCATGCAGTGATTAATTTAATGTTGTTTTTTCTTTTTATACAGAGCCGAGACTCAGGAGAGCTTCAATAGCATCCCGCTCCTGCGCATCAGGTTTGACAGCGAGTGCTGCATATTGCAAATTGTTCGCGCGAGGAGCCTTGACCATGCCGGAAGAGGTGAAACGGGGTGGAAAGGTGCCTGGACGACCGGCCGAGTGGGAATAGGAGGCGGCACGCAAGCCAGCGGCTCCGATAGCGGCCCAGTCCTCTTCGTCAGTGACGTCCTCCGGGTCGTCCATCGGGATATCGTCGTCGTCGTCTGGAGCCTCGGAGCAGGACACGGAGGCAGAGCCGTCCAGTGACATGTTGTCAGCGTGGTCCTCGTCCATGTGGAACGCACGATCGTCGTGGGAGAAGACTGGTGAGTCCCGCGCGCTCGATAGAGACCCGCCTATACGCGTCCGCTCGTTGCTCCAGGTCGCCCCTCCCACGATGGGGATGCCCGAAAGGTACGGCGAAGATGGATCGTGGGCCATGTGGGCCGTGGAGTCGCGTGCTGGCTGACCTCTGCGGCGCGCATCCCACCGGCCCCAGCCGACCTTTTCAAAAACCACGTCACCGTGCAGACCCCCACCCTCACCGCCGCTGCCTCGACCCTCCAAGGCGCCGACCACGAGTCTCCGAGCCTTGGCCGGCGCCACACCAGCAAAGCCCGGGACGGAGGTGGTCAGGTAACCCGTGATGTGCCGAATGGCGAGTGGACCATGGTTCAACAGGATCTCTGGGAGGTGGTATTTCGCCAGCATGGCTGGCGTCAGAGCGCCGGCAGGGTCGTCAGGTGGAGAATCGAGGCAGGCATGCGCGCCATTGGCGGACTGGGGATGGTTATCGGTGTCGTGTAGGTCAAGGTGCGGAACGCCGGGTTCAAACTTGGCCTTGAGCAGCTGAGCTCGCAGGCCATGTGGGTGCAGGCCGGGGGATACGGAGTTGGGAGGGGTGGGGAGAGGTAAAGGGTCAGATCGTGTCACAGAAACACTCTGGGCCGCTACATCAGTTAAGTTGTCTCGGCCAGAGGTCGCCTGAATATCGCGAGCAGCAGATGCCATGGATGCCATATCGATGGTGCTTCAAGGGAACAAAAGATGTCTCTGATGACGAAGAGACACGTTAGTAACGTAATGAAGGATCGAGGAGGGATAGAGAGTGTGTGTGCGCGAGTGAAAACGCGCTGGGTTGTATGTGATTTATGGGGGAAAGGAAAGTATGGAGGGGAAGGAGGTCGTAGGTATAAAGTTTGTATGGGTGAGTCACACGTACTTTGATTGCCAGGAAGCAGAGTACCGTGGTGGATGGCAGTTGATAAGTGATCCTTTGACCTGGTCGAACAAAGGACGATAGATCAAAGATGGGTTTGACAGGCAGGCTGGCAAGGCTGACGCGATTATCGTTGCTGTGACAGGAGATGACTCTCTTTTGCAAAATTGCTGGTGTTGATTCGATCTTGTGTTGTTGTTGAAGGAGAAGGAGGGAGGAGGGACGCGCAGGGCCATGGCCATGGGCCTGATAGATGTAATAACCTAAGGCATGGTGGTGGTGGTAGGAGTAGTGGTGGTCACGGTGGTGTACGCAGTAGGCATGGTAGTACAGGGCCAAGGACAGGGTGCCCGCTGCGTAGAGTAAGAGTGAGATCTTGGAAAGGAGGGGGGGGGGTGTGCGCAGAGGACAGTACCGGCTAGGGGGGCGGGGGTTGGAAGGAAGGACTGAGAACTGGGAACTGGGAGGACGGGTTCGGGAGGAGGGGAGAGGCGTATCGTTGGTTGGTTGGGTGGGTGACTGGTCTGATCTTGATCGCGTCTGGTGGTTGTGCCATGGCTTGAATTGCCCTCATTGCAGGTGCCCAGCCGATGAGCAAGGGTCAGGTCAAGTACCCTGCTTGTACCTTCCACCCCTGCCGATACGCAGAGACAGGGAGGAAGGAGAGAGGGGTGTGGGCGGGGGGGGGGGGGGTGTGACCTTGATAGGCCGGAGACGGCGAGCCTGCTGAAAAGCCACCCCGGCTCTAGCAGAACAGTTACAGCCACGAGAAGATATGTAAGCACGTCTTATTGGCACGTGGTTGGGAGACGTAAGGCCTGACGAGCCGATGATGGATGGATGCGGAATACAACGGGACGGATGAAGGGGAAGGGACTGATGACCTCAGAATCCATACTCGAGGGGCAACGAAAAGGCTGGAGCAGTCACCAGTAGACATCTGACACGATGACCTGCAATGGTACGTACCGCAGTACGTATCATCTCAAATACATACTAGTAGTGGGAAATACTGCGGTGCTAGGGCCATCTCTGGCAAATTGGACCTCATACACGTTCGTTCTTTTTGGCCCCCCCTTCGCCGTCTCTTTGTTGGTTATTGACCCGGGACAGGGGATCTGGGATCTGGGATCCTGACAGAAACAACACATACAAAGTACATCCTACCAATGTTCCAATATAGTCATGTAGAGACAAAGGAAGATGAGTGATAGATAGGGTCACTTGCCCTTGGCTTGGCTTTCCAGTCTGGTGACCTCCTCTTGGCCACAGTTCCTTGCCCGTGCCGGCACTCGATATACTGATATCTCTCACACCCAAAACACGATGCCTAGAGCAGACTAACTAATATCTTGGAGATTGCAAGGTCAGGTACGGGTGCATCTGCATTTATCTGCATCCACTTGCCCGTCCGTCCCGGTTTACCCCGGGTTAGAGAACTAGCCCGGGGCCTTGGTTTCGGTGGGGATCTGGGTCCTGCGTCCTGCTTCACCACCAGCCCAAACCTATCCTCACACTGCGTTTTTGAGTCATCGAGATGTACCGTAGTAAATGTATTGGTACGACGGTACAGTTTCGTGTCATGTTCGCATCCTGAGACTGTCATGGTCCAGCCACATCTCTCGAAAACCTGTCATGAAAATGGGCGCAAGAGTCAGTGAGTCACTGGGCCCCTATACTGACCTAGGTGCGGTCAAGGTGCGGTCAGGGCAGCCGCCTCTCCACAATCTTAATAAGTGCCGTACACAATGACACGCCACAGTCCCCCGCGATTACTTGCATGTCTTCGCCGAGCCTGCATATTTCATATGGATTGCACAGGTGATGTTATATTTATCACAATGATTAGGGGGGGAAAGAGCCCGAGCAAGGATTCTCTGGTAGTGCTTATGATGCCCGGGCGGTATTACGGGAAGCAGATCTCCTACTGCCGTTAGAGGAACTGACAACAAAAACGGCAAGGGCCCAGATTGCCTCACCATGCGGCGAGGTAAAGTGATTCTCGCCGCTCTTTTACAAACACTGTCCAGCGATTTGAGCCTGTGGCTGTGGCTTCCAAACCCCAAGACAGAACTGTGGAAATTACCCACACTCTCGCAGAAATCAGGGCACCATCGCGTAGCGAGCTTGAGTGGGCGTAGGGGGTCGCACTTTATTAATGGACAACTCGGCTGCGTCACACATAGAACAATATGCTGCCATTTTGTTCCATGTAAATGTTCTCAGGGTGCTGTAATCCTGGCTTTCAAGCCAATCAGTAGACATCGAGTTTCTTACCAATGAAAGCCATATACATGTGGGACTTGCAACTGCCACAGCATAGCGCTAGAGCGCAGGGAAGGGAAGCCAGGACTTTGGCATTAGCCTTGAGGAAGGAGGCGATAAAGGAGGGGCGACCAGGCCACACCAACGTGTGTTGACAGGATTTATCTACCGGGATTCGGACCAAGTCGCAGTCAGGATATCTCTTTCTGTAACTTCCTTGCAAAGTCATTACACCTCCTTAGGCCTAGTAATTTTGACCTGCTTGATCACCTTTCCCAAGTTGTCACAGGCAGTACATGGATTGGCAGCATGCTCACAGCCGTGTAATTCATCTCTGAGCCTAATGTTTTGCTGTTATTGACCGGCTCTGGGATATTGAAGCCTTACTCCAGCCCTTCCACACGACTGTCAGGCAACGAGCTTCCTGAGATGGGAAGCTTCTTCAACCCTTTGGGGATGGACCGCATTATCCAGGGTTTACAAAGTATTGAAACCACTTTTCTTCCTCGGTGCTTTTCTTTCTCGTCTCCTATCCATCCATCCATCCCATCAACTTTGTCCACACGTATCACCATCATTACCCCCGCCCCCCTCCATATGATGTTCCGTCGTAGGGATTCGAGCTCCTTAAAGGACGAGGCTCATCTGCATTGTCATATGCTATACTGGCTCTCAACGACGGCGGGATTCCAAGTTTTGATTCGAAAACGATCCAGATAAACATGAAGAACTTGACGTTGCACGGCCTTTTGTGTTCTGGCATCTTACCTCCAAGCCAGTAACACCAGCCTTTGCACAGATATCCATACAAACTTTAAGTAGTCATCTTCATAGTTTCCATATAGTCTGCCAACGCCAAATATAAGTCGCACGTTGTTTCTTTAGGCCATCATAAGTCGAAAACTTGTCAAGTGATGTAGGTGGGGATTGGGACTGGTTGGGGGAGAGATTTGAGCAGATGAGCCTAAGGTTTATGCCATCATGATTCAACTTGGAATGATACTCTAGCTAACCTTCAGAGGAAGGCAAGTGTCAGTGTAAATGGCCCGTCTTTGGTCCCCGAGGCCTTTATTCAACCTGGACTGTTGTCCATGGTCGTCGTGCTTCGCCATTCGAGGAGAGCACGTGTCGGTAGGGAAGTCGATTTAGTTCCAGTGTCGATTAGAAGGGGGAAGGGGGAGTACGAGAAAAGATATATGACCGAAGAAGCTCAGACTTGGATTGTCAAGATCGAACACGTTGATACATTCCGTCCCCAAGTTGGTGAAGGTAAGTATATACTATGCGGTGGGGACAACTTTAATGGGGGGGGGGGCTATTTTCCTCTCTGCAGTGTACTGCATATCAGGGAGCTTCTGGCAACGCAGATATACCACAAGTATTTACATAATACACAGATGCATGCATGTTTCCTCGCCGTCCCACCGCTGGGATCGATAAGTGGAAGGGCAATTCACCTATATTTTACTAGGATTTTTTTCCCCTTGTAAGAATGTAAGGCCCCGGTGGTGGGGGTAAGTTTTGTATATTACAGTACTTGACTACGACGCGGTAGGCGTGGTATGGGCAAGGACAGGGTGCTGCGTGCGTAGCCTGAGATCTAGTTGTCCGTTCCGCAGTCCTCAACACGTTGTTATTCAAAAGGAACCCTGATTGGTCCCACCAGGCTTTTCTGCGAGCCGACTTTTTGGACTTTCGTTTGGGAATGTACCCAGCCTGTACTTACTTGGCTACCTCGAGTGATGAGAGAGCCTTGGATATCTTTGGTCCCCTTCTCGCCTGGCCTTTCCTCTTTCCGACGAGCTTGGCAACGTGACGCTCCATGTCTCTCTTTCTTCTTCTTTCTGTCGTTGTTTGAGTATGTGAGTGAGGGGTTTTGGGGGGGGGGGGGTTAGTTCGGCCTTGATCGATGTCGCGCAGCAAGTCATCCACTGCCGTGCAACCACGTTTCGGCTGTTCCTCCTCTCGCTGGCCGTCCAATACCTCACAAGGTAAACGAGCGAAGCGCTATTTATCGTATCCGGATCTTTTTTTCTTTCTTTTTTCCCCACTTGATACCACATACCAAACACGCCTCGTTCACGTGCGCGCGCGGCCTTTGTGTGCTTGCCCACTCCCGATAAATCATGCACCAAGCAACCGCCCCCCTTGGGCGAATTTCTGACCCCGCAGTCGATGCCAGGCCCCTCCCGTGCTGCAGCACGATGATTGACCGATTCGCTGCCGCCCCATTCCTTGTCGGAGCCTCGTTTGACGGACCCCCGCCTTGTCGCTGCAGCCGCCATGTGTGTTGATGACTTCTTTGCTGGCCCGCTAGTATAGTATCATTATAGCGACTTAGTAGTACTTTCAATGTTCCAGATTGCATGGTCATACCGCAGCATCCGGTTTTTCCCAAGCGCACACCACTGGGTGTGGACATCACAACGAGGGAAGGTAAGGTGGTGAGGGAGAGATCCTCCGTACACTTTCTCGTATCTGTCCCGTCATTAGGACAAGACGTGGAAATCCGAAAACGATGGCGAGCCGTCTTGGCCCCTTCTTTGAAGGGAAAATGAAGAAGAGGACAACACACATATCCGGGGAGTTCGTTGACATGCGAAGATCTCATACTCATTTTGGTCATGACGAAGTTTCATTTCATTTCTGCGCGTTTGAGCCAGCCTAGGCATGAGTCGTCTTATACTGAACATCCCATTGAATCCCTCCTTACATTGTCTGGCAGCATCGTGGTCCTCTGAGCTGCTTCATCCTAGCTCTAGGATTGGCTACTTAAGTACGTTGTAGAACTAAGAAACGCGTGAATGTGAACTGCGGAGGACTGAAACTAGGAAGGAGCACAGTCAACTTCTTGGCGCCTCGACAAGGGCCAAGATTGGGCATCCATGTTGAGAGCAGGTGGTATGGCATTCCAACTGCTGTATGGTAGCGGGCTGGCTTGTCCTTCCGCAGGTTGTCGGGTTTCATTCTCGACGTCAAAGCAGGATTAGGGTGGCTCTGCACTGGCAAAGTGTCCTGTATCATGTACCGTTGCCTGCAAGTCAGCAATAACGGGGCGATAAAAGACAAACGAGGGTAAACATGACTGGGACGAGTCGCTCCTGCGTAAAGGGTGATCCATCAAGTATAATCAATGGCCATCAAGACTCAAATGAGAGAAGGGCTTGTGACCTCAGTTTTCGTATAGTACAAGGAGTTTCATCATGGGCCAAAGATTTGAAAGAACAGTCACCTGCTAAAGCAGGAACACACAGTACTCTGAGCCCGCCCGCCCGCGCTGTTCTGGACCCCCTGTCGCCCCAGCCGCAGCGGTCTTGTTTGGGTTTTATAACGGAAGGTATAAAACGACAACAGCAACATAAAGCAAAGCAGGGAAGAAAGGGAAAAAAAGTTGAGGGTTAAGAATTAAGGGTATCTGGGCAGGAATGAGTTCCAAAATTTTGGGTATCGCGCCAAATTTTCTATGACAGGCCAGACTCTCAAAGATCAGAACCTACCTTTGCTAGGCTGGTTCTCGTTGTCCGTCTTGCCTTTTGGAAGACTAACAGGACCAATAAAAGCGCCACCACTTGGCTGGCTTCGCATCATAACATCCCCTTAACAGAGAAGAACCATAACAGACTGCCTCAAATAAGCCACATGCCAGATTATTGCCCAGTTGACGCGCGTTCATATCGGAAGCTCAGGAAAGTGAACCCCTCACTCCCGAAGACCTGGGGCGCCCGGCCTGCCCGAGCTTCTGTTTCGGGCAGCCTCGCTTACTACGACGGTCATCAACCGCTCACTCCCACTTACTTAGATGCCCGAGGAGAAGAGGAATAAGAACACATAAGCGAATTCCAAAGTGTCTTTGGGTTGTCACAGTGCCCATCAGCTGATCTACCAGGACTGTCACTTAGCAATCGGCACAGCTGGGGTTCAGGAGCGGCCGCTGCCCGAGTATAACACTTGACATACAGAGTGGGCAGTAGTGTTCTTTTCCCCCCCCTCCTGCTGTGCTGTACTGTTGCAAGAATTCCTTGAGCCGAGTGGTACCGCAGCACAGGGACAGAGACAACCCCCCTCTGGCCCTCTGGGGTCAACGTCTGTCCGACATCGGCTCGACCTGTGGTTGGTGATGTGTCTAGGTGAGATCGAAAGCGCACCTTCCAGCCGAAATGCACCCTTCTCATCATGTCGTGGGACATCTTTGTCTGAAGAAGTACGATCAAGCTGTCAACTTCTTATTGCTTGATGGTTCTAGCTGGTTGATGCCAACAGCGAGCGTTCGTGAGGTTGACAGTGTGCGATTCACGATAGATCGTAGAGGCTTGCATTTAGGTAGCAAACTGTGAAGTTGTAAGCAGTTATGCTGCGATACGCTGAGAATAGCCTCAGAATGCAATGTTCTACGACGACAAAGACGTTCCACTGCCATCTCTCTTAACCTACAAGAAGGACGACAGTCAGCCGCGGCTATAGTGAGCGTACACAATTCATAGTACGCACGAGAGAGTGTCATGTAACGTACCACTTGTCTCGCATCAGTACCAGAAAGTCTGACAATTGAAGTCACGCCTGGCCCATCCCATATGTCGACCTGCGAGCTCTGCGTTACAGCGTTCCGTGTGCTTCAGTGGGCTGTCTTGATACATGCAAAACCCAACCCCTCAAGCCCCAGGCTCCTGTTGAAAGATATACCGTCGACAAGCCTGTGCAGGAACATGAGTCAGTTTGTATTCGGGTTTCAGCACCAGCCAGCCTGTCAAAGATGCCCACTTACGGCTTTGAGGACATCCAGCTGTTCCGTCGATTGATCGAACACGGTGCGGTACTGCGAGATGCTCTCCCTCAGGAACTGATCCTTGGTGATGCGGCCCTCGCAGATTGCCTTCATCTTCAACTCCATCTCCTTGCGCAGGAAGGGTTTGCCGAGGCTGGTCTCAAAGTTCATCCCGTCGAAGCCCTGGATGAGCGCCACACCGAGCTGGGTCGGGATGAAGACCTTCACGTTGTGCCGGCCTCTTCGGGCAGCTGTTCCTCCTCCTCCTCCTCCTCCTCGACCACCGCGGCCTCGTCCTCCGCGTCCGCCCCGCCCGGCTGGCGCAGCAGCTTCACCGTCATCCTCGTCGGCTTCTCCTGCCTGCTGACCTGACCGTTCGACAACCTGCACGTACTCCCTGACCTGGATTTTCTCTATGTGTTCCGCCATCGTGGCGTCAGTCCCAATCCCGTTCGCGTCCATGAGAGCGATGAGGTCCGCCTCAGTCAGGTAACCAGGAGGTGTCGTCTTGCCCTCGGTCATGTTTGCCTCTGTCGGCGCGAATCTCTCGCCGACGGTAAATTTGGGCAGTTGTGCCGAGTCAGTCCAGTTCTCATAAGGATAAACGTCCAAGTAATTCCTCTCCAACACAATCACCCCGTGAGCGTGGAAAAATTCGTCTCCGTATTTGATGTCGACATCCGTAGCAGTACCTTTTGCGTCGTCTGCGCAGCATGCCAAAAACCGGCGCACGACGAATTCGTAGAGCCGGCCTTCGTGATCATTCAAGGCGGCTGGAGCGGCGTATGTGACAGGGTGGATGGGGGGATGGGCCTTGTCATCATGCCGACCGTCCCTGGGCTGCTTGAACTCGCCGTCGACCAGGTTCTGGGCGAAGGTACCCCATCGGTTGTCCTGTGTCTGCTTCTGCACAAGTGCTCGGAGGTTCATACCCTTGTCGAACCGGTCGGTCTCTGTCCTCGGATAGCTGATGAAGCCTTTGTTGTACAGAGCCTCGGCGACGGACATTGCCTGCTGACCCGTCATTCGGAGGAATCGGGTTGCCATCTTTTGCAGCTCGACCGTCGTTAAAGGGAGGGGCCTCCACTTCTTTGTAGGTTTCTCTTGCACCTTGGTGACTATGGCCTGCTTTGCTGCCAGGCACCTCTCAAAAAGGATGGTCACGGCCGCCCTGTCGAAGAGTCGATTGCGATCCCAGGTAAACGTCACGCTGAGGCCATCCTTCTTGTGGAGCACCTTGATGCTCCAGAACTGCTCAGGCACAAAGTTTCGCACTTTGAAGTATCTGTCCACCACAAAACCCAGCGTGGGAAATTGGCACGACCCTGGGAGACGATTAGCTATTCGCCGTCATATGCTCTATGGGAAACCTTCAGAACTCTTACCATAGCTGATGAGGGCTTCCTGGATGGGACCGCCCATGACTCGCAAGCTGCTGGTGAGGAAGCGGGTGAAGGCAGCACCGGTCCTCAGGTCCAGGTCCATCCTGGCGCTGACCGCGTCGACTTGTCTCTGGTCGAGGTCTCTTAGATTTTTTGCGGCATTCAAAATATGACTACCGAAGGTTGTTAGTATCGCATCCATGGTCAGGCCTGGGAAAGCTACACTGACGCTCTCTCGATATTGCTGAACTGGGCCCTCTTGACTTGTATTCGAGGGTTGCCCCTCCGAGCCGAGTCGCGAATCTCGCTGCCGATATGCTCTCCTTCGCGGTCACAATCAGTCCAGATGAAGAGAGCCCTGGCGTATTTGGCCTGATCTTCAATGTTCTTGGCGATGTCTTTCTTGTCCTGGGCAAGGAGTTAACGTGGATCCTGACAATGCTCAGGGCCAAGACCAAACTCACATTTGCCACCGAAGTCAAGATGGGTGCATTGAACAGGGCGACTGGTGGCGGGTGGCGCCAGTTCCTAAAGCCATCTTCAAAGTCTGTGCTGGTGAGATGACCAAGCACGGCAGTCATGGTCACCTCACAGATGCCCCATGGTGGACCAAAGTCGAATTGGAAACAGTAGTTCTTGATATACTGATTCCGGGTATTGCGCTACAGAGGCACAATCAGCACAAGGCATCTAACTCGGAGGCTTTGTTTGACCTCACTCAGGTCACTCACGGTTTGGATTTGGCCTCCGGACAAGTGACCTGCTACGGCCTTTGAGATGGACGGCTTCTCTGCCACGCATAATATCTTGGTCATCTTGGCACGTGCAGTAGCATATAGACGCGTCTGGACGACAGCAACAAGAGTGCTGGAGTTGAATGCTCGGGACCAGATGCTATGAAGCATGTCGCAAGTCTGCCTTGCCCGTCAAGCGACGCGTCCGCATCCGACCGTGCCTTCCTGAGAGAGCGCAGAAAGTTATAAACATGGCAGCTGGGACATACGGCGCGTCTAACTGTCCAAATTTCTTGAACTCGATGTCGCCGTCAGGGTTTGCACACGATGCGTCGACACGCGTTTGCATTCGCTTCAAAGTCCGCCATAAATCTGCAGTGATGCGATTTGACCCCCAGCATGCGATTAGCGGGGCATGGATTCTGACAAGGGAACGAAGGCAGGGAGCTACCAAGGGCCCCCCTGTACTCGAGTTACAGGCCGCATTGGGGCAGGAGTTGATCCACCATGACGCGCACATGGTTTCTTTGTCTCAGCTCTTTCACCAGCACAGCTCCTATATCTCTGAAGGGAGGGAACTACTCTCCCACCTTGTTGAGGGCTTCGGAGTACGACTAAGCATCACCACTAAAGCTACCATGGCACTACCAGCTCTCCACACCTTCGAAGACTGCGCCGACTGGTCCAAGACGGTCCAGCCGTACTTTTCGCACCTGTACGAGCTCCCAAATAAGCTTGTCGACGTCCTCCAAGGCCGCCAGGGGATTGTCGATGTATATACGCAGACGAACCCCCTCATCTCTGGTTTTGCCATCTCAGTCTTCTTCGGCGCGATATTTTTGGTCGTAGCAGAATTCAATAAGAACTATTCCCAGGTCGACCGGTGCTGGAGCCTCTTACCAACGTTCTACATTGCGCATTTTGACCTCTGGGCCCGGCTGACCGGCGTGCCGAGTGCAAGGATCGATGCACTTCTTGCCTTTAGTGCAGTATGGAGCGTAAGTAGTATCTGGCTGGCCATGAAGGAGACTAGAGAGAGGCTCACCACCCCGATACAGGCCCGCTTGACGTATAATTACTGGCGAAAGGGTGGTTATACCGTTGGAAGTGAGGACTACAGATGGGACATCATCCGGGACACCATCCCAGTCTGGGCGTTCAAGATTCTGAATGTCACCTTCATCTCCTTCCAACAGAGCATCATTCTCTACGCCCTGGCTGCTCCTGTGTATCCGATCTTACTGAGCATTCAGTTCCGACCTGAGCTCGACGCCACTGACATGGCGTTCGTTGCCTTTGAGCTGGCCCTTATCACTACTGAGTGGTTTGCAGACCAACAGCAATGGGGTAAGTCTTTCCGAAATATCCCTGAGGACGTATATGACTGCAGGCAATGGTTCTAACCACGGGACAGACTTCCAAAATGCCAAGCATGACTACCGGAAGACGGCCAAGCTTCCGCAGGGCTACCACGCCGATGATCTCAATCGTGGCTTCATCACCTCCGGCCTCTGGGCTTACAGTCGGCACCCAAACTTTGCCATGGAGCAGGCGATCTGGATCTCGCTGTACGCCTTGAGCGCTTACATCACAAACACATTCTCGTACTGGGCTGCGGCAGGCGCTGTCAGCCTGATCTCTATCTTCTTCGGGTCGACGATCCTCACAGAGTGGATCACTGCTAAGAAGTATCCAGAGTACACGGAGTACCAGAGGCAGGTAGGCAAGTTCATCCCCCGGGGCGCCAACGGATACCAGCCGCCGGTAATTCCAGTCACGCCGGTGGCCAGGGCCGAGAAGAAGAAGCCGATCAAGAAGAAATAGGTGCATGAGAAGTGCATAGGGTCGATTTTGTTTTAAATGAAGGGTTGGACGTATTACTTGGCCACAATATTTACGAAGTGGTGGAATTAATTTCTGGTGTCGAGCCCAGCTCATATTGGTGGTATACGATTTCACGGACAGACGCAATCGAGCTGCAGTTCAGGCTTCGTACAGCACTGGCTAGTCGCATGCCTTCAGAGGTCAACATTTGTTGTCTCACTCTATACTGAATCACGGATTGAGTCTTCTCATAGCCGAATCAACTCGTGTAAACTCAGAGATTCTGGGCCTGGCATCGTATGCGAGGAGTCATTTCGTGAACCAAGACCCCAGATCGCCGGGGTCCTCGGCCGGGTATTCAGACGGAGTGGGTCCGGGGTGGCCGGATCCAGTAAGCGAGACACGGGACAAGATCCGGCATCCAATGTTTGATCTCTCGTGTGGCCATCCATGTTTGCTCAACTGTTGGCGAGGTAAAGGGTGACCTCGCCCGGAGCAAGGGCACACTCGACGCCCCAGAGGAACATGCCGTGGCATGTCCTCCCCTCTTCCCCTCTTCAATCACCGCCACGACCTGGTGACGACCTCACCACGACGGGTAGTCCGAAATTACAAACATGGCCACATTCCCCTTCTCGCCCCCACCTCACGTGCTACATATACGAAAGTCATAGGCGGTATCCACTGAGAGTCAGTTCAATGGTACCGTCAGCAAAGGTCGCCTTGTCACCACCAAAACCATGACAAACCGACCGGATGCGCTACGTTCACCCTCTCGTTGTGATTATTGTCATCGTCAGACATCTTGATCTCGCCCGATAGGCAGGAAATGCACCAGAGGAAGCGATCGTTCGTTTCTAAGCACCCGACTTCTTAGGCTCTGAAGAGTTCAGTGGTCACATGGCACAACACGAATTCGTACGTCATCTCCCGTAGCAAACGACTTTCACCCAGACAGAGAGAAGGAGGCTTGTGTTTGTGATGGGCCCGGGTATCGCCCACAGACCCTCGTAGATTTGATGGATTGGTAAGTCGAGGTTTAGTTTGCCCCTCCTTCTCCTTTCCATGTTCAGTCTGGCGACCGGAAAAGAGGGTTTTGTCAGATGTCTCGGATCTGTCTGTACCCTTGGATACTAAATTCGCTGTCATAATCACCTCGTGGTTCGGAAATGACAGTAAGCGGGCCGCCAAGCATTGCGCGTGCCCCCAGAAGGACCCTGAGATCGTAAAGTATTAGGTTGTCGAGGACATCGCCATTTTCACTCTATTTAACTATCGTGAGTCCTACTTGACACGTTTTAGAGTTTGCTGCTCTTCACACCGTTCTTTGTCTTGTCATCCACTTTTGCTGGTGCACAGAGAGCCTATTCATTTATTTACTTTCCGTCTGGAATCTGTACCTTTCTGCCTTTTTTCTCAAGATCGGACACAATACTATAAATAGATGCGCACCCCCAGAAAAAATCAAGACATGACCATGGGCGCACAGCTTTCCACACCAGAAACAACACTACTGCCATCACAAAGACCAGACAGAATGTCCACACCCCCTAGCGAACACACACGTTCTCGCCAGAGCTCCATCTCCTCTAACGACTCTGGAGCATCTGCTGGCAGCGCAGGACAGCAAGCACCCCCTCCATTTCACGCCAGTCTCGCAGAACAACAGCTTGACCCCCTCTCGCGCGCGTATCCCAAGCCAGCGCAGGAGATCGACGTCCGCGAGGCACTGGCCAGGAAGCCTATGAAGTGGACACTGGGCCACTACTTCAAGGAGACACCCACGCGCGAGCCACACGCCCAGACCGTGGACCGGGCAACGAGGGCTCTGGACTTGGAAGCGAAGAAGAGGGAGCTTCTCAAGGCCAAAGATGAGATTCGGATGCTGGCTCTCCCCAAGCAAGTCCTGCATGGCCCACGATGAGGCCCCTTGAGAGAATACACCGCGCTTAGTCGACTGCGCATGGTGTAAGCGGCACTATTGGCGCTTGGACCAATTGATTCGAGGGTTTGTTTTGAAATGCCTTTTTGGAGCATGGGGATTTTTATCTGGGCACAGCGAGGAGAACGGTGGGGTCCATAGCTTCTGTGATATCCAAAGTCAAGTTGAATTGAACAATTTCTAATATACATACAAGGAGTGATGACGGCAAATGTGACCAAGCCACAGGGGACAGGGTCCTCCATCTCTAGGACGTTCGAACAAGGGAGCGGAGATGACTGTTCGTCTTCCAAGCGCAGCGTCTCTTCACACATCAGACTTCCCCTACTCTTCCCCTCCAAAACAAAAGGGCCTTAGCGGATTCGCCTGGCCAGCGTGACGCCGTACACGACGGTCGCCACAAAGTTGACCACATTCAACAAAGAAGAGATGCCGTGCAGCATGCCAAACTTCTTGTTCAGGGCCGTCATCTCTTGGCTGTGCGGTTTCGGGTCCCAGCTTCGCTTGCCGTCCTTCTCCTCCTGCTTTCTCCTCTCGACGATGCACGCCTTTGAGGCCGGCAGGAGGACGACCCAGTTGGCAAGCCCGGTGACGAAGACAGTGGCTAGGGGGACCAGAGTGCTCCAGCGGTTCGAGGCATTAAACAGTCTCTGGAGTCCGCCAGAGGCTCCGAATGGTCCTCTGCCGGGAAGGGTCACCGCAAGAATGACGGGCAATGTTGTCTGCAGTCCAAAGTACCACGGAAAGGTCTTGGTCTGCAAATCCGAAAATTGAAGTATGGGAAGCGTCTTGAACTGGATGATGGTTCCGACGCAGGTCTTTTGGTGTGACTCCAATCAGACTAAAGAACGAGCCGCGCGGTTGGATCGAAGACCTTTTGACTTACATTGACTGCATCGTCTAGTCAGCCACATGTAACATCATATCAAACCACAGTGGATTCAACAATTGACCCATAGATGTGAGAGTGGAGAATACTGACAGACGGTTGTTCCAAGCAGAGATCCATACCTAAATCAGATGTCAGTAGCTGCGTAGTTCTAAGAGAAGTCTACACCAACTCACGCCAGGATGTGGTAAGGTGCTCCTGTGAGCATGATTGATTTCCTCGGCATTTTTGGCGAAAAGTGTTTATATGAATAAGTCAGTCTTTCTAGAATTGGAACACGACAGATGTTGGAGACTCGGATTTCAAGAAGAAGTTTACGAGAGGGAGGAAGGAGAATCGAGGAAATCTGGAGCAGTGTCAATGACGATAAATCAGGAGATGAGCGTGAGGAGTATGTAGCAGCCGATTCAGGTGTTTTACAGGGGGTTGATCACCCCAACGTTATCGATAAGAGGACCTTAGGCAAGCAGAGCCAGGGCTGGCTTGGCTGGGATTAGGCTGATACCCGCCTGCTGGAGCTCACATGATAGCGTGTTTACTGGGGGGTCTGAGGCTTCCCTTCACTACCAGTAAGCTATCCGTGGAACGCGTCGTTGCCTAGACTGACGTGCCACAACTCTTGGAGATTTGGACGTGCCCAAATTGGAGCTGTAGGGCTCATTTCATGCCAGCATAGAAGCGAAGGGCAGTTGGCCTGTTGTTCCCTCCTTTCCTCCTTATCCTTCTTCTTTTGATACCCCAAAACATCGCTGCTCATCATGGCGGACAAGGAGGCAAGCGTTTACATCGTTGACGTCGGCTCGTCCATGGCCAACTGCAACAACGGCCGAACCGAATCTGACCTCGACTGGAGCATGCGTTTCGTTTGGGACAAAATTGCCACCACCGCTCAGTCCAAACGAAAGACGTGGTGCGTCGGTGTGGTTGGCCTCCGAACAGATGTGACTGAGAATCAGTACGTTGACAACGAAGGCTACGAGAATATCTGCGTTTTCAAGGAACTTGGTCCGGTGTCCTTGCAAGACATGCAGCAGCTGAAAACGCACATAAAGCCGAGTCAGACTGTCAATGGTGATGCAATGTCCGCCGTTGTCGTCGCTTCTGAGATGATCGTTGCCTTCACCAAGCAAAACAAATGGGACCGCAAAGTCTATCTGGTCACTGACGGCATGGGTGCCATCGACGATGATGGTATTGATGACATTGCAAACCGGCTGAACGACATTGGAATTGCATTCACAATAATGCAAGTGTATTCCCGCACCTGTTACAACGACGTCCGAACCGCTAACGGATCCCACCTAGAGGCGTGGATTTCGATGATCCAGAGTATGGATTCAAGGAGGAAGATAAGTCGTCGCTCAAGGCGTCCAATGAGCGCACTCTGAAGGCTTTTGTGGACAAGTGTGATCGTGGTGTTTTCGCTACGATGGCTGAGGCCATAGAAGGCCTTGCCATACCCAAACCCCGGTTCACGAAACTGTGAGTAACGGATGCTGTCCCTGCTATGCGTTGGCCCTGTCGTCCTGTCGTGCAGCTGACTGACCCGCCGTACTGCAGCGTCCGGAGTTATGATGGGCCATTAACCCTTGGAGATCCCGAGAACTTCCCCAGTGCCATCAAAACATATGTCGATAGATGGCCTGTTACCAAAAAGAGCAGCGCAGAGTCTGCCACGACTGTGGTCTTGAAATCGGGCTCTCTCGACACACAGTCAACGATGACCTTGGATCACGAGATGGAAGGATTTGAAAACGGCGGTCCGTCGTTGAGCTCGGTCAAGCAGCATCGAACTTACAAAGTCAACGACCCAGGCGCACCAGGCGGAAAGAGGGATGTCGAGTTTGAGACCTTGGCCAAGGGCTATACATACGGCAGCACCGCCATCCACGTTGCGGAGGCTGAATGGGACATCACCAAGCTAGACACCACTAAAGGATTCTCCATCATCGGATTCATCGCAAACGAGAAAGTTGAGCCTTTTATGGCCATGGCGGAAACCAGTGTCACAGTTGCCAAGCCGTTTGACGAGACATCCCAAGTGGCCCTCTCGGCTCTCATTCATGCTCTCCATGAGCTGGAGCACTGCGCGGTCGCAAGGCTTGTCGTAAAGGACGGGAAAGACCCAGTGATCCTCCTCTTGAAACCATGTGTCGACGTGGACATCGAGTGCCTCTACGACGTGCCTCTCCCCTTTGCGGAAGATACACGACAGTACCGATTCCCTCCTCTGGACAAGGTCATCACCATCACCGGCAAGACCCTGACTGAGCACCGCTTCCTCCCTGATAAAAATCTTAAACGAGCTATGAGCGACTTTGTTGATGCTATGGATATCTCGGAGTTCGGCCGGGACGATGACGGGTAAGCATCTATACAGGCCCACAGGAAAGAGGAAGCAGACTGAAAACAGCCTCTCTAGAAATTCGGCCGAATACGCGCCTCTGGATGACTTGTACTCGCCAATCATCCATCGCGTGAACCAGGCCATCCGAGCTCGCGCTGTCGATGAGCAGGGTGCTGTCGAGCCCATTCCGCCAGTGTTGCTAAAGTACTCGCGACCCCCTGAGAAACTGTTGAAAAGAGCCAATCCAGAAATCGAGGCTCTCATTGAGGCAGCCGATGTCAAGAAAGGTCAGTCCGTCGTCGTGAATGTTGTGTTTGATTCGAAACAAGCACTCACAATATCTTCTGCAGCACCGGAGAAACTAAAAGGGAAGCGCAAGGGCGAGTCTGGTCAGGAGACCCGCGCAATATCAGGCTTCGACGCAGGCGCATCGATCTTGGCTGCTCGCGAGAAGAAGAAAGTCAAAATCTCAAAGGAAAACGCCATCCCCGATTTCAAACAGCTACTTCGCTCCCTTGCCACAGTGAACACGGACGAGGCCATCGAGACCGCTATGAAAGACATGGCACAAATCGTCTTTTCTTTGATCAAGGAGAGTTTTGGCGACCGCAACTACGACCAAGCACTTGAGAACATCGGTGTGATGAGGGAGCAGATGGTCGGCCTTGAGTCGCCGAAGCTGTACAACAGCTTCCTGGAGGAGCTCAAGAGCAAAGTCAACTCCAAGGCACTTGGAGGTGATCGCCGGGACATGTGGGCCAAAATCCGTTGGTCGGGACGGCTTGGGCTCATCACCAGAGACCAGTCTGAAACCTCCGATGTGACAAAGGAGGATGCATCTAATGTGAGATCTACTTCTTTTGTGGTTTTTGACGAGCACAGCTAACATTAATTGACAGTTTTGGCGCTCGTAAACTGGGCCCGGTGGAAATGAAAAGGTCGACGAAAACACTTAGGATCCTCAGTGACGCAATCCTTGACCTAGAAGCGAGTGCCACGCCGAAACACACTTATCGTATTAAGTTCAACAATTGCCAAGCCATCTTGTGAACAGCTGTCCAAGGCTTTCAAGTGTATTAACAATGGAAAAGAGAGGAGAGCTTTGTTACAATTCCCAATATATAGTAGTTTGTAATGGTTATGGAACCAACTGTTGGCCACCTGCCAAGCTGTCAAGATGAAAAATCACAAGCACGAGAAATCGGACCAATGGAGCAGAGTATATGTAGAACATCAATAAAGAAATTGTGGACTTTTCATTCCAATCATAAACGGTATTTCTGACCTGCCTCAGCAGTGGTGTACGAACGCCATCAACCCCTCCCTCTTTCCCAAACCGCGACATGCAAATGCAATACTACTGATAAAACATTCTTGTTCAAACATCAACCTCCACCGGCAGCGCAGGATACAGCGGCGCATCTATCTTGGCTGAAGCCTTTCCTGCCTTCAATGTAGGGTCAATGTTGTCCTCGCCCTCACTGTCCGAGTCGTATTGGCGACTCTTGAGGCGGTCTTGGATAGCCACGCGCAGATACTCGATCACCCGAACGTTCTGGAGCCAAGCCTCGTAGGACTCTGGCTCGCCAGTGCTGTCGTTGTCGTCTGTAGAAGAAGCGGGCGATTGCGGTTCGGCCTTGGGTGTGACGGCGCCCTCAGACTCGTCGGAAGCCCGGCGGGCTCCACGAGCACGCTGAAGCATGCCACCAGACAGACGACGCTGGTCGTTGGGGGCGAAGGTGGAGCCTAGGCTGATGGTTGAGGAGCCGTACGAGGTAGTAGCTGGCAGCGATGGATATGCCACAGACGCAGAAGACCCGTTTCGTTGCCCGGGAGACATGCCCGTGGTGGATCCTGGCGAGTGACCAGCAGTGTATGACAGAGAGCTCGAAGGCGGGGTGTGGCCGGCGCTGCTGCTCGTTGTGGAAGACACAGCACTCAGGGGTGAGGGCATCTGTGCGGCAGACACGGCGTAGTGAGCGGTCCCAACATTGTCTCTGGAGACTGGCGACTGATGACGCAGGTCGAAAGCTGACGGGTAGTGCGAGGTGGAAGGAGAACCGCTGTTCTCGTACACAGTGCTCTGCATCTGCTCCAATATCTGGTCGATTTGCTCCAAATCACCCTTAGTCCGCAGATTGGGCATCGGAGGAAGATAGTAGTGTTGGTCCAGGGCGCTCTGTGCCGAGGGCTGGCCTCCGATAGCTGGGAGAGCTGGTGCCGCGGTCATATACTGGGTGCCCATTCCTCCAGTGTGGACAGCGAGGGCGCCGTGCAGAGGCATCAGGGACCTCCCGACCTGGTTGTAGTTGCCAGGATCAAGGCTCCTACGCTTGGCCTGGCCGAAGAAGTCATTCAGATCATCGTAGCCACGCCTGCGATCGTAACCGTGTCCATATCCGAGAGGCTCAGCGCGGTGGTTGTGAATGGGCTGCTGGTAGTATCCAATGGGTGCGCCATAGGCCTGTGTGGGGCCGTGTCCATAGTAACCAGCATGCGGAGGCTGTGGCTGTCCAAAGGCATTAGGTTGGGCCCGCATCTGGTGTCCGTTATGGTCATAGAAGCTGGACGGTCCTAGATCTGTAGTATCAGCATTCAATTCTGCGGCACACCTCCACAAGGACGCATCCTTACCTGGTCGGCCGTATGCAGCGGCTAAACCACCATGCTGGTCTGGAGGAGACCTGACCAGAACACTATCGTCTGCATGGGTCTTGACGTGCTTCTTCAAGTCCTGGGGACGCTTGAAGGATTTCCCGCAGAAGTCACACTTGTGGGGCTTCAGAGGAACGTGAACACGGATGTGAGAAGTAATGTGGTCACGCTTGACAGTAGTAGTACGGCAGGCATTCCACTGGCAGGTCAGGCTGAGGTTGTTTGTGCTTTTTCTGCCAACATGCTTCTCGCACAAGTGGTCCTATATTCACCCATATCAGCCGATGCAAGGATGATACAGAAATACATGCCATTTCTGACAGACACACAAACTTACATAGAGCGTCTCAGGGGTATTGAAGCGTGCACCACACTGATTCCACCTACAGGTGAGGCTCTCCTCGCCAGCATTGGTGGATGAGCTCGAGGATGCAGCGGCATTGGAAGAAGCGGGCGTGTCACCGTTCGAAGTCGTAGTCGGACTCCGAGACTGCTCGCTGTTGCTATCCTGGGCGGTTGTCATCCTGGCCTTGAGTGAGAGTGGATCTCTCTTGTAGGACGTTGGGGGCTGGGTTCGTTGTGCCGTGTTCCGAGTGTTGGGGTTCGACTTAATCGATGCGAAGTCGAGCTGTGAGGTAGACAGCTATGGTTCCTGCTTTGGGAGCAGAAGTGGTGTGGGTCTTGGCACTTGATTGGGCAGGACTCGGGCTGGGCGCCTCTTCTCCAAAAGTTTAGGGCGTCAAAAAGGTCCTGGAGTTTCTGCGTCTCACGTCCACGTTGAAGTGTTGTTTTCCAGTGCTGCACGACGACAAGGCGATAGAACAAGGCACTTTCGAGATGTTTTTAGATGCATTCGGTGTAAAGATGATCTATCAAAGAATAAAAAGAGGCCTGGAACAGACGCTGAGGGACTCTTATGGGTTTCCTCGGCCGTTCCCAAGGTTTGACTGCGCGGCGGAGTTGTCTTGGCGAAACTCGTCGTTCCGCCAGGGCAATAGCAGAATACTTGATAAAGGGTGTTTTCTGGTGTAAAACTGTGTGGTTGAGATTGTACCTTACTATCAAAATGTGGATGAATGCCAAGACTTTTCCAAGTCTTGGCAAAGCACTAATACTCCGGCAGTCAATTGAGGCCAAAGATGTAATTTTTCCAATCGCTGGGGCCTGTGTCTGCACTCTTTCGCAACATCACTGTGCTACAGTGAATTGCAGGCCTCTAGGCGACGACTCGAGCCCTGTGAAACGCAATATATACACTGAAGGCATAGCGGTCGGCCCCCTAGAACCTATGCCTCCTTTTAATACTGCCTTTCCAGCTGCCTGGAACGGGCATCACTCTTCGCAACCTGTTCCACCATTTTGAGTCAGCAGCATCATCAGCAGCATCATCAGCAGCATCATCAGCAGCATCATCGCTATTTTAATTAATCTCATGACTTTCGTCTGCTAACGCTCAAAGAATAGTCTAGTCGGGCGGACTGTGGCAGTCTTTGAGCACTCCCTCATATTCGTCCCTTAGAAAGTCTAGATTGCCACACTTGCCTGACTCTCAACTGAACGAATGTTCGATAATGAAAGGAGGCAGCTGGTAGTGTGGTCTCTCTCTCCCCCGCCAAGACACCTCCGACTGGGCGCCAAGTTTTCCGCTGTCACCCCTACAGGCCAAGAACGGCAGCGGATTCCCAAAACTGCTGGGCGTTACGCCGCAGGCCCAAACGCTACTGGCCATCGCCTGACAGTGCCCAGCCTTGCACTGCCTCGCAGGAGTCTGCTGCTGAAAATTGGCACGAGTGACACGAAATAACGCCACGGGTAACCATGATCTCGGGTTTCAGAGCAAGTCGATGCCCACGGTTTCGATGGCAGCCCACACTCTGGCACCCAGATCCCTCAATAGTCTTGGGTCTTAACTGCCCGCTGGTTGATTCTATACGGCGCAGGGTCAGGCATAGACGAGAATAAACTTGCTTAGAATCCAAGTACTGGGGACAAATCCTATGCTCTCGGGTGGTATCTTGCGTTGGGAACCTTGGAAGCGCATTTATATTTATCAAGCATGTTGGAACGTCGGAAGACTTGCACGATTTTGCAGCAGGCCAAGGAGCCTCGTGCTTGTGGAGCAAGCCTGTAACGTGATTCCAAGAGATCTCTCCCATACAGTTACTCTTGGTCTTTGAATTCTTGGAGCAATTTCACAATACAGTTTACCAAGACCCTAGGACTTAGTGTACCATTCTCTCTATTTCTCTGATGTGCAACACTTGACTCCGTGAAGGAGGTAGTGGATAGTCGCCTTGAGTTGCCCCTTTCGCAGATGGCAGTAAGTCATGAAGCTTTTTATCTTCTTTCAAGAATGTCCATCGAATGCGTGCTTCTCCGTGCGGTTGCCTGCTGCACAGGATCTTATGATGCCCTACCATCGCCAATTGCTGCGCTGCGAAACAAGAAATCATTCACACCGACGAGAGAACTTGTGTCATTTTTCGTTGCTCCAGCCTGCAGGTCCTGTATTCCTCAGGCCAGGTCCGCCTCCGGTCTGGCCCTCGTTGTCTGTGAAACCTGAGCATCGCCGCAATTTCTGGTGCTATATTCACACAATTGCTGGTCGTGTAGAGAATGAATCATCTTCTTCTAGGTCCCAGAAGTTGAAGCAGTGGTGTCCACAGATGAGACGTTGGCAGCCATAAGTTTTGACCTGCAGCTGAACACCTTCCTCATAGATATAATAATCTGCTTGCCAAATAGGTGGCAAACCGCCGGTTTCAGGCGTTCACTTCTGAGACCTTTTGCTAACCACCGTTCCTCGTCGATGCACGCTTCAAAGATTGGTTCTTATGGTTCAGCCGACGTGTATGTCTATGTAGATTAGACAAGCCTGTGTCGGGTCTTTCGAAATGAGCCTCGTTCCTGCTTGACGCCTTCTTAAGTTTTTCGCAGTATTCGGTGTCCTGCGACTTACCGAAGGACTGGTCATCCTTGGAGAAGAGGGTGGCGCATGTAATTTGTCCCGCGGGCTTGGCTGTCCAGACGGGACAAGAAAGTTGTTTAACTACTATAGTCTTTATTAGCTTGAGGTCATTCTTGATTCAAGGTTCCATGTACGATGTTCACTTTGCTCGCTCTCGGCACGGGGAAGGGGGCACGTGGGGGGTCACTGAAGATTGTCAGGGAACTCGGGCCTTCCCTCCCCCACCCGCGGCAGTTCACGGCAGGCACTTGGACGATCTGCCTGCCGCTCCTGCATCTGTACGAAACTTTTTCAGAAGCCTCATACAGGCAGTAGCTACCCCCTGCCCAAAAAAAAATCCCAAAAAATTGGATTCTTCTTCTTTCTTTTAGAAGCAATCACAGTCCTCACCACAGCCATGGCAAAACGAAAGGCACAGGGCGCCCTAGATGGCGCCGCCACTACAAAGTCAGAGGCATTTAAAAAAGTCAAGTTCAATGGCGCTGAGCAGGCTGCAAAATCACGGCGAGCACCCAAGGCGAAGGCATCTAAAGCCCCAGCGGCCGTAGAGGCCACACCTTTAACGACAAAGAGCGACGCGCCCATAACGATACAGATCGTGGCAGGTTCTTACGACCGCATCCTCCACGGTGTAACAGCCACCATCCATCCCTCTTCTTCTTCCTTCTCGTCCTCCCCCCCTCACGCCCTTCCTACCGAAGACGACGCCGCCGCCAGCCCAGAAGTCACTTTCGCCGACACTTTCCTCTTCAACGCACACACATCTGCGATCCGCTGCCTTGCCCTCTCGCCGCCCTCTGCACCGCTACCGGGCCAGTCCCAGAAGGTGATGCTCGCGAGCGGCAGCACCGACGAGCGTATCAACGTGTACAACCTCTCTGCGCACCCACCCCCCTCGCGTGCGGACCCGGACGCCGCGCTGCTTAGCAGCCTCGCGCGGCGGCCCATCCTCGAGGACACGCGCAACCGCGAGCTGGGCACGCTGCTACACCACTCGTCGACCGTCACGCGGCTGGCGTTCCCGACGCGGTCCAAGCTGCTGAGCTCGTCCGAGGACTCCACCGTCGCCGTCACCAGGACGCGCGACTGGAGCCTGCTGAGCACCATCAAGGCGCCCGTGCCCAAAGTCTTTGGCCGGCCGAGTGGCGACACAGCGCCGCTGGGGGGGACACCGAGCGGAGTGAACGACTTTGCCGTGCACCCGAGCATGAAGGTCATGATCAGTGTGAGCAAGGGCGAGAGGTGCATGCGGCTGTGGAATCTGGTGACGGGAAAGAAGGCTGGTGTGTTGGACTTTGGGAGGGATCTGATGCAGGAGATTGGGGAGCCGCGGCATTCGTCGGGCGAGGGCAGGAAGGTGGTCTGGGGGAGCAGCGAGAGCGAGGGGGATGAGTTTGCCGTCGGATTCGACCGTGACGTGCTGGTGTTTGGCATGGACAGCAAGCCTCGGTGTAGGGTGATGCCCGACACCAGGACCAAGGTGCACGAGTTTGCGTACGTGAAGCTCGATGCCGGGTCGGGGGCCTGCGTCCTCGCTGTGGCGACAGAGGATGGAAGGATTCTGTTCTTCTCCACTGCTCTGGAGGACCTGGACAAGAAGAAGAGTGACGATAGCAAGGCAAGTCCGCCCCGTGCGAAGCTTCTGGCCCAGCTAGGAGGCAAGGATGCAGGCGTGGCCGGCAGAGTCAAGGACTTCAAGATCCTCCAGCCGGAGAGCACACCAGGAATATGGTACATCATCTCGGCCAGCAGCGACGGCAAATTGAGGGCGTGGGCACTGCCGCGGGCGGACCTCAAGCCGGAGGAGAAGAAGAAGAGTGGCAAGGCGAAGGCTGCTGGGAAGCTGCTGGGCACGTACGAGACGCAGAACAGGATCACTTGTGTGGAAGCATTTGTCATGATACCCCGGCCGGAGGGCGTTGAAGAGAGCGACGTGGAACTTGAGGAACCGGAGGCCGAGTCTAGTGGTGATAGCGATGATGAGTGAGGAAGCTTCTGGAGACGAAAGTCAAGCCTCAGCGCGCGCGATTCTACAATGACATCCCTGGCCTGTAAATTATTTCATGAGATTGTGTGATATTCGGCGTAATGTGTGATGATCGACTGAGGGCCGGTCGCAAGGTCGCTCAAGTCAAGCCCGGAGACGATGAGCCCAGGTTACCAACTAATGGTATGATGACTAAACGACAAGACCCTTTCGATATGAAGATGGTCAAGATTTCAAGAGTAGAGAGAGGGACACACACAGAGAGACATGCAGAGCTTTTGTTAAATTCCCCAAACCCTCCGCTGATGTCAACTTTCCTAAATATCCACCACATGCGCACAGGTCGTGAAGTCGTGAGAAATTCCTCCCATCCATCATCCATCGATCACAGATGAAAAGAAAACGTAGATGTAAATTGTGGGAGAGAGGGAGAGAAAGAGAGGCCAGAAACTCGCTCGCTCATCTCAGACCACCCCACCTACCGCGCCCTACCGCGGACTTGTTCAGCGCCAACCGCCTGCCAATGTTTCCAAAGCACACGCAGCTGCAGAAGAGCACACTGATAACCCAGATCCCCGTCTCGATCGTCCTCTGCGTGGCTAGACCGCCGAGCATCAGGTGTCCCCCGCTGTCGTGCTGGCCAGTAGCGTTCCGACCGAGAGGTGATGAGGAATACCCAGTCGGCGTGGGCATGATCTCTGGGTTTAAACCCATCAACACGACCGAGCCGACCAGGCCGGTGGCGGCGGACAGGAGGAAGCCCGGCTTAGAACGGTCGATCAGGTACCACAAGAGCGGGTTGGCCATAGCCAGAGTTAGGGAGACCTGCATTGTTGAGGCCCACGGGACTTTTCTCTGTAAAAGTCATCGTAGTTTTGGTAAGTAATGAAAGTTCGAAATGAGACCTGGGAGAGTGTGGGTAGTAAAAAGGGGGGGTTTGTCAACTCACAATAGCAAAGACAATGCCAGCGAAAGCCCCGATGCCACGCACCACAAGAGCCCAGTCAGTCCCTGGGGCGTCTTCTTCGTCTTTGATGGCCTCCTCGTACTCCTCGTCGCCTTTTTCAAAGACCTCCTCCCACTTTCCGTCAAACCACGGCAGGAGGCTGCCGAGCACAACACCACATAACCCCCAGGCGGCGAGGAACCGTCCATCGTATCCAGGTTGTATTATTCCTTCCACGGGGAACGATGCCCACTTCTGCTCCGAGGAGAGCCGAGTCAGGAGAGCACCGTAGCCCATGCCCAGCACAAAGAGTAGCGTCGTCCGCAGGCCGACGAACAGGGGCGACGCTGCCTGCGTACCCTGTGCGGACCGTCCTGAAAGCGCCGAAGACCGCCGCCTGTGCATGGACGACCGCTCTCTCGCCAGCTTGTGCATGCCCTCGTCGGAGAATTCGGGCACTGGCGTCGCCCCAGAGACGTCCACCTCAACAGGCTCGCCCGAGGGGTAGCCCGAAATGGCTGGCGAGTAGATGCCTGAGAGCGTCGAGCTCGTCAGGAACCTGTAGGACGCAGCGCGGCTCTGCGAGTCGAGAGGCGCGTTGAAGGCCCTCGGGTCAAGGCGGTTGTTCTGGCTCGCGCGTCTTTCATCATTATCTTCCCCATCTTCCTCTTGCTCGTCGTGGTACTGGAAGGGCCGGGGAGGGCTCGGGGGCGGGGAGTAGTCATCGTATGGGGGCGTGGCACTCAACACGCCTATCTCGAACGGGCGCCTGGGAATGGGCCGTCGGATCTGTAACCCATCGTCGGACATGATAGCTTTCCCTTTTGGAGAGGGGAAGAGGGAGAGGTAGGAACAGTCGTGTTCACATGCAGCCAGCCGCGGGCCTGCAAGTTCTTGGGAACGATGTCGGGTTCGCGGGGGTGTGCACGTTGACGCGCGTGACGGGGTTCGTGAGACGGCGCTGGGATCTGGCCCAGTGTTCAACAAATAGCTATTGTTGACCAGAGAAAGAGGATCAAATATGTACGGGGACGCCGTGTTCGCCAGGTGGATCGTCCTCGTAGCGAGAAAGGGGATCGTTTAGGAAGACGAGAAAGATGAATCCGCCCGAGCCAATAGAGAACGATAGCGCGGCGTGTGCGTGCCTCGTCCTCTTCTTCTTCTCCCCTTCTGCTTCCCTTCTCGAAGGGAAAGAAAAAAAAAAAATTTCCGCACGGCGGCAACGTAGTATAAGAGCGTGCCAAGCAGGTTTGGTTGATGAGGAATTGAATGGATAACTGCTGAATATGCTGGGCAAAGCACCACAACAAAATATAACCTTAAAAAGATCCCCAACAAAAACCGGGGATGATAATTGAGGGAGGACAGCAGCACGACAGTTTACTTGCAAACTGAAGCTGACAGGGCCGGAGCTGCGCAGGCACCCTTGTTTTTTTCTTCCTTCTTTTTCTTGCGCTGGTCAAAAGGGCAAAGGCTGGTTCGAGCCAAGAGTCCGTTTCTCTCCCTTTTTTCCCACTTGCAGAACGAAGAGACGGTGTTGGCGCCGGGTTCTTGAAGCAAGAGAGGAGAGAGAGACACACACACATGAAATGCAACACACTGACTGACACACACACACACACACACGACCTGCCTGCAGCAAGACACGGGTGTGCATCACATGTCAGCGATCGTCTGAGCGGGAGACCAATCGACGTTCCCGCACCTCGCAGGCCCCCCAGCACAGATCCCCACAAGTATAGTGTGTGTGGCTCGAAGATCACCCCCGAGTGGAGCAGCAGCTCTCCATGCAGTTTTTGCTGGCCCCAGTGCGCTGCATCTGTTCGTGTCTGAGCGCTGGAGTCAGCAGCCAAAAAACGCGGTTGCATTCGTTTGCACAGTATGTTGTTCCCTCCACACTCACTTTATTTAGGATTTAGGGCCTGCTGTACAGCAGCCAAGCGCCCTCTCCTCCCGCTTGTGACCTGTTGGAGATTGAATTTGCCTCGACGTGATTCGTCTTTTTTCCTTTCACCGGGATCGTGTTACTGCAGTGTCAAGGGGGGAGTCGGGGTTTTGTCTGTCCCACCGGAAACACTTTGTACGACTCGAGTCCGACGACCTCTTCGGGTTCTGGAATTCGGAACTTGACTCTCCTTCGGATGTCTCATGGAGTATGATTCCATAAGTGATGGGGATGCCGTTATCGTCAAGCGAATATCGGGGTTACTTGTCACCGCCTCTGAAATTGGGGCGTCCCGAAGATGTGCACCCGTGGCTGAACGATGCTTTTTCTTTTGTGTCGATTTGCTGGACACCAACCACTCCGCCCCATCACCTACTAAACTGAACTGCAGATGGACTAATGCAGTGGCATGGCAATCTGGGGTAAAACTCCACCGATGCGTACAAGTTGCTGCCAATCGACGTCCGATTTGCAGGTGTACATAAAAAAGCGTGTGCGGGTGCAGGACTGTCTTGTGCAAGACAAAATGTCACGGCAATGCCAATGAGGCGAGAACATTGCTCTACTCTCTAGGCGCTCTTTCTCAATATGGGCGCAGCAGCAGCGTCGCGACTTCCTTCTCCTGTGCTATACGCCAATGCCGTTCGGGCTGAAACTTACAACTGATACCATAGCGATCACGCACAAAAGCCATGTGTCCTCCAAAGAAGATCGGGTGATCGTGCATCGTCCTTGGTATATCGTGATACCCAATGCACAACAGTGCAGACGACGAGTCCGTCCCTGTCAAACCAGACATGCAGGAGAGCGCCAGCCCATCATCTGTCCAGCTGACTCGGATTAAGTTTCATCCTTGCGCGCAGACCGCTTTCTTACGCCATGGAAAGGAAAGAGTTGCGTTTATTGATTCTCGTGACGCCCGCGAGAGCAGCGGTATTAAGTTTATTACCCTGTTCTCAACATGCTGTGCGGCATCGGGATGTCGTCTACTTCCCCTTTCCACTTTATGCTTGCCTGCAGGTGAGCGCCACAGCCACACGACATAGATCGATTATGCACACCTCTTCTCTTCTGCAGGCCTATGGGCTGGCAGGTGGGCTGGCGGCCAAAAGAACTAGCAAGTACCGTGTGCTTGCTAACGCGCCCGTCGGCTTAGGCGTCTTGATAAGGTTACCCGACAGTCAATGAGTTAAGAATACTGTTTCAGGACCTGATGGATGTGATCAAGATACCGACGTCTTTCAGAACCAGACCCGGGAAGGATAGTCATGCTCTCAGCTATTCTTGTTTGTCTTTAGAAGAAAAACAGTAATGCCCTTCCCTAGAATTCGGTGACATTCAATGGCAGCCGAGTGTTCTAGCGGCAGACCTAAAGGCCCGTCAGCAGTTTGTGGAACCTGTGGGGGTGGGATGTCCGGCTGCTTGCTAATCATATTGTACCTGAGTGGTGGTGGTGGTGACGCAAATACTACTTGCCAGTCCCTGCCTCATCGATGTTGGAGAGGAGGCGTCTCGACAAGCTTGTCGTTGGATTATGGGATCACACTCGCATCGTGTTGTGAAGAGAAAAGCCCAAGAAGTAGTCTTGTAACGACGAAGATATGAAAAAGTGGCACGCGTGGCATCATATAGCAAAGAAATCAGCATGGACCTCTTTTCTTTAGGGACCACAAGCCGCACCGCCTTTCTCCTCCTGTGTGGCAAGTCGGGCCAACTCTGGAGGCCGTAATAAGGCCCAAAAGATCTTGACTAATAGCGCCTTCACTCAGACGTCCAGGATAGAACTCGTGATAAAGGTGTTCCCCATTACAATTACAATGACGAACATTTCTGTCGAGGCTGGCTCGGATTCAGACAGATGCGCCTCCAGCTCGGGTCATGGGCTAGCGTAGTGGACGCATGCCGGAGCGTACGCACGATGTAGGTTGCTGTTTACCTGAACACCCACCACCCATGAACCCCTCACCTCGGAAGAGGAGGAGGGGGGGGGAGCCAGCCGGATGCGAGCATGGTAGGTGTCGCAAGAGGCCCTCATCTACCAGCATTTCTCTACTAACCTAGCTAAAGAACCCAACTCTCTCGGGTCTCGTAGGGTGGGGCAAGCATTTTCCATAGAGGAAGGTTTGCGTACCAGGTCTAAGGGTCTCGAAAAAATCGGGCTAGGTGGCAGCCCAGCCTCGTGGGGATTACCCATCGCGGATGGTGTGCCAATGAAAGAGCTACAACGGATGTCAGAGCGGGCCAATGAAATCGTCGATTGATCGCGATCTGACGTAGCGAGGCGTTTCTTGGGGATCGTGGGATAGGCTGAGCCATCAGACTTGGTCTAGGATGGTCCCCTACACGTCAAAAGAGAAAAAGAGAGAGTAGCGGGAGAGTCGTGGCGCGGCGGAGAACCCCAGAGCCAGAGTCGGGCCAGCAACGCCGCCAAAGGGGACCTATTCTTGTCAGGCAGAGGTACTCTCAAGTATCCATCCGAAAGGGCGGAAGAGGCTCTTACCGAGCCCTCTGTCTGGACGGGTTGTGTTCCGAGTCGATGATGCGCGAATAGAGACGCATCGTTTCACGCCTGCACCCTGTCGCAGTGCTCAGACAAAGATCCACCTGCTCACTACTGCATGTATTATAGAATGCACTATGGAGCATAATGTATCTCAATATTATGTATGTTGTGCTGCTGTTCCCAAGTATGTACTATGTATGGTATGTCAGAATGCAATGCTTGGTGGGGTGGGGCGTGTTGAGAGGTGACGTCCTCTGTTTTTCTCAACTGCACTGCTGCGGCTGTGAGCAGTGCCCAAGACAGCGGCAGTAGGTGGGGAACGAGGGGCCCCCCGCTGCAGAGCAGCGGCCTTCCAGCGGCCCGGATCCCTTAAAGCATTACAATACCATCATGACCCTTGTGGTGTGCGCGAATGTACTGCACAATACAGCAACAACGTACCTACTCTGGTATAGTCATATTATCTACAGCAAGTAAGTCAGTACCGTTGCGGCGGGTCGGGAGGAAAGTGGGCGGCTGGCGGACCGACCATAGACTTCTCATTGTCTCACTGAGACGTGCTCAACTTGATGAATCACCATCGTTGTAAAGTCGTCAATGAACCACCTGACAAGTCCTGAATGTTTGTATGTATGTATGCCGCTCCTTCTTGGTGGATGCCATTCAGATAGCAATTATGTTCAATGAACATTATTTGCTTGCTGTGTCTATGGGTTGACAGAAGTTGGAAAATTGCCTAAATTCACTGGCATTACTTATGCGTAAGTCGCCTTAGTAGCCCAGTTTGTTGGGTGGGGTCATTCTCATGCATGAGATGCAGGGGTTCTCAATCTCTCTTTCTCTTGCTTCTTTCTTGCTTGTACCGATATGTATCTCGTTCCTTCCTTCTGCAGGTGACCCCAGTAGGGATGTCATGAGCTGACGGCCCAATTTATTAGGTAGTGACGTCGCTCACCTTTTTTCTTCTCGCCTATCCACACCACCACCACCACCACCACCAGCAGCAGAGAGCCGAGGCCAGATGAATGATGTTGACATTCAACGCTTAGGCTGTGGGTTGAATCCATCCCGTTGCTCATGACCCAAATCTCTGACACGCGTGTGTCTCTAGCCTTGGCCCATACCCATATTTTCTTTGCCTAAAAGACCCTTCAGGACCCTTGAAGACGATTATTAGTCTTTGCCCTCTGCTCTCACAAGGGAAAAGGGCGTTGTGACTTAGCATGACCCTGTAGTCCCGACCTCGCCGGATCACTTTCTCCCAGGAAACAGGAAAACGAAAAGCAAAGCATTTGTCTTTCTCTCTCGAAAATTGTCCTACTCAGTCTATTTTTTCAACACACGATCGCATAGAAAATCTCCTTGTCTTTCTTCTCACAGTTTCTCATTACTTTCTCTCTCTCTCTCTCTCTCTCTCTCTCTCTCTCTCTCTCTCTCTTCTTTTCCTTCAGTATGAACCGCATTTGACGTACGAGATCTGATTTACGAGCACAATGGGAATCGAGGCGACTTATTCTCCATTGGTTATATTCACTCAAATATTTGGCTATAATTTTCTCCCCACATCACGATATCGAGGGGTAGGAGGGCCACGTTATTCCAGGTGAGACCTCGACATTGCCTGCTATCTCACGCGTGAGACCCAGTGCCACTAACCAGGGAGATCTCATATGGGCAGGCTGGAAGTGGCATATCGACATCACCTTCATGGGTGCGTTCGATCCGACAGATTCGAGCACGGAGCTGGGCGGCCAGTCCGCACTGCGCGCCGAAGTAGATCGAGAGGACGATGCGGATCAGTTACGGGCGGGCTCTCCCGAACCAGGACACGAGGAAAAGGACCCCAAGGCTATCGCACAGATATTTCAGTGCCCGGTCGGCCCTCACATCTTGCGAGACGCCATAAAGCTTCCGTGTGGGCAGTGTCTCTGCAAGACCTGCCTGCCCGAAAGCTATACGAGGGCAGGCGTCGAGAAGACATGGCCTGGGACTTCCGATAGGATACCGGGCATCCGGTGCCCGTGTTGTGACCTGGAGCATCCGAGGGGCGACTGCTGGCCAGATTATTTGTCCAACAGGGCACTTAAGAAGGTGCAGTCACTGGTCGCGACCTTGTGCGTTTCGACGGTCAAGAATGGCAAGAAATTGGTGGAGGCCTTCGAGGCGCTGCACCTCGACAGCACGGCACCCGAAAATGACGCCGACTCTCTCATAGAGCAAGAGGGAGGGAAACCGAACGGCGCCATTGACAAGATGGAATCTATTCTGCGTCGGGAGATGGATTGTGCGATCTGCCACTCGTTGCTTTACCAGCCATGGACGACGCCTTGTGGGCATACCTTTTGCCACCATTGCATTATCAGGTCGCTCGAGATCAGCCCAACGTGTCCAAGCTGCAGGACAAAACTCCTCCGGCAGCACATCGACAATCGTCTGGGTCCACCGAACGATTTCATCGTGCGAGTCACCAAATACTTCTGGTCAGAAGATCTCGCACAGAGAAGAGAACATGTGCGCAACGAGTCTCCTTACCCACCGGACGATACGGGTCTCAATACGCCTCTTTTCGTGTGTACAGTATCATTTCCATGCATGCCAACACTCCTGCATGTCTTTGAATACAAGTATCGGATGATGATGAGGCGGGTGTGGGACGACGGGAATGGAGGAAAACATTTTGGTATGGTTCTACCTGATGACCATAATGGCACGGCACGGGTCGGCGTTCACCTTCGCATCGAAGAGTTCACCAGACTTCCGGATGGGCGCAGCTACGTGGAAACCGCGGGCACATCACGCTTCCGCATAAAGCGCCGCGGTCTACACCCTGATGGCTACGTGATCGCCGAGGTGGAGGAATTCGAGGACGTCAGCCTCTGGGAAGAAGAGAATCGCGAAGCCGATGAGATCATCTCCGCCCCGTCTCTGCCGGCCGATTTTGAGCCCACCACGCGTGACGATCTCAACCATATGACCACGAAGGAGTTGATGAACTTCGCCTACGTGTCCATCCGCGCACTCCGCCAGGACAGCCCCGCGTGGCTGCACGGGCGTATCCTCACCGTCTACGGCCAGTGTCCCGACGACCCGGCGCTATTTCCCTGGTGGCTGGGCAGCATCATTCCAACGACGGAGACGCAGAAGGTGAGGCTGCTGGAGCAAGTCACTGTGCGTGAGCGGATGAAGATCTGCTGCGGGTGGATCCTGGATTGGAATGCGCAGCGGAGGAGTAGTAGTTGGTGAGCTTTGACTTTTTTCTCTCTTCTCGTTGTTAAACATCATACCTCTCTCCCATTGTATTTCTGGAAAGGGAATAAAGAGCATCAAAAAAGAAGAGATAATTCCTTTGCTGACAGGAATATTGGTTGACAGGACAGCATGTTGTCTGATGTAAGAGGGGTCCATGCCTGTGGTTGTTTTGATATGCAAGCATTCGAGATTGCTTATGCTGGCTGTATTCTGTATTTAGAGTTTTGCACACATGATTCCCCAGACTTTGAAAGATATCTGCACTATGCAATGCTCACCTTTTACTCCTTCCCACTAAGATTTCTCAACGTGACGATCGCTGTAATGATTTGGGGCCAGGAAGCCGTCGCAGCTGTTTATGGACCTTGAACCTCATGTAAGAAGAACAGCACCGTGCCTTTACGAATTAACTTGTTGCCAAAGTCTATCTTTCTCGGGAGGGCCTATAAAAATGACAAGTTTCTTCTTGCAATGAAAGGGTATCATAATGCAAGGGGAGGGTAAGAAACCCTCTTCTATTCTGCATAGCGTTGTGTCGCCACACCCCTCAACCATCCGTCGCCATGGCTTCGACGGCTGCGTCGTCCTGTTCAGCCGATACAGAAGGCTCATCCTTTGCTTCAACTTCCTCCTCTTTTGTGCCTTTTGCGTCTGTTGCAATCACCTGATTATCATTATTTTCTGCATCTCCGCCAGCTTCTTCGAATTCCTCCTGTTGCTCCTCCCCACCCTCTTCCCCATTGCGCTCTTCCGTTTCTTCCTTTGGCTTCTGGTCTTCGAAGAGGATGCTGATATCCTCATAAGACTCGATCTTGTCGAACAGCGCAAGGCTTGTTCTGCTGGCCAGGCGCAAAGCCCTCCATGTATTACTCGCCTTGCTCTCTATCGCCTCCCTCTTGGTGGTGTCCGATGTCGGCATGTCTATCTCAAACTCGGCATCCTGAATACCCCGCTGAAAACTCTTGACGTCTGGCAGCCTGTATCGTTTCGGGTCCTTGAGCTCCTCCATGGCCTCCTCGTCATCGCCTTCCTTCAAAAAGTCGAGAGACAGAGGCTGCGTGGCGTTTGTTCGGATTTTCTTACTCGTGGTGTTGCGCAGGGCATCGTCAATGGCTTTCGCCCACTCGTCTGGGGTGATGGCCGGCCGCTCAATCAGAGGGCAGTTTTCAACCTTCCAACGAACCCAATTCTTATCCCTCGAAAGAATAGTTTCGACCATCCTCAAAAAGTACTGGCCGTCGGTGGCAGACTTGAGGTATTCTGTGATGGTGTGCCTCATCGCCGTGGTCCATTTGATGTCGTCTTCGCCGAGAGCTTGGTCCAGGTAGGCTACAGATTTGTTGACGGCTTGTACCGATGTCAACCTCTCTTTGGCCTGCGATGAAAGTGAGAGGAGGAAGTCCATGATAATTAGGGCCTGTACGAGCACGTAGCGCCGAAGGGACAAGTCGTTGATCTGCGTCGTTCTGTCAACTGGGACGTCCATACGGAGTGCAGAGCAGACATGGACTTACCTCGAGCTCAAACAGGTCCCGACTGGTCAAATATTTTGGGTTGAAGGAGGTAGCAACGTCATCGTCATCTTCTAGAGAATCCAATTTTCTCTTCAGACCGCGTTTGTCATCGGCCTGTTTTGCAGACTTGGCCTCATGTTGAACGGGATTCGCCTTGAAAGCCGTCAAGGTCGCCTCTAGCCCATTTTTGAATTGCGCCAGGTTGGCAGGCTCGAACAGCTTCTTGGGCTGGTTGAAGCTCTCTTGAAGAGACCAAAAGACGGGATACAATGCGTCCGTATCGAGCGGCTTAGGCGACGACGTGTCCTTCTTTCCGCTGAACGACACGTTCTTGCCTTGGGACGGCTCATTGCTATCTCTGGTGCCAATTTCTTGAGTGTCCACGTCCATCTTATCCTCCGCATCCTCCGCTTTAGATGTATCCTGATCATAGGTCGTGACGTTCTGAGTATGGTATTCGCCCCTAAGATTGACCGAGCTCTTGTCGCCTGACGGGAGGCTCTGGAAGAGGAAGATGAAGACACGGCCGGAGAAAGCAGTATCTTCGGCGCGTGACAGCCGCCGCAGCAGCTCATTACAGCTTCTCAGTAAGACCAATTTCTTGTCGTTGAAGTTCTTGGATATTATTCGTTTCCTGCGCGACTCAAGATAATCAAAGATCTTGCGACATCCTGGAATTGTCTGACTGTCGAGCAGCTCTTCGATGAGCCACACCAGCAGGGCTGGATCGCACTGCCCTCGATCGGATAGGCATTGTAGTATGTCGAAGAAGTTCCACACTTTGACAAAGTCGGGAGAATCTATGGAGACACGGGCCTGAAAAGGCGTCAGCGGACTGGCTTTACCCAGTAGCTCGCGTGAGTGAAACACGTACGATCAGGTTGCTGAGAAGGCCCCGGGCTGCAGTCTCGATAGTCGCAAACTTTGCATTGCCGCGCTGGCGAGGCCCAGCAAGACCCTGGAATTCAGCGAGATCTGATGATGTTCCTGGCAGCCGGCTCAGAACGTCCTCCAGATCGGACTCTTCGAGAGCAGGCTCGACGGTTGGCTCTAGCTTAATGACGCTGGTCGCCTCCAGAGCCTCTTCGAAAAATTCGACATATGCGGTGACGGCAGATACGCCGTAGTTATCGACCTCTAAAGACGGCATCGCGGGCAATTATTATCTTTCGAAATGGTAGGAATGAGGCGCTGACGGTAGTATGCGCCGCGGTGTCGCAACCAATCATTCAGACTCTGGGGGATCAGTCGCTCCTTATTGACAGCATCAGGACAATGACAAGAAAAAGGGTCGCTCAAGTCATGGGTCGAGGGAACTGTGCTTGGTGCAGAAGTTAGCTGTAATCATGCAGAAGTGCTTCGTAGGTGCTTTGTGAAGTTGAAAGGTCAAACCAAATGCAGGGTAGGCAAACGTCAAAGTACTTTCAGGTCCTACTTCTGCGTGAACCGCGCGAGTGGGGACCTTGACGTTACTTCCATAGCTACCACTGCACCAACTTGCTAGCGTCCGCTACCACTGCATTGTAAGGCTGCCGTAAATTTTAAGGGCGCGCGCTCTGAAAGGCAACTGACGCGACGACAACATCACACCCCACTGGTCACCATGCCCACCGCAAAGAGACAGAAGAAGAGCGCTTCGTCACAATCTTCCAAGAGTCAGCCATCTTCTAAGGCACCAGAACCGGTCACAGAAGGGGAATCCGAGTTTGCGCAGCTTGCCAAGCAACACTGGTTGAAGACGACCAAGCGGGCGACCAAGGTCAAAGTCAAGAACGATGTCTTGAAGCAGGACATATGGGATCCTCTCGAGAGGGACAAGTTCCCAATCTCGTCGCTGTTGTCCCTAGAGAGTCTACAAATTCTAGAGAGGTGAGCCCCTCTGCCATATCCTAGCCTCGTCAGTGCTGCTAACATATGGTGCAGCTATCTCTGGCCAGGATACAGCGAACAGGCGTCGAATCACCATGTTCTCTTGATTGTTCTCATTGTCAACGCGAAGCGCAGAGAGCGCCTGGAGACTTGGAGTGAGTTCAGCTGTGGAGCGGATCGGAAGGGAGTGCAATGCGCTGACTTGATGCTGCAGCTATTTTCGAGGATCGGCCCGATGACTTCTCTACGTTCTTCCGACGCGTTCTCTCGATGAGCCTCGACCGATCCCTCTCTGTTGCCGTGCGAACTCAAATAATCTCGTTCGTCATCTATTCTTTCCAGAGTCTGGACCGCGCCATCGTGCGAAAGGAATGCGCGCCGCTCGTGTCGATATCGATTTGGCATAATCTGGCGACGGAGAAAAAACGAGATGAGAAGCTGGCCCAGAGCAACAATTTGCGCAAGGCATGGAGAGCAGCTGCTAAGAGATACGATTCTGCGGACGAACCGACTAAGGCGCGGTTGCGGTTTGACAGGTCGTGGCTCTATACATTGGTGCTCGACTTCCTGAGCTTGCTGTTCACGGACAACGCTGGGAAAGGTATGTTGGCATTCTTGACACCCGCCTTTTGCCACTACTGACAAGTGCCAGAGGACGTATTGTACTGCGAGCGGGTTGTTGAGTTCCTCTCGGATCTACAGAGCCAGTTACCAACCAGGCGATATGCCAACTTCTTACTTCAGGACTTGCACGTCATCACGGCGGCCAGCCTCTCGCCGGTCTTCAACGCCGAGGAAAACGGGCTGTTACGTGATCTTTTTGCTTTGTTCTCTCACTACACCCACTTCACTATTGATGACCAGACAGGACACCAGCAGAGCAAGACCCAGGCATACGATCACCACTGTGCAGATCTCGCAAAACTGCAGAGGACGGCATTGAAGCATTTCAAAGACCAGTTGACGGTGCTAGCACTGTCCAACTACGCCTCTATTGACGACAGAAAAGAGCTCGAGGGTCTTCTCGCTCCCCTCACCGATGAAGAGGTCACACAGCTGTCCGATTTGCTGGAATTGAGAACGACATACCCTGAATCAACGGGTTTGACGGTTGATCGCAAGTTTCTGATCGAAGCATTGCTATCTACCTTCGAGAGACGGAAGACTTTCCAAGAGAGTGCTTCAGAGATGAGCGTCATGCCAAACGAGCAGACTGTCTTTGACCGAAGTCTCCTGAGGACTGACTCATACGATGGATCGCACCCGCTGGCGATACCGAAGTTGAACCTTCAATACCTTTCGGTTGGAGATTTCTTGTGGAGGTCTCTGGAATTGTACAGGTGCGAGTCGTTCTATGGAATCAGAAGTCACATCGAAGATGTCCTTCGAAGATTGAAGCCGGAGGTGACAAAGTCGGGTGAGACAAGCTTTCCGGGCTTCTCCAAAATGGCATTACCAATATCAAAGCCATCGTGAGTAGAGTTTGCACCCGTCCTGAGACCCCGATGTAGCTAACATGAGGCAGCATTCTCGAAGTCCTGCCTACGTTGGTAGGAGACGACAAGCCAGCAGCTGTGCGAGCAGAGATCGTTATTGACGTTCGCCGACTCGGTGAAAATGTCCGCCGTGAATGGGAGTCTTTGCGACCAGACGATGTGGTGTTCCTTCTGGCGGTGGATGCCTCCAAGTCGCAAAAATTTGGCCGTGGCATTTCGACAGAGGCACAGAAGCTTGGCATCCTCTCTCTTCGTTCTGCCGAGATCGTCCAAATTCTCGACGACAAAGGACGGGCCATCCGAGACGCTAACGCGTATTTTGATGGACATGCCCGAAGCCCTGTGAGACGAATCAGGCTGAAGCTGGATTCGGCTATGTACAAGTCGGATATGCAACAAGTGTCTGCCGGAAAACCAGACGTTTACGAAAGCATCAACCTCGTTGTGCGAAGGAGCGGGCGGGAAAACAACTTCAAGCCTATCCTGGATTCAATCAAGAACCTAACGCTCTCAGACGTGCCTCTAGCCTCATGGTTGCATGAGGTCTTTCTCGGGTACGGCGACCCAGCAGGTGCTTCATACAAGCACTTGCCGAACCGGCTCAAGAAGATCGATTACCGCGATACATTCCTCGATTGGCAGCACCTCATTGAGAGCCTCCCGGGGAAGATCATTGAGCCTGGCGATGATGTTACTGGAAGCTTCGGGCCTCCGTATGTTTTGGAGACGGCGGATCGTCCAGCGACAGAGCCTTCATCAAAACCTTCGAAAAAGAGACGGAGAGACGCGGAGCCAGCTCTGATCGCTGAAGTTGAGACTTTGAAGGTCTCGACGTACAATCCCCCGAACAACGGTCCTTATCCTGTTGACGTGCCAAAGCGCAACATGGTGCGCTTCACTCCCGCTCAAATCGAAGCCGTCATCTCTGGCACACAACCAGGACTCACAATTGTGGTCGGTCCTCCGGGAACGGGCAAGACGGACGTTGCCACGCAGATCATCAGCAACATCTATCACAACTTCCCTAAGCAGAAAACGCTTCTCATTGCGCACAGCAACCAGGCGTTGAACCAGTTGTTCGCCAAGATTGTGGCCCTGGACATTGACGAACGTCACTTACTCCGCTTGGGCCATGGAGAGGAAGAGTTGGACACCGAAGGAAGCTTCAGCAAACACGGACGGGTTGAGTCATTCCTCGAGAACAGGGATCGCTATCTCGAGGAAGTGACTCGTCTGGCTGCCAGTATGGGCGCTCCTGGAGCTCATGGCAACTCTGCCGAGACGGCCGGGTACTTCAATTCAGTCTACGTGCAACCTGCTTGGTTGAAATTCAACGAGCTGGCCAAATCTGCAGAGGCTTCAGCGTCCGACATCGTGGCGGCTTTTCCTTTCCATCAATATTTCTCAAACGCGCCTCAGCCACTGTTTTCACCGGAGGCAGACCGAGAGGCTGTCCTAGAAGTTGCTCAGGGCTGTTACAGGCACATTTCGAGGATCTTCTCGGAGCTAGCTGATGCGCTGCCGTTTGAGATCCTGCGTCGTGACAAGGAGAAGGCCAACTACCTCCTCACGAGTGAAGCTCGAATCGTCGCCATGACCTCAACACATGCCGCCATCAGGCGTGGGGAAATTGTGCAGCTTGGTTTTCATTACGACAATGTTGTCATGGAGGAAGCAGCCCAGATCACCGAGATCGAGAACTTCATTCCACTGGCGATGCAGAAGCCTAGGGACGGGATAAATCCTCTCCAACGTGTTGTTCTCTGCGGTGATCATTTCCAGAACTCGCCCGTCATTCAGAATTTGGCCTTTAGAGATTTCGCAAGCCTGGAGCAATCCATGTTCTCCCGCCTTGTGCAGTTGGGAGTGCCGACTATCACGCTTGACCAGCAGGGCCGGGCTCGTCCATCCATCGCTCAGCTATACCAATGGCGGTACCCTCAACTGACCAACCTTCCCCACGTCGAGACATCAGAAGAGTTCCTCACTTCAAACGCTGGTTTCAAATACGACTACCAATTCATTAACGTGGGCGACTACAAGGGCAAGGGAGAAGCAGAGCCCGTGCCGCACTTCATACATAACCTCGGAGAGGCCGAGTATGCCGTGGCCATATTTCAATACATGCGGCTTCTCGGCTATCCTGCGTCCAAGATTAGTATCTTGACCACCTACGCTGGCCAACGAGCGTTGATCAGAGACGTCCTCTCCCATCGATGTGCCAAGAATCCTATTTTTGGTATGCCCAAGATCGTTGCGACCGTTGACAAATACCAGGGCGAGCAAAATGACTGTAAGTGGCCAATTGATCGCCACCTGGGTCCAGCACGTAATCACTAACATTTCCCGCAGATATCATCTTGTCACTTACAAGGACAACCAAAGTAGGCTACCTGCGGGATATACGTCGGCTTACCGTGGCGCTATCGCGTGCACGGCTGGGCATGTACATCCTGGGCCGTCGCGAGGTGTTCGAGAGCTGCTACGAGCTGCGACAGGCATTCGAGCTCCTACTACAACGACCAGACAAGTTGTCGCTGGTAGTCGGAGAGCTCTGGCCATCGCAGCGCAGACTGCCAGAGGACACAAAGGAGGCAGTCCCAGGCGAGGCAGTCATGGAGGGCGTAGAACATCTGGGTAAATACGTGTTTGAGATGACACAGACGAAGATGGCGCAGCTGCAGGGTGACAAGGGGCTCCCTGCCGGCGAGGCCATGGCTCTTGAGGAGACTACGGCGATTGATGACCTTGCACCTATTCCAGAGGAGGGTGAGGACGAGGAGCCAGTCAAGGGATTCGAGGCCGAGGAGGATTAAGCTGGACCAGCTTCACGTTGAGCCATTCGGGGCTGGCGTTTAGGTGGCGCGATGATATTGACGGCCCAATATGATTTTAATTAAGACGCCGCAGGGCAGTCCCGAGGACAGGACAGATGTCAAGGTGCTTGCGGCAGTTGACTGACGTGACCAAGGTCTGATATCAGAATGTGCTTCGCGCCCACACAAACTTTAAAGAATACTAGCGTCTGGGTCCAACCATGCGATATCGAACTGAGCTCATTGCCAAAAACCGCGCTTCCTGCTGACCCTCAATGTAGTACATCTGGAGCAATGAAGCGCTGAACGCTTGCCATTCAAGTCACTGCGCGGAACTCTGAGCATCCCTTTAGGGTTGCTCAATCAATAGATAGATGCATGCGATCCTTGGAGAATATTCAAGAACGAGTCGGGCCAGTTCAAGGCATCCGGCTGGATCATGGGCCACATGGCAGCATCCCCTGGCCCGACAATCATGTCCATGGCGCCGCCACTCATAGGCTCCATGCGGAACCCGGCGTGGACGTCGTCCTCCTCCGTGGCAGCGTGAGGCAGTGCGAAGCCGTTCGAGTCAGTAGGAGGGGGGTAGCATGGAGCATACGTGACGTGTGTGGCCGACGACGACGAAGGTGGGCATGACGAGGTCTTCCTCGCCTCGGCGACAGCCTTGTCGGACGACGAGCGGGCACCCCTGGCCCGGATGTCCTTCATCATGTTCCAGGCGAGCTTGGAGCCTCTCGAATTATCGCTCAGCGCCTTGAGGACGTGCATGCAGGTCTCGACGTCCTCCTCCAGGTTGGAGATGCTGGCGGTGGCCTCGCCGCCGCTGCTGACGACATCTCGCCTCATGAAGGCGCCCGCCATGACCATGACGGAGCCTGCGCAGACGAGACAAGAGACCATCTGCCACCAGGGGTAGTTCATGACTATGTCCACCGTGTCGGTGACGTTGTGCATGAGGCGGGCGATGGATTGGGCCTCGGAGGCGCAAATTCGGCCGTACTCCCTGCTTCGGCTGCTCTGATCAGGCGGGAGGGAGGTGCCTCCGTCGATGCAGGTGTAATAGAGATAAGGTCGGTAGATGAGTGTGCGCAGATGGTGGAACTTGATGGCCAGCATGTTTCTCTATATGTTGGATTAGCCAAAAGGAGATGTAATACAAAGAAATTGATGGAGATGATAAGAGAAAAGAGAAAGGAAAAAAACCCTTACCTGTCGCTTGAGAGTGACAGACTTTTCAAACGCATGCCCAAGATCGAAACGCAGGAATCGAGGCAGCTTTTGCTTCCAGGCCAGAAGAAGCTCATCACAATATTTAGTATTTTGCAGTCTGGCTGCGATGGTGCGCCGAGGCTGATAACATTCACGAAGCACACGCCCGATGATGGAAGAGAACTCGATGATGCGAACAAAGTACTCACCAGCGCTTGGATGAGAATGCGTGGTGCTGCCATCCGGCGAGGAGTAGGAGGAGAGGGAGGAGGAGAAGGCGCCTTCTCCATGAGATGCATGTGAGTGGACATCCAGGTCCAGACTGTCGTCTGCCCGCCGAGGTAAAGGGACGTGGCAGTCGTCGTCGGCAATGGCTGGTGGTCGGCCCAGCTGCAGTGCCGTCAGGCGATCGAGCACGTATAGTGAGTACCACACTTTATTTCGGACCTCGGGCTGTTCTAGCACCAAGCCTGCTGCTGCTGTCGAACCCTCCCCTCTCGGTGTTGTTGTTGTTGCTGGTGTTGTCGATCCATGCTCCTCGATGCTTACGTGCAGGCCGATACTCTGTCCTAGGCGCACAGCGAGGCCGAGGGAGACCCAGCACCTCTCGATCTCGGACGTGATCAGCAGGTAGAAACACTGGGCCAACAATGCAGAGACCTGGGTCAGAGACCTCTCCAGCGTACCGTAGTGGGACAGCACGAGAGAGCAGTTGAAGAGTTTCTGGTGGAGAGACGCGGCACTCCGGCCTTCGGGACGGAATGAGTCGTAATAGGCTCCGACGGCGAGCAGTGCATACAGCAGAGAGAGCCAGGAATGGGTCAGTTCGGCGGTGGACCCATCGGCCTGCAGAGAATCCAGTCTTGCCTTGAAGGATCTCTTGTCAACGAAAGGGTAGGCCTCGTGGACAGTCGAAAAGTAAATAGTCAAGTACGTGTCGACTTGTGTTCTGCTGGGCAAATCAGACAGTGGATTCTGAAAAGACCGAGCCGTGGTGAGGGCCTCGGCATCATAGTTATCGACCTCGTCGCCGTGGGTTCCCTGCCCGGGACCTCCTTCGCCAGAAGCAGCAGCTGATGACTGCTTGACCAGGTTAAAGAAGTGGATGTCGCTGACTTCGCCGACGTATCTCGGGTCCTGGAAGCACGGGATCACAACGGAGCTGCCGGACGTGCTCTTCTGCGAGCTTGCGGTCGTCGTATCCGACGAAGCACGGGGACAAAGGTGCGCCTGGATGCACGCGAGACTCTTGTTGACCTCGGCCTGTGCGCCAGGAGACAGCTGCGGCGTCAGGGCGTGCACTGCCTGGTGATACCTTCGGAAGACCTCCTCTGGGGGGCTGGTAATCTCTTCCGGGTTTGAGGCCGCACGCGAAGTTGTATGGCTGTAGTTGTTGCCATGCAGTGCCTCATTGCCCCAGGAACATGTATAGTCGTACCCGGCACAACGCCCACATATTGGTCGCTTGCCATCGCACTGGCATGGAACCCGTCAATAAACAATTCATCGGTTTAAGTGAACAATCATAACGTCAAGACGGGACAAGAGGATTCTGCGGAGAAAGAACATAAAAGAAAATAAACGAGATAATGGAGAGAAAGAAACACACAAACAAACATACATACCTTGGACTTCTTCGCGCGGCAGCTGTTGCAGGCGACGGTAATTCGCTTTCGTTTCAGAACGGGTTGTTCGGCCGGCTCACTTGCCATGGCTGGGTGCTCATCCACAATGTAGCACGTTCCAGACGATCGGGAGACAAAAAATTGTTTAGGCGCCCAATGTACAACTTAGAGGCAGGCGGAAAATAAGGGAACGTTTAGGTGGAGGCCGGGCGGATCTGTAGGACCAAGAGGTTGCTTATACATAGTAAATGATGTAGGAAGTGTTGATGGCTAGACACGGCCTGAGACATGTATTCTGCCCATGGAATTCGTCTTTTGGTCAGTATGGAGTATAGATTATATCCGTCACAGCCGCCCTTCCCGGCCTATCCGTCACCTGAATTCATCAGCGACATGTTCTTCCAAGAATGATGTTTTCTTCCCTTCCCTCCTTCGCATGATGCTATGAATCACTTCCAATTGCTGAAATTTTTAGATATTTATTTCTTCATTCTCAAATGATTACCGCAGGTCTTTCTAGCCCATTGGTACCCCTCGAACAAACATCGGTGTCAATACGACGACGTTTCCCTCCTTGTTTGTGCAGCTCGAAGCAAAACACTTGCCAGTGGACGCCCAATTTGTAGTTCATTTAAACAACCTCTACTGCTTCGTCAACTTGACCAAAAATCGTTCATTCAAACCCTCTGTTATCATAAAAATTCAAGCAAATCGACACCATGCCGGCTCGGAACGACAAAAGGGTTCTACGATATGCTCGACAGCATCGCCAACACCGGCGACGAGGATGCGGTCCAGTAGAACAAGCGCATCAAGGAAGCAGAAATCAGTGCAGACGCCGCGGAGCCCAATGCCGAGGAAACTGAGGCGATTCGTCGTGAACCCCAGGCTGCAAAGCATCCAAGCATAGTGAATGACCTGACCATAGACATGTCGCAATTGGACCACTTGAATGTAATAAACCATGATTATTTAGAGAAGTCTCCCCTGAAACCATATCTTGAGCACACATGCATTCAAACAATAGCTTCGAGAACGCCAGGCCAGGAAGCCCCCCTCCTAATGATGCAACGTTATGTTTCCAGTAGATTGACAATCCAAGCATCATGCGCGCTGCCCATGTGTCAAGATGAAGTTTAATTATGCTGGATCTGGCGGATGTGCCGGCAATAACGGGCGTGCGGGCTTAGACCATTAGCCTTCCACTCTGTTGACTCTTGAGTATACAGTCCGATTCAGGCTACCAGATTTCCCGAGCATGACCTTCTGATCTTGATATCATATGAATCCATTTCGGCAACAGAGGCACGAAGCATGTGAAAGAAAATTTGCAGACCCTCTGGACGACAAAACGCCCATTAAGCAACAACAGTACGGTGCCGACAAGATGAGGCTCGTTATAAAGTTGGACCACGAGCACGAGAACAAGATGTACACGTCTCTGGATGTGGTGACGGGTGTGGTCTGCCTTGAAGTCAGGCGTAGACTCTCTATATCTCAATTAGAATTCTCACTCGAAGGTAGGTGAAAGCAGGTCTTGCCTCAACAGTAACATACTGAATAATTGACGACTTCTGCGCATGTGATGTGCTGATAACAAAGACATCCAGCGAGGCTTCCGTCATCAGACACGGTCACTATCGGATTGGAATACAATCCAACCCTCCTCTACCACAAGGTCAGTGTTGCCCTGTACTGGATATTCTTGGAAATGCAGGCGTTGTTGACGCCTTGCAGGTTCTTTACATGTCCCAAGTCCTGTTCCCCATCGCCCCGTTAAGCTCATCAACACGGTACACGCTGGGCAAGGGACGGCATTATTTCACCTTTGGCATCGACCTGTCTCTGCTCTCCCGTTGCATAGACCTGGCAAAACTCCAATCACCAGTTCTGGAGCAGGCCCACCGGCAGACTGGCTGTATCTTCTATGTGATCTGCGCAACTGTCAAGGGATGCGGTTCTTTCAGACGCGCGATTCGCCAGAGGATAGGGTTGACATCGGTCCAAGTTGACTCTCCTAACATCTCATCTTCTGCTCGTGGGCCTTCCAAGGCCTGCCGCGTTCTCCCCGAAACCATCCTCGGTACTGAGATACCATACGAGCTGGAGGTGGTCGATGGGTTCCTCCCTCCCTACAGCCCTGCCCTTGTTCTCGGAGCGAGTGTCGGTGGCGGCGGTTTCCTACGTGTTGGCGATGCTTTGCCTCTGAGCCTGTGGGTTACAGTACCAACAGCTGTATCGCAGAAGCTCAAGATCTCCCTGCGAAGCGTCCGTCTCTCCCTCATGAATATTACTGTTGTCGACAAAGGCGGACGGCGAGAGTTCACGCTCACGGGTACCGTTATCCGACAAGTCTTCTTCAACCTTTCCCTGGAGACAAGACCCGGCGCAGAAACCACGCAAATCGATCCTGCGCTGTGGCAAGGCGCTCTTGTCCCATCACAGCCGTCGCCAGAGCGCTTTGCAGACGAAGTGGATCAAGAAAACATGCTGCAGGTCCTCTGTGAGTTCTCCTCTGACAAGTTATCAGATACTACGGTAAGCTTTGTAGGGAGTGTTTATCCTTTCTCATTTTCTGTTGCATAATAACAACTGACATACAATAAAGTTTGTGACATTGCTGATCCCCGTTCACGTCGCCGCCGCCGAGCCGCCACCAAGTTACGAAGTAATCACTGATTGCACCTCATGATGCCGGTGGGTTCCGTTGAGCGTCGATCGAGACTGATGGTCTAGCAACGGTGTCAAAAGAAGAGTTTGTATTTTCTAGTAGTGATTATCACCCTGGAGTTCATGGTTAGCATCAGGCAAATACTCGAGGAAGTCTTGTTTTGCATTCAATCATCCAGTCTTGATCATATCATATGTCCCACTTCATCCACTTCATCCACTTCAACACTTTATACATGTGGATATTTGCACTACGTATCATGAAAGCATCGGCATAAAGTACTAGACTTGAGATCTTCATTCATTCAGTCGATATCCTACTACGCATGCGTCGCACGATTCCCTTCTATGCTGTGCAAAATTCTTTATGACAATCTCTACCTCATTACAAGAATGAATAAATTCTTAGCAATAAAGGCAAGAAATGAAGATTAGCTAAGTCTTTCCAAGCTTATCAAGCGAATTGAAATGAACGCCTTCATAAGGATACGCCTGGCCCTGTCGAGAAGCTCATCCTCAATGTCCATCAAGCGATTGTACTTGGCCACCCTCTTGCCCCGGGCGGGTGCGCCCGACTTGAGGTGACCTGCCCGGAGTCCGACGGTGAGGTCAGCAATGAAGTCATTAATGGTCTCGCCTGAGCGGTGAGAGACGAAGACATTTACAGACAAGTTTCGTGCACAGGTTGTTCCTGTAGCTCTGGTCAGCCTCTTGTTTTTCGTGATCCTGCCAGACCTAAAAAAACATATACACAGACTGCTTGTTTCGACTTACGCCTCAATAGCTTCGGATCTGGTTCAACTTCAGCAGCATCGAGTTTCATTCCTCCTTCTCCTTGGCCATCCTGACGCGTTCGATGTTGGTGGTCAACAGGTCATCGCCGACCAGCTTGATCGGACAGTGCTTGTTGAACTCGGACCACGCATAAAGTCATCTATGGCCTTCAGTTGGGCCTTGAGATTGAAGCCTTCCTCAATGAGCGCAGGAGGCAATAATGTTCTCGACGTTCTTGACAATCGTCTCGACTCCCTTGCCGTTGTAGAAACCTTCGACCTGATCTCGGAGCTCGACAGCTTCCGTCGATGCTGTTGAGGCGCCCGGAGGTACAGAGGCTCTAAATTTGCCTACCATCCTAGGTTAGTATGGACTGAACTAAGAAATGGAGATGGCACGAAGATGATGTGCATGAGTTGGACGCCAGTGGAGAACAGGGGCGAGAAGGAAAGAAGGAAGAGAGAGAGAGAGAGAGAGAGAAGAAAGAAAAGACCACTACGATGACGCTATTACTGCCCCTCTACTAACGTGGGCCGACCGAAGTGAAAAATAACAAGATATTACAAGCTGCCGAACCGGACGGACCGTCATGGTCAAGGCCGGAGCCCGGCAAGACCGGTACCAGCGGCACGGCCGGACAGCAGATTGGACACTTACATCAAAAATACCCTGCAGAAAACCAGCACGTCTGCGAAATCTTTTTTTTCCCTGCCCTCCTGATTAAGTACGTTTCCTTCACTGCGTGAATTCTCAAAGGGAAATACTACTGTCTTGAGTAATATTTTGCTGTTAATTACTTTGCATCACCGAAGTGACATTTGATGGCAAGGCGAGATTTGGCTTCAGGCAAGTAGAGTGACGAAACAGGAAATAAAATTACAGTGACTAATATGTATATAAGGACTAGGTTATTGTTGCTAGGAAAGCCATGTGGTCAAGATGGCCCGCTCGAGGTTCTCTTCCCAGCGGTCGGCTGCCACACATCATGGGGACAGCTCTTCGTCGTCAGAGCCGTGGACAGGCTTGGACAGGCAGATATCGCCCGAACTGAACCTGAGCGAGATCAAAGCGCCAGCGCCCGTCCTGAACCCCGGCGAGAATCCTATAGCCCGATATTCATCCCTTGAAGACGGAATGGCCAACCGCCGTCGACAGAGCGTGGCCATACGTGAGAACGAATGTGCTAATGGAGCTAATGCAACTGGAGACGGCGAGGAGCTGTGGGAAGAAGAGAGCATTCGCCACCGACAATCTCGTGACGGCCATTCGGAACATACCATTGCACAAAGACGACCAGGCGACAATGAGGAAAATGAAGGATACGAAGGCCGGTTCGAACTCGCTAATCTGGCCGAGATGGCCTCGGTCGGAGCGGTCGAGAACGAGTCCGAGGCACACTGTTATACACACCGCAGTCTGGAGCAAGAGCTCGGACGGCCTGAGCTCGCGTTGGTAAATGAGCCAAAGGACGAAGGGCGTCTGACTGCCACCAGCCGCGTGAATCGGCTGAAAGTCAACATTTTCGTCCTCTCGCATCTCACCTTCTTCTCTATCATGGGAACACTGGCTCGCCTGGGCCTCCAGGGGCTCACAAATTATCCGTTGGCTCCAGTTGGATTCGATACCATCTGGCCCAACTTTGCCGGGACGCTGATTCTCGGACTGTTGTCCGAAGCGGCAGAGCTACTTCACCACCCAAAGAGTGCCAGGAGTATAGCCAGGCCGCCGTTTCCAGAAATGTCGCCCGTCAACCACGCGTCTGATAGCGAAAGGTCGACAGAGTCCGGCGAGACCAAACGAGCACAGCCAGAGCCCTCGATCCCTATTCCGCTTCACATTGGCCTGGCCACAGGCTTCTGCGGCTCTGTCACGACTTTTTCCTCGTTCATGCGAGACAGCTTGCTGGCCATCGTCGGCGGGGCCACCGTGACGCCTACAACGCCATCGCCTGGTCAAGACTTCATGTCTCTGGTCAGCGTCCTCATCGTCACTCTTGCCGTGTGCATGGCGGGTCTCAAGGCTGGAGCACATGTAGCCATCTTTCTGAAGAGCTTCGATAAAAAGATCCCCAGGCGGGTGGTGCGCAGGATCGACTACATTGTTGTCGTCCTTGCCATCGGCTGCTGGGTTGGTGCCATCATCATGGCCATTCTACCACCCGACCGTCCTTCTGGGCCCGTCGGCCACAAGATGTCTTGGGCGCAAGAGACCTGGCGCGGGGAGGCGGTCTTCGCCGTCGTCTTCGCCCCGCTGGGCTGTCTCCTGCGGTTTCTGCTGAGCACCAAGCTGAACCTCCGCAGCGTAGGGTTCCCACTCGGGACATTCTTCGCCAACTCGCTCGGCACCCTCGTGCTGGCGGTGACCTGGGACCTCCAGCGGCTGCCGGCCCAGTGGGCATCGACGTGGATTGGGGGCAACTTGGTGTCGTGCCAGGTCTTGCAAGGGATTGATGATGGCTTCTGCGGCTGCTTGACCACGATCAGCACTTGGATTCTGGAACTGAACGGGCTTCGGAGGGCGCACGCGTACACGTATGGGTGTGTCACTCTGGGGACGGGGCTTGCCATTGTGGTGGTGGTGATGGGATCGATGAAATGGGCAGATGGGATAGAACAGCCAGTCTGCACGACGATCTAAGAGGGCTTGGTTCATTTTGTGCATGTAACCCAGAGTAGACGGTGCGCGGTCAGTCCGAGCAAAGAGACGCAGAGCATTCTGGTATATAGCTAGAACCCTTGGTACAGGAATTATCATTGTAGAAGATTGGAGCAGGTGCATCAAGATCAAGATCCTATCATGCCATTGGCCTCGTGACACTCATCACTAGCTGGATTTGCGGGTGAAGTCTGGTAGCTAGAAAATGAGTCCAAGTCGCCTCGTCAAATAGCGCAACCACTTTAGCTGCCCTATAGTCGGTCTGTCAGACACGCAGCGCTGCAGGACCCTGCCTGCAGTATATGCATGCTACCGTAGTGACTTGAGTCATCTCAATCAAAGGTCAGAACCTGCCCAGAGCCCGATGATGACCTTGTGGCTTGTGAGGCTCAGCTCTGCGCGCCGCTCCTGTGCTACTTAACTCGGCTTGCCACCAGATTTGATTCATCAGCGGCCGAAGAAGCGTTGTCGTCATTCTGCATATGCACAAACTTTTTTTCGGGGTTACGGAAAATATTTGGACGAGCTGGTCGATAGGCTGTCGATCTGCGCAGAGTCTAGCAGGCTACTGCAATTCTGTTTCCTACTCCCGTCCCCTCGTCGTGCCCTGTTCCGACGGAACAACCGGAATGCCCAAACGCTGGTATGTTGTTTGTCTTCTCCAAAAAAGATGTATGTCAAGTGGCGTTGCAGCAGGGTGAAATCCCAGAGTAGAAACACTCATGGTTGAAATGGTTGGTGACACCAACACTATGGACACCCACAGTGGGACTAGAGCAGTCAGGCCTCTAGATGGACTGACTTCTCTGCAAAAGCAGATCAGGCCATCAATCAGCGGCCAGACCAGTCTTTCGAATGGTTCATGTTACACGCATGTGCTTACCGTGCGTGCTAAGGGTTGGCTAGTGGGCTGCCAAACACCCGCTACAAACGCTACAGGGCCACAGTGCCACAGTGCCACAGTGCCACAGTAGTAGAAACTCGAATTACAGCATTTCCCCCGCTAGAGCACCCTAGAAAGTAGGAAAGTGCCAAACCCGGCCTCCTCCAACAAGTACTTTCTAGGCAAACAATAGCAAGCTGCCTTGAAACAAACCCAAATGTGCCCTGGGAGAGGAGTGGTCCAAGCACATTGAATCCAGACAAAGGGGTGGGTTTACAAAGAACAGAGGAGGGCTCCAGTGAAGGGGGTAAAAAAGAAAAGTAAGGGCTGGGAACGATAACAAGGAGTCATCATCAAAACGCGGGACGCGGGGGATTTGGGGGGGGGGGGGTACCAGGACATACCCTTTTTTCCAAGGCCAGGCTCTTAGCGCGTTTGGAAACGCGATAACCCATGTCACACAATATTCCCGTTCGTTTCGCGTGGACAGATGGGTATTTTTGTACTGAAATTTATCGGCTGGTGTTTGCAAAAGAGAGCTTTGGAGCAGTAGTTTGTGATTTCTGCACTTTTCTCTAGAGTAGTCAGTACTGTGGTCGCCGCAAATGTTACAGCATCTCACCTTAGGAGGTCATGTGCAGCCAATCACCCTCACCTTCGGACTTAAACAGCTCCTTTCCTATTAGTCATTTGCTGCTTCATCCGTGCAGATCTCGTCACTCAAGTGGTGAGCTGTCACCTAGGAAATTAGCAGGGCAGTCTTGTTCTTGGCCTGGTAAAGGGACACACTATGTGCATGCTACTATAGTATGATATTTTCTTGAGAGGGTGCCCAGGGAAGGAAAATTGAGAGAAAAGATGAGAAAGGAGTGAAGAAAGTGAGTGGCCTTAAAGCATCAGTGACCATTGGTTTTTCTCTCTTTATTCTCTCCCCTTTCCCAAAAATGTCATTCATCCACTCAATGAGAGCTCGACTTCCATATAATCAAATTGGCTGAATTGGCAAATGAATCACTACCTACCATCGAAACTTGAAGTCCATCCTGTTTGGTGTGACCAGGGAAGCACAGACCACCCTGTCTATAGGAGAACGCCAAAACATCATACAGCAGCAGCGACTTGGCGGCGACTTTCTAGGATCCCTCCCCCCTCATAACCTGTTGGGCACACCTAAGCTTGCAAATGCATTGTACGCTGGCAGAGAGGCAGTACTTTGTACCTCCCAGGATCTCCACTTAGCCAACAGCACCACACACCACACTGACAATTTTCGCCCGCCCACACCAAAACTTCATATCAGCCCTGGTACCCCTGCCCACACTGTGGCACCAACCCTGTCTCCTGCTACTGCGGCCCAGACAGGATCGACCGTCCACTTCACCCCCAGACGGGCCAAAAAAAAAAAATTGAAGCCTCTTCTCTCCTCTCTCTTCAAACCTCCCCGGATACCCGAAATCCATCCACCTCACCACCCTCTTCCCCAGGAACAGGACGTGGTTGATAATCGTTTGTCCTTTTCAACCCATCTGGACTGGACTCTGCAGGTCAAGGAATTCATTTTCCCAGGACTTCTTGCATCTCCACTCCCATCCGCTTGCGTCGTTTGTCTCGCCTAATCTCCTCGATTGCGGACCGACCTCAAACCTTTACCCAACACCCTTCTTCACCCAACCACTTTTGTCGTGGGAATCTCTCCAAGCCGACGCACCTCGCGCTCGTTTCTTGGTTGTGCAGAGTCGACAGTCGGACGGTTCATCTCACCGATCGATCAGTTGACGGCACCCTTCACCTCAACCTCAAGACGTTTGTCGGTGACCCAGCGTTCCCGCAAAAGTCAAAAAGGTTGAAATTTGCGACATCACCCGCCACCCTCAATCCATCCATTGGTGAGGGCCTCACTCCAGTCGTGACGCATTCATCGTCAGACCAACGGCAGCGCCTGTTCTCTTCTTCACACACGAGCGTTTACAACAGTCACGCCACAGTCGCGGTCACTGTTCGTTTTGTGTGTCGTCGAACCCGCTCTTCCCGCCACGATTTCCTTCAAGTCGCGGCCTTGACGTTTGATACAACAAACGCAAACCAATAAACCTCTGCGCCCAACGCCCAACTCCTCCGATCCCGCGAATCTCCATCGACATTCGTCTTCGACGTACCGACCTTACATATGACTTCCACTGCGAGTCAACCCTCTACCACCACGGCGCCGAATACTACTGCTGCCTCGACGGCTCCTTCGTATGCCTCTGCCGCTGGTGCCGCGAAGAAGCCTTCCTCGACGCCGCTGGTCGTGACCGGTGCCAACCCACCCTTGGTGGCCGGCTCTTCCACCTCTACTTCACAAAATGCCAAAGCTGACTCTGCGCCCAACATGAACGGCCGGCAGTCTGTCCCCCCCGCCATCCCCACAATCGCCAACGGCACTTCCAGTCTCAACGGAGACTCGGCAAGCCACAGCCGCAATGGCTCTGTCACCATAGCTGCCCCCGGCAACAACGGTTACAATCCCAAGGCGACGGGTTCCAGCATACAGTTTGGCTATGACAAGACTCCCCAGCCTGCCCAGGCCCAACCCATCAGCATTGCTGGACGTATTCCCTCGCCTGCTCACAGCCCCTCTCCCATCCCACAGCCATCCGCCAGCGGCGGAAAGCCTGGCGCCACAGACAACTCCTTCAAGATTGGCAGTTTTACCAATGATGGCGACGTAAGTCTTTGTGTGCGGGCGCAGCCTCCTGTCTCGCCCCCTTCAACCCACCCCCCTTTACCCCCACAGACATTTTCGGAATGCGCTAACGTCTTTGCAGCGGATGGCTATGCGCCCCAACTCGATGCAGATGTCCATCCACAACAGGAGAGACTCGACCGTCTCGCAGCACAGTGACATGGGTCACCACGGCGGCCCGGGCTCCAACCGGGGCGGCTTTGGCCAGGGCGGACGAGGCCGGGGTTACAATCCCCAGTTCGGCAACCCTCAGATGGGTGGGCAGATGGGCTACCCTCCCGTTCCCAACAACCAGTACCCTCGAGGCCCTCACAACCAGGGTCGCGGCGGCATGGCTCCACAAAACTTCGGCCGCGGTGGTATGCAATACCCCAACTCCCCTCAGCCGGCTCGAGGGAGTCCGGCCATGCCTCACGCCATGCCCGGCCAGGGCACTCCCAACATGAACGCAGCGATACCTGTACCCTCGCCCCACGGTACATACGCTCATCAGTACGGCCCGCCCATGAGCGGCGGTGGTTTCCAACAACAAGTAAAGACCCCATTTCCACCAGATAGTGCCTTTTCTTTCAGTCATCAGAAATCGTTCAAGAAGAAGAAGGGGTCTAGCTGGAATTCCGAAAACAGACAATTCCGGCAGCCGGATTCTTCTTTCAACCACACAAGTCAAGATATGCCCAACAAGGCTGGCCGCTTGAGTAAGCGGCCGGGCTCTTCAGCAGGCTACGACCGCCCCTATCGTGGCCGTGGCCCGCTACTTGAGCATCAAGCGCCATTTCCACCTCCGCAGTTTCTGCAACTACCGCCACCGGTCCTGGATCTCGCGCCAGGCCCGGAAGGCTTCGAGCGCGTGAAGCATTTGCTGACAGAGACCAAACAGAACTACGGCTACGGGGCTCCTTTTGACCCCAACAGACCTCCTTTCATGCCTGTGCCTCAGTACAACGGCCCCATGTATCCTCCAGGCTCGCCCGCCCCTGGGCCCTTCCCCCACCCCTATGCAGCCCCTTATCCTGCTCCCACCGGCCAGCCCATGTCTCGTAATAACTCGCAGATGTCCGAACGGCCAGCTTCCAGCACCGGAAACCAAGGCACCATGGGCTTCTCAGCCCCTCCCCAAGCTCAAAAGGGACCCGTCATTGCCACATCCCCTCAACCACCCACTCAGTTCGTGCGGCCTAAGAGCAAGGCGATCGCCATTCGCAACCCAGACGGCAAGGCGATTGATCTCAAGTCTCTGAAGGCCCCAGCGTCGCCGGTGCCAAGCATCCAGCAGTCCAAGACACCCCCTGTCATCGCCTCGACACCAACGCCACCACCCAAGACCGGAACTCCTTCCTCGCACTCGCGCAATGAGAGCACGTCTACGGCCAAGCCCGACGAGATCAAGGCTGCGTTCCTGGAAGCTGTGAAGAAGTCCAAGGAGGATGTGGCTACCAAGACCGACGATAATAAGGCTGCGGTCGAGGGCGAGGTCAAGGCTCCAGCCGACGAAGATAAGGTGGTGGAGGAGCCTGCCCAGACCGAGCCAAAGGCCGTCGACGTCAAGGCCGCGGACCCGACAGAGACGGAGCCCGAGGCCGAGGCTGAGGAGACAGCCAAGGATGAGCCGGAGCCCAAGGCTGAGGCTGAGGAGCCCAAGGCCGAGGAGGTCAAGCCTGAAGAGGTCAAGCCTGAGGAGGCGAAGCCTGATGCTACCCCCGCCCAGGCTGACCAACCCCCTGCGGAGACTGAGGATGAGTACATGGAGAGAATGATCCGTGAGATGGAGGAAGAAGACGCCCGCAGAGAAGCAGAGCAGGCTGAGATCACGGCAAGAAAGGCGGTGGAGAAGGAGGCCGCAAAGAAGAAGGCCGAGGAAGAGCGCGTTGCTGCCGCTGCCGAGAACGACCGCAAGCTCCGGGAGCAAGAGCGGGAGATGGAACGTCTCGAAGAGGAGAGGGAGAAGGCCCGAGAGCTGGCCGATGCAAGCGGCGAGGCCACATCTGTCTCCGAGCTGCTGGCGGGCAAGATTTCCGACCTCACAGGTTCTCAGAAGAAGGACTCGTCGGCAAATGCCGCAGCCGACAAGCTGTCCAAGCTCACCATTAACAGCTCCAGGGACGCAGTCTCACCAGGTTCTGCGCCCTCATCGGCCAAGTCTACTGGCAAGGACCGCAGGCCTGCCGCCCTCAACCTGGCGCCGCTGAAGACAGGCAGTGTTGAGGCGCCACCGCCAAGTGCGGCCATGCAAGCCCTCAAGTCGGCGAGATTCCTGACCATCAGAGATGAAATCAAGTATCCTGTCGGCATTGCTAGCCCCAACCCGGCCACCAACGCAGCGGCTGCCAAGAAGGGTGGCTCCTTCAAGTATGACTCTGCGTTCCTGCTGCAGTTCCAAAAGGTCTTTACGGAGCAGCCTTCTGTTGAGTTTTCTCAGCAGGTCAAGGCCCTGATCGGCGACTCAGATGGTGCACGGTCTGCTTCGACTAGAGGTTCAGGTGCGGGTCAAACGCGCCAAGGGTCTAAGTCGTCCGGAACGTTTGGCTCGTTCGCTCAGCCTTCTGGAAAGCCTCTTCCTCCAGGCACCACGTCGGACCAGCGGTTCGCCATGTCGCAGGGACAGATGGCCCGCCCAGCTCTGAGCGGCCCCATGGCTTCATTCGGCCGTGGCGGTGCTTTCCCAGGGCCCAGCAACATGGCACGCCAGTCATCGAGCTTGGGTCTCTCCAACTCCCGGACTGGAAGCAGAAACCAAACACGCGGCGGCAGCAAGCCAGGAAAGGCCTTCAACCAGAACGAAGCCAAGCTTGCTGCGACCATGCCTCTTACTGCGGGGATGGACCTCAAGCCCATTGTTACTTCATCCACTGGCTGGAAGCCGATGAGTCTGACTCGCAACGCCCAGCCAGCCGCCGCGGTGAACAGCACCCTTCTCGATCCTGAGACTGTCCAGCGCAAGGTCAAGGCAGCGCTGAACAAGATGACCCCGGAGAACTTTGACAGGATATCAGAACAAATTCTGCAGATCGCTGCACAGTCCAAGGACGAACAAGATGGACGCACTCTGAGACAGGTCATCCAGCTCACATTCGAGAAGGCAACCGACGAGGCCCACTGGGCGGCCATGTACGCCAAGTTCTGCAAGCGCATGCTGGAGACGATGAGCCCCGAGGTTAAGGATGTCACCATCACGGACAAGAATGGAAACGTCGTTAGCGGTGGCGCTCTGTTCCGAAAGTACCTCCTCAACCGTTGCCAGGAGGACTTCGAACGCGGCTGGAATGTTGACATGCCCGAGCCCAAGGAGGGCGAGTCAAAGGAGGCCGCTCTGATGTCGGAAGAGTATTACAAGGCCATGGCTGTCAAGCGCCGTGGTCTTGGTCTCGTCCAGTTCATCGGTGAGCTTTTCAAGCTCGGCATGCTCACGGAGCGCATCATGCACGAGTGTGTGCGCAAGCTGCTCGACTTCAAGGATGAGCCCGATGAGGCCGAGATCGAGTCGCTGACCAAGCTGTTGCGTACTATCGGTGCCAACCTTGACAGCACCGAGAAGGGCAACGCCATGATGAATGCCTACTTTGAGCGCATTTCGAACTTGGTCGAGACTGAACTGCCCAGTCGACTCAACTTCATGCTCCTGGACATCATCGACTTGCGCAAGGCCAAGTGGCAGTCCAAGGACGGTCCTAAGGGCCCCAAGACTCTGGAGGAGATCCGAGCTGATGTAAGTCATCCCCGAAACGATCTTCTCGACCAACTATGGCGATTACCCAATCACGTACTAATTTTTCTCTTCTTCTTAGGCTGAGGCTGCTGCCGCTGCAAAGGCTGCTGAGGCTTCACGAAGCAACACCCGAAACCAGCCTGGCGGCCGATCTCAGTTTGGCCGTGGCGATGCGCGCAACTCATACGGAAACTTCCACCCCCCAGCATCCAACACCGTGGGCATGGACGATCTTCGTCGCCTCAAGGGACAGTCCTCACGCGCTGCTAGCGGCAACGTTACCCTGGGACCGACCTCGATGTTGCTCAACTCCAGAAGCAGTAGCGGTCGCAAGCTCGGTCCTGGCGGCGCGCTGACCCGCGGTAACGAAGATTCCGCCGCCTCTTCTCGAACCGGGACTCCACCCACGCAGGCATCTGTCAATGCATTTGCGTAAGTAATGACGATCACTCGCAGCCTCCCCATTGCGTCCAGAGAGAAAGAAGAAAACATGGAAAACTGACACAATATTAGTGCCCTCGCCAACATGCCTGGGGAATCGGAGAACCCAGCCTCGCCTCCATCCACAGCAGCGTCTCCTGCGCTTAACCATGCTAAGCCGTCTGCGCATTAAGAGGTCGACTGGTACCCTTTTCCAATTCCACATCCGAACCAAGCATTAGAGCATTCATTGCACAATTAGACTGGGCAGGCGGTTTCTGCATTTACGGCGGGGGAAAAAACACAACTATAAAAGTGACCAGATTTCAACCTTTCTTCAAGATACCTCAGCGGCATAGACGTAGAGCTCGCCCGCATTCGAAAATTGGACGAGTTCTCGACTTTTTCATCATTTGTCAAACTCGTTGTGCAACGAATACTGCTCTTATTTTTTGCTCTTGGTTCTGTTTCTCTTTCTTAGTCCCCCACAAGGTGAAACTGGTCTTCTACCGCTTGCCCCCCCCCCCCCCCCGGAAAAAAATCGAAAGGGATTCCCATGACGCTGGTATTACTTGAGAGTGCAAAGGATGATCAGCACATGATGGGATGCTGGTGATGAATGGGTTTATGTATGCACTTGGAAGGACTGCGACGACTTCAAGCACCGGAATAACCAGTGATCGGGGATGGAAAAGTTGGCTTGCGTGGGGGGAACACACGACGGACCGACCACCAAAGCATTTCTGGGGCTTTGCAAAGGCTTTTGGAACGAGATTCTTCGCCTGTCTTTCCCTCTGCAGCAGCTAGAAAATCGCCCTTTTTTGCTGCTGCTGCTGGAAAGCAGGCAGCCCTTAGTCTGGCCATCAGCTAGATGCCCCTGTGTATATCAACCAGTCCGATTTTCACATCTAATTCAGGGGTAGCTAGCCGCAGCAGAGGGCATCATATCCTAGCTCTTTTAAACAAGGGGGCGTTTCTGTCTTTCTGCTTGCATTGTGTTATTATATGGTTAGCGTAGCTCTTATACACACGATCCCTTGTTTTCAGTCAATACTTGTGATATAAACGAGACTATGTGGTGTGGTGTATAGGTTCGAGGCTTGAAGGTGACAACATGTAATAGGTTATATAAACCAAGTCAGGCTTGGCCTAGAGAGCATTGGAGAATTCAAGTGTCAAGAATGTTTTCTTTGTGTGAGTGAATAAGAGAGCACCCTACTGCTACTAACTCCATGAAAAGCAAGACGACAATTCCTCTAATCATGTCCAGGGCAACAGAGAGGCCTGGACTGCGTGTGTGCTCAACCACAAATATATAAACAAACAATGATAGCCAATCGCGCTTAGTCCATGCATGCATGACCCATCATCACCCATCACCCCTCAGGCCACTGCAAAGCCCAACTTGGCAAACAAGTTATCCATGGCCACCCATTGCCTGCCACACTTATCCAAGTATCGATCTACCACCCCCTTGAGAGTGCCGAATCTCGTACGGTTGTGTTCCGCAAGCGCGAGAATCTTGGCCCTGGTCTCTCTATCAGTAATAGCAACATCAGATCTGTCGACACTGGGATCAGCTTTCGCCCTCGCCTTCTCAACATCGAAGAGGCTGGCGAAGTAAATGAGCTGGTTGTAGATGTCGCGTTCCGAGATCTCGTAGCGCATACGGCCAAGACAATCCCGCGCGAGACCCTTGGGCCCCAAACACCGGCTTCCATAGACGCTCATCTGCCGGGTGCGGTTGCCACAGCTGCTGTCGTCGCAGACCAGCCAGCCCTCGTAGTATCGCGCCGTCGCTATACGAATGGCGCGCTCCACCTGTGCGACCACAGAGAGCGTGGACATGGTGGTGCCGCAGGAGCCGCAAGCCACGCCGGTGGGGGTCACACGGTCCGGGCTGGCCACGAGGCCCTCAAAGGCAGAGGTGGTCTTGCATGAGCGGCAGCGCAGCTGGAGACGTGCACAGTCGCGGAAGCGCACCTCATCGGGGATCTGGGACTCGAGAGGGTGGATCTCGAGGTCGTTGCTGTTGCCGTTGGACGAGTTGTTGACGTTGTTGGCGTAGCGGCGGATATCAAGCCCAAGACACTCGGCCAGCTGAGCTGTGGATGTGCCGTCGATATTGGCGCAGAGACGCTCGACAGGTGGGAAGATTTGCTTTCCGATGTACCACTCCACATCCGGTATCAGGCCTGAGTCGGTTTTGAGGACATCCTGTGGAGTATAGGCACGCTTTGCGACCGAGTCGGAGCCCTTGCTGTCACCAGTGATGATGTATGAAATGACATCGCCCTTCCTGACGGTCTTGCCCCGCGCGAGCTCACGCAGAGCAACTTGCACTTGGGGCATAGAGTCTGCGTTCGGATACTCTTTCGGTGCCTTGCCAAGCTGTGTGAAGATGATATACTTCTGAGCTTGGACGGCCTGCTCGCGCATCTTGCCTGCAGTCTCCCGTAGGTATTCGTGGATGCGCTGAATGGACAGCTCGGTGTCATCACCAGAGAGGATCTCGTTCAACAGCCGGCTGGAGATTTCCTTGGACAGAGCACAGTACTCTCGGCGCTTCATATCGAGGCCCTTGACTTCCATCTTCTCGATGAACTTGCCGTCGGATTCAACAAGGTTGATGGCAGCATATTTCTTCTTGGCCTGAAGCAAGATGCGTCTGAAAACATTGTCAATGTCGATCTCCAGGAGCCTGTAACGCTCATTGACAGCTTTCTTGAACTCCTGTCCGACAGTGAAGGCATCTTGAACGTTGTCCACATTGGCGTTGATCATGACGGAGTCAGTGTCACCATAGATGACTTGCAGCGACTTGCTCTCTGCAAGTTCTTTGGTGCTTCGCAGAATCTCACGGCCCTTGTAGGTAGTCAAGACAGCTAGTGGACGAGCATAGAATCGTGACTTAGTATAGCCCAAGCATCCGTACATGGAGTTGGCCGTGAGTTTCAAGGCAAGCTGCTTGATGTCCCACGTCGCCAATTCTTCAGCTGTCGCATTCTTGGCTTTCATCAAGCTCTTCACTTGTCGTCGGCGGCTGACCAGATTCGCAATGAGTCTGGGCAAGATACCCTGCTCCTGTTCCGAGGGTACTTCTGGGACGGCCTCTTCGTCTTCAGACTGTGTGACACTATTAGCAGAATTCCGGCGAGTATCTCATTCAGCGACAACGTACCAGTGATGTTCGGTCCACTGTAGTGAAACAGATATTGAACTCTTGAATGATGGAGGGGTACAGCGAGTTGAAGTCCATGACGAGGACAAATTTGTCGTATAGACCCTTCTCGGGCTCGAAAACGAGACCGCCTTTGTACTTGTCCTTCTTCTTGCCTTCACCGGCTTCTTCCTCGGCATGCTCTTCCTCCACACGCTGCCGGCCTCGAAAGTTTTGTTTGTCAGGACATATGTACTTGTTGCGGTGGAATTCATGCAGCAAAATGTACTCGTTCCTCTCGGCACGGGTACCTGTGAGAGTCCTCGCCCAGGAGTTACCCGCCAAGTTGGTCAGGACCTTGGTCAGTGGTAGCAATTGCACCTTGAGGGCCAGAGCTGTGATGAAGTATGTGTCCGTCTCCACATGGGAGACATAATCCAGGAGGCCGTCCTTGGTGTTCGCCCACGACTTCAACGCCACTTCATTGTCTACATCTCGTCGCTTATTGTTGCCCGAGAGGTAAAGGCTGCACATCTCTGTCAAGCTCCAAGTAGAACACTTGTACATGGCGGACTTGCCGGCGTCGTTGGCGAGGTCGCAAAGCAGGCGGCCAGCTAGAATTTGGCGCTCCGCAAAGACATTGCCACCAACTTTTCCGATCGACGATGGCCACTGGGTTCGTCGGAGCCTCCCAAGGCGAGACCACTGATGAATCTTCTTTTCGTGCAGACGGTTCAACAGAACGGAGTAATCAACTCCTTCCAGTTGGTGACCAAGAATCACGTCAGGGTCAACAACGTCCACCTGCGCCAGGAAGAAGGCAAGCAATTCAGTCTCCTGCTTCATGGTCTTGATAAGACCCATCTTACGGTTTCTTGCGGCTTGTTCAAAGCCTACAGGGAATACACCGCCATTGGGTCGAACGAGCGTGAAAGTCCGACATGGAAGTTTGTCGGCTGGTGTCGTATCGCTAAGAAGGACATTGTCGTAAATCCTAGCGCTGATGGACAGGATCTCCTGTTTGTTGTCCTTGACGTTGAATGTGGTCCGCATAGCCATGCTCATGAGAGTTAAGGGAGGAGCATCAAGATTGTCCGAGTCGCTCATAGGGGATACCATATTGGGGTGTTCCACAAGCACCTCTAGCCTGCAGTGCGAAGCGTTCTTCAGTGTACCAAAATCGGCGTCGTTGATCTTGAGCCAGCAGGGTCCCATGATATTCTTCCACAGAACGAACTGCTCGAACAGCGCCGTGTTGGCTCCGAAAACACGCGAGAACGTCTCGCCATTTGCGTCTGGGGCGATTTGGGGTTCTTCAATGTGTCAGCGGTAGACAAATCTGTGGGCATATGGGGGAAACTTACTGGTATATGGGTAGAAGAGCTTCATGTATTGTCCTTCCTTGGGTACGTCTGGCAGCTCGAAGGCATACTTTCTTGTGCATCCCTTGATCTTGAACATACCAACGTTCATCTTGGTCATGAGAGCGTCGATTTCTGTGTAGACATCCATCAAGCCAACCTCATCCGGAGTCTCGACTCCATCAACCAAGCGATGCTCACGAGGCAGGAAGTAGAGCTTCCTCAGGATGTTGTCAACTTTGACAAAACAACTGACGTAGGACTTTGTCTTCTTGTTCAAGACCTTGCCAAACAGGCAAAGACTTCCGTTGACTTCAGTATAGTCAGTCCAGAACATATTGAGACTGCCATCTTCCTCGATCGCATCTCTGTAGTCGATCTTGTTGATGCCTCTTGGTTCTGCAGCTGAGCTGCTGACAACATTCAACCTCGAGTTGATGTCGTTCCATGCCGAAGAGTCTACCGCAGCCTCGGGTGTGCCCTTATTCGGCGAGGAGTTGGCAGGAGATGGATATGGGTCAATCTTGATAGTCTTCTTGGGCACCCTGGCCGCTGAGAGGTTGACACTGGCCGCGGTGATAGCACCAGCGTGTGCGACTTCCATCATGTCTTCATCATCGTCTTCGTCCTCTTGGGCATCAGCCCTCAGTTTCGACATGCGCGCCGCAACCTTTACGGTGGGGGATGATGGAACGGGGTCGCTGGATGGGACATCATCTACCGGAAGGGGGCCCGGCAGGGCCGGCAGGGGGTCGTCTTCGTCCATGGGGATAAAGGCGTCGTCGTCACTGGCAACAAAGGAATTCTCGACATCTGCAGTTGGGAGGACATCCTCGCTGAGCCTGACCTTCTTGGGTGCAGGTCGTCGCGGCTCAGGGGCTGGTGATGGAATACGGGCTCGACGTCTCTCGGCAGACCTATCCCTCTTCTTTGACGGACGAGGCGCGGCTGCTGGTATGTTTTGATCGACCTCTCCCAACAGACCAGCCAGGAACTGATCGTCCTCTTCCGTCTTCACGACCTGGGACAGGGCGTTAGTATATGTCAGTGTCGGATCTCATACAGTCTGCTCACTTTGGTCTTGGGCTGCGCCTTGACGGCGCCTTTCGTGAAGAAGTCGCTGATATTTCGGTCTGTTGCATCACGCTTTGCCTGGTCCTCCTCCTTTTGCTTCTTGGCTTTTGTTTTTTACAATTAGAGAAATGCTCCGCGCGTACTCGGGCCTAAGGTACTCACACTTCTTGCGATTCTTGCCATGAACAGGCAACTCGTCCTCGCTGTCCGACTCGTACACACGGACGCGATCCCACTCCTCGCGACCGTCGTCGGCGTACCCTTCGCCATTATCGTCGACAACGAAGTCATCCTGATTCAAACGGTTTCGCACAATCGTCTTGTAGCGGTCCTCGTCGACTTCCTCGTACAGGTCCTGAACATCTTCGACTTCGTACGAGTCAAAGGTCTTCTTGCCCGACTTTCGCAGAGCAGCGAGCTCCGCGAGCCTGGCGCGTCTGTCGGCCTTAGGCATGGTGGTAGGAGGTGGTGATTGCACACAGCGTTCTTAGGTCTCGGCGGTCTCAATTGACCAGAGGGTCAAGGTTTAATGCCTGTGGAGGGCCGAAGTTCATGTTCTTCGCGTGCGTTTCTCTAGCAGGGAAGAAGTGCTTTGCAGAGTGAGGTGGGCACAGAAACCGATTTAAAGTGGCAGGGGGAGACGCGCCTGGCTGCTAACATACGCGTCGTGCTCGAGACGCCCTGCACGGCACTGTGAAATCCACGCGAACCCTTGTTGCTCAGTGGGTCAGTCACTACGGTACCGCCCGAAGCAGACAATGGTTGTACTGCACTACCGTATGTACACCCTGTAGTGCATAGAAACCGTAGCGCGGGGCAGACGGTTTAGAGTTCCGTCATCCAGCAGGGGTCCTAGTTAAGATATTTTTTCTTTCCTTTTTTTTCTGTTCCTTTGTTTTCGGCTTCCCCCAAATTCCCGTTTCCCTGCCACTCACTGCAGCAACTTGCGACAACCACCGCTCAACTTCACCTGCTGCAGCACAAATGCTTGCAGACTCAAAATATGTTCGTTTGCAGAGCTTGTGCAAAGAGAGTTACATTTAACATAGCGCGCCAACTGCCTCCGCTCGAAAATCGACTGGCTGCGCCGTCGAAGGCCTTTGCGACAAACTCGATACAAAGATACCAGAATCTTCCTGCAACAGGTAATTGGAACGAGCTTGAGGCGGTCGCGGAGAAAAAGGATGCGCTCAAGGATGACAAGACGGCCAATAAACAAAAGAATATCACCAGATTAAAACGGGCCACACAGAAAGAACTGGAATACACCACCGATCCATATCACATCGCCGAGAATGTGGCCAAGAAGCTGGCAGCGAAAGACTTTGACAAAGCCCTGCTCCTGACCCAGACTGCCAGCAAAGACAAGCAGGTTATCGTCAGTTGGAACCACTTGATAGAGTATCAATTCCAGAATCAGAAGCTACAGGCTGCCATTAAACTGTTCAACGATGTTGGTTCCCCCCACTCATCCAACAACAAACCTTTCTTCCTCCCCGTCTCGTCTAGTTGGGTCCTGCCGTCCCATCCCCAAGACTGACACCACCATAGATGAAAAAACGAGCCCAGCTTCCCAACGCCCAGACCTACACTATCATCTTCAAAGGATGCGCTCAGTCCATACATCCCAAGCTGGCCGTCGGCGAGGCTCTCAAGATCTACCACGCCATGCTAAACAGCAGCCGGCTAAAGCCCAACACCATCCATCTCAATGCTGTGCTGGACGTATGCGCCCGCGCCCAGGACCTCGAGTCCATGTTTGTCGCCCTGCGCTCTGCAAGCGGCATTCGCGCTCCCAACAACCTGACCTACACCATCATTCTCAACGCCTTGCGGCACCAGAAGTCGAACTATGTGAACCAGAACGAAGATGCCAAGGAGCAGGAACCGGCTGTGAAAGCTAGCATCGAAACGACGATATCCCGTGCCAAGCTCGTCTGGGACGAGGTCATCACACGCTGGAAGAAGGGCGAGATCATTATGGACGAGGAGCTGATGTGTGCCATGGGGCGAGTATTGCTGCTTGGCGGTGCCAAGGAGACAGACTCTATCCTCGAGGTGGTTGGGGAGGTTTTGGGCATCACCAACCTCCTCGACGGGCAGCCCGGTCTCATCAACCCCGACAGGCAGAAGAGCAAACCAGAAGATTCCGAAAAACTACAACGCTCTGGGCAGTCAGAAGAGTTCGGTGTTCTCGAACAGCTTGCAGCCTCAGCAGGGCCACACACGCCTGACAGGGCGGAAGACTTCTCTTCGGAGCGGCCCAGGCGGCCAGAAACGGAGCCAGAGCCGCCCACCCCAGAGCCACGACGACAGATGCCTTCCCGGAGTCTCACCCCCAGGGCCATGATCAACGTCGCAGGCAACAACACCTTATCCCTCGTCATGCGCGCCCTAGCACAGGACAAGCGAACGAAACTCGCCGCGCGGTACTGGGACTTCATGAGCATATCGTACGGAATCGTTCCGGATCGGCGCAACTACCGCGACTATATCGACTGCCTCTCGACCGGTGCATCATCCTCAAAGGCCGCACGGGTGCTCGCCAGCCTGCCCGGCGACATTCCTGACGGCAACCTATACCGCCGCGGATTGTTGCTCTGCCACTTCGACACATACAACGCGAATGCCTTCCAGAACGCGACCACGATCTACGACGCCATGGTCAGGAAGCTGAAGGTTCCGGACGCGAGGTGCATGAAGCTGTACCTGCAGGTATCCACGAGCAGCTATCGCGGTCTCAGGGACACCGACAAAAGTTCCAAGGAGGCGGGTAGAGCCGGCGCCTACGGACAACAGATGCTCACAGCCCTTGATCGTGTCTGGGAACCGCTGAGACGCGCGACAAATGCGCTAAGCTACTCCGATGCGGCGACGTCGTCCGCATCGCCCGAGGAGGCTTGGAAGCGCTCGCACGCTAATCGCGAGGAGGTCATGGAGGTGGCCAAGAGATTTGTCGCCACGAGTGATAAGGTCTTGTCACAGAATCTTATCTCCAAGACGGATGAGAACCACAAGACCGCCGTCATTCGCCGTAGGATCATGAACGAGTTCATAATACGAGATATGGAGAAAAACAACCAGCTCGTGAGGGGGAGCAATGGGCAGTATGTGCGAGGCAAGAGGCACAGAGAGACTCAAAACGTGCTTGCAGCTGCAGGGTAGTTGTTGCAGGCCTGTAGAAAGGAAGCTAAACGAGCAACGACTGTGTAAACAGCAAGATACTATGCCTCGCTCTATTGTCTGTCATCGAACTCTTCATTGTGGATGTAGAATGAGCAATAAGCCTGTTGTGCTGGTATACTGTTTGGACGCATAAGGTTCCCAGTGGTACGTCCAAGTTGAAACCCAAAGCCTTCGCAACAGATTAGAAACCAAACCGCCCAAAATACCACTTCGCCATTCGATGCACATGTCATTACCATCAGTGCTATTCCTCGAGAAGCGTCATTCCGAGCTTCATGTCAAGATCCTCGGAGCGAAGACTGATTTCGGCCTCCTCACTCTATACGATCCACCCATCCTGGTCCTTGTCTGCATCTTCTGTGACTGTCTCCTCCTGATGCATAAGCCACCCCTCAGTTTCATGCTCAGGTTGTTCCCAAGATTGATACAGAGTCTCGTTGGCGTACTCATGACCATCGTAGTCGCAGTCATAGTCATAGCCACAGTCAGCCTCCTCTGCATCGCCCTGTTCATCCTGCTCAACTCGATGGATTTCATCGTCCAAAATCCGGACGTCTGTCCAGGAGAATCCAGGAATACCGTGCTCAATAAAGGCTATGTACCTCTTGCGACGTTCTTCGACTTCTTGTTCGCTCTGTCGTTGGAAAATAGTGTGACCCATGCCCCAATCTTGAATGTACTCAATCTCAGCATCCCAGTTCTCATTATCGCGGGCGGTCCACACGTTCACACGGTATCCTGCTGCAATGATATCCTTCAGGGCAGCCATGAGCCTGCTATCCTCTTCCGACAGACTCTTGCTCTTCATGGGAGGGAGAGTGGTTGCATGCGAGTGTTCGGTAAAGGCGATAAGAGCCCACTCCAGATCATACTTCTCCTCGATCTCAAGGCGACGAGGTCCATCTGAATGGGGGTAGACAGTGAACGTTTGTTTGGTATGGGGCCTAGTGTAAGGCAACTCGCCGGTCCAAAGAAGGATTTTGCTATAAGGACTGCGAGTATTGGACACATGCTGCCTAGCAAAGTGGGACAGTGCAGAAGAGGCATCCGAAAAGACCTGTCTGTCCTCTGGACGCCAGGCGCTGCCTTTGTAATAGATGGCGCATTTTGTGTGGAGAGCGTCTTCGGACTCCTCTTCAAACTCAATAGCACTAGTCGCATGTGACTCGGTCTTCGCATCGTTGTCGTCGGTGAACGTGACCTGTGCCCTGGTCTTTGGAGTTGAATTGGATGAGGTAATGCATGGCTTGATCCCCGTATACATGTTGATGGTCTTTGCAACTTCGGGTTTGGTGTGTATCAAGACTTTCTGTGGTGTATGATTGTTTTCACGATCGAAATCGAATGGCACTTGAGACGCTTGATTGGGAAGGGCGTGCTCTTCATGTTGGACTTCAATGTCTTAATATACTCGACAGTCAGTGAGCGCAGCGGCACCGAGTTATCTTTCTCGCATGTGACGACGTACCCAGGTCAATCTCAGACTTGTCATAGACAGCTCCGAAAACTGAAGATCTCTGCAGCTCTGCCTGGAAAGACGGAAGGTCAAGCTTGGGAAGAGGAGTACGAAATGCCTGGCTCTGCAATGCGCTTGAAATGGACGGCTCATGACTGTGTGGTTGGACCGGTGAGGACTTGAAGAAACGCGAGCGCTTCAAAGTGGATGACATAGACTCAGGGCTCGACGGATTTGGGACCTGCGAGCTCCTACCACGAATTGAGTCGTACCAGCGCTGCTTAGCGGAGTGTCCGGTAGGGCTGGACTCAGCACTGGCGTTCGTAGTGGGAGGCTCGATCTTCTGGTTGGTAGTAGCATCTAAGATCCGGCGTCCCTTGCTGTATGTCCTGATGGAGCGGACGGCATCCAGAGAGCGGCGGCCAAGACTGCGGCCTGGAGATCCATTGGCATAGGATGGCATACTTTTACTGGATCCTAGTGTCTCGTTCTCGCCTCCAGTGCAAGATGGACAGCCCACTGTGTGCGGCGGCGTAGAAGGAGCAGCTGTAGTCGATGACATGTTTGCGAAGGCTGAGGTTTCAAAAAACCCCCGAGTATGTTTTGAAGACGGGCATACAAGTATACAGAAAAGTTTGTTGATAAGTTCGTGGCTAATTTAACCTGTCTGTGATTGATTGTTGAAAGCGAAGAAAACAAAATCAGTGTTGCCTTGTTGATCGATGCGTAGATATTTAGAGGAGGCAGGTATGTTAGTTCCTTCCATACAGACTCGAACATGTGAGAGACAAGTTGTAGACCACAACTTGAGGGTGGAAGGAACTGGACGGCGGTGTCTTTTTGCTTGGATGCATGTGAACTGCCTCAGCATTTGAAAATAGTGAATCTGAACTCAACATTTCGGAAGATACTGGACCTAGTATTTGTCGTAGGCGTAAAAATGAGTCTGTGTCGTCCGAATTGGGAGAAAATACTTTTCGTAGTCCCAGAGTAGCATTTGAAGACAAAAATATGTCTTGGTTCAAGGGGACACTTCAGTGTCGTGATAACAACTGGTTGACGATTACATATAGGAACTGAACGATATCAAGCCGCGAGAGTCACATAAGTCAAGTCAAGTCGCCTGATTGTGGATGTTGACATCTGGTTGTGGGACTTCAGCCTTACTTTCCAAGGTCTCATTGATTGCTTAGGAACATTTTTAAGCTCCGTTGATGCAAACATATACAAATATACTTTCACAATCTCCATGGTTACAACTTAATTCCTGACCTCATTTTGACGAGCTTCTCTCTCTCTCTCTCTCTCTCTCTCCCCCGCCCCTCCCCGAAAAAAAGCCTTTCCATGAGTTGCAGCAATTCTTTAGTCTTGGTCTCGAGCGCTTCATGCGTGCAGATCCACGGCTGATTAGAGGACCCGGGTTTGAGACGTAATGGGAAGGCCTGCGGCAATATAATGGGGGGGTATCATGATTCATTCAAAAGTCATGCAGCAGATCGGTGCTTCTGCACACCATCACACTACTCGTCCTTCTCGAAGGCATCGTTGAGATATCCAACAAAGCTCTCCCGCATTCTCGCCACGGCCATGTTACCGACTGCTTCGAGCCCAATGCCGCCCCTGTTCATGTTCATGAAGGCCCGTCGATACCTTTGCAGCTGTGGCAGTCCAACCCTCCTGCTTGGAATCTCCACAACGAGCGGCTGTCCTCTAGAATCACCGCCGCGCGATATTTGGATCTCTCCACCACCTTCATCGGGCTGCTGCTCCGATATGCTCTTGACGATATCCTGGGTCTCTCTGTCGAGCACATAGAGGTAATCACCGCCTGCGTCCCTGCTCCTCTGCACGGCTGCCTGGTTGGGCTTGACGACCTTCCTTCCCTCGCCCGCGATGGCTTCCCACAAGTCATCAAAAACCTTGCGCGTCTGCGCTTCGTCGTCCTCCCATATCAAGGTGAAGAGCGGGCTGTCCCATCGGGTCATGGGGTTGGGTTCTTCGTACCGGAACACGAGGTTCTCCCAGTTCCCCTGATCATATGCGCCCTCTGCCGCAAGATCGTCCCCACTGGCATCCTCGCCACCCGCCAGCTTCTCGTCTCTTTGTCTTAACCGTTCCTCATTGATAGCCCTGGCCCTGTCGACACTGCACCCGACCTGCAGGAGCACATTTGGCGTGCTCAGGTTTTTGGCCTCACAGTAGAGCTGGTACCGCCAGCCCTTGATATAGTTGGAACCATCCAGGATTACAATGTCCTTGGTGGAGAGCACACGCTTCACAGCACTCGAGAGCGCGGCACGTGCGTCCTTCTCCGAGGCGTTTGCGGAGCGGGTATGCGCAGGAAGCTTCTCGGGCGAGAGGTCATAGACGGTGCGGCTGATAGACTGTGTCTGGTCTGAGATGAGATGTAGCCGGTACTTGGAGACTTGCGGCTGGGCTTCAACCCTCTCGGTAAGATAAGCGAGGAGTTGGTTGGCGCGGGTTGATTTGCCTGAGGTGGGAAGGCCAGTGACGATTATGAGCTGCGGCGGGAGGGGACTACATTAGCTCTCGCATGGGCGGACATTCGGGCTGAAATTGAAGAGGAGGGCGCCTACTAACCGGCATTCTGCGAGCATAGTACTGAAAAGGAGAGAAGGGCTGATAGAGCCCAGGACGTGGATAGGAAGTAGGTCGTGGAACTGGTGACGGGTGACTTGAGCCCCTCCAATGTCACCTCTCCAGAATTTTGGAGTACAACTCGAATTGTAGTGGGGTTGACTTTAAGGTTTGACAGGGGTTCCCTGTATCTTCCGTGCCTTCCTGTAATAAGAGCATGTGAATACGCGTATGTAATTGTTGAGAAGCCAGCATGATTTTCAATTTCACATGTAGATGTTGGATGACTTCTTACTCAACATATGGACGAGACATGGCTAATTGCGTCGTCTACTGACTTCGAAGACGAAAAAATGCCAAAGCTTTCTGTGGCGGCTTACCTTCGGAGAACAGGCGTTTTTCAAAGGTGCACTGGTAATGCGATGAGTCCCGTTCTAATGCACGAAAAAGCAACGTCTGCTTGCTGTATGCTTACTTTCGTGCGTGACTGGACCAGCCTGGTCATGCATTGAGAAGGCCCCATGAGTTTCGTGATGGCGCTTCCTTTTCTCCTTCTTTTCCTTTCCTTCTTTCTCTCTCTCTCTCTCTCTCCATCATCTAAGAGCCAGCCATGAACACTCCGAAGTTGCGCCGGGTAGAACCGAGGTTCGATGCATATCTTCTCTTATCAACTTCCCAACACAGACTGATCCAAACAAAATGCGCCTGTGCATACTCACTACGTTAAACATGATGCCCGAACTATCTTGAGCTTATTATTCCCCTTCCTTCTTGGCTGCAGCACACTGCACTGCGTATCAGCCACTAAATATACATTTAAGGTTATATATCCACGTGCTGGAATTGTAACGAGCTGATGCCTCTGTGCCTACATAGGCAGGTGGTCAGATATGGTGTGTAATTCATGCATGAAGATCATGGTTTACTATCATGTGCTCAGGGCAAGAATCATGATCTGTAATCTCCACACCTTGTCTGCCGTAATTGAGCCAGCTTTTTGTTGCGGCCTCAAAATTGCCCTACACCAGAATCGATTCTTGTAGAGGCTAGAGATTGCTTCGGTCTTATGGGGAAAGGTACTGGTGGTTTTTTGCTTTTTTTTCTTCGTCTTTGGGTGCCCAGCCGTTCCCAAATCTATCTGGTTTCGATCCAGACGCCCAAAGACACTAAAATTAGTTCTTGATCTGCTGGTCTAGGCTCTGAGGCACTCTAGGCTCCAGGTTGGCACTGGGGAGAGGCGCTGGTGTCCACGCGCGGGATTTGTAACGAAGCGCCAAACCGCCCTAAGAGTTTGAGCACGCAAAACTATGCGGGCCCACCCCTCTTTCCCCACATCCGAGGCATTGAGAAATACCATGTAGGAAAGTGATATTATCTCTCATCAGCAATGTAACTGTGGTACTTTAAAAGGACAGTCTGGCGGTGGCGGGCATTGGTGCAGTCTGTTGTAGATCAGGAATCGAGAAACGAGGAACCAGGCATAGGGCGGTATACCGGGGGGGGGGGTGCAGCTCCTGGCGCTAGTGAACTGCTGGGCGCGCATCCTACTGTAAATCCGGGCACCACAGGGGCAGCACGGTCGAAACGGACCACCGCAAGAGCCAGACCGAGGCCAGGTGATGCCTATCCTTGTCTCTCTCTTGTGCTGGTCTTAATGTATCGAGTCAGGAAAGTCTTTTCATTTCAGCATCTCTCTCCAAGTCCCGAGACTTTACGTTGCGGTTGCGAATTCAGACTCCAGCCGGGCGAAATTTGTGCCGTCGAAGAAGAAGATTATAGTATAACAGGTTCTGCTAGCACCCTGGAGCCATTTGCGAAAGAGTTCTCGAGTTAGCATTCTATTCGACCAGGCTTTTTTGGCGAAGATTGTATCGGTCTCACGTCATCTCTACTATGTCGGCCAAAGAAGCAGACACTGCTTAAACGCTGCGAGACAACCATCCAACTCAGGATCAAGATAGAGCCCGTGTGGCGAGGGAGTGTGCCGCAATACGCCGCGGCCATTTTTGGTGCTTCGAGCCAGGACTCTTAAGTGACCGCAAGACACTCGCTTGCACAGCATACTTCAGAACCTACACAGACCTGATGCTACGTCGACCGCACGAGTGCCATTAGGGAGAGAGAGAGAGAGTGTGTGAGCCAGCCAAGAAGCAACACCAGGATGGTATATTGCGGCAAGCCGTCTAAAGGATGCTCAAACTGCCGCGAGCGCAAAATCCGTGTAGGTTGTTTCTTTCGTGCGCGCCTGTGCAGTGGCTTAAACCCTCCCTCTTTTTGGCACCGCAGAAGCATGTTGACTGATTTCGGATGCTGCAGTGCGACCAGCGTGAGCCTGGCTGTGGTCAATGCGAGAAGCGTCAGCAGACATGTCCCGGCTACAGGAATATAGTAGATCTCATGTTTAGAGATGAGAGCTCGCACGTTGCCCAGAAGGCCAGAAAGAGGCCCAGAAAGAGGACCAACCCGTCTACAGACAAGCCCACTACTCCTACTACCCCCTTGCCCGGTAAATCGGCATCGACGCCGACAACACCACCACCACCCAGAAAGTCTTCGCCTTTTGTCCTCACAGCATCGCCTTCCGCGGCCTCATCGTCGGGATTTTTCGATCAGCGTGATGATGGGTTCATACAAACCGGCCTGCGCTCGCCAGCAAAGCTTGTGAAGGCGGACCGTGGATACGTGAAACAAGAACCTGGAATGGTGTCGCCACGGGATGCTTTAGCAGTCGTCCCGTCCAGCTTGTCGCCAAGTTTCGAGGAGAGAGGGCTGAACTTTTTCATCGCACGGTACATCTCAGTGGTGAGCATTCTCGTCTCGCAGAGGAACGAGCATCCGTCGTTTGCTGACCTAGATATACTGCAGCCACCGGATGCCTCTCAAAACAAGTTTGACTTGTGAGCCGCGCCTCCCACCCTCCACCGGACTTCCCTCTCTACAACCACTGTGACCACGCGTACTAACCCAAGGCCCCAGTGTCTTCGACCTCTGGAGTCCAAGCCCGTTTGCTTACGAAAGGGCCCGGGACCCAGTCCTTGCCAGCATCACGGCCGTAGGCCTGCTGAGCGTCGCACAAAGGGCCCAGTCCCAGGAGCCTATGGAAGCAGCGCGCAAAACGTACGGCCAGGCACTGCGGCTAACGAACACCGCCCTGCGGAGCCCGACGGGCGCTCTCGAGGACACCACCATGCTCGCGGTGCTGGTTCTCGGGTACTTCGAGACGATGGCAGGGGCAGGGGCCCGGAGTATGCGTGCCTGGCAGCAGCATATCAATGGGGCGGCTGCGCTCGCGAGGCTGCGCGGTATGGGCTCGTTTCGGAGCAAGGCGGGCATCAAAATGTTTATGATGCAGTGCTCGAGTATTGTAAGTAACATCAATGTCTTTCAATCCTGCCCAGGAGAGTCCAGATCACATGCTGATTGTAGCTGCAGATGATCAATTGCATTCAAAATAAACTGGCTATGCCACAAGATTTAATTGGCATGCGCACACAACTGGTCGACATGATGGGCGGCCCAGCCGCAGTGCCAGGATACGAAGTATACCCACCCATCTACAAGATCCTGCAGCTGAGGTATGATATATGCCAAGGAACGATTACAGACATCGACACCATATTGGACATATTCAACGAGGCAGAAGAAGGTTTCGAGAAGGCCCTATCTCTCTTCCCAGAGACTTGGCAATATGGCAAGTTCTGTCTCTCAGAGCGTCTCCAGACTGGATTCTTCAGCGACGTCTGCCATGTGTATCCGAACCTCTCGGTCGCATCGGTCTGGAACGGCACCAGGGCCATCCGCATGCTCATCCTCGAAACGATGCTCGAGGAGCTTCACATGCGTTTCCTGCAAGTGCCTGTTGAAAAGGTGCCAGCACGATACCAAATAGAAGCGCACAAAGTCAAAGTCAAGCTGGAGAGGATAGCACTTGCTATCCTTGCCAGCGTTCCCCAACATTTTGGGCTCATCAGGCCTTCCGATCCGAGCCTCAACACACTTGTGCCGATGCCACACACCGAGGACATGTTGGCTCACATACCTGAGACCGGATGGAAAGCTACACTAGGGCAGAGCGAGGGCTCGGTTTCCCGTAGCTCGGAGGACAAAGATTACGACTGCCGCAGTCCTTCGTTTTCAAACCCAATGCAGGCACGCAGCACCCAAGCACAAGAAGAGCGCCTGATGCTGCTGGCGTCCGTGTCTAGCGGGCTAGTCTGGCCCTTGTATCTCGTCGGCATGTCGACGGCCTCCTCTGCCTCGATGAAAAGTTTTGTGATTGAGAGACTGCATGCGCTCCATGACGAGCTTGATGTCACGCAGGCTGGAAAATTAGCTGACGCTGTGGCAAGCCATAAGGAGCCGGGCAAGCCATCAGAACACAGATGAAGGCTTCCATACTAGCGAAGCTAACAAAGCCGAAGGCTCAAAAGCGACACTTCGAACCGATGGAGGCGCGACGTCACCACTGACAGCGTTGTCTCTCATCTAAAGGCACATTCGATTCTGTGCTTTGGCACTGTGGCGATGTCTGCATGGGTGTTGTTTGTGTTTCTGTGACAAGAAACGGTATAACCCACAGACGATAATTTCTCGACGACTGGAAACTGTCTGAGACGGAAACCCTCCAGCTGACAAGAGATTCGAAACCGACGGCTCATTATCTCCGAGATTGGTAAAAGAATCTCGTCTCTCAACCCGAGAACTTACCAGTGCACCTCGGCGGTCTCTTGTGAGTGTGGCATTCCTGACTCTGGGAAGCTGGATGTTACACCAGTGCTGGGCCGGGTGCCACCGGATTAGGATCGAGAGCCCTCCCACAATGACCGCACTATTAGGAGATATTCGAGCAAAGGTTACGCAGGTACAGCTCATTCTGATATCCGCGGCGGAAGGATGGAGCCCTAGCCAAGGAAGCGTGGGGAAGAGGTACCACGGCCTGAATAGAGTTAACACTGTATCAAAGGTATATGGATTGCATTGTGTATATATACCTCATTCACCAATTGTCAAAGTTCCCGAAACCTCCTGTCTTGACTTTCTTCCTTGACGGCTCCCAGTCTTCGACCAACTGCTCGTCGTCAACCGCCGCAGCTCCGGATTCGGAGCTCATTGCCGTCTTCAAGTACTTGCCAACCCCGCTGCCAGACTGCTCGATGGTGCCGTCTCCTCTGATGCGCTTCCCCGTCCACGTCGTCTTGTCGTCATCTGTTCCACCCTGCCGCTGGATTTCGGCCTTCTGAGCTTCTGCCTTTTCTTGTTGATCCTTCTCCTTCAGGAACTCTTCGAATGGATCCAGGAAAATGACAATGTCTTTGATGACAATGTCTTCAAGGGGACGGTTGCCCTCGTCCACTGGCGCCATCTCCAGAGCATCCAGGACATCGAGTCCATCCACAACTTTACCGAAGATCGTGTGCTTGCGATCGAGGTGTTTGGCCGGCTTGTAGGTAATAAAGAACTGCGAAGAATTTGTATTCTTTCCCTTGTTCGCCATTGACACGATTCCACGTGTACTGTGCGTGAGGGGCCCGTCGAATTCGTCCTGAAAGTTTTTCCCCCATATGCTCTGGCCACCCTTTCCGCTTCCCGTCGGGTCACCGCCCTGAATCATGAAGTTTTTGATATTTCGATGGAAGATCGTGCCACGGTAGTAACCCTTCTGGCTCAGTTTCACAAAATTCCATACGGCTTTCGGGGCTGTCTCCGTTTGTAACTCGATGGTGACGTCGCCCAGGCTGGTTTCCACCCTGGCATAGCCCTTCATCTTGACCCTTTTTGGCTTCAGCATCCATTCATCCTGGGTCAGGGTAGCGCGCTCTCCGCTTGTCTCTGGCGTGAGTCCAGTGCTTGTGAAGCTTGCGGCGGCCCTTCCCGTTGTGTATGTCGCAGCGTTGTGAGCCAGCTTCTTCTCCTGAATGGCTGGCTTCCTGAACCCATTGGTAATAGAAGACTTCTGCAATGCCTTGGAAGACCGGTTGACATCGCCAGTAGCCTCCCTCTCTCGCCTTGCTTTCTCGACCGCCTCCTTCGCCCGCAGGACCTTATCACCGATGCGGCCCAAGGCATCGACGTTGACGCTGCCCGATTTCCTCTCCTCTACCTGTTCGGGAGTGAGAAGGACATCACCACCGTCCTTCAAATATTGGAATTCGCTCAGGTTCCTGGATGCTGCGTTTTGGGGATCTTGTAGCGTGATGATGTCTTTTCTACCGAATTCCTTGTCGTCCACCAAATCATGCCAATTCTTCTGTTTGATGTTCATCTGCTGGATGGTCTCCCATGCAAAGACGTTGGCGTAAGTGCCATGGCGAATCGCTACGATGTGCGTGTTGTCGGTGAAAACTTTAAAGGTGACGGGATCAACTGCGGATGGGACGTTAGCCACGATAGTCTCGCCCCCCTCCCCCCTCAAAAAGCATACTCTCGCATCTCTTCCATGCGATTCTTCACGTGGAGCGTTCAGGCGCTACTCACTCAAATCTCCCTTGCCATCTGTAGGCCCGGCGTTAGGGTCTGCTTCGGCATCTGCGTTCCGCGCAAAGTTCAATTTGATCAAGTCCTTGCCGTCGAGAGGGTTGCCGTTCACAGGATTGGTGTCGTGTTTGTCGAGCCATGCACTTATGACCTCGACATCAAATATTGTCCCATCAGGCGTACACACGGGGTTCTTGAAAGGTTGTAAGCTTGCGGCGCAGAAGTTGAAAGGGAGGCGTCTGAAGTTTGCGCCGGCGCCGCGCTGCGCTCGTGATCCAGCACCAGCTCCAACGCTGGCTGAGAAGGCATCGGAAGAACTCCACTCCGAGTGGGTGATGTATAATTTGTCTGTGCCCTTGCCCATCTTCGACCCGTGTTGAAGATGTGCGACAAATGAATGAAGGGAAGGGAGGGTAGGGAGGAGGAAGAGAACGAAACGACAAATCGGAAATGCAGAAAGTTTCGAAGGGCGGCGATGACGAACTGGCAGCAGCAGTGAGACAACCCCCAACATGACGACCCCGATTTAGCGCATGCATCCTCGCAGATCCCTGTAGGTAGTGCTCCATCGCAATGCTACCGTAGTTTCCTAGTACCCATGTGGCCCCTAAGCTTGCGTACTGCAGAGTAATCAGCTCTCTCCCCTGCAACTTGTCCAGTCCGGAAGTCAAGGGAAGGCACCGCTGTTCCTCTTACATCCTCACATTACATTCACCACTTTCTTTAACGATGGTATCGTCGACCTTGGCTCACACCTGATTGTCCAAGAGGCTCGAAGGAAATTCGATTGAGGGAAGTGTCGCTAGGAAATCTCTTGATCCTCTGTGGCGGCGACTTCTGTCTCGGGACGGATTATCGACAGAACCTATACAAAGATTGGTCATTGCAAAACAGACAACAGGGAGGCATATTCAACATGGGGGCTTGGTCTTCGCTGCTAGCCTTGCTAGCCCTGTCAATATGGACAGTACAGGCCATGGAGGTTAAGATGGTAGGTTTACGCAGGCTCCCAGGGCTACTCCTACTTTTCTGTTGCTGATCAGCGTTCTCCCTAATCTAGGACCAGGTCGACGAGAACAGACAGAGATGCGCTGGCATGTACTCACAACAAGCCTGGGGCGGCCCAGTCGACCCCTTTATCCTCCTCAAATTCATGCCCTACGAAGGGGACCAAGATCCGGTCGTCAGCCTCGTCATCTTCGAATGGAAAGACGAGGACCTCATTGGCGTATACCCGACCGCGGAGTCAACACAGGTACGACCAGTGTGCCCAAATGCTAGGACAATTGCATGGTTCTGACCATTATCACAGAAAGCTGGCATCTGCGAGAAGCAATATGTCGAGGCCGGCTTTTGCGACGAGCAAGATATCGGAGAGTTCATACTATCACCGAATGCGACCGAGCAATCTACGAACCTGATTCTCACCGAAGCAATCCACCTGAAGAGCTCCCAGCCTATCAAGTATGATATAACAAAGACCGGCTACTACTGTGTCTTGACCGACAAGTTCACTGCCAGCGAATACGAGGCCGTCGTCGAATTTAGGAATGCTTACGGCGAGCTTCCCGCGACACAAATCCCAAAGCTGCCCTTCTATGGAGGAATAACCCTCCTCTATTTCTTCGTGGTAGCCTATTGGGGTTTCCTATACTATCAGCATCACGCCGACATCTGTATAGCGCCCTTCCCCAAACTGTCCAGGCCCAGGACAACCTTGACTAATTTTATCTCTAGTGCCGGTTCAGAACTATATAACAGCCATTCTGATCTTCTTGGTAGTCGAGATGCTGATGACTTGGGGATTCTATGGTATGGCTTCTTACAAATCTCTGTTATGGACCCCTCGCTGATATAGACATCCAGATTACATGAACCGCCACGGCTCGAACGTGGGATCAAAAGTCTTACTGGTCATAGTTGGAGTCTTAAATGCGGCCAGGAACTCATTCTCGTTCTTCCTGCTACTCATTGTGTGCATGGGCTATGGAGTTGTCAAACCGACGCTCGGCCGAACCATGATCTGGGTGCGATGGTTGGCGATAGCGCATTTCATTTTTGGTCTGGTGTATGCTATTACCAGTCTTGTCATCACGCCGGACAGCGCAGGTAAGACTAGAGCGAGCAGAAGAGATGGTTTATGCAAGCATACTGACACATCTCTTAGGACCTTTCGTCCTCCTAATCGTTCTTCCACTGGCAGCTACACTCACAGCCTTCTACGTGTGGACGCTCAATTCGCTCAACTTCACACTGAAGGATCTTCGGGAGCGAAAGCAGCACGCCAAGGAGAGCATGTACAAGAAGCTGTGGTGGGCCATCCTCATTAGCATTCTCGTTATCTTCGCCTTCTTCTTTTTCAACAGCTTCTCGTTCGCCTCAGCCAGCGACCCAGACTATGTACCCTTTCACTGGAAGTCACGCTGGTTTATTCTCGACGGCTGGCTTAACTTGGTCTATTTCGCCGACGTAGCCTGGATCGCGTACATCTGGCGGCCGACTGCTAACAACAGACGCTTCGCCATGTCAGATGAGCTTGCTCAGGATGACGATGGTACCTTCGAGATCAACAACATGGACATTGGTGCGCCAGATGATTCGGATGATGAGGAGGCGAATGTGGGCGCGAAGCCCTCGATCAACACCACACGGGACGGTCAGACCTCTGGTGTGGAGGGTTACCAGGCGCCTTCCGGGGCGAATGGTAGTAGCCAAAGATCTAGACCCTCGTTGGACGGCGAGACTATCTTTGCCATAGGCGACGACGACAAATTTTCGGATGATGAGGAGGGGTCCGACGAGGATGCCGGATTGGTGAAGGGCCAAGGGAAGTGAGGTCACAGGAAAAATTGAGGATTTCTATCTCGTCGGGAGGTTACTAGCCGTGTGATATTACCAGGCAGAGAGTGAGTTCTGCGTGTTTGTATTTCTATAGATACAGTGGCGTTATGGACTATGCGGGGATTGCATCGGTCATGGCTACGGTGCACCGGGTATTAATCGACTGGGGGTCTTGAGAATTGGACATCGTTTATTCTTCAAGTGACGCTTTCGCTGAGAGAGGAGAGTATGTGAGCTCATCGGTCTCAGGACGCGAATACTAATTATAAGTCATATAAAAGGTTTCACCAGATACTTCCTCCATCCGTTCCTTCACTTGGAGCTGTAGGCATGCCTATGTCCAAGGTGAATGATTGTAGGAGAAAGCAAATTAAGAAACGAAGAATAGAGAGAAAGCCGGAAAGGGGGGGGGGGGTAAGTGTTCTAAGACAAATTTTCCTGGTCCGCCCAGGGACTGTGAAGGTCTTCGTGAACGAATATGCTTCGTATTTCGATGAGCAGTACAGCGCGGGTGCGAACTCAGAAAGATTGCGCCATCTCTGCTGATGTTGCAGTGCCTTTTTCACTTCAATATCTCTCGCTTACATTTACAGTCGAGTGGGTGTACTGAGAACAAACCCATCGCCCCAGTCGCAGTAAAGTCGAGAAGAATTAAAGAGCCCTCAACGGGCTCGCCAGTTATTCAGGAGTGAGCTTCAAGTGCCGACATCACCCCCGAACCCGACAGGTCTCCTCTGCCCATCGTTCTCGGGCAGAATTGCCAAGGCCTTGTACACCTTGCCCATACCTCCCGGGCCCTTGTCCACCAACCTCTTCCACGCCTTGTCCACATCTCTCGCCCTGTCCTCCTCCTGCCCTCCTGCGATGCCCTTCTGCCTTAACCTTCTCAGCAGCACCTCGGCCCTCTCTCTGATGCCCATGCTCTCGAGGAACAACCCCTGATCCACCGGTCCGTGGACCTCCACGCCCTCGCTGGCCTGCAGCGCCGCCTCGGCGATGGCGGCAAAGTCGACATCGGCACTCAGGTCCGTCAGGCCCGGCTCCGCGAAGGGGCTTACACGCCGGTGCCGGCTGATGCCCCGCAGGGAGTTGACGGGGATGGACCCGTCGCCCGGGCCGTAGTCGAGGATGAGAGCAGCGCCGGAAGGTTTCTGTTTTGGGTGCTGCGCCGATCCGCCTATGCGTGCTGCGAAGTCGGTCGCGTAGAGGGAGAGGTCTGGGCAGATCTCGATGAGTGCACCGGGCAGAGACTTGAGGGCGCGATAGCGTGGGCTGGACTCTGGTAGGTAGCGGGAGTGACGGGTCGCGGTGGGCGAGAGGGTCAGCTGGAAGTCTGGGACGGGTGTATCGCGGGATTGCGACGCTGGTGTGCCTAGGCTGGTGTGAGTCGACCCTGGGGGTGTGGGTGAGACGACCATTTCGCGCCATTGTAGAGTCGGCTTGTCTGTGTCTTGTGATGTTTGTGTCGAGGAGGTAGAGGGGGCGGCGTTGGACTTAGGAGGCGGAGGGACGTTCACGACCTGGAAGGCGTGGATTGGTAAAGCATCAAAGAACTCGTGCGCTACTATGAAGGGCATCTTGTCATGGCCTTGTATGCATATAAGCCCATGTCCACTAGCCGAAACAATAATTGAGAAGAGATGGCCTTACCTTGAGGGATGGACCTTATGGTCTGAGTCCACACAATAGGGAAACCCCCATACTTTGAGATGCTATGCCAGCCGACTTTGGACTCGCTCATGTGCGCGTCTTCACCACAGAGGAGGGTTTTCTGGGCAATCCTAAGCTCAGAGCTAGCTTCGACCATGTAGATGGCATCGATGGCGTTTGCCAGGTCTTTGAAGTTAGATATTGTCTGACAGGACATTAGTTGAGAACGATCGAGAGAAAAAGTAAAGCCAGGGGCAGCCTCACACGGAGCATGTCGTCCATGAGCGTCCCTCTTCCGGGACCAACCTCTATGAGCTCGACCCCAGTCTTTGGCCGGCCCTGGCTCATCCACTCGGCCACGAACCAGATTCCAATGAGCTCGCCAAAGACCTGAGAGATCTCTGGAGACGTGACAAAGTCACCCTTGAGACCAAACTGGTCTCTGCCCTGCTCAATGGCTCCAGTGTAGTAGCCACCAACATCACCAGTAAGGCACATGCGCATGTAACTCGCCAAGGGCACAGGTCCAGTCATCTAACCATAGATCAGCATGCTGATGGATTTTAATTTTTTTTGAGAGTTTTCTTCTGCAAATCGACGCATATATATATATACCTGTATAGCCTGGGCAAGTTGTTTGGCAAGGGGTGTGGACCACCTGCGCTCATTACTCCGTCTCGCAGCCGTCATCGACAAGCCTCTGCATTGCGAGGCAATACCCATGTCTGGCCGGTGTGAACATATTGAGGACGTCTTGAGCCCACGAAGGGCCGTCCTCGTTGTAAAAGACCTCATGACAACGATAATCGCCAAGGCGGCACTCAGAAATCACGAAGCTCCTGGCATTTGTTTGCTGAATCGCATCGACTCTTGTTTATGATTTCGGAGGAGACAACTTTCGTCTTTATTTCGAAAATCACATGAAATGAACTTGGGGGGACCTTTCGGTACTCGGTGAGCTTGTTAGTTGCAGGTGAACGCGGCAGTAGCTCCCCAAATTCACTAGAAGCTTTCAGTGTTAGCAGCAGAGCTCCCGGGGGGGGGGGGGGGCGACACTGAAGAGGTTTAGCAGGTTCGGCAGAGGTTGCCGCCCCGTTCCCGACTGCTACGGCATGTCTTAACAGGGTCGCCTAGGCGCCGGCAGGCATTTCCACAGCATAAGCTTGCAGCGACATCATCATCTTCCCACCAGAGCAGGGCCTACTTTAACCTTCACAATACATTGAGACCAGTGCGGGCCTCACTGCCTCAACGCACCGCCTCCGCTACCGGCGTCTTCTTACCATCTCGTCGCTGCCAGTCCTCGAAAGCGCGCCTCCTCCACAGCCCTCACCCCTCGCCTCTCCTTCTCTCCATAATGACTGGTAAGGGCAAGTCGCGCTGGGCAGACAGCGAAGAGGACGCCGCGCGCGAGGCCGCACTCAAGAAGGAGAAGGAGCTGAAGAAGCGCCTGAAGAAAGAGAGAGAAGCAGCGGCTCGCAGCGTTGAGGAGGAAGCACGACGGCAGAAGAAAGCCCAACAGCAGGCCACACAAGCAGGAGCAGTATCCGAGGCCGAAGGGGACGAGGAGGGCGACGGCCGACCCACGAAACGCCGGAGGCTCACACCGGGTCCTCTTCCAGCTGCCGGAGGAGGGGGCGAGGGCAACGCAGGCCGGATCCTGCGCTTCCATGGACAAGGGTTTGGCAAGTCGCGGAGCGTGGAAAACTACGACAAGCTGAACGACATCGAGGAGGGCGCGTACGGATGGGTTGCGCGTGCCAAGGAGGTTGCGACGGGAAAGGTGGTCGCGCTCAAGAGACTAAAGATCGAGGCGAATGATCGGAACGGCCTGCCTGTCACGGGGCTGCGGGAGATCCAGATATTGAAAGACTGCGACCATAGGAATATTGTCAAGTTGCGGGAGGTCGTGGTCGGGGACGATACGACCAGAATAGAAAAGTGCGCACAGATCTTCCCTCCTTGAGGCTTCGTCCTCACCTGTCTTTTCTCCTGCCAATATGTATGGATTGACTGCTGACATATGCTCGTGTACGTGTGCCAGTATCTTCCTAGTCCTTGAGTTCCTCGAACACGACCTGAAGTCCATCCTCGAAGACATGCCCCAGCCTTTCCTCGCCAGCGAGGTCAAGACCCTCCTCCTGCAGCTCGCGAGCGGCGTCGCCTACCTCCACGACCACTGGATCCTGCACCGCGACCTCAAGACCTCCAACCTCCTCCTCAACAACCGCGGGCAGCTCAAGATTGCCGACTTCGGCATGGCCCGCTACGTCGGCGATCCGCCACCCCACAAGCTCACCCAGCTCGTCGTGACGCTGTGGTACCGCAGCCCCGAGCTGCTGCTGGGCGCCGCCAGCTACGGCGAGGCCGTGGACATGTGGAGCGTGGGCTGCATCTTCGGCGAGCTGCTGACGAGGGAGCCGCTGCTGCAGGGCCGGAACGAGGTCGACGAGCTCACCAAGATCTTCGAGCTGTGCGGCATCCCCAGCGAGGAGAGCTGGCCGGGCTTCCGGAGGCTGCCCAACGCGAAAACACTGCGGTTGCCCCCGGGAAAGGCAAATGCGGGCTCTGTCATCCGGGCTAAGTTCCCGCTGTTGACTGCGGCCGGCGCGGCGCTGCTGAACGACCTCTTGAGCCTGGACCCCTCGAGGAGGCCGACCGCGCGGGAGATGTTGAGCCACGAGTACTTCCGGCAGGACCCGAGGCCCAAATCTGAGGCCATGTTCCCGACCTTTCCCAGCAAGGCGGGCCAGGAGCGGCGGAGGAGGAGGGATACGCCCAACGCGCCAGGGAGGGGAGAGGCAGTGGAGCTGGGCGCTGTCGATTTCAGTGGCATCTTCAACGGGCGGGAGAAAGAGGAACGGGGTGGAGGCTTCTCTCTTCGAATGGTATAATCATCACAAAGATGTGGCCACAGCAGTTGGCTGCAGCTAGTCAAACATATAGGTTCCCATCCTCCACAAGGAGTGAATGGAGAGAGGTTTATTTATATGTGTAAGGCTATATCTCACATCATTACCTGATATCCTGTCCCATCTGCCGTGGTTTCGCGCATGTCATTACTTTAAGATGCTCATATGCAGCCAACCAAATCTCCAGAACATAAACCAGGAAATAATTGCTATTTTTACCCCCAAAGACTCATACCTTCCCAAAATGAACGCCGCAATTTGCTCTTGTCGCCGGTAAATTGGCAATGCAGAAGAACACCATGCATCTCAAAAGAATGTGTCGCCTGCGCAATGCTGCACACGCTATTACAACTCGCTAGCCGCAATATAGACAACAAGAATGTTCTGTTTTTTGTCTTCTTCTTTCCCCCCTCTTTCTTCTCTTCTTCTTCTTCGGCTTTGTCAGACATGACACAAACGCGCAACCCCGCCATCAGCAGACCAATCACCATAGCCCGGTCACAAACCACGTGAAAGTGGCAACCGTGATACCCACCATGGTGAAAGCGAACCCGAGAGCCCGTTTATCGTTGTCGGACAGGGCGGCACTGCACGTTGCACAGACCCAGCCGCTGGCCAGTGCCGTGTAAGGCTGGCCCGTGTACAGACCGAACGTGAGGGCAGCGTTGGCTGTGAGGGAGCCCGCGCCGGCAGTGGCGGTGACGCTGGACTCGGCGTCGTAGATGAATAGCGTGTACATCTCGACGACCAGTGGCCGCTCGTTGGCCTGGGCCTCCGACTGATACTTGTCCGTATCCCAAACGAAGGCGGCATCGGTGGCGAAGGTCATGTTGGACGTCAGGGTCCACGTGGACGCGCCGAGGGAGCTTGTGCTGGCGGAGACGACAACATCGACCGCGGTGGGAGTGATAGACAGATCGGTGTAGTTCCAGGAGAAGGTCACGTAGTCGCCAATCTTGTACAGGGCACTCGTAAGGGTGGTAACTGGTGACACCATGACGGCGCTGCCGGCTGCGGCCCCGGAGCTGACACTCACAGAAGACGTGCCCGTCCCGCTGTTCGTGCCCGTGCCCGTGCCCGTTCCTGTTCCTGTTGCCGTTCCAGTCCCTGTTCCTGTCGCACTCGCGTCGGTCCCTGTGCCTGTAGCAGTGCCTGACGAGGAAGCAGAGGTCTTTGTCTGGCCGGCAGTGTTCAGATCTGTAGCATCGGCTGCGTCTGTGGCTGACGAGGCCGCCGTGGCCGTCGCTGTCTGCGTCGCTTGTGCGGAGGATGCTGTATCAATCGTCTCATATTAGCAGACATCCTGAAAGGGGGGAAGCCGGAACCAGGCACCTCGTCAGTGCAACGACGTACAGCTAGAAGAGTCCGCCCTCCTCATCACCAGGGAGTCTATTTCTGGTAGCCATCTTGGCCAAGGAAATGCTGTGGCAAGAGGAGTGAGGGAGAGGAGGACGGTGGTGACGTGTGATGCCTTCATGGTTGCTGATCTGAAGATTGATTTTTAAATGGCCGTCGGGGTGGCCTTTCTGGTTGCAACGCGGACGGTTCAGGGGTCACTGGGATGGCTGGCCACCACCTCGAATATATGAACAAAGCCGAGTCTGCTCCGGTTTTCGACTTGCTCCGTAGCAGAGAAGAATCTCAAAGGTTGAGATACAGTGCTTGTTGGACGAGTTCGTAGGCAAAAGACAAGAATTGAAGCCGTTGTCGTCTGGGCGAGTTCGTTCTTCTCGCACAGAAGACCGGATGATTTTGGCAGTTGAGGAGCCAACCACCGGAGTCCGTCCAAGATCGGATTCAGGGGAATGCACCGCTAATGGCGACTGAAAATGCTGGTTCGGTTCAAGATGGTTGAAAAGGCCTAGCGGACAAGCAGCGAAACGAATGAGATGTCACTGCACAAATAAATCGACAGCAACAACAGAACGGTACCAAGCAAGACAAGCGAAGGTTGGGATGCTACGAGGAAAGAATGGAGAAAGGAGTGGGCGAGTAGAAAACGAAGACAATAAAGGTTGAGGGGGAGGCTGATCAGTTGCAAGGATGAACGGGGGTGACATCCAACAAATCACAGCAGCCCTCTCGGGCCACCCCAGCTTTGGCTTTAGCAGGCTTGAGCAGAAGTCCAGGCTTTTCTCAAAGTTCCCATTTGCAGCCTTCCAAGGCAAAAGCTTATCCGAGTGGGGACTCAAAAAAGACAAGCGGGTCCATGTACCGTGAATCTTTTGTGGAGGATGCTTCTCTACTGTATCACGCATGCAGAGTATTATTGAAAAGCTGCTGGAAGGCAAGCAGACTGCTGCAGGTGTCCTTGCCCAATAACTTTGCCTCTCTGCAGGTCCTTTCTGCATCAGGTGCTTGCCGTGGTGGCGCCGTGGCATGGCGGATTTGAGGAGGAATGGTGTGCCGGTAGATCCAATTCGTATTTCATTCTTGGCTAGCGAGTTGGGGGTCCAAGGAGGCGGTTGTGACCAGGCCGTTTAGGTACAAAATGCTAGGCTAGAGTACGGGGCGGCGAGCCCCGCTGACAACTGGCACGCAGCGCTGGCTAAGCTCATGTCTCAATTTCTCGTGTTGCGAAGGACGTGGACCCCTGCTAAAAATAATCTACATGAGGTCAACCATCCGATCTTTTTGTTCTCTTTCCCGTACTCTTGCAGTTCTCGTTTGCAGCTTTCGTTTCTCGGCAGCCTACACACACATCGGTCGCAATGTCTGCTCCCCGCAGAACTAATGGCTCACAGGCAAGTTCCTAAGTATGCTCCTTGCGGTTGCCAGGCTATGGGCCGAATGCAATGGCATGTCATGGTAAATTTCCTCCCAGGCTTGCATGTGATCTACTCAGGGGTAGCCGATCCAGCCGGCTTACACATTTGCCGAAGACCATCACGATATCCAGGAACGGGCTGTGCTATAAGCATCTGGAGGATTTTCTCTCTCTTTTTCTTCTTCCTTCCTCCTCTTCTTTTTTTCTTTCCCACATCGTCCCATAAACCTTAGTCTTGTCACACACTTGCACAGTACTTCTGATCCCTGCTGCGGGATCCTCTAGAAGCTTCTTCAAAAGATATATGCCGAGTATCAACGGGAGCCGAATAAGGGAATTAGGCGTCATCCAAATTGATCAACAACATGTCATCACCATCAAACTCACCAAGTTGAGGTGGGCAAATTAGCCGATCACCAGAACTTTCAGACACACCATGAGCCGTCTTGGCAACAACTCTCTCCCAGATAGACATAGGTAAAGCCACAGGGGACCCATAAGTCCAAACGCACATTCCGCTGTAAGTAATGCTGCCCAAATGCATCTGAACAAACAACGATGATTTTTTCCGGTCGCAGCATCATATTTCATAGCAAGTCCCTTAGGTGTCCCGACTTCTTGTAGTTCGATCCACGCACATTACCAGAAGTCGAATCTGCATAGAGTTGCAGCGCCATCGTGGGTGATTGCAATTCTAATCCATCCTGCACCAGCTCCCCAGGCAGGTATTCTAGTCGTCGGTTTGGATTCGATTAAATCAGAAGGAATAATCCTTCATCCTTGACATTCCTCCCCTCTACCCCTCCTCTTCGTCGTCGTCGTCGTCGTCAAGGTTGAGAAGATCGAATCGGTTCGCCATGTTGCTGGAGTTCCGCTTCTTGGTGATGGCGTGTCCGTTCCGAGGCCCCGAGTAGGTGGGTTGCTCAAGAGGCTGACAGCACTCATCGACATCCCATTCGATCTTTTTTTGCTTGTATTTCCTATGCAGGAGATGAGCAAACACTTTCGAGGTGCAAATCAGGACATGCTTACCCTCGACTCCTCATGCAGGTCCTGGCGAACATAGCATTGTGCACCGAGTTGGTCTCGATATAGCAGCTTCCGCCCCGGAACTCAACTCTTATAACAACCAGATTATGGATATGATCCAGGTCATCCCGGATGACAGCTTCGGTCAGATCAGGGTCGCAGCGGCGAAGGACGAGGTTGCGCGTGGCCCCTTGACGAATGTTGCTAGCGACATGAGCCGGCATAATGAACCGGCGCTCGTCCCAGCGGACGTCGACCTATAGGGTGTCAGGATCAAAATCTGCGTCTTGGAAATTGCACCTTGTGTGTCCTTACCCGCTTTTGTCTGATGTACAGGTCATGGCGGCGGATGTGATCAAAGAAGGCTTGAGCGTCTGCAGCTTGCAGGAAAGCTACCACTGCTGTATGATCGCGGGGCCTCATGTGGACGTTCAGTAGTAGACCTCCTCGTATGACCTTGGTGAGGTCCGAATAGGTAGTACCTTCCGCCAAATTGCTTAGCAGAAGCGATCTATTACATTGACGCTCGTAGTTTAGACGCGATCGGTCCTGGTCGTTCGATTGATGGCTGTTGGGGATAACAGCACCCCCACAGCTTGATGCATCTTCGCCATCCTCGGGGACTTCGACATCGTCCCAGCCATGTGCCTCTTGAGGGTAGACGTGTGCAAACGACTGGGCCCGTGGGTTGTAGTTGACAAGGCCATTGGACGCGTCACGAGATGGCTGTGGCCGGGACGCCGGTGATATGAAGTCCTTGGCCGATGGGCCATGATCGGTGGAGTCGGCCGCCACGGTAGCAAAACCGTCCTTCTGCTGCTCAATTGCAGCGTCATTCATGCTAAGTAGCTACACCAAGTTAACATTTATCAAACCATACAAACGGACTGGCCGAAACAACGATTGGACGCTTTGGAGGCAGGACGCAAACCTACACCGATCGTGTCCTCGCCCACACCACCCCTCAACAGATTGTAGCACAAATGTTCTATACCAAAGCCAAATATTAGAGCCTATTGTCGTCATGCCCTGAGACTTTTTAGCTGACGAAATGTAATCGTACCGTACTTGGCGGCGATCTTCTTGAGTTCGTCATACTCGGATTGGGAAATCGAGACAAGAGGAACCGTGAGCTCGTCGGGGTTCTCGAACGACAGGTTAGGTTGAGGCTACTCCTTGAGTACACTCCATACGCAGATACTGTAAACTCACAAAATTCGCCCTGTGCACGCAGCGAATCAGCATGTAGGCTGCTCTGATATTGAGTGCGATGAATGTATCATCATGATAGGAAATTCTGGCTGTAACAAGGTTTCGACCAACGAGTATGAACGACAGCTAACACCAAAATATTTCCAGGAGGCAGGTCCGATTATGGACCTCGAGGCTGAGGCTTGGGCCCAAGGCTGGATGAGAAGCTCTTACTTACCGCCGAAGCATAGTTTCGAAATGGGTACGATCAATCGTTACCGTCTCTCCACCGAGACTCGCCATGTCGACGGCTGTGACGACGAGAAATGCAGAAAATGGGGGAAGATGGAGACAAGAGAGGAGTGCAGGAGCTGAAGCTAAAGCTGAAGCTCGACCCCATGATCGAGATGGCAGAAGTAATGTGCAGTGTTGGTAGACGTGATGTGATATGTGAGGCTCCCAACAGGCCAATTAGAGGAAGGCGCCGTCTGAAATACAGGGAATCAGTTACAGGGCCCACTCGCCTGTCGCTTCCCGTTCAGCCTGTTCAAGCTTCCCCGGAAAGCCGCCCCACCTCGGCAGGCGCCACTGAGATTCCAATCCTAGGGCGCCACCGAGCGTTGGTGCCGCTGCTCTGCACTAGAAATACAAAGGCGGTTATCACAATGCACATGTCTGAAAATGGCACAGCAGCGTAATTTGAAGTCACATCATGGACGCGATGACGCTGATGATGATAAAAGGCTACGTAAGGCAACTGTGAAAAGTAACTCGACACCGTCGAGGTCACCAACCAACGCTTTGTGCGAATCATGCCACAAACCCGATCAAGAGATGTGCTCCCAACGTTATCCCATGCTTTGCACCTGAGATGACCTGAGTCGAATTCGACCACCACACAGTTGTACGTGTCCAGATTTCAGAACGCTGATACTCTCATCATATGGCCAACACCTTCATATCGTTGAAAATGTGGTCGATGGCAACAGAGCACGATTCTCTCGTGTCCAAATGGCACAACTATTACTTGGGGGGGTCTGAGACAGCCGTCTTCAGGTAGTTAAGCAAGAACTTCTCGTTTTCAGGCGAGATTGGAGTCTGTTGCTGGCTACTGCGACGCGTCATCGAGGCTGCCCTGCCTGCTCCATCAAGCCCAGGTGACGGACCCATTGAACCCACGCGCGAGCTGGGTGACGAAAGGTTGCCCGCCTGATAGTATATTGGCTCCTTTCCTTTCGGAATGGCCGCAGGGCTCGCTAGGGCACGTGCAGGAGCGCCCGAAGACGGCGCCGTAAACAAAGACATAAGCTTCTGCAGCTGTTGCGGATCGGCATCTTGACGTCGTGGTGTTGTGTTGGGGAAGGGGGCTGCGTTTGCCAGTTGGAGTGGGCTCTGTTGACCAATATGGTCGTAAGGTTGTGCCTGGCGGTTGGGGTTGTGTCTTTCCTGAATCTTGCTCTCGCCGCCGGCACCATCCACTGCGAAGGCACTGAGCATTTGTGCTCTGGCCTGAGATGGCTGCTGTTGCTGCTGAGAGCTCAGTTCGATGGGTTCTTTTGGACGCATCGCAATAGTTCGGGTTCCATACGGCAGGCCGGGGCCGCCATCTGTCTGAGTTGAGCCATTGTTGGCTCCGGGCACAGGCAAACGCGTCCCGAGCCCCGGGCTGAATCCAAAGGATGATTGTTGATTGACAGCCCCTGGGCCCGAGACAAGTGGGCCGCCATTCTCCTTCAGGTCTGGTCTAGCATTTTCCCACTGAGGGGACGAGGCTGATGGTTGTTTGAAGATATCCAAAAGAGCTTTTTGCTGCGTTTGAGAGACGTTTGATGGTCGGAGGGGAGCTTGAGGAATAGTCGACTGAGGGCTGCCCTGCGGTTGCATCGCGCTTGGCAAGCCTCTCTGCCCTGGAACGCTGACCGAGGCTGGCCCGGCATATGGAGAACCCAGCGCAGTCGGGTGATTAGGCTGGTGCAGACTCGTTCGTGGGTCATTGGCCGGGGGTGGTTGAGATGCGGGCACCACAAGACTCGGCTCCTTCACCGGGCCTGCATCTTTCTTGAAGGCACTCAGCAGCGCCAGGCGACTGTTGTCTAATATCGCCGGCGGCTGTCTAAGGTTGGCTACAAATTGCTGCGGTAGATTCATGCCCCCAGCTAATGAGCCAGACATGTTCATCTGCTGCAGTATCTGTGGGGGTCTGTCGTTCTGGACAGGAAGAGTCGAAGCGGCGGCGCCGGCCAGAATAGGATTGGCTTGGCGAGGCAGCGGTTGCGGACGGGCCAAAGCTGGTATATCGCCGCGCGCAGAGGCCATCATCATTGTCAGCTGCTGATTCGGGACTTGGGTTTGTTCTTGCACCGCGTGATTCACTGAAGCTGTAGAGACACCAAGAACGGAGCGCAGTTGGTTGTTGATATCGTCTGGCTGAAGGGGAAAGGGCGGAGGTGCTTGGTAGCTGCCGGGGCCCAACCTGTGCGCTGCATGAGGGTGATGAGGTGTATGCGGCTGTGGAGCGACATTGTAGACGTGATCCATAGGAGTGTGCGGTGCGTGAAGATGCTGGTGGTTGTTGGACATCTGTGGCGGGGCAGGCACGTCTGGCTTGTTCTGTTGCAACATAGCAAGAAGGGCTTTTCCCTTGTCCTGTTCCGCTCCCAAAGTCCCAGCCTGGGATCTTTGTGTGGGTGGCTGGATCTTCAAGAGTCTCTGGAGCTCCCTGCTGGCAGCCTCATAAGACTCCGCCGTTGTGAATACTGGAGTTGGCTCAGGTGCTGTCTCCGTGGCCATGCCCTCCTCTTCGGTCATGACGTCCTCGATCTCCGCCTGGCTGAGGTGTCCATTCCTGTGGTTGTTCCGTGACCGGTCCTTCCTCCTACGCTGATGCCTGATCCACTTATTTAGAGGCCCAAGGAAGGACGAGATCATGAAGAACTTGTTGGCGTTTGGGGTAGCTGCACTGTTGTCTTGGCCTTGTTTCTTCGGAGTCCGGCCGGTCGGTAGGTCGGCCAGTCGGTACCACTCGATCTTGGAGATTTCCTTTCGCGTTCTTGCCTCGAAATGTACGTTCATGGGAACGTGAGGGATAACGAACAACTTCACATGTTGGTCCCTCATCACCACATCGAAGGATGGAAGAAGGGTTCGATCTTCAGGTATCAGTCCGGCCTCCGCGGCGTGGAACCCAGTCTCCTCATAGACTTCCCGGATAGCGCAGTCCAAATCATCCTCGCCCTGGTTGATCTTGCCCCTGGGAAACATCCACGACGAGCCCTTGCTCCAGCCCTTGACAAGGACGACGGAGTCCATTGCCTCATTCAGCAAGATTGCACCTCGTACCGGTATTCGCTTCTTGTATCCTATCCAATGCGAGTAGGCCTTCTCATGGAGCTCGGGGCCAAGTTGGCTGGTCAGGGGACAGTGCTGGAAGATTCGGAGGGAGAAGGTGCGCAGGTTCATCTGCGGGAGCGTCGGGTCCAGCGGCCGTATGAAGTCTTCATAAAACCAGTGCGCTTCCTCAACGTGGGTTCCGATTCGGTCGAAGCCGCTGAGCTCTGACTGTGGCAAGTTGACAATGAAACGGACACACAAGTCGTCCAGCCCTGGCACCATTCACTGTCAGCAGTGCCACTCAACATACATGCACCTGAGAGCCTGTCTTTCGGAGTAGGGCCCAAGGACAAGACTCACATTCTTCTAGTGTTCTCGGTTGCACATCCATTCTGGCAATTGGTCCTCTGGATCATATCTGAGATTTCGAAAGTGACAGTGCAAGAAGCACGGAGGACGAAGGTGAGGCAGAGCGTAAAGGTAAGGAGACTGTGTCGCTGGAGGGGCTCTTGTCGTCACAGGTGGGTTTATATTGGTTGGGCTGAGCCGGGTGATTGCTAGTCGCGGGGTTGCAATGCCTGATGAGCAATGATGTGGCTCAGAGGCCACAGTTGCTATTTGATAAATAGGCTGATAGATTTTGGCTACCTGGAAAGCAGATGTCAAAAGGTCTGGTTGCTTCGCAGTGCAAGGAGAGATGTGCTGCCAAGTTGTCGGCTTTGGGTGGCAGGGTTGATGATGATGCTGAATTGAAGTCAAGCAGCGCCCAAGCAACCAAGGTCCAAGAAGCTCTGGCCACCGGACAGGGATCTACGATCATGAGTGGTTGCTGACTAACATCGTGGTATTTCCATAGTTGTGTGCCCAGGGTCAAGGGGCGGGTCTCTGACTGAAGTTTGGCTCCTACCTCTGCTTGAATGACAAGAAGAATGACCTCCTGAACCCTGTATTTGAAAGAGGCGTACGTAAACAATGATAGTTATCTTAAAAATGCCTAGAATCATGTAATCTGAGTTTTGGACGGCATCATAATAGTAAATTGGGAAGTTAGCCTGTACATGCACTCCAAAACCATTTCTATCTTCACCATGTAATACATTCTCCCAACTAATGCGCAAGCGGTATATATACATCCTATCATGTCTCTCCCAGTATGCTTTTCCTCCTCCTGCTTCCAGTAACTTTAGCTATGAAGTGATCCAATGTCAATTTCAACTTCCACATCCATGCTGAAACTGCTTCTTCATACAACATTCCCGGCTTTGGTCTGTCAACGGCAACCCTGTGTTTTCGTGATCAGAAGGAATCCGCAGTGTACCGACTTGGATCCAGTCATCCTATTAGCTCACCAACACATCGAATGAGCCCATGCACCAGCCCGGCCCCCTGTTGAGCGAATCATATGCTTGTGGAGCTCCAAAGACACAGAAGTGGGATGCCAGATATTCCATGCCATTGGAACTCCTACATTTTTTTTAATTTTTTTTTTTTGGAGTGACAAGGTGAGTCACTTTTATTATAATCCACAAAAAGCATGTGTTGGAGGCGGGGAAATTGATCTATACATAGGATGTGGGACTGTTGCACTATGTAGACGCGCTCAAGACGCGTCCCTTGCTGAGACATGACATGATGGTCAGCTCTCAGCACCGGCACCGGGCTGACATGTGCATCTCAGCATAAATTGTAGAATGCACTGTACGGAGATACAGTACAACACTAGAGTCTTGTGAAGAATTGGCTTGGTTTAAGATGTGCAGACGAAGGGGAATTGTGACCAGGACAGAGCAGATGTAGTAGTCAAGACATGTATCAGGAATCTGACACAAAATTTTGCAACTGGTCCTGCCTTTTATGTAGTGCTGCCTCATTTGAATGTCCTCCTGGGAGGTTTGAAGAAAGTCTTGGGCATAAAGTGCAACTAGGCTGGGGAATTACGATGTTCAGGGATTGTCCTTTGCTACGTGCTGAGCATGGCGGGAAACCGGAAGCAGAGAAAAGAATCTGGACTGAGTGGTGATGTCAGGCATGGCTCTCGGCATCAATCGGTCGGATCTGATAAGAATTTGACTCCGGAGCCGGGCACCCTCTCTTCACCCATTGCCAAGTGGTTCATGACAATAAAGAATCCACAGCTGAGGGAGCAGTTCCAGCTCCGATCACTACAGAAACAGAACCCAGAACCCTGATAGCCAAGGATTGAAGTGGGTTGATGGTGGTGCAGTGAAAGACCGTGGGCTGTCACAGCACAGGGAGTCGTCTTACAGGGATCAACGACGCGTTTGGGCGCGTCCATGGGCCAGACCCATATTTTTCTGCTCAAGTCCTGCCCGTCACCTACAAAAGCCTCCCGCGCCCAGCAAAACGTTCTCACTTCTGACCTGACAACAACGCTCACCAGGACACACCCAAGAGAGACAGAATCATCCAAAGCAGTCCACCTTATTGTTGTTTCTTTACACCGAAGCTTGTCTCTCATCTTCCTCTCTGCACCATCCCTCTATCATAATGTCCCTCGACATCACTCCCTCCAAGCAGGTCAGTACCACTTGCCCTGTCGTGATGTTGACAGTGTTGTAATGTCACGCTGGCTAATCACTGATTTGACAGGCTGCATCTGCTATGAACTCCCTCAAGATGGAGTCCCCAGTCAAGAAGCTTGACCTCGGAATTGAAAACAAAGAGAACGATGTCCAGGACCCTGAGGTCGCCACTCTGGCCCAAGACATCGACTCGAAGCATGCCGCCACCAAGAAGGTTGTCAAGGCACAGCAGGAGCCTCCTAGGATTCCTGAACTCCGTCCCGAGGAGCTGGACGAGCCTATCCTTCGCGAAAACCCTCACCGTTTCGTCCTGTTCCCTATTCAGTATCACGAGGTACGCGACGCGTTCCGTCCCCCAGCCCGACGCGTTAAGTAGCCCCACACACTGACACCAACACCACTTCGATACAGATCTGGCAGATGTACAAGAAGCACGAGGCATCCTTCTGGACTGCTGAGGAGATTGACCTGTCCAAGGACCTGCACGACTGGAACAACCGCCTGAATGATGACGAGAAATACTTCATCTCCCACATCCTCGCCTTCTTTGCCGCTTCGGATGGCATTGTCAACGAGAACTTGATCGAGCGCTTCAGCGCTGAGGTCCAAATTCCTGAGGCCCGTTGCTTTTACGGCTTTCAGACCATGATGGAGAACATTCACTCCGAGACATACTCCCTCCTGATCGATACCTATATCAAGGAGCCTGCCCAGCGCACCTACCTCTTCAACGCTATCGAGACCAGTAAGTCCCGGTCTGGGGTTCTATCTTCAACTTGCTATATCTAACACGGTTTCTTCTAGTTCCTTGCATCCGCAAGAAGGCCGAGTGGGCTCTGAGGTGGATAGCGGACCGGGAGTCCACCTATGCGCAGCGCCTTGTCGCATTCGCTGCCGTCGAGGGTATCTTTTTCAGCGGTGCCTTCGCCTCCATCTTCTGGCTGAAGAAGCGTGGCCTGATGCCTGGTCTGACCTTCTCCAACGAGCTGATCTCTCGTGACGAGGGTCTGCACACTGACTTCGCCTGCCTGCTATTCTCCCACATGAACAACCGCCCTAGCAAGCAGCGCGTGGAGGCCATCATCACCGACGCCGTTACCATTGAGAAAGAGTTCCTGACCGAGGCCCTCCCCTGCGGTCTGCTCGGCATGAACGCCACCCTGATGAAGCAGTACATTGAGTTCGTCGCCGACCGTCTCCTCGTCGCCCTCGGCAACGAGAAGGTCTACAAGTCTTCCAACCCCTTTGACTTCATGGAGAACATCTCCCTTGGTGGCAAGACCAACTTCTTCGAGAAGCGTGTTGGTGACTACCAGAAGGCTGGTGTCATGGCTAGCACCAAGAAGCCTGTTGCCGAGGACAGCAGCACACCCGGCGCCGAGGAGAAGGGTGAGAATGGTGGAGACTTCACTTTCGATGACGACTTCTAAGCGTCTTCATCGTCTCCTGCCGTGTTTCATCTTTACATAGATTGTTCTGTTTAACACGCCAACACATGCATCTCGTTTGGGTATAGACGCGGATGGCAGGCATTTTGCTTCTATTCATGGCAACGCTCGCTGCCTTTTTTTTCCCGCCGCCGGGGGGGGGGGGGGGGGCTGCCACGGCGGTCGCTTACAGTTCTACACTCACCTCTAGTCTTTTCTTTGTTCTTTTCCCTTCATGTCATTTGCGGGCGTTGGGAGTTGGCTGCGTCCTCGGTAGTACCCTTTGCTTCTTGATGGAATAATGAGTCGATGGCAAGGGAAGCCGATGGGAAAACAATGATCTCAGAATCGCCGATCTGTAAGATAGATCCTCTGAAAGACACCAGCGTCTCTTGAAATACTCTCTCTCTTGCTGTAGATATAATGTGATACGATTATGCCAGCTGTCTTCAAGTTTGGGTAGCTCGTCGGCGGACTGCGTGCGGGATCCCACTTGAGCATTCCAACATAAATCACATACGTTGTACTCAAGCGCCCATCACTTTCCCTGTACTTCTTGAAGTATCGGCCTGTAACCTCAGTTCGCAAACCCGGTGTCGATGCCCCTTGCCTGGGCAATTGACAGTGCCAGCGTCCGTGAGACCTGATTTATATCGAGGTGCAACTGCATCGCCCTGCTGCATCCTTCTTAGCTCCCCATACTCATCGCTTGCCCTTCTTCTTCTTCTTGCCCTTGCCTCCATCGCCTGCACCTCCTGCCGCGGGTGCTCCCCCCAGCTGTGCTCCTCCGGTCACCGGCGGCGTCGCTGCCGTCCCCGCCAGATCCTCCTCCGCTGCCACAGCAGGCAGCGCCGACGGCATTGCGGCCATGTTGCGCCCTAGCGATCCGAGCATCTGCACCAGCCGCCCGACCTCCTGAGCCTTGGCGGTCTTGTACTTCAGACACACGCCGCTATGAGGGTCGAAGGCCTTGAGGATCAGCTTCGCGCGGGGCGGTCTTGCTGTGGAGGCGGACGCATCGGGCATGGGGGTGTCGGCCTCGGTGGCATCTTGGGGTTTTGACCTGGCCTTGCGGGCGCGGGCTGCTGTCTTGGCGGGGGAGATGGAGTAGCGGGTTGAGATGCGGGTCTGGGACGGGGGGTTTGGAGAATGTTAGTACCGTTTCCTTGGGGGAGAATACTGGAGACACGAGAGAAACAATGGGAGGAGGCGGTGGTTCTTGTGTTGGGGAGGCGGAGAACGTACAGTTGTTGGTCTGGCTTCGAGAAGTTGGGCCGAGAGTGTGAGCCACTCATCGGCTGTTGGTATGAAGGGCATGATGGTCTGCTGAGATTGGAAAACAACAGGCTACACAAAGACGTGTGTAGTAGTATGATAACCTCGCAGTCAAAGGCCCCGAAGGTATGAGATGGTTGGCACAAAAGAATATGTAGGGTCGATGCACAAGGAGTTGTAGTTTTTGAAGAGGTGAGAGCAGCCGGAATAGCTTAGAAGTCCCACCTGTAGTCTCTGGTGGGGTTGCTAGTCAACTCTGCTTGGGCAGGCAAACAATGCCTGCCAGCTTATCACATACAGATTTCATAGAATTTCTGTCACAAAAAAGAAACCCGCAATTTTCTTATTTTGTTTTTGCAAGTATAAAAGTAAACTTTAAGTCTATAATCTCATTGATTGAGTATTGTCATTTATGTATATATTTATTTTGGGTTAGTATTCTCAGAGTAAATTTACTTCCCGTGAAAATCTAATGTCCGCCTGACTTTTTGTGTCTTTTCCTTCCTGCTTCTACCTTTCCAATGCATGATATATATGCTGATGACTGACAAAATCATGTTCATGGCCACTCCCTACACCTGACTTGAGATCCCACCTCCCCCAACTATGCCTTTGTCTCTGCAGATTCAGGTATTATAAAACCTTCAAACCTCCGAATAAGCTTATTTGTCTGCTCTGCCAGACTCAGAGTCAAGATGGTGTGTGGTAATATCCTGGCCAAATGAGGCAGGAAACCCTTGTAGATCGCGAAGAAGCCCTCCGTCTTAACAGTCTTGGCCAGGCAGTCGAAGACGCCCTTGTACAAGTTCCCGTTTTGATTGTAGAGGCGGGACATTACGGTGTCTGTACAGATCACATTGTCAGAGTTGAGTTCGGACGCGCGCAAGAGCCGAGGTAGGAAACTCACCAGGTGGGTGCATAAAGCAACAAACAACGAAGCCGCTCACGGCGCTGCTGGTGAGGTGCAGCGCTGGGCCTTCCTCCATGCCCACGTGCTTCATCAGTCTCCTCTTGGCGAAGAAGTATGTCGGCAGCTGCACTGAACTTCCAAAACCCGTCCTGATCATAGCTGCACCGACGCCACGGTACAGACCTCTTGCTCCCTCGCCCGAGTAAATCTGCCTCAACCCATCAATCGCATTGCGGTATGTATGTTGTGTACCGACCGGCAAGAAGGGCGAGTAGCTCTGTAACCTCGTCTTGACCAGAAAGAATGGGCTTCCCGCCATGGCGCCGATCACGCCGGATGCTGCACCACAAAACATATTGATTCCCAGCGACTGCACTTTCTCGTCCTTGAAAATGACGGATGAGAGCGTCTGGCGCATGGGCTCGTAGAAGCCCAGCCGACAGCCATTCAGTAGGACTTGGTATATGTATGCGCAGCCGATACCTCTGTAGATTCCGCGCAGGCCTTCGTTTCGTACAATGACGGATACACCGTGGATCGGGCCGCGGTAGTGGTGTGGTTGGTGGCCTTTGCTCTGGAGCTCGCCTTGAAGTTGCATGCTGGGGCACCGGATCGTTAGGTTAAGCTTGGGCATACGTGTGTGTATATACATAGGATACGGAGGGCATATTCACCGGATTTTGACGGTCTCGAAAGGATGGGTCGCTGTCACGGCGCCGCACGCGGCTATGCCGCCGGCGATAAAGGCACTGAATTTACGGTCAGGGTTGTTTTCCAGGCGCAGGTCGAAAGAAAAGGATGTGACATGGTCAAGACTCACCCTGCCGTTGTCGACATGGTACTGCGTCACAGACAGAAGGCACCTGATGTTATACAAGACCAAGTGGTTGTCAAGGCACGAGCTCTCGAAATCTTGGGTATGAGTAAGGCTGACTGGAGCCTCGGCGCTTTGTTGGAGTTGGCCTTGGGGAGATGCAAAACAATGCGCCTTGTGTACCAAAGTCGTCGCAATTTTTTAGCAGGAATCCATGTGTTCTATAGTGCTGGCAATAGCCAGACTGCACACAGATATGAGATTTTGATGTGGTAGAGAAATCAGGTTCACCCTGCAATGAGGGAATAGTTCGTGGTGCTTGGTTTTGTCTTTTGGAAATTTGGGGGAGCGCTGCTGGCTGCCGCTTTCGGAGCCTTTTCACAGGTCGAAACCTTGGACCTCCAAGCTCAGGGACCTCCACAGTGGATCTCCAATTCATGTTGGCGGGTCTAGCCGACTTTTGAGCGTTCCCCAGGTTCTTTTTTGGTGGTTTTTTTTTTTTCGTCATCTCTCTCTGGGTGCTGGCATTCCACACGCCTTGGGGTGTTGCAACGAGGATCTGCCCCACGTTTCCTGCATGGGAAGCGGCTGGCAACGCCAAGCTCCCAGGCCTGAGGGAGGGGTTCGAATTCCATCCATTCAGCAACATTGTCCCACCTGCTACTTCTTCACACACCCACACCAACCAGTCATTGACTATGGCTTCCACTCCTATGGACGTTGATGCTGAGACACCACCAGGTGATCCACCTCAATTGAACATAACAAGGACATTGGGGGCAAACATCGCTGCCACTTCACAGGTACATGAAGTGATTGCCAACTTCAGACCGACCAAGGTAGGGATGACTATGCTGCTCCCCCTCTCCCTCCTCTTTTCCTCTGGACGCATGGTCTGACATCCCAGGGCAGCTATTCAAACGAGATGATGCCAAAGACAACAAGACTCCTTTTGTCTTGTCTATTGACTATGATGACCCTGGCGAGCTGTGCATGACCTCTGAGAGCGATGAGACCATTCAGATCTACAATGTCAGGGAGGGCCGCCACGACAAGACATTGTTGAGCAAGAAATACGGTGCCAAGCTGGCCAAATTCACTCATGCCAGCTCCAGCATCATTTATGCCAGTACCAAACAAAATGGTAGGTCAAGTGGCAACGGCTACTGCCTTCTTTCGAGCTGACGAAACGGCTTCTCTCCTAGATGCTATACGATACCTCGCGACGCACGACAACTCCTTCATCCGCTACTTCGAGGGTCATCAGGGCTCTGTCACCTGCCTGGCCATGCACCCCGGTACCGACAACTTCATATCCTGCAGTCGCGATAACACCGTACGCCTTTGGGACATCAGCACCAAGTTCTGGACGGCCCAGCTCAACCTCCGCACGCCCTGCCTTGCCGCGTACGATCCATCAGGAAAGTTATTCGCCGTCGCGTCATCGTCTAGCGGTAGCATCTTGCTGTACGACCACCAGAACCTCGTCAGACCCGTCTCCATATTCGATGTCGTTGAGAAATGCCACGCCGCGGACACGCACTCCATCATGCAGGGCTGGACGAAGCTTGAGTTCTCCAACGACGGGAAGCATATCCTCCTTGGTACGAATGGAAAGGGCCATTTCCTTCTCGATGCCTTCACATGCGAGCTGAAGGCTTTTCTGCGCAAGCCTGAGGGAGGTGTGCGGCGGGCGCCGCCAGGCGAGGTTGCTGACGGGAGAAACGCTCCTGCGGGGACCCCACAGGCACTGGATACCAGCGGCGAATGCTGCTTCACCCCGGATGGCCGGTACGTCCTGAGCGGTTCGCGCAAGGATGTTTTGATCTGGGATGTTCTTTCGATACCCTCGGATGGCAGGAAGGAGCTGCACCCGACGCATGTCCTGGAGGACAAGAAGGAGGCGGCCGTGCTGGCCTACAATCCACGGTTCAACTTCTTCGCGACGGCGGATCAACACCTGCAGTTCTGGCTACCAGACCCACATGTTTGAGGCAAGGGGCAACACAGATATCATTGATGAGGGAGTCCATTTTTGGGGAAGGCGTTGGGGATAAGGGCATAAAATCAATTCTGCATCTGTCTTGTGTGTATGATACCCTCTGCATTGGCGGGCGTCTTCTTCTTTTTAGAATAGGAAAGAGAGAAAAAATGAGACGCTGGTTTTCTTGGAGAACTTATCTGTCGAAGCAGAGCACATGCCCTTCGGATGGTCATTTTACCAAAAATCAAATTGAGTTGTTGAAAAGCATCGAATTGTGCCAGCTATCATCAACCACGAACAGCCCTCGAACAACCATAACACAGTCTTCCATCCTTACCACTCCCATCATCACCCATCTCGCCCTTCCATCTCTCATCCCCTAGCTCATCCAAGCCCATGCCGCATAAACCGCAGTGCCTCTCCTCCTCATCCTCCTCCGCATTCACCCGCCTCTCCAGCTTCGCCGTCGTGCGCACCACATTTGCCACGATGGACGGATAGTTCTCTTCCACGTCCGCAAAATACCGTCTCATCACACTGTCTATGCTGACATCCTTATGCGACACCACCGCAGAAGACGCTGCCCCGGTCGCTGTATCAGAGCAGATGAGATCGGTCAGCGGCGGCTCAGCAAGGGAGGCGTACTGTATGAGCTCGCTGCGGAAGAGATCGCGGTTAGGGTAGTAAACTGATAACTTCTGTGCCTGTGTGGTCGGCAGTCCATTGCCACTGCTGTCATCGTCATCGTCATCACCATCACCGGCGGCGTCAGGCAGGACACTAGACTCTCGTGTCACGGATCCCGCAGCAGGGAACCTCGCAACCACCAGCGGCCCGTCCCCCACCATCCACGGCAGAGAAAACCCCCTCCCCTTGGCCGTCTCGCCCAGCGTCAGCTCCGCGAGCGCAGTCGTGCTGCACCCGAGCAGCACCGCGCAGCAGCCCTCCCTGCGCGCGGCGTCGATGAGCACGTGTCGCACAAACAGCCTCGTGATGTCGGTCCTGGACGTCGTGGACGGCAGCCGGTCGAGCAGGCCCGCCACCTTCTCCTCCGCCGTTCGGGCCCCTGCCTCCTGGTCCGCTGGGATGGACGGCAGCGCCGCCCAGTCGACCGTGTCGAGCGATAGCACGCGCGCGAGCGGCACGCGCGAGAAGCGCAGTTGGGGGTACCGTGTGCTGCAGCGCTGCAGCATCTGCGAGGCGGGGGAGGAAGAGGAGTTCTCCTCCTTCTCCTCCTCACGACTGCCCGGGGTTTCCAGCTCCGCCGGCGACGACGACGACAGCAGGTCCGTGTCGACGTGCACGGCGATAATCTCAAAAGCGGCGCTCGGCCTCCTGCGTAGTTGGTTCTGGAGCTGGGTGTTGAGGATGTCGATAAGAGCGGCGGACGAGGCGCCGTGGGAGAGGCCTACGAGGATGCGCTTTGTCTGGGTGGGCGCGGCGGAGATTTCTTTGGCGAGGACCTCGAGGCGCTTGACTGTCTTGTGGTTGACGAAACGGCGGTAGCAGGGGCTAAGATAATGTTAGTATTGAAATTCAATGAAAAAGAAAAAGAAGGTCTTGTAACATTATCAAGACTTTTATGTCCATGTCCTCTCTTTTTTCTGCTTCTTTTTTGTTCTATGCTTGGGGTGGGACACAAACCTGCATATCGCCTCTGCGCGAATCTTGAGTGTCACCTCAGTTTCGTTGCATCTCCTGCAGAGCCTGGCATCTGCGTTGTGAGACTTCATTACTACTCCAGTCTTGAGTGTCGTAGTCTCGAAAAAGAAATGTCTCAGTTACTAAAAATTTCGTTGATGTAAGATTGTTGGAAGGTTCAGTATACTAGAGTTGGTGGTTGTGTTGCTGGTGAAATTTTGGGCAGGATTACTATGCTCAAAAACGCTTGGTCGGGACGGCCCGCTGGAGAGGGGTCTTACCTTAATTATCCGATCATTGACAAAGAGTACTTATACAACCAACTTATGGCATGTGAGACTTGTTCATGGTGGGAAAACTGCATTCTACAGAGGCGACAAATGAGAAGTTATCTATTTAGAATTAATTATTTCACGCAGGTGTAGCTCTCATACCAACTCAAAATGGGCAAAAATAAGTATTGTCTTTTTTTGGGGGGGAGGGGGGGAGGGAAGGGCTTCTTAAATATCATTTATTTAACAGGATGAGATGATAAACTTGTCCATGCGATACGCACTCGAGACTTCCTTTGTCCTCAGACGCCACGAGATATGCCGTAATCAGTGAAATGTGTGTATCTCTCTGTGTGTGTATTCTAAAACTATCTATCTACATATTATGAGAGCAATAACTCTACTTGAATCACTAATTTACCCAATTATCCCTATCCAAACCCTCTCACGGTCCCTGTGTGACATTCCACATAGTCCCCAACAGAGGCGAAAACTCGGGATTCCGCCACGTGCTCCAGTCATAATCCAACACGCCCCAGGTCTCATTGTAGCCGACCTCCCCATTTCTCACATAATAACTCCCCTGGATGGCCCACAACGCCCACTCGGCATCGTTACCCTCCATGTACCCCACGAGGCAGGTCAGGTAGCTGTAGTCATCATCGCTCAGCCCGCTGTTGGAGCCACCCGTCATGTCGACACCGAACTCGCTCAGCAGCAGTGGCGCCGTGAAGTTTTCGCCCTGCGTGAGCACAAACCCATCAAACAGGCCGTACTCATCCTGTTCGAGGTCGCAGTCGCCCAGGTCCAGCTTGAACGTCACCGTGAACGAGTACGCGTGGAACTCCCACACGTGCTTGCCCGCCCAGGGCGTAAAGTCCAGGTACTGCGTGTCCCGCAGCATCGTCAGGTCCGTCGCGCTGTCCCCGCCGCCCACGATGATCAGCACGTCCGGGTTGGCGGCGTGCACCAGCTCGGCGGCCTGCGTGATGTAATTGTACCAATCGGCGTAGGGGCCGTTGGTCCCCTGCAGCAAGAGCTGGCGAATCTCGTTGCGCAGACTCATCCCAACCACGCCCTCGTGGCTGGGCGCCCACTCCGCAACGGCCTGCAGCCCGTCCAGCCAGAGGCTCGTGTTGAAGAAGCGGCTGTTGTCTGCGATGTAACCGAACGCCGTGTCCCACCAGCCATTGCCGTCTGTCAGGTTGCAGCACCACTGGGCCCTGCTCACGTGGTTGTCCAGAATCGTCATGACGCCGTTGGCCCACAGCGCGTCGATGATATCGCCGTAGACGTCACGGACCGTGGAGGTGGCCAGGGACGGGTTCTGCTCGACAATCATGCTGTAGAAGGTCGTCATGTTGTCCGCGATCGACGGGACATAGGCCAGGTCCGCTGCATTGGCGAAAGCGTCCTGCACTGTCTCGTTCGGATTGAGGGCCCAGTCGATCGAGTATGTCAGGCGCACACAATTAAACCCCGCGTCCGCGATGAACTGGGCTATCGTGCTGATGGGCTGTCGGTGCAGGCCTTCCGGGACGTGTGTCTCCAGATGCCCGGCCCAGTTCACACAGCGGAGTTTCACGCGTGCGCCAGTGCTGTCGAGGATCCATCTGCTCGAGGTAGAGAGCGGGAGGGAAGGCGCTGCGCCCTGTGCCAGAGGCAACAGGGTGAGTAGCCCCAGGGCGAGGGCCTTGAGGAAGGCCATAGTCGCCGTCAGGGTATTACAAACAGGACGATAGTATTATAATAATAATAAGAATAATAATAATAATGAATTTATATAAGACGGCTCAATGAGAAAGGGAGTCTAGTATATCTTGACGAACGCACTGCCAATTTCTTCTCTGGAATTTGAGCAAGTCCAGAGCAACTACGAGCAGCATCTGCGTCTCAGAGACACGCCCTCGGGAAGCAGAAGAAGATAAAGAAAAACAAGCAGAATGCGGGAACAACGACGATATAACGCAGAGGTCTGCCGCCGTCGAATGACCACAGCCACGTGTGTGTGATCACAAAAACCAGCGGCAGACGAGCCAACGTGCCTTGAACGAGGGCAAGGTTCTTGGTAGTATAACGAGAACCCAGAAAATGAGCCGTGCAGCGAGCAACCAGGACAGCTGGTAGCGTCACTTGAACGAGCAGATCCTGATTTGAGGCTGTAATGTACCTGCGACCTACCAATAGCCTCCAGGGCGGTAGATTTTCCCATGGCCCTTCAGCTGAGGTGGTGGGGATCGCCCGTGCGGATGGTAGCATCACCTCGACAGACCATCGTGACTTGAGGGGGTTGATCCGGTGGACTTGCTCCAGAAGAGCCGAGCAAGTACTGTGTAGATAGGTGAATCGTTCCTGCATATTGCGGGGAATTGACCTCATGCCATGACTACTTTGCCTATACGGGCAGCTACGCTGCACGCAGGTGGCCATGGTGGGTTGCTAGGCCAGGTCAGGAAGGCCAGAGAGGGGGGAACCTGCCGTGACAGGGCCGAGGATGGTGGGTTGGGTGGTAAGGTCGCATGCAGATGTCATCTTGCAGGCGTCTCCTGACGTCCTCATTCGCCTGTTTTCGCGGTCAGTTGTACTATGTAAACAAGGAGGGTGTGAGGGGAGATTGTGATTGGAAGAGAACGGCACGGACGGGTAATCTCGACGTGAATGCAAAGAATGCTACTGCAGCACGACTTGAGGTCAAATACTTACTGCTAAGCCATTAGTTCCCGTGTGCCTGGAGTATGTATCACATCATTTGTTCTGTGCTTCGGTGAGTGATCATTTACCTGCACGAGAAACTTCAGTAGACAATGCGAGGGGAGCCCCACAATCTGCGGAAAGATGGTGGTCCAAAAGCGGTATCAAATGTTCGTTCTCGTGGCTTCGTAGATACAGGGTATGTATGTATGCATGAGTCCTTGCATGCAACATCCCAAAAGGCTAGGTACAAAGAGGATAATTTACCCAGAATAATTTTCCATTGCTCCACCGCCCTCGCTGAGGTCGTACTGCCGGCAAATCCCAGTGCCGGCCTGAAATAACGACGCTGACTTGCTCCGCAACACCCCCCTCCCCCCGGCTTCGGGAAAAAAGAAGAAAAAAAAGGGCAAAAAATGAGAACAAAGCAAAAAAACCAGACAAGAGAAAAAGTAAATGCTCGCTCAATGGGGTATATGCTTTTGATGACGTATGAATATCCTCTTCATGCTGCGACCGCAGCCATAGCCGTGCAACCTCCACCAACGGCCATCTTCGCTTCAAGTTCTTTTCTCTTGGCCAGGAGGCTCTTGAAGGCGCCGAGGCACTTCACCAGGGATTCCTCATCGCGGGCACTGAATCTGTAGCTCTTTTCTTCCGTGATGATCTGCAGGCAGTGCGCTTTCGTTCGGCTCATCGGATCGACATCGACCACGTTGAGAATCATGCCCATCTGCACAATGAACTGAACGGTGTATTCCGACTCATCCTTGTAGAGGATCAAGTTCCTGGGCCGGAGTACAGCCCAGCAGTGTTTCCATTGGCGTACCGCGCCCTTGCTGCGCAGCCACCAGAGCCAGCCTTGCCAGAGGATCCGGTCCGGGTCTTGCTCTATGTTGAGGCCGCTGGCCTGGCTGCAGTTTCTTGCACCAACGCCTGGCCTGGGACCCGATGAGGACAGAGGTGGAGACTGTACGGCAAGGCTCTCGATTGACGTGCCCAGGTATCGCTGGATGTCTGTGTCCGAGAAGTCGGAATGTGAGGCCATCTCGTTTCCTGACAGGCCCGACGATTCCATAGTCGTAGATGGTCGTCGTGGGTTGTAAGACGGCCGTCTGAACCCGGTCTTGTTGAGGTCAACAGGCTCCGGGGAGCTGGATAGATACCTATCGTGGTCTTGTATAATGCGACCTGACCCGACGTCCGTCTGAGCGAGGTTGGGCGTCATGAATGAATCGCGACGGATGATCGGGCTCGCCAAGAACATTTCCTCCTCTTCCTCCTCTATCCTGGCGTCCCGGCGGATGAGATCGACCCATTCTTGTGCCTGCTCCGCGTTGGCCGCCTGAAGATGGTGGTTCTTGGATGGGGTGAATAGGCCGAAGACGTTCTCGCGCCTGTGCTTGGGGTCCTTGAGCAAAGTGACGGCGGTCAGGTCTGAGAGGTAGATCTTGTGTCGCAGTTTGTTCTCCCCGGCGTCCTTGTAAATCGACAACGTATTCGGTCGGTAGACCAAGTAGACAGTCTTCCATATCTTGGTCTTCTGCGCCCGCTTCTGCAGATAGCCGCTCTTGATGACGCGGTCGAACTCGAAACTCCCATTCTGGTTGACGGGCGAGTATGAGTCGAGAGGGTTCTGATTCTTGAGGCGGGAGGCGACGTTCGGCGTGGGCAGAGGGATCGACGTTGGGGCGATGTGAGTTGAGGATCGTTTGTTGCTGCTGTTGTTGTTGTTGTTGTTGGTGTCGTCGTTGTGATTGTGGTTGTCTGTGCTGACCGCCAAGGGGGCGGGTCTTGCCTGTATTTCGGCCATAATCTCTCCTGTCGTCGCCACGAGAGAGTACTCAATTGACGTTGGTGTTGCGTTGGGAGATTTATTTACAGTCGAAGGAGGAACGGAGCGCGAGATCGGATCCGTGAGGAGGTGAGCAAGGGAGGTTGGTGGGAGTGAGATGACGTGGTGAATCAGGGCTGTGTCCACGTCATACGATAGAGCAAGGGAAGTTCGTCAAAGACAGCGGCGTCCACAGTATCTGGATGATTAACGAGAGGATGTGTCGAATGGAAATTCATGAGGGAGCGTAGAAGGAGGAGGTTGGTAGTATTGAATGGACGCAAGGAAAAAGAAAAGAAAAAGAAAATCACGACTGTGAGTAGATCTGTTGACGGTAACCGCGGAGCGGACTTGGTGGATCGTCGTGAGCAACGAATAGGTCGCGATGGGGGGGTTCAAGGTGTCATATAGAAATGAGATGTCCTCCTGCTGGGCCTGGGCCTGGACCAAGACAGAGCATGGCTTGAGCGCATCGAGAGTGGGAAGGGGGCAAAGTGACCCAGTTTGATGTTCGTCCTGGTCTGATCGGTCCGCGTGCGAAAGGGTTCGAGGGGAGCAGACCAAAGCCAGGAGACGACTGGTGGGTGGTATTGCGCGCGCAGTGGTGGACGGCGATCAGGGCAAATCAAAGCTCATGAACGGGTCCTATACTATACACCGGGGCCCCGCCAGGAGGGAAATGGGGTTGCTGAAACTCGAGGCAGACAAGGTGCCAGAGAGCCGGTTGGTAAGGGGAGCGGAAAGGGCGCGGCAGTGGACACGAGAGGTTTGAGGAGGAAATTAGCGGGTCGGGTGGAGACAGGCCCTTCCAAGGGCCCAGCAGAGAGCGCTAGAAATTCATTCGCCAGCCGTTGTTCTTATTGGGGCATGTCTACCATTAGTACCATAGTTTATTTGTTATATGCGAGAAGAAGCGACGAACTTGTTTCGCGGCCAGTGGTCTCACCATTCATGGGATGATGGGATGAAACGCATTGACCGGACTTTAATTCGCAAAGCCCTCGCAGACAAACGACAAGTCCTACTATGTGATAGGTCATTATTTGCAGCATTGAATCTGGCAGATACAGCACTTATACACCATTGCTAACTTTCTGCTTGTTAATTTGCTGCTGCGATTGCGTGGTCACTTGTCGAAGGTTTGCCCATGATCCTGTCGACAACCAAAATTTGTGTTTATCTCTAACACGGCAATATATACACGTTCATGCCCTGAAGTAAAGTCTTCTCAGCCATCAGCAGTCAGTCAATGAAGGACCGCCTGCAAAAGATCTCTTGGCTGAATATACAAATACATTCCTCGACACCCAGTTTTCCATGTCCTGGCATATCTGATAAGTAAAATTCATTGTAGCCTTGCCAAATTTGGATCGTCAAAACTCCATCTATTTTTATCCCTTCGATATAGCCGCGCTCTTATTCTTGCGAACAAACCAGCCTGTCGCCCGTGCGGCAGATAATATGGGCGGGCAGTCAGCAAGTATCAGCCAGTATGCAAAGGGTGCCACTCCCGCTGAGCCCCCGCCCTCCCTCTTTTTCTCTCTTTTTGTGTGTGTGTGCCTATGTGCAAACACCGTCTTAAACCCCTTTGGTAGTGGCTTCACAGACACGGATACTGTCTCGTCATATTGCCCCGTTGAACTCGTATGCTGATCCGAGGACATGTAGCCAGCGTACAACTAAGCGGATAAGGCTACTCGCCATGTGGAGTTTAATGCAGCCACACTGCCAAGCGATCTCGCCGAAAGACTCATCGCAGCTGTCTTGTCTTACCATGGGGCACACTCGCAGACGAGGTATTTCCTGCCTGCTTCTAACACTTTTGGGCCTGGCATCCCATAAAGCTGGGCTGTTTGCCGGTAATGTAGTAATTATTCTCTTCTCCTTCCGATTGTTGCAATGCCACTAGGTCGTGTGAAAGGGCAGCCAGCCGGTAACCCTCGATCCATCTCTCCATCCCTATTTTCTTCAATTCTGCCATAGCCATCAGTCCACCAGAGTCGCAGGTCAAGTAATAAGCATAAGTGCCCAACATGGCCTCGGAAACAGAAAGTGTACACGATATCGAGCTTCATATAAAAAGGGAATTTGAAGGGACTCTCTACGCCTGCAGTTCGCTCACACCCATGCCTGGTGGCTCAGCAAATTACATTTTCAAAGGAGAACTGGAGAAACCGCTCGAGGATGGCACATCTGAAGTAGTCATCAAGCATGGTGAGCCCTTCTCCGCGTCTAATCCGGGCCTGAAGCTCTCCATCAACCGCTGCGTAAGTTGCAACCAGTCCCTCTCCCCCAGATGGCGTGTCCTTCATTCACACCCCAAGATCTAGGCTCTCGAGAAAGAGTGCCTCAGGCTGGCGCAGGGCATGCCTGGAGTCACCAGCAGCTTGTACGACGTGCGACCCCCAAGCCTCTTGAGATTCAACTCGGCATCGAGCACCCAGGTGTTGGAATACCTGCCTAATTCGATCAACCTGAAATTATACGCACTGAAGCACTTTTCTTCCTCAACACCCGTACAAATGAGAACTCAGGTCGTCGAGATCGGGAGGGGGCTGGGCACCTGGCTGCACAGCTTCCATGACTGGGCAGCCTCGCCGGCGCAGCAGGACCAGCTCTGTGCTCTCGCCCTTACGAACACCGAGATGCAAATGATCAAGCTCAATTACGGCTATAAACTCCTGCTCTCGCGGGTGGAGGCACATCCAGACCTCCTACAAAATGCAAAGCCTGTATTTGAGGAGGTCATAGCCATGGCGATGGCCGAGTTGGAGGATCGGACCAAGCTACAGGTCATTCACGGAGACTTCTGGACTGGGAAGTAAGTCACCCTGACAATCGCTCTCATCAACGCCTCCTTCTCCCTCACCCCTTTCTCGCCAGCACGGTCTGACCGTGACACGACAGCATTCTGCTTCCTGATGAAGTCCTACAGCCCTCCAAACGAACCCCTCTGCTCGTCATCGACTGGGAGATGTTGCAACTCTGGCTGCCGCAGTTGGATCTGGGACAGATGATTGCCGAGCTCTACGAGCTGTACCTATACAAACGCATCAAGGCAGGCTTGTGGCTGATCGAGGGTTTCGTGGCCGGGTATGGCATTGTAGATGATGACTTCGCCTTCAGGACTGCCCTGCACGTTGGCACGCATCTCGTGGGCTTTGGCAGTATGGTACCTGGATGGGGTACCCCTGAGCAGGCTATGGAGGTGGTCGGTGTCGGGAGAGATATCATCTTGCGGGCATGGGCCAAGGACAGGAAATGGTTTGAGAGTCACGACTTGAGCTCACTCTTCAACGTCGACTAGATTTGGCAAGCTAGTATTATATTCTGATCAGACCGGAACCCTTGCGGTGATCATCCATTCTAAGACCACGAGGCTAGGCACTTAGTAAATCTGAATCGCTCACAATGTATGGCACAAAAAGGCTAATAAGCTTTGCGTGGCCATCTTGTATCACATCCCTTCAAAAGCGTCAAAATCGTTGGATAAGTCCATGTAGTTATCCATGTTGCCAAAATTTGCGTCGTCAAAGTTGGAGGTAGAACCGCCATCCATGTCGAAGAAATGATCCAGGTCGCCCATGGTGGTATCGTTGTTCTGACCTGCCGAGAGGTCCATGTTGGCGGGGTCGCCGGGGCCACCAGCCCCGAAGCTGTCCATATCAAGCATTGCGTCCAGGTCAATAGTGCCGTTGGGCCCGGACTGCATCAGTGCATCGTTGTTGGCGGAGTCAACCGTAAAAGTCGCGTTGGTGAAGGGGACCTGAGGGGCTGCAGAGGCGTGAGGCACAGCAGGCGGAAGCGTCTGTGGCACGGCCACCGGCGCGGTCGGAGCAGGAGGGGCGACGGCCATCGGAGCGGGAGCAGCCACAGGTGCTGGCGCCGGAGTGGGCGGCGGCACACTGGCAGGAGCAGGCTTGGGAGCCTGCTTCTGTGCGTTGGCGAGCGGGTTTGGCTTGTTCGCGGGACGACCAGAGGGCGGGTTCGTCTTGGACGATGGCTGGTTCGTCTTGGGTGAGGACTTGGGCGCGGGTTGAGGGGTGGGCTTCGGCGTCGGTTTCGGCGTCTGCTTTGGTGTGGGCTGCTTCGGGGGTGGTGGGCGCTTCTGCTCGGCGGGGCCCTTGGGACGGGCGAGGGCAGCTGGAGCAGCAGCAGACTTCGGCACGCCCATAGGCCCTCCCATATCGGGGAAGGGGGCGACTGGTTTACCATCCGCCTTCGCGATACCATGGCTTGCCATGAAGGGCGACCCCCCTGAGGCCATCATCGGAGCCACGGGCACCGCAGGTCCTGTGGGTTTGAGATCGCCCAGGTCCAGAATCATAGGCGCTGGTGGCTGTGCCAGCATCGGGGCGGGTGGCTGCTCTGGCACCACCTGCTCCTTCTCTTGTAACTTCTGGAGGTCCCGTAGAAAGACTGCTTTGGCTCTTGTCTGTCCGTCTTGTCAGCCCAACGCCCCCTCCCTTTTCTCCCTTCTTCCAGAAATGGTGGCGGCACAGGGCCAGACTTACAATCTCAATCTCCATTTCATCGAGAGTCTGGTGAAAGCTCTCTGTGGCCTCCTCCATCTTCTTCCTGGCGTTCATGGTGATCACATCTGCGCGGTCTGGGTTTGACCTTCGCGCCGACATGATTCGACCCATCTGCACCATCTTGAGGTCCGAGCAGGCACGGTCAGCGAAGCCAAGGTCTATCGCTATCGAGAAGCAGGCACTCACGATGGAATTCAACTGATTGGTCAAGTTGTCGGCCATGTGCCGCTGGCCAGGCTGGCTCCCAGCCTTTGTCTTGCCGCTCATCGTGATGAGATGCAGCTGGCTGTATTGGCTAATAAGTATGTTGTCGCGCAACGTTCTTTTCTCAAGGGAGAGGGCCGGCCTGAGGAGGAGTCTTCCCCGATGGTTGGGCAGGGAGTGCGATCGCTGCGAGAGAGAAGAAGGGTCTTCGTAAACCTCGCTGGCTGGGCTGCAGGAAGGCGACAAGAGCAGGCGGTATTGAGTTGGCGAAGAACTCCACCTGGCTGCAGTGGATGAAATACCGCGGTGGTAAGATCGTGACACCCGAACCTCGACAGGTGAGGCTTGAATACTAAATAAGTCTGGAGGCTAAAATAGCTGACAGCTGAGCAGCCGCGCCGGATCGCACGCTCTGCCTCAGCGGCTCTGCCTCCCTAGCGATTGTCTTTGCCTTCCCCCACAGAGAGTGTAGTCTTTCAACTCCCGGGCGGTTCAGTGCTGCAGGTACAGAAACAGTCACAAGGGGAAATGCGGTCTGCAGTAGCTGCATATGTACTCCCAGGTGCCCGGTTTCGTAGGACGAGGAGCTGGGTTGAGGAACCCCATTGGAGAGAAAATGCGGGCGCTATGTTCGCCTGTCTGTCCCAGGCCTGCTAGGGTCAGCTGCCATGAAGGTACCTCCTCAGGTACTTAAGTACATAGGCTACTTCTTAAGGTTCTTGGGCCTTACTATTGCGTGGAATACTTCTCAAGATATATACCTCTTCACGGGAGTGCAGACTCTAATTGGAGATATAATGAGGGAAGACAGACTGTGTGTCAATTTCATAAATGATTTAGGGATTAGTAAGAAATGATAAAGGGTGATGATGATGGGTAGAGTCAAAGGACATTGGTATAGTTGTCAGGGGTTTACTGTACTTCATATCTCTCTGGGCGGTTGCCGGGGCGTTATCTGGGGTAAGTACTGCCAGGGGTTGTGCCCACGTTCTCCTGCCACCATGTCCATCGTATAGAGCGCTATGTCTACTGTCGCGATTGAACTCCAGCCTTCATCATCATCGTCCGCCTGACATACTTTTCCCGGCACAATATCCTGGAACATCATCACCGGACCTCGACCGCCGGTCTTGCCGTGACATACATACGTATCTATTGCAGTCCGCCTCATTTTGTGCCATCAACTTATCCTTTACACCGCAAAAGCTAGCAAATCATGGACAAGGTTAATGCCCAGCTGGTCGACATCGACGAGTTTGACGCCATGTAAGCGATACTGTGTATGCGAAAGTATTGTATTCGCTAACCTGTATGTAAGCTCGATCGAGATACAACTTGGAGAATCTAAGAAGCATATGTCTTCTGAGTCTCGAAACTTCGACAAGTACCCAGGTTAGTCAACAGCTTGTCTCAGCAGCATGTGCTGGTCCTATTTGCTGACGCGTAACCATAGCGAAGCTTCATGCGCACAAGGTTAGACACAATCTAGGCGTGTCGTGTGGTCTCGTCTACCTGCCGGGTCAAGTCTCAACAGAGTGGGAGGACACCGATGGAGAGGCACCTTTCCGGCAGCACAGATAGTACAGCCTCTCCCCCCTCCTCTCCCCCCTCCTTTTTTTTTTTTTTTTTTTTTTTTTTTTTTTTTTGTTCTCCCAATATAATTGCTCGGTCCTAGGCTTACTAACATCTCCGTGTAGTGCCTTCTATCTCTCTGGCGCAAATTTTCCCGGTGTTGTTGTGACCTACGATATTGGCAGGGACAATCTCATCCTATGGGTCCCCGTGCGAGCACCAGCGCGGGTAATCTGGGTCGGCGCCCTGCCTAGCATCGAAGAGTGCGCTGCGCGTTACGATGTCGACGCCGTCAGGGACATTAAGGGCCTCCAGACCTATCTCTGTGGTCTGCTCAACCCTCAACACAACCCGCCAACTCTTTATGTTTTACACGAGAGCCAGCAGCCGGACCTCAGCCAGGAGCGCTGCCGCAACGGCAGTGACTTCCAGCTCGATGCAAAACGGCTCCAGCCTGCGATGGACATCTCACGCTCTGTCAAGACGCCATACGAGATTGCGCAAATCCGAAAGGCCGTCGATATATCCTCTGAAGCTCACCGGGCTGTCCAGCAGTCGATCAAGACCCTGTCCAGCGAGGCCCAGGTCGAAAATGTGTTCGTCTCGAAATGTCGCGAACTGGGAGCCAAAAAGCAGGCCTACCCGCCTATCGCCGGTTCGGGCCCGAATGCAGCCGTGCTTCACTACACCGCCAATAACCAAGATTTCGGGGACCGCCAGTTGATGGTGCTTGATGCCAGCGCCGAGTTCAACTGTTATGCGAGCGATGTCACACGAACATTCCCCCTGAACGGAAAGTTCTCCGACGAGGCAAAAAGAGTCTATCAGATTGTTGCCGATATGCAAGAAACTTGTATCTCGATGATCAGGCCCGGAGCGAGCTGGCGAGAGATCTCTTTGAAGGCTAGGGATGTGGCCTATCGTGGACTTCTGAGCATAGGGCTTCTGCAGCCTGGGAGAATGGGTCAGTCTCCTGACCCCATGGCGGTCAGCCTCTTCTTCATGCACGGGCTGGGTCACCTCATCGGCCTGGATACCCACGACGTCATCGAAGGCGTAAGAATCCGACAACATTCAGCACACAATGCTGCGAAGCCGTCATCAATAGTATCCTGCTTTGGGGGCAAGGTACGGAGCTGGGAGCAACTGGCCCCCCTACCCACGCCGCCACTACTGAAGGATATGGTGATCACTTGCGAGCCTGGCCTCTACTTTAACAGGGCATACATCGAGGCCGCCTTGACCAACCAGCCGGAAATGGAACAGTATATCAACAAGACGGTGCTGGAAAAATACTACCTGGTCTGCGGCTGTCGGATCGAGGACTGCATACTTGTCACCCAGGATGGGTATGAGAATCTGACAAGCGCACCCAAGGGTGAAGAGATGATCAAGTTCATTAACGGAGAGAAATCATAGAAAGGATTAGCGTATTTGTAGCACAACCACACAGGACCTGCAAGGGATTCCAAAATGCATATCATTCGCAATGCTGGGGGAAGGCCTGAAATGGTGAACCAATACTAAACGCCGGCTCGTTACTCACACTTTTGTTACAACATGATATGCGCCCCCATCAATGAAAAACTACCTTCTTGCCACTGGGCCTTACCCATAACCATCAACCTCTTTCTAAGATGGCCCGCCGTACTTGAAATAACGCCCCCGCCCCCCTCCTCTCTCTCTCTCTCTCTCTCTCTCTCTGTGTGTGTGTGTGTGTGTGTGTGGGTGTGTGGGCGTGTGTGTGTGTATACTTCCCATAATGATCTATTCAGAGTGACACCGCCTGTATAATCGTCTTACTTAAAGATATTTCTTGGGTGACGACTTTCTCCTCTTGTAGAGAATGTAGCCCACCGCCATGACAATCTGACTGCCAACAATGACAGCGATCAGCCGACCGTGGCCGGGCGCGGCATGGGCTTTCACAGTCTCGTTCAGTGTCGAGTGGGTGTCTGAGACCAGGTTCTTGATAGACCGTTCCATGTTGCTGACCTTGCTAGACACATCGCCCTTCAGCTTCCGGATCTCGCCTTCAAGACTCGAGATCTTCTTCTCCATGTCATCCAGCTTGTTCAGCTTGCTGAGCATGCTCTTCAGCTCACCGATCTGGCCTGCGAGTTCCGAGTGGCGCGTTTCCCCGATGATGTCGTTCTTGGCCAGCTTCCGGAAGATGCTGGACGTGTGGCGGTTGACGCTCTGCAGCCGCGTGTGCAGGTCCGCAAACTGCGCACCAGAGCTGGTAATAGACCCGGCGTCCGCCTCGGCAATATCATCGTCAAAAGCCGAGTCGAAATTGCCCGAGGAGCCTGCCGAACCACCCTGAGCGGCGGCAGGGGGATCTTGGGCCTGGCCGAAAAGTCCACCGTCCTGCGCTTGGGCGCTTCCGCTGTCCTGCGACAGGACTTGCTGGGTGTGCTTATCCCGCGCGGGGTCGAAGTTCTCCGTCATGACGACCATCTTAAAGATCTCAAATGAGTCTGGATTATCCGCGCTCGCAGCGGTGAGACCGAGCTTGTAGCCTGCTGGTATGCTGATCCTATTGCTCTCGAAGCACAGCTGCCCGTCGATCTCGACTTTGAAGTTGTCCATCGTCTGCCGGAACTTGATCTGGGATGGGCGCCCCAGGTTGCGGTACGCGTGGTCGCAGTGCCCAAACGACTGCCCGTCGACCGAGATCTTGCTATAGTCCTTGGTCCCATCGTTCAGAAAACCGCGCACCATGCCCGCGCTACCACCGTACGTGTCGATCACCAGGGCGAGACCCTCGAACTTGCCGACCGTGTATATCGAACTAGTGCCGACATCCTGAGCGCCATCCTTCACTAGCCATATGTTCAGGTTGCCGCCCGCGCGTTCGGGGCCGTTGGCGCGGAAGTCGACGTCGGCTGTCCATTGAATATGCTGGAGAGCTTGATCGGCCCAGACGGCAGAGCGTTGGTTGCCTGGAGCGGGTGGGGTGAGGATGATCTTGTTGGAAAGGATCTCGGGCGTATTGGGGTTGCCCTGGAGAGAGAAGCTGGGGATGGAGCCATCGTTGTTGGGACTTATCCTGTGGGAGAAGAAGAGGTTTAGTCAAAAGAGTATCTTCTCACAAGAAGTGCAAAGACAGAGAGAGCTTACTTGTTGTTATAACCAAAGCTCAACTCATTGACCAGGAATTGTTGCGCTGCTGCTGGGGACAGTCCCACGAGGATTGCTAGCAGTGATCGCATGATGATTGTCCTTGTTGCGCTTTCAAGGCTGCTGAAAGCACGATTGACTCAGAAGGATAAGAATTGCCCTCCAGAAGAATGTCTGCCAAGGAGACTGGGAGGTTGTGACAAGACAAGTGTTGGTAAGTTGAGGCCAGGCTGGCAAATTATCAAAAATGGCCCGTCACCTATTGACCCGAACTCCAAGACGCCTACCCACCTAGAATGTCCGAAGTCCAGCTTTAAAGCAAACAATATGTAATTGTGGAGTGCACCTCAGGGTTATCACATAAGAGAAGTCTCTCACGACTGCAAAAGAAAGAATGTGTGTATGGGTATCATGCTCACAAAGTGCTGTTGTGAAGAATGTCAACAAGTCAGGGAAGAGAGCATGTGTCTCAGCCCTCTATACTCTCTCTTTCTCTTTACCTTCGGGAACCTTGTCAAGCCACTCTTCTGTCAATCTGGCAAGAGGCTCAACCCCTGCGAACAGGGGGACAATGTAGCTCAGGACCCCAGATTTGGAGGGCTTAGGGAGGTACACCCGGGTACCTGGAAGCTGTTACGCCAGACACCACCAGCCTATTCCAAGCCGCCTGTACCAAGTCACATAATCAAAATAACTTTCTATCATATGAGCTAAGTGGCTCATCTCAGCAGACATGAACTGATATTACTGATATCTGGGTATGACCAAGTGCCTGATCCTGTGGGTAATCCAATGAGCGAGGTTCCTGATGGGTATCTGCAGGTACCGCAGTACATCCCAGGTGCTAAAATAGAACTGTGTGGCCCAAGCTCAACCTTCCCCAAACCACGTATCCTTCTTGAAGCCCTGAATTTGCCGACACCAGATTGCAAAGACAGTAGAGCAAACAGCACACAATATCAACGCCCGCCAACACTGGGAGGCAATGAGATTTAGAAATGGCTGAAATCTCTCCATCCCTCACCCAGTGCGCAATTGTTGCTGCAGCCTTCAAGGTCCTTTTGTTCCCTGCATAGTAAGCAATCCTCCCTCCCCCCTGGTGAGATGTTCATTAGACAGGTGTACATAAACAAACGCGCTGTGTACTAACACAATATGCCTTCAACAGCAAGTCCACAGACTTTGAAGTCCACCGCAATTGGCTTGCCATCACACATAGCCTTCCACTCTGGGATTGGTACTATGAGAAAACTTCAGAATGGACGCTCGACTACCCTCCATTCTTTGCATACTTCGAATGGTCTCTGTCTCAGGTTGCCAAGCTGGCTGATCCAAGCATGCTAAAGGTCTATAACCTGGACTATGACAGCTGGCAAACTGTCTATTTCCAGAGATCAACCGTCATTGTCACAGAGCTATTATTGGTGTGGGCTTTGCAGATGTGAGTATTGTCTAGTCCAGTCTGACACGATTTTTTCTGTTGACTGTTCCTAGGTTTGTCGATTCCTCTCATGGGACGTCCAAAAAGGCTGCCCAGGCTGCTGCCATCTCCATTCTTCTCTCTCCTGGTCTTCTGATCATCGACCACATCCACTTCCAATACAATGGATGCATGTATGGCATCTTGATAGCCTCCCTTGTCCTCGCACGAAAGCAGTCTGGCTACCTGGCCAGTGGGCTTCTGTTCGCAGTCCTCCTGTGTATGAAACACATCTACGCTTACTTGGCACCTGCCTACTTTGTCTTCCTTCTGCGAGCCTACTGCCTGTCACCACGCTCGATATTCAGTGTCCAATGGCTCAACGGGATCAAGCTGGGCGGTGGCATCGGGGCCATCCTTGGCGCCGCGTTCGGTCCTTTTGCGATTAGCAACCAAATACCGCAGATTCTGAGCAGGCTCTTCCCCTTTTCAAGAGGTCTCTGTCATGCATACTGGGCGCCCAATGTCTGGGCTATGTACTCATTTGTCGACCGAGTTCTGATCTACCGTACGTGTCGAAATGAATTCTCGTGACATTGTCGTCGTGTGATTGCTGACCGTCACCAGTTGCCCCACATCTCGGTTTGCCTGTGAAGACAGATGCGTTGAACAGCGTCACGCGGGGCCTCGTCGGAGACACGGCCTTTGCCGTACTGCCCGAGATCTCTCCGAATATGTGCTTCGCCCTGACCCTGGCAACGATGATCCCGCCGCTGGTAAAGCTCTTCATCAGCGCGACGTGGGAGAATTTCATCGGAGCCGTGACGCTCTGCGGCTACGCATCATTTCTCTTCGGCTGGCACGTTCACGAGAAGGCTATTCTCCTCGTAATCATTCCATTCAGCCTAATCGCGCTCCGGGATAGACGGTATTTCGGTGCATTCCGACCTCTAGCCGTCGCCGGACACGTATCTTTGTTTCCTCTCCTCTTCACTCCGGCTGAATTTCCCATCAAGACTATCTACACAATCTTTTGGCTGGTCTTGTTCCTCATGGTATTCGACCGTCTCGCGCCGGCTTCGAACAGGCCGAGGTTCTTCCTGTTCGACAGGTGCAATACCCTCTACATCGCCATCAGCATCCCTTTGATCGCGTACTGTTCGTTGGTTCACGAGGTTGTCTTTGGAAAGAGCTACGAATTCCTGCCCCTCATGTTCACCAGCTCGTATGCGGCGATCGGTGTGGTGGGTAGCTGGGTCGGATTCATGACGGTGTTCTTTACATCATGAGCGAGAGGTTAGAGAGACAGAGAGAAGGAGAGATTTCATAGAGAATCCAGACCGCAAACAAAGAATTACAGACAGAATGTGCTCGCGAAATTGCCCAGAATATGTACAGCACGATCGACGTGACATGCCTATGGTAGTCCGAATCTTCGTCATGTTGTGTATACGAATTAGTGAAAAGGGGAGGAGAATGAGCTCTTATGCTTATATCTGTTCGCTTGACGGCACAAATAATTCCTTGCCACTCTGAAGACTACACTTCTTAGAATACGTATCGGGGAGGCTGGGAGGGTCAATTGGACAAGATGAAGGAAATTCAAATGTGGGTGATGAGGGGGGATTTGCTGAAGGGGTTATGTGGGGCAATACTTAGAAGGGGAGGCGCAAACTGAACTGAGTGAGAGTGTGTGGGAAGGAGGGGTATTGCCACAGAACGTGGCGTCAGAGACGGGAGGCATATATGAAAGGTACTTTACTCCTGGCCCTATCAAGTAGGTTGCCTGATAATTCTTGACTTCTCACTTAGGCATCTGGCCCACAAGCTGTCGCTACGCTTCTACGACGTCCTCTTGCCTTTCTTTCGGGGTTTATGACCCTCAAGTTTGATGGGTCGTAGTCACCACGTCCTTTCCCAGAGTACTGCTAAGGCAGTGAATGTTCCTTTGGGGGCCAGCTGAAGAAAGACTTAGCTCTCAAACATCGTCAACATCGCACATACGCCAATTCGTTCATGTAGTGTATATTTGGGCATCTCCGCGCTACGAAACTCTCACCTAGAGCCTAGCTTGCAAGACACCTTTACAAGGCCAGCCAGCCCGCGCTTTCATCGCCCAAGTTAAGGTCTTCTTGTATTTTGAAGATAGCTATTTAAGAACAGCTACTGATTTGCACGTTCCTTGCATTTACTCGTGTACAAGAGTGTGCTTTTCGCACGGGATAGTCGGGACACGACATCAATCCTATGCATACCAAGCACCCGAAGATCAGCCGTCACGGACTGATGAGGCTCAAAATGCGTCCAGGATAGATTTATAGATGGTGCAACGTTGGGGTGCACGAGATCTCTAGGGCTGTAGGAGGAGGAAGTGTCCAGCCGGAAGCAGTGTAGACGGACATGTGGTGATGTCGCCCTTGCATCGAGTCATCACAGAGGGTGTGAGCTGGCAGAGGGTGGATATGCAAGTCTCTGGGAAAGAGAAGGGTCTTGTCCAGGAGGAGCCATAGGCGTATATCTCGTCAGGAGCAGTTTGGTCAGGCACGAGTCTGAACAAACGAGCAGCCTGTAGATTGTACAGTCCATGATGATCAAAACAAGTCCAAATATGGCCGGATTTGGACGTGATTGTGGTGAGGATGGAGCAGCAGCAGGAGGACGTGGGCTTGTAGGGTTCGACGGGGAGCGGAGGGACCCAAGGACGGACGGACGCTAGTCTGTTGAGCAGGGATCATGAAATGACATCCCTGTCCGCGCACGCCGGGACTGGGACTAGGCACTGGGACTGGGGGACATTTTAGTAGACACCAAGAACCTGACATAAACGTCGCTGCTGCACCTCTACCCAAAATTTGTTTTCGTTTCACGACCACTTCTCCTGCTCAACTCCCCCACCGTCAACTTTCCTCCCGACATTACCAAACCCTCTCAGACCCGCGGCCGCCACCCACCAACACCGCCGACCTACACGACCGCGCACGCCCTCGCGCTGCCGAACAGCAGCCTCGTGTAAGTCGGGTCTCTTGGTCCGTCCCCCGTGGCCGTGGCCGTGGCCCACCGGGACCTGCACCCAGGCCGGGTCGGTGCATTCTCTGCACCTCCACGTCTACCCAACTCCTCTGCCAGCCTGCTCCACGTTCCTGCCTCCTGGCCACGACCGCGACCCCTCCGGCACAACAACATCGCAAAACAGTCACGCCATCCAATTCCAGACCTGCATCCGGTCCGTAAGGCTGATCTTCAGCCTTGCAGATGATTTTCCCGCCCCGCGTCTGAACCGGTAGACCCAGCACTCCAGACATGGTATGCTACCGCCCTCGTTCTAGCCCAACCACACACACCCTGTTGGGCGCATCCGTCTTGCTCACCTCCAGTAGGTCCTCTTCAAACGAAAGCCGGTGCAGTTCCTGCAGCCACCATACGCCGAAAATGACCAAGAGGTACGTACCATGTCCAAAGCGCAACGCGCCGCACCCGCCGCACCCACGTTATATATAACCTGCCTGCTCACACACGCCCCCCCCCCCCTCCACCACAGGTCTGGCATATCCCTCAGACAGGTGAAATATTTGTCTCGTACGAAGACTATTTGACCAGGTATGTTCTTTTCTCTTGACTTTTCTCAACCTCAATTGCGTCCTGTGGTGGCTAATACGCGTAACAGGCTGGACTTCTACAAACAGGTGCGTTTGAGCCGTTGGCTAAGCCCAGTCCCAGGCCTAAACCTCCCCACTGACACAAGCCTCCTCTTCCCGTAGAAACGATTCATATGTCAGATCACCGGTCACTCAGGTCTGAATTTCTTCGAGGCACTGGAGTCAGAGGTCAGTCTTTTCTTGACCCCCCCCCCCCCCGCCCCCTTCTTCTCTGCGCTGCGTTGAAAAACTACTGACCGCCTGCCCAGCTCGCTGGCGCCCAGGAAGTCGAGCAAGCTTTCCCCGAACCCCTGAAGGGCCCCATCCTGCGACGCGTCCAGTTCCAAACAATATCCCGAATCGACAACCTGGTGGACAGACTATACGAGGAGTTCAAGTCGGACTTCTATCCTGGCGAGCATGTCACTGTCTCCGTCCTCACCGGCGAGCGGCTGACTGGCGTCGTGAGGGACAAGGCACGGTTCGGGAGCAAGTGTCTTGCCGACGGCACCATGAGCCAGCCTTTCTCGCGTTATTTTGTCAGCCTGGACGACCGGGCAGACGAAGAAGCCGTCGTCGACGACCATAACATCTGGCGCGACCGCAAAATCTTTACCAAGTCGGTCCTGCGATCCTTCATCAAGAAGACTGTCACCCGAGAGGCCTGGACGGGGGCCCCTTGGTTGGTGAAAGACCCGATCGCGAGCCAATACAAGATAGATACGCGCATTCCGAACCACCTGCGCTGGGAGTACAAGCTTAACGAGCGCAAGCTGGCGCAGTCACAAAAACGCATGTCCAGCCAGACGGCTCTTTCTGCCCAAGACGCAGCTGCACTGGCCAATGGCTTTCAAGGGCCAGTTCGGCTGCCGGAACTCAAGCCCGCGAGCAAGCTCCCCAAGGTTCCAAAGGGTCAGGGTCAGAATGGTGAGGCGGGTCAGGGAGGCAAGGGCCACAAGAACGTCTTTACGAAATCAGAGGGTGGCCAATTCATGCACCTGCCCCTGCCTGGCAATCCGTTCCAGTTCCCTCTATCCTTTCGCAACAACCAGCTGGCGCAAATGCCACCCGTCCTTGCACAGCCGGAACCACCCCCACCACCTCCGCCACCAAAGTACCCGATTGAGGATCTTAGTCTTGAACCGGGGCGCTTGGTCAGGCCTCCAATCAAGTTCATGTGCAAAGATCCGCCCGTGGAGGTCGACAGCAAGCCAGCCACTGGCAAGGACATCCTCATGAAATCTGTTGGGCCGTTCCTGGAGACCTGGGACACACTTAACGTTTATTGCGAGATATTCCAGCTCGACTCCTTCACGTTTGACGACTTTGTGGAGGCGATGCGGGTCGCCTCCGAGGACGTCAAGGTCCAATTGTTTGATGAGATTCACTGCGCTGTTCTCAAGGTCCTGGTACATTCGGAAGCGGATGGTGGTAAGGTCCAATTCCGCCTCCCTGAGATCGAGCAGGAGGAAGACAGTGAGGAAGAGGAAGATGAGGAGGAGGAGGAGGAGGAAGAGGAAGACCGGGAGCCGACGCCACAGCCCACGGCGCGGGCGACCAGGAGCAGTTTGGCGAAGCTAGAAGCCGAGAGGTTGAAGGCTGAGGCTGAGGCAGCAGAGAGAGAGGAGAGGGAACTCGAGAATGCGCCAAAGCACCGCGCTGAAGAAGTTCTCGCCGACTACGACTGGATCGACCAGCTCAGGAAGAGAAAATTCAGGGATGGCGGATGGGAGGCAATCATGGTCGGGCTGATGCATCAGCTCTCTAAGGATGAGCGGCAGAAGGCAGTCTGCGAGGAGCTGCTCATCCAACTGGTGCCTCGGGATGTTGAGCCTACCCTGGAGACGATTCGGCAGCATTACGCAGCTCTTGATGTCAACTACCGCATCCAGGCTCTTCAGATCCTCTGTATGTTGACCATCGAGACCAAGGCTATCCGACGATACATGGAGGACTGCAGCGAGCACATGACATCGTATCGCAAAGACAAGATTGACTGGCAGCGGCAGCGCAAGCAAGCGTAAGTTTGGACTACCACATTGTTCTTTGGGCGAGGCTGACACGACGACCGCGGGTCTTAGTATTGAGGAGCTGAAGGCTCTCAACGAAGAGCGCAAGATCCAGTTGCCCGACAACCTCCCACCCTCGCCTCCCCGTAACCCGGGTCTGGATACGAATGGCGATGTAAAGATGGACGAAGCGGCCGAGTTGACCCCCAACGACGAGGAGAACGCCGACACAGAGGACGAAGTACCGCGAAGTGTCGGCCGTGGTCTCAGGCGCGGACTGGACCGAGCTGCAGAGCGACAGCGCCAAAAGGAGAAGGAGGAAGAGCGCAGGAAGGAGATCGAGGCCGCCAAAGCAATCCCCAAGCAGTCGAAGCAGTTCCTGAAGCTTTTGAAGGACATCCAAAAGAAGGAAGACCTCATCAAAAAGTGTGAAGACGAAATCGGGATCATCGACAACGACCTGAGAGAGGCAGACTGCGCGCGCACAAGAGTGCTGGGCAAAGATCGGTTTTGGAATCGCTACTATTGGTTTGAGCGCAACGGGATGCCTTACGCCGGGCTGCCAAACAGTTCCACAGCAGACGCTGGTTATGCCAACGGCTGTATCTGGGTACAGGGACCAGACGATCTAGAGCGCGAGGGATACATCGACCTAGCTCCCGATCTGCAGAACAACTACAAGGCTCAGTTTGACATGACGGTACCAGAGCGGAAGGCGAAAGAAGAAGGCCCGACCAGAGTTTACACTGCGTGGCAGTGGGGTTACATTGATGATCCAAAAGATGTCAAGAAGCTCATCGATTGGCTTGACCCCCGGGGCTTCAACGAGCTGAAGTTACGCAAAGAGCTGGTCAACTTCAGCGACAAGATTCTCAGGCATATGGAAAACCGTCAAAAACACCTCGGCCTCGGTGAAGAGCAGCAAAAGGAGAAGGACACCGAGGAGACCAATGGCGTGAATGGCAAGACAACTGCTGCAACTAGCAAGCGAATGACGACTAGGATGCGGAAGTCGCCCACTCCAGAACAGCCGCAGTACCGGTGTCTGCAGTGGGAGAATACCACTGCCATCGAGGAGCTGGGTCACTTGCACAGTGCACCGCCAGCCCCTGCGCCACCCAAGGGCAAGCGCGGTGGTAGCCGCAAGAAGGTTGTTGTTGAAGAAGTAGAGGAATCGCCGGCTCCGATGAAGACTCGCTCCAGAAGGAAGCCCTAAAAAGGACCCGGAATGATGCGAGTGTCGAGGAGCAACGCCAGTCACTGCCACGTGTGCTGCCGAGGCATACGAGGAGTCCACAAAATTAGTGGCTCATGGCGACAACAGCAAGGAATATGCGTATATGGCACCCAAGAGCACAAGAGGTTGATCACAAAACACAACTGCTGATGAGGATGATGAAGAGTCATCAAGCTCAGCGCTACCCCAAAGCAATAACACCTCACACGAATGCCTTCCCAGTGATAAGGAGACCACCAGGAGTCATCATCTCTGGGAAAGACTTGCTCAAAAACGAAAGCCTAGAGTATACGTCTAAGCAGTGGCGTTGCCAAACAGCGATTTCAATCCAAGTTAGGTGGCGCTATCTTGGGCCTGAGCAGTCTGCATTACAAGCTTCCATCTGAGCTGCTGTTTCCGAGTTCAGTTTTAGTGGAACTCAACAATGAGTATCGCAATATTGGCTAAAGTTGGGAGGTTCACTTCATTTTGAGGCTGGAGGTATACATGACTGGCATCACAGTTGAGCCCTGCATGATGTGAAGGAATGAACCAGTGGCTGATACAGGCTACTCATTTCATAGAGCCTGTTTAAAGGACACAAGTTTGGGCGCATTGGGAGGCATGTGGTTGCTGAGCATAGCTTATGATGGAAAGAGGGAGTCCATGGCGTTAATTTTTGGTTGCTGTAGCACTTAAGGATCATCTGCTGCACTGGCCAGGTGATAACATGCTGGAATTATGGGACCCCGGGACCACTTGCTGGTGCAATAGGAGTCTTTCAGCTTCTGGGGAGTTGACAGTGGGCTAGTAAAGATCGACAATTGAAACGCCTTGGGGGGGGGGGGGGGAGAACTACCCGATGACTACTCGAAATACCCAATCTGCTGAGGGAGCACTGCGCATCTGCTGTCAGGCTGGGAGCTAGTTTGAGTATCAAATTCTTGTTGCAATCTGTCTTTTCTGGCATCTGTGAAGCCTGCTAGGATATTCTTTAGGATATGCACATGTACGCCCCCCCTGGCGGAGTGACTTTTGGTATAAAAGGCGAATTTTGGCTGTGTTAAAAGGATGGCAGACTGCAAGCTGTTGTACACCATCATCCACTGAAGACCTCTGCATAAAGTATCCCGAGTAATGATAATTTGTCACTGATTATTGAGGCTCCAAATTGCATACAGACCTGCCCTTAGATGTCTTTTTCTTTCCTGAATGTAGGCTGCATCGAGAAGACAGCAATGCTGAGTATAGCAAGACTGCAGATGTGATGTTCAAAAACCCGTCAATTTGCTGATCAAATTGTGAGGCGTTGCCCTTGGTGAAGTGCTGAAGCAGAGGTATTGTGGCAGGAGTCTGCTGGGCAAGTTGCTGGACCTTGGGCTAGCCTGCGCAGCCCTCATGCCATATAAAGGTCGCATGACACGCTAAAACAGAAGAAAAGTGATCCTTCCGTAAGCAAAGTCAGATAGATGGTTGAGATTGCTTACCTAAGACGCACCACCATGATTGAGATCTCAGATCACGTGGATGGAGCGGGTGCACGGACCTTAGGGCTCCTCCCTCTCCGCTTGACTTCTACCCGCGCCTGCAACTCAGATTTTCCACTTGAACCTTTCGACCCAAAGCGTAGGACAACGACATCTTGAGGCAGCACCATCAACGACAGGTTGCCCATCATGTCTCTCGTGTCGGGCGAGAAGGTAAATACCCACGATCAATCCATCAATTTATTAAAATCTTCAGTACAATTGTGGCAGGTACTGACAAACAATGTTCTGGCCAACAGTCGAACTTCCAGTTCATCTTGCGTCTGCTCAACACCAACGTCGACGGCAAGCAGAAGGTCGTCTACGCCCTTACCAAGATCAAGGGTGTCGGTCGCCGTTACTCCAACCTCGTCTGCAAGAAGGCCGATGTCGACCTGAACAAGCGTGCCGGAGAGCTCACCTGTACGAAATCTGCCAACGCCCCGATATCTCGAAATTTTTTGCCTTGAATGGACAGAAAGTGCTGACGACTTCATTATAGCTGAGGAGCTCGAGCGTATCGTCACCATCATCCAGAACCCTACTCAGTACAAGATTCCTACCTGTACGGACTTCGCAGCCCCCCGAACTCGATCTCCAGACGAGACAAGTGTGGATTGGCAGGTTTAGCTAACGTGGCGGCATACAGGGTTCCTCAACCGACAGCGTGATATTGTCGATGGCAAGGACTACCAGGTCCTCGCCAACGGTGTCGACTCCAAGCTCCGTGATGACCTCGAGCGCCTGAAGAAGATTCGTGCTCACCGTGGTCTCCGACACTACTGGGGCCTGCGTGTCCGTGGTCAGCACACCAAGACCACTGGTCGTCGCGGCCGGACTGTCGGTGTCTCCAAGAAGAAGGGTGGTTAAGATATACAATGGTCACTTTTGGCGTCCCGGTCGGTTGTGGGATGGGGGTCTTTGGAGGGATACTACAAATGGTTTCCCTACAGCATTGCTGCTACATGGTGCGGCATGCTTATGGCTCTGCCTCGGATTAGTTCTTCTCGAGAATGACTTGGGAAAAAAAGGCATTGTGGTCGCTGGCACTGAGCTGGTGAACTAGAAGAAACCGGTATCCCTCCGAAAGCAAAATGATTCGTGGAATTAAAAACAGCATTTGAACGCAGTTGGATCCGTGTTGCCGATCGTATGAAGAAACACAACTGGACATGTGACAGGATTTTCCCGTGATATCAAAACGCCAAACTATAGAACCGCCGGATCCCTAGTTCACGTCACAGGCTCTACGAAGAGGTCTGCAGATGTCTGACAAATGTGATAGGTTGGGTTGGCATTATGTGGTCGACGCAGATAGACGAGAAACGCTGGATGTAGTATTCGTCATGGCACCTAATCGTCCTCAGTAGTGACAGCTGCATCCAGCACCTCAACCCTTCCTTGACCTCTTGTTTCATCTGCTATGAAATCTGACAAGCCTTTGTATGCTCCCGGTTCGACAAAACCTACAACCTCCCACTCGCTTCCTAACACGTCCTGCGTCTCGACCTGCTCTATAAAACCCAAAATCTTGTCCTTGACCGTGCCAGTGGCCTTCTTCTCCCCGTCCTCCTCCATATCTGCCTCTTCCTCGTGGTCTCCGCCCTTCTTGCCGCCCTTCTTTCCTTTCTTGCCTTTGCCGCCTTCCTTGGCTTTTGGTGGCGCGGGAGCCTTGACAGCCTGCTTCAACACATTCGTGGCGCATGTTATCCGCAGCCTCATGCGTGCTCTCGCAACCGGGATCGGCTGGTTTGCAATCAGCGCCTTGATGGCCACCAGCGCCTGGCTCTTTGCGCTCTTGGTCGTCACCACACCCGTCCACACATGTTCCTTCTCCTTGGCCGGCCGCGGCTTCGCTTCACCGTCCTCGCCCGCTATTGGTGTTCCCGCGCCGCTTGCCGCATTGCTGGCAGGCCCCTTGCCGCCGCCCTCCTTGTCATTCTTGTCCTGGTGGGCCTTCTGTGACAGCATGTCCATGGCCTTCTCGATCATGCCCGAGGTGTAGACCCTCTTGGTGCGCGGGTCGACTAATTTGCTCGCGACGATGCTGACAACCTCGGCGTGGACGCGCTCGAGCTCGGCGGTGCGCTCCCTGTCGCCGACCTGGATGTCGCCCTTGTTCAGGATCTCGAGGATGATGTCGTCGCGCCGGGCGCCCTTGCCAAAGGCCTTCTCGAGCTGCGCGTTGGGCGCAGTTGCCCCGCGGGCGACGTCCAGGAAGACATTGGTGATCTGCAGCACGTTGTCGAGGTCCGTCTCCACCCCTTGGCGCCACTCGAGCACCTTGTTCTTGTAGCAGGCGATCTCGAAGCGCTGCTTGCCCTTCTTGAGGCGTACCAGGCTGACGTTGGTCAGCTTGATCTGGTTTGAGGGCTGGTTGATCTGGCCGCCCGGCATCGTGAGGGGCTTTCGACCGTTGTTCTTTTCGTTGATCCGGTTGTTGCAGCGGAAAGAGCAAGGTGAAGAAAAAAAAATCAGGAGGTGAGGGAAGGGGAAGAAAAAAACAACAAATCAATAAAACAACAAAAGAGCTGTACTGATCTGTTCTCTGCAGTCAGTCTTGGGAATTATATTTTATTTGTTTTGCCAAAGCAAGGATGCGGCAGGGACTTGGGAAGTATGAGCTCATAATTGTTCATTTACTATGTAGAACCGAATGTCTCTGGGATTTTTCAAGGGCTTATCTCTTATCCGAAGGTCTGGCCATCCTCGCTTCAGCCTGGCTCCCGTTCTTAGCCCATAGCCATACGAACTGATGCTGACCAAAGGGCAGGCGCAGAAGACTCTGGAAACAGATTGGGACACTGGTGACCCAGACTTTCCCAAATAAATGTCCTATGCTCATCAAGCTGGCCTGATACAGATCCTACTCTGTTGTGCTTTGTCGTTGCAGCTAATATATCTGTGCTTGCTGAAACTGTAGTGTGTGAGTCATGGCGAGATTGGTCCGGGAATGGATGATTGTATCTTCGCCTTCAGTGGGCACAAGATAATCCAACTTCCTATACCAGGCAAGCTCTTTGGTGGTCTCTTGGCAGTCTTCTTTTTCCATATTACGTTGATTGATCATAGCACATGAGGCACAGTATCCTATATTCATTTGTGAATACTTTATGTAATAAACACAGCTTGACCTTAGCAGGCCCCAAGAGCCGTGGGTGGAGGTTTCTGGTGCGGACACTGCCAGAGGCAGAGGAGTGAGGTGCCAAATCTGTTGGTGTTTCCTGTAGGGGAAACCTGTTATTTGGTTACACATGTACTTCAGAAGGATTTATCTCGGGCATGGCTGTTGACCATATCACCAGACTCAATGTTGCTTTACCATTTACCAGCGCACATGCAACAGAGGGAAGTCCCAGCAGACCATTGCAACCGAGACAGAGTTCACGTGCAAGAGATGATCCCTGGTCCGTGTGGCCTCTCCTGAGAAGATAGGACAGGGCTGTTGGCTATGAGCTGCTTTTTGGTTGTAAATGGTGACAGCCCCAGAGCTCTTGAACTAGTTTGTAAGTTTAGCTATCGCTGTACTCTTGGCCACCTTATGAATCCTGCGTGGCCAGCTGTTCATGATGGAGATAAAGGGGGAGAGCGCAGCAGCCTCGTCAAATGCCATTCTGTCGATGACGCTTTATCAGGGTTCTACCTGAGGATCCCGCGTGGGTCGGAGTGTCTTAGCGAGAGCCACTGAGAAGGTCACACGCGCCATGTCCAGCACACCATCAGGGTTCTCAGGCCTGCAGGCGCCCCCCGCCCCCCTGTGCCTGGTAGTAGCAGGCAGTCAGCCAAGTGCGCAAGGTACGGAGTGTCGTAACACACAGCACATCAGGCAGTGCAGGGGCCTCGGCAATACACTAAACCCATCCCACCACCCCTGCGTTTCGGGGTGGTTGGTACGGCACAGCAGGCACAGGCAGGTAATCGTAGCCCCCCCAAGCTCGGAGCTACATAGTACTAGCAGCCACGAGCACCTCTCCCTCTTCAACCCTTCCACTCGTCCTCTCCTCTTTTCCTCCGTACTCTACCTCTTCCCTCATTCTTAGCATCATCATCGTCTATCCTCCATTCCTTCTCCTACTGAACATCTCCGATTTCCAACGGTGTCACGATTTGAATCGTGAGTGGCCGGCACATCACCTCCTGGGCATCTAATCAGCTTATCATCTGCAGTACGTCACTGCTCTTGACGCTGCTTGTTTGTCCGGTCATTACCATTGCTCATCATCACATCGCACAGTACAACCCATCACCATGAGGATCGCCACATCCTCAGCTCTGCTGGTCGGGGCGGCCTCCGCCATCAACATCCAGCAGGATGCTCAGCAAGTCCTCGGCGGCGCCGCCGACAAGATCATGGAGGTGGCATCTGGTGCCGCCTCCTCCTGGGCCGATAAGGTCAAGGATTACGAGGCTGCCTTTGGAGCCATGACCGACGAGGCCAAGGCCCTGTTCGACGAGATAGAGCTTCTCGTCCCGAATGCCTTCGATTCTTTGCCCTCTCTGCCCAAGCCAAAGAAGCATTCCCGGAGGCCCGACTCCGAGTGGGACTTCGTCATGAATGGTGTCGACATCCAGAAGGTCTGGACCAAGACCACCGCTGAGGAGGAGAGCCACCGTGCTATCGGCGGTGATCTCGAGTCCTATAAGCTGCGGACCAAGGCTGTTGACCCCTCGAAGCTCGGCGTCGACACTGTCAAGCAGTACAGTGGCTATCTGGATGACGAGGCGAATGACAAGCACCTGTTCTACTGTAAGTCGGCCATCCATTGCTCCTAGCATTTCGTCCCCGAGAAATTCACTGACAATCGCCTGTTCAGGGTTCTTCGAATCACGCAACGACCCCAAGAACGACCCCGTCGTACTATGGCTCAACGGTGGCCCTGGCTGCTCCTCTCTGACTGGCCTCTTCTTCGAGCTCGGCCCCTCTGCCATCGATGACCAGGTCAAGGTCAAGTACAATCCCAGCTCCTGGAACAGCAACGCATCCGTGATATTCCTAGATCAGCCTGTCAATGTCGGCTACTCGTACAGTGGCGATTCGGTCAGCGACACTGTTGCTGCCGGCAAGGATGTCTACGCGCTCTTGACGCTCTTCTTCGAGCAATTCCCTCAGTACGCCAAGCAGGATTTCCACATTGCCGGAGAGAGTTATGCCGGACACTACATTCCGGTCTTCACTTCCGAGATTTTGTCCCACAAGCACCGCAACATCAACCTCAAGTCCGTATTGATTGGCAACGGCTTGACCGACCCCTACACCCAGTACCCTCACTACCGTCCCATGGCATGCGGCGAGGGTGGTTACGACGCTGTCCTCAGCGAGAGTGATTGTCAGTCTATGGACAACGCCCTGCCTCGCTGCCAGTCCATGATCAGCAACTGCTACGAGAGCAAGAGCTGGCTGAGCTGCGTTCCTGCCTCGATCTATTGTAACAATCAGATTCTCGGTACCTACCAGCAGTCGGGCCGAAACCCGTACGATGTTCGCATTGACTGTGAGGGAGGCAGCCTTTGCTATCCAGGTCTGGGTAACATCGATAAGTATCTCAACAAGCAGGAGGTTATGGCCGCCCTGGGCGTTGAGACTGTCGACAGTTACGACAGCTGCAACTTCGACATCAACCGGAACTTCCTGTTCAAGGGCGACTGGATGCAGCCTTTCCACCTGTTGGTGCCCGGTATCCTGGAGCAGATTCCCGTGCTCATCTATGCCGGCGATGCCGACTTCATTTGCAACTGGCTCGGTAACGAGGCCTGGTCCAACGAGCTTGAGTGGCCCGGCCACAAGGACTTTAAGAGCACCAAGCTGTCGCCTCTCAAGGCCGACGGTGAGGAGTATGGCAAGGTCAAGTCCTCTGGCAACTTCACTTTCATTCAGATCTATGGTGCCGGCCACATGGTAAGTAGCCTCCCCGAATAATTGATTCAAAGTAGGAATTGCCGAATGCTAACAACCGTCCCTCAGGTCCCATACGACCAGCCCGGCCCAGCTTTGGACTTCTTCAACCGCTGGCTGAGCGGCGAGTGGTTCAACTAAAGCCAAGGCTTTTATTTGTAACACTACAATAGTGAGGCCTTGCTGTCTCTTGTAATGGTCATGGAAGAAGTGTTTCCAATGAGTGGTGGTACTTTCCTATATAGTCCTCAAGGTGTGATTTGCAGCCCCAAGATTGGATAGATGGGCGTTGTGTGGTCAGTAGCATATGGATTAAGAATAAACTCTCACACCATTGCTTTGGTTTGCATTTGTGACTCATCATGTTAATCCGCGTCCCAAGACTTGCTCACTCAGTCGCCTTATAATAAAGCATCAATAATGTCCGTGTTGTATGCTTGTGAAGAACCTGTCAAATCTCCACTCCAGAGGGACCATCATTGAGCATACAAGCCTGGCAAAGGGTGGCGCAGAGCAAGGAAACAGCTTTGATGGGATATCTTATACATTTATACATAAGACGCTTAGGTCTAGTCTTCTCTCCTTGCTAGTGCTGATCCATACCCACTGGCCAGGAAGCAGTGCTGCGCCATTCCTACCCCATTTCCATTTCATCCACCAACAAACACAACAGCAAAGAAACCCCTCTCCTTTTTCGTTCCTTCCCGCCTGTTGTCATGAAGGTATGGTATGGTATCCAGCAAAAAAAAAAAAAAAAAAAAAGAGTCTGTCATAGTCCTCCTCCTCTCAAAATGAAAATCATTCATGCGTCCAAGAATGGACCCCCCTGCCTCCTGTTCTCGAGTGGGCCTGTGCCGGTCTATCTCAGGGCAATGGAAAAGCGATGCCATCCTGTTTTTACCGTTTCCGCCTCCTCCCAAGGAACAAGAAGGAAAATGAAAGCCGCCCGGCCATATGAAGCCGGCTGAGTACAACTCATATATGGGACAACACCGGATCTCCCAGAATCAAATGCGAGTAAGAAAACGTGAAAAGTAATGAAGCAGTAGGTTGACGAGGTAAGCGTTTCCTGATTGGCCACAGGCGTGCACATCTTTCATCGTCAGCATCAAGGAATCAAATGAAAAATCTGAAGAACGCTGGCCGCCTTGTATGAGAAAGAGTTTTGCCATCCACGACCAAACAACATTTTGGCGGCTCCAAAGTCTTGCACGCTGGTGCACCCTGAATGCACTGCATGCCATCAAGCTCTCCGCCGCACTCGAGGCATTTCAGACAGTCCTGTGGTGTCACAAAACTTGAGTAAAAACAAGACCAGTGTAGCAGTTCCTAACCCGTTGTTATCCTGCCACTTCCTCCATGAGCGCTGGTGTGAGAGCCGCGCATCGCTGAGATTATTGTGCCAGGACTCCAAAGCGTAAAGCCAGCCATAGCTAACAAGTGAATGAAGCATCAGGCCTTGGTGGGCTTTTTATGCTTTTGAGTGAACCCCCCCCCCCTTTTTTTTTTTTTTTTTTTCATTATCTAGACGACTCGATAATACCCATCGCTGACTGATGGTGAGAACAATGCCGTTAGATGTGGCGAAACAAGAGGGGAGTCCTCAGGGCGATTCGGTCGCAGTTTCATACGACTTGTGCCTTCTGAAGAATTGAAAAGCATTCATCCTGAAGCGGCTGGGCCGCTTCTTGATAGACTTCTCATGCGCCGAGTTCGCCGAGCTAGCAGTCTCGACTTCGAAAATGGGCTGACCGTCCATCTTGGGCTCGGTCATGCTCTTCGCAGAATCCGGAGCGCAAATGGTGGGAATCGGGTTGCTTCTGGGTCGTTCTATCGACTCCTGGCTGACAACACTCGTTCCCTGCGTGCTAGGTGACAGTGGCAACCTGCCGGTAGTGGCGCTGCTGGCGCAGTCACCGGTTGTTTGGGCAACACTGCTGCCCTGTGTAGTCTGGCTGCTACGTTGTCGGTCCGATCCAGCTGACCGGTCCTCGTTGACGGGTTCGAATGGAGAAGAGATGCCGTTCGCACCTTTGTGACCACCTCTCAGCTCCGGTGTGCTTGCCGACCTGGGAATTGGATCGGATGTTTGAGCAGATGCGTTCGTCTCCAATGCCACTTCAGGACCGCCTTGTTGGTGACTCCTCTCCGTCTGTTGTTTCGTCAAGGCTTCGGCAACCTTCTGCAGAAACATCTCAGAGTTGGCGGTGAGCTCGCTCACAGTATACCTCATGCTGGGCAATATATCAGCTACCCCTTGGAACAGAGGCAAGGCGAACATGTTCATGAAGTTCAACTGGGACCTGAACTGGGAAGCTCTTTCGGTCAGAGGTGGTGCCATGAGCGAGGTAGGGATCTCGAGCTCCTTCTCCATAGAGCGCTGCCTTGCGAACTCATCCGCCAATATATCCATCCACTGCAAAGCCGTCTCATGTCGACGCGCCTGTCCCAAGAACATTAGTCTGCTGCTGCCTATTTGGGGCCCAGAGAAAGTCGAGGCAATTGTACATACCACGTTGCTAATGTCTGCGCATTTGATTAGCAAGGCACAAGCAAGACCTTTTTGCTCGTCGATCATGCGGCTGTTCCAGCCTTCTGTAGAGTCATTTGCAGAGAGCTTCTCCTTTAGGTCGGCCAATCTCTTCATGTAATCGAAGTGCAGCCCCATGTCGGTGGCCAGGATCGAGCTGATCATGAGGCCGCGCATCTTCCGATCTTCGAAAGCGGAAGGCCAGTATCTCCTGAGAATTTGTGAGAATGCGGCGCAGTGAAACGATTCCAGCACAGAGCGGTCATTGTAAAGCTGAGCGAGAGGCGCATTGAGGGTCACGAGAAACCCATTGTTCACGCCAGGATGGCCGACATCGTGCCCGATTGCGGTGATCAGCAGCGTTAATGCCTCGAACGGCATCAAAAGCGCTCCCACGGGTGACTTTGGTTGGTCGTCCTGTGGCTCGCTGAAGGGGTAGGGTGTGATGGTATTGGTGTGCAGAAGAAAGCTGAAGGTTGCCTGCAGGACATCCACGACATGTCGGAAATTGTGATACGGCACAAAGCTGTTGTATGCGGCACGGCAGGCAATGACGAATTGGGTCAGTTGATCTGGCAGAGTAGCGGTCAGCACATTATAAAAGAGGGACGGGAGCCCACATTACATGCAGGCCTTGATGCCCAAAGGGAACAAAAGGAAGAGCAAAGAAGAAGACGAAAAGGCCCGTAGTAACATCAGTCTCACTTACCAGGAGGGATCCGCCACTGCGCCAACTCGGGCATGGAAAGAGCGTGACTGAACATGAGGGATGCCGCTACTACAAGCTCGTCATCCGAAAAGTCGTGAGCGCAGAAATGCCATCGGCCGACGGCCTCTGCGATTTCGGCCTGTCTCTCGGTAGAGATCGATATCCTAAAGGTTCCGAGCGAGTTGTCCTCGTCGTCATCGTCTAGCCTGCAGATTCCCCTCATAAGCCCTGACACCATCGCCTCACGGAGATAGGCAAACGGCTTTCCTCCCGTGTCTACACCGACCCAGGACCGCTTCCTATTTTTCCGTACCTGCAGCACTGCTTCTCGCTCTCTCGCAGCAGCCTGACGAGCCTTGTACGCATGAACCTCGAGGTTCTCGATATTTTGTGGTCGGAGCGGCATGCTCATAACGTCGACAGCCCCATAGTCAAGGCATGTCCTGACGAGATCGGGCCTGCTGGAGTAGCCGGCCGAAAAGGACGTCACAGCACCGTCGTCTGCGGTGCCGGATCCAAGGAGCGGGCCGACCTGAAGCTTGGTGGGCGGAGAGATGACGGCGATCGGCACAATCAGCTTCATCAGCTTCAGCATATCGGCCTCGGCCACGATCCTCTGTAACAACCTAAGCCCGTAGAGCTCGACGTCGGATATCTGCAACTCGTCGTGCCTCACAGGCGGTAGTGGCGAGGGGTTCGAATGGGGCGAGGGCGACCTGGAGCGAGAGCTGGGCCTCTGCGGCCGCTCGGGGACCCTCTCATTATAGGGGACGTCTAATAATACGATGGTCGGGGTATGATCGATCCTGGAAGCATGATGAAGGGCAGATAGGGTGGAGAGGCAGGACGTGCTGCTCGGGCAGACATGGACTACGGGTTAGTAGGTAGAGGAGAGTCAGTCAGCAATCGGGTACATATGCCATGCACACTTTTGGGGGCAAAAAATCATGACCTACCTTGGCCAAAGGTTTCATTCAGCAGTTGTATGCTGTCCCTCAAGTATCCGGGCTCGGCAGCATGCGTGTTGTGGATGGCGAGGCCGTCGACGAGGCCTATGTCGACGGGATGACCCTCGTGGGCCTGACGATGGACATAGATGACATTGATGTCTGTCCTGTCCATGATGACAAGGTGCAGGGACCGCGACCAGTCTCGCGACTGGTGCGCCTCTGCCGCGAATGGGATGGATTCTGGACGGGGAACAACGCCAGCAAGAGGTGTAGAGCCAGCCCACTGCTAGGTAGAGGGCGACAGAGCCGACAATCGAGCTCGAGCGAAGGTCTCCCAACACTTGAGAAGATTGTCGGCACAGGCACCAAGGCTGCAACTACCTGCAGCGAATGGCGCGCGCGCACGCACACAGACACACACACAGACACACACACAGACACACACACAGACACACACGAGCTGCGCGGCAATCTCAAGCCCGTGTCGTGCCAAGTTGGTCGGTTGTAAGGGAAGCTGGCGAACGTAAAAGCGACGACGGGCAATCCCTCTCAGCGAGACATCGAATTGGAAAGGTCGGCAATTTCGAGGACGGTCGCAAGAGACGTGGGGTGTAATTCCGCGATCGTCGGCCGAAAAGGGGTTTTTGATTCGTAGAGCTGGTTGACATAGACTGGGACGGGAATGTGGCAGGAAGTATGGGTATCGCGGAGATTGGCGTGGGCGGCAGTGTAAGAAACGAGGCCGGTCCACACCCAAAAAGGTCGACTGGATTCGGGTCCAAGTAGTAGTCGCACGGAAGAGTCAGTCTTCGGGACGAGAATTACGACCATGTACGTTAGGCTAGCGTAGCGTGTCGTTGAGGTAGTCCAGAGAATTGGCAACCAAGAATAAATAATTCTGTGAAGGAGGCTCCGAGTCGCCCGCGTTGGAGATTGTTCCGGACAAAAGCGGTGCCAATGAGAGGGAAAAAAGGGGGGTGCGCGAAGGAATGACACGAGAACGAGGATGCGATCGAGTCCAGCCGAGTCTTGGTCAGGCTGCCTCGGAGGACTGAAGGGGGGGAAAAGAAGTCAGGTCGAGTCTGTTAGGTTTGTAGGAGGAATGGCGAAAGCTGGAGTTGCGAGGTAGATAGGCGCGCACAGGTGATCGTGTGCCGTGGGTGCTTGTCCGAGCTGGAGATAATTGGGGTGGGGGGGGGGGGTGGGTGGGTGTGGGTGTGTGTTTGATATGGTGTCGGTGCTGGTGGTCTTGCTCCCGCGAGACCAGGGACCGTCAATGGCTGGTGATGTTGCGAAAGAGAGAGCAGCTGTGATAGGACCAGTGTCGAATGCAGATGGGCAGGTTGGTCAACGTCGACGTCAGGTGCGAGGGAAAAAAGAAGAATGGGAAAAGGTACAAAGTGAGGGACCAAGCCCAGGTTCAAGAGTTGAAACGGAAACGGAAAAGGCGCGAGGAAGGAGGAAACAAGGAGCAGCCCGACTTGAGCGAGCGAGTGTGCGCGTGTTGGGTGGTGCGTGGTGGGTATGAGAGTGTAAAGTGTGTATCTATGTATGTATGTATGTACCGCAGTTCTTGAGAATGGATAAGGAACAGGAACAAGGACAAGGAGGTCCTTGGAAGCAGAGCCAGAAGCAAGAGCAGCAAGCCAGCAAGGCAAGCAGCCAAGCAGTAGATGATTGACTGACAAGTGACTGACTGACCACCTGGACAGTGCGTACATCTTGTGTTCAGCTTCGGTATGGAACACTTGGGGACCACCCCCCCTCTCTCTCGGTCAACATCAAGTCAAGTCAGAGGGCAAGGAAAGACAGTGCCTGAGGGGGAGTGTGAGCCATTGATTGACCCAGGCGGTACTCCGTAGACCCAGTCAGGTCAGTCCCAGACCTAGACCAAAAACCGAGACCAGGACCAAGCAGGTTAGGAAGGTAGTAAACTCGCGGAAGAGCGAGACACACATACACACACACTATGCACACACACTATACACACACACTATACACACACACCCCCCCTCCCCCCCCTCTCTCTTCTACAGTATTCACCACCCAACTGACAGGCACACACACACACACACACACGCACACAGCCCTCCCCCTCTCCAAAAGAAAAAAATAAATGCCTGTACTTCTAGTATACGTACGTAGATATAGTAAGGCAGGGTATAGAGACTAAACGGCACTGTATTGTACTGTGTTGTACTGTAGACGCGCACGCACATCGGACGAGGCGAGGTCGGGGAAAAAGGAAATAGATAAAAGTGAAGAAGAAGTAAAAAAGAAAGGGAAAAGAAAAGTCCATGGCAAGGATTAGAAGGGATCAATCAAGGTTAGCAAGGAATGGAGTGGGATGGACTATGTAACCATAGTACAAGTCTACAGTAGAGAGAGACAAGCGACAGTTCCGCACCCGGACGAGAACAGACAGAAAAGAGAGGATGGAAGAGGATACACAATACAACAAGCACACCCCAGTCGTCTCAGCCCATGCCAGCCCCCAGCTTGGTGTACAAGAAGGGGAGAAAAGAAAGAAAAAGAAAAAAAAGAAAAAAAAGGGAACTCGGCCTTGGAAACCTGACCGGGAACGGGTCCTAGGGACGGGGGAACGGGGACGGCGGGACTCCTCTCTCTCCCCCCCCCCTCCCTCCAAGAACCTTGCTCTCATTTCATTTTCATTTCATTTCATTTCCATCTCATCGCATAGCATGGCATCGCGGTACGGCTTGAGCAGCACGAAGGAAGGATGCAGGTGGGAGGAGCGCAGGGCAACGACAGGGGGGGGCTAGCTGTGAGATGCAAGGGTACCTTGGGCTTGACGACAGCTCCTGCAGAGGGTCCTGTACACCTTACCAGTTGGGAAGGAATGGCCGAGCGCTTGTGATGTATTAAGGTATGTACTTGAAAGTACGTACGTACGTACAATGTAGTACAGTACTTAGTAGTTGTAGGCACTGTACATCTAAGTAACTTCTCTTCCTGCTGTGTCCCGTAATTATCCCCCCAGTTTCGACCCGCTGGGCGACCCGATCAATGCCCGAGGAGGGGAAGAAATTGTGCTGTGTGCTATGTTGTACTACTGTGGCTATCTTCCCAATCGATAATTGAGGCTCTGAAGAAGCATTTCATTTGTAGGCAAGGGGGAAAAATGGTGGGCGGGAAAAGAGGAGGAAGGGAAGGGTAAATTGTTCCTCTCTTTCCTCCTCCCATCACTATCGAACAGCTTTGATGCAGTCTTGAGGAAGGAGGGCCCACGGCAGAGTACGTATCAGGCAGGCAGAGAAGAGCCATGTCCGCAGTATCCATATATACAGACAGAGGGGGTACAAAGAAGCTTGAAGGGGGAAAACGAGCGACGAGACACGGCAGATGGGTAGCTGCGCTGCAACTCCCGCCCCGAATATCGAGCACTCCCAGTCGTGCCTTTGTTCATTCTTTCCTCTCACCAACACCACCTAACTAGTACATGATAGCTGCCGATCCTTTCTCGGGAACCCCCAGGGCGGCGGCAACGGCAGCGACTACGGTGCACCGAGGGCGAAGACACAGGAAATACACGGCTCGTTGGAAGGGGGAACAAGAAAAAGGCTAAGGAGTGCCAAGACGAGAGACACGGCACCTACGGCGGTGTGAGACCGTGTTTGCGCCGTTGAGGAAAGGCCGCCGCTCAGGGACAGGGAGGGAGGAATATGAGTTGTTTTGGTCGTTGACAGCCTTGTTGTGAGGATTATGAGATGCTGATCTTGATATTGAGTAAGAGCCGACGGGGGACGGGCAAGGGGTAAAGTTCAGTTCAGCCCGGCGCAGGCACGGTGACGGGCACAGGCATAGCACAGTACAGCAGAGTATCATCTGCATAATACTGTGTAATGTACAGCACAGCCCATGCCACGACAGCAAATATGGCCCAGAAGACTCGACATGTTGGCATCCATTCAGCTTCTCCTTGGAAAAGCAGGGAGAAGACGGAAAAGTAACAAGATCGTTTCCGATCCTCGATCAGCAGTCAGTAGTAAATCAACAAGAATCGGGAACCGGTGACGGCAAGGCAGATGCGGATGACCACGCCATAGCCCCGAGAAGGGAATGGGAGCATCGGCGCGGCATTGTATCACATATGTTATGTCTCTGGGAGAAGGGGAGGAACAATGGGGCCCCATATAATCAGTGGCTGCAGGCAGTCGATGCGAATACGATTCGCGGTTCCTTTCTCTGCGCGTGTGTGTGTGTGTGTGTCTCTCTCTCTCTCTCTCTCTTCCCACCCCTTGACTGGCCGCCCATGCAATATTATGCCGCTACTCGGGATACGGGTTGCAGCACTGCAAGATGGCTCACCACCAGGCCGGGTCTTGCTCGCCGACAAAAGCTTGATCCAGAAGAGAGACGCAAAAAAAGAAAGAAAGAAAAAAAAAGAAGAAAAAAAGAGGAGGGGGGAAAAAACCACCAAACCGCTGAGGACGAGTGGGACATCGGCAGCCACTCCACTGTGCGCGCACGCCGGAGGGGACTGGCCCATCTGAACATGCCGAGGTGACTGTGATTTTTTTTTGTGTGTGTGTGTGTGTGTGTGTGTGTATGTGGTGTGTGTGTATGTGGTGTGTGTGTATGTGGTGTGTGTGTATGTGGTGTGTGTGTATGTGGTGTGTGTGCTTGGTAAGACAAAAAGGACGACAACCACTAGGTACGGCATGCGTGTGTGTTAGGTGGAGACAGTTATCGTGAAAAAGCGCAGAGGTGCAGAGGTGCAGTGGTGCCCCAGGGTAGCGCCAGCCAACAGCGGCTCGTCCTGGCGGGTCCCAGGTGGACAGCGATCGGCAGGCTATGCACAGGGTGGGCGAATGGCGGGTGGCCACCACAGCCAAGCAGGGCCCCGGGGAGGACGCCCCCTCCACCAGGAGGGTGGGCTACCCCAGCCCGCCGAAGATGATGCAGCTCAGCCGGTCACGCCTACCGTGGCGCCCATGTCCCACCCCAATGCCTAGGAAAGAGCGCGAGCCAGTCTTGGCTCGGTGTTTCCACTTGTTCCATGCGCCTTCCAGAACACTACCAGAAGAACCTATCGAAGATTCCATCCCCCCTCAATCTTATTCCTTCACCACGCTAATGTCAGGTACTCTCTTCAATAGCGCACAGCAACCGTTGGTTGGCCTTCCCACCCCCCCTAAAAAGTCGCCGCAGTGGTAGCTTCTTTTCTTCTCTTTTTTTCCTTTCTTGGCCTGTCACGCTACCCTACTTTCTTTAGGTCCTCTTTCGATGTTAGCCTAAGCAATAGACAGAACGGTGAGGCCAACGGAAAGCATAGTGGATGGACGACGGGCATGGAGGATAATACAAGCAAAAGTTGGCTGGGGAAGGGGGGTGAATGCTGGAGGGATCGACAGTAGATCAGAAAGAGGATTGATCCACCGTTCCCTCCTTGTCTCTCTCCCTCCCTCTTCACATGGCAGGATGTTAATTCACACAAGGTCGTCGATGCGCGATGGGTGTGCGCTCCTGCCTCTCTCTCCGTATCCAGGAGGACGTCGTCAGTGGCGACCCGGGGGGGGGCGGATTTACCAATTCTGTCGGCAGAGCTGTGACGACTGGGGCCAAGCTTATCTGTCGTCAATCTGCCAGTCATCGTGGGCCCTCTTCCCCCCATCATCCCCAGTCCCGGCATGACAGCGTGTGTGGGTGACGATCTCATCTTTCTCTCTCTCTCGTGGCCCGAATCAGATCTGTTGCTCGCGAGGGCTGACCTTGGGGGTCTGTGGCAAATTTAAATCCCCGACCCCGCCGGCTTTGTCGCAATAACGGGGTCGCCTTGCGAACGATTCCCTTTCTGTCGACCGCGCGCGCGCCCTGTCGTTGCAGGACAAGAGGACTGTCGAGAGCGGCGAGCAGGCAAGCAGCCACCGAGGACGTCAATTGCGGTATTGTCGTATACAGCCAATGACTGCAGTTCTCGTTCTCTTCAGCTCGTCCTCGACCCTTTTCAAGGGCTCACTAGCCTTGTCGCGAGGTTGTTTGGGCTCGCGACATTTCAATCTCGTCTATTTTCCTCTTTTGTTCTAGCTCTTATCTTCCCCCTTTCCAGAAATCCTAGGCGCGCAGTCCTCTCATCCGCGACCTTCCTGATCAAGATGCCCAAGAACCGCGTTCAATTCAGCCAAATGGGCACTCAGAGACAGACGACCTGCTTCATCCAGCATCCCGATTGCCTTGACGTTCACGTGGTAGTACACAGCAAAGGACAAGAAGTCAAGCTTGGTCTGCATCTCTCCTAGTTGCTCAGCAGTACAGGGGGGGGGGGGGAACCTGGTGAGTATAGACCTCGAGGCACATGCCAGCCCTCCACGCTCGACGATCGTTGAGGGGTGCCCTTTCGCCATGAACTAGCACAAACCACTTGGTGAGGCTCGAGGCTCGAGGCTCGTTGCCAACGCTGCTGCCTGTATCCCTGGACTAGCTTGTCTTATTTCGGGTATGCGGCTTTCATGACTTACAGATGCTATCCATGAGGCACATGCAGTCCGAAAGTTGTGTCCTGGCGCCCATGCCCATGATACTTATTGGGCACTGATAGCTCAAAAAACCCACCCACACCTTCCCGCCTCATCTGACAGCTGATAGCTTGCAGCTTTCATTTCGAGGCCACCACACGCACGTATCGCTCGGCAGCTGCAGGGCCGTCTTATCCGGCTGCAGAGAACATCCGGCGACGGCACCTTGAACGGGTATCGGAGCGCCGTACGGGGTGCCAAACGTCTTGTCTCATCGATACGTCCGATGATACCTTTGCCTCAACTACCGGTCGAACGAACCACATCCCCCCCCCTGGTCTCTTCCCCTCCGACGTCCTGCTCCAGCCTCTGTCAATTGACCTGTCCCAGACTCCCACTTCAGGCATAGCCCGAAGCATGTCTACAAATATCGCTGCACGATATCCCGGATCTTAGGTGCTGCAAGCTGGGTGTGGGTGTGTGTTGTGTGTGTGTGTGTGTGTGTGTGTGTGTGTGTGATTAACTTGCACAAGGTTTTGGACACCATCTACGCCGTCCGAAAGTCAATTATCATGTCGATCACCCTTCGCGCCAGGTGGCGTAGCCGTCCTCTGGCCTATCCTGCTTGTGTTCTGGTTCGTCCACACGTGCTTGGCGCGAAAATCCGCCAGCCGACGTCGACTGCCGTGCCGGCCCCCGAGGAATCTGTGCAGAAGCCTCCCCGAGCTATTTTGGATCCTCTGTCACTCATTGGTCTTTCGAGTCGATACATTGCAGAATAAGCTCCGGATCCATGTCTTTACCCACATTTCGCACGATCTCGTGCCTTTAAAGAAGTTGTCGCCGACGTCTCGTGCCTCGTGCATCATGTCTCCTTCTCCTTCTCCTCCTGCTCTCCCTGGCAAGGAAGCAGAATTCGGTGAACCATTCAAAGACGGTTGGAAGAGGATCCGCTTTTGGTCACAGTACATCTTGTCAATCACACGTGCCTCTGGGCAGGGCATGTTATGCGCACATAATCGCCACATAAGAGCATGGGAGGCCTGGAAAAAATACTGCACTATGATGCACACGGTAGCATCAGGCAAACGAGGGGGGCATTTAAGTCACACATACTACATGGTATCAGCAGGAGTTCACTATCGTCATGGGCTCGACAGCATGAGGACAGCCACGTCGGATCTGCACCATGGCATGTCCTTTGGGCTGGACCTCGAACTGATAAGCCCTCCCGATTTGGATACCCCCTTGGCGCGTTGTGTCTCAAATGAACTGATTCGTGAATTACACACGCGCACACAATATCTACAGTATACTTCTTACAATATGGGCGTTCGCACACTTCCCACAGCGGAATGGGACAATATCTGACTCTTTTCGCAACTGCTCTCTTTCCTCCGCAGCCCATCCCATTGTCTCCAAGACCATGCATGACGTAGCCTCCCAGAGATGATTACTTTTCTCACACAACATCACGGTGCTCGAGTCAGCCCGAATCGATGCAGTCTTTGACGATCAAACTCAGTTGTTGGGGCTGCACTTAAGCTCAGGCCTCGTGGGGGGCTAGAATTCGCCGCCAGAGGCTCTTGAGGGTCCAGATCCCCTCCCTCGGCGCACTCCGCGCAGGACCTCGTGCTCAACTGAACAGAGTCATTGTTTTTAAACTCTCTTTCTTTGACACCCTGCAAGACAACACACGTCATTTCTAGGAAATTCCCCTGCTCCGGAACTTCACCGGTGCTGGATCTCGGAATCTCGGACACAAACGTGCATGCCTTCCGCTCAGGAAACTATGAGACATGCTGCTCGCGGCTGAAAAGACGCGGGGTGGCTTGTCTGGTCTCCTTTTTGACTCAAGGGGAGGCTGCGGACCGGTCTTGCCAAAACGCCCAGTAGCGCATCTCTTTCCCCGGCCGGCCCCCCTTAGTTCAAGGAGAATTCTCGTGGGCCGGAATTCCCGAAGCACACACACAGCTGCGTTCCGGTCTGTAATAGTCGGGCGAGAGGGCTGAAGGAGAAGAAAAAGACACGGATATGTACACAAAAGACAAGAGACCAGCCAAAGCTCTAGACTGGTTAGGAGTGAAGGGGGGGGGGGGGGCGCGGCGGCTCCAATGAGATATGGTCACTTTCCGACGCACGCGCGTTGCGTTATAGCATGCCCATGCTTGGGGGGCTGGGGCGGTTGTGTAACACCAACCTCAAGCGGACGGCGTGCGTATACGAGAACGAGAGAAAAGAGACCGAGAGTGAGAAAAAGAAGAGGAGAGCCCACAACATGCCAGATTGTTCTGGACCGCTGGCCGGTGGGGATATAGGGGCCCCTTGGAAGGTGTAAAAGTGTGTAGCATAATAGCACTACATGGTATGTTTGAACAATCAAGGGGTTGTCCAGAGGTGGGCTACCCCAGTCCAGCCTCGTCTCGTCTTTATGAAAATGAACTTGCTCAACTCAGCTTTTCCGGCCTCCTCAAAATTTTCTTGTTCAAGTCAAGTGCATCATCTTCCCAGGTAACTTTTACCTTTGTTTCTGCCTGTTTTTTTTCTTCTTCTTCTTCTTCTTCTTCTTCTTTGCCTCTGGATTGGGGTTTTCTTCTTCTTCGTCTGTTCCTTTCGCGCGCCACCCCACCCCCTTCTCCCCCTAAGTTATCGCGCAGGACTTTTAAAAGCATAACTGGGGTATCCTCGGGAGGGTTCACCGAGCTTTCTCACAAGATCGTGAGGATCTCGGCGTCCCCGTTCGTATAAGCATCTCTGTCTTTTACTGGCAGTGGGTTTCAGAGGTCCTGAGCGAGGGTGGATCAGAAATTATGATTAGCGTAGGCCAGAGAGAAAGAGAGAGAAAGAGTACACCCAACATCAAATGGACGAGAGAGAGAGAGAGAGAGAGAGAGAGAGAGAGAGCAAGTGACGATGACACTGGTATGGATATACTTCGCATGTATGTCTTATACATGCCATTTCCTCTATGTGCGAGATGCAAGTTCCTCTAGAAAAAGTTCTATCACCGTCTCTTCATAATCTCATTTATTTTGTTTTGGGTGCGTGAATGGAAGCTGCTAGCGATCATCACCGAGTCGTTCGATGACCTGCGCTTCACCATGAAGTGTCCTTCCTTACGAGTAGCCAGTCCAATAATGCCAAAAGCTCAAGTCGTTGCCCGTTCTACTCACCATGCAAATTAATTTTTTTTCCTTCTTCTTTTTCTCCTCCCCCAGCCGCCCGGTGCGCTCCCTTCGTGAACGTGACTGGAAAGAAACATTCCTTGACATGAACAAGGAGAATGTCGCAGTAGCGTTTGGATAGAAACGGTGTCTACGCCCGACATCAATCAGGGGGGGATTGATGGTGAAAGGCCTTGACGATGCTATATAGCCGTCCTCGATCTCAAGAAACGAAAGTCTAGGAGGTTGCTAAGGCCTCCAAGCCAGGGCAGGACCAGTGCGAAGCCCAGCTGCACCCTTTGGCTCTCGAGCTGTGACAGCAAGTGCTGAGAAGCTAGCGGATCTATGTTCCCTCCTCGGCGTTGCTGACGGCCTCATCATCATCAGAATCAGCTTCGTCGTGGAACAAGCGCGCGTACTGGCGACAGGCTTCTTCCAGCTTCGGTCCGCCGAGCGGACCGTCGCTGCGACGCCGGTAGAATAGCAAGTATGCGTGGGATGTGATCATCCTCGACGTATCCCGGACTTGAGATACTGTAGAGTCGTCATACTTGTACCATGCACCATTCTCGAAGTTTTTGGCAAAGGCAGTGTAGTGGCCCCCGCCCAGACCACCCATGTGGTCATCAATAGCGATCAGGTCATACACCTCTTCTTTGCCATCATCCTTCTTGAGAACTCGACTGGATATATCAAGGCCCTCGATCGGAAAGTCGACAGTAACATCAATCTTGTCGCGGCGATGGTTTGCCGAGCTGAACCGTTTGAGATGCACAATCAGGATGTCTGGAGTATGCCATAGGTCGAATTTCTTGGCCGCCCGACAAAATTCCTTGCACTTGGGACAGTACCATTTGTCATCCTCGGACAGAATTTCTTCCTTCTCGAATTCAGCCAGACAATCGTCCAAGGAAATACCCTTGTTAGAGCGGGCCCGACGGGCATACACCTTGGCCTCAAGCTGTTCATCTTTGAGCGTCTCAATGGAGCCTGGCAAGAATGTCGCGGCCTTTTCGGGCCTTATGTCATCGCTGTTGGGATCTGGACCAAAGACCTGGTCCCACAAGTCTGGGTTCCAGTCAACCACGATGCCCTCGCCGAGACGGACCAGGGGGCCGCCATCGGCCTTAGATCCCCACTCAGGATCTTCATCATCGAAGAGGCCGGTGCTGTGATTTTGCTGGCGGTATCCCCGTCGCGCATTTTGTTGATGCTGTTGCTTATTGAACCTCTTGTTATTGTTCTTCTTCGAGTAGGTCTTGTACCCCTTCTTCTTGCCGCCTTTCAATCCCAGTCTTGGATTTCGGACGGGCAGCTCCTGAACGTTCTTGTCAGTTTCCACAAAATGTGTAAAGTATTGGCATGCACGTACTGTGACTTCGGGGAAAGTCTCATCATCACTCGACTCCTCAAGCATTCTGGTAGAGACTTCTGGAGCTGGTGCTATATCAGGAGTCTCGTCGGTGCTGCTCTCCTCAGAAGCTGTCCCGGAACCAGACGGACTTGGCATGTCCTCGTCACTTGGGGTGGGAGGCCGGGGCTTTCTCGACTCGAGTCTTGGAAAAAGCTTGTCGGAACTTGAGCCAAAGCTGCTCCAGCCACTAGGAATAGCGGAACTTTCAGAGAAGAAGCTTAAGTCGAACAGGCTTTGTAATTGACCATCGAGGTACACCTTTGGATCAACCCACTCGGGCCGCTGCGTATTGAACTTCTTGAGGGTGCTTGACGATCTTTTCCCGTCCATGTTAGCCAGCTGCTGGGCGTGTCAACAAGTCACACAAGAAGTGTGGAAGAAGCATACCTGTCCGCGTCATGCTGTGCCGACGGAGTCTGGGCCACATCCTGCATGCTGACGTCCACAATGTCATCTTCGCCTTCCACAGACTTTGCCACGACCTTACCATCCGAGCCTGCATCAGAGGAATTGATGAGCGAGGGTTCGGGGTCAGAGGCGTCGGCAGGCTCACCACCATTCAGGTATGACAATGGAGAGCGCGTGGTGAAGGTGGCAACCTTTTCCAGGATCTTGCGGCGAATTCTATCCTCATCGCGGGCCTACAGGAAACGTCAGTATGAGAGCTACCACGGGAGTCTCCTTTGTGGGGAGCAAACCTCTTCAGGATTCAGTGTAATGAAGTGCGGCGGTGACACATGCTCCTGGAATCGCCCTGACAAGACGCTGTTCGATCTATTCGACCGGGGATTCAGTCTGTGCAACACTGTCACCACCATGTTCTGTGCCATCTGCTCTGCGAGCGGATCGTCTGCCGGGGGCAAGTCGTCATGAGTGTTCAGCAAAGACGAGTACTTGTGCGATTTCTTCTTCTTTGGGATATTCGTCGGAGGGGATTCTAACTCGTAGAAGGCAGGCGCGTCGTCTTTCTGAATCTCATCTGACACTTGCTGGCCGTCGTCGTATATCTTGAAGAACTTGTCCTTGTATTCCTCCCCTCCAATAAGACGCTCGACCGGTACACCCACCCGCAGGGAGAGGAACTCCTTCAACGCCCGGATGTTGGCCGTCTTGTCGAGTTCAACCAGCACATGGACTGGCCTGTCGTTCAATGGGAAGTACTTGACTTTTCTGGTCCAAAAACTCTGCAGTGGCAACGGGAGGGTCAGGTTCGTGAATGGCTCGAAGGTGATGCTGATCTTGGCGCAAGTCGGACAGACAAGTGTTGATTTGTACAGTCCAGTGAAGAGATCACCGATGACCGAATCATCGCGCGCCTTGTGAATGGCCCAAACCCTCTCAGCCAACTCGCGAATCTTCTCTTGGTTGCCGACCATATCGTCCGTCGAATCCGGCTTCTCGATATAGGGCTTCTTCTTGACCCGGGACAGATCCTCTTGAAGCCCATCGAGCAGGAATCCCAAGAACTCCTGGGTATCCTGCTGCGACCAGCCGGAAAATTGAGGCGCATACCGACCGACGGTGTCCTTGAAATTTCGCGGCGTCACCGAGCTGGGCGGAGAATCCTTCTTGTAGATCATGCCCAGGAGATACGCGTACGCTCGTGCGACATTCCCGCCGTGGCCCAAAGGGTTGTCGTAGTTCAGCTCCTCAGCGTACTCCTCGGTCAGAAAATACTTGGTGAGCTCCTCAACACTCCTGATACACTGGAGCGCCGAGTTCATGTAACAAGTGTTGCCAAGATTCCCAAGCCCGGTCAAGCCCAACGTCCGTCCCGACCTCGCCTGTCGACCGCGTGTTCCTATTGAGGACGGAGCAGGGCCGTTGCGACCACTTCGGTTCCCCTTGCCCTTGCCATCAATTGCGGAGTCAACAGCTGTCCCCAGGATGGAGGCTGGAGACAAGATATCCATTAGTGGAGTAATGAAGAGAAGTGAGGGTGATCAGAGACCTACAGAGTTTGGTAGGACCGTTGGCGGTGGCATTTGTTGCAGCAGCGTCTAGCATCTTGGAGTCTAGGTCGGCGGTTTCGTCTGTGTTGGCGGCACGGGAGCCGTTCTCGATCTGCGCCCGACTGTCTCCAGAGCTCTGGCCCTTTTGGACTTCTGCCGCCCCCACAGGGTCCTTCTCTGAGAGGTAATCACCACCAGAGCCGTCTCTCAACAGGATACTCTCCCCGATGTCTGATCCTGGCTGCGTGTCCTCCACACTGGCTCGGTCCATGTCCAGACCAACCAGGTCAGGAATGTCTTCTTCGTTGCCGTCGGCTTGTGCGGTGATCGATGCATCATCCTGGGGCGAGTCGATATTGCCCTCTTGCACGGCCTCCTCAACGCCCTCGACCGGGGGGCCATCTACTATCGGCGCGTCCTGATTGCCGCCGGCGGCGGCAGGGAGGGAGAGCATGTCGACATCCTTGGTCGCATCTTGATTGTCGTCGGGCGCCGCGCTCCCGGCGCGACGCTTCAGAGGTGATGCAGACCGTGGCAACTCCTCAGGACGTGACATCTTCCGCTTCTTGATAGTGGAAGACGTGGTGAAAGGGAGCTGCCCGCGCAGCTCCAGGATGCCAAATTAGAGGAGGCACGCTGGAGGGTTTTGAAAGAGAGGAGGAGGAGGAGGGAGGGGGTCCGAAATTGGGTCGGGGTCTCAACGCGCTGCTGAATGCTGAAATCTGATCAATAAGCAATCAATGTTGGATGAAGAATGCAAAGTTGCAGAATGTCTTGTAGGTTGACAACGAATCAAGTCAAAGGAAAATCAAATCACTCTGAAGTGCAAATGCAACATTTAGCATCAACACCAACACCAGTCTGGCAATGCAAAACAAAAATAAAGACAAGGAGAGTCAGGACAAGGGGCTTGTGTGTGTGAGGAAGAGAAAGCACACCTGCTGTCACAAGGTTGCAAAGTGAACTTTGTTCGTCAGTAGGCGTGTAATGACGGGAGACAGTAAGGTGGTGGTCCCAGCCTGTCCACGCTGTGAATGGAGGGGGTGAGGGGGGTTGAGGGATAACGAGAGACACTGGGTGCCTGGAGGAATGGCAATCGAAGGAGGGGGGGAGGAGTACTTGGTACGTGCAACCCTCACAGCCCGGCCTAGGGGTGAAGGGTACAAGGGAGGCAGGCAGCAAGGGCCAAATACCATTAGGGCTGATTATTGACGTACCTGCAACCATGAAATATGCGGTGTGCAATTGCAAGAAACCCAATGACGAGTGATTGTTGGTTTTGAGAAAGGAGCAACCTCGTGGTTTTGATGGGGTGGAAAAGGCGGCGAAAGTTATTGACGTCGTAATTGCTCTTCCATAGGGGGGAGGGAGGGGGGAGGGAAGAAAGAAAAAAAAGGGAAAGAAAAAAAAAAGGTTAGCAGCTAAAGTTGGGGGGGGGGGGGTAAAAATTAAAAAAGTATAGGTTGCCGGCCAGCGCCCCCAGAGTCAAGTACCCACACGCGAATTCAGGGCTATTGGGGTACTTGGGGGCGTGGGGCTTCTGAGTAAAAACTCTTACACCCGCGGCCTTCCCAGTACTACTATGTACATAATACGTAGAACATAGAAATGCCTTCCATTAGATGCAGGTGCAATACCTGCGGGAGCCAAGGCCTTCAGCTAGCCATGCAGCATGTACTATAGTAAGCCCGTGCTAACCTTACCTTTAGAGGGCCCCATGCCACTACACATCCACCAATTTTACTCCGATTCAAACCGATGCTTCCCACCTACTATACACTATGTACTTTCTACTAAGTACCGATACCGTCGTACTGCGACTACAGTTGCTATGGTACAAGTTAGCAAATCTGATTTTCAATTGCAAGAATCAACATATTGGGTCAAGAGTATCTATGATAGCACTCTGTCTAATACTCAGCATTGTTGAAACAACGTCTGTTCTCGTTTACTGTCTGTTCTATGGGATAATCAAATAAGGTTGACAGATTCTGCAATGATCACTATTCACATCATGCAAGACAGCGCCTGGTGCTGAGTAGATCACCGTTCTTCATACAAGAGCGTGCACATATCTGACCATCATTCTGTAGTACATCCACCCACAAGAACTTCCCTGATGGGCGATCTGCGACTTAGAGCTTCGGATCTAGCTCCTCGTACTCCGTCAGGTCCTTGACTGGCCTTGCGCCCGCGCTGACGGGCAGCCGGGCCTTGAAGTCTCTCGGGTCCTCAATGAAGCTGATGGTCGTCCCGTTCAGCGACGGCGGGTTGTGCTCCTCGTGGGCACCTTGCACACCGTCAGCCGTGGGTGACAGCTTTCTCCACACCTCTACCGCAGCGTCGATCTTGGCCTCGGCAACCTTGAGATCGTGCAAGAGGTACTCCTTGAGACCTTCCACCTCCTTCTCCTCGTCGTGACCCGCTGCGCTTAGCCGCGCCTGCAGATCCGTGGCCGCCTGGGACTCACGCTCCGAGGAATCGAGATCGAGTGTCTTGACAAGCTCCGAGATCTGCTTGGTCGACACATCACTAGTCGCCTGCGCGACCATCCAAACAGAGAGCTTGGCGCGGGCTGGCGATGTCGGGCTGATGTAATGATCGAAGAAATCCACCATCTCCTGCTTGGTCAGCTGCTTGACTTGGCTGGCTGCCTTTTGTGCTGTTTCCCATATATTTGTTAGCTTGCCCAGTCAGAGAGTCAGTTCGCAATGGAGTATTTTGTGTCCAACTCACGCAGGTCAAAGTCGTAGTATTCATTAGATACCTGGCCCCAGAGGCGGTTGGTCTCCTCGTCAAGATTCTTCGTCTTCTCGAGGAGCTTAATGACAACACTGCGCTTGTGGCCCTCAAAGTCTGAATCGCTCATCGTCCTCAGCGTCTCCGCGGAGGCGGTCAGGAAGCTTTCGATCCTGGTCTCTAGATATTGTGTCGTCTTCTCACTCTGAATGATGAAGCGGAAACCCAACGTTGTCGCGCTGGTCTTCATGCCGCTGAACACAATGTAGCCCAGCTGCTCCTTTGTCCGAAGCTGGTCGAAAGCGGGCTCGTGAAGGATCTGGCCCAGTAGCATGACCTTGGATCGGAGCATGTGTTCGTGCTTTTCACCCACGAATAGGAAGTACTCAATGCAATGGTTGACATTGGCAGGATCTCCCAGGGTCTTTTTGAACACATAGTTTGAGCCAGGTGGGAACAGAAACGAGCGCCAGATTGGCCATTGCGTTTTTGGCAACGGGCGTGTCTTCAGCCTCTGCTCTAGCATGTCTGTAAGCCTGAGAGCGTCTTCCTTGTACACATTGCCGTGCACCACAGCTTCAATGTGGAGTTGCGAGAGCAATTCTTTCTGGAAAGTTCTGGTCGACTCGCACGTAACGATTGGTAGCTCGGCGGCAAACTCTTCGACTGTGAAGTCGTGCTCCGTGGTCAGCCAGTAGGTGTACTCTCCCACCTGATGGAATGGCTGTTGTAGAGCCCAGTTCCGGTACGCTCTGCTCACACGTTCCTTGATGATTGCGAACCGGTCTTCCTTAATCTCCAGATCTCTCATCGTCTTGAGCACCTGTTCGAGCAGCACCGGGAGTTTGTCGTTGTACCCACCGACCTCGAGGAATAGTCCCCGAGAATCCAGTGAGACGTGGTACTGCAGACCCGCCAACTCTGCATCGTACGAATATTCCTCCAGCGCATCCCGAACAAGGTCCGTAAAAACCCTCGCTTTGACAGCATTCTCAGCTGATGCGTATATTACCGGACTCTTGCAGCTGACAATCAAATTCGCCTTGGGCACCCAGAATTGGTCGTCCTTCTTGTACCACGTACGCGCCATGCCGTCATTCCTGACCAGCTTTGGCGCGACCGCAGGCTCCTTGACCTCTTTCTTTTCCACCTCAAGCTTGGTAGGTATGAACTGGTTCTTGTGGGGCATGTGCAGGTTCGAAATTCGGTCCGCAGCGGTGCTCGAGCCAGCCTTCTTTATCTCCTCAAGGAAATCATCTGGAATCTTCTCAGAGGCATACTCCGTTCCATACCACTGTTCCTTCTTATCCCATTTTCCTGGATAGTCACGGGACACAATGCAGATCCGGAGGTTTTCCGGACGCAGGCAGTCTATGCCCTCGCGAATAGCCTTGGGGTCAAACCTTCTCAAACGGCTGGTGCCGCTAAGCAGCCATTCTCGGGGCAAAGGCTTCTGCATGACGGCGCTAATCTTGCTCGTGAAGCGGCTCGCTGGGGTTTTCTGTTTGAACTTAAAGTCCACATCCGCCATACCCTTCTGTTCCTCCCAGATCCACTCCTGTGGCTTGGTCTCACGCAGCAAAGCGACATATTGGAAGAATACCTTCACAATCTCGCGGTAGTTTTTCAAACCCTGTCGCAACATGATCAGCACTGAGACAAAAGCCGGACGGTGTAAGAGTGTGATTTACCTCTTCGGTGAGTCGAATTTGGCATTCAAACATTCCAGGGGATCCGGGGCACACTGGGTAGGCTCCAGCGCTCAGACCATTTGCCCAGCCCTTGCCCTTGATGTAAGACATGATGCTGCCAGGACCTTCATGCCCTATCAAGTGGCTGATATATCTACTAGGCAGCGACTCAAAGAGCTCGTTTTCGTCTGGAAATGGGAAACAAAGGCCCAGTTCTCTGGAGTCCATGACTGGCTTTGCGAAGATCTGCGTAGCAAGCTGCTCAGGTCCCAACGGCGGCGCATCCAACCACCTATTGGGTTCTAGGTTCTTGTCTTCGATGCCCGAGAAGTATTCCACAACCCAGGCTTCTAGAAGCTCCAGAGGCTCTCGTCCTAGAACCACGAGCTTCATCCGGTTGGCAGAGTAATGCTTCTCATGAAATTCAATGAATTTCTGCCTCACATTGATTCCTCGAGCCTCCGGTTTCGTCTTCAGGGTGTCAAGACTACCCGTGGAGAAATAGCAGTAGGGGTGTGCAGGGTTGGACAGAGATTTCTCAAGCTGGTTGAGCCGCCACGTGTCGCTCTGAAGATTCTTCTTATTTTCAGAATCCACAGCGCGAAGCTCGCGGTCGAGCGTTGACTCGAGAAACAGCGGCTCAATGAAGAACTGTGCGAATCGGTCGAGACCACCCTTCAGAGGCGAAGGGTTCGTGGCAGATGGTTCCTGGTCATCACTTGGTCGGCTTCCAACCTCAAAGTAGTAGTTGGTTGACGTTGCCGCGGTGTACGCGTTGGATGAGCCAGAGTGAGCAGAGAGGTACTGGTTGTAGGCATTTTCCTCCGGGTACTTCTTGGTGCCCATAAACAAAAGCTTATTGAAGGTCAGTATGTAAATTTTGACTCAGCAAAGGGGGGAGGGGGGATACGCGGCTTACATGCTCGACAGCGTGCGCCATGCCTGGCATGTCCGCATCGTCACTGAAGTTTCCCACATTGACATCCATGGCCGCACTGGCTTTGTCAGTCTTAGCATCGTGAACTATCAGCGCCTCAAGCTGGTTTGGGAGCCGGATGACGCGATAGATTCGATCGTCCAGAGATGGCGTCTCCAGATGGTCAGTCACCAACTCCGCGGGGCGGAGCTCATGTTCTGCGAGCGGCATTTCGTCTGGGAACAACCGATGTCGAGAACTGGTAGAATACACCGATGAGTACCAAAAATGACCGAGTTTTTTAGTCGACCGTAGGGTTCCTGGCCTGGTTTTGAGATCGATCAGGGGCCAAGATCCGAGGACGCGAGGGGCAAGACCAGGTGCGGTGCTTCCGAATGTGCGAGATCCCGGGAGGCCGTGAGTGGGAGAGCACCTTATTTCCCGGACCAGATGGGACAGTCCAGGCGGGACAACTGGGCTGGTTGTCTGTGGCGAGACTTGTGCGACTTTGTGTGGAGAAATGATGCTCACACCAAGTCTATGACCAGAGGCTCTGGATCGTGGCGTTACAGTAGATCCGAGTTCCAGAGAGTCGACCACAGGCTCAGGACGGCGAAGAGACCCACAGGCAGTGTCAGGACGGATGCGCAAGCCTCTGTACTCGCCGCTGTCGAGTCTCCAGTCAGCCTGAGAACGTCACCACACAACAAGTCAGATTTTCGTGTGTCCGCCTGGCGTGGTACTTGTGTAGTAGCAGTAACCTACTGGAGGTTCCTAGTGTGACGATGTCAGTTTGAGATCGAGTGGGAGTGTTTGGGCGGGAGCGAGGGCACACCGAAAGATACACTTTTGGAGGGGGGTGGTGGTCGAGAGAGAATTGTGTTTCACTGTGGAAAATGTCGAATGGAGACAACCGAAGGGGTCACGTAGCACGTACTTGATAGAAGTCCGCCGTTGGCCGTTAGCGTTGCCGATGCTAGTGTTACTTGAGCGCAGACAAGAGCGACCCGGAAATCTCATCTAGTTGCCTTGGCACCAAAGAACAAAATAAAAAAAAAGTGAAGGAGAACAAAAATAAACGTGGACGTTGATGCAACAGGGTTAAAAACAAGATTCAACACATATGGTCCAAGAGATGGATGAGGTGAGAAGCCTGCCCCAAATTGGGAAAGAGGGACGCTGATGGCGAGGTTGGTAAACTGCACGCTGAGCGCTATAGGCTGTGTAGAGCAGAGTGCAATTCCTAAAGGCCCAAAACCCTGCCCTGCTGATGAGTTGACGAGTAATGGTAGCGTGCCAAAAGCCGCCACGTAATATAGTACGAGGAGACGCCTGTGCAAAAGGACCTTGACGGGCGTTGGAATGCGGTCGTCGCTGGATCGACGTTTTTTTCTTGTGTGGCGACCTTTAGCCGACAGTCAATGTAAGGCCTAATCCAGTGTCAGCACATGTACCACAGTACCTAAGATTTGTAGAAGTACATCGACGAACTGGCCCCCAAACGTGACTTATTTTAGAGGACTGGAAGCCGCTGTGGCCCTTGGAATGAGAAAAGAGAATTGAAAAGGAAGAAATAAAACAATATACGTAGCAAATTGCCTAACAGCGCATCTGGGGAGGGAAAACCGAAGAACCATCATTTGTCTCGTTGAATATGGTCCTGCTCACAATGGAAAGCACAAGGAGAAAGGCAAGTAAGTAATGAAGAGTCCCGTGCCATGAGGTTCCCTTCAAACCCCCTTATGCACTTTCGGATTGGGAGCAGAAGAGCATTTTGTGTAGGCTGTGCACAAACTGAAGGAGTTGCAGATGAGATGAGACGGATCAAGACTTACTGGACGGTTCGAAGCTTCTACCACCAACTTTTCACCCTTGCGCGCTCGAATTTTCAAGAGTCCCCGGGTTGGTTTTCCAAGAGGGAACCTCTCTTCTCCAGATTTCTCAGATGAGATGGGGAACACGGAACGCACAAAATGTCCGCGGATGGGCACCCGGTGTACAGGGAGAGAAAACCGGCTGTCGTGACGTATTGTATTTGTGCTACCGAGACGGGGTACACCGTATTTTCAGCCTTCCCGCGGTCGCGGCACAACCAAGGGAGCTCCAGACGCACAGCAAGATGTCTAAGTCTGCGAGCGGTGGAGGTAAGATGAGAAAGTGATTTATTAAAAGAGAAAAAAAACCACCGGGATTGTTGACAATGGCGCTGCGCTTGCCTCAAAAACAGCGGATGGTCGTTGGGGAAGCGGCTGTTTACCGCTTTTTAGCCATAAGCAAAGGCCGCCTTATGCAAGTCGAACTCGAACTCAGGGTCCTCCTCCCGGCTGCCGCCCTGCCACCCTACTTAAGATCTTATCGATATGGGCGGATGGGATCGCGGGGCGGACGGATTTATCGCTTGCATTAGAGGTCCAGGGGGTTTAGTGGTCTTTTCCCGTGGTCCGCAGGTTCCCAAAGTTTTGTGGAATTATTCGTCCCCAATTTATCCCGCGCGCCCCGGTAGTATATGATGAGAGGACCAAAATGTTGCACCCCTATGTTTTTCGAAGGTCACATTAGTCGCTGCCATTCGCCGAGAGTGGCCGACAGTGGCACTTGCGCTTAACATGATGTGAGACGGCAATGTGATCATGTGCCATCCATCAACTGCAGGCTCGCGACAGTGTTCATTGGCACGAAATCACCCACTGAAAAGTTGATGAGAATGTAAACTTTTGGACCTTGCTGACTGCGAGCCATGACAGTAGAAAAGCACTGATGCTATGTCGTGGAGTTGATTGGGTTTATTGTGGAGTCCAGCATGCGTCCGTTCGCCAATAGGAGAGACGAGAGTCCTAACTGCACTGGACGGTCTGCACGTCCAGGGGTTGCTTAGCTCGTCGTTATGATATGTGATATGTGACACAAGTTCTGGCAAGGAAAATGTAGGGCAGACTTCTATCATCGTTTGAACAAGGAACAAAATGTATTGACGTTCGATTTGCTTGCCTGGAGTAATCCACCTATAGCTAGTGCGCCCTGGGTCGATTGACGACTTGGACATTTTTCAGGGTGTGGCGCTGACTCACGATGAGTCCTGCACATCGTACGTCTATCGATGAGTTGGTACTCCCCTCCTTGTCTGCTGTGGTAGTGACCCGAACGGGGGGGGGGGGGGGGAGGGTTGAGCCATAGCAAAGCTACTGTTGCCAGGAAGGCAACAGCGTGCAGTACAGATCAGGAATGGCCCGCCCCCGCAATATCCCATCAGCCTTGCTTATTGCATTGGTCAGCTTGAGCAAGCCTGAATTTACTAATCTCAGCGGATTGTCCGGAGCCTTGGTAGAATTCATGCCCATGTTTTGTGCATGTACAGACTATGTATGAGAGAGCCAAGGTCTGGTAGGGGATCTTGGAGAGATTACGGTGCACCAAGAGATGGACTGAGCGCACCTCTTGCGGCTCTGCGCTCCGCAAAGGATAGGGACGCGTAGGTACGTTCTGCTAGGGTTGACCGCCTCAAGACGCGATGATCATCGCCGCCCAGGCTTGCCCTTGGAACTGTAAGACCCCGCACCAGAGATCGAGGTAAGCTTGTTCAGCTTCACCACCTTCTCTCGGCGTTGTGAAGATAGCTTCCTGGCTCTCTCACGTTCAGCGTTCTGTTTCGAACGAAGTTCGTCACGCTTCTGTGCTCCGTAGCTGGCACGACCAGGCTGCTCCTGTGTTACCTCCTCGCTGGAATCTTCATCGGAAGAGTCTGAGGAGTCAGAGTCGTCCGAGTCACTATCCGAATCACTATCACTGTTGCTCTGAGGTAGAGGGGAAAGCGGAAATAAGTCAGCATATTTCGGCACACCCGTTCGTTGTGCGTAACTGCTTGCCTTGTCTCTCTGAACTTTCTTCTCAGGACCATACGCCCGGAAACTTGGTCCGTCTGCTGTCGAAGTGTCTGTATTGTCTGAATCGTCCTCTAAGCCTCCTCTTCTGTCAATCTGCGAGAATCCAACCTGCACAGTCTTCAGAGGGGCCACCGCTTGGCGGTCTGAGCGAGGCAGTTTCGCCGCATCGAGAACCCAATGTCCATCTCCCAGCTGCTCAGCCACCTTTGCAATGGCAACCTGCCGCTTCCGTTCTTCCTCGTCCAGCGCAGCTCGCGCTGCCTTCTGGTCGATTACGTAGCTTGAGGTTTCGGGCTCGCCCATGGACGACCGGCCTGCTGTCTTTCTGCGTTTCGAGGAGTGCCCGTCATCGGAGGTAGTTGTGCTCGGTGAGGTAGGTGACGATGCTGCCGCAGCTCTCTGCATAAACTTCATGGTAAGTAGCCTCTGCGAGGCGCCGCTGGGTGTACCTGAAGCCATCTTGGGCTGTTTGGGTTGTCCTGTCTGAGATCACCAGGCGATCGAAGAAAAAAAGGAGAAAGGCACTGCAAATAGTTGTGGTTTCCAATGTGCAATCCAGAGGACCTGGTTACCAGGGGGGAGCACCGTCTTATGTCGAAAGAGCGCAAGCTAAGCTGTATATAAGACAATCGCGAGGTGCAAAGTTGGAGAACTGATGTTCTGGAGAATCTTCCATTCCAACTTCCTTTTAGTTGCACAAGCCTGCTCTGCGCCGGCCTTCAAAAGTTTGAAAGGGACCAGGATCCCTGCAGACGCAAGAGCAGCTCTGGTCAGCCAATCAGAGAACGGCTAACTAAGCCGCCGCAACCTCACCTGCGCTGCACTACTGACGTTCGCGGGACGGCCTCGCTCCAAGCTTGCAACCTCGATCAAACTTAAAACCCCTTCCAACAACAACGAGGACACCACCGCCCAAGATGATGTCCGCAACCTACCTTCGGTCAGCCCGCGGGCTAACACGCCTTGCCCAGCGATCATTCACCACAACAGCGCGCCAATTGGAGCAGAAAGCCGTCACGCCCGCACCGTCGACCGAGTCCCCAGTGCCCAAAAAGGAGAGCCAGGTGCCGACGGAGCTGCCCCAGGCGCCCAACAGGAAAGAAATCTGGTCACGGAGTCAGCGGCCGCGCGATGTCGCCATGACCGGTCCTCGCTTCGAGCAGACGGACTTCGACTTGCAGGTGCGTCCCTCCCTAGACCAGCTTTCATGTTTCCAGCGTCCGAGCCAGACAGCAGTAGAGGTGCTGACACATGCCGATATAGCCTCAATCCTATTCCGCAATGGAGCTCGTCCACAAGCAGCCCGTCCGCTGGACACACGACCGCGTGGTGGCCTGTGACGGCGGCGGCGGCCCTGCTGGACACCCGCGGATCTTCATCAACACCGACAAGCCTGAGATTGCTGTCTGCAACTACTGCGGTCTGCCATATGTGTGTCACGTCCCATCCTCGCGCATGCAGACATTCGTAAGATACTGACCATTGCTCTCTCTAGGCTAACGAGCACCACCGTGAGCATCTCGAATCCCTACCGCAGACATCATATCCTCTCGAAGACACCGAGGGTTTGGGCGCCGTCCCGCCTCTGTCGAGGCCTCACCCACCTCACTAGACCATTGGCTTTCTTAGTTGAGGTAATGGGAGTGCACATGTACATAGAGCTGTTGGTAGAATTGAATCGAGCTCTTCCAAGGGTCCGTCTGCTGGGTATCCGTCTCTGCGCCTCAGGTCTAATCGCGGCGCTCTTGAATGATTTGCATAATCTCAGCGGTCATTCTCAACGGTACTGCTTCAACTACCACTTTTGACTCCAGTGCCCGATATAGCTTGCTGAATGTGCACCACCAGATGCCTTTCGCAGCCACATATAGAGTCTGGCGGTTGTTGGTCAGGGAGTCTCATCTCTTTTCTTGCAACGCCTGTGGATTCCATATTTTACACGGGGTGCGCTCCCTGTCCTAAGCCATCTAGATAACGTCAAGAAGCTCCAAACCACGTTTGTCCGAATGCTGCCCCGATCTTCCCAGATTCGTTCTCTCTTCAGCTCCGGTACTCCCAGTCATTCCATCCCCTAGACTGAGAGTATCCATCACCTTCATCGTTCCGGTAGTACGGCTCACTGCGATATGCGCCCCAGCTACCGCGGCGACGATTATCACACTCGCGACGGTGGTCGAGACGCAGCTGCTCACTGCCACGACCGCGGGGCCCAGCAGAGCTTTGATTACCAGACCAGTCCTGCCTGTCACGGCTTCGCTCTCCATCATCGTAGTCGTACGAGTATGAGTGATTAGAATTCAGGTCGTTGTGTGCATCATGTCGCTCCTAGCGGTTGTTGCCTCCTCGACCGCCTCGGAATCCTCGTCCTCGCCGACTGCTATTTGTGTTGCGGGCAGATCCCACGAGCTGATCGCTGTACAAGCCTCCATTGCCGCCATCATCCACTGCCATCGGTTCAAACCCCATCGATCCGTCCACAAGAATACCGTTGTTCTGGGACAGCTGTGACTGGTAGCCATCTGATGCCGGTACTGGCCTTGGTTTGTGGACAGTCAGGGTGTAACTTATACCAGTTCTGTGATCGTAGTCCGTCTAAAAGTGAAGGATGGTCAGTCACTATCGTATCGACCACGACACATAGACTAGGATGCCGACAACCAACCTCTTTGTTGTGGAAAACCCCATGCACTCGATCCGCGTCCTCTTTGGTCTCACAAGTGAGATCGGCATCCACCGTTGGTGAAGTCCGAATAAGCTGGCAGCTATGCACAGCAATGCCCTGATTCCGCGTCGCCTGCTCGACATCGGCAGCCGTTGTACCGGGAGCAAAGCCCCGGACTTCTACAACATGAGGACCTGCAAGTCCCTTGATTGTCAGGCCGGTTGCCGGGCGCGGTCCCGCCCTTGCTGCTGCTCCTGCTACCTGTAAACCTCCTCTTCGTGGGCCATTGGCCTTCCTGATGTTTACGATGCTGACCTGCGCAGTTCCTGGGTTCTGGTTCTCGCGGAATAGAGCATTTGCGAGGCTCTGGGCGTTGCGGTTGGCGCGAAGGTTGGGTTTGGGTCGAGTGGAGGCGGCGCCGCCGCGGCCGGACGTTCTCGCTGCAAGGCTGCTAGGTTTGGCGACGGCCTTGGAGGATACAACCCTCTGAGAATGACTGTCAGTTCCTACAAAACGCAAGTGGTTGCATCGTCCTTGGCGGAATTACCTTGTTCACTCCGGCGCGGGTGGAGACGGGGCCGCTTGCGCCATTTGCTTTCTTCGGAGCTGTGGGTGCAGCCTTCTTTCCAAATATCTTGTCCGCAGTATCTTGTGCCTTCTTGCGGTCACGAGCTGCGTGCAAGCGAGGGAAAGAGGTCAGAAAAGTCGGCTTTCGCAAGAGTGAAGGGCGCGGGCGGGTGAGGCTTACTCTCATTGATCATCTTCTGTAGATCAACTGCGGCTTTCTTTTCCTTCGCCATGTTGACGGAAATGAAGATGATTTTGATTTAGATGGAAATAGGGTGCTCGATTTAGCCTGCTCCCTATCAAAGAAATGCAATGCAAATGATACTTATTGAGGGTCGAATGGCTGGACTCCTTGAACGTTTTACACGTTACCAGAGCTGAGGCGCGTCGCGAGCAACGTCAACGCACTGTTCACTGCTAAAAACGCTAGACCCGACCCGCCCCAAGCACTTAAATGCAGCAGCATAGGTACTGTGTAGTTCCCCACGCTGGGCTGGATGGACCCCTGTCCAAACTTAGCGGCGGTTCTTTCAGAGGATCGCGTACTTAGTAAAGTACTTTTACAAGCCACAGGTGAGCTCGCGCCACAATACAACGAAAAGCTGTCCTTGAACGTCAACACCACAAGGGCTGATCCGGGGCATACTCCTGCATGACCTTTCTTCTGCTGCGCCAACATTGTCCACGAAGATGGCCCGACTTACCTTCGATCCTCTAGCCCCTGGGGCGAGAGCAAAACAGCCAGATCCAATGGTCGATCTTGATCGCCTTCTAAATCGCCTCCAACAGACGATCCTGAGAGCCGACGCAGATCGAGAGCGGAGGCTGAGAAACAGCGAGTACGAGCGTCAGAAGTTGGCATTTGTGAGTGTCAAGAGTAATGTGAAGCAAGAAAATAACTCTGTGCTAATTCTGAGCTCCGCCCGTAGAACATCGACTATGCACGAACGCTGCTCACGAAGATGGACCAAGATGCCTTTTCGATCAAAGTCTTGACGAGGAAACAGGAGACGCAAGACGACTTGAAGCGGAAACGTGAAGTTCTCGACCACATAACACACCGACTAAAGGACTTGGAGGAGATGAGTACACATGTCGATGATGATGACACGGGTTCCGAGGCGGACGACATCCTGCACGAGATCATCATGACACCTAGTGAGAGCATGGACTCGCGGTCTACGGATGTAGCAACGCAAGTTACAGGAGACGGAGATGAATACGAAGATGAGCAAGCAGCAAGGTCGCCGGTACAGAGAGAGAATACCGTCGAGACCCTGAATGAGGTTCTGTCAGAGAAACCGGATGTCATCACAGCCCATGATTTGCGGTCCCGAGGCAAGCAGACAGCACCATCAGATCAGGAGAAGAAGCCACAGGACCTAGACACGGCACAGACTACCGGCGCCACCAGATCACTCCTATTTGGCAATCGCTCGACAGAGGTTTCTGATATTTCCACTACCGAAGCGATCCTTGATCATCAGCGTCAGGAACAGGAAGTCGTGACAGAAGATCTCCTGAGGATGGCAAGTCAGCTGAAACTATCCTCTCAAAAGTTTGGTGAGGCGCTTCAGGAGGACACCGAGATTTTGACACGGGCTGGCGAAGGTTTGAACAAGAATGAACTGAGTCTTGAGGCAGCCGCCAGGCGGATGGGCGCAATCACCAAGATGACGGAGGGCAAGGGCTGGTGGGGCCGCATCATGCTCTACGCATGGATTTATGGACTTATGGTGGTCATGATCTTGGTTGTTTTTGTTCTACCGAAACTGAGGTTTTGAGATGACTTGTTCATGTTCTACGTTCAGAGGGTTGCAGAATGATCCAAGCGGAGCATGCATGGCGTTTGTGGTCTTATTGCGTATATTCAGGAAGCATTGCGATTGCGTTTCATTCAGAAATATTTAAGTCAACGCGAGTCTAGTAGGTCGCAATACCCTACGGTCTTCTTACCCTGCACGAAGTTCCGTCGTTCCTCACGCGCTGCCCACCCACACAAGATATGTCCTGAATGCGGAAATATGCATGCAATACTGAATAAAGATTCCCTCCATGGAGAACTACCCTGGCGAAAGAAAGAAAAAAAATATCCATTCTATTCCTGTGGAATGAGGGGGTATGACTAAGGGCCCGATGCGCCCTGATCATGTTCATACGAACCCTCTGCGATGCCAATGTCAGTTGGGTGTTCCTCATCGTACTGGGTTTCGAATTGGGCTCCGACAAACTTACTTCCTGTCTCACTGTCCGTTCTACGAAGTGAATACATGCCACTCCTGTCCCAAAAACCCAAACCTCATCAAGGATAGATTGCCTCCCCAACCTAGCTGCAGCGCATCCATCTCGTGGGAACCTGGGAGACTGTGACACGGTCCTCTGAACAGGCTCCATGACTTCCGCTATTCCCCTCTTTATTCGTCGTGACGGCTGTGTTTCATCCATTTGAAGCTGGGTACTGAGCTCTCCGCGCGGAGTTCATCATCTGCCTTACGCTTTCTCTGCAGCACGCTGGATGTATCGTCCTTCTTAGCCTCCATCGGGTGCTGTGGATTATTGGCTGCATCCTCTTTCGTCCGGCATATCAAACCGTGCAAGTTGAGGGGTGCCAGTTTCTCAACCTTGACACACTTTGGATGGCCAGGTGTATACTCGGGAGGAACAGTGCCCGTGGGTTTTCCTTCAGCCGGGGCCTGGTAATGCCACTCTGGCTGGTCCTTGCCTGCCCTCAATAGACGTTCGTCCCATCTGTATCCACTCTTTCGTTGAAAGAAGGTTTTGAAGTGGTCCATCGCCTCTTGAAAGTCCCGCGTTGGACCCCTCGTCTGCTGGCACCTGGCGCGAGGAGACGTATCATATAGACCTGCCCAAACTCGATACATCTTCTTGACAGAGTGGGAAGTAGACGTCTCAAGCTTCAGCATCCATCTCGAGTCACCGTTCTTGAGCTCGATACAGTACTGGAACTGGTCCTTGTCATCTTTGAAAGGCCGTAGAGCTGCTGCGACCACCCAAGCTTGAAGACTCTCGAAGTCCTCGACATCGAGGACTTTCTTGACAGGGGCCAGACTGGCTTCGCGCTCACTTGGCGTCTTTCTATCCAAGACGTGCGGGCCTAGTCCCACACTGGTGTGCTTCTGGGGGCTGGTCTTTCCAGATGAGACGGCTTTCTTTTCACCAGCCTCCTCCTCCCTCTTATTCTTCTTCTCCTCAGGAGCAGACTTAAACTGGTCAATGTGCTTGTCAATGCTCTTCTCGGTTGTTTCCTGGATTTGAGGTACCTCGGTCGTCTTTTTGAAGCTCCCTCCACTGACCGACTTAGCCGCCAGGTGCACTGCTGTCGTCGTCTCCTCCTTCTTCGCGGGGGTTGACGGTTTCGGGTTCTGCTGGCTGCCCTTGCGGGAAGTCTGTTGATCAGTCTGATGCGATGCAGTAGCATCCTCACCTTCCGGAAAGGCCTCATCTTTGGTGACCTTCACCTTTTTACAACGCTTAGCATTGATTGCGTTGATGTCGCGAGGTTTGCCTGGGTGGTACACATCGTAGTGCCCATAGTACTTTTTGTCTGCGATCACGTCGTCCAGCCAGTCCCAGGTAACGATTGCAGGCTTTCTCTTGCTCGGCCTCATCGCGAGAACCTTCCGGACTAGTAATTTCCAAGTGTCAATTCCAAGGGATAGAACCGGCCTTCTTCTCTTTCTCTTTTCTTCTTCTGCATTTTTTAAATGAGACTACTAGCTGACGTACCTTCCGGGGCTTTGTCTTTGAAAGCGCGTCGGCTGACGACGAGGTGAGTCACCTGCTTGCACAGATGGTCGACTTGGCGCATGCCAGCTCTCTTGATTTCAGTGGCAAGTTTCTGAGGATTCGACCAGTCGGCAGTGACGAAGGCGTCCTCGCCCAGATTGCCAACGATGAGGATCACGATGGACTTGAGGGACCGCATAGTGCTTGAGATTCTGGAGTTGGGTGATTTTAAGAAAGAGAAGACCGCTGTCTGCTTTTCTTCTTCTGCTTCTTCTTCCTTTTGTTGAGAAGCAGCACAAGAATTGGAAAGAGCTGTGTGAACCACTCAAGTATTGTGAGATCTGACGTTTGGAGAAGAATAATAGAAGAAGAAATGTGCTGTTGACAACCGCGTGGTGATTATTGCTGCCGATGTGTATAAACAGTCGGTGCCTGCGCCAGATCAAGAGGAACAGAAAGGGTGAAGAAGAGGGAGAGTATCCGCAGCATTCAAGTTCTTGAACCTCTTTGGCAAAGGCACGATGGGAGGCCAAGTCAAATATCCTCTTCGGACTGCCTTGTGATACTATTTGGTGGAGCAAGATCGAAGCAAAGAGAAGGTTGGGGCAAGGGAAGCTGAAAAAATCTGTGTTGCAAATGGAGAGACGAGGAAAGGTGAGGAAAGTACGTTGAAATTCTGAATGCTTTGGAGTAAACGCTGCCTCATATGGAGGGGAAAAAAGGTCGAACGTTTGACGACGAAGGCTCGTCTTTCAGGCGTTGACGGAGACCTCGCGCATCCCACAGGAGAGTGTCCTTTGAGAAGTCGTATTACCGAAGTTTCGTAAGTTGATGTTGTCCTCTGAGTTCCTTGTACAGCCCGGGACACAATCTTCTGAAAGGCGATGGCTATACAGGGGGGAATTGTCAGTAGGCGTGCATTCATTTTAATATCACTTCTGGTGATGTCTGCGGCCGTCCATCATAGACCATGGCCTCCGAAGACCAGTAACCACCAGCATCGTTCTACACGTATCCATGGTGCCTGCAATCAAATTTATGCGGGAGTTGCAAAGCATATTGATATCCTCTCTCTAATTCTAGAAATATCCACATTGCGAGCAAGTTATTATGACAATGTGCGGAATCTTTACTTGATCGCCTTGGCTGCCTTGACGAAAGCCCGAATTAAGTCCAAATCCTGTTTCCCGTCCACTTCTACACCGCTGCTCACATCGACACCGACTATTCTTGAGGAGAGAGGGCCGACTGCACCCACGGCCTCCGCAACGTTGTCAGGGTTGAGTCCGCCGGCGAACAGGAACGTCAGACCATCGTCCTTGAGAAGTTCTGCGCGGACGGTAGCATGGTTGAGCAGTTGTCCCGACCCCGACCCAGAGTCCAGCAGGGGAAGGACATGATAGCCACGGGACCCCAGACCGGGCTCGCCTGGGCTAAATTTGTGAATGACTGGCACAGGAATGAGATGAGCCCACTCGACAGGTTCCTTCCCGTGTAGCTGAACGACGTCAAGGTCGTACAGCTTCTGCTTCTCGAGCACCTCTTCCAAAGACTGATTCATGAAGACACCAACAACAAGCGGGCCTCTGCCCGTCAATGTGCGCCTCGCGACGGAGAAGCAATCCACAGCCATGTTAGAGCGATCGGTAGGTGCTGCATTGGAATTTCTTGTGCGATTCTCATGAACTGCTTGCGAGATAGCCAGGGCCGTCTCATGAGAGACGCAGCGCTTTGTACCAGGCACCAGTATCATGCCCACCAAGTCGGCGCCTGCTTTCACGGCTTCAACTGCGGCTTCAGCGCTACGCGTTCCGCAGATTTTCACAAGAAGTGGTAGAGCATTAGCTTTCGCTGGAGGTGCTGTTGCGCCCGAGCAGAGTTCATGGATGAATATGGACGCATCGGGAGCCCGCATAATCGCCTCTCCGACAAGAACGGCATTGACACCGTCACTCTTGCAGTCCTGGACGTCCTTGTGGGAGTTGATACCACTAAGGGCGCAGATGATAGTTTCCTGTGGAACCATGCTTCGCAAGCTCCTCGTAGTTCCCAGGTCGACCTCGAAAGTCTCAAGGTTGCGGTTGTTCACGCCAATGGCCTTAGCGCCGAGCTTCACGGCTGTGGTCATCTCCTCGGCATTTTGAACTTCGACAAGAGGCTCCATACCAAGGGACAAAGAGTACTTGTACAGGCGCTCGAGCAACTCCGTGTCGAGCATCTTGACAATGAGAAGAATGGTGTCGGCGCCTGCAAGACGTGCTTCAAGGATCTGATATTCATCGAAGACAAATTCCTTCCGAAGGATGGCCGGCCGGTTCGGCATCGCGTTCAGGACCTGCCGGACTGCTCGCAGGTCTTCGATACTGCCCTTGAACCACTCAGGCTCGGTCAAAACTGAGATGACGCTCGCTCCCGCGAGCGCGTACTTCCTGGCCTGCGTAGGGGCGACAATGTCGAGAGCAAAGACACCCTTTGAAGGAGACGCTCTCTTGATCTCAGCCATGAGGGAGACATCAAAAGGAGACCTGCGTAGACGTTCGACAAATGGGACAAGTGGCGGGGCGCAGTTGAGATCATAGGCAGCTTGCAGGTCTGCTAGCCTTTGCGACGGAATCTCCCTCTGGGCGGCGACCGCAATTCTCCGATGTGCATAGATTTGCTGGAGAATGTTGTTCTTCTTTGGGGCGGTCGAGGTAGACTGTGTCTCAACTATTGTCCTGTTTTTCTGCAGTCGCTGACTCTCGGCCCATGTACCTCCTTGGGTGAGCAGGAAATTCTTGAACATGGCTCTACCATCGGCTGAAAGAATGCTCTCAGGGTGGAACTGAACTCCCTCAATTGTGAACTCCTTGTGGCGGACGCCCATGATGACGCCCTGCGTACCATCGTCTTCCTTTGCAATCCAGGAGGTCACTTCCAGACAAGGCGGTAATGACACGTGGGTGCCGGCGAGGGAATGATATCGGGTGACAGGCAGACCCTGCGATAGACCGGAGTAGACTCCCTTGGAGTCATGGCACAATGGTGATGTCTTGCCATGTAGGATTTCGCCTGTTTGGCTGACATCACCACCGTAGACATCGAGAATGCATTGCTGCCCCATACAAACCCCGAAAATCGGGATCTTGCCTGCAAAATGGCGGATTGCATCTCGACTAAGGCCAGAATCCGTCTGTGGATGTCCTGGGCCAGGACTGACAACCAACTGCGTGGGCTTCCTGGCAATCAGCTCATCGAGGGTGATCTGGTCGTTGCGGAATACTGTGACGGTCGCCCCCTCTAGTACTAGATACTGGTAGACATTGTATGTGAAGGAGTCATAATTGTCGATGAGAATGAGGTTGGAGGCTGTAGGGACAGCTGGTGAGGGATCCGGATGATGAGGAGAGTGGTCTATCAGGTCCAACGCAGCCATCCTGAATCAGGTGCAGGGAAAGTGTTTCGAAAAGAGAAGTTGCTGGTAGTTTGAGAGGAGAGGCTCTGGAAAGGCTCTGTATTGAGGCCAGATGAGCAGAAAAGGTCGAAACAGCCAAGATGAAGGAGGGTGAGTCACCAAGCTGCTTTGCAGAGTTCAATGTTGTCTCAGTGGACAAAGAAAATAAATACGTTATGAGCCAAAGTAGTAAAGAATTATGCCTCAGAGACCGCTGATTAGGCTTTCTGACTCGGATTTCGGATCAACCTTGATCTGGAGGCTGGTTTGAGGTGAGCACTTCGGTTTGTTGAGGATATTGACAGCTAAGTGATACTTCACTTTCAAAAGTCTGGTCGTCTAGCGACAGGGTTTGGTGCTTACAGCGTAGAGGCTCAAATTTTAGTACAACGATCAACCTGGAGCCCGTTTTTGGCGTACCTTGTACAGTAGTACCTGAGTACCTGGTTTTATCGCTTATCTAAAAGGCTGGTACTAGTAGGGGGTTCAGAGCTCCCATGGCCTTGGGCCTGCCGGGGTTGATATTTTCTGGAAGCTTTACTGCGGCAACACGTCCAGCGCGTTCTGCTGAGCTTCCCCACGACTCAACCGCAACCCGACGGCCATAACGTTTCCCTCAAATCAACACTGGCCCATTTCACTCGATCAATCCGTCCAGCCATCTCAACTCTTTAAATCTCTTGACCCTTACTGTCCATGACTGCTCGCCACCACCACACTCCAAGCGTTGCTTGCTGAGCCTTGCGACCATGGCCTCACCACCAGACGCTGTTTACTTTCCACCCTTGGACCAATGCTTGAAGGGTGACAAAGTACTGCTGTGCGCATATGCCCTCTCGTTCCCGTTGTAGTCGCACAGCCCTCCTGACAATTCTATAGTTCTTGGAAGCTGGTCGCACCAGCCCTGCAAGATATTTCCGACGACCGTCTGTCAAGCGATGTTGTTTCCGACTTTCTTCGCGATACCCACGTCCACACGTTTCTCCAGGATCCTTCCAAGGCATTCAGCAAGGCCGATGCCACGAGCAAATCCGACTTCGAGACCAGGACAGCCGCTATAAATGTCACACCTACCCAGAACGACAAGTACGACATCAAGGTTCTCAAGGAAGACACCCTGTGGCTGAGCCAGACTGCCGACATCAATGAAGTTGCCGCGCTGCGCATCGTTGTCATCGAGTTTCAGACTCGCGCACAGAGCCACCTCTCTGGCCCTCTGTCGACTCAAGACGTCATAAATCTTCAGCAAGCTGTTGGTGCCGACGGCACACAGGCAAACTCGCTTCTGGCGTCTGTCAACGCGGCCGAGAGCGTAGACGTGGAAACGATATGGTCAAACTTCAATATGGAAACGGGCAGACGCCGGCGGCTGCTCGAGACCTATATGTCTGAACGGCGCTACTTCATGATGTTTGTTGACGCTCTGCTGAACTTGATGCTCGAGCACGCAAGCACGAGGCTAGTGGGATCTAGAGCAGCACTGCACCAACAACTACTGCAGACAACCTTTGGCGACGCCAATCTGGCTGGTGTGAGGCACGCAAGACGCGAAGGCCTCTTGACCAAATACCTTGAGCTATTGCCGGTTTACGTAGGCCGCATCGACAAGGGACCGTCGGGGGTCCTGGATGTTATGAATCTTGAGCTTGACTGGGTCAGGACAGTCGTCACGGAGACTCTGCACCTCCTGTCATCTATATTCCAGATCATCGACCTTGTCGACACTTTTCTTCCCGCACAGATCGTCTCTACTTGGTTCGAGTTCATTGATGTTTACGGTTTTTTGGATCAGTTGCAAGGTGTGGACGATCAGACGGCCGAAATACTACAGCCGATCAAGTCTCTCGTCTGTATCATATCGATGAAGCTTCTCAACCTTCCGAGATCTGTTCCCTTCCTCGATGGCGATTCAGAGGTGACTTTGCACCCTGACGAGGATTCTTACATCACCTCGGAGGAAGTATTGAAGCAAGTCGACGAGACCATCAACAACGCAGCCAATGCCGGCTTCGTTACGGCTGACCCAGTCATCTTCTCGTGGACTCTGATTTTGCAGCAGATGCTTGCATCGCATCATGAGCGGCAAGAGAGGAGAGACCTGCAGCAAAACAGACAGGCGCAGGAGGGGTTTGAACGCGAAATACAGCATGTCGAAGCCCGCCCTGGAGTCGGGAGACGCTCATCTGCTGGGAGCATTGTGTCCATGGAATCACAGTCATACGACAAGTTTTTGAACACTGTATTCGGAAACAGTCAGCAACAGCAAGACATGCAGCGCATCGAGCAGTTGGCGATGGCTGTGACCGCTGGAGGTCAGATGCACAATTTTTTGACCGAGATGGCCCTTGGCCTAGGGGAGTCACACAATGCACCTTTCCGCCCATATCTTGGAGCGAGGCTGCGTTTCGTTTTGCTTGACTTCCTCAACTTCAGTTTCCCCGTCGTCGGCTACATATCTGAATCCATCTCGACATTCTTCGCGGTTCTCTCAGCAGGTCGGGGATATTGGGAGATCTACAATGGCAGGACTTTGAGCGCCAGGGAGGACATTGTCGTCAAAGCTATGGACGACCGCCTGACGGTTCAATTTTATCTGAGCCAGGTCTGGCTCAGGTGGCCTTACGAATTCACGCCATTTACCAATCTTTGCAAGATAATATCCACCTCCTTTTCCGAGCATGCGGCTTCGGAGCTCGGACGTATCCTTGCCACTACTCCAGCACTGACATTCCACCTGCCCGATCCTTTTTGGGAATTCTCAGGAGAAGAGACGGACTTGGGGAAGCTGGAACTGGTCAGGGACGTCCCATTGTTCTCCGTCCTTCCGTCTCGCAAACGTCTCATGGCAGGCGAGGAGCCTTTCTGCATACCTGCTGGAACTCAAGGCCAGCTTGCGTCTGACTCGAGCCGAATTGTCCAGCTCCAATATGTGCATTCGACTTTTGCACTGTTAGGAAAGCGGCTGGAGACAAATCTGAGCTCTGATTCCTACGCCCTGGCTCTTGGCTCGCTGGAAGCAGATGACCTTGCAGAGGCGATTTCGCTCCTGGCAACTATGGTTCGCAGCAAGGGTGCCAAAGCGGCAGCCAAGAAGAATGCCTTTACAGCGGGTAACGCCGCCGCTTTGGAAATTCTTCAACAAGCCGGCCGCGACCTACCACCCCACAAGGATATCGTTACTGTTATCACGGACACCCTGGACTCTCATATTGATGGCGACCTGGCGAACTTGGAGGCGTCCGGGATCCGTGTCATCACGTCTTGCCTACAGTTCTTGGATTCAATATTACCCATCTGTCCAGGCAGGGTGTGGTCATACATGACACGCTGCGACCTTTTGATGAGTGCCTCCAAAGCTGGGATGCTATCGAGAATCACCAGCACACTTGACCTCGTCGACGAACAGTTCGATCTTTTGGTGACGGTTGTGAACTTTTTCTCTAGCTTGGTTGAGAGCTCGGTGGCGGGCGCAGTTCACAGAAAAATGGGGTCTAAGGCAATCGGTCGTGCTGCCGAAATGGAATACATTTGGCAAGGCACATCCGACAAAGCTCTGAGTCAAGTCACTCTTTCGATTGCGCATACGTCTGTCGACATCCTTGAGAATTCGTTGACGTGGCGATTCCCATCAGAAGTCCACCGCAGCGTTCTTCTTAGCGACCTGATACCCGTCCTGAACAGACTTGTCATCTATTCCCTAGGTACCGGATCTGGAAGTGACGCAAAGGATGCGAACAGCCCGCCAGGTGCAGGTGATTCACAGGGCGAGAAGAGGTCGAGGGCACTGACAGCCTTCCTGGAACCGGCTGCAAACTACATCGTTGACGGATTTTTGTCCTCGACCCCCTCGTCATTGAGGTTTCAACCGATCCTCGCCTCAATGTTGGTGGCGCTGGGTCTGCCTGACTCCACGTTGTATCAGAGGCGGACAAAGATAATTACAAACCGCCAGATTGCTTTTCTGAATCTCGCAACGACGCTGATCCGAGTTGCAAACCTCAAAGCGATGCCAGCAACTGCGATAGAAGGACAACTTCTGAAGTGTTCCTCGCTACTAGCTCGGCTTTGTGCGACAGATGCTGTCTATAGAGACCCCACTCTGTCGCTTCTTGGTGCTCTAGCGGAGCGAATCAACCGTGAAGATAGCGAAGCGCCGTCCTTGCTTGGTTATTTGGGGCCACAAGTTTCGCGATCATTCCTGCAGACGATCTCGAGACTAGACAAGCCTTTCGATAGGCCGACAGAGTCTAAGAATGCATGGGCATTCTTCTCCACCATCATGCGTAACGGACAGCATTGGATGGCAAATTCCTTGTTGACGGGCAAGACGCCACGCGAGGCCCTAGGCGGCAACGGCAAGATGTCCAAATTGGCACCAGACTCCATTCTCAAGACGGCTGTGACACGCTTACGATCAATCAGCACATTACCTACTTCGGAGACATTGGCGATCTTAGATCTGCTGACCTCGGCACACAACTACTGGCAATGGACTGTATTTGCTTCGCAGGAAGACAACAGTTGCCTCAATGAGTTGCGAGCTTACGTCCGAGACCTTAAACCAATCTCCACGACTGTCAAGACAGATGCCAGCCGAGCGTGCGATGAAGCACGTATTGCGGCTTATATCGCAGAAGCCTTTGCAATGCACCTCTACCATCTTCGAAAGACAGGTCGCGAGGAGGAGTTTGCTCGAGATCTTGCCAATGACATCGATTATTACCTGCGCGACGGTGTGACGGTGGCTGGCTACAACAGCTCGTTGCATGGCAACTTTGCCAAGAACTTCTCGAAGCAATACCCGGGATTCTCGCTTGAGAGTTTTCAGCGGGCGCTTCTCTTGCCCAGAGAACTTGGCGATGACTACTATTATGCACTTGGTGTAGCTGACAGGATGCTGATGTTTGATCCGGGTTGGGTTGGGCCACGGGAGAGAAATGGTTTCAGGGATGAGATGCAGGCTGCCAATCTCAACCTCTCTCTCGTGGACGCGCAAGTTGTGAGTTGTTTTGTGATCCCGAATGGTCTGGCGCAGCCCATGAAGCTAACTATCTTTCCAGGCTCTGTTCCATGCTTGGGAGTTCCTACTACTTGAGCTCAGCAGTTGTCTTCCGGCGAACGAGCACCTGATCACTACTCAGATGATGCAGGTCGCGAGACAATGTCTTGACTGCAATCAAGCCAAACAGGGACCCGAACGTATTTTCCTGAGGATTACAAAGTCTCGTGCAAACCTTGCACTGGTGATCATGCAACGTCTTCCGCCAACATCTCTGACGCCCAGAGACGCTGCTGAGCTTCTGATCACTGCATGGGCCACTCTGAGCAGCATCGAGAACCCTCTGGTACCCGAACAAATTCAACACTGGAGAACAATGCTCAGAATGCTCTATGTGGCGCTTCGGGCATACGGTACCTCTTCAGCAAATGCGACAAATAGTAACAAGAGTGCGAATGACAGCCGACTCGTCGAGGTTACCCAGTGTGTTTTCAACATTCTACACCGAGTTGTGGCCCAAGGCTTTCGGTCCTTGGTCTCGCTCATTCACGACACGGAAGTTGCGGTCTTACCAGAAGACCTGGCCCTCATCACTGCTATTCTGCAAGCATGTTTATGCCTACCAGCCATGGACGAGTACGCTGGCGAGGTCCTGAGTATCATGATCTCGGAGGACGTTGGTCGGGCTGCGCTATCTTTGTTCTCCTGGGCGGAAAAATTTGCGGTCAGCGGCGATCCCATCTATGGAGAGCTCAGCATACTGTTCCTGCTGCAGCTGTCCAACGTTCCGGCTATGGCTGAACACCTTGCATCTGACGGCCTGCTGGCCCAGATTGCTGCAGCCAGCATCACTACCCGTATCCAGCAACCGAACGTGAAGCCTTTTGCGGACAACATAGGGGCCCAACGCTGCTATGATATCTGGGCGAAGGGCATCCTCCCGCTGCTTCTTAATGTGCTGTCCGCGCCAGGACTTGGACCGAACATCGCCACCGAGGTCGCCTACGTTCTCAACCAGTTTCCCAACCTGCTGGATAGCAGCGCCGAGCGCGTAGAAGCACCAGGCATGAGCAGGACAGCTTCGAAGGGAGTCCACTTCGTCACACTCTTGGGCGTCTCGGAGATCAACTCACTTGCACTTTTGACACGCGTTTTGAGCGGGTACAGGACGAATTTCAATCGTGAAATTCCGGAGGTGTCTTGGGACTCGGCCACAGTGCTAGAGTGTGTGGACTATTGGCTGTCGACCAGGAAAATGCTGCGCGAGAGGTTGGTAGCCCTGGGCCAGCGAGAGGCTGATTGGAAGAACATGAAGACGTCTACGGAGGGCGTCAGCTTGCTGGAGGAGAAAGTGATCTCATTACTTGAGGCTGTCAAGGAGGTGCTTAGTGACGATCTTGAGTGATTACATCCCAGATGAACTGGATCAAGAAAGCCGGAGCAAGGAAGGTTAATTCTATAGCATTTTTGGCGTTTGGCTGGATAGCAAAATGGTTGGCGGGATAGCGGGACAAGAGATACCATGACCAATGGCACAAGAAATGTGATTTCTAAGAGTGTACGAGTTATATGAATATGTGAGTAGAATTGTGCTGCTGCTAGCATGTCTGGCCGCTGCATTTCATAATTGCCAAGTCATTATGACTGGCAGTTGGCATCCATTGCCCGAGCCCATCTGGTGATTTCACATGAGTGTTTCTCGCGACTTCACCCCGTGGTCCTCATCGACTAATATACTCAGGCCCTCAGCCCCCTAGCATGCCGTCTTGGTTCCATTTCATCTTTATGGCTTTCCCTCCAAAACAGCCGTGCTTTCGTCCTCTCACTATATGGAATTCTACGCACGGCAGCCACGACGCCAGAAGAAGCCTCACAGGAGTACTGTGCTCTCAGCCCTTTTGGACTCTCGTGGCGCCCTGTCGCCCCCCCCCCCCCCCCCAATATTCCGTATCTTGCACCTGCGTCTACCTTTGTCCCATCTTGGTCGCCATCTCTGTGTTGTGCTCCTGGAACCGCTCGGCCAGCCGCTGGCCGCTAGCCATGTACTTCTGAACGCAGCGGGAGACGCACCCATTTTCGCGCTCGGAGACGGCCTTAGAGGTGAAGTCGTTGACGCAGGAGGAAAAGCAGTGGTCGACGAGGTTGCCAAAGAGCTGGTCGCCAGCATAGGTTAGCAATCGCCCGAAGGATCGGGGGTGTGAGTCCGCAAACAGAGCGATGGGAAGGAGGAGGAGGAGGAGGAGGAGGAGGAGAAGAACTTACGCTCACGAACTCCTTGACCTGGCGTTTCTGCATACGCTGCTCGAGCTCGCGCTGCTCAGTGGCACTGAGTCCGCCTAGTCTGTTTTGTGCAGGTTTGGATGGTTAGTCCTGCAGCCTGCCAAAGAGAAGTGAAAGGCCTACGGATGATTTGTGAATATACTTACTGATCCATTTTATCTTGTCAGAGGAGCTGGCTCGTCTGGGCTGTCTAGTAAGGGGGTGGTGTTGTTTGATGATGCCGAAGCTTTCGAGTGGCAGTTGAGCTTGCCAAATGCTGTGAAAATTCCAGGGCCGATGGGTCTGCAGAGTGATGTCAACCGCACCTGCTACAAACCTGGCTGCTTATGTAACAATTCCACTCAACCAAGACTTCATATCAAATGTTCACAACAACTCTTTCCTTTTCTCTCTCTTTCCAAACATGCTATGCAATTATTTCTGCATACAGAGACTGCAGTATGCATCGCGCCTCACTCCTCTATCTGGATCAACATCTGCATTGGGGCATCATTACAATACCCTATTTCGGTGACCACAGCCCCACTGGCTCGACCGACTGACGATATTGGGGATGATACCATCGCATAGCCATTCAGAGCAACAGGCACCTGCGAAATGAAATAGAGTCCCTTGAATTCTTTTTCTGGTTCATTGTCTTCAAGTGGCAAACAGAATTCGGGCCTGCACATCTCAATGTCACCGCTTTTTCACCAGGTATGAACATTTGGAAGCAGGCCCTCTCGTGAAAGCTAGCTCTTGTGACAATTCTTGGTTTGCAACACTGATAGGTGTTATGCCTTAAATTGTCGGAAATTGGCCAAGAGCGATCAATCCAATGCCCTGACCACGACTCCCGACAAGACTTCTTGTGAACAGCCATCCTCAACAATGGTGTGGTTTTGACTCATCATTACCGCAGGGTCAGACTCGAACTGGACACATTGAGATACCAACTCATTGTCTGGCAACTTGGAGACCGCATTCGTGATTGGCAGAGGATCTGACAAGCCTGCTCTATCCTTCAGGAATTCCAACCACTATTGTAACACAGCCTGACCTCTGATCCTGACGCCTAACACTGGATCACCATGGCAGCCTGACTTTTGCAAGACACCTTGGAAGACCCTGGAACTCATCACATTGGCTGAAAATGTCAGGGTTCCCTAGGGCGAGAGTGGGAGTGGGTCAACAACAACTCTCAGCGCCCAGGATGTCTCAGCCCTACCCAGGCAACTTGCTTCGGCTTGCATTTCGGTGCTGCGTCCCTTGCTCTATGCCTCTTCTTCAATTCCTGTACGCACCCCCTCCAGAATTCAACGGGCTTCCCTGGGTATGCGGCACACCAATTATTTGCGCAGGATTTCTCGCTTGGGATAGTCTCTTGACATAGATCCCTACGTCACACTCGAATCACCAATCAACAAGCCGTGTTACCTTGTCCGACGTCGTGCCTGATCTTCTTGATCTGCCTTGCTAGGCGTCCGCTTATTGGAAAGTCTATATGCATGAGCTATTCAGGACCATCATCTTGGCAGATCATACAGGCCGGTACTCTCGGAGCATCTTGTTATGGCTGCACGCTAAAAATCTTATCATAGATGGATTCAAGCCGGCACCGGAAGCCTCGCAGTGCACAGTGCTCCGGTGGGTTTGAGACATTATAGGAGCAGTCTGACATGTGGAGGCCATTTCTGTTGCTCCAATCGCATCTGAAGACAGAAGTGACGGCCGCGACTGTGCTTGAGATTCCGGACGGCAACAGCGCTCTTCTACACACGACAAAGGAGGCTCCGGCGGTGCTCGGTCTGTCGTATTGTCCGACTCCAACGGAAAGAGTTAATAAAGTAACAAACTCATGAGGCGGGCTGACAAAAGGGTATACCGAGCCAGGACGGTTTTTCCCTCCGTGATGTTCGCTCGAGGAGTCTCAATCCCAAGCTCGAATGTGTTTCGCGTACTAAGAAATGACTTTGTGTAACGTCTTTGTGCAACCCGAGCTTCGGTCAGGTGTGCATCCTATATGACAACGTGGGATTGGCTGGAACGCGAGGTCCGGCCTCTTCGTCCTGCAGAAAGAATGATGGCCTATGAACTCAGCCTGAACAGTTGAAGGAAACGATTTTGATAAATTGTGGTTAGCCCAGATTGCACACAGTGCATGCATGTCCTGGGCAGGGTGAGTGAAGAGACAAAAGAAAAAGACTCTTCTAGAGGGGGTAGGAGAGAGGAAAAAATAAGCCCTCGTCTAGGTGGCTTTCTCCGCTGCGGTTAATCAAGGACTGTTGTACAGGTGCACTGCACCGTCAATTTTCTTTGACCAAGCACACATGAAAACTGGGTAAACGCGGTCTGGTTACACGACAGCAGAGGCAGGTGAGAAAACAGCGCTTGTGGGACTTGAGCGTCACATCACTGGTAAGACACACAGCAAGGTTGCAGCCGTCAGCTTCCAGCTCTGGCGATGTTGCCGCCGGTCAGCTTATCGTTGCTGCCCTCCTCCACGACAATCCTCCAACCACGATTTTCTTCCCCCTCACTTACAGACTATGTAGTATTTCTCGTCATCCGAAGCTCTCCCGGGGGTTGTTGCGGCATACTACCCATATAGAGGGACCCACAGCCTAGAGACTTGGCGACAGCCGCCGAGAGGCCCTTCTTTTTCTTTTCTGGTCCAGTGCTAAAGAAAGCACACAGCCCTGGAAATCTCAAGAGACAAATTTGTGTTTCTTCTTCTTCTTCCCACCTCCTCACAGGCGCAGCCGCAGTCAAGTGGCGAGATTCCTATGTGGAGGCTTGCGAGACAGAGATACGAAGAAGAAGGAGTGCCATTCCTCTCTGGGGGAGCACCCCCTATCTGACCGCAGACAGGTACTGGCTGACCAATAATTATATTCACAGGTTCTCATCACTCTGTTTTCAGTTTTTACCTGGACGCTAAGCAGCCACTTGGGGGGCAATGCAGGTTTTAGGGCTGCAGCGCGGCAGGCACAAGGCAGGATGGCAGGTAACGCACGTACGTTACATAGTACGGAATAGTATGCTGCAAGGAGGATTGTAATCCCTGGAACCCACAGCCATGGTTAAAGTACCTAGTCGTCTGGATACATGCCCTGCAGGCCTTCGATTCTTACGCTCCATCCTGCCCTGCCCTCAGCCACGCCTGCACCTGCAATCGATAGGCAGGCATATTGGTGGTCATCCTTCAATGCCCACGTCTGACCCTCTTGGACAGATTTTCGGCATGTCTGGACTCAATCGTCCTTGACCGCATGGGAAAACCCGCAGGGCTGCACCACCCGTTCATTAATCTCTCTCTCGCGCCCTCTCTCTCTCTCTCTCTCTCCTCTTCCCGGTAAAGCCAGACAAGGCCGTCCCGTCTGCTTACACGCCGAGTGTTCCTTATGCTACACGCAGCCTGCTCTGTTCACCGCGGTTCGACATCATTCGATGAAACTCCCCTGCTCTCACACCCAGTCTCCTCGTCTGCAAGCTGCAGGTCTCTCTTACCGCCGTCCCCAAAACAGAATTTTGCAGGATCCTTTGAGTTGATTGATTGAGAACGTATTGAAGGGTGTTCCCACCCCTGCAAGTGGTGTTATTTGCGAACTGCAGTCACTTTTTCAGAAGACACCCCCCTCACTCTATCCTACCATCCGGCAGCCACTCATATTCACACATCCTGTCTGTCTCTTTTTCTCATTCTCCTTCTTAGACACACACACACACACACACACTACCAGGCAGCTGTTCTTCGAACCACCCGCCATCTCAGGTCAGCGAGCTGGAACACCTGCAATGCTCGCTTTAAAGTCTCAGCTAAGGGGTATATAATATGTCTCGACACGACCCTACCCACTCTTCCGGGCTGGAGCCTCCTCTATACAGCTGTTATCGTCTTGACACCATGCCTTCCGACTCCCGGTCTTCAAGCCCTTCTGCGACGCCGGCCTCATCTGGCAGAAAAGGGTCTAAGAAGGTCAGAACGGGTTGTGTTACCTGCAAGTAAGTACACCCGTCACCTGTACATGCATCGGGAAGCCAAGCCGCCGAAGTAGTACTCACCCTCGGACTAGAATACGCAAGGTCAAGTGCGATGAGACGAAGCCCTTTTGTCTAAGGTGCACAAAGACCGGACGTAAATGCGACGGCTATCTCGACCCCAGGGCCTTGGCTGGGAGACGTCTTAAGAAGGAGAAGAGCCCTCATGATCATGTTCTGGGCCCCCTCCTGGAGTTCTCCGCGCCAGAAGAGAAACGGTCCTTTTACTTTTTCCAGCACGTAACGGCGCCCTGCATCTCTGGAGATTTCGACGCTTCCTTTTGGAGGGTCATTGTGCTGCAGATATCACAGACGGAGCCTGCGGTCCGGCATGCCGTCCTCGCCGTGAGTAGTCTTCACGAGGGTCTTGCTGCTGGTACCATTGTCCCCTCCAGAGACGGTGCTGTGCTTCCACCAAATACGCAGTCTTTTGCACTCCAGCAGTACAACAAGGCAATCGCCCGTCTCTTGGACCAGATGAACAATCCCCTCACCAAGCCTCTCGCCTCCCTGCTCACATGCGTCCTCTTCGTATGCATCGAGTATATGCAGGGTAAGGACAAGGAGTCCCTCATTCATCTCGAGCAAGGCAGACAGCTTCTGGCAAGGCTGGACCAACGATCCATGGACCCTGAGATGGACTGCATCGTCCGGCACGTGGTTCCGCTGTATACCCGGCTCAGCCTTACATCATTCCTCTTTGGGGCCAGCCCGATACCCATACCCGAGTCTCTCAAATCGCACAGGGACATTCCTGATACTTTCGACACGATCGACAACATGAGGCACAGCATGCACGAGTTCATGGAGCAGGCGTTCCGATTCACCCAACAAGCACGGCCGGCAAAGAACCCAAGCGACCACATCCCGCGAGAGACAATGAGGCTACTCGAAGTAGAGCAGGATCGCTTGCTATCGCGACTGGCCAAACTCAACGTGGCATTTTCTCTGTTCCGCGCCTCGAGATCGCAGCTTGGCCCTGAGAGTGCGCTTCTTGTCCTTCAGATGTACTTACATGCACAACACATCTGGATTTCCACGGCACTGAGCTCGTCCGAAGTTGTTTATGACGATTTTCTCTCCTCCTTCGCTGCCATAGTCCCGTTGGCTGCCGCATATCTTGACCTGGAAACCTCGCCATCACAACTTCCGGTATTCACACAGCAAAGATATCCACCTTCTACAGAAGTACTGCAGTACTTCCCAGCGCCAGAGCAGCTCCCCATTGCCTACACTAGCAACTTCACCTTCGAAACACACATCATTCCTCCATTATACTACGTGGCCACCAAGTGCAGGCACCCTCTGATCCGCCGATCGGCTCTAGAGCTTCTCAAGCGAAACCCCTTCCGACGCGAGAATCTGTGGCGGGCGAGCGTGATGGGTGCCCTGGCAGGGCATATCGTCTCGCTGGAGGAGCGGTGGGCACAGGCACCAGGGTACTCGGTCATGAGACAATCGATATCGAGTATAGCGGAAGTTTCGCTAGAGAACACGCGTCGCGACACGCCACCGAACCAGCATATACCACCTCCACATGAGCAGCAGCAATATGATTCCCAGAATGACCTGGACCCCTACCGTGTGAGCATGGAAGGCGAGCAGCAAAATCATGCCATGGTATCACCCGCCACTGTGCCAAGAACAATGCCGGTTTTGAGCCACAGCAGTATCGAAGCGTTTCAGCCACCTCTGGACCCGTCCATCCTCATTCAGGTGGATGCCGAGGTCGCCTCGTCGCTCTCCCAGCCACCATCGCTCGCCTCGTTTACATCCATCGATGATGGGTACTCAACAGCCTCCCTTGCAGAGCCAACTATGGCGTTCCTGAACCCTCACGGTCACGGCGAGACCTGGTTGTGGCAACAGCAGCAGCAGCAGCAGCAGCAGCAAACGCAGCCGCAACAGCAGTCTCAGAGACGCGAGTTTTATCAGCAACCGTCTCTTGTGAGATCTCTTGCATCCATCTCCTACGAAACTATACGAAACGCAAACCAGATACGCCACGCAGAGCAACGTGGCGCGGCGACAGATGGTTCCTCCCATTCCGGTAGCTCGGAGATCTCGTCTGTGGATATGGAGGAGCGAAGTCGCTACCAAATGATGGCAAGCAGCCATACGCCCTATCAACAAGTCACGAGGGCCGCATCGATGGCCTCGCTGCAACAGCTGCCGACAAATAAGGAAGTCCCGAAGAACCTGCCCACAGAGGCGCCGTTCGGACTCCCCGAGGAGCTGCGCGTGCACGATGCGATCATTGGTCCCGAGAGGGAGGACGGCACATGGGTCGCGGTGTTCAGGAAGCTGCATGGCTTTGATACGGACTGGGATGTTCAGCACGAGTGGGTTGCGACGTTGTAGGTGAATTATCTGTAAATTGAGAATCGGCATAGAATCTTTTTCTCTTTTCCTTGTGAGCGGAAACTTGTCTGAGCGAGGGGTTTGGGGAATAGGATGTTTAAGCACATTGGGCTTGTGGTGACGGGCGTCTGGGAGTCCAAAGCAGGAAAACATAGGGAAATCACACTAGCAGCATGTTGGTTCTCATTTGTTGATGTTGTTTTGGATGTCATATACCTGCCTCGATACACCTTTTCTTTTACTGTGTACGGCCAGGGTAGACACTGGATTCTCTGTGATGTGCGATATCAGGCTCCGATGCGAACGAACACTTCTTCGTTCTCACCTCCTCTACCACTGTATAACAAAATTTCTGTGGCAAAACACCTTCCTTGAGAGACTTACTTGAAAAGCAAAATCGAACAAAGAGGAACGGGGACGGGGATGCTGGATTCTTCGAGGGATGGCAAGGCAGACTCACCTCACAGCCTAATACACTCTCTCAGTTGATCCTTCTGTGACCTGTGACGTTGAAAAGGAGAAGGATTAGGGCTACAGAGAAACTAAGTAGAAAGTTACGTTTGGAGTTTCGAGCTATGTGCGGCTGCTTCCGAGCGGTCAGGATCGGGATATTCCCCTCGGGTCCGGGGGGGGCGGAGGGGGGGGGGGGTTGCCTACTCAGTGCATTGCTGTGCCTGGTCAAGCCTCGGTTCATTTAGAGGTGACCGGTCCCGAGTGGGTTTTGGGGCTTATGTTTGGGATGCGAGCCAGCCCTGTGTGCTTGTGTGGTGGCTTGGCGAATCCTTTGGGTGGCGGTTTGATATATGATCTTTCTGTTGGTTAACTTGAGGGGTGGGGGGTTAATTTCGAGGGTCCCCTTTGTATTTGGTAATCATCTCTTACCCTCAGGTTCATGATATTGTACGAGCTTTGCCGTGCTATGCACCTACTACCTGTGGACGGACCCCAAGAATACTGAGGGTTAACATGTACGGCAACACACAAAGTTAGCTTCGTATTTATTCCCTGGCTGAAGGCAGAGGGCGAAGAGTGCAGGCGAATTCTCGTACAGAATCTTCGCCACATGAAACAACTCGCACCAGAAGTGATCTGACGCTGAGGTTCTGCCTCTGGAAACGGGAGGATGGATGAATGAATATGGGGAGGCAGCAGTGAAGGCTGAACATCGTGGCTGACAATGCAATAACAATATGGATGGTACTGTGTAAAGGTGAAGCTGAAACAAGTATGGCTAATATGAAGACACTTGTGGTTAGCAATAGATTTCGGGAATCTTCTCTGAAATATATGACTAGGTTTGATTTCAAGGACAGATTGGATGAACAAACAAGACCACTTCGTTCTGGGGCAGGAAGAGGGTGCTGTCTCTTCACCTCTGCCCCTTACTCCTCTTCCTCCCCCCTACGGTCCTCCTTCTTCATCGTCGTCGTCCCCTTCAAGTCCCTATCCACGGCTCTAGCAATCCAGTCCGCAATAGCCATGACCGTCACCATGGGATTCACGCCACTAGCCGACGGAAACACACTCGCGTCCGCAACATACAAACCCTCCACCCCCCATACCTTCCCATGCCGGTCCACCACCCCGCCGTCCTCCCTGGCACTCATCCTGCATGAGCCCATCTGGTGTGCAGACGCACACCCCACATTACCCCGTATCGAGCCCAGACGTCGAACCTTGTCGAGCCAGGCTGTGAACGCCGGATCCACAGCACCTCCAGCCTGCTTCTTCTCCTCTTCCGCCTCGTCCTCCTGTGTGCTGTTGCCGTCCTCGCGCACGAACGGCTCGACGCCGCTGACGAAGGGCTCAATCTCCCTGGCGCCCATGATGTACATGATCTTGCAGAGCGCCAGGACACCCTCAAGGGTGTGGGCGCGGTCAAAGTCGGACGCGGTGTAGTCGACCTGGATGGCGCCCGTGGCTGGGTCGGGGTGCACGCGGCCCGAGTCTCGGTCGCGGGTGGCAGAGATGAAGGCGTCGAAGTGGCGGTAGCGTAGGGCGTTGCGCTTGAAGTCGAGGCCCGTGCGGAAGGGTAAGGAGGATAGACATGTGTAGGGCTTGGGATGGGAATTCGTTAACAACTCATCGCTGATGGTGGTGAGGAATCTGATTTTCTTTTTGATATCTTACTGTCATGTTGGTGGTTTCCAATTTGACTCCGTGTCCGTGTCCGTCGAGATCCTCCAGCTCGGAGCAATAGCTCGTGATGATGGCGCCTATGAATAGAATAATCATGATTTGGCCCAAGATAAGATTATGAAGAGTGACATGATTGAACGCACCTTCCCATGGCTTCGTATCTTCCATGAAAAAGCCGCCTGCCGTGTAGCATGGATGAAGTCGAAGGTTCCTTCCAATTTGAGGGTTCTGGAGAAGAGAAAGACGAAGAAGGAGCAGGTGTCATCAGTCAGCCTGAAATAAATTTCTCTCTCTCTCTCTCTCTCTCTCTCTCTCTCTCTCTGACGAGAAAAGGTAGAAGAACTCACGGTCAAACCACTCCTCAAGAGAAGCATTGGTGTCCAAAGCGCACCACAGCTAACAATAACCTTCTTCGCCTTGATCATGACTTTTCTTGTAACCCTCTCCTCCACAGCACCGCTCACCGTCCCCTTTTCATCCCTCGCCGTCCATGTCCCAGCCACACCCGTTGCCGTCCTTTTATTATTGTTATTAACATCCTCGCCCTCCTCAAAGAGTATCTTCTCCACGTCAAACCCCTCCATAAACTCCGCCCCTGCCCTCGCCGCGTCAGGCAACCAGCATGTTGCCGGCCCTTGTTTCTCGCCGCTCCCACATCCCATCGTGCAGTGCCCGCAGCTGTGCTCCTTGCCACCAGTGTTCTGCGGACACACATCCGCCCGCCAGCCCAGTTTCCTTGAGCCCTCCAGCAACACCCGCCCACGATGCGTCTGCACCACCGGCTCCGTCGACACGCCCATGCGTTCACACACACGATCCATGCAGGCCTCATACTCGGGCCCAGCGAAGAACCCAAGCCCTCCTCCTTCGCCCTCCTCATCGGTCGCCCATTCCTTGCGCACGGCATCCTGCGTCCGCAGTGACACACTCCAGTTGACGGTGCCGCCGCCGCCCCAAGTCGCACCGGCGATGATGCTGATGGACGTGTCCACGGAGCTATTGACGGCTCGGTCAAACAGGTACCGGCTCGCGGCGGTGCCGGGCATGGGGAGCTGGGAGGGGGGAAAGTAGTAGCCTTTGTCGACGACCAGCACGCGGTGGCCTGCCTCGGCCAGTATTTTAGCGCAGACGGCACCACCACAGCCGGAGCCTACGATCACGATGTCGGTCTCGATGGTGATGGTGGAGGGGGCTGACGGTGAGCCTGCTGCTTCTCCAGGTCCTGGTTGCAGGAACGCAAAATCAAAGTCGGGGGCTGGCTTCCAATTTAGGGGCACCTCTGGATAGCCGACGACCTGCCGGAACATAGGTGAGGACATTAGCCAGGCGATCTGGGCGATGCGGACAAGGGCCCTCGAGGCACGCCTCAAGCCAGACAGCCAGGAGACGTGCCAGCCCTGGATGACGGCCTCTCGAATCAGGGTGGACTGCTGGTGAAAGGGGATGCACGAGCCTGTCATGAGGAAGGCTCCTATGCTGGAGCTGTGTGAATGGAAGCATGTAAGTATCAAGCGGCTACGTTGCATTGTGCTTTGCCCCCCAGCAGAGAGTGAGAGAGGGAAAAGTGTTGCCTACGCCAAGCTGGACAGGAATGTACCAAGTGCCTCCTGCTGCTTCACAGGTAGGCGAGAGGTGATTCGAATGATGGTCTCTCGGACCGCCGGGCTGGTCGACAGTCTCTCCTGCAGAAAGGCCTGCAGTGAAGCCTCGTCTTTCTTCTCGAGCTTCGTGTGTCTGGCCGTCTCCATCACGCTCGAATATGCAGCATCCGATATGCCCAGCTGGCTCAGTCCGTCTGTGAGGCACGGCTTGGACACGATTGCAGGAATTATGCTGTCCATGACGGCCCAGAAGATGTCCCATTGCGTCTCGCTCCAGAAACCGGCCGGGGGTGTCATCGGCAGCTCGGGCGATCGTGGTGCCTGGAGAGACTCGGAGGACATCACTGGAAGATCCATGGCAAGAGATCCTGTCTTCTTTTCTTGTCGCATTGATACCTACTCAACTACCAAAATTGAGGTTGTTCCTGGAGAGGGTCGTTTGTGACTATGGCATGAGAGATGTTGTAAAGACGCAGCTCGGCTGGATGAAGACCATCAACCAGCAGTCTTGGCCCATGACATCAATATTGAAGGATTCAATCCACATCGATTAGGGTTGGACCATCAAAAGTAATAGTTTCCCCCCTGCCTGGCCCTCCGAGCCACGCAGGGCTGCGGCAGCAACATCTCCAGTTGATGAATGTTGCACGGTTGTTTCCGCTTCCCGCCCTTGTACCGACTTACTTATTGCTTGGGGACCCACCAACACTAAATCCTTTTATACAAGCATACACCTGGGGTGAAACGGGCCATTCATGGGCAGGTCTGCCGGCCATTGCGATCTTTCGTGCTCGTCTATCGAGCCTCTATCTGGATTTTCATCTCGATTGGCTACTTCGTGTCCAACGAAGAGAGGGAAGATAATGAACTTCCCAATTATGCTGAGGAAAGGGGTGGTGATGCAGTCCATCCATTTCGTGGCGCTGATCCAGAGAGGAGGCAACACATGCTACTTTGGATTGTGTAGGGCTGGAATGGGGGCGAGCTGGCCGCTATCGTCGAAGAGAAGGAAAAGTCTACCAACCCTCCCTGGTGCATATGTCCGGATCAACTATTTGCTTTCCTGCACGTCAGCATTTCTAGACTGCAAGAAAGGAATGAAACATACCGGTTGGATGTCATGGGCGATGGTACACAGTAGTACAGTAAACATTCAGGGGAGGAGCTTGGAGCTGATGAGGTCCCTAGCGGACGTTGTGGCTGCAGACAGACAAATCAATAGTCTAGAGAAAGCCCCTGCAGCTGGGCCACATCCATGCATATAATATTCAAAAACATCATCATAATAATGATACCGAGGGGCGATGGAGGCGTAAGCGTCCAAATAATTACTGCTATGGTACATTTCTTAAAGTACTGAATCGGGATCAGCCGTTTGTTGGTACGCAACGCAGCATCCAATCACTACCACCGGAAGAGGCTCTTCAGACCTAGCCAGGATCCTTGCACTGATAGGAAGCGAAATTCTCCATTCTTTGCCTAATCAGAAGCTAGATGAAGCAGTGGTAAGGGTGTTCGGATGAGAAAATGTCGACTACTGTAGACAGACACTGTTTCTGGAGTTTTGGATATTTTTTTTTGTTGAGGCCGAACAGAAACTGAAACTTATGCACATGCCTGTTTAGTTCATTTTCCTCGTTACAGGTGCTACCCCAAGATGCATATTATGGGGACTGTCTCACTTTTTTTCTACAGCTCCCATACTACTACACCTGATGTCATTCTATGTAAATGACAAGGCCCATTCAACAAGGAAAAGGAAACTCGAATGGCGCATCCTGTTTCTTTTGTCTGTCTCTGCTTTTTTGATTTGAGACCACCTTTCTTGAACTGAAGGTAGAGGTGCAGGCTCGCAGCCCGCGGATGGCCGGAACTAGTAATGTCCAAGCCAAGCAATGATCTGTGAAGGGCGGCCCGGGGCGCAGTCTTTGGAAAATTCAACAAAAACTGTTTAGTAGTGTGTAATCAAGTATTTGCCACATCGTGAGGATGCAGAGCTCAGCACTGCATGCTGGATAACAGCCTGTGATTGTTTCCTGGATCCTGTCCATTTGATCCTACAGGCGAGAAGTGCTCACAGTGGAGCATGAGTGGAATGGCATGTGAAAGGGTAAAAAGTCCGCTTCCGTTCTCCCGACAGCTTGGGTGTTGAGAGGGGACGCAACCCCCCCCGGCGCCTGGGTACGACATGCTTTTGACGCGAGCCATAGTACGACTTATTATTATTCGTCAGTTATCTTGAGAGAGAGGGGGGGGGGGGGCAGGAATGTATTCAGAAGATGGAGTATTGTCTTGAGTGTACTTCACCATTTGATGTTTGTTTAGTTTGGACTTCCTCTCACCAATGTTAGAACATTGATTCACTCACCGAACAGTTCTTTACTACTACGCTGGTCCTTGCTCTCACTGCTTGAACCATGATCATTTGTCATTTTTGATAGAGAAAAAAAAAACCACCTCCCATCAATCAATTAAGCAGCCCCCCCCCCCCACCTGGACCCTGAATATTGCGACCCAAGCAAGCCTCCAACAAGGTGGATCACCAGTCAACTACCAAGTACACACTGCCAAACAATTAGCAACTTTTGCTGTAGAATAGGGACACACCGCGGCCTGGACGGGCAACTGCACAACCACTGTCAATAAAGAAAGAAGTCCAGGGACCACAAAGCTGCATACTTTTATTCATCAGATTTATGCAACACACCGCAGAATTCTGGAGCTGGATCCAGAAACTGGTCCCCATCCCATTTTCATCGCCCGCGCGGCCCAGTAGCCGAGGCTCGGATCTGTGCCTGTCCTTGTCGCGGGAAAGCACCCTAAACCGGCGAAAACAAAAAATGTTGGGAAGCAACAAGTGGAAGTTGCGTCACGACAAAACAGAAGTGCAAAGAAAAAAGTCAAGAAAAATTCCCACACAAAAATATCTCCCTGTCTCTATCTTCTTTGCTTGGCCGCCCTTTTGTGGGTTCCTCATCAAGTCTTGACAAGAAAATTCCTTGTGACAGTCCTCAACCTACTTACACCACTTTTCCTCTTCTTCAGACCGTATTCTCCTTGTCTAAAGAACTTACTTTACTAGACAAACTCTCACACACTTTCTCTCTACCTCTCTCCTCCTCACACACGCACACCAGTCATCAATTCATGATGGACGGGCCGCCCCAGATGTATGTGACGTCGCCTGATTGGGCCCTCTTCAGCGGCCCGGTCAGCGAGCCGCAGTTCCTCCCGCCGCCTCTACCGGGTTCCATTCCTTCGGCGCCACCAGTCCTGATTTCCGATTACATTTACCAGGCCGCTCTCGACCCAAAGGTGCCCATCACCATCGCCGCCCTCTACGCCGTGACCGCCAAGCTTCTAAACAAATACAACATCTCGAATGGCAGGAAGCCATGGGCCCTCAGCAGGACACGTCTGTTCCACGCCTTTGTCGTTGCTCACAATATCTTCCTAGCCGTCTACTCGGCCTGGACTTTTTACGGCATGGTGGGCGTCATGTACCGTAGTGTCGTCAGCCCAACCTCGTCGCAGGGCGTCAATGGCTTCGTGGACAGCATGACTAGGCTTCATGGTCCTGGGGGGCTCGGCAACGCCGTCTACTACAGCCAGCAGGACGGTCGGTGGATGTCGTACTCGAGCAGTGTCTCCCTCGCCAGTGACGGATCCCCCAGCCGCACCGACACTGGTCGCATTTGGAACGAGGGCCTGGCCTTCTACGGCTGGATCTTCTACCTCAGCAAGTTCTACGAGGTCCTCGACACCTTCATCATCCTGGCCAAGGGCAAGCTCAGCTCCACCCTCCAGACCTATCACCACGCCGGCGCCATGATGTGCATGTGGGCTGGTATGCGCTACATGTCTCCGCCCATCTGGATGTTCGTCTTTGTGAACTCTGGTATCCATGCTATGATGGTGAGTCAGTAACGGACGGAGGGGCGCACAATACGTCCCTTGTGTGTGAGAGAAGATGTGGAAGGCTTTCCCCTTCTTCTCCGTCTCCTTTCCCTTTTCCTCCTCCTCCTGCTACACATGAGTGAGTTCTGCTGACACGATGTTAAGTACACCTACTACACGCTGAGCGCATTCTCCATCCGCGTGCCCGTTGTCATCAAGCGCACCTTGACGACCCTGCAGATCACCCAGTTCCTGGTCGGCGCCTCCTATGCCATGATTCACTCCTTCGTCAGCTACACCGTGCCCGTCACCACCACCGTTGTCAAGACCGCCACGGCTCCGGCTTCGGCTGCGGCTACGACCGCCACCGAGGCCGCTGCTGCCAGCCCTGCCCTCCTCGACAGCCTAAAGCAGCTCGTCCTTGGGGCCGCGTCTAAGGTGACTAATGCCGCTGCTGCCATTACCGAGGAAGCTGCAGCAACAGAGGCTAATGCGGCAATTTCCCAGGCCACCACCGTCGAGGAGACGGTCAGTGTACACAAGATCGTGCCCTGCATCGTTACCTCGGGCCAGACCTTTGCCATCTGGCTCAACGTCCTGTATCTCGCCCCCCTGACCTACCTGTTCGTCAAGTTCTTCATCACGAGCTACCTGCGCCGCGCGGGCGCCGAGTCTGCGCGCAAGGACAGGAACCGCCGCGAGAGTCAGGTTGCTGTTGCGGAGAAGGCCGGCTGGGATGCCGCGAGGGGACTCGAGGCAGAGGTCTATGGGACCCCCGAGAGCGATCGCGTTAACGGCGCTGCGGACACCAAGCCGCTGAACTCCCCCCCCAACGGAAAGGCTGTGAACGGCTCTGCCAGGCGGTCGCGCCGTGCCTGAATGATTATCTGGTCCCGAAGACCAGTAGGACTGCAAAGCACCTGCGGATAAAGTAAAGAGAAAGAAAAGATCATTTGCCACACAGGTATTGCCAACAATACCAATAGCCGACAGCAGCATCAGAAGAAATAAATGCGGACAGAGACTCGACAGGCTCCACCGTCCAACGTGAAGTACATGCGAAGCACTGAGACTGGAGCAAAGACAAGATAGCTGCGAGGGAAGAATAGACAAGTGTGCTGAGTCAGGGTGGATAAAAGAAATGCTGGCATGTGAGAGGAAGAGCCAGCGAAACTTGTTTGTTTTCTTTTGCGTGCATAGCATTTCTTCATCCCCCATCACGATACCGAAATAGATTGGGGAGCATACGGCGTTCTCGGTGCAGGTTATCATCAGCAGCAGCAGCAGCAGCAGCATGGAGAGATATTTATGCTGCCAGGAGTGTGGAGAACAGTCAAAAGGGATGGCCTGTGGCTCATACGGTTCTTGACCCTGCATGTCACTTCGGCTCTGAGATGGGCTCATGGTGTGCCCATGAGCAGCGAGTAGGACGGGCTGGCAGCTCTCATTCGGCCACAGACGGTGATGGGCAGAAAGCGATTATGGAGAATAAATACCTAACATACATTTCCCCCATTTCGTCCAACCAGCTGCGCTATTCATCTTGCTGCCACTACAAGGAATTACTTACGACGGACGCATCAAACTCAATTTTCCTTTTATTAGTAGTTCTTCCCTCCGGTGGGTCGGTTATTCACTCGTCCGTCCGCCCGTTCCTTCGTTCAATCGGTCGCTTTTTCCCGTGAGGCTGTCTTATGGGGTGGGCATCCCAGTAGTCCTTCCTCGTCTCTGTTAATTACGTAAAAATTAGGGAAACTTATATTCTCATCGAAGACAGAGAACGACAAGAGTGGACCAAGAATACAGCTCCCGGTAGGTATGGGACTCATGCACAAAAAGCAGACAGCAGCGGAGAGCAACGGGGTAGGTAAGCCAGTGTACATATTTGTGAGAGATCTTGATCAATTCCAATCTAATAAAAGACTCCCGTCTTCATTCTAAGGTCGTAATCCATGGGTTTGGGCATATAAGGCCGATAGCATCATCTTCTGTAAAAACCGAGAGTGTCGCGGACTATTAGAAAAAGAGCAAAGAGAACCCGAAACTGAACTCAAAAAATACCTCGACGTTTCCTGAGAAAAGGTATCGTAAACGCCCCTGGGAATTCCTGTATCCAAATGCATAAATTCCCCTTCCTCCCTCTCCTCTCTCTGTGTCTGTCTCTCTACGCGCTCCTCTTCTCCCTCTCCTTCTCCTTGGCCTTCAAAAAAGGAGGATGGAAAAAATGAAACCTGAACTCCAACGCTGGGAAGGATAAAAAACTTTGTAAACAAAAAGTCTCCGGATAGAACACCTGAAATGCGAAAATAGGCAGCAAGGTCGTCATGGCATAATTGTAAACGATGAGAAAAACTGTGGCACCAATCTTGGTAGACAGTAATGAACAAGGTGACGTTGGTGTACAAGAGGAACGTCGTCTTCCGAGTCCGGTCGGAGTTTGTGACGTGGTGAGGAGGATGCCGTCTCAGTGTAATGCGGGTGGGTGTATGTTTGTGTCTGTGTCTCTCTGTTTGTGCGCGCGCACGAGAAGTCAGGAGGAGGACACGTGGGTGTTTGCTCTCTTCTGATGGGCGTCAAGCGTCGAGTCTAACCTCGTCGCAGGCTCTTGAGCCCAGTCTTGTCTATTTGTTGGGACCCTCATGCGTTGTAACCGCGATGGCATACTGGGAATTATTGTGTTGTTGTCGTTGTGGTAGTGGTATTGGTGTGATCATCAGCTTCTCTTGCTGCCTGGGTCGAGGAGCATGATGGGCAAGTATGTTATGTTATGTTAAGTAGATAGGTTTGGTCAGTCGAGCGTTGGAGGATGACGGCCATGAGACTGATGATGTGTGGTGGAAGAATATAGGCAGCACATTTAAAAGGTGCTCCAGTTCCAGTCGCTTGGCACACTCAGCGCTACCTCGGGTTGGGTCTTGCCCGGCGTGGTCGGGCTCGCGCCGGCGATGGGACTCGCGGGGGTAGGGCTGGCCGGCACTGTCCTGCTCCCAGCGAGCGGCTGGTGTGGGTGCGGCTGGTGCAATGCCTGGCTGGCGCCCAGACTCAGGCTGCCGTTCCGGCTGCGCCAGACTTTGAAGTCTCCGTAGCAGTGCTGGCAGCAGCGGCTCATCTGCCCGCGAGGGTTGTAGTTGGCGCTCTCGTCGAGAGGCACCTCGCGGCTCGAGTGCACGTCGCAGAAAATGTTGCCACAGCGCCGGCAGTGGTGCCGTCGCACAAAGTAGTTGAAGTACTTTTTGCAGGTTGGGTCGTCGCAGACGTCGCACTCCTGGTCGGCCTGGAAAGGGAGAGAGGATGCTGTTAGCTTTGTGTTGCTCCTTTTTTTCTTTTTTCTTTTCTTCTTTCTTTCTTTCTCCCCTCCTTCTGACTGCGTAATCTTGTCTTGCCACGGAAAGAAAAAGGGCAAACGACTAGGCTACTCCAGTCGAGGTGACGCCGCTTTTGGAGAGGAGGATATCATATCCTGAGACATTGTTGTGCAATGTCGGGACTGATAAACCCCTTTCTTGTGTCGGCTGCGTTTTGCGTTTTGTGGTCGCTCGTGTGCGCCACCTGTGTCGCAAACCATTACATGACATCGCATAGCATCACATTGCTGCTGCACGTACCTTCCAGTGTCGCCGGGTGGGCTGCCCGTTGACTTTTGGGTAATTCGAGAGGTCCCAGTCCCATTCCACAACCTTGGCGCTGTCTCTCCTCGAGAGTCTACTCAAGCTCAGGATCCCCGAGAGGCTGGTGAAGCTGCCGCTGGAGCGCACTACACGATCGTCATCGTCAGCCTCGTCGAGACCCGGTGAAGTCTTGGCCGGTGTTGCGCTTGATGGATATTCATTGGGCCGCAGCACGGCGGGGACGTAGAGTGGTCGGACCTGGCGGCCATGGTAGTTCTTTGGTGAGACGGGCGAGGTATTGCTCCCGGATGTGCTGAGAGGCGAGATGTCGGAGGAGTTGCTGTTGAAGGGAGGCGACTGTCGCTGCTGCGGCTGCTGCTGTGGTATTTGCGGGTGCTGTTGAAACTGCTGCTGCTGCTGCAACTGCCCCTGTGACTGTTGCGGCATGTGATAGGAGAAGGATCTCTGGTGGCCTGTCGGCTGGTGCTGATGTGGGTGATGGAACCAGGAGGACTGCTGGTCCGGCAGTCTGGGCATGACAAGATCCGCCATTGCCATATTCGTGCGCCTGGCCCCAGTTGTTGATGGAAAAAGTAGTATTGGAAAAGAGGATAAGGCGTGGCTCTGTGATTCGAAAGAGGTAAAGAGGCGTGGGAGGAGAGAAACAGTTGGACGTGGGCAGTGGGGGTCCCCAACCAAGTCTCTCGCTCAGCGGTGTGTGTGTAAGTCGCACGCGACCGTCCAGTAATGTATCTTGTCTGGGGACGGAGAGGATGCAATGATAAGGGTAAAGAACAAGTGTGATCAAATGCGATAAGTCGGTTTATATTCGTCTCTCGGTAATCTCGTTGGCTCTCTTGTCTTCTGTCTGTCTGAATGACTCTTTTTTGGACGTGGCACGTTGTGTCGGACGTGGCAAGAGTATCTTTTTGATGGTACACAGCGGAAGAAGGAGGGATGAGATAGAGGAGGGTGGGAATAAATGGGATATCGGCTCGGATTCCAATCTGGGGACGGCTGGCTTTTGGGTGTGGTGGATTCGGTTGCAGTGAGAGACAAGAAGGAAAGAGAGAGGGGCCGGGTAGTGGCGGGTCTGACCGAAGACGGACGACTAGGGACTATGGTACGTACCCTGTATTATTCCTTCTCTCCCCACAGACCACAGGCTCTCTTTCCCTCTACGTATGTTCTCTGCTCCTGCTCTCCCACCTGTTTTTGCCGCTCGAACGAAAGATCTGACAGCGATCCAGAGGAATCTAGGTTCACGCTAGAGCATTCAAGAATGGGAGCTTGACAAAGCTTCAGCTCACTGGCCCGCCTTCTACCTAAGTTTTTGTCGAAAACGTCGCTGGGGGAAGAGTCCAGGAGCAGACCCCCCAGTGACGATAGGCGTGCTGAGTCAGTCTGCCGGACGTACAGTAGATCAGTAGTGCTATGGTAGATCGGTCCGCCGGTGGTGGACAGGAAAAGGCAACTTGCGTGTGTTTTGTTTCGTTCGTTCTCGGCGATGCAAGAGCTAGTTGGCAGTCCGTTCTGCTGGTTCGAGTGCATACCAGTGTGTCTGTCCCCTCGTGTCCCATGCTGGGCTGAATACAAATTCTGTCACATATCATTTGTAGAGACGGCGTCAACCTCGGCCACATAAACTATTTCTCTGCATATACCATAGTACAACAAGTCGAGGTCGCATCCAGGGAGTGCGTGTGTGGGGCCCAGACCATGTTGCTGGCCGCCGCTGTGGCTGGCCTCTTTCTCTCCTCTCTGATAATGCACGACCCGAAGGCGGTGAGGAACGCATCGGCTATCGACATCAACTGGACATGCGCGAGGGAGGATCAGCTGCATCTGAGCGGCCTCTTAGGCACTTGACCAGTTACCGAAAATAGTCTGCTAAAAACTACCGCAGTACTACTTGCAGAGAGACCATGGTACACTTACAGTAGTTTGCCTCTTAAAGACAAACTCGACGTCGCTAGGGAATCCATGCACGTCAGCAAAACACCGCCGGCTCATGGTCGGACATGCCGCTAGATCGCACGCTGTCCCATGCGTTTATCCGCCATGGTCAACGGGCATCAACCCAGCTGCCGACGACGTTTTCAATGCTTCTCTGCAGGGGAGCCTTTTTCAATGCTTCTCTGCAGGGAAGCCTTATCCAAAATCAACCGCCGATGATCATCCCATAAGTACAGGGCATCCGTCAAGAGCAGCGTCCGTCCTATCAGAGCTCCGCTGATGTCACCTCCCGAGGCGGTCGGCACCTACTATGGTACGAACTCTCAGGGTCTCCTTTTCTTCTTTCCTTTTCTCTCCATTCCTGAATCATGCAAAGACAATCAGGACAAGCTGTCGGAAGACGCGGAAATGATAGCCGCAAGCATTTTGAGTTCTGCGCTGTCAGGATTTGTCAGCCAAACACCATTTGACCGATGCTAAAAGTCGGCCTGCAAGGAGAGGGAGCGCCTTTGCCTCTCTCTCAGTGTCCCTGTCTGTCTTCACAGATAATCGCACCCAGGCCTGCTGTGCGTCGGCCCGTATTACGTTGGCCTGGCTGCATGCGCCTTCATTGGCAACGGGACTCGATGCAGACTCCCGGGCCATATACGGAAGAGAAATAAAAGATTGAAGAGATGCAATTGGCCACTTCGCATCTCGCTACCGATTTCCCTCCTTGGTGCTCGCAGGCTCGTGGTCCATCAAATTCCTGGAGCTCCACGAGATATGTCATGGCAAGAAGAGGGGCAGGAGGGGCAAGGGGCGAAGGGCCATCGTCAGTAAGGGCTGGGCATGATGTGCGCCAAGACAGGCCACACAGGCTTTTTGTTGGCTGGCAACCCTGGGCTGTTGCGTACGACACAACTTAAGAGAACGAGCCACTGGCCGACCCGCTGCAATGGGCTCAAGGCTCAAGCTTTGCTGCGTGTTGGTCTCCTGGCTGGACCTGCTCGTCATGACTAATTCCATCAATCTTCCCCTACTCTGATCTTCCTACGTACGCGCCCAGAGTGGCAAAGGAGACACGGAATCTGTGAGCTCGACCGGGACTCCAGAGGCAGGCCTCCCCACTAGACGGCGGCTTAATTTCATGTCGGTGGAATGCCGATATGCTGGGGCGGCAGTGGATTTTTTTCTCTTTCCTTCTCGCGTGGTCGTTAACCGCGCTGGCGTCGCATCTAATAGTAGCAGTGGTACGGTCGCCACTCCAGGGTCCGGCCGAGGGTGCGGCGTCTTTCAAAAGATATTCTGTTACGTACGGACCCGCTCTGTCGGGGCCTGCAGAAGATGAGACGCCCGCCCTGCGAGTGTTCTCGACTCTTGGCCGCCCTCAACATTTGTTCAATATTGCCGCTCCTTCCGCAAGGAAAGCGAGACCGGGGGTGGGTAAAGAGACAGAAAACGGCGGAGGAGGAGGGGAAGAGGGAGGGGAGAGGCGGGGAAGAGGGACGACGATCATTGTTCGTCGAATTTGCGTTGTTGCGTGCATTGCATTGCACATCATGCTGTGACCTTGATTGTGTTCTGCGTCAGGGCTTTGGGCCGCCGCAGGAAGAGCTGAGATCCAGTCGTCTGGGCTGCACCCGGCTCGGACGCGACCCTTTGCTCCAGACCCCCCTGAGGGTTCGAGATAGGCCTGGCGGGGGCCCCTGGGACAGTCTGCATCGACTTATCTCTCGACATTCCATTTCGTCTACTATGATTGGCTGTAGGCAGATCAGGTCCTCCCGAACGGGACAAGTCATGTCATTTTCGTCTGGGGACTCCCATGCACTGAGATCGATCCCATCTGGAAACCGCACGTGCCAAATATCTCAATTGACTTTCTTGTACGTACTACGCACGCTATGGTATTATGGCACAGATTACTTGCTACCCACAGGCTTGCTTTGCCCTTTTTTACTTTTCGCAGACCGTCGCAAAACACGAGGCTGCGCAACATTGGTCTGCTCTGCCTGACGACAAGACCGGAGCCCCCCCCCCCCGACAACTCAATAACTTAAAACCTGCACATCAGGCATCATCATCACTTATGCTCACCGCTTGGATGCCCAAGAAGTTGATCTTCAAGTCGCCACCAAAAGGAAGGCCCTGACTCGTTTGATGTTGCGAGCGGAGAGGGCAGAGAGAGAGAAAGACACGTTTTCAGGAACGAGAGACTGAGAAACCTCATCTTGCTATGCACCAGGCTTGCATAGTGCATACATTAGTAGTATGCAGCAATATAATTTTTTTATTTGTGTTTTTCGTTTTGCCTCTTGACTTTTTGGTTGTCTTTTCTCATTCAGGGTCTCGCAAGAACCCTGCAACTTCAAAGCGGTCTCAATGGGAGCATGCATCCCTGTCTCTTCAAGCAGTCTTATCGCTGCGACGTGACTGGCTGGCCTCGGGCATGTCCGAGCTTTGCCCCAAGACGAACCGACCAACGAGGCCAATCCAGAACGTCATCCCCAATTTCTCTGCTCTTTTTCCGTCTCTCTCTCTTTCTGTGTCTACTCCACCTCCTGAAAAGCCGGCGGCCGACTGCCGAAAACCGTGGCCGTTGGCAAATGGGCACGCGTGTGCTTGCCTTTTCAAGGATAGCACGGGTCCCCTACCGAGCCCCGTTATTCTTATTACAGTACTATTAATTTTTGTCTTCCAAGCCATTCTTTCTTCCTGCGAGCCCAAAGGGGACGGAGCCGCAGTTTCGACCCCCGTTCAACCAGTTTGAGGTTCAGAGTTGACCGATGGAACGTTTGCTTTCTGGTTGTCCTTTTCTTGTTGATCCCCATCTCGGATCCGAGCGCGGCTGATTGTTCTCCCCTCCCCAGGGGGTGTCGTCGTAGTGGCTGCGCGAATTTCCTCAGCCCCAAGAGCCAGAGAAAGAGACACGCTAGTAGCGACACGGAGCGACGTTGCAGGCCTTCTCCTCGGAGACAGCCTCATCGCAGGACTCCGCTGCGATACTTGAGGCCTCGTGAGGCTACACCCTGTCGTATTGCTGGGGAGGGTGGGAATTTCTCTTAACCCCTTCCTCACTGCTTCCCAGCCCTTTATTGGACAACTGAGAACAACTGTAGTGCTATATGGGGCTTTGCGCCAGCGTGGCCACGGAATCGTCCCGAGGCTGTCACCGCGGTAATTCGATTCAGGGTCCTCTTGTCGGCCCGGGGCAGTGGAGACTGTATTCTTTGAACGGGTTCACAAATCATATCCTTTCAATCATTTTTTCTTCTTTTCTTTCTTCTTTTTGTCCCCACCTTCTTCTCTGTCTCTGTTCCTGCCCTTCCATTTGTCCGCCCGCCCCCAGATTGAAAGACTCGCTGCGGAGGAGGGTCTGGCGCGCAGTCACTGGATTTTAATTTGCTTACACATCTTCCCGTCCAGGTGAGCCGAAGAGGGAAGCTCGGTGTGGACAGATCGACCTCTTTTGGCGAAATTAAAAGGCTACCTGGGTATTTGTTTCACGGCATAAATGAAAGAAAAAAGAGGTACATTATAGGCTCAGTAAGCTATGCCCACGGCCTATACACAGAGAGATAGAGAAATAGAGGGAGGGAGGGAGGGAGGGAGGGAGGATCCTCCTCATCGCCCCCCCCTTCCCCAGGCCGCCGTCATCCTTTCAGGTGCCCTGGTGTGGCGATAGCCGACCGACGTCCATGTTGAGTTGAGTATTCACATTAGGAGGCGTCGGGTTGTATTACTCTTCACCGACAAAGAGTCATCCTGTCCTACCGCGGTGGCGAGGCTTTGACCATCAGCTGGTGTGTACACCGCCAGTAATATCGTGGCAATTTTTTATTATGTGCTCTGGTGGACGTCTGTGTGCACAATGTAGATAATCAAGGCACATGTCAATGATTGCGTTTGCCTTGAGGGGGGGGGGGGTTTGGATTACTGGCCAAACAGACGTAAGTTTGAGGGATCGACCTCAGCCGTGTGTGCTCAGGATGTAAGGGTCATATGGACGGACGCCTTGCTGTGTCTGCCGGCTTGCACGTACCATGGTACATACGTGCCTTGATCTGCTGAGCAGAGAGAAAAGAGCGAGAGAGGACAGGATGTCCCTTTTGGCCGCCATGTTCGAAAGTAGACGTTCATCTCCAAAAATGCTTTAAACTAAGATCGTAACCACCGCACACATGTGACACCGACTCAGGAATGATGTCGCCACATGTAAACGAGGGACGGGCTGCTGCCGACGTCCCACGCCCGCTGGATCTCGGACACCTACTCCGTCCTCATCCCCTCCACCCACCGCCCGCTCTTTCCGCCCTCCTTCAGCACGACCCGCAATCCGTCGATACACATCCCTTTGTCCACTGCCTTGCACATGTCATACACGGTCAGCGCGGCCGCAGACGCTGCAGTGAGCGCCTCCATCTCGACGCCCGTCTTGCCGTCGCACGTCACCGTGGCAGCCACGTCAACTCTGCCCCCACCTTCGGTCTCGGCCCCGGCCTCCACCGGCTGCAGCTCTACGCGCACGTGCGACAGCATAATCGGGTGACATAAAGGTACAAGGTCGGGTGTCTTCTTGGCCGCCATGATGCCGGCTATTCGCGCCACGCCGAGCACGTCGCCCTTGGCGTGGCCGTCCTCGCGTATCAGCCGGAGGCTGGTCGGGTTGGAGAAGTGGACGCTGCAGACTGCACGTGCCGTGCGCGTGGTGGGCTGCTTGTGCGCAATGGAGACCATGTGCGCCTCGCCCTTGAGGCTGATATGGGTGAGCCTGGGCTTGGAGTCCGGGTCGAGCGCCTGTGGCGAGGTGTTGCTGCTGGGCTGTTGTGGTGGGGACGACGGTGTCGACGCGGGCTTGTCGTCTTCCTTGGCCTTGGACAGCAGGCGAGTGCTCGTAGACAGAAGCCGGGCTTGGAGGGCCGATAGGTTTGCGAGTGGCAGCAGGTGGAGCGGGACTGATGTCGACGAGGGTAGTGAGGCACGGTGTGATATTGGTGGACCAATTTGGTTGCGAAGATGAGAATATTGCTGTGCCGGCCACACAGACGGTCGCGGCGGCGGCGTCAATGTCTGGTCTACATAGCCAACAGCTTAGCCAAGAATAATCAGTATTGGGGGTAGTGCCCTCGAAATGACCAATGCGCCCATATCAAAACCCACGACTCCGTTCCTCCCAAATGAATTCGACAGCCCAAAAAATGCCATACCCAACCCAAACCTGATCCTCATTTCCCAATGCAACGGTGGGTATCATGTTTCAATGCTGTATCTCGATCGATACAGAACAGGATAAAGTCACCCACCTATCAGTATCATGGGTCTGTTCTTCATGTGCTTCAGCTCGCCCATGCCGGCATGCCTAGCCTTCTTACGCTTCACCGCTGCGCCAATGACGCTGAGCAGTTGCTCCGAATTGGGCGCGATCATCATCTGCCTCTCTGCTTCATCATCACCTCGTGAGGCCAAAGCAGGCAGCTGTTGGTCCATGGCAAGCTTCTTGAGCCGGAGGAAAGCCACGTCATCAATGGGCTCTCCGCCATTTACCTCCCTCACGATGTCTCTTAGTGACACCTCAGCATTCCCAAAAAGGCACACCTTCAAGTTGCCATCGCTGGTTATGCGTAACCGGTTGCATGTGCTGCAGAAATTGTGCGTCATACTCGTCACAAATCCGAGGCGACCAGTAAAGCCGGGTATGTGCCACGTCTTGCTCGTGTCGTTCCGGTGATCCTCAACCTTGCGCAGGGTGGGGTATCGCTGGCGGATGACATTTAACATCTCGCCATAGCTGAACATCTTGCCCTGGCTCCACTTGTTCCCATCAAATGGCATGTACTCGATGAAGCGGACCTCGACGTCGCTGTCGCGCGTCAGGTCCACAAAATCGAGCAGCTCGCGGTCGTTGACGCCCCGCATGACGACACAGTTGATCTTGAACTTGACGCCCGCGCCCGCCCGGTTCAGCTCGTGTATGCGAGTGATGCTCTTCTGCACGGCATCGAAGCTCGTGCGCCTCGTCATGATCTGAAATTGCCACGGGTCCAGCGTGTCCAGGCTCAGGTTCACGCCGGTCAGCCCCGCCTCGACCATCGGCTCCAGCTTCCGGTGCAGGGCGACGCCGTTGGTGGTGATACACAGCTCGCGCAGGCCATGAGGGCGGAGTTCGCCGAGCTGCTGCATCAAGGGCAGGATGTCACGACGCACGGTAGGCTCGCCCCCTGTGAGCCTGATCTTGCCGACCCCCTGAGAGACAAAGGTTGAGGCCAGGAGGAGGATCTCAGGGGTGGTGAGGAGAGAGGAGGGGGGCGAGAGGGGAACACCCTCTTCAGGCATGCAGTAGACGCAGCGCAGGTTACACATCTCGGTCAGGGAGATGCGCAGGTAGGTATGCTGCCTGTGGAAGGTGTCTGTAAGGAAGTCGGAGAAGGGTTTGGCATCCTGCAGAGCGACTCGACGCGGGCTGGGACCGGGATGCGGCGGTGTTGGTGGTTCGGGCGTCCGGAGGTCCGGGTTCGAGTGGTGAGAATATCTCGTATCAGCATCCTGCAAGCCAGAATGACACGTCGCGGAGGTTCCCCGGGATGGTGTGCGGCGGGTGACTGCATAGACTAGGCTCCAACAACCGGGTTGGGACCGGCGAAGAGGCCGCTGGCCAGCGTGTGCCCAGCGCCCAACAGCTCGTGTTGGTGTGTGCATTCCTGGCAGCCAAGAGCGAGGCCAGGAAGAGCACCCCCAGAAACCTACAGGCCCTGATGAGAAGCTGTGATGCGGTGTGATTGCATATTCATGCCTGACCTGTAGCCCTCAGGGCCTTGCAGTTTACCGCTCTTGATGCTTGCTCGAAAGCTGGTGACGCCTGCAGGGAGAGCATGCAGATGGTATGTGACTCCGTTCAGATGAACCCTGTTTTTATGCGCAGAACCTTGACGATTGTTGGGCCGCGACAACAAATCAGCGCCATGTATTGTCGAGAAAATCTCACCGGCGTCCAACTTGATGCTTCGAGAAATGCAGTGCGAGGTGGTATTGTAGCAGTGTGGGAACACTCTTGGGTTTATTGATTTTTTCTTTTGCTGGAGGGGTTGCGTGGCGAGACTTTGAAGTGACGTTGGATGAGGAATTGTCTTCGATTGCACAAACCCCCACCCCTCCTTCTCCACCCTACCTTCACAGCACTAATTGTACCGGTCAAGTGGCCACCACTACGGTGCCACTGGTGCGCAAAGAAAAAGGGCACTGGCGGGTAGTCACGTTTAGCGGCATACTTACCCAATTGCCAGGTACGTACCGAATTTAGCCATGGCATCCCAATCCAGTAACGCGTAAACATGTGTGTGTGTGTGTGTGTGTGTGTGTATGCGCTTGCCATCTTCAACAACACGCTGGACAACCATCATCGCCCACCAATCTGCATACCAACCATCTTCCTCTCGACAAGCCACAAGTACCTCGCTTGTATAATTAGTGTTTGCCACTCTCAGACCTGTCTCTCTGCAAGGTCAGCACGCGCAGGGTATCTGTGCTTGTGCCTAAACTCGTCTTGCCTTCTTTGGGGAGCAAAAAAAAATTAATAAAAAAAATAAATAAAAAATAGGAGAGTCACTATCGACCTTACCGCATACAACCTTCAATAATTTCGTCTTACATACGCCCGCATAGCGAGCAATGCACTTCTCCAGAAGCTTCCAGGGTAAGGCAGCGAGCAATATTGGAACCGTCAGTGAGTAACAGAGAGGGCAGACCAGAGCGGCCACTGACACCAATGTCAACAGCTTCACCTTACTGCCTGCCGAGTCCGGACGGGAGGCTCGTGGCGACGCTTCTCGCCTCGACTATCAATATACGTGAGATACAGACTTTGCACACGGTCAAGGATGTCAGCCTGCCTCGGGACTTCTCTGGTACCGTAACGTCCTTTCAGTGGTCGCCCTCGTCGAGACTGGTCCTCGTCGCCGCGGCCAACGAGATACACGTATTCTCTGCTTGCGATGGAGACGACGAGTTCAGTGCAGCAATCAAGAATCCGGCCCCGCCTGCAGCCAGCCTAGTCTGTGTAACCTTTGGCGCTCTAGACACTGACGTCTGCGTATGTGCTTCTTTGGGTCTCATGTTTGCCATTTACAACCTCGCATCGTCCAGTGTGGTGGAGGTGGCCAATCCCAAATTCCACACCGCGGCCTCTGTCCGAAAAGGGTTCTGCTTCCGACCGAGAACCCGACACCTGGCTGTCCTCACACGTACGTCTGGCAAGGACGTCATCAGTTTTCACCACCCAGAGACCAAAGAGCTTCAGAGGTCTTGGTGTCCTGATACACTTGATGCCCAGGGCGTCGTCTGGAGTCCAGACGGGAAGTGGCTCGTGGCCTGGGAGTCGGCAGCTCATGGCCACAAGGTGCTGTTCTATACGCCTGACGGGAATCTATTCAAGGCGTGGTCTGGCCCTCAGGTTCTGGAATCAGCCGACGCCGACATCAAGCTCGGTGCAGGCACCAAGCTGTTGGGCTTTTCGGCAGACGCCCGCAGTCTGGCCATTGGTGACAGCAGTAGGCGCGTATGCATCCTGGACATGACAGCTGTCACGGAACGCGCGCGGCTGCAGCATCCGAAAACTATAGTGCCTACAGGCACTCTTCAGGTATGTTGTGCGCCGCCACATATGCACGTCTTTCCGACCCTTCCACACAAACTGTTGACAACTCCCCTCCCCCCGCCTCAGCTCTGGCAGGAACACGTCGGCCCCGACAGCCATCAGTTCATCAGGGCTCTGCAGGCTGTCGACCCTCCAATCCCACAGCACAAAACCTCGGGCCCGTCTCCGTCAGGCTGTGCTTTGTTGTCATTCGATGCATCCTCAACACTCCTCGCCACCAGGCTGGAGGACTCGCCCAGTACGGTCTGGATCTGGGATGTCGCAGCAGCTGAGCTGCGGGCAGTCCTGCTTTTTCACAGAGCTGTGCTACGAGTCTTGTGGCATCCCGTCATTCGCGAGACCTTGCTTATTGCATGTGACGATGATGCATGCAACTCGCCCGTCTTCCTTTGGGATCCTCTGTCGGAGGGCCCAAAGCCTGTCGATCTGTCCGGAAGGCTTTCCAACGGCAAGCTGTATGCCACCTGGCTTGATTTGAACCACAATAAACCAGGAGCCCTGTTCATCTCGGACAGCAAGGGGTACTTGCTCGCGTCTCTAGCCGACCAAGAGACCGAGTCTGTGCCGTGGTGTGCTGAAGGCGAGCTTAGTGACGAGCTGGACACTACTCAAGATTTTGACGCACATGACGAGGCTAGTCCGCTGGATGACACTTTTTGTTTCAAAAAGAGGTGAATTGATTCGACTCCTCACGCCCGCAGCCATGCTCAGGGCCTAACGGCCCTACGGCCAGCGTTCTCAGTCACAGTCTAGCTCCTCCGCGGAATAGTAGAGATGCTCCGTAGCGCGCATTCTAGGGCAGCATGGCCTTCCGGACCTTCAGATCTCTCCGATCTAAATCCTATTGTCCTCAAGCGGCCTCATGCATCAAAACATGTCACCTGTTTCTCACAGGGATTTGACCCACTATTTGCATCGAGCTGGCAGGGGAGGCGTCCTGGGTGCCCAAGCGCGCGAGCACGTCTTACTACCAAGCCTGCAAGCTTCGTCTCCAGAACGATTAGACGACCGCACAATTCTTCGGCTACACTGGGGACAACCCCCTCCCCTTCCCTGCACGATTATGGGGCCCTTCCCGCGCATTATATGCATCATCAATATTCTAGTCAAACCTGCCGGGCTCCCCGCCCCCTTCCCCCTCTAGGTGGAGGGGTGGGGATGGATATACTTGTGCCAATCCTCGCCCAGTTCGGTATGCTTGTTTTTTCTTTTGATGGAGGACGATACGACAGCGCCGTGTGGTCAAGGGTCCCGGGCGTGTGATGAGCTGTCAAAATTGTCAAAAACTTTTGTGGCTTGCAGCTCACAAATTTTGCCTGGTTGCTAGTGCATTAGCCATCCTGCAAGACATCACCCAGACGATGCCAGCTAACTGGAAGGGACAAGGTGTGATGCCTTCTTGTCAGGTAGGGTGTACCCCCCACTCTGCGGCTCGAAGTTGTGTCCAGAAGGGCCCGGAAACCAGGTTACGAATGGATGGTTTGCATCTTTCTTTTCTGATGGGTGCCCTATCATCGGCTGCAGGTGAGTAATGACAAGACGTATTACGCCTTGCATGATGCTGGCGAAAGGGAGAAGTACGACCGCAGTATCAATCTGTCCCTTTCTGGTAAGTATTGCGTCTCTCTGCACCACGTACTCCTTCCGTACTGGCCTACGTCTTCTTCATCGAGGGCGAGGAACGTACCCTGTGTCTGCCAATGAACCGTGCCGTCTTGTTTCTAACATCGAGATCACGACTCCTACCCTGCTACTCTGGATCCAGTGGGGTTCCCCAACGCAGGCCATGCCTCAAGGCAGGTCGGGGATGGTTCCCACCACCTCAATTCACTTGAGCCTCGAGCTAGGCCACAGCGCGAGCAGCTTGCATACTCGCAAAGCAGATGCCTGCTGCTCTGGGAGCGTGATGGTACAGGCATACCGTCTCGCCGATATAAACTCGGGGTGGTGCCCCTTCATCCAAAGGCTGTGTCTCTATAAGTTCGTGGCACTCATCATCTGCTCAGTTCCCTTTGAGACCTGAAATCCAACCTGTTTTATACTGGCCGGCAGCCTCGTGTCTTCCTCTTGTTCTCTCAATAGAGGTCTCTCCCTGGTGCTGTCACCCGCGCTATCTAGCCTACGGCATTCCGAGACAACCCTAATATGACAGCCTCTGAACATGAGATGCCCAAAGATGTGGTCCCACCAGGGAGCCGGACGGGCATCTATTATATTCCAATATCGAATGTCTGTGAAACCCTGTGCAAGATGGCGGCGAGGCGTTGGTGCAGTACCCGAGCCTTAGAGGGAGATCTCACTCACTGACTGGGGATCTGCAGCTCCCGTTCAACACATCGTGGCAGCAGATCAAAGACTACGTCCGACAGGTCTGCGAGGTAGACCACGTGGAACTCTTTCAGAGAAGCACGTCAGGCTGGGTGAGGGTCAAGGGTCGTAAGAACTTTGAGGCGGCATTCGGTACGACAATACCACGTGTGCTATGCGTTGCTAATCTCCGCAATACAACATGCAGAGTCTCGCGCTGACAAGCATGGACTATAGGACTTCTGAACGGAAACGAATTCAACGGCAGAGCAATCATTGCGGAGGGCAAGAATGCAGACAACCCAATCCTGGTGCGAGACCTCATGGCCTGCAAATCAAAGGCGGCGTCAAGCAACCGGTCCCTCAGTGGCGGCACTGCACCATCTGCCGTGTTTACAACCCCTGAACAATCGTCATATGTTGCAGACGGCTCAGTCTATCACCCAAACCCGTCGCTACTTGCCTCACCTGTGTCTCCTACGAGCTCGTCGTTCAACAAGGTGGGTACGAACCTCTCTCGATGTTACCATCCTCGTCCCAAGCTAGCATTCCACGCGGAGAAATTCATTCATGATGCCGGCTCATACTATTGTTTCTGTTCTTACGATTTTTCTTGTGAGTTGCGAAGCTGATGCTGCAGCTTCTCTTATAGAGTGGGGATGGACGCACTACGTCAATGCCATCCTCAAGCCTGATGACCAGCCCCGATCCTTCGTATGCTCAAGCTATCACGACTACGTACGATCAGTTCTCGGCAGGTTTCTCGTACTCTCCTCCGATGTCGTTGCATAGCTTCGGTGCGGACCCAAGCTCTTCTCTTGGCGCCCCAGCGTCTTTCCTGACCTATGCGGCCTCCCTGGATGTCACTCAACAATACGACCCAGCCACTTCGTACCCGGCACAGACACCATACAGCCGGTATTATCCCCAAGCAATGACATCGCTGAACAGCCAGATGGCAGCCGTGGCTTTTGTGGACGAAAGTCCAACAGGGGCCGGTATCTACACGGAACAGCGTGGCATTCAGATCCGTAACATCTCCAACCGTGCCTCGGACAGCCAAATCCGCAGGATGGTTCGGGACTGGACTGGGCCTGAGGCCAACCTCATCAGCGAGATTTGCATACCTTCTGCCAAGGAGGGCAAAACGCGCGGGCTGGCCTTTGTCCGTTTCCATACTGCCGACCTAGCTAAGCGCATGGAGACGTCCCTCGATGGGGTCGAGTTCAGGGGTCGAAAGCTGCAGGTGCGCTTGATGAAAGAGGGTGAGGTGATCTACGGAAGTGGCGAGCACTGTTCTCCTGCTGCGGGCTCGCCAAAGCCGCCCCGCAAAAGCAGACAGCCTCATCAGCACCAGCACCACCACCAACCGAAAACAGATGACAAGAGACGGGACGAGCGCAAGGAAAGGATCAAACCCGACAGGACCAGCACCAGCAGCTCCAAGACCTCGCCACCCTCCCCCAGCAGCAGCGGCGACATGCCACTGGTCGTGGGTGGTGGTGGGAACGGCATTCCTGTTCAATCAGCGGCGTCCACGTCTGCACACTGCTCCTCTAAAGGCAAGGGCAGACGGGGCAAGGAAACATCGGTCGTTGTCGCAGATGGAAGCTCCGACCGCAAGTCCTGAGCAAAGAAAAAGACAAACCAAAGAAAAGCTGAGATGGATTCCTTGGTTACTTTACCTGATTTGGGGGGAGACTGCGACGAGATGTCGCCGATGTGAGCCTCACCAGGATGAACGGGGCAAGGCTCAAGACCACAGAACACAGAACATTGCTTTTGATTCTCAACTCCATTTCATACTATTGGATTCCGGGGATGGGAACCGTTGACAAATTGGGGGCTTGAAAGGAGGGGGGGGCAGGTTTGTGTTGGGCCAAGCGAGAGACTCGCAAAAGCAATATTATATGCATCAAGTTTTACCTCTTTCTTACTTGGTGTCCGTTCGTTCCCGCGCACGATTGCTGCTTTTCCCCCTTCTTTCCTGCTTGTCAGCTCACCGCTGGATCGACCTATTAGGATCCATAAGTTTAGTGGCGTGTAAATGGTTCGCAAACACGTAGCATCCATTTTGGGGAGAGAAGGGGGGGGGGGGAAGGGAGGTTTCCTCTCCCTTTACCTTTTTCCTTTTGTCTTTTTCTTGTTGTAACCTCAGCGTTTAATTCGGTATTTTTCGGGATCTCGTGGCTGCAAACCTTTCCGAGTGGGCAAGTTTTTGTCATTCTGATTGATTGTCCTTCTTCTTTGCATGGCCACCCTTTCAAAGGCCATGTCCACACATGTCTACATATTTCTTGAAATTATTTTATAAAAAAAATCAAGGTTAGGTTTCCACTCGTCATCGAATAACTATGGTAGACAAATGCCAGGCAGCCAACTGCCCACACGGGCTGCAAGCACGAGCAGCTTGCGCCGGGGTTTCATCTTATCTTGCTTCAGCCGTCTCGGTGCGGCGGTGTGGGCACGCCATAGTCTCTTGCCGTCTTTAGACCTCCGCTTCCGAAGAAGAAGGAGGAGGAGGGGGAAGAAGAAGAAGAAGAGGGAGGAGGGGCGCAAGGCACATGTAGGGAGGCACATGGTAGTAGACCAAGGGCCGGCCGTTTGGAGATTCCGTAGAAAGGGTCATGGGCCCTTCTTTGAGAAAGAGAACCAAAAAGTAGGTCTTGGGATCAGATGGGAAAACGGGTGATATCGAGAAGGGGATGGGATGGGGAGAGGTTTGTCCTTTGGCTGAGGGGTTCTCTTAACCAGGACGATCGAGACTACGTTGGGAGCATACATTGCCCTGCGGAGATGCACGCATTCCAAAGCATGGTTTCTTTATGTTTTTCGTCAGATTACTATTTCATTTACGTAGAAACTCTTTAGGCTGATGAATCTCCACCAGCCCTTCCCCCCGCCCCCCTTCCACCTCCAAGCCTCTTTTCACCCACTGCGCAGCTCACCACCTGAATGAGTAACAAACACACTCTCTTCCCCTGCTGCAAAGGAAGCCTCTCCCCCGGCTCAACCATGGTATAAAACACACCTGGCTCGCCCCGTGCGCAGGCCAGGAATGGACTCTCTAGTTGAGATGGGTGATGTTGCTCCTGCTGCGATATCCCATCTATGTGCACATGTAGATATGTGTGTGTGTTTGTGTGTGTGTATGTACGTAACTTTTGCTTGGTTCTTTTCTTCGTTTCTTTTTACAACAAGGGAAAAATCGATGGAGCCCTTGCCACACCGTCCTCCAAAGACGACGTCCACACCTTGCCGAGGCTGAAAGATCTACCTATTCCTCGCAGCTCCAGGCTGGGAGGGATAGAGGCAGGCAGGCAGATAGTCGAGAGGGTAAAGAGGACGAGGAGGAGGAGAAGAAGAAGAAGAAGGAGGAGGACGGCGGGTGGGAAGGAAATGGGCGTTTGTTATGTGAGTTGAGGAATATGTACAGGTTCGACAGTGCGTAAGGGGCCGGAGGTTCAAACGGCTCCTGGTATCTTTGATATGCTAAGCCCGGTCTCTTCTAGGAAGACTGCTGCTCAGCCTCGCTCTTTGTCGGCAGAGCGGGAACCGGTGGCTGTGGCGACATGATATCCTCGTACCGCCTGGGCTCTTCGTCGTCCATCATCATGGTGTATCTCTCCTCGGCCGGCAGAGACGGCACAGGAGGAACGTCCTCGTCGTCCTCGCTCTGCTTCTGTCTCTGGATGCGCCCCGTCTGCTGGTTCACCCAGCTGTTGACCGATCTGTATCGCGGCGGCATGTCTTCGCTCGTGGTGGTATATACAGTGTCCCTCTGGCCGCGGTTCTCCTCCTCGCTCCGGTTGACCACAGACTTGGCGAAGCTCACGGGCCGAGGCGCAAGACCTTGCTGCAGCGCTGCTGGTGGCGGCGGCACGATGATGTCCCCGTCCCCGAACCCAGAAGAGATGGACGACAGCTCCGAGGCCCGGTACACAGCTCTTCTGGTCGGGTCATAGGCTGTCGAGGCCTGGCGCGCAAGCTCGGACTGGTTGTAGATTGGATCGGGCATGCGCGAGCGATCGCTGGTCACCGTGTCCATGGTCTGCATCGTTCCGGCGCCGTATTGGGCGGCGCTGTTCACGTCGGAGGTGACGTCCGTGGGCAAGGCGAACGGATTATTGATCTGGCTGGCAGGGCTAAATGCAGTTTGCAGTGGAGGGAGGACCATCGATGGCTGTTGAGAGAAAGGGGCGGCATTGCGCGTTGCGAGGTCTTGGGGGCTCTGCGCGCTGCGGGTGCTGTTTGTGTCGCCTGAGGATGCTGAGAAGGGATGAATGTTGGAATAAGCCACGTTGGTGTTCAGCTGGGGCAGGCTCGTGGGAGTTTGTTTTGACGGGACCCGGCTCAGGGTTTGCTCGTTAGAGTAGATGCCGGATTTCGAGCGTTCATACATGGATGGGGAGCCACGACCGTCCAAGTCCTGCCAAGCTCTTTGGTTCCGCCCAAAGTAGGGTATCTTGGCGAGCAAGGCATTGGGTGATGAGAAGTGGCCGTCGTCATCATCTTCCATCCCGTCCCTCATCCTCCTGGATTTCTTATACATCCGCCACCCCATCCAGCAAATAAAGCAAACGAGGATAAAGGCGCCTATATGAGACAAGGACTCGTCAGCAGACATTCAACGAGACGACACCTGAGGCGCAGTTGCAAGACAGTAGCGCAAGCTTACCTATTGAGCCTGCCGAGATGAGAGCATCCTCGGCAGTTGGGTTCAAGCCTCCAGGAGGCGGGCCATAGTCGGTGCTGTGGTGGTGATCGTCATTGCTGGTATCATCGAGAAAGATGGTGGGTGAAGGTAAGGAGTTGTCAAAGGCCGCAGTAGGCACCGAAGAGGTTGTACAAGTAGTAGCAATGGAGTCGATGGAGGACGAGGTCTCTGTGGTTGATGAAGAGCCGGATGATGGTGAAGTTGTCGTCGTCGTCAACACGACCACAGAGGACACAGTCACAACGGACGTGGCAGGCACCTCAGGGTTGACGGCGTCTGCATCGTCCGATGATGAGGGCAGTAGACTCGACGATGATGTTGGCGTCAATGCTGCTAATGATGATGTTGTCGTGGGCGCCTCGGTGGTCAGACGAAGCGTAGGCGCAGTCGTACTCGACAGGGCTAAGGGTGTGGGTGTAGTGAGCGGATTGAAGGCGAAAGGGCTTGCTACAAGTCCTCCTCCTGGACCGTCATCATCATTTTCGTCGTCGTCGTCGTCGTCGTCGTCGCCGCCGTCGCCGCCGCCGACTATTGGTTCGTCGTCCCGTGAAATCTTGCGCCCGGCATCAGACTGTTGCCACGAATTTCGAGTGATCCTGATATCTCGTCCAACGTCGATTTCCTGTGCACTTCGCTTCCAAGACACCCCTCTGCGCAGCCTCAACCGAGCGCCCACCCCTTCTACGTGGCGATCGAAAACTGGGACCATCGCATCCACCGTACCACGCTTTCGCTTGTTCTGTGCTCAAGCCAACATCTCAAACCTGCCTAACGCCAGCGTCACGAACAAGAGAAGAGCCTAAAGGGTCTTGCGCCAGGTGCAAGACGATGATGAGAAAAAAAAGAGAGGGGAGAAATAGAGACGGCAAGATGGACGTAGTCCGAAAGACCGTGTGAAGGCAAGCAAAAGGGTAGAGACCAGCCCTGACAAGAAGGGGAGAGGGGGAAAAAAAGAAGAGCAGGAGATAGAGGGAGAAAAAGAAAGAGAGAGAAAGGTGGAGGAGGGGAAGGGGTGGTACTTCCAAGAGAGAGAAAGAATGGGCAGGTTGTCGTGTATCAGACCTGGGAAAGGTGGGAGTAGACGTAGACAATGCCGCGTGGTCGATGGCGGGCGAGGGCAAGAAAGAGATGGGTCCGTTCACTGCCTCTGGAGATGGGCCCTGGTCTGGCGCCAGGGGTCGATCTGGGGGGGAGGGTAAGGGCCAAGAAGGGGTCGTTCCGGTCAAGGTGTTGTTGGAACTATCCGCAACGGGCACGAGTCCAGACGAGCCTCATGGTCGGATCATCAGGGGGGTCGCCGAAGCTTAAACAGCCGCACGAGCTGGTAGTTCCGCCCACAGACCATGTCCCACTGTCCTCTGTCTAGAGGGGCACCGAGGAAGATGTTGATTTCATCTATCTGACGATAAGAGGTGACGACTGAGAGGACGATGGCGCTTGCTGCTACTGCTGCTGCTTCAGCAACGCCGAGAGACCACTCGGAGACCAGTTCGGTGATAAACAGAGGGCTCTCTTTCTCTTTGTCTCTCTCTTTCTCTCTCTCCCTGCTACTGCTGCTGCGCACTACGCCTGGTTCTCTACTTCAGTGCCCAACACACACACACACACACACACACACACTAGGCCGTGGGGAACAGGAGGGAACAGTGATGAATCTGAGGCAGCATATAGCATAAGGTCGGAGCGTTCGTGCCCACAAGAAGCGCCCGTAAGAGATGGCCGGGGCTAGTCTCCCGCAGCAGCGAAACTCCAGCAGCAAAGCCCTGGCTCAATCGAGCGCCCCTCGGACAGCATGATCATGTCGTGTCGTATACAGCTCAATAATCTCGGTTCGGTAGCAACCATCACAGAAATGGCACGAAAGCTGCCGCGCATGTGGCGGTGGCGCAAAGCCACCATTAGGATTAAGAGGTCATCGACAGCAAAGCACATCGAACCATCTTCCAAGGCTTTTTCCCTTTACGAAGCCGTTCCCTCTACCGAGTTTCTGCACATGCTATGCTACCTACCATGGTCATAGTCGTGCAAAGCAGCTGCCATAGTACGAGGTTGTATAACCTCTGTGGGCCCCCTTTTGCTGGAGAGTACCATAGTATATGCTTGCATGAATGCGATGCGATGCGATGGGGCGATGCTGCCGGTCGGTCGAAAGTCGTCAAAGACGTCGGGGGTAAAGTACTATGGTAGTAAGGTGGCAGGTTCAGTGGCAGGGTGCGTTTGTCTCAGATCTCGAGACGTCGTTTCAAGATGGACAAGGGTTCTGTAGAGATGTGGATGAGGCACTGGAGGCACTAGGTTTCTTGAGGACTAACGCCGCGTCCGGAGCATTCTCTCTCCATTGGTCGGCAAGCCCCCATCCAAGCACGCGCCTTTCCTCTGATGCAACACCTGCCCTGGTTATACGAGCTCTCTTCAAGTCGGAGGTCTGAGTTTCCATCTCCTGGAGGGAAAGGGGCCCCCTTCGAACTTGCTCGAGATGAGGTCGTTTGGGAGCCCAACTCTATGATGCCCTTTCGAAGAAGACCACCTCGGTGGCAAGACAGAGAGAAAGAGTTTCCCTAGGGTATGAAGGATTTCAGAACTGCTCTCGAAACATGTCCCCTCTCATTCCTTGATCTTGGCATGACAATGTGATGACCGTGACAGCTGGGGCAAACTTGACGACTTTGCTGCGCTGGGGCCTCTTGTTCTAGGCCACAAGGTCGACCGACATGAGCTCGTAAAAGTGTTTGTCGGTGGGCAGATGTGACGGTGTCCTCCGGTCACAGTGACAACGCCTCAGCTCGCTCCCCGTCATCGTGCTGCAAGTAACGTTTTGATTTCCTTCGACGCGTTGCATCTTCTCAAGCTCATTGACCACTGATCAGCGGTCACGTTTCTAGTCACGCGAGTCACCCTCCAATGGCTCATCCCTTCGTTGCCCGCCGTCTCCACCAAAGGAGGGGGAAGGGGGGGGGGGGTGGTTTGAGGCACCATTTGCTTCTCATTTCAAGCTTCTGGAGGTCGTCTAGACAGCAGACTGCCGATCCTCCTGGCTCTGGATGAACTATGCGACATGGCGACAACCTGAGACGATCACGTCTCCTCCTCCTTCTTGTCCTGCTCCTCCTCCTCCGCCGCCGCCGCCGCCGTCTCCTTCTGAGGCTGTCGCTAAGCCCGTGCGATTAGCAGCGATTTTGAGCACAGTCAAGGACTTCGTAATTCCAATACCCAAAACGACAGCCACCGTGCCTCGTGTTTTTTCTCTTTATTTCGCGGTTGTTTCGTTTCTTCAACCCCTTGCACGGCCTCCTACCCGTTGAGGCAGTCTCTCACCGACCATGCTGGAGCTAGGAGACGGGGCAAGCTGCCTCAAAGCATTTCATTTAGTCCCGATTGTTCACTAACTCGCTCTTCGTGGTCTCAGCTAGACGAGACTCCACCTCAAAGAGGCTGCACAATACGCAGCATTATAGGAGGCAGCCAGTGATCCGGCGTCGGCTGTTCTCGCCGCCACGGCCCGCTGCCAGCAAGCATCAGCTCAGCGGGCATCTCAGCCTTACCACCGATAAGCCGGCATTGAGCTTGCGACCAACCTGCCCTGTCCTGCCTCGCCCTGCCCTGCCATACCTGGACAGTGGATTGTGTCGGGCCTACTTTGACGAACTTGTAGTCAACAACAAGGATATGATGTGCGGCATGAATCTTTGTAAACTCGGCCGGCTGGCTAGTGGGAGCACCCTCGAAGGGCTTGCCCAGCCGAGGGTTCATCGACGAGGCTGTGCATAGATGTTGTGTCTCGATTTGGACTCGAGGGCTGTACGGCCCCATCGGGACAACATCCCCTTTCCCCCCCAGCTCTCTTTCTCTGTCAGGTCCAGATCCAAATCTTGGATGACTTTTTGATAAAATGGCCAATGGCTAGGTTTGGAATTTTGTTGATCTTCAGATATATCGTTCATCCAAGAATGCTGAGTTTACTTGAGACATGCTCTCAACCGGCGGGGGTGCGAAACCCCGGGAGAATTTTCATGGAAACACGCATCTTGAATCTAATTTTCCGCCTGAGTGTATCGAAATTGAAAACTTACGAGTATCTGCAGAGCAAGTAGTCGTGTGAGAGTGTCTCGAGAGGGAATAGTTCCGCCAATTTGAACGCGTGCGATTCGAAAGGCTATTCTTCTTCATGTACCACCACAGCGTGTATGTCTTTTCAGGATTATGGGACGGCGCATGAACTTGTAGCCTGTTTCTGTGTCCTTAGCTGGTGCACCTCGCTGAGCCTCTTCAAGTTGTTCGCCATGCTGCAGCAATCGATATCCTGATGTCGAACGCCGTTGACACGCTCTTAACATCAAACAAAAGAAACATCAAGACTGCGATCGTTCTCGCTTTGCTGCTGCCATGCACCGGAACTCCACATGCTCGACACGTGCGCCCTGCATTTGACGCCTTCATTATATATCCGAGGCTCGGACACAAGGCCGTACTATCTTGTACAACGGCCTCGGGATGATTCGCCGGGGTGGTCTTCCGGGTTAGAAGGCCGGACAAATCCACCACCGAGTCAATACGATACCTTATTGGGATTTCCAAGCTTGCACACAGAGCTTCAGTGAAGACCGGACCCCGTCCCATCAGGCCCTGCCTGCCTTCTGCAGCGAGGACCCACGAGTTCATTTTTTGACAAGGCTAAATCTTATCGTCTCCTCTCGTCCGTAAGGAGGACCACGCCGAGCTGTGGGCGACTTTTTGATAGTGTTCAGGAAGACGGATCCGCAAAAAGGGGACCACAGCACATGCATGCAGTGAAGGGTCCTTTAACCCGGGAATCTGTCACCCGCCAAGAACAACAGACTAAAACAAAGTCTGCGTCATTTTCTAGATCGGCCCTTTGCGGGCTATTGTTCAGCTTGGTATCCCAAAAGAACCGAAATTTCGACGAGTGGAAGAAAGGAAGGAAGAGAAAAAGAGAGCACTGGAGAGGTTCTCAAGCTCGAACTCTAAAGAAAGTCTTATGATATCTATTTTCTTTTCTTTTCCTTTCCCATGATGAAAGGAAGATATAAAACGTTGTCCGAGATATCTCCCAGGCGCTGGTCTCATTTTGCGCTTTGGGCAATCCAAGAATGAACCCGAAATTACTTGCGCTGGAGGAAGGCTTATCAGCTGGTAGACTTGCTTATCGTTCTTGTCATGCTGAAAAAAAGACAGTAGGAAGGAGGACCGGAAGGAAGAAAGAGGAGGAAAAAAAAAGACGCGCTTGTAGTCCCGCAGGCCCGCCTTCCCACCACCGCCCAGAACCGCACATCCTTGAAAATCCAGCGATTGATCCTCGACACCGCACCTACAGAAAGAAACCCTCGTCCTAATATTTTAGCATTACTTTTCGATTTCTCCTAAGTGTACATCTTCCTCTTACCGGCGTTCCTGCATCCTAGAAGCTCCTAAAAGGCGTCTGCGCCTCCCACCTCCCGTCCTCGCCTGAAGCTATGGCTTCCTCATCGCGAGCTCTTGGGCTGAGCAAGCTCGCGACCCGCCAGTCCGGCATCGCCCCTCGCCTGCTGCAGCACCAGCAGCAGTCTGTAGTAGTCGCATCTCGCCTCCTGAAACCTACAGCTCGACCTCTTACTACTACCACCTCCTCCTCCTCCTCTGCTGCCTACAGATCAACAGCCCTCAACGGCAGAATACGTCCTGTCGTCCTCCGCTCCCAACAACGCCAGTACTCTGATGCGCCTCCTCCCCCACCCAAGAAGAAGCCCGGGAAGCTGAGGAGGACGCTCAGGTGGACATGGCGCCTCGTGTACCTGTCCGTCCTGGGCACCTTCGCCTATGTCGGCTACGAGGTCTGGGAGCACAGAAACCCAGATGCCCAGGTCAACCCAGACCCCTCCAAGAAGACACTCGTGGTCCTTGGTAAGCTCCTTCTTCCTCTGCTCTGCGCTATGGCCCATTGGTGTCCATCTCTGACAATTCTCTCTCTCTTTGTGTAGGTACCGGCTGGGGTTCCGTTGCCCTCCTCAAGAAGCTCGATACCGAGAACTACAACGTCGTCGTCATCTCGCCGCGCAATTACTTCCTCTTCACGCCCCTCCTCCCCTCGTGCACTACCGGCACCATCGAGCACCGCTCCATCATGGAGCCCGTCCGCACGATTCTCCAGCAGAAGAAGGCCGCTGTCAAGTACTACGAAGCCGAGGCCACCTCGATCGACTCCGAGCGCAAGGTGGTGCGCATCAAGGACGAGTCCGAGATCAAGGGCAGTGTGTCCGAGACCGAGGTCCCCTATGACATGCTGGTGATTGGTGTGGGCGCCGAGAATGCCACTTTTGGCATCCCGGGCGTCCGTGAGAACGGCTGCTTCCTCAAGGAGATTGGTGATGCCCAGCGCATCCGCAAGAAGATCATGGACTGCGTCGAGACGGCCGCTTTCAAGGATCAGGATCCAGAGGAAATCAACAGGCTGCTGCACATGGTCGTCGTCGGCGGCGGCCCGACGGGTGTCGAGTTCGCCGGTGAGCTGCAGGACTTCTTCGAGCAGGACATCAAGCGGCTGATCCCGGACATCAGCGACCGCTTCAAGGTGACCCTGGTCGAGGCCCTGCCCAACGTGCTGCCCTCCTTCTCCAAGCAGCTGATCGACTACACCGAGAGCACCTTCAAGGAGGAGAAGATTGACATCCTGACCAAGACTATGGTCAAGAAGGTCTCGGAAAAGGCCATCGAGGCCGAGGCGGTCAAGCCCGACGGTAGCAAGGAGCGCGTCACCCTCCCCTACGGCCTCCTCGTCTGGGCTACCGGCAACGCGGTCCGCCCCATCGTGAAGGACCTGATGGGACACATTCCCGCACAAAAGGACTCGCGCCGCGGTCTCGCCGTCAACGAGTACCTGGTCGTGCAGGGCACCCGCGACATCTGGGCCGTGGGCGATTGCGCCGTGGCCGGCTATGCGCCCACCGCACAGGTGGCCTCCCAGGAGGGCAACTTCCTGGCCAAGCTGTTCAACAACATGGCCAAGACGGAGGCTCTCGAGCAGAACATCCGCGAGCTGTCCAGCACCCTCAACCTGAAGCCCGGCAACGCCGCCGAGGTGGCCCGCCAGATCGAGGACTACGAGCGCCAGCTGCGCCGCGTCAAGGATATCAAGCCGTTCCACTACTCGCACCAGGGCAGCCTGGCGTACATTGGCAGCGAGAAGGCCGTCGCCGATGTTGCATGGTTCAATGGCAACGTCGCCTCGGGTGGTACCTGGACCTACCTGTTCTGGAGGAGCGCCTACCTCTCCATGTGCTTCAGCAGTAAGTTTCTCACCCTCTCTTGCCACCCTTGGTCAGTCAGTAGTTGCTAACGTTAGTTTGAACAGCTCGAAACCGCCTCTTGGTGATGAATGACTGGGCCAAGTCCAAGCTCTTTGGACGTGATGTGTCCCGGGAGTAGAAACGGAAATAGACACAGTGGAGAAGAAAGCAAGAGAGAAAGCGCGAGAGAGAGAGAGAAGGCCAGTGATGGGTGCCGTTCGAGGGAAGATAATGTGTGCTTGATATTATCCCGTGTCTGGTTCGTTTCAGGCGTCATGCGGGAATAGGATGGGACAGGACAGAATAGACTTCTGGCACCGGGAGGTTGTTTATTTTCTTTAATCTCTCGATCCGGCAAAAACAGATCACAAGTACACGCACACAGCGCAAACACTATAGACATGGAGGATGCTGCTCATCCGGAATTCAGGAAAGGGGAGGGGCAGGCGGAGTTGATAGTCTCTGCTTGCGAGCGTGAGCACGTTGGATGGTTTGTGTTCAACATTTTGTATGGTCAGCATGTATGTACGGAGCACGTGACAATAACTACTCGATTTTTGGTGAAGAAAGACTTTTGGGAGTCAATTTCTCGTACGATGCAAGTTCACAAGGTAGGTTTGCTTGTCTCGTCACCGCCTTGACGGATCCCAAGTCTGGTACAATATGTAGTACTGGAGAAGAAGTCATCATGATTCTCTGTGCTTACACTTTGTTTTCATTCGTTTCACCTTGCACTCTTGGATATTCCATACTCAATGCAAGTAGTTCCATCGACGGTATATACACAAGCTGATTTTTCTTCTTCTTTGTACACATCTCAGCCACTCCTCCCAACATCCTCCCGATTTTCCATCACATTCTCTGCATCACCACCACACATACACACAATTTAAGAGTAGATGCAAGTAGGACAGAAAGTATCCTCGTTCGGGGTCTCAGCATACACATCCAGCCCATATGTCGAGTTGAGCGTCACAGAGCCAACAACGCCCGCGTCCTCGGTCCGGATCCACGTGTCGACGGCCAGGTCCTGGAGTGGCAGCTGCAGCTGGGCCTCCGTCACAAGGATCTGCCGCGAGCCTCGGATCCAATGGCCGTAGCCGCCGTAGCCTGTGTGCTGGCCGAAGCAGAGGTTGAGGCCGTTGCCTGGGAGGTTTAGGCTTGGGGTGGTGCCGTCCCATTTGTAGCACCAGGTGTCGCCTTGAAGTTTGAGGATGATGATGATGGTCGATAGTCAGTCAAAGGGGAGAAAGGAAAGAAAGGAAAATTAAGAGAAAGAGAGAGAGAAAGAGAGAGAGAAAGAGAGAGAGAAAGAGAGAGAGAAAGAGAGAGAGAAAGAGAGAGAGAAAGAGAGAGAGAAAGAGAGAGAGAAAGAGAGAGAGAAAGAGAGAGAGAAAGAGAGAGAGAAAGAGAGAGAGAGAGAGAGAGAGAGAGAGAGAGAGAGAGAGAGAGAGAGAGAGAGAGAAGAAGAAGAAGAAGAAGAAGAAGAAGAAGAAGAGAAGGGCTGGAAAAGGAGAAGGGAAAAGAATTCCTAAAAAGTCGAGACGAGGCTCACCATGATCATGACCCGAAAACACCCCCATCAACCCCTCCGTCTCAACCAAAGCCTCCATAAACGGCACATCCTGGCCCCCATAAGCACACCCGACCGTCCCATTCGCACACCACCCTTGACCCTGCGCCGCAAGAGGAACATCATCATTGACGCCAGGCTGGAACGCCGGGCTGACCCCGTCCTCCACCTGCAGGGCCTGCGCCGCCGCCACGGGGATGTGCACAAACGCCAGCGAGGGGATGACCCTGCCTTCCCAGGCTGCAGACAGCGCCTCGCGTGTCGAGCGGAACCACGCCACGACGCTCTCGTCGACCCAGCACGGCTGGGGCACCGTGTTGCCGTCGGCGTCGAGCTGCTGGTAGGACTGGCCGCCGCGGCTGTCAAAGAACCACAGGATCAGCGCGGGCATGCAGGAAGGGCCCTCGCCGGCGCCCGTCGCCCCGGTGCCGGCCTCGTCGACACAGCTGGACCCGTACACGGGGAGGTAGTAGTTTGTGATGCCTGCCTGCGGCTGCTGCTGGCCGTCTTCTCCGGCTACCATGTTCCCCGTGCGCGAGTTGGGCCAGAGGGACTCGCGCGCCCAGAGAGCCTGGCGGGACAGGTTGAAGTCGCTGTCGTGGTTGCCGTAGGTCGAGGCCCAGGTCAGGCCGCGGGCGACGAGGGGCGCGACGATCTCGTCGACGTAGGCGGTGGCGTTCTCGAGGAAGGCGTTGTTTCCTGTAATCAGGTCGCCGTTGAGCACGATCAGGTCTGGGTCCTCGGTGTCGAGGATGGTGTTCATGACCCTGACGGAGTTGATGTCTTGTTGTGGTCCCCAGCTGTCCCAGGCATCTTGTTTTTTTTTTTTTTTTTCGCCTTCTCATCAGCTTCTGTTTGTCTTGTGTTCTTGTAACAGATTCATTGGAGAGGGAGGGTTCAGGCCCTGGGGGGTTAAGTGCAATATGAAAAGAAGAAAAAAAGAGGGAAACAGATAGAGAGCGAGAAGAGAAATGACATGACTTACTCTCACCAAAGTGAAGATCTTCAAACACTGCAATCTGAAAAGTGCCATCGTCACGAAACTTCAGAGGGCCAAATGCTTCATTGGCGTTGTTGACGGTATCGCCTCTCTTTCCCAACGTTGCCTGCATAGAGGGGACAACAAGCAACAGCCAGAGAATGGGAAAGTTACTACAAGAAAGCAGGGCAGCCATCTTGTGGTGTTTGCGTGTGTGTTCAGGCAAGTCAAAGGAGGAGCAGGAGGTCAGTGGTACACTTATGCAATTGAAGACCACAATGACCAAGAGGAAACCTAGACGAAGGGATGGATGGATACATTTTCACTTGAAGGAGATCTAGACAATTTTATAGTTACTCTTTCCCTCCATGAGATGTGGAAAAGATGAGATTGAGAGCCTCCCTGAGAAGGATCTGAGGGTAAAGTCTCATATCTACTTACTCAAGCATATACACATACACGAGCGGTGGCTGGGAATGTTGGGAATGTAGGGCGGTTGCCGCCACCCACCACGAAAAGACCACACGTGCTCTCTTAAGGGAGACTTTTCGGTTGTAAGAAAGAAGAAAGAAAAAGGCCTCAGTAGAAATGTGCTGCACAATATGATAATCAAGATGTCAGACAATATATATGAAAGAGAAAAAGCGTGAGAGGAAAAGAGTGAGAAGAAATCAACAATGAGCGCTTTCTTACCAGATGAGGGGGGGTATCTGTGTGCTTTCTGTGCCAAAACAACCAAGACCAATACTGCAATGCAGAAACAGACAATTCAAAAACATTATCCAGAATACCGTCACCACACAAACCGTATGCTTCCGCACCTAATCATATACACTCCATCCCCTTCTATCTTCTTCATCAGCACTGATCGAGCAAGATAATGCAAGGAGCCACAGAGAAACAATAATTATGCATCCACCATCTTCATCCTCGTCAGCAGGATTTTGTCCTTCTCCACCCTGCAGCTCCCACAGTACTCGCTATGCCATTGCCTCAGCGACGCGATTCTCTTCTCGTGAATGGGCCGCATGACCTTCTGCGCATCACCACCAGCACCAGCACCAGCGCTGGCCGTGACGCTGCTGCTGCTACTGTTGCTGTTGCTGTGGTCGGTCAGCATCATCTTGACCTGCTCACACCGCAGGTCCTCGTCCAGAAGCCAGTTCTCCCACTCGCTCTGAATCATTTCCTTCTCGATGCTGTTGACCACGCGCATGGCTACGAGGAGATCATGGCGGTACGAGCCTAGTCTCTGCCGCGTCCGTCGGAGCCGCCGTGCTGTGGCCTTGCTGTTGCCCGAGGAGAGGGTGGCACCAGCCTCTTCATATGGCGAGTCTAGTGAGGTATTGTTCATGATGGAACGGAAGGTGTCGTAACTAAAGAAAAGAAAAGAAAGAAGGAATCGAAGAGTCAGTGAACAAAAGCTGCGTGGTTGTATAGATAAAAAGGAGGACCAGTAGGTCGAACATACCATTCACTGGCCCCTTCTGGAGCGACGACCACGGGCGCCAGCACCGCTTCCTCCAGGTCCGCGATGTAGACAGCCTTGCTCATCATAGTATTGGGCCCCACGCCGATGCGAGACATGAACTTGGCCGCGTTCCTCTCGGTCCACCAGCTCGACCCTTCGCGGCCGGTGAAGACGGCATTGGTAAGCAGGCTCAGCGCCAGCGCAGCCAGGATCACCCTGTGCGTCGTGAAGACGCTGAAGATCTTCCTGACGCCGGCAAAGGTCCACATCAGCAGGCTCGTCGCCACGCTCTCCAGGATACTCCGCAGCGTCTCCAGCACCATCTCGGTCAGCGTGCGCGGCCGGATCATCTTCTGGCTCTTCTTCCCAGGCATCACGGCCGTGCCGTCCTCCTGTGTCTCGCCCGGCGTGAAGATAACTACCTGCGTCTGCTGGCCGATGTTGCCGTAGACCTGGATAGCCCGCTTGGTGCGGCTGTGCGGGCCCAGCTTGCGCACCTGGTCGGTCGCCACGTCGGCGAGCTCCTCGGCATCGCGCCGCGCGTCCTCCAGCGCCTGCCGCTGCACGAGTGCCTTGGACAAGGGTGGCTTCTTAGACCACTCCACCTTGGTATACAGAGCGAGCTTGCACTTGGATTTGGCGATGTGGGTGATGACGACCTTGGTGATGATCTTGAACGAGGACGAGTGCGGGAGGTGCCATGGCGTCTTGATGTAGGTAACGACGTAGGTGAAGTGGTCGCTGAAGACGTCGATGACCTGCTGGTCGACAACGTCCTTCTCCGCGTTCTTCTTTGCATAGGCGACGATGCCAAACGTGCCCACCTTGAACTTGAACTCACGGCTCATCTTGCCCTGGTCCATGAGCTCCCAGGGCCCCTGTGCGATCTCCTTGGCGCGCCGCTCAAAGTAGAGCTTGGGGAAGATGAAGGACTTGTCGCCAAAGAGCACGTGGAAGCAGCCCTTGGAGCTGAGCTCGAAGCTGCGCTCTTCCACTGGCGCGCCCATGCCCTCTGGCTCGTACACGACCGGGTGTGCGGGGAGCTGGAATTTCGGCACCGGCTTGCGCACTGGGCGCGCTGCTCTGTCCCTGGCGTTGTACACGTTCCTGTACACTGGCCTACCGGTGGCAGTACCGTCATCAATAGGCGTGTTGGAGGCTACTTCCTCCCAGCTCTCCGCGCTGGGACTCTTCTTTTCGTACTGCTCCGTCTCTAGGTTCGTCAGCGCCGTGATGAGCTCCGAGGTGTTCATCGGCTCCTCGGACTGCAGGTCGTCGACGAGAAGATTGAGCCGGGAGTGCAGCAGGTTTAGGTCGAGCAGGAAGGTCTTGATGATGATCCTGGTGAGGCCGGTATTGTTCATGTTCTGGCTGAGGTGTAGGTAGATGTAGTCGCAGTCCTTGCCTGGCGCCGCAGTGACCTCCGAGATGATGTCCAGGCTGAGGGTGTAAGCGATCACGAGGCCCATCTGCTGGCCGTAGAAGTACATATTGTCAGAGGTGACGTAGATGCGGCCGTTGGCCATCATGCCCTTGCTGGCCACAGTAGAGCCCTCGGCAGCCGTGCTCGTCCAGGCGGCGTTGAACACCATGACCAGCTTCTCCTCGAGCGGCACGTTGGGGAAAAGCAGTCTGAACTGTGGATGGTGTGCCTTGAGCTCGCCTGGATACCTCGGCGGGAAGTTCTCGCCCGCTGCCATCTGAGGAGTCCGGACCTCAGGAACAACATTGGCACCGCTGCTGAGAGTCTTGCGGTGCGCCAGGGACGAGGCGCTCTCGCCGCCAGCAGGCACAATCTGTGTCTGCGCCGACACCAAGGGGTCATCGTCCAGCCTAAGGTACTTTGTGTCATCCTCCCTGGACGAGTACAGGGTGCTCCAGGGTATGCTCCCCCAATAGTTTGCGACCACAGCTGTCGGCAGGGTGGGAGGGTTGTCACCGCCCACCGTCCTCCCTGCGCTGGCAGACACAGCAGCCCTGGTGAGGAAGGTCGACGTGGGCGCCTTTGCGAGTGTGGACGGCGCAAGGCTGCTGTGCTTCATGTCCTCGATGGGCTGCAGCCTGGGCGAAGAGCCCGCTCCCAGGTTGGTGACGGAGGCGTTATAGGCCGCATAGCCCGGCAGGAGGTTGGAACTCGAGCTGATCAGGCCGGCGATGCCGGCGGAATCGCTGCCGCCTCCGAAGGCCTGTCTCCTATGAAGCTCGATCCTCTGCATGATGCGTGCGGCGTGTTCCCTGCCAGACTCGCCCTCTTCGCGAGGGAGATCTCGCGCGATATCACGTGCGAGGCCCGTGACAGAGCGGCGGGGCGCGGCGCCGACACCACCGACGTCAAAGCTGGCGCGTGCGGCGTCCACACCGGGCACAGGCAGCGTTCCGCTCCTGTCGAGGTGCCAGCCATCCTCAAGGCCCTCGATGCTCTTTGCTGAGAACTCGGGGATGGTCGGCGGGGTGATGGCGAAGGCCGGATCAATACCTCCTGTCGTCAGTCCCTTGGTGTCGCGGTCTGCGCTGGCGTCAAACGCCTGCTTCTTGGCGACCTCGAAGACCTCGAGCCACTCCTGGAGCTCTGCCTGCGTCTCGGACTGCAGCATGATGTTCTGTGACTTGGTTTTGATCTCAAAGCAGAAGCGCCGCTCTTCGCCGACCGCAGGGCGGGTGTTGCAGAGCAGTACGCCGATCTCGTCGCCCTGGAGCACGCCCTGAGGGCCCTGGACCAGCCATCCGAAGATGCCATTGCGGCAGTAGTACCACCGCCTGATCCAGTTCGTCCTTGCAGGCTTCCCACTGAGGGTCTTCAGGAACAGCCATCCTTGCTTCTCCGAGATGACGGCCTTGTCGTCCTTGGGCTGCACGTTCATGGGGCCTCTGGAGCCCAGGAAGGGGACCGTCGACGAGCTGTAGTCCTCGAGCTCCCTGGACGGCTTGAAGGTGGCCATAGCGTTCTCGCCCACGTCGCGCCTGGCGGCCTGCAGCTCGCGTTTGAACACGGCCTCGCTGGCCTCCATCTCTCTGGACCAGCCCCTGATGCGGTCCATCTCGTCTGCAAACCTGTTGGACCCGAACGTCACGTCGCGCCACCGCCTCATCTCCTTCCAGACGTCAGATGCCACGCGCACGAGCAGCTTGTCGAGGGTGAAACGGAGCTGGGGCGCGAGCTGGCAGTAGTCCATCGAGGCCTTGAGGTAGGCCTTGCGGGTCTCGTACACGGCAAAGGCATCCTCGCGCAGGGACGAGGGCTCCTTGGTCTTTGTCTGTGCAACGTAGCGGCCCAGCGTGGTGTCAAAGGTTCGCTGGGCGGCGTCCAGGCTCTTGCGCGCCTCCTTGAACGTCCGCAGCTCGCCGCCCAAGAAGCTCCTGATGGGCTCGGCGGCGAGCCCGTCCATGCGCCGCATCACGCCGAGGATCTGACCCCACCAGTCCTTCTGTGCATCGCCCACACGCTTGAGTGAGAGCAGGGTATAGTCTGGGTCGATGAGCCCGTCAAGGCCTGCAGGGATGTTCTGCCGCAGGAATGCACTGATGGTCTCCTCGAGGGCGAGGATGTCATGTGACACTTTGGTCGAGGACCGCACGTAGCCCTCGAGCCATCGCTCGGCGTGCTCGATCTGGTCGGCGAAGTGGATGATGGCGCAGCGGAAGGTCGGGGAGTCGAGGGCAGCTTCGTTCAGGCCGACGGGAATCGCTGGGTTGTGGGAGGAGGAAGCAGCAGGAGGGGCAGGGGCAGGAGCTGCTGCTGCTGCTGCTGCTGCTGCTGCTGCCGGTCCACCAGGGTCGGCCATGGTCGTCGAGGTTGAATTTCGTGGAGGGCTATCGAGGGGTCGAGAGTCGTGGATGGATCATGGCAGGAGAACAGACGATGCTCAGGGGTAGAAAGAGCAGGCGAGGTTGTCGTGATGACGTGTGTGCACGGTGCGGCACAGGACAGGAGGAGCTCGAGAGAAGGTCGTTGCTGTGGCAGCTCGGCTTGGATTTGGCACGAAGACTGTTAACTCGACTGGGCGTAGAATGGTTTCAATTACGTAGGCAACAATAGATTCCCCCTCTTTCTCTGTTAGTCTCGCAAGACTTGACGTCGGCGTTGACTGCACCAGAACAAGACGAAGGTTGCGGCTGTCCTGTTCTGAACCTTTCATCTCGGTCGTGGAGAATAAGCAGTGGCCCTAGCGTTTCATCATCATTGTTTGACAGGTGGGCAGCAGTTACCGCCCCCACGTTTTTGTGTTTGTTCAAATCTAATCTTACCCAAGGCGGATTAAAGCTACTAAATTGAGAAAACGTTTCTCATGTTTATTGTCTGGAGGGTTTCATTCTATATGGAGGTGGTAAGCATCTTGGGGAAAAGAGCTCATCTTTCGTCAAATCGAGCAAAACAATCGACCCTGTGTTGTGATGTGTTTTATGACGAGGCTATCTGGAAACATAAAAGGTCCACACGATACATGCAGCTGGGCTGCTCAGGTAAATGAGCTATACGAGGCTGTCACCTCCGCTGTCATCTCGTCTGTTCAATAAAGTTGTTGCATATGTATGGACAGTCAGCCTTTCGGGGACAGTATGATCAGTCATTCATCTCATTCAGAGACGGGAGTCGTCCCAATGTTTCAGGTCACAAATGGATCTGTTCGCAACTGCGTCAGGTTATCATGCATAACATTGTATAGCAGTACACAACAGTTGCATAATAGAACCCAACGCCATAGAGATGGCTCGTGAATCCGAGCAACGTTTGGGACTGGGACCAGATGAGAGAGAGAGAATGAGAGAATGAGAGAGAGACACACACACACACAGACAGAGAGAGAGAGAGTGTGTGTGTGTGTGGGAGAGAGAGAAAAGAATGTCTCCTTTCGCAACATCGTCTCCCACATTAGGCCTCGACACAAGACAGACAAGTTTCTGGCAGCCGCCGGACGCGAGAGGCAACCGATGAGCTGGCGCTACAAAGATCGCTGAGCTGAGCTGTGGGGCATCGACGTGGCCTGTGAGTATTGACAACATCGTGAACACATTCATCGTGTCGGATACGAAGCACCGTATCCTCCTGTCTGTGCCACCACCAGGGTGCGCGCAGGATGGAGGAGGAGGAAGAGACTACTGCTGCCATTATAGTCACCAGTCAGCTGTTCAGCAGGGGAAAAGGGCGAGGAGCGGTCTGCAGCGGCGACAAGCAGCCAGCCTGCAAGTATGTTGTTGACTTGGTCAGCTTGGAAAAATCAAGAAAGACCTGGTAAAAAGTTATGAATCGCAGACCCAAGACACCTCAAAACCGGCTGAATGGGTCGGTGTACCCCCTGCACTGGGCGATGACGTCTCGTGGCAAGCCCTGTTCTTCTTTCCTTTACTGGGGGGGGGGGGTGGTTCTGTTGCATTATGTACACGTCAACTCTCTCGCCTCTTCTCTCACAGATAGAGAAAGAGAGATGTTTCAATACCTTCGTCCAGGCTCTATGCGTGCGGCAAGTATGACGCGGCAGCCGCCGGTTGTGAAGACATTTTGAGTTTCTGAAAATGGATATTGGCCGCTGACGATAGGAAGGCAATCAACGTTTCGTCGCATCAATCCGAAGCGACCCAGGAAAAAGGTTCGCCCCTGCAGGTGACGGAAAATCTTGACCATAGTGCTGCGATAGTACTGATACACTGTGCCACTTTTTAGCAGTAGACTGAGGGCGAGAGGAGGCGGGTGATCTACGCCATGGCCGTCTTCCTTTATGCATCCGCCTGCGAGCTTTCAGCTTGTCAAGGATCATGACTGACTAGGCACATCGCATCCGACAGCCAGCGGGGCGGGCCAGACATGACTTGGTGGTTCCTGTCAACCGAGTGGCCGAGCCCTTCAAACTCGAAACTGCAATTCTTCTTTCGTATGCATCCCAACGAGGCGGCGAAAGAGGGACCGACCAATAAGCCAGGGATGAAAAGAAATAAGAAAAATAAAAAAGATATATCAGACGTTACTCAATCCTCTTGGAGATGCCGGCAGAAGGGTGCCCTGCCTCTACCGGCTGCGCCACAAGAAAAACCATACCAAGAAGCCCTGCATTGAGGCGATCCTCTCGTGGGTTTTGCCTTCTGCCCCTGTCTGCACCCCGCAGTAGCAGTGTACGGACAGTAGAGCCGCCGATACGCCCCGCCGCGAGCGACTCTGTACAATACAAGCACACACTTTTGCAGACCTACTACCCCTGGGCCGATCCTGACGCGCGCCCAAGGAGGTGTGAGTCAACAACTTTGTGGTGGTATGTACCATAGTTTCCCACCCAGCTGGTAAGCCATGTCATGGTGCGACAAAAATACCATGAATACTGCAACGTCTCTGGTGTAAGCCCAGGTTGTAAAGCGTCAGGGCGTCTTCTATACGTAGTGCTGCTGGTGCTGGTGCTGGTGCTAGTAATCATAATGATGCTGTGCTCCACCACCCTCAGAAATCTTGTCGCACGGCCCCCCTCGATAACACACCCATCCGGCTTGTCTAGCGGCCTCCTGTGTGTGTGAGAGAGTACAGTGGACGGCGCGCTAAAACCTGTGGCCTCAGACGCATTGGGACAATCCTGCAGCCGACGAGGCGGACCAGCGGGTGTTGGATATTCTTGGACGCGTAACCGGGTGCTCCGGCCCGTTGTGGGTGAAGGAGTAGTTGACAGGAGCATGCACTGTTAATAGTAAGGGGCCACGGGATGTGGTGTCTAACATCCGGATCTGCCTCTCGACTCGCAGGCTAAGGCATATACCTAGACGTGCCCCGACAGTCGAAACGAAACACGGTTGTGGAGATCTATTCCAGGGAGGGCCAGGACAGCTCCGATCTGCGCGCTTGGTGGTGTGGCTCAGAGCAGAGACCCAGAGCGAAGAGCGATGGTGGCCACAAGAGTTGGCGGCGCATTGATCATTATGGGACCGGTAAGAAACAGCGGTCCCCCCTTCCAAAGGGGTCTGCCTGCCAATATGTGACGGCTGCCTCTTTTTCCTTCTTCTTTTGGTTCCGACAGACAATGAAGCGCACACGAGTGCACACACGCGGAGGACCCACCGACGGCTTAGCTGCAGGCAGCAAGGAGCAAGCCGTTGGTTGTCCAACAGTCACAAGTGACGAGAAAAGGCGGCTTGCAGGGACGATGTGTCAAGTGACCAGGGCGCAATCATGTGTATACCTCGCACGGGGTGCCTTGATGGTGGTGGTGTGGTGGTGGTGCGGTAAGAAACGGCAGAAGCTGGCGGCTTGGGCGGCTGTTCAGCGGTTGTTGAGAAGAAGGAAACAAATTTTGTTAGGCGGGGGGTGGGGGGGGGGTGGGCAGTGAAGGTGCTATACTATGTCAATTAGGCTCACGGTGGGAGCATCAGATGTGGTCTGGGCTTCTAACTGGTGCTACTAACTACTGTGGTACCATAGTATGTGCAATGTGCTATAGCTCAATACTGTAACAAACTGTGGTAGTTACAGCACATTGTACTATGTATGCACTATGCACTACACATGGTACTGTGTAATACGTAGTGTACTGTACTTAGTAGTGTTAAGGGGCCAAAAATAGAACTGACCAAGCCGAGGGGTAACTCGATCTAGTTCCATAACTGCCATAGTGCTGCCGCTATAGCATGATGTACTAGACCTGGCGCTAAGTTTACAAGCCCCGCTCTGACTTTGACCAGTCATTACTCTTGTTTGCAACAGGGGGTGTCCTAGGCTATCTGCCGACGACTTCCGCTACGGTGGCGGGTCCGGTTCCAACTTCCAACTTCCCAGCTTCACTTTCTCAACGACCTGCCCACCATCTGATGAATTTTGCCCCTTCGGCGAACGGCCATAGCCACAGCCACCAACATCCATGCACATATTCTGGTATTCTGGTACAGACATGCCTTTCTCGCCCTTTTGCATCCTGAATTCTGCATTCTGGAAGTCTTCTAGTCGTCTATTTGCCGTGGCTGAGTGCTGATCCATGGCAACGCAACCCCCCCCCCCCCTTCCAAATGAAACAAGATGTCTCGTGGCAGACCTTTCAAGCTGCCGTGGCTTGCTTCTCCAAAAACCTGAACTCACAACGCAACCTTGTACCTGGTCACCATACTACACGAGCGAGGACCCATCTATGGTCGCGCATACGTGCTCATGCGTCTCTCGAGCCCTCCTGGATCCTCTGTCCAGCCCACAGCACAGTCGTCTTCTATCCTGCAGCTTTCTACCACCTAGACTGATCAAGCGATCCCGTCTGTACCTCCCCTGGTCCTTTTAGTCGCCCCATCTTGGGGCATCTCCTTCGTCATCCTGACAGCACCATGGAGCATTCTGCCTCATCAGCTCTGCCTGCTGCTAGGCTTCCTGCTCACGATTGGCCCTCGGACCGGGTCGACCAAGATCACACGATGGATACAGCTCTGGCCGGAATCTCCAGACAGTGTCTGACCCAGATTCGAGTACCTGTCCAGCACTCGGACGCATGCTGGGGCTGGAACGTCTCGGCACTCGTCCTGAACAGGAAACCAGGGACCGATGTACTCATATTACGACCTCGCCGAATGGGTTCGCTTAGGTCTTGTAACTAGTCGCCCCTCGAGATATCAGCCTCCTTCTGGTGCATGGGCCCGTCAAGAGGTCTTGCCTACTACGGTACCAACCTGCCTCATCGTGCGATGCTCGTCCCCCTGGACCTCTGCGTGTCCTTTCTGCCCCCTTTGGAGCTGGTTTTATTCGATTTTACGACCAATCAGAATTCTCAGACGTCTTGTGGCCAAATTATTGCTGACCCTTTCTGTCTCGAGGCGTCTGACCAATCAGACTGCAGAAGCGCACTTTTCCCCTTCCACACCTCAGCGCGCCCTTTGGCGCTAACATGGATCGTTCTCTCGTGAGAAGGCATCGACAGGCTCACGTCCATTTTCGACACGGGGCCCTTCAACTCTCCCCGGACATCTTGGCTTCCCCATCAGTGAGACAGGCCAACCGTCTTAGCTGTCCCGTCGCTGCTCAGGGGACTTTCTCCGACGCCCCTTGGGGCCACCTCGGTGACCCAGCAGAGGGTTCCTCGCCGCCGCGGCCGCGGTGACCTGATCTGATTTATGGTACTAAGCTTTCGCACTCAGATCTCTTACCCCGGACTGCACCATCATGATCGCCAGGGGATCGGCCTGGCTACCACGGCTACCAGATGATGAAGGACTGCCGTTCTGGGTCTTAATCGGGCCAATATTCTGCTCCTACAAGGGGCCTGGTTGAGGTCGTCCGGATTACGGGTCTGAATGTGATACGCCCTCATATCCCCGATAGTCTGGCTGTCAAATGTCATTGTGGGTCACTTCGGCCAGGCTTGTGTCTGTTTCAGGTTGGCTCTGTTCGAGAAGGAGGAGACTATGGATACGCCTCTGGGATGCGGTTGAGGGCACAACTATGATGCCATCGGTGATTCCTTCCCGCAGGTGGAATCTGAGCTGAACAGGCCGAGATGAGCTCCGTGGAGATGAGGGCTGGGTGTCCTGGTTCATCTACCATGCCCAGAATGGTTCTCGGTATATGCGTCTGGGCAACTTCCAGATCAGAGCTCAACGTGTAATCTCACGATGGTGGGACTCCCCAGGCTATCGGCTGCTGTCCGCGGGCCTTTTCTTCCCTCTTGTGATGGCCCACACTAACATGCATAAGCGCAGTTCACGCAGCTTCCCGTCGGATCATTTTGATGTCTTGTGCTCGAACTGGCATTAGTGCAGGAAATGGAGAGGGTATAGGTTGTGTCCCAAATGGGTCTTCAGTGTGCCTATTAGGCCTGGGAACGGCCAAACCCCGTTCTGATGGAGCCTTGAGGGCGATTCGGTTTGCAAACTATCAGGGCTTGATGACATGGGAAGGCTTTTTTCCCCCTTCTACTCTGTACGCTTGCTTTTCATGATTGAGTGGCACCGTGGTCTTCCAAAAGCATAGCCTTGACAGCGTACCGAACCACGAACCATCCACATAGGAGTAACGGTTGTGCTACAGAGCAATGGGCCATGAAATAGAAGCACTGCACTCGCCTCACTCGGCAGAAGGGTGTGTGGTTTGTCGATCTTAGTGAAGATCTTAGTGAACAAAGCAGGAGAATATGTCGAGGCACACGATAACGTGCCATCTTTTAGTTCCGGGAAGGCCATCTGCCATGGTACCCCATGAACACGGAGACACGACCCTGATGTTGTAAAGATGGAAGGCCAAATCGGGCCGTATAAGCAGCAGGGTTCAGGGTGGCACCAGAAGCGCTTCAGAAGCTTATGTCGTGGGTGCCCTCTGCCGGCACACTTCCACTTCTCCTCCGTCACATCTCGGCCCTGTTTTGACGGGACGCTCGACCAGAGATAGCAATTTCAATTGAGAGACCTCTTACACATGCTACGTTGTAGTGCGTCTCCTCTCCATCGACACCGAGCTTGACATCTAAGGTAGCAGGACTTCCCTGTCCGACATGGATGTCCGTTACGGAAGAGATCTGTTTGGGGCCCACCAACGCCACTTTTGCCCTGCAACTCCCCGCTGAGTCCTGTACCAAAGCCCCAAGGCCGCTGGAGGTACCGGTACTCCGCCGAGGGGGGGCACTGCACCCGCTAACAACTTTCAGCTGCGCCTGGAGGGCCCTGCCGCTCTTACGTTTGCCTGAAGAAACCCTTGACCTTTTCGCTGCAGGTCTTGTCTCTGCACAGCCCACCATGTCGCGGTACTGTACGAAGTGCGGCCTGCCTCGGTGTCGTCGGTCGCCTAATCTAGCCTGTCCTTTTTTCTCTCTCTCTGACACGCTCACCACACAACCTTTGGGCTCCCCCCCCCCTGCTCCTCTTGGACTTGGACTTGGGCTAGGACTTCCCGTGGGTGCCGCCCGCTCTCGTCACTTGTGTGCGCTGTGCCCACGCGAGTACGAAACGGCATATCACTACTATAGTACCACAGTACATTTCCCCTGCTCCCACAGAACGGGGCACAACCTGCGCATTTTAGTTGGATATGCTCCGCAGCTGATCAGAGAAAAACCTGGATAGTAGGGGCAAGTGACAGTGGACAGACTTGGCACCACTTCGCAGGTACCATGTTCTGTACGTCGGTCGGTGGGATAGGATAGCCTCCCTCTTTCAAATCATGGCCTTCACCGTCACCATCTCCTTCAAAGGCTTGAACAGCCAGCGCCGATGGACAAGTACTACGTACACGGCAGCAGCACAACCGAGGTGGGGATCCTTGTGCTCCGTAAGAGGTACTCCATCGACGGGCAGGGCGACTTGCATGCCGGGCGATGGCGACGTAGCGTCACCCCATAATTCGTACTGGCACTGCATACCCTAACCATAATGCTTCTGGGCTCCACTCGGCTGCATACTGGCACTACTTATGGTACTTGCGATGGATACGGTACTATTCTTCCAGGTACTCAGGCCTCTCCAGCAGGCAGCGGGCGCAGTAGTATAACACCCCACCCTCTTTCTTGACGCCTTCTGCGAATTTTTTCTCCCTCCCACCCTCCTCCCTCCCTCTTTCCCTCTCCCTCCTTCACGAGTCTCTCGTCCGTCATTCTCTTCCTCTTATTTTACGGTTGCAGGCGTGCAAGCTAATTATTCCCCTGTCTCGGGACCACCCAGCTCCGTCATCTTTATTTCTTCTTATCTTGTTTCGCACCGCACCTTTTTGAAGCTTTGAAAACCCCCCCCCCTCTCCCTCTTCCCGTCCCTTCTATCTACCCTTACCCGCCCCGGTTTCTCTCACTCTTGTGTATTACCCCGCCACTCCTGGTCACTCTCCTTCACATAGCAAACATGCCTCCACAATTGTTACCCGCCTCAGCGGCAGCCTTCGCTCCCAGGGCATCCTCCGTCAACGTCGTGCTTGGATCCGGCAAGCCAGAGCAGTGGCTCACACAGACACTGAAGAGAGTCAACCGAGTCAAGCGACCTTTGAATAGTGTTATGCAACACCAGAGATGCCTGACCGAGCTCCTTTCCAACGAGAACGCCATCTGGACCCTGACATCCCTCATGCTGCCCAAGGCGCCGCAGGCTGACCTTCGGGAAGACGAAAACCCGCTCGTGGAGGCCATCTTCAACTATCAGCTCCTCCACATCGAAGCGTACGTGGTTCACGTGGATATGGTGCTGCGCAACGAGGTCGGATTCAAGCTCAGCAAGGATACCATCGAGGCCCTGATCGAGCACCACAAGGATGTTCACTGCGTTGACGCCAAGGCAAACACCCATGACTGGACCGAGAAGGAGCAGCAAGCCAAGAAGCTGCACGAAGACTTTGTCCAGGCCGTCAACAAGTTCGTGTACCGCACACATGTCAGCGCACTGGAGGGGCTCGAGGAGGAGGGTGCTGGCGAGCTGCTGAACGGCAAGAGCGACGAGGTCAAGACACAACTGCTTGGCCTCATGAAGCCCCTGCTGCCCCCTCCCCCACGGGCCGTCGAAGTGATCCGCCAGCAGCCTCCCCTGCTTCCATCGTCACCGGTCGGCGCAACCCTCTGGTCTCAGCCTACCACACCATCAAGTGTCCCCGCCCCTGTCGAGGCCTGGAGGATTCTGCCTTCTAGCCCGAACGTCGTCTCAACCCCGGCCGAGAACATGCCCATCTGGGCCCATCTGGGCTTGAGCGAGGCCCAGGTGTCTCCTCCCACGCCAACATACAGCCAGCCTTTCTCCACCGCCGGCTTCTTCTACAGCTCACCGGTCGTGACGACCCCGATCCCGTCCATACCTCCTCTGCCCCTTCCCAGCATGTTGACCCAGCAATGCGGTGTGTCCATGTATGGCGGGTTTGGATGGGACCACCGGTACCAGGAGTATACGCCTACCATGTGACAACCACCAAGCGCCACTGGAGACAGCTACCCTACGGCTACGTCTTCACAGTAATATCTCCTTCATGTCACCACTCCTCGGGCTGTCATTCTCTGACGAGGAGGTCAAGAGACTAGAGAGACACCTCAAACATTTCCATGTCAGGGTACATCGGCATTTTGCATACCAAGGCGCGGGTCTGCGGTACAAATTCATCTATGGGTTCACGGGTTTTCTTAGTCTTCGAAGCGAGCGAGCGTCTGATTTCAACGGATTTCTTTATCATTATTATTTCCTCACCCCTTTGTTTTTTTTCTTCTTCTTTTTTCCCCCCGGGGGCTCAGGATTACTCCCGTCAACAACAATGTTACCGCCAGTTCGGTCATAAGCTCTCAGGTTTGGGAGGCCGGGAATCACAGGCCCAGCCACGAGCCGCAACCGTGGCAGCAGAGAACGTCTCCCAGGAGAGCGCCTTTGACTACGCGGTGCCGTCATTGTTTGGGCTGTTGGGTCTCGACATTCTGTTCATACTGGAACAGCCTCTTTTATCTCACCCTCATTCAGGCTGGATCCAGTTCGGGCGGTTTTTTGTTTTTTTTTTTGTTATTGCATTTTTGGGTTGAAACAGAAATTATCGGAAACTTGGGCGGCTGTCTTTGCTTTTCAATTTCCTTTACGTCTTACATCAAGAGGGAACACGCAGCAATGCACCAAGGCTCGGCATCGAGAAGAATTGGGGTTTCAGGTTTCCACTATCTCTTCTCTGTTCGACTTCACTTCTCTTTGGCGCTATGAAGTGGCTTTCTAGATGATACCCCATCTGCGACGTGGTGGCCTGTCATCACTTGCACTCGCTTCAAAGTGGACACTCCACTACCCTGGGCTTGGTTTTCTTTTTTTCTTTCCAATTTTTCCCGCGGATGATTGAACGACCTTTGATGACGGATATTTTCTACTGCATAATGAGAGCTCTGGGCGACGACTCTTTCCCGAACGATGATGATCCTCTCAGCTAGATGTTGAGACTCGATACGACTCTTCGACACGAAACAGCCGGGTTGGAGTTTCTTATATGGGCGGGATATATTCGACAGCGGCACCTCGAAAGCGGAACTGGAATTTCGCAAGATCTGATCGCACATCAAGGTTGAGGACGAAATCATACCGAGCCGACGACGGACACCAGCATGTGAAACGTGCGGGCCAGAGGCAAGACACTGGTTGTCTACAGTGGAAGAAACCAAGATCTGCTCTCCATTCGCCCGGAGGCAGGACAGGCTTGAAGCGGGAGGTGGATCAATACAAGAGCTGGGCATCAACACAAGGGTTTTTTTGGTTTTTTTTTTTTGCGGGGGGCTTGCCGGTCAGTCTCCAACCCGAAGGATGCAGGGCCCTTCTCGCCAACGCCGAGTATACGTTACCCAGGATGAAGGCTTCATGACAGCTCCATGGGCATCTGCGCGGGGTGAGCGGGCAGGGTATGGTGTGACGGCAGAGGACGATCAAAATACCAGACACTCCAAGATTCTGCTAGCTCAGAAGGAGATCTGGCTTTGGTCCACTCTGGGCGGTCAACGCCGTTCGCAGGAAGACGCTCACTCGAGACAGTCGATGACCAGACCAGGGGGGGGGGCACTTTAGCCCCAACAAGTGGATGTTGGACTGGGTATCAGTTGGAAAGGCGGGAAACAAAATTGTAGCATCATCTCACTGCCTGTTACTTCTGGGGCCGCGCCTTTTCCGACGCAGAGGTCTCTTCGGCATTGATTCGAGTGTTAAAGTCCTCCTCATTGCCGGAGCTTCCTCAGCCGGCCAGGTGGGCTCCAGGAGAAAACAAAGCTCCTCGGGTGCGAGTGTTGCATTGGGGAGAGGAACAGGTTTCCTCCCACCCCTGTAACTAATGGGCGCACCGTGGAGCATGAGATGCCGGAAACTTATCCTATATCTGTATGGCGGTTCAGCCCTGGTGGCGGATGCCTTACATTTCTAGTTTTTCTTTCGAGGCTGCCCTGTTCACTCAGCTGGTGGTTCTCTGCTCCTTTGTCATATGTCTACTATCTAGTATTAAAAAGAAAAACAATTGAGCCAACAAAAAGAAAAAAGAAAAAAAAACCGAAAGAAAAAAAAATAAGTATGAAAAAACTAGACAAAAAGACCGTCTACATGCCTTTGTGTGTGAAACCAAACAACGATTTTGTGCCTAATCAGTTCCCCCAGTCCTGTGTTTTGTGCTGATCTTGTGGTCTTGTGTGAGAACTGGTCCGCGTGACTGATCATGACACCCCATGCAATGTCACCACCACCACCACCATTCCCCTCCTCTCACTTCAACCACAATACCCATAGTAGTATTGCTATAGGTAGAGTGAGCTACTAGAGCGCCCTTACAAGTACGTAGGAACGCTAACTGACTGCTACGAGTGGGCTAAAAGGCCACGCACGACTCTTGTTACACCGGGGAAGAGAGGGGAGGGGTTTGATGGATGGATGCCCAGACGGGGATCGTTGGTTACATAGCATGCCCAGTGCCGATGTCCGACCGAGGAAAGTGGTGGGATGGATGGATGGATGGATGGATGGTGTTTGGAGTTCTGAGGATATGAACTGCGCCGAGATGGAGGCTTGACGTTGTGTCGAGACTGAAAGTTTTTATTCTTATTCTTTCTCTACTTCTTTTTCCTTCTCTTCTCTCAATCAGGCAATCCGGCTTTTTGGTACATATTAATAACGGCAGCAACACCCCCCGGCGGGGTTCCAATGTTCTGAATGCCTTGTTGTCCGGGACCCTTGGAGTTGTCAGGCAGGGGGTGGTGTTCCCTCGGGACTTTTCGACGTTGGAAAGCCCCGGTCCACCCTCTTTTCTCAGCCATGCTGGGGAGGTGGACTGAGATGGGTTGGGGTGTATGGCTTTTTTTTTTTTTTTCAATTGTCACATGCTCGGTTTCCTCAAAAGGATGTATTTTGTACGCAACTGTGAAGACCGGGCGAAAAAGAAAAAAAAGGTCAGGGAAAAAGACCAAAAACGATTAGGGTAATAAGAATCCTGAAGCAGCGGTATGTCCGTCCAATGGGCCCCCTCTCAAAGCCGCAAAGAGCCGACCGAGTTGCATCCAGAGGAAGAAACGTGCCGATCACGACAAATGACATGGTTCGTACGCCAACCGACCACTGCGATCAACCAGCTGATCTTCTTATTCTCCCTTGCTTTTGGAACTTCTGGAAGCCCGCTCAAAGCCTTGGGGGGCATCCCCTTGTGCAGCCCGACATGTTCTCCGCTGAAACAGGGCGCTGAGCCGCTGCGAATCCTCCTGCTGGTGGTTATCACCTGCAGACGATGCTGTGCCAGTATATGCAATACTGAAAAGGGTAGTCGAGGCCGTTGGGGACCGCAGGACGGGAAGAAGAAAAAGGCCGGGGCGGGAGGTGTACAGTAGGATGGTAAGATCTGTTTGGAGAGTGCTCTCGGATCTCGACCAGTCGGATGTGTTTTGGCACCCCTCCTCCTCCTCCTCCTCCTCCTCCTCCTCCTCCTAGAAGCGGTTCTGGTGTGTTGACCCACCACGACGCACCACTACATAGTACGCCCTCGGGAGTCGATCGGTCTGGGGTCTCGTTCCGCCCCCCCCCCCCCCCGGGTCAAGTGACAGTTCTTTTTTTGCTGGGTCTGTTTTTGGGCTTGGTATGACACCGGGAGCATGGGTACAAAGTTTAATCCTGATGCTCGTCGCGATAGTCCGTTGATGCAGACTGCAGGGCACTTAGTCTGTCAGCTGCTCCGTAGCGGCGGGTACAAGGTCGTTCTTGTTGCCCGTGTTCTGTCCGCGAGCGTGCATGCTGCAAGGCATCAGTCGAGTCCCAAACCTGTCGATCGGCGTAGTGAACAGCCTTGGCTCGTCGGACCTGCAGGTTGCAGGATGAGAAGGCCACGGAGAACGACAAGAGTAGGGTACAGTCAGAGAACAGGGACAAGGGCTGAAGTCTGATAGGTGCATGGTACAGCAGCATCACAGATACGCAGACAAGAGGGGCGCCGAACACAGCCCCCCATCATCCACCCCGCGGCGAACGCCGGCCGCCCCAAACCGCCCTCATTTCCATTCTGTCGGGTCGTAGCGAGACAGGCCTTCCTTGCGAACTTCCTCTTTTGACACACCCAGAGAGGAAGTGAGGTGCGTATAACGCAGGGTGGCTGCGTGTCAGATACAAGACTGGGGGCGGCTTAGCTGACCAGAAGAAGCCTATGGTACTGAGTTGACGATCAAACCCTTCCATACCTACCTTATTACCTGGAGAAGCGGTCACGACCCTAAGCCTCCACCAAGCACAGCTGGCACCTCAATTCCATACTGGTACTTCTGACACCGGAAAGGCACACAGCTCCTCGCTAAGTAACGGGCTGTCTCGAGGATTAAGTTGCTCCCACCCACTCCGAGCCTGGCGGCCCCGTGGGAAAGGCAGCGGCACCGGTATCTTAAGAAGTTCCCCAGACCTGCATGCTCTCTGCTTAGCGAATCTCGCTAGCCACCTGTGCAGACTTGATTGAACAGAGGCTCAGGCTGGCCAGGCATTCGTATTTTCCTCCCGTGGGTGCCTCCTGAGCAAAGGAGAGGGGGGGGGGGGTCAGCGTGAAGAAGCAATCGATATTGGGCCCTGCGTCTTCCCTACTGAATCTAAATTGAATTTCCTCGACGCCACCGAATACTTGAAAGAGCCGCCCCCTTGCACCCATGGTCCCTTATCCATTGTGCGTGACGGTTTTATGCCAAACCTTGGAGTGGTAAATGCGAGTCCTCCCTTCCCACTTTGACTGTATGACTGCAAAAGATGGTTATAGCGGAAGGCGCAGTGTAGACCCGATAGAACGGGACTTCCCAACTGTCGACGTTTTGTTTCCTGAGACGAGGTTGACCAGGACAGGGGTTGCAATCAAGAACGCGGATGCTTGGGTGACGTCAGTCCCATGTTTGTCTGCTCTCTCTGCTGTACTCTTTTTTGGATATTACATGTTCACGACAGTGACGCGGATTTATTTCCTACAAGATCAGACTCTACTACTACTACACACGCTCATGTTGAAAAATTAATTGTCGATTCTTTCTTGATCATGGTCATTGTTCCTTAATCATCGTCAAAGCTCCTTCGATCTTGGCTCTTTTGAATCTAGTCACTCTTGCTTTCGAATCTGATCTGTGAAATAGTAATCGTTACTCAGTCTCGTGCTTACACAAATTGAAAAAACAATTCCAACCAGGGCAGTTCTCAAGAGTCCTATCAAGCTCATCAAGCATCCAAGATGGCCCATCATGAGCCATTGAGGGCACTCGGCCCAGCCGACTGGTCTGACGTGTCAGACGACAACCTCAAGCAATTCCTGACCTCAACCTTCGTCCACGCCCAGACTGTCGTCGACAGCATACCCACCCCACCGGCACAGTCGATCCCCTCCTCACCTGGCCGGGCACGCAGCCATACCGACAGCTCCGTCCTACGCCCGCTCGACGACTCTCCTCCCCCACACAACGCCGGCAGGGACCACGCAAACACGACTGCGAACGAAAACGACGCCGCCGCCGCCGCAGCAGCCCACGCCGCAGCACAGCTTCAGAAAGAATGGAAGGAGGTCAAGGTGCCTCCCAAGGACAACCCAATGGGCGCAAGCGTGTACAAGCTGGCAGCCAAGGACGGGCGCGGCGCCTGGTTCGCGCGGAGGAGCTCCCACGCCGGGATCCCCTTCGATAAGTTCAGGCTGGGCCTGGAACGCGAGTTTGGCGAAACCCTGAAGGCCTTCAAAGGTCCTGGCACGGGCAATGTCCGGGGCATTGGCGCCGAGAGGCGTGCGGAGCAGCGTGAGTGTGATGGGTTGGGCACGGCAGAGGTGTGGTTGCTCAGCGCACAGTTTCCTGGGCCGACGACGCCGAGGGACTTCGTGACACTGCTCCTGACTGGGTCCGGCAAGGAGGAGAAGGAGAAGGACAGGAGGAAGGATACAAAGAAGGGAAGGGAACCGAGACAGTTCATGATCGTATCCAAGCCGTGCGGGCACCCCGAGTGTGCGCCCCGGTCCGGTTACATACGGGGCTCCTACGAGAGCGTGGAACTCATCAGGGAGGTTCCCGTGGATGCAACACCACGTAGGACTAGATCCTCATTGGATCTGAGGCGGGAGGATGTACAGTCCCCAACCTTGCAGCTCCGTAATGATCATCTCGGCAGGGAGGCCGTGCTTCGCGCGGCGGCACGGAGAGAGGGACACGAGCCGGCTGGGGACAGGAACCTCTCGCGCTCTATGTCTGAGCTTCCGTCTCCCTCGGTGAGAGACGATGACAGCTTGGATCCCTTCGAGACGGGGACAGAAATGGTGGTCGAATGGATCATGGTGACGCGATCGGATCCTGGCGGAAGTGTACCGCGGTTTATGGTCGAGAAAGGCACTCCTGGTGGCATCATAAATGATGCCGGGCGCTTTATCAAGTGGCTGGAAACAAAGAGCAAGGATGACCTCGAGAATCCTGGAGACGACAGTGGTCCTGAGGAGCAGGGCGTGCAGGGCGTGCAGGACAAGGCATCTGCCCCTGCTGCTTCAACGGGACAATCGGCCGTGTCAGAGCAAAGAGACACCGACCACTATGCAGAGCCAGACCAAGAGCCTCCAAGCGGCCTGTATACCATGATCAGTGGCGCTTTCGGGATGGCCTCATCAGCTGTCGCATCCCGTCTCTCAACCTTTGGATCCACATCCGGGCAGCCTCAATTGGACCTCGACAATACCACTGACGACTCCGACTCGGATGAATCGGACCGCAGCTACGCGTCGGCCCCAGAACCCGACCCGGCCGCTGCCCCCGCCGCGCTCGAAGGGGACCTCGCCTCCCTCATGTCCGGCAGGAGTAATGAGTCCGGTTCCAAGGGCCCTGCGACGCAGCACGAGAAGCAGCTCAAGAAGCTACAGGAGCGCTACCGCAAGCTAGAAGAGAAGCGGGAGAAGCAGCAGGAGCGCAGCCTGCAAAGCAAGTCGGCCCAGAGCGACGACGCGGTTGCGAAGCTCAAGGAGAAGCACGAGAAGGAGATTGCGCGGCAGCAGGAGAATTATCGCAAGGAGATGAAGAAGTTGGAGGAGAAACGCCTCAAAGACGAGAAGAAGGCCGAGGAGAGGCGCAAGAAGGAGGCTGAGAAGGAAGCGCGGAACAACCTGGCCCTCGAGCTGGACAGGACGAGGATCGAGAGGGATATGGCCCTCAAACACGTCGACATCCTCAAGGACCAGGTCGGCCAGCTGCAGGCAGAAAACACCAAGCTGGCCGCCAGCCTAGGCAAGCTGGAAGCCCTGGGAAGGGCGGCCGATGACGCACCTGCGAGTGGAAATGGGAGCTTGAAAGAAGATGCTGAGAAGGCCTCGCAACGTTCCTCCAAGTCCAAGTGATAAAGAGGGGACCATGTGTCAGCTATCCTTCTTTTCTTCATTTTCCTCTTCTCCCTTCTCTTCTTTGAAGTGTGTTGCAACATAGCTTTGAGTAAGCATACATATACATCAGAAAGCGTAGATAGCAGTAGCACATGCATGAGTGGCATGGAGTTTGGGTTAGTTGGATCAGAGGTTGAAAACCACAGTTTTATTTCTCAATATGAACTTTCTATAGTTGCACACCATCATGATAAATTTCGCTTCAAGCCCGCCAATCCTCTAGAGCAAAAGAAAGAAAGACCAAGCTAGAAGAAAAAGGAGAGCTTTGGAAAAGGACAAAAGACAAAAGAGTTCAGCTGCAGGAGTCAACCTGCAGCTTACATCTCTACCATTCCGGAAGCCAGTGTACTATTTCTCCGTTTGTGTGCTTTTTGTTTTGTTTTTTTTTATGAGAAAATTCCACGGATCCAACCGGGTCGAACAGTGGACCATTCGATAGCATCAACCCTTTCCAAGCCAAACTCCACACGATAGACCGTTAAGCCAAGGTGCCAGTTTGGGTACCGGGGTTGATTTGGTGATTGTGATTCTGCGCGACCGATCTATATAGACAGGCTAGCAGGAGCAGAGATGGGACGAACCCCAATTTGGGGCCGCGGTGGCGGCGGCGCCTTACTTGGCTGGCTATGCAACAGCTTTTATAGTGTGGACAGCAGCAGCCCATGGAGCCTTGTGCTTTGCCCTGCTTCTCGGATCTGCTCCAGCATGGCCGCCATGGCCTCGCCCTCTGCACCCAACAGGGCAGAGAGGGTTTTCCCGCACAATAACACGCGGTGACACAATGAAAAGGCCCTGGGGTTGGAAGCCCATCCCAGCGGGCCGTCGTCTTCTTTCGTGACCTGCTCTGCTAGCACCCTCAAAGCCCTCTGTGTCCACTCTTTTGCTGCAGCCAGGGAGCTGTCCATCAACAACACCTTGCGACTGCCACAACCACTATCCTCGCCCCCCTGGATCTCATCGTATTCCAGCTCCCGCTGTCTGAACAAGACAGCCCACCTCTCCGTCTCTCTGACCTCGTCGATGAACAGGTTCTGGTCTTCGATCGCGAACAGGCTCTCGTCGACCTCGAGGGCCTCGGCAAACTGCTGCTCTGGTGTCGCCCACGCCGACAGATCCTGCACGCCAATGTCGACAGAAATCAACGGATCGCCGACGAGGCGACATGCGACGTACGCCTTGAGCTCGTTGGTCTGGCCGAAGGACTTGTGCATCCATGCCAGCAGGGCGTCCGCGGCGTCCACGGCCACAAGTGGTTGTGCTTTCTTCACAGGTCCCTCTCCCTCTGCCATGACGGACGCGGTAGCGATCGCGCCCGTCTCACGAATCTCTTCGTCGTCGTCGACGAGCGTGGTATACAGCGCGAGGAGAAAGGGGATGTACGCCGCGTCGCTGCCGACAGCTGAGCCGAGCGCACATGAGAACGACTTCAGGGCTCGTGCGGCTGCCATGCGCATGTCGAAGGTGTTGCTGTCATGCAGTGCGTCCGCCATAGCCTTGCCCCAGGATCGCAGTCTCTGTTCGAACGTAAAGAACGACATCTGCCCGTGGTGCTTGCGTGTATGGACGGCAATGATAGAGCCGGAGGCGAGAAGGACGGCGTTTGCGAGAGTTGGGCTGATACTGTCCACCAGGAACTCTTGGAGGGAGTCCAAGTCTTCCGCAATTGGTAGGTGTTGGAAGTTTCCCTCCAAAAGGCACTCGTCCATCAGCTCAGCAAGGTTTGTCAGCGCGACTGCGCGGGCCTCAGGCGCTCTTGTGTGTTGGCAGGTTTCGAGGTAGAGACCACAGAGTTCCCGGATATGAGTAGAGCCCCAGGTGTCCGGTATAGCTTCGAGTAAGGCGCAAGCTGTGTCTACATCATCGTGTAGGACATCGAATAAGTAGGCCCTCAACATGCCGAGATCTCTGGATATTGCGGATTGATGCAACGCCATCATGCCCACGCGATTATCCAGCAAAGCCGCAGACTTATAGAAATTACCCTTTCGGCGGTTATGAGCTTCGTTCAACAGATTTGATGGCTCTGTCGCAAAGTTCCTAGCTTTAGTCGCCTGCCACAGCTTGTTCAGCGCCTCAATGTATGCTGCAGCGGTCTCGGAACACTGCAGAGCAGGTCCTTCGAAGGCTATCAGGACAAGTTCAAGCTGGCTTAAGCCATCTGTGCAACTGATTAGTACAACATGATGGAATTTGGGTGGTTGGGGTACAAGAAGCCTTACCAAGAGCCGCTTCTTCCTTGGCTTCAAGGAGTCTCCTATCTAGGAGGACCTTGACAGTGAGAAGCGTTCCATGCAGTCGATTTGCCGAGCCACGCGTCTGCTCGAAAAGCTCACTGATCCGGACAACCCAATCCTCATTCATGAGGAATGAACAAAGCGTCCGCGCAGCAATCTCCCGGACGTGCCACTGCCGGCTACCCAGATAATATGTGATGTATCTGTAGAGCTCTTCGCGGTGAGACTCAGGCGGACCAGCTCGCCGTATGATTTCCAGGGCAGGAAATACGCTCTCTGCCGCTGAGCTCTGTGTCAGCGTACTTGGCTCCATCGCTCGCTCACCCGATTGCAAGAGGTTCAATAGGATAGGCGGCAGAGATGAGTACTTGGTGTATGACAACCTCAACGTCTTCCCGTCCCAGCCTGTCTCCATTGCCGACTTGCTCTCGGTGGTGCCGAACAATGTGTCGATCAAGGACCGGAGCAACAGTAATGCACAGTTGCGAATGGCCCAAACCTCACTTTTGAGGCTGTTGGTGGCGAGCTGTAGGCATTGTGGAAGGTAGACCTCTGCATTTTTGCTTAGGAGCGAGCTCTTGAACACTTCTTTCAGGCAGTTGAAGGCGTGGACTTGCGGCAGGTTCGAGCCGTCCGTTTCCGAGACTGATGCTGGTATTGCTGAGATCTCCTGCAGCTTGTTCATGACCTTCTGGAATGATGGGTTGTCGGCGTTGGACGCCAAAATCCCTGTTATCAAGGCTGGTATGCCAGCCGACCGGCGAGTTGTCGATCTCTGTGTGTAAATGCTCGATAGTGTCCCTTCGTACCAGCTTTCCAGCAATGGTTGCACATCCGTTGGAATTGCGACAGCAGGGTGGCCAGCGTGCTGACAGCAGCAAGTAAATGTGAGGGAGACTGAGGTGAAGGCGCCACGATGCCGCAATGTCGACAGCTGTGTGAAAGCCAGATTCCCAGCTGCTCGAAATACCTCAGCAGGTGGCAAGAGGTAACCGACCCCAGGGGCGAACCTCAGGTTTCCCACGATAGTCCGCGTGAGGTTGCTGGACTCGTGAGCAGCGCGAAAGCTGTAGCTGAGCAGCCCTTTTGTGTCTAAGCCTTCAATTTCCTCCAGTTCTTCGGGAAGATGCCCCTCAGGCGAGTCGTCACATACAACGTAACTGACCACTTCCCATATCCGCCTACAGAGGTCAATGATCCGAAATTGAGGCACGGCGAGGAGTTTTAGTTCCTCGCCACTGTAGCGACTCTGCGAGAAAACTTCCCACATATACCGAATGGCTGCAAACGTTCCATGGACAGGCTCTGACATGACTGCATAGCCGAGGTCTTGTTCTGCGGTTTTAATCTTCCGTTCTAACCCGTCTAGGGTTTGCGAGAGCAGTGCAAGCCTTTGATCAAATTGGTCTTGCCACGCGCAGAGGAGACCGAGGGAGCGAGCAGTTCCATCTGAGTGGTCCGCGCGGCTAGTCCGAGATGAAAGGCTTGCTGCTTTTGTACAAAACTCCGCTAGGATGTCCAATGGCGTTATTGGAGACTGTGTCGCTGCATAGGTGGACTTGGTCCGTATGACCACAGGTGGGAACAACATGAGCAGGCTGGATGCTGTCTCTCTGACGTCGTCGAATGGGTCCAACACAAGGTCGAGAATCGTGCGCAGCCACTGCGGATCTTGGTAGATGCGTTCGTCCGCGGAGCTCCGGGTCACTTTGCCTGACCTCACAACGTTCACAAGTGACTTGAGAGAAGTGATGTGGCGTTGGTATGATGCTGTGGGCACAAGCTCCTGGCGCAGGAAATCCAAGTACCAATCGAAAAAAGTCTCATGAGCCCGGAGCGACTCCCGAAGCCAGAGTTCTCCAGCATTCGCGATCTGCTTGGCCCCCTTGCTGATGTGAGTGTTCACCGGTGTACCATTGGCATCCACTTTGGAAGTCTTCATGGCGAGCCTGCCGATGTCTCTCTGCAAGACAGAAATGGCGCCTTTTATCCTTTTTACCATGTTCTTGGTATGAGCTAATATCTCATTGCGAAATTTGGCGTCAGGATCGGAGTGAAACGACCTCAGGTGCCGCCGCAGAAGCTCAAACGCCATCGGAGAATAAGGTTTAGTGGTTGACGAAGAGGTGACCAGCAGAGACATTGCAAAGGATCGGACATCGTGGGATGTGTGGATGAGAAAGTGTTCAAGGATATCACGATCGAGAAGGATGACATTGTCTCCCTGTTGGGCACCTTCGGGATCTGGGAGCTTGTGAGTCGCCAGCCTGATGCACATTCAAGGTGATCAATAGACTTACTGGGATCATCAACAATCGACGACTTCTTTCCGACTTCTAGAGCGGCAAGTTGGATCAATGCAGCTATGTCGGTATCAAGATCGCTTGTCTTGTCCACTGAGCGGCACTGCAGCTCCTCCAACAGCGCAAAAGAAAGGCGATGGTCGGACTTGAATAGTGGCGCCAGCACATAGTTTTTGACGCTTTCAAGGATGTCTGGGTTGGTAGACAGGGCTGTCTCTAGCCAGTCCCGCAGGACTTGTACATTGAAACCAGCGCTGCTCCATGAGCGCGAGCCCGCAGCAGATGACTCAGAGTTGAGGCTGCTGAAGATGGTAACGAGGAATTTGCCGGCCACTGGACATATATAGTGGAGTTCCATCCAACGAAACACACTGGCGACGAAGTCCCGCCAGGATGACACCGCTGGCTGGCTCACCAGTTCTGGAAACATGCTCTGGTACTGTCGTAATACATCGTCCAGACTGAAGACCGACTTCGCCAGGAACTGAATCAGAGAGCTCATACACGACTTGACAACAGGTCGTGATGACCTTTTGGCAATAAAAGCCATCAGTTCCGAGAGAATATCCGCCCTCAAGGATTCTCGGATCTTCGCATTGGGGTTCTGCAGAATCAAGGTCGAGACGAGATCGAGCACGAGTCTCATGGACCTGTGCTGATCTTTTTCGTTCCACTCGAGGTAATAGTTCAATAATTCTGTTGCCGTCCGCTCTTGAAACGCCCACAGACGTAATGATTCGTGCTTGGATTTGAGGCAAAGCTGGACGAAGCCGCAGAGCTTCACACAAGCATCTTTTGTAGAGTTCCGGGGCTGAGAGGCAACACTTAAGATCTTCTCAAATAATGCCTGGGCATATCTATAAGGGTGTCAGCACAGTTCAACTATGGGAGAGTGTCACGCATCCACCATGCAGCCCACCTACCCGTCGAATCGCCCATGCACGAGGATTAAGGTCCTAGACCTCGGGACTCTTGAGGCCCAACATATCCGGAAACGAGTCTCACATCACCATTCAAAACGGCAGGACGTACATGTGCATCGGACTAGGATGGTGTTCGGTATGTGCGTTCGACAGGTGGGGCGGTCTTTCACAAGGAGCGAATCCTACTTACGGTTCAAGATCTTCGTCTGGCCTTTCTGTAAGCCATGCCATCAAGTCATTAGCATTACTGCCAGGCCCGTCCAGAGACGGAAGCGCCATAGCCATAAAATCCATATTCAGGACCGCCAAGTGCTAAAATTCGTCACAGGCAAGAAGACTCTGCTGAAGTCTATATGAAATTTGTGCCACTCAAACCTGGTCCCGGAATGCCCGTCGGATCTCTTGAAAAGACATTGAATGAAGAAAATTCCCAAGTAAGAAGGAATACATGGGCATTGCCGTCGAGATAGGAGGACTGAGAATGTCACTGAAAGTAGAAAGAAATTCTTGTTGGTTGGCTCTGATGGGAGCGAATGAGGTAGGTCCTTTTCTGTAGTCAGAAGGTACGTACCTCACCTCTTTGGTAAAAGTCTCTGAACCCCAGCAGAGCAAGGGTGGCACGGACCCAAAGATGCAGCAGCGCCGTCATTGGGGATCAGACCTGGGAATTTTTTCTCTTGAGGCGCAAAGTGAGCCAGCCTAACAAAAGACAACACCAACTTGAACTTCAAGCCAGAGGGCAAATTGACTCCATCCGTGACCCCCCTCCACCCGATATTATCTTGCAATCATTTACCTTTACTCTGTGATCTGCTCACAATCGCAACCCTTTTTCATCTTTCTTTTGTCCCTTTTAAAGCAGAATGTCGTCCCTCTGGAACGCATTGACAGGACAAAAGTCCAACAAAAACAGCTCATCACAGCAGAACGACGCGCTGCCACCACCACCAACAGAGCCGACAACCACCTTCTCATCTCCAGCCTTTGATCCCTCCTCAGCTCAAGGCGTCGACTCCTTCCTCAACAGCTCCACCTTTGCCGACCCATCCCAGCTCCACCCCCTCGCTGGCCTGAACAAGGATGCGCTCGAGTACATCACCCTCGAGGATTCCGTCATCTCAGACTTGCCGGGCGGCCAGTCCGTCCTGCCCTCGCGCGGCTTCACCGACGACCTCTGCTATGGCGCCGGTGTGACATATCTATCCGCGCTGACGATAGGAGGAGCTTGGGGCCTGCAGGAGGGCCTGAGGAGGAGCGCGGGGCAGGCGCCCAAGCTGCGACTGAACTCAACGCTCAACGCCATAACACGCCGCGGTCCCTTCCTTGGCAACTCGGCAGGTGTGGTGGCTATCGTGTACAACTGCATAAACTCATACATTGGGTACCTGCGTGGAAAGCATGACGCGGCGAACAGCATTGCCGCCGGCACTCTGAGCGGCATGCTGTTCAAGAGTACTAGGGGACTGAGGCCGATGATGATCTCTGGAGGCATCGTAGGATCAGTCGCTGGTGTTTGGGCTGTAAGTTTTACTACACCTCGTGGGAAGGTTTACGACCGGCACAGGCCAAATGCTGACAATCAACCAGATCACGCGCAAGACCTTTTTCCCGGAACCGAACCAAGCGCATGACTGAGCGAAACCTTAATGGACGGGAGGACGGGCAGATGCTAGCTGAGCTTCTGACGGAATGTTGGGTCATATACCTGCTCGGAAGATTGGAACAGCCTTGACCGCGCTGAGGCAAGAGGGCATCTCTGCCTGCCGTCTTGGCACAAACATTATTGATTGCTCCCTTGGCACAATGATTCTGGCCTTGGATGTGCCTTGTGGGAGTATCTGGAGTCAACTAATTTTCATGGTCGACTGATACAGTGGCATGCATAGCAATGGATGATCTCTACTCATTGACGGAAACTTGTACATTAGAAGGGGGGCCGTGATCATAGAGTGGATTTGGTCTCGCAAAGAATAAGGCTTGTATTCAAGATGAAAGACTACTGGATGGAATTCTAAATGTAGGGGTCTACAAGAATCTTGAGGCCTCAGAACATAAAGATGCATACTATGCTGATAATGCCCATCCAGACCACAGCAAATGAGCCAAGCTCATGGCCCAAGCAAGGAGCATGATGGCATTGGCCTGCCCACACTAGATGTAGGTGGTAGTGATTCCTCGCCTACAATAACATACCTGCTCCTGTAATTCCACTTCGCAAGAGGATTACAACAGAGGCAGGACGCAAGCCTGGTTCTGCAGAGGACTTCGCACGGTTGGATACCTTGAAGTCTGCTTTCTCCAGGGATGGTGATTGCTCCTAGCGGATGACCAAATCTCTCTTGGAATACACGGAGCCAGCACTTATGGAAGGGACTTCCACCTGCGCCTTCTCTTGCCCGAGCCCGCCCTCCCCTGTAACGGATACTGGGTGATGTAATATTGCAGAAGTGTCCTAGAGAAGACTTGTTGAAAATCTCCGATACATTGTCATGAGTTTTGTCTCTATCGATACCAAGGCTCTGACTATCGCCTCGCGACGCGTTCAATGGAGAGAAAAACAAAAGGGAACAGGAAAGAAAACGTCCCGCCTCGACGTCAGCTCCTCTCAAACTTCAACCTCACTCCGACCAGAAATTCTCTTCATTACAACCTTACTGCCGTCTTCACCACCAATCATAATGTGCTGCCCTGTGTGGCCCGTCACGGACGTCGAGTACGAGTCTGCGTCACGGGTTCGAAACGTACCTACACAGCTGGCATATCGATATCAGTGGAATGGCAACTCTTGGGATCTTCAACAGATTCAAGTGCCTGCTGTAAGTAGAGAACATGTCCTTTTCCCTCACGTCGTTGTAATCCTCCCGGTCTGTGCCTAGCATACCCTACTGGTTCCCAAGCGGGGCAGTCTATGTGGTGGAAGCCTGTCAAAATCACTCCATCGAGTGATAAAAGAGCTCCTCGTCGCGAACCTTCGACTGCCATATCGTGTTGGGACGCGAAAGTAAACTGTGATAACACCCTTCGTTTCTATTCCGTCTTCCGATGGCCGCATTGCTGCGTTGTTGCATTATTGAATTGTCCCCTCATCCTCTCTTATCGTTCCCCTTTCCATGCCGTTTTCACTACACTTGATTCACTGAGCATTGTGTAATCATTAATGGGTGGGCAAGCTCCAACCCCCTGAGGCTGGCTGTTGGGATCTTCGATTTACCGACTTTACCTGCTTCGTCCATGGCACCCTCCCGGCCTTCCAGCGACGACTACCTGGCCGATTCTGAAGGCAGCAACGACAGCCACAACTACGAGATGGAGACCCCGCACTTCAAACTGCCAGCTCGCAACAAGTCAAAGAAGTACCGTCGCGTCACCGTCCGTACACCATCAGAGGAAGGAGCCAGCCAGCAAGATCAACGCTTCGGTCGACCTCGTCGCAGCCCTGCTCCATACACGTCTTCGCGCCGCCGTCGCCGCGACAACGAGGAGAGCAGCAAGCCCAGCCAGCCCGAGGATAGTGGTGCACAACCTAACAACCCCACTGTCACTACAGCCCCCCTTGGCGCCAACCCTGTCTACATTCACAACACAGCCGTTCCTCACGCGTACAACTCTGGCCAACAGCCGTTCGTCGTCTCTGTTCAGCCCAACAACACACCTTACTTCCAAGCAACAAACCTTGGAGGTCAATCAGCACCGCTCAATCCCGCCAACAGAGCTATCAACGACAGGATGGACGAGTACCAGAACGCAACTCCTGCCAACAACGGCATCAATTTCCAGCCTCAGGTCCCCGACACCAGTCTCGGCCCCATGATCCACCAATATGTTCCTCGATTCGATGCTGGTGGTGCCGCCTACGTGGTCCAGCCTGGCATCGTATGTCATCCCGTCCCTTCATCTTTCCTCCCCTTCCCATTGTTTCATCCACTCACCTTTGTCCCCATCCAGCAGTCGCGCCCTGTCACGTTCGCTCCTCAGCCCCTTGTCCTGGGAAGCGCAGCCCCAGTGCCCAACCCCACCCCGATGATGACTCGTATGGGTTATAGAGGAGACGACGGGGTAGTTGCCCCACGTGAAATCGTTGTGAGACCAGACTCAAATTTGCTCCAGAGTCATATGCTTTCCTCTGATGTCCAGGCAGATCAAGCCCCCTTCTGAAGGCAGATTCGCTAACATGGCTTTTGAACACAGGCTCCCCCGGGCAGCGCCGTCCCCCTCCAGGCCGGCCCCACCACCGCCCCCATCATGCACGTCGTCGGTCAGCAGCCCTACCATTCTCAACCGATGATGATCGCCGGAGGCCCTGCAGGTCCAGGCGCAGGTCCGCCCGTCATGATGGCGGCTGGCGGTATGGGTGGTGGCGTCCCTCCCGGACAGCCCGTGTTTGTGAACGGAGGACCTGTCCCTATGATGCCAGGTAACTTCCCCGGCCATGCTGCCTACCATCACTTTAACCCCGCGACCGGCGTCGGCCAGACCGCAGGCGAGGTCGCGGCCATGGCCATGATGGACCGCGAGCTCAACGAGCCACAGGATTTTAAGCCCGGCGACGACAACCCCTCCCGCATGTACCAGGTGCGCCAGCTCGATGGCCAGTGGGTCCCCATGCCTCGCGCTACGATCGACTCCTTCGGTAAGGACGGTGCGCGTTGGTACGTCACCGATGATGGCGTGTTCTACGCTGTTCGCCTGGACGGCTAAGGGAACTTCCTCTGGGGGGGGGATAAAAACCAAAGAAAAACCAAGAAGAGGTCTGGATGGTTACAAAGGGTTTCATGTTAGATCTCTTTCACGACGAAAGATGAATCGTTCTTGCACAATTCTTTGTGGGGTGGAGGAAATGTCTCGAGGGGTTTGAGAAGGGTTAAGTCATGCACGATACAACCTGCGACTGTCTTTGGGGTATTTCTCACGAGGGTGGGGTTTTCTGAGCTAGGTCATCTGGTTCATGGAGGAAACAAACACTTGAAGTGGGGCTTCGATATCATAATGGCTTGCAGTCCTGCAGAATTGACATGATATTGCAACGGGATGGTGTTGTCTTCAATCTAGTTGACGAGGTGAGGTTGATTTAAAGACCCCCCCTGTAGTGGCCCCCCACGCTCTCCTCGGGTCTGTGTACCCACGGTGGGCTTTTGTGGCTTCCACACACCAAGGGTGCCCCTGTCAAGAGCGCGTGGGGCAACACGCGGGTATAACCATAGTATGATTACCACGGTACACGGCTTGCGAACCGAGGCCGCGCAACGTCAACTACACATTGCAGTACAAAGCGTGCATCACCAGCGCTGCTTTTTTTTTTCCCTTCGTTCCATCCCTTCCCAACCCAGAAGGAGCCTGGAAACTTTTCAGTCAGTCAGACAGACGGACAAATTCGTACACAAAAAAAAGTATCACAAAGCTTCGCCCACGATGCTCATCATAGGCCTCACTGGTGGCATCGCCACTGGCAAGTCCACCGTCAGCTCGATCCTCTCGTCCCCGCCCTACAACCTCCCCATCATCGACGCCGACGTCCTGGCGCGGCAGGTCGTGGAGCCAGGCACGCCGGGGTACCGCGCCATCGTGTCCTACTTCGGCCCCACAACCCCAGACCTCCTGGTGGCGCCCTCGGCAGACATGCCAGAGCAGGGGCCCAACGGCAAGGGCAGGCCGCTGAACCGCCCGGCCCTGGGTCGGCGCATCTTTGGCGATGCGCCCGAGGCGCGGCAGGGTCGGGCGCGGCTGAACGCGATTGTGCACCCGGCGGTGCGGCGGGCGGCGTACTGGGCGCTGCTGCGGGCGTACCTGCTGGGCCGGTGGGCGGTGGTCTGGGACGTGCCGCTGCTGTTCGAGGTGGGTACGGACCGGTTCTGTGGGGCGGTCGTCGTGGTCGGCGTGCACGACCCGGCGGTGCAGATGGCTCGCCTGCGGGCGCGCGATGCGCACCTGACCGCGGAGGACGCTGAGAACCGCGTGCGCAGCCAGACGGACGTCAGGGTGAAGGCGCGGCGGTGTGAGGCGCGCGGAGAGGGCCGTGGGCTGGTGGTCTGGAACGATGGCGACCGGGAGGAGCTGCAGAGGGAGGTCGAGAGGGCCATGGTGCAGCTCAGGGGACGCAGCCCGGCTTGGTGGGGCACGCTGCTCTGGATGTGTCCTCCTCTCGCGGTCGGCGTCGGTGTGTGGAACTTGTGGGTGAACCGAGGGATTGCGAAGAGGTGGGAGGCTGAGGAGGCCAGGGAGAGGGCGAAGCTGTAGCTGGGACAAAGACGTTTAGAAGAGACTCGAGATCAGGGGAAGAAGAGTTGGGGACGGGACAACGGACCTACCCCTTGGGGGAAAGAGGCTACATGAATCCTGGGCTCATCAAGATCAGGACGCAAGGCAGTGGAGGGTCATGGTTCAACAGAGACATTGTCAAATGCTGGGGGGCTCTTCTCCGAGGGTTTGTTGCCTAACATGATGATGGAATTTTCTAGATGTATCTCATCAGTATTGTGAGAATTGTGGTGAGAGAAATCCATGGTCACAATGGTGGTTAGCGAAGCATTGTAAGCAGCCCAAATACTTGAGAAATTTGCATGACTTGGAGAAGGTGAGGTGACGACGTCCACCCAGCCCCCCCCCCCCACCCCCCTTCCAAATATATTGTTTGTCTGTGCTTAGGTCCACAAGGTCAAACAATAACATTGCACCTGCCCTTATTCTATCTCATAGGACTTCTCTAACCTAGTGCAGTCGGTTTCATCACACCTTTTCTTTTCTTCCACCTTACCCTCCAGCTCGAACCTCCGTCATCCTTCTTCTCCTTCTCTGGCCGTTCGATCATCCTACTTCCGACCATCGCGCCGTTTCACATCACACCTTCTCGTTGGTCGACTTGCCTAGATTCCCAGATTGACCTTTTGATCTCATTACACACTGCCTACTTGGCGAAGACCGTCTACCACCCCCATTCATATTGACAAGATGCGGAGCCGCTCAGGGTGGCCACCCAATTCTGCGGCCGAATGGGTGGTTGGCCAGAACTTTCGGAGCTGGGGTCGCAAGAACAACTCATCAAGCTCCAACCCGATCTTGCGCGTCGAGATTTCCGAAGACGAAGCGTCTGGCGACGAGACGGTTGCCATCACCTACCCTGGGCGACGTAGGCGCGCCGAGAGTGCTCAGCATGCACCCTCTGCGTCAGCTGCAACCTCATCCCGAAAGGTCCGCTTCGACGGCGCCCGCAGGCCTCTGAAGTCGGCAATGAAAAAGAGAGCCAGCCCAAGCAGCTCATCCGATACCTTGGTTGACACCTCAGATGATGATAGTGGTGGGGATGATGATGATGATGACGATGACACTACCAGTTCCAACGATGGCGAGTCGTCAGGTTTTGACGAGACCGATACTTCCGAGGACGAAAGTCCGCCCAAGCGCAAGAGCAGGAACAAGAAGTCGAGCAAGGCCAAGGCGGTTGTGTGTAAGAAGGTGACAGAATGGGATCCTGACGCCGTCGATGACCCCCTCCCTCACCCGAAATGCCCGTGCGGCGACTGCAGGAAGGCACGCAAGGTCATGAAGGCTATGGTTCAGTTCGAGGCGATGGCCAAGGCAGCTGAGAAGGAGTCCAGGGCCAAGAAGCAGGAAAAGCGCAAGCGCAAGAAGGCAAACGAGGCTTCGTCAACCGATGTCACCGACACTAACACCACCACTACCACCGAGACAGATGCGGACACAACGGAAGCCGACACCACCCAGGGGGGATCTGATGAGGGGGATAAACCGAAGCCACCCAAGGGAAAGAACAAGAAGCAGAAGCAGACCAAACAATCGAAGAGAAATGAGAACCCCGAGCCCAAGCCTAAGCCTGCGGCAGAAGAGCCAAAGAAGGCCGCCATCGACAGGACTGCTTTCAAGATGCCTCAGTACCCCAAGGAGATGCAGCCGAACCTAATCATGCCTCCTCGAGCCAGAGTCATGCAGGTCGAACACACCATAGAGGGACCAAACGACCCCCAACCCAATGCCTTCTTCGACAGTAACAAGGGCATCACGCGCGTGTACCACGGCCCACAATGGGGAAATCACATGGCCGAGTTGTATGGAAATTACAATCCTGCACGGTTTGCGCCGGGACCTTGTGCTCCTATCCCACCACCTCCTGCTGTTCCTGCTGCTGCTCCACTGCCACCTGGATACCCTGCTGCATGGCCTGGTCAGAGCCCCTACCATCCATGGTGGATGCCACCCCCTCCACCTCCGCCACCTGGCACATCTTTTGCACAGGCTGCCATGCACCACCCTCAGATACCCAGCAACGAGGCAGCTATGAGAGACGCCGCCTCAAAGGGCTTTGGCCTATCTGGGATGCCGGCTGCAGAGGTGCCCAGCCACATTCAGGAGATGCAAAAGGAGGAGGTTCAGAAGGCCGCCTCTCGGAACGCTGGCTCTGAGAAGGGATCCAAGAAGGACGCCTGGGGCGCAACGAGTTTGGGAGACCAGTGTAATAAAAACAATGGTAACGCTCCAAAGTCCGACTCTAATGCGAGTGCCCTAGCTGACCCTTCTCAAGGAGGTGGCTGGGGTAGCGATGACCACAAGAAGAATGGTTGCCTATCCCCAGTCGACTTCAGCTGGGGAAAGAATAATGGTGATACATTCTCAAGGAGTGAGTTCTCTTCTCACCTCGCCATATCGGGTGCATGGATGATCCGCTAACGTATCGAACAGAGAGCAATCAGAATGGAAGTCAAAAGAATGGCTCTGGTAAGCAGAATTTGGATCCTGCTTGCTCTCCCCCTGAACCATACCCCGAGAATTCACCAGGAGAAATTGGTCTTCCCCCCATTTTTGGTTTTCATCCCGACACAGCCCCCAGCGACTCGTCCAAGAACATAGAGCCTGGGTGCCCACCTGGTTTTCCTGTTTCTTCTGCTTCCGACGTTGGCTGCGAGAGATCTACTGACAAGCCACAAGCTGGAGGATGGGGCAGCAATGACCAGACCAACGAACAACGGGGAGGTAATGCTTGGAACAATGACGGAAACAACAACAACACTTGGGGCAATAAAGATGGAAATCAGCAAGAGGCATGGGCCGAGGGAACGAACAACAATGGAAACTCAGGAGGAGGAGATTGTGGCGGCGAGTTCAACAAGTCATCTCCACAGCAGCAATCGATCCGCTGGGATTCTGGCCCCAACAATACCCATGCGTCCCAGAATGGTAGCAGCGCAGGCGGGAACGGCAATGGCAATGGCAATGACTGGCGGACTATGCCTGGAGCTTGGGTCAACAATGAACAGAATGACAACTTCACAGGGAACGGCGGGGGCGCTGGTCATGGTAGCCGCAACTCCAAGCCCAAGGGTGCGTTTCCCTGGCCTGACGGTGTGAGCCCTCCAGCAGAGAACAGCGGTCCGCCCACATGGAGAGTCCCAAGCCACGGCTCGCCGAACAAGAACGGTTCAGACCCTCCACCAAATTAGAGTGCTGGTGGTGGTGGTCATGAGAACCCCGCAGGTCACTGGGCCGGCTCAACCAGTGCGACATGGAATAATGCAGACGCCGCGCAGAACACTGGAGGATACGCCGGCCAGTGGTAGCGGCGCCGTCACGGCTGGCCTTGGTGGTGGGCTTACATCTGAAATGGGATGGACTGGATGGCTCCTTGAGAGCTGGAGAGCATCACGATCTGGCGTTGGTCACTTTGCTCCGCCAGCTGAACACAATGAAGCTCTCGCATTGATTATCGGATCTTCTCGGGAAGAGATCACATGGATGACTTGGACCGGGAAGGGGTTTTTGATGATTGACAAGAGGACGAAGACAAGAAGGGAAAACATGAGGGTTTATCGGCATGATCAGGATGGAAGGGGTGGACTATGGCAGTCATTTCAGCATTGATGATGCGCTACTGACCAAGGAAGGCGATTTGTGCTTTTGAGCACTTGCTCCAAAACCGGCGAGGTCCACTATGAGGACGGTGTCAAGTCTTTACTCTTCTCTTTCCACGACGAACACGCCTGCACTCTGAGCCTTGGGCGGCAAGAATGGTTAGTTCAGATAGCCATACGACTAAAACGAAGAGAAAAGAAAAGAAATTCTTGATCTTTACAGAATCTTCTTAGCCTGCTAGTGATTTGAAGTAGACCGTTGTATATAAGAGGTCCATTTATAGTGCTACTATGTGATCTTAGCTTAGGTCGGTTTCCGTCACCGAGGCATTGCCAAGACACACTCATGAGCCCACTTGCTGCAAGGGAATGTTTCGAGGGTTTCTCTTGCTCTGGCCGTCGAGAGGTTGTAGAAAGACTTTCCTCGGGCACCTCGGACCGAGGCGCTCGTGGAGAAATATATTGAGTAATTACATACTTTAAAGTGGCAATCCAAGCTCGTCAAGAAGAAAACGGCCTCTCCCGTTGTTCCCCGTCTGACATGGTTGTGGTTTGGAAAACGGTCGTGACTAGTCGGGTTTCGTAATATTAGTTATATTCTTGTTTCCTCCTTCATCTCGGTCTTACTTACCGGATTACACTGTTCCCCTATCATCCTGTCTTTAGACTTTCAGACGTCTTTCCACCCAAATCATTGCATGAATGTTCGTGAGCTTGCCGCAGCATATGTGACAGGCATCAGTCCAGATAAGAATTGTCGTTTTTACACATTAGCATCATGGTATTGGGTGATTATATAGTATATCTCTGTATCAAAAATGAAAAGTCTATATGTTCTTCTGCCTTTTTTTTTCCCCCCCCTCCCTCCCTCCTACTCGTAGATGTAGCACAATGGCCCGCCCATGATACTCGCGTAGTTCTTGATGGCACTGCCCTCCTCATACTCGCCGCTCACCCAGCCCAGGCCGATGAGATCCTCAATGGTGGCGTCGTCGCTAGGCGGGTCGTTGGCCATGGTGCGCGTGCCGTTGATCTGGAACATGCGGTCCTCGACGAAGCCGGCCTGGTTCTGCCAGGCGGCGAACAGGCGGTCGACGGCGGCGTGGTGCAGCCAGAAGGTGGGCTCGTTGGGCGAGTTGTAAAAGTCGGTGCTGGGGTCGCCGTTGATGACCATGTGGCCGTAGGCGTGCAGGCCGTAGTAGCCCACGGTGTCGGTGCCCGTGTTCTGGAGCTGGGTCTGCCACTCGCCGATGCCGGCCTGGTAGGCCGGGTTGAGCAGGATGTCGGCGACCTGGGCGTCCGTGGTCCAGTTCTGGCCGAGCAGGTTGGAGATGTCGCGGTGTATGCAGCGGGGCTCGTAGCTCAGGAAGGGGCCGATGGTGACGTTCTCGTAGGTGTCGACGGGGGCGACGGCGGAGATGTTGGCTACTAGGCCGGCGTAGGGGCCTGTCTCGATACAACCGCCTGTTGTAAGGGCATTTATTAGTATACTCTTTCTCTTGACAGCAGCAAAGGACAGAGAAGAAGGGTGAAGATGCGAGAGACTGTGTGTGTGTGTGTGTGAGAGAGAGAGACAGAGATAGTGAGAGAGAGGAGCTTACCTCCTGAGCCAGCGGGGATGTTGAGGAGACCACTGGGAAGGCCTGCTGACGCATTGTGTGCCAGATAATTGCCATTGCCGCTCTGGGAGGTTGCGGTTCCATCAAAACTGCCCGTAGATGATATTCATTAGCCTCTAATCTGGGAAGAAGAAGATGGGAAAAGGAGTGAGTGGTCTTTGTCTCCAGGCAACTACTCACATGGGCGAACCAAGAAGGTCTTCTGAAGTCTTTGCGTAGTTCCAGTATGGAAGGTAGCCAGTGTATCCACACTCATCGCGCAGGGCCTTCTCGAAGTTCCAAATGAACATGCGATGCCAGTACACGAAATTGCCAGTGATGTGGATATAGCTTCAGGTTGGTCTTTGTGTCAGCAGGGATTTTCGTTGCTCAAAGTGAAAGTATTCATCATCGCTCTCATGGTTCATGATTCATCACCAAAGGTGATACAGCTTTTCAGCACATGAGAGGCTCCATCGGACATTGATCTCTACAAGGATAGGTTGAGTGACATGCCTCCATCCCAACCCTCAAGAAAAGGCGAATACGTATGAGGGAGATTGAGGGCGAATAGTGGGGAGGAGAAGGACAGGGAATGAGAGGATAAGGTGTGGGACCTCGTCGTGGCAAAGAGAGCAAGAAGATAGAGTGACAGGGTAAGATAGTTGCCCTAGATGAAGTGGGTGCGGCACGAAATTGCAAAACGGTATGGAATGGACAAGGCTTACTCTGTCTGGTTTACATGAGTGGCCACAAAGTCATCGTATCTTGACCGAACGCCTGCAGCCTCGGACTAAGAGAGAGCATCATAGTTAGCGATAATTCCAGACTACTGGACGATGGGTTGAAGTAGAAGAGACCCAAAATGAAGGAAAGAAAGAAAGAAAGAAAGAAAACAAGGAGGAACAACTGACTATGGGTGTAAGGGCTGGTGATGCCATCAGGCACGACACAGCGCTGGTGTAGTCCAGCTTTTCCGCCTCCGTCAGCTCGATATAGTCCTTGCGCACTGCCACCTTTTCAGGCGAGCACGCCATCGAGACATCTTGGGCGGCCAGGTACTTCTCCAGGCTCCCGTCGGCGGCATTGATGAACAGGTTCAGCATGCTCTCAGAGACCGTGAGGTCGGTGAGCACCGACGAGGCTGGCGTCCAGGCACGGACGGCCAGCGGGAGGGAGAGCAGCAAGGGTAGGAAAACCATGTTTGCTGCACATACACGCACACACACAACGAATTCCAAAGGAAGGGAGGAAAAAGAAAAGGAGGCGTAGTCAAGAGGGAGGAGAAGGAGGAGAAAGGGCTGGAGAGGCGGGTGTAGAAGGCTTGTTCGCTTAAGGTTTTCCCGTCTAGCCATAGGCTCTTTATATGGAACTAAAAGATTTACAAGTTGATGGTGATCTTCAGCAGTGCAAGGGCGGATGGGACGGCAATCCCCGCCTCCACCATGTCAACCATGATAAAAGGCATTATTGACTGCGTTTATGAGGAGGGGGGTCCAGATTTGTGTCCTAGAAACGGCCAGACGGCCATTCGTCTACCTGCTGCGGCGATATGCGGTGGACCCTACTGCATATGAGTGGTTCCAATGGTTCTTCTTTTTTGGGTTCCTTCTTCTTTTTCTTCTTCTTCTTCCCCGCAGGTCTCGACCCACTCTACCATTGGTAAAGTACCAGCTGAGAACATGGAGAAGGAGCAGACTGATAGTGGAGGCGTCGTGTGGACTGGTCCATCAGCAGATGTTGATGTTGATAATTTGCGACTATTAACGCACATACCGATGCGATAAGAGAAAGGGGGGGAGGGGGTTTCGGGGTTGGCCGTGCTTCTATGAGCATCTCGTAATGCCAGCCCATCTAGCTCGCCTCAAAAAAACAAAAAAACAAAGGCAAAAAACAGACACTCAGAGAGAAAGCTGTCGTGGCGCCGGAAGGGGGGGAGGGGCGGGGAAACTAAAGAAAAGCAGAACCAACTGCAGCAGAGATCATCTTTCTATGGACCCTGCTTCCAGATTCGATGCATGAACCGAAACCATTTACTCGGCTCCAGGTTGTGGGAACCCTTCCTCAGGCCACTTGATGCCCCTGCAGCTCAGGCGGTCACTGGCAATCCCCCGTCTGCAGCGACAGCCGTAGGAATGCAGGACTATGAATATGCGTTGTGTAGTAGCCGAGATTCTTGGGTCAAGTCGGTCAAGCGAGCGAGCCCGCCGAGGACCCAACTTGCCCGAGACCTTGACGACCCTCGCTCCCCCACTATCGCGACGAATCATATTAGGCCGATAGACAGGCACAGATGCCATTATATGCAGGCCTTCGCCAACGTGGCGAACTGACCGGATGGTGTGCGCTGTGCTGTTGAGGCTCATCCCACGTGGAAAGATACTTGGACTACTCTGCGTCCCTCCGTGTAGAGATCCCAGAGGTTGTGCGCCTGCCATATTTGAGGGCACGTGTAGCTGCTCATGGGCACAAGCATCTGCCCTATTGGTATGTATGTATGGTTGTTGTAACTGATAGTAGCGATTTTGAACTGGTCCGAGGTGGAAAACAGTGGCAACACTGCCATGAATGAGAGATCCTGCGCCGATCACGTCCAGGCTGATGCGAAATATTGTGGTTGCTTGGCCGCAGAGCGTGCCTGGCAACAACCCGGCTTTTTTTGTATGAAAAGCTGCCTGGAATGTGAGGGGCACGTTACATTGCGCACATGAGTGAGTGAGAGAGAGAGAGAGAGAGAGAGAGCGATTTCTGTCCTTATAAAGACATATCCGACGACCATATCCATGCCATGGAGGCCTTGACTCAACTGTGCCATTTGTGAAAGATGGAGTGGTGTGATTGTCGATCTCATCATGGCTCTTGAACTGGAGAAGAAAAAAGTTGATGGAAATGAGTATATTGTAGGTTGTTGACCTGGCTTGATGCCACAGTAATCCTTCTCCATAATAAAGGCGGGAAGATCAGTGGAGTAAGTGTCGTGCTTTTGCTGGGCAAGAAAGTTGCACAACTCATTATTCAAATGCGACAGTAAGCTAAGATCGAGTGGACCTGGGGTGAAGGAGATCAACCCCAGGTCGGCCCAGTTTCTTGTCATACTCTAAAAGCAGTGAGAAGTGGGTGGACCAGGACATGGATCACATCACACAATTATGTAATCTCTCGCTCTCGCTCTCTCTCTCTCTCTCTCTCTCTCTCTCTCTCTCTCTCTCTCTCTCTCTTTATCTCTCTCTCATTATCTCTCTCTCATTCACAGACGCCCAAGAACACAGCTGTGATCTGGGGATTGGGGAGGATGTATTATTGCTAAATAGAAAGGTCAAAGGCTGTCGAGAAAAAGGGGAGAGCATGAAGATCAGAAAGAAGTTCTAGAACAGAGAGAGAGGAGCCCAACAGGCAACCATTATCCCTCCTATGTTGCCCAGGTGCTTGCATACTACAGTACATAATTTCTCAACCCCCTGTTCCTCGTCAACGGCCCTACAATTGGCTAGAGGGACTCGGAAGGATTTCATCTCTAGACCAGTCGGAATTCTCAGTCTCATGAGCCGGTTGCAGTAGAGTACTATGAGGTGGTGCAAACTAAAGCACCTTGCATGCCCGCACCTAGGACCTTGCCTGGATGCATTGGATCCTTTCCACGGTTCCAAAGTGCCGGTGGAACGTTTTCCTACCTCAGGACGTCGTCACGAGAATCCCTCAGCCGGATAACGTCAAGCTTGCGAGGTGGACGTCGGCCTGATGGATTTTTCCTGGTATGGCTTTTTAGCCCTTGAGATCATCCGAGTCTACTTTCTCCAACGATCTTCAGAAGAATTAATAGGTTCGAGGATTCTGCTATAGACTGGGGGCACCTTGGGAAAGGTGGATTCATAGAGAGACCTTAGGGGATCATCAGCCGAGTATCCCCCTTTTGGTGTGCACCCACATTTCAACCGAACAGCCTAGTTCTATCTCGCCCCGGATCCAATCTGGGTTGAGACGACGGGGGTCGAGTTGTGGGTTCTGGTACCATGGGTTCGCAGCCAATCCCTTTTGATATACCACTAGTAGAACATCTTCAGCTGCAAGCAAAAGAACGTTCTGAATCTCTCTTCCACGCTTGCGGGCGGCATCTACAGGCATTGCTACCTAGCCTCAGTGGGTCCGGTCCACTGTTGACGTTGCCTAAGAAGAGCCATTGAAGGGCCGCTCACCCGCCTACCCTGTGCCGGTCAAGATGTGGTTTCAGCGAGAATGTTGTGATGGGAACAAGGAAATTGGCCTTGGTGATGAACTCTCGGTGACCAGGAATCTCATGCAACAAGGGGTCATTAGCTTGGGGTACGTTGCGTGTCCTGCAGATATCACAAGGTGAGGTCGCCCTGGATGCCTCTGGGGGCCCCTTTCTATTCATCACCATCAATCTTTTTCGGTTTCTCCCCTCTCGGGAATTCTGGTAAAGTACTTTCTCTATGGTACAAAGGACACGCCAGCAAGATAGGAAGCACAGACCATATTCCTTTTCATGAGAAAGGGAGCATTCATCAAAGTAGTCCTAGTCATGGTCTCAATCAAGGTTCTCGCCTCACAAAGCCGAGACCACCTTCATTCCCTGCCATCACTCTCGATGTCCGAAGTCTGCCAGGATTCTAGGTGACGGGGGATTGACTGTGTCTTGTCTGCTCTTTCTCGCGCCCGCTGCCCCGTGGCGACATCCAGCTGAGTTAGGAAGTAAATTCTACGTCGTTTCGGAAGGGAGAGGAGAGGGGAGGGGGGGGGGGGAATACATCAACGGGGGCATACGTACCAGAAGATACCGAAGAGGATGGAGATGATCGACTCGGCCGATTGATTTAGCTGGTCTCTTTTCTAAATCCCAAAACCCTTCTTTTCATATAATCGATGCTGGCGACCCAAGCAAGAAAAAAGTCGTCTCACGGGCCATGTCCTTATGGAACTGATGAAACCCACTTTGGCCTTGTCTTTTTTTTTATTCTCTCTTGAAGATCTCGAGGCACAATCACTTCTCCCTTCCTTACCCCCTCCCTCCGTGGGCCTCTCTTCCCCTGGTGGCACCTTTCCTGTCGATCATCCCCATATCTAAAAAGCTCAGACTTTGAATTCCTCGCTCCTTGCCATTCGGGTCGATCGACCACTGCCCGTCATTCGAAGGGAGTGGGAACTCATGGCCTCCGGTAAAAATGCCTCGCTGTCACTCACGGACAGCCAGGTCCAAAGTGATGACAGCACCGCTGTCGTCGCTCAGAACAGTGCTGAGCTGCTGGGAATAACCGGGGCCCTCGTGGCCCTGGCGTGTACCGTGGTGTTGATGCGCTGTTGGGCTCGACAGGTCTTGTTGAGAACATTCGGCTGGGACGATGCAGCTATGATTTCGGCTCTTGTAAGACCGACCCAAACGCCCTCATTGATGTGCCAGGATATTGTCTTTGCGTCTTTTTCCTTTTGCCTTCTTCTGGAGGGCCAAACTGACTTGTCAATGTGAGTTCTTAGTGCTGCGCCCTTTTAGGGTTCGCTTTTTTTGTCGAGCTTGTCAGAGCAGGAGGTGGTCAGCATGCGGACAAGATGTCTCTCGAAGACCAGGAAAGGTTCAAGTTTGGCGAGATGATGATTGGAATCTTTTGTGTTGTGGGAATATGTCTGGTCAAGATATCCGTCGGCTTCTTCCTCAGGCGCTTTCTTCAGACCCGGTTCCTGAAGCGCCTCGTGCTCGGATTTATCATTTTCATTTCGATCTACCTGGTGTACTCCATTCTTACCTTTGTTATGATGTGTACACCAACGAGATCGTACTGGGATAGCAATGTGTCCGGTACTTGCTGGAGCGCCAGGACATTGAGTATCGTGGGGAACTTGAATGCTGGTACGTGACCCCCGATAATGACTGTCCTGCTTGAGAGAATATGAAATGCTTATACCCTTCTCTCCTAACAGCTATCAACATTACCACCGATTTCTTCACGTGGCTCTTACCCATCTGGGTGATCATGAAGCTGCAGCTCAAGCGCAAGACAAAGATGACCTTGATGGTTATCATGAGCCTCGGTCTATTGTATGTTGCTTCTACAAAGGAAATAATTGCGTCGAGAATCTATACCGAAAGAAGGAAGAAGGAGTCTCTGACATTATACAGTGCCGTCATCGCATCTGTGTTGCGTGTCTTCCTCGGCAGCGCCTGGGAGTGGTCTACTGATCTGTACATATGGTTAAAGTAAGAGGACATCTCTCTCTCTCTCTCTCTCTTGACGGGCACTTGCGAAACCTGAATGTTCGCCATGAGGCTGACCAAACTCAACTATAGCGTCGAAGTCGACACCGCTATTCTCGCCGCCTCATTACCTTGCCTTCGCCCGTAAGTTTCTAACGAGGCTTCCGAAGTTTATCTGCATCGGGACACTAACAACTATCTTGTCTTCCTCCCAGTATCTTCCGACGTTTCCTCGGCTCTACCAACGAGCCAAGCTACCCACAAGGCCCAAGCCACTACGGAAACCGAACTGCCGGCACAAGGAGCGGCTACGCAAGGCAAGACGACAGCATAGCTCTCACCTCCGTCTCGCACAAGGGCGACTCCTTCAAAACTTTTGCCAAGAAGGAGGAGACATATAACGCAAAGGTGACGAGCAACACATCTACCGTCTCGCGCGGTGGCGTAGGGAGAGACAATGATAGTGAGGAGGCTATCTTGTCGCCGCATGGGATCACCAAGACGCTGGAGACTACGGTTTTTGTGTCAAATGTTTGATTGAACATGGGTGTAGTTGATTCTTCATTCCCTTGCCTTGCATTCTTTTTCTTTTAAAGCGTTTTCTTTTGCCTTTGGGAAGGCACAACAGCGAGCACTACTTTTGGGTTGGAAAAGAAAAGTTATACACATTGGGTATATTTAATTGAATACGATTTACGAAGGGTTTGGATTCGTTGTCGGCTCCGTCGTCTCTGAAAGATGCCGGAGGAGTGACACACCAAGCCCTCTGGTACTAGCAAAATATGGAATGTTGCTACCGTTGCTGGGCAACTTCTGTTTGATTCACGAGGAAGAATATTTTCCTCTCTACTTTCCCGCCTCACCTGGAGTACCAAACGCTGAGGATCCTGTGCTCCCCCCTTCCTCTTCCAACGTGCCCAATAATGCGGGCATCTCTTCATGCTCTTCCAGTTAATATGAATGTCTCCCAACCATCGTTCATATGACCAATCCTACTCGATGGTTATCTTGCGCACTCGAAATCAGGTTGTCTCAGAGAGAAACTGAAGGGAGGGAGGCCAATGACAATTGAAAATCGACCCATACTCATCAGGCCAGTTTCGGACCCGACACGAGCAGCAAACGTAAGCGGTGCTCCTTCACAGGGGGTGGGGGGGGGGGGGCGATCTACTAGGTCCCGTCGGACCATTTAGGACCATGGAACCCTATTTTTTGGTACGGAACCCGGGCAATTCTTTTCAAGGAGTGTCAAGGCTGGCTGGGCGTAGCTGATTGGCAGATACCATCATCTTGTTGTTCTTCACAACCGCTTAGGTAGTTGCTTTTTGTTGACATGTATGTATTGTGGATGTAGATGTGGAGGTAACAAGGGTGAAGCCAAATGAGTATACAAAAAGGACATCATACTGGCTGGCGTATGGTCCTTCTCGTATTGGCTCTTCCCAAGGAAGAAGCCCTTGCCTTGTTCTGCTCTCTTCACATATGAGCCCTTGCATACTCAAAGCACTGGCCTCCTTTAGATGTCTATCCCAGCCCTTCCCCAACAGCGAGAGCCGAGAGGCCCCCCTCCCTATCCTGACCCCCATTTCCTCATTGCAGAACAATGAGATAACAAGCACAAAGCATCGAACTTACAAAGACATCAAAGTCAGAGCATGTACTTTCTGGACCAAGACGGAGATCTTATGACTAGATACTAAGGAGGTTTGTGATATAAATAGTTGTTGATACTAACCATATCCCTCGACTCCTTGGCCACAGCCAGTGCCAATAAGGAAACCATGAGCTTAGGGTCCGGATCCCAAGGGAGGCAAGCTAGCGACAATACATCTTTCGACGTGTGCACTGACTTCAAACACGTGGCACCCGAGTTCCCCCGTCTAGTTTGGATTGAAACCGTGCGGCATGGGTTGACAATGAGGTCACAAAGTGTCCCGTCAGATAGGGCAGTTTTGTACTGGATCATCACACAGCAATAATTCGTGAGCAGTGAAATTGAATGGGAGACTACCTAAAATCGTACACAGAAGCCAAGTGTTGTCCGTGGCCGGAACTTTTCTGCGACCAAAAAGAAACAAAGCAGAATGAAAACATTTGACACCTCACCACAGTTACGACAATCTGGGGGTGGGAAGCGCAAAGCAAACACAATCAATACAAGAGGATGTAGGGGGTAAGAAAAATGCAGTCAAACGAAATGTTTTGAAATCCGACCTTGACCGGTACACCCCTTCGGACAATCCGGCTTTCACTCATCGTCGTCGTCAGACTCATCATCCTCAGCCTCCTCCAGCCACTTCATGAAGGGCTCAGCAGCCTTGCGGATCTTGCGAGAAGTAGACAGGTCGACATACTTCTTGCTCGCCTTGCTTCCCCACTTCTGCAGGACTTCCTCAGAGGCAAGGTCGTGCTGGTAGTAGAGCATCAGAATCTTGACGAGCTTCTCGAGAAACTCGGGTGTCTCCTTCATGCGATCACCGATGAGGCGCTCAGTACCACCGAGCAGAGCCTTCTGGTGACGCTCAGATTCGCCAATGATCTACCATCTTTTGTTAGTCGAAATTGCACTCAACAGTTCGTCTGCCGGGGGTTTCAGATACGCACCTTGGTCAGCAGAGCGGCACGCTTGGGGATCTGGACAAGGATGTTCTCGTTAAAGAGGGTCAGGACGAGCACCTGGACAGTGCGATGCTTTGTCTCGATGCCCAGCTCCTTGGCCTTGACGTAGACATCAACACCATCAACCTTGTCAACACTTCCCTTCTCCTCAACCTGCTCCTGGATCCAGTCGCCCAGCTGGTCGTAGACGGTGTTGCCACCACCCTCGCCATCTTCATCCTCGTCGTCGCCGTTAATGACAAGCTTCTGCTTGAACTCGCCGGGCAGGTTCTGCTGGCGGGCCTTGACGGCCTCCTCACTCATGTCGACGGCCCAATCATCATCCTTGACGACATCAGTGCTCTTGATTTCCTGAGCCTCGGCCTTGATCTTGCGGGTGAGAGCATCATCGTCACTAGCAATATCGCCGTTGGCGTCACCGTTGGCACTGCCGCTGTCACCATTGTCCTTGTCAGCGGAGTGATCGGACTTGTCGTCGTCGTCACTGCCTTTGCCATTGGCCTGGCCGTTCTGCTTGGCCTTGCGGGCGGCCTTGCGCTCGGCCTTGTCCTTCTTGTTCTTCTTGGCTGTCGCCTGGTTCTTGATGATGAAACCGCTCAGCTTGTGACGCAGGTCCACGGAGGAGTGGACACCGCAGGCCTTGCAGTCGAGCTCGATGATGCCGTCCTTGATGTCGACTTTGGTCTCGGGATTCTTGCACTTCTGACACAGAACAAACTTCTTGATGAAGATGTCGAGGAGATCCTGGAGCTTGGCCGACTCGTGAGCACCATTGATGATCCAACGGTCATCCTTGGGGTCAATGTTGGTCTGAGCGCCGAGCTCGAAGCCGAAGAACTTGATCAGGTAGGCGCCGGGACGATCGAGCGACTGGGCGACGCTGGTCAAGTTGACGACGACGGTCTTGATACCGTTGCCCTTGCCTTCGACCTTGGTCTGGAGGCGCTCCATCTTGTAGCGATAGAAGCTGTCGCTGACATCGCGACGAACGTTGATGAGAGCAGCCATGCTTGCAGATTTGCTGGTGGACAGCCGCTATGTAAGGCTGTCGGTATTGGTCTGTGGACGAAGAGAGACGTTTGTGCTCGGGCTGCTGAGGCGATGAAGGAGGTGGTGCGTGACACAAGTTACTGGACTTGTGTTGAGTGACTGGACATGGGGCTCTGAGGCGCGAGGACGGAGATAGAGGCGGAACGGGGCCGGATGGTTAATGCTGAACTGTACTGAAGTTCAACATGAGGGGGACCTGTATGTTCGGCTGCTGGGCAGGCATGAAAGCGTCGAGGTGCTTGTTGTTGGTGATTTGTGGTTTCAACCGTCTGGACTGAGGTTGGGGCTACAAGGCTTTCGTGGATTACGAAAGAGCTGTAGCTCAAGGGGAGGGTCGGAGTGTCGGTGGACGGGAATTTTGTCGTGCTGATACATAAACAGCTTCTGTGTCCTGTATCGAACGGTGGTTGTTTGGTCCTTCAGGGGGATCGAGAGTGACAACAAGCCCGATGTAGAATCGTTGCTGTTGCAGTCGACAATGTCGAGAAGATAGAATTAACAGGTTGGAAACGCTGGGTTGATGGTTTTGAGGATGAGGTTTCGGGCAAAGTTGCTGCTTCGGATGTGGCGGGGCTCGATTTGAGTATTGAGTGTCTAAGAGGCGCGCGTCGATTGTTTTTTTGGCAGTCGCAAGAGGGCCACAGCGCCACGAGTGGATTTCAGTACAAAACCTTGAATGTAATTGTTTAGCAGAGGTGATGACTTGATGGGGGGAAAAAATTTCCAACGCAGGTGGGAAGAATGGTGGGTTGAGTAGTTGTGGTGTGGGTTTTTGGGAAGAGATGGAGTTGAAAGAGGAGGTAAGGAAAAAGGATTCGGAGTCAAGTGCCAGAAAAATGGGGCTCTGGTAGAAAAAAAAGCTTTAGGAGCGGCCCACCAGATCGCACTCTGTCTGTCTGTACTGTGGTGGCCCTGCCTTGTCCAATAGGGCCCAGCCACTAAGCCCAGCCACTGAAGGCAGCAACTGTGCCCACGATGCAGTGATGAGGCTTAGCTAAACGACTCACCTCACACTGTACATAGTACCATGACTGTTCAGGTGTCATCCATTGCCACCTTAGCACAATCGCAGGCTACAATTAGTCACATGCACTACCGAGTACTTTGTATGTCTTCACTCAATGGCAAGTGTCGTTAGTTTATGCCTAGTCACAACGGCTTAGAAGGAGCCTGACCCTTTTCCCCTTTTCTTTTCTGTGTGTCATGGCTGTCCATTAAGAAACTCATAGCTGAATTTGAACGACCACAAGCGCAGCAATAGCTTGATGTGTCTCCTCAAGATTTTATTGAGTCATGGCTGTGATCTATAAAAGGAAGGTAGGAAGGGTGGAGGATTGATATTTTGGATCAATTTGTAGATGGCAGGAGCCCAGTCCATCTGAACCCAACCCAGCACAAGCCGTAGTAATCCTTCGCCCCTCCCATTCATTCATCTGCAACGAACCGCATAAGGCATCTCTGGGCCTTTGGCCTAGCTGAGATCAACGTGTCCTCCATCTCCATCATCTCCTGCCTCATGCCCTGGCCCGGCACAGTGCTGTACCGCGAGTAAACATCCCTCAGCAGGATCTTCATCTCCGCCAGCGCGAGATGCTTGCCAACACAGCCCCGTCCGCCGTTTGCGAACGCGAAGAACGCCCTTTTTCTCACAGCGTCTTTACCGTCGTCCGCAAGCCATCTCTCAGGGTTGAATTTGTCAGGCTCGGGAAAAACGGTCTCATCTATACGGTGGACCGAGTAGGCCTGCGAGCTGACGATGGTGTGCTCTGGGATGAAGTACCCATCGATCGTCCTCCCACCGGCTGGCACGTATCGAGGGAGTGACATTGGGATGGCGGGATAACATCGAAGACCTTCCATCACCACCGCATCCAGATACGACAGTTTATCCCAGCTCTCGCTCTGTCCCCTGGCGCGCAGCTCCGCGCGCATCTTGTCCTGGAAGCCCGAGGATCTAGGCTGTGACAGCTCCCACATCAGAAAACAGAGGGCGTCACCAGTGGTGTCGATGCCGGCGACCATGTGGTCCAGACACTCAGCCGCGACAGTCGTGCTCTCCAGATCCCAAGCCTTGTCGCTCAGCCTGCTCATCAGGGTAAACGGCCGCGCCTCGGAGCCCTTGTCTGTAGCGTCCAGGACGAAGTTGTCGGCCAGCGGCGTGTCCCTCGGCGGGGCGATGAGGTTGAGGACGGAGCTGATGATGCTGTGCAGGGTCGGGGAGTAGTACCTGACCAGACGGTTCTGCAGGGAAGAATCCGACGTGACCTCGAGCATGATCTCCTCGTCTTTGCCCTGGCGCAACGAGTCCGCGCCGAGGGGATGGAAGATGTGATGCGAGGCGCAGTCGAATGCATAGGCGTGCAGGGCGGTGTAAATATCCACCTCGTCGCCGCGGGACCCCTCTACCCGGTGTACGAACCGCCTGCCGCGCTCCTCGATCCCCTCGATACTCTCGCCCCGCGTCACGTTGCTGTTCGCATACCTGTCTGCCAGGGCCCGCTTCCGTCGGGCATGGGCATCCTTGTTGAGCGTCGAGAACATGGTCCGCCGCCCATAGACGGTGAACAGGTTGTAGAACTCCGTTTTGTCGTAGCCGCTGCCGCCGGAGCAGTAGATCTCCTTGACCGCGGCGGCCGAGCTGAAGCTGACCTCGTTGGGCGCGATGCGCACCACGGGGCCGTAGCGAAGGTGCAGATCATGCACGAACCGTGTGCGCTGGGCGTGGAACTCGGCCCATTTGATGAGGAGGGATGTGAAGAGAGAGTATCGCGGCCCAGGTAGACGGGCTAACGGGGATCGAAGACGGCGGACGAGAGTGAGGATGACGAGGAGAAGGAGGGAGGGGAAGAGGAATACCGGTGAGAGGAGTAGCATTGTGAGACAGGAGGAAGCACCTGGGCAAGATGGTGATTTGTGAAAGGGGCTAAACCTCTATAACGGAGCTCGAGGTGCCGTGACGTTGACTGTTGTTGTTCCGTGGCCAGTCAATCTCCTCCCAGCAAATGTTTCTTTGCTCGCTACCTATCATCACCACAAAGCACTCGAGGATGGGCCCCGCGATTCAGAGTGGATGGATGCTGTGAATGATAGTGAAGGAAGATGGTAGGGAATTCGTGCCAGACCTGCTACTGCGTGTGCCGATTAGGCTGAGATATAGTAATAGAGACTAAAGAATGCGCAGATGCGTTGAAAGATACTGTGATAAAAGCAAAAAGACAATATGACCAATCGTTCTGTTCTTCAAGGTGGTGATCCATACCCTGCTTATCGTCTCCTCCGGCCGGCCGACTCCGGACCGGGCCTGGTAGGTAGCGTCAACACCCCCGGCTTAGCATGGCTTCTTTTGTACGTTGCGAAATAGGCAAATCCCCACATAGCGATGATGGAAGAACCACAAGTGAATCGTTCATTTCTTTTCCCTTGATGATACGAAGGTTCCTCTTTTTCTAAAGACATATGTGTGTATTCCAGTAGGCACAAGTGGAAACTGGGCCTTTTCTTTTTCATTTAATATAAAATCGCTCTTCTATAACCTTCAAAACCCCAGACCTCGCTGGAGCGGGTAAAGTATACATGATTGAGGTTGAACATGCTTTCATTCCTAGTGGCTATCCATGGAGTCTTACCATGCACACGTACATGTCCATCTTGCCACTCAAAGTCCGCGCTGGCTACCTCTTCTGGCTTCATCGCTTCATGCGCCCGCAAGCGCAATCTTGGCCGTTTCCACCCCACTTCTACTTCCGGTTCACGGTACAGATCTAGCGTGAGGGGCGTGATGTTGCGACACGACTTCACAATTATTTACAGACCTCCAGAGCTCCCCCCTCTCAACTGGGAATCACCACTCCCATCAGCCTCATCACTCAGACGGAACCCGCGGCCCCAGCCAGTACTGGACCGTCTCTCCCAGAGTCGGTGCAACCTCGTGAACCTGCCTGGAGACCAAGTCCAGGGCACACCCTACCTGCCGGGCTTGGTGCTCTCCTCGGCCGCGAGGTCCCGCTCGACCATCTCAATAGATGACAGGCTAGGAAATCTTTTTGAGAAGTCTTGGAGATAGTCGTCCTTTTCCTGTTGGCTCATGTCTAGAGTGGGCTGGCCCGGGAGATCTGCCGCTACCAACACCTCGAGACGACCAGTCTGCCGCATGCCGCTCGTGTTGGCCGAGCCGCTCGAGCCGCTTGTGGGCGTCTTGTTGAGGTGGTTCGGTTTCGGTGGGGCCATTGGCTTGATGTCTTTAGGCGGCACTGGTGGTCGTGAGAAATTGGTTGGTTTGGGGGACATGCTCGACACCCTGTTGAGAGATGCAGAGCCAGAGCCGGGAGTTTTTCGAGGCGGAAGCACAGAGCTCCGGTCCCCGACCACAGGTTTGCGCGGTATATCAGGTTTCGAATTGACAGCCTGCGTCGGCGCGCTGGAGGGAGCCGTGTATTGCCCGTAGCCTTCTGCGGTCCTCTTGACGTTCGTTGACGAGCGGGTATTCTCGTCCAGCAGGCTCTGCACTTTGTTCTGAATCGCAGCAGCTCGTGATGAGCCGACGACGGGAGGGGGCGTTGGCCTTCCACCCTCCCCACGCGCGGCTACTCGCGCTCGGTATTCGGCCTGCGCCACGGCAACTCGCTTTTCCTCGTCTGCCAACTGCTGCCTCTCCATTTCGCGGCGCATCTCCGGCGTCATCGTGTCTGTCTCGTCGAGCGCACGGCCGTCATCACTTCGTCCGTCTGTAGCTTCAGAGCCCGCGATGGGCGTCAGGTCCTTGCGCTCAAATGCTCTTGAAGGTGATGGTGTCCGCAGTGGTGGCGGCGCAGGTTGACTGGACTCAAAACGTTTGAACGCGTCACCGAATTTGCTAGCGAGTATCGAGGACGACTTCTTTCCCAAAGACGAAAGACTAGTTCGCTTGCCTTCCTCACTTTTCCTCGGCTTGGAGTCTTCCATCGAGCGGAGGAAATCCACATTGGACTCGATATTGGTCTCGTCGGTCTCGTTCAGCAGGCTTGGGGGCACTTCCTTGTCTGTTGGAAGCAGACTCGGCGAAGGCAGTGCCGGAGACGCGAGCGGCTTCGGGATGCTCTCCCGCTCACGCAAAAAGTCCAAATTCGACTCTAGGTAAGTGCTGACTGGGCGAGGACGTCCCGACATGGATGCCGACTTGCTCAGTGGCTCTCCGAGGTTTTCCATGCTCGGACGGCCGCCCTCGAGGGAGGGCCTTGCCGAGGAGGATGCGTGCCGTACGTGGCCGAGAAAAGAGGCGCTTGGACGGATTTTGGGAGATTCTTTGCGAGTTGGCAAGCTCGCCTCTTGCGTTCTTGTGAGGCTTGACGATCGGCTATGCCGATCGGGGAAACGATAGAGCTGATATTGTGACGGCGTCCTCGAGTTTTGCCGTTCCATGGGCGGCGTGGTCATGGTCCCCGTCGATACCATCGTAGGTCGTGTGGGCGACGGCTGGAACACCTGGGCAGAACCCGAGGAAATGGCCTGCAGTTCAGGGGTGCTCATGATGATCTCGGACGCGCGGCTCATCTCGGACGACTTCAGTAGCCCCGATCCAGCCTTTGGTGGCGACTGTGCTGCCGTCTTCTCTGATGATGCCGAAGGGGCTGCTGGTATCACACGAGGCGCTTCTCCTTCAACAATTGGCAGACCTTGCGTGATATTAAAGGCATTGTCTGAAGTCTTGTCGGGCGCCTCGTTCCCAGCAACGACAGGCGAGGTGGTATCGTCAAAGTCGAATTTGATACCCTTCTCGTGCAGGATGGAAAATTGATCGAGCGTCGGGAATCTCGATGACAACTCATCGGCCGCCTTTGCACCAGCATTGGAGTCGAGTGCGGCAAAAGGATCCCCATTTGTGACGGGCTTCGGTGAAGGACTTGGTTTTGTCGCATGACTAGCCTGTGGTCCTGCGGCTGGTAAACGGCCCCTCCTCATGGGCGCAATCTCAGGAATTACTTGTTCGTGTTGGGTCGGTGGGGAGAAGACGGCCCCAACCGCAGGAGTGGAAGCATTCGAGGTGGCTTGTGGTGGCGGTGCTTCTCGACGTTGGGAGTCTGATTGCGACCTGCCAGTGTATATCTGCGCAAATACCATCATCATCAGCTTGGGAGGTTGCGCTAAAGACTCCAAATAGTGAAGAAGCATACATCTTTGATGGGAATCTCACGGCCCTGCATAGCACAGGACTCTCGAAGCACTTGATAGATATTTGGTCTGGACTGCGGGTGCTCCTTCAACATAGATGCTACGTATGCTACTGTCAGCCTGGGACACAAGATAGCCACCTCCCACTGGAAACTTACCTATCAGCTTTTTTAACCTGTCTGAGAAGACTGGATAACTCGGGAACCTGTAGCTTGCATTGAGGATTGCCAGCTGGCCCTGGTCCTCAAAAGGTGTTGTGTAGTAGCACAGCTTGTACAGCAGAACCCCCAGGGCCCATATGTCTGACTTCTCATCGATAGGTTGCTTTCGGTATACATCAATCATCTCCGGACTTCTGTACTGCATGGTTGTGTGCTTCTGAACATCTTCCTCCACCAGCCGGCACTCAATCACTGTTGTTGGGGCAGGTCTGGGGACTGCAGCAGAGCCAAAATCGCACAGCTTGAACTTCTTTTTTGAGCCAGTTGTTGTAATCAGGACGTTCTCCACCTTCAGGTCTCGATGTAGCAGCGGTGGTTTCAGGTAGTGCATGCAGGCAACACCTTCAGTGACGTCTGTGAAGATCTGGAGGATCTCGGGCTCCGTCAATCGATGCTGTAGCCTCGTGTTCATAAAGTCGATCAGTCCTCCCCCGTTGCAGTATTCCATCAGCAGAAACACCTCGTAGCCGCCGCCCCTGAGCTCCGAGGCGTGGGAATCGATATACGTGACGATGGGGCGGTGGCCCTTCAGCCTCTTCATCGTCTCGACCTCGGTGCGCATGCCCTTGAGAGCCTCCTTGTCCGGAACGGCCACGCGCTTGAGCACGGCGATGTCGGTGCCGTCGATGGGCTTGGGCATCTTGACTAGGTAGACGTGGGCGAAGCCGCCCTCGGACAGGTACTTCTGGATCACCACGCGATGGCTGCCCACCTGGATCTTGGTGCCCGGAGAGAAAGTGCCGGCGGGCGCTGCTGGGCCGCCCGCTATGATGGGCACAGCCGGGGCACCATAGGACACGGGTTGGCCATGTCGTGAGACCGCGGCCGCGGGGGGTTGGCCGTAGGAAGCCATCGCGAAGGCCTGGGTGGGATCGGTCGAGGGACTGAGCCGGAGGCCTGGTGTCGGGGCCAGAGAAGGAGGAGGACGGGGAGGGGAGGAGGAGAAGGAGGAGGGGCGGAGGGACGGACGGAGGCAGTCGAGTCGAGTCGGGCGACGATGAGGACGACGAGGTAGGTAGGAGGTACAGAGGTCTAAGGCCGAAGGTCGTTGGTCGCTTTAGAGTGGAGCTCGCAGGTTGCAATAGGGGTTCTGTTGCTTAGGTAAAAGAAAAATAAAATAAAATCCAAGGGCCTCTCCAAGGAGACGGTTTGGCGGTGACGATGTTGGTCGGTTCGGAGTCGGCGTCGATAGAACTAGAGCGTGGCAGGTTGAGAGCGGGTCAACAACTTGCAGACTTGCAAGGTTGCCTGCGCAGATCAAGGCATTTGACTCGACAAGGGCGTTTTTTTGGTCTATTGTAATGCCATTTCCTTTTTTGCAGATCTTGTATCTCGCCCTGAGCCAATTAATCAAAGATTCAGTGGTGGTATTGTTGTGTCGTCGTCTTCGTCTTCGTTGTCATCGTCGTCCTCGCTGTCTTCGTAAATGCGGGCGCAATGTTGACAGACGGGCACACTGACGGGCTGGCTGGCTGACTGACTGACTGACGAGCTAACCTTGACAAGGTGCCAAGTGCATTAACTTCGTCGAGTGTCTCGACAGTCAGGTGCGAGAAACTTGGGCAATGAGAATGCAGCAGGTGTTGTTCCAATTCTGGTGCCTGGCCCTGTTTCATTCATGCCGGGGGGCTTGGATTTTGGGGTGGCATTGGTGAGCCTCACCCGCTAAACACGGATAAGGCCCGCTGTGGTGGGATCTCCAGCCTGGCACACGCAGCGGCGAGGCCGCGCTAGGCGGAAAAAAGAGGGAAGACAGACGGCATAAAAGTCAGCGTATGTTACAGTACAGCAGTAATCCACACACCGCACTGCGCTACATCAGCACGCTTGGACCACGCAACCGATTCAACGGCTACGTGATAATTACTACTTACATTGGTTCATGCATTCATGTGTCCAATACTACATATGTATAAAGTCTTGAACCTCTGCTCCTTCATGTAATATTCATCATCGTGACCTTTTAGGAGTCACTGATCAAGACTCTGAGTCGTACATAAATTGCAGTTACTCCACCGCTCTCAGCTGCGCACTCCCGTGCGCCATCAGCTAATACAGGTGCCGGCCTGCACGTGCAGAAGGCTTATGATCTTGGTCTCAGTCTCTCTTTTCGAGACTCTTCAGAAAGCTGACCACTCTTTCTGCGAGCCACTCCTGCGACGGTGGCGGGTCTACAGTATGGCCTGCCCCAGGGATCAAGGCAGACAAGTCACTCGCTTTGGGGCAGTTTGACTTCCACTTGACTAGCAGTTCCTCACGGTTGACAGTTGTGGGCACATATTCGTCCTCAGCCGAGGGGACGATGAGGATCGGTTTCTGGACCAAGCCCCAAATCGCTGCCACCTGATCATCAGGCAGATCAGAAGAGAAGAAGTCATCATCACCCCTGCGCGTAGTTAGGACATCAATTAGCTGACTGCCTCTCTGTCTCTTGTGTTCTTCTCCCCCGCTGGTATAGTGAACAACTCACCCAACAGCAGCCAGTGAATGCAGTCGGTAGGCAGTCAATGGGCATTCGAAGGGAAAGTCGGGCGGCAACCTTGACCTTGGCACGGCATCATTTGCGTTGCCAGCATTTATCATCTCCTTGGCAGTCGAAATGAAACTGTCCGTTGTCTCTTGCCCTGAAAGGTAGACGTAGGCCTCGCGATCGGAGACAGGGGCTTGGATGATGAAGCCGTCTACAGGCTCGTTCCCGTATTTGGCATACTTGTTATACTCCATGCAGTCCTGCAAGATGGAGAGTATTCAGCGGTGGTCGGCAGTGTAGACAGACATATGAGCTTCTGCATCATCTTACCTGACAACCCGTGGAGTGCCCCATGAGCACAACTTTTTCCTTGCCGATGCTCCGTAGGTACTTCACCAGCGCTGAGATGTCCTCTACATCATCTGCAAGGCTGGCCCAGCCAAAACCTGAGAATGAGGAGCGGATGCGGATTTCAAAGACAGAGTAATTTAGCCCTGTCGTGGACTCGATCTTTTCAGCAACAGTTCGGATATAGGGAACCGTATGAGGACCATCCATCAAACCGCCGACAAAGATCAGTGCATTCTGAGCTGACGATGATCCTAGCTCATACGCATGCGCATGCTTGACCCCGCGGCTTTCGTAAGGGTGAACTCTCACAGAGAAGGGAGCGGCTTGTGAGGTGGCCATTATGAGGAAAAGTAAGTTACGTGAAGCACAGGACCAAGCGGCAGTAGCAAATCAAACTCTGGCTGTCTTTTGGCTGTATATTTGGTTGGGGGGGGGGGCCGGAGGGGTTGTGAGTTGTCAAGAGAACACCGTCCCAAGGGTTGCGTAAATACAAGCTAAAGGTTGATTCTTTGTGGCGGCGGGGCTGGAGCTGGTGGGACATTCCTTCTATAGCAGCCTAGGGCCTGCCCCCAAGTTTGTGCTGGTGGGCCCGCTTCAGTGGTCTTCTAACCACGGCACTGCCTAATCTATACGTCCCTCACTGCACCGACACTTGGACCCTGCCCATTACTGTAAAACCTGGTGACTACTGGGCTTCAGTTAGGCTGCACAAACAGACGTCTGCACTCGCTAAATGACCGAAGTTGGCTTCAAGCGCAGCAGTTGTGTTCCGCTTCAATGACTCAACGTCTTCTAAATATCATTATTCCTTGAAAAGGCCGTCGCCGACTTGGGTTTGACTCCGTTGCGTTCAGCCCCAATTCAGGCATAGAGGCAGCAGCAGGTCCTTTCAAGATGGCCCAACAGGTTGGGCCACACTCTGAGTTTACCTCGTCAGTCAGGAATCAGTTCTTTGCAAAGGTTAGACGAAGCTTGCCTAGACACCCCTAAGGGCTTGTCGCCCATATCACATTGTCTATTTCCCCCCGCTGACAAGGCTACAGCTCAAGCCGATTTGTGTCGAGATCAGCAAATTCGCCCTGCAAGGTCAACCAGGTCCGGAAGGGGCGAGACGGACCCAAGACCTTCTTAACCAGCTCAACGGCATTCTCGAAGGTCAGATCCAGTACGATGCAAGTGCACTAGACGAGAAGATTGCCGACTACATCTTCTTTCCTCTGTCGCACCTGTTGCGCAGGCACGAGGCTCAACCTGTCCGCCTCATCGAGACGGTCATTAAGACGTTGCGGCTGCTCATTCAGCATGGATGGAAAGCTAGAATCTCCAAGGACCTGTCGCAGCAGCTTCTTATCCTGCTTACCTTCATTATTGGCGGTGTCCCGGGCAGAGAGAATAGCCAGCCTGCAAAGCCCGAGGAGACCGTCCTTGAAGGTTACAGAGCTCTCACTGCACTGATCAAGACTGCTGGGGTGTCGGCTAAGGACTCGCCGCTCACGGATGCGAAGATCATACCGTCATTTGGACACGCGGTGTCGGTAATTCTAGACGGTGTCACCGATGGAAGTACTCCCGAGATTCAACTTGCGTCACTGCTGGCCATTTCAGCCGTCTACACGACAGTCAAACAGGACGAGGTGCTGGCGACATTCTTCCCGGGCACTGTGTCTTCTCTAAGCCGGCTGCTCTCGCCGCCCTCATCTATCAAGGCACAGCGGAGAGTTCTCTTCAGCGGTACGAACATTCTCAAGCTTGTTCTCACTAAAGTCCTCAGCGACCTGAAGATACGCAACCTGCTGCGGGAACAAGATGAGAAAGACGCTCTTGTTTCCGAGGAGCAGAGCCAAGATGAGAATGCTCAAGGGACAGTGCTCACACTTTCGTGGCTAAACGCTACGGTAGCACAGGTTAAGATTGCCCTGTCGACTGTTTTGAAGCTGAGAAACCACGATGGCGCAGATGTGCGCAATGCCGTGGAAAAACTGTGTATTGCATTATTGGATGAGTGCCATTCGTCGCTGTCCAACTGTACTGCGATGCTCGTTGAGACCGCTATGGTCTTAAGAGAAGACGATAGTGAGGAAGGCACTGGCTTCGGCGTGTCCGACAATGGAGACGACCAGTCCCTCTTCTATGGCACGTCACTCCAAGATCTTGCTATCATATACCCGGAGCTGGTGGACTCTGTCAACACTACCGTGCACAACTGGATTACGAGCATGCCTCGTATGATGCAGTCAGGCGACGAGCAAGTCAAGCAGCGGGCCATTCGCAGTATGACCAAGGGCCAGGAACTTCTATCAGCACTTGGAGTTGATTCATCGAGCCTCGAAGAGTCTCTGTCGTCCGCTCTCAGAGACAGCATTGTCGCGTTGATTCTCACTTCCAAAGACCCCAAAGTCATGAACGAGGTCGATGTGGACATGGATCTTTGGCGAAATCCAAGCTTGGTTCGCACAGGAGGATCAGAACTGCAGACCTATCAGCCCGTGCTTCTGCCTCATGGCAGCCAGCGGGACATCCGGAGGGATGTGGCTGCTCTGATTCAAAATATTGGCTCCTCGAGGCAGCAGACCAAGCTTGCAGCAGAGATGCTGCCCTATCTTCGCGACTCTCGTGGTGTCGACCAGATTGCCTCATACTGGCTGTCCTTTCAGCTCCTAAGATCCTCTTTCAGCAAGACCACAGAGGTCGATGACCTTCTGGACCTTACAGACGCGGTAGCAGACCCTACCTCCGAAGACCAGAACCTCGTCTTCGATGAGCTGTATTCCTTCTCGGTATCTATCCTCGATGCTCACTCTGACGCGACTGACGAGACCGACTGGCGCCTAGAGGCAACAGCCCTCGAAGTCATCGCCTTTGCTGCCTCCCGTCTTAACCGATCATTCCGCCCGGAACTGATTGATGTGCTCTATCCTGTGTCAACTTTCCTTGGCTCGGCACGTCCAGAGCTCAGAAGCCACGCGATCACCACGCTCAACAACCTCGCTGCAAGCTGCGGCTACGGAAGCGTCTCCGAACTGATCATCGACAACGTGGACTACATGGTCAACTCGGTTTCACTGCGCCTCAACCAGTTTGACATCTCCCCTGCGTCGACCAAAGTGTTGACTATGATGATTCGTCTTACCGGACCGAAGCTGCTCCCCTTTCTAGACGATGTCGTGGCGGGGATTTTTGCTGCACTAGACAATTACCACGGCTACACTACTTTCGTGGAGAGTCTATTTGGTGTGCTGTCAGAAGTTGTTGAACAGGGTGTCAAGTCTGATAGACTGATTACTGAGGGTGGGCAGACTGGGGCCGCTAATCACAGGAAGCGTCCCTTGCAATCTTCAGGCGTGCAAGATACCCTCACCTTCCTACACAAACGTACCAAGAGAGTCAGAGAGCAAGAAGAAGAAGGAGACGTCGAGGAGATAATACGTGGGCACCCTCGAACTGCGTGGAAATCCGCCAAGGAAGAACTTGATGCCATAGAAACCCGAGATCATGGCCAAGACGACCAACCCGAGGACGCACCTCAAGACAGTGAAGAGATTACAATACCACAAACACCAACCTACACACTGATGACCAAGGTTACCTCACTGACTCAACACTATCTCACCTCACCTCAGCCGACTCTACGGAAGCAGCTACTCGAACTGCTTTCCAAAGTGTCGCCAGCACTTGCACCAGATGAAAATGCATTCCTCCCATTGGTAAATGACATTTGGCCCGTCATCATCAGTCGGCTGCATGACACGGAGCCTTACGTCGTGATCGCGGCCTGCGGGACGCTAAGCGCGCTCTGTGAAAGTGCAGGCGATTTCTTGAGCACCCGCGTGAAGACGGAGTGGTGGGAATCCCTAGGATCATGGTGCTTTAGAGCCAAAGATGAGGCGCGCAAGAGCAGAGGTGGTGGCGCTACAGCCATGGCAAAGAGTAAGGCATCAGGTCACAGCAATGATATCCTCATACCGATGCGAGGCGCAGATCATTCCGACGAGCTTCAGCTTGAGGTTGCATCGCGCTCCATAACAACGAGTACCGGCCTCGGCAGGTTCGCATCAGCCGCGCAGGCATGGGTCGCGGTCGTCTCAATGCTTATCGCAATTGTCTCGTACGTCCGGATCGAAGATGAGATTTTCGAGCAGATTCTTGACCTGCTGGCCGACGACGTGCTGCCGCGCAGCGAGCAAGCTCGAAAGGCGTTGGAGGCTGTGAATGCCGATGCAGTCTGGCTGGCATTGTACGAAAGAGGATATTTGGCTGCGCCTCCAAACAAACCTGCAATGGACGGGGTAATCTTTACGCCGTTGTAGGGTAAAATGAGGGAGCACTGAATCGAGTTACGGTCTGACACAGCGTTTTGGTGTGGCTGAATATGCATTCACTACGACATTGCCTGTAGTTGCACAATAGAGCATTCAACCAGCTGATGATCCAGGTAGCTATAATTAAAGCGCAGATCAAAGTCCACCGCTACGCAGATTCCGCTCTGCTTGGCAACCCTGGACCTTGCAGCGAGCGCACAGATTTAACGGATCAGCTCCCGTGGCTGTAACGTTCCGCTCCGATCCTACCGGGCCTTTATATTCCTGCAGAAGTCTTCACTCGTTTCGATGTCCCGGCTGCGGTGTAGTTGAAAATGCCTGTTGAAAAGTTGCTGTAATAACTCTTGTCAATGGGTACAGCGCAGGGAGAGGCTGTCGGCACGATCCCCTACCAACCTCTCGAGACCTCTCACACCGTGCGGCTGATCAGCGCCCAGCGACTTCCCACGGATGCGAACATCAGGGTATCTCTTCAACATGTTGACCTCTTCAACGACGAGACCTGCCCGCACTATGCGGCCATCTCCTACGTTTGGGGCCCGCCGAGGCTCGACCCTCGGATCGTGCTCATCGAGGGTCAGCCGTGCAAGGTGCTCGTGAACATTTACCCCATCCTGGAGCTCATGTGCGACCACGGCGCCCTGGGAGGGCATGCATACTTCTGGATCGACTATCTCTGCATAAACCAAGGGGATGAGCTCGAGCGCGGCCAGCAGGTCGCCCTCATGGGCCAGCTGTATTGCCGCGCCTACCACACGGTCGTCTGGCTCGGACCCAGCACACCCGACACCCGCGGTGCGACCACGGCGATGCACCTCATCGCGGCGTGGAGACATGGGGCAGCGCCTCACGAGCAGGCCGCCGCGCGGGACGCCATTACGAGCGATCAGTGGCGCGCACTGAGCAGGTGGATGCTTCGGCCGTGGTGGACGCGCGTGTGGACGCTGCAGGAATTCTTGCTACCTGAGAGGCTGGTCTTCCACTGCGGGCCCGAGAGCGTCACCAAGGCGACGTGGTCGCAGGCTGTGGGCATGTTGTACGACTATTCCGCGGTGGGAATGCTGGAGCACAAGGCCTTTGGGAACCAATGGGCGAGGAGAAGACTGCTGAACCACTATGACAACAAGGTTTCGGGAGAAAAAATGGGACTCGTAGCCATGATGGCTTATGTGGGATATTACCAGGCGACAGACCAGAGGGATCGGATCTATGCGCTGCTGGGTGTGTGCAGCGACCGAGATCGAGATGTGGTCGGGCAAGCAGACTACCACGCGAGTGTCGAGGAGGTGTATACGCGGCTGGCGGTGAGGTTCATACACGTGCATCGGAGCCTCGATATTATCTGCTTCGCGGCGCTGTTTAACAAAGTCCTCGATGCCGATGACGATGAGGGTGGCGACGAAGAGCCATTACCTTCCTGGATTCCAGACTGGCGACGCTTTGCTTATCGGGCTTCACGGCCGGTGCCCTCAATGGTTAGCGAGCCGAGTCGACAGCACATTGGCAATTTTCGACCTACCGGTTTCCAACCAAATCCAGACCTGATCTACATGGCCTCAGCAAACCTACCCGCGCAGTACTTGATCTCAGAAGACCAGCGACGGCTGACCTGCCAAGGCCTCATCATTGACACCATCGACGGGCTGGGGCCCGCTCATCACCCTGCGCCCGATGATAATGCTGACCCGAGCCTTCACCTGGTCCAATCTACATCTCGAATAAACCTTCAAGAAGCAAAAACCCACTTGGCTCTCGACAGAGTCCTCTCTCAAGCCTCGTCCGACTCGGTCCTCGAGGCCCTCATCCGCAGCCTCTCACTCAACCGATCTGGCCGATACCTCACCTCCGCAGCCCAAATACCATCGTACATGCACGAATTCCAGCACACTCTCGTGAACGTGATGGGCGCTCGACCTCTCCCCACAGAGTGCGCGCCGGTGATCGAGTGGTTTCTAGCAAACCAAGCTCTGCGCATCCGAGGCGCCACGCTTAGATATCACTGTGAGGCAGCGACGCCACCACCGGCTGCAAAGACGAGGACGGCGGGGCGGAAGAAGCATACCATCTGGCGCGCGGCGGAGACGACGGTGGGGGAGTGGCCGTGGGATTGTCGGCTGGTTGTCACGGCTGGAGGGGACCTGGGCATGGTGCCGAGGCTGGCGAGGAAGGACGATGTGGTTTGTGTGCTTATTGGGTGCAGCGTCCCTGTCGTTCTCAGGCGGTCGGACTACGATGATGCTCTCTTCACCCTGATCGGCGAGTGTTTCTTCCCTGGCATTATGGAGGGTGAGGCCCTTGACGAAGGGAGGGCGATACGGGACTTTGTTCTGGTGTGAGAGGGGAGAAACAGCCAAGAACGGGGCCATGGTGTTCTTTGACAAGCTCGTGGTCGTCTCTCATGAATTGGCGGGAGCTGTGCAGAAGGTCGTTGTGGAGCACTGAGAACAACAATATGTCAAATTTGGCACTGCGTTTTCTGTAAATATTGCCTAGGCCATCAAAACGACGTCACACTTCTCATCAACTGTCTCTTCCATTCTCTATTACATACAAGCATTTGCTGCTTCGCTACATCTCTTGTCGGAAACGTGCCAATAGGACCCATTTTACGGATTCAAGTGTACATCTCGTCACTTGCTATTCCCTGATGTCTTACTACATAGCTTCTATGTTTATAAAGGGATCACTGCTTTCACGCAGTCACCTCAATGCTGACCATCGCAGACTACACCTTGATTGGAGCTTCATAGGCGCGGCTGGCTCATGCTGTAAGCGCCATACTCTCTATACGTGGGTTGTGTACGACCTCGTGGGATTAACATCAATGCAACATATTATCTCGTGAATGACATAAAACGATAGATGATGCCAGCGGTAAATAGCCAACGTGCTCAAGACGGCCAAAGTCGTGTGAGCTCCAACAGTATTTCGAGCAATTCGCTTGTAAACTGATCCACGTAATAGGAAATCATTGGTGGTATACGCGTGTTACTGTGCGTAACGATGATTATGAAAGGCTAGCCATAACTGGTTGACGCCAGATTGTAATCAGATAGAGAAGGGGAGAAAAAAAAGAAAAACGAGACCAAATGTCTTGCCTGCATCCTTGCATGTTTTTTTTTTCCGATCTGACTGACTATCACTTCCCGCATGGAACACAGATGCGATAAGAATATCATCGTACGTTTGGCTACATAGTCGTGAAATGGTGTATCTTAGTGGCTTTTTAACGCCCCGGGAGCGGCCAGCGGCCGGGGGGGCCGGGCGTCTTCCCTTCAGCCGCACATGGATATCGTGAAAAAGGTTGGCTTGTGCCTACTTATACTTAGTATGGTGAGCTTCTCGAACCGCCTATAGTAGGGCTGGGCAAGGCGCTAACAACGGCGATGCACGACACCTATGTTCCCCCTCGGCTGGACATTACTATTGGGAGTTAGACCAGAAAAGCATATATGCAGGGAAATATACGGCAGTGCTACCTACCATGGCGTGCATGGGGAACCTTTTCTCTGTTTTACCCTGGAGGACCTGCACTAGTGTGGCCCTACAGAAACGCTAGAAGCCTGTTTGATGATGCGAACAAGTAACATGGGAACCAGATCAGCCTTTGGGTAAGGACTTAGCCAGGGAGATCGGGAGAGGCTGCGGCCGGGGTGTGTGCTGTGGAGAAGCAACAGATTGACGAGCACCAATTGATTCCTCTGGTTTGAGGTTGAGAGGGTAGAGGAGGGGTGAGAATGAGCTGCATGAACATGGGCTTGGACATTGGACAGCAACGAAAATTCTGACGAAGGGGAGGGATCAAGTTGATCTTCCCCCTCCAGTGCTGCTTTGTAGAGAAATGACGCGTCCCTCAACATTATCCATCCGCCTTTGCGGGTTTTTGTTTCCAGTAACACAAAATGCATGTCGTGACAAGACGCCTTGACGTGCCGCATCAGCATGAAACGTCCAATCAGTTAGTACATCTCGTCTGTAGTTGAGAGAAGGGTCACAGCAACGGTTTGTACGTAATGTATTGTTGGGACAGATTCCGGGGTAATTTTACCATGGTAGAAATTATTCCTATGTATGTGTCGTCTGAATGGATCGAGTCAGTGCCTCGGATAAGATGTGAGAATCGGGACTAGACCCAAAGGAGATTGAAGTCATGTTTGTTCGGGAAAGATAGGGGACAGCGACTATTTTCAAACTCTTGACAAGTTCTCGGCTGCTTGGCGAGCAGACCTGATCATTGATCGACTCTGTTCAGTATCTAAAGGGGGGGGGGGGGGGTGGGAGAGGACTAAAAGAAGAGAACCTTCGCTTTTTTTCTGTTCCCTGGCTGCTCTTTATCGCTCTCCTTGGCGGCCCCTTGGCTCCCTTTTTGCCTTTTTCCCTTCTTCCTTCTTCCAAGGTTGGGCCCCGCCCCCCCCCCTCCACTTCTTACCCCTCACCTATAAAACAGAAATCAAACAATAGCCAACGCGCAGAAGAAGAGAGAAAGAGAAAAAAAGGTACCAGAATCCAGTCAGTTATAGATTGCAGGCTTGAGAGGCGAAAGGATGTGAGGTTGGATGTTCCCCACATGAGGCAACAGAGGCGGGAGGAGTCCCACATGTCACTCCTACAGTACATAGATAAATTTGTGGGGATGTCCGTACCGGGCAATTATACTAGGGCCCTTGGAGAGCATGTTCATGCTGCACCATTTATTGTCATCGTGGCATCGAGAACTTCTGGCAGGCGAGGCCTTCTTCCCATTTGTCATGTGATGAGGTCTCCGTCCTACTCGCATAGTATGTATCGGTACTAGCTGCGGCCAGCAGGACTCGAAGCAGTCTAGGTCATGGAGAGAAGACACCCCACCCCCACCTTCCTCATTGGCAGCCTGACATTCTTATCAGAAGGCAGGGATGTTGCATCTCTAGCTCTAAGCAGCAATCCCTGTCGACGAACCGCCCGGGGGCGGAGGGGTGGGATCTTCAAGCTCTTCCCAACGTCAAGCCACTCAGCCAACCTTTGGGGGGGAGGACATTTTGTGTCCGATGCTGCTGATGCTGCTGATGCTGCTGCTGCTGATGCTGCTGATGCTGCTGCTGCTAATGCTGCTGCTGCTGCTGCAGCAACCATCACTGCCACTGCCACTGCCACCTTCCATCTTATCTTCTCCCTCCAGATGCTTTCATGGAAGCCTAGCAGGAATATCGCTCACTTGAGCCATGTGGCATCCACCCTGTTCTCTCCGTGAGCAATCATGTGCTCTCACACGCACGCACTCCTGTTGCATTCCAAACCGGTCTCGCCAATGAGGAGGGTCTACTAGCCTTCCTTCTAGACTGAGGTCCCGTGTCCTTGGTACTGGATAGAGAACCTTTTTAGTGAACCTGTGGGGCGGGATCCTAGGCATCCTGGTCTTTTGTCACCTATAATGAACCACTTCCATACTACAAGCTTATTGTACTATGCCAGTACGACGACGACGACGATAATACCGCGTGGCCCTTCCGAACCCCCCAGCCTCGGTCATCCCTCTGTTCCAGTCGGTCTTTTTCTGCTTTAGGAAATGTCTTGAATCCTGAGCCTCGCTGGGCTTTGCTGAAAGAGAAGATGAAAAGAAAAATGCAGGTCTGACGCGCACCCCCAAGGCTATGGGGAGCAATACATTGATTCATTTCCTGCTCATGGCTTTTGCAGGCTGCTGCTAGTCGGGGTAGTCTTTGTCTCAGCCACCTATGGCTTGCACGAAGAATACACGCAATCACCCTCTCCACAGGGACTCACCTTGCTGATCCATAGTATACATATTCCGGATTCTGGTGTTGCCCGAGTGCTTAGCACACTACATAGAAGCAAGTAACGGTAGACCTCGGATCGCCCGTTCTTCAGCACCATAGCACCACCACCTCGGGAGCGAACTGCCTTGGCGCTGCTTCGAGACCAGCTTAGCTCCTGCGCCCCTGTCCTCGTAGCGAGCCATCCTTATCAGAGACCTGTGGCCACTCCGAACCTTACTTTACTTTAATACACACGCGAATCTGGCCGACCATGTCGCTCCCTCGTATTATAAGAAGCAGCCCTATGCCCCCAACCCTGCAGCCCTGCGAAAGAGAGTGAGAGAGTGTCCGTGTGTGTTTGTGTGCGTGAGCGATCGAGAGAGGAACTTCTTTCTTTTTACTTCTGCTTGTTCCCCCCCAGCCGGTGTAATTCTTCTTCTGTTTCTTCGCCAGCGTCTGACAACCTCCATCTCACGCCGCGGAACAAGATGGCCCACCACGACGAAAAGGATGTCTCGGGCAAGGAGGCCTATGAGCCTCATGTTACGTCCGGCTCGGAAATTGTCGACGAGGAGGTCGGCGTTGTTCACAAGGGAAGCAACCTGAGCCGCGACCTGAAGAACAGACATATGCAGAGTAAGTTTTATTCCTTGTGTGAAATCTACCATTCTCTCGTCGTTTTTCCTCACCCCTTTGTATCATATAACATTACTCTGCTCTGAAATGGAACACTTTTGCTGACCATCATCTACTAGTGATTGCTATTGGTGCGACTCACTCGGATTCCCAACCTTCGCTCTCCTCCCTTTTTCAATTCTAACATGGTGTTCATACAGGTGGTGCTATCGGTGCTGGTCTCTTCGTTGGATCCGGAAGCGCTCTCCGAACCGGCGGTCCTGGAGCCCTCGTCATCTGCTACATGATTATCGGCATAATGCTGCTGTTCACATGCCAGGCCCTGGCTGAACTGGCTGTCCTCTATCCTGTCAACGGCGCTTTCTATACCTACATTGTTCGGTTCATTGATCCCTCATGGGGTTTCGCCATGGGCTGGGACTATGCCATCTCCTGGCTGACCGTCTTGCCGTTTGAGCTCGTGGCCGCGTCCATCACCATCACCTTCTGGCGAGACGATCTGAATATGGGTAGGTTATCCCCTTTGCTATAGCAGTTCCTCTTGGGGAGTTTGATTCGAAAAGAAAGAAATGGGGGGGGGAACGGAGTGCTAACGTTTTTGCTTTTGCTCTCGAATAGGTATCTGGATCGCCGTTTTCCTCGTGGTCCTCTCTACTATCCAGATTTTTGGTGTCCGCGGTTACGGTGAGGTCGAGTTCGTCCTCTCCATGATCAAGATTGCTGCTTGCACAGGCTTCATCATCCTGGGCATTGTCATCAACTGCGGCGGTGTCGGAAACCAGGGCTATATTGGAGCAAAATACTGGCACAATCCTGGTGCTTTTACCGATTTCAACGGCTTCTGCAGGTATGTCTATATGGTTTCCCCCTTCTTCTACTCGTCCCCTCTATCTTCAGAAAGCTGACCTCGAGACAATCAGTGTGTTTGTGACGGCTTGCTTCGCCTTTGGCGGAACTGAGCTTGTTGGCCTTGCTGCGGCTGAGTCTGTCAACCCAAGGAAGGCCATCCCCCAGGCTACAAAGCAGGTCTTCTGGCGCATCTGCTTCTTCTACGTGGTCAACCTCTTCATTGTCGGCCTCATCCTGCCGTACAACGACCCCAGACTGGAGGGCTCTTCGGGCGCCAACACCAAGGCCTCGCCCTTTGTGCTCGCCATCCAGGACGCCGGCATCTCCGTCCTGCCCTCCATCTTCAACGTGGTCATCACCCTGGCCGTCATCTCTGTCGCCAACTCGTGCACATTCGGCTCGACCAGGACGATGCAGGCCATGGCCGAGCGAGGAATGGCTCCCCGTTTCCTGGCCTACGTCGACGCTTCTGGGCGTCCCATCTGGTGCATCGTCGTCCAGATCGCCTTTGGCCTGCTCGCTTTCATCGGCGAGGCCACGGACCAGAGCACCATCTTTGGCTGGCTGCTTGCGCTGTCGGGCCTGTCGTACCTCTTCGTCTGGGGCACCATCTGTGCCACCCACATCCGCTTCCGCAAGGCCTGGAAGGCCCACGGCTACACCCTCGACCAGATCCCCTACAAGCCTACCCTCGGCGTCTGGGGTAGCTGGATTGGTCTCATCCTCGCCATTCTGTGCCTCATCGCCACCTTCTACAGCTCCCTCTACGTAAGTCAAAACACAAACTTCTTCTTCCTCCCCTCCCTCATCGTCCTTCTACTCCTCATCCGATCAACTGCAAGGGCATCCCACTAACTTTTGTGCAGCCTTCTGCCGATGCCACTCCTGATGCTGAGGTCTTTTTCGAGAGCTTCCTCGCCGCGCCTGTGGTCCTCGCCCTGTATCTCGGCTGGAAGATCTACACCAAGGATTGGCGCCTGATGGTCCCCATCCACGAGATGGATCTCAAGTCTGGTCTTCGTGTCCACAACCCCGAGGACGATGATGTTGAGCCCAAGCAGAGCTGGTTCAAGCGCATCATCCATGGTCTGATCTAGAAGAGGGAGAGTCGTTCCCTCAACTCCTCCTCAGGAGGCGGGGTCTGGTCTTGGACTGACGATGCACTATTTGGAGGGTAGTGCTATATTCACTATCTTGTAGGGAATTACATGTCTGGGAAGAAAAAAGAAAAAAGATTTAATACAAGCATATGGTACTTGGCATACGGGCATTACATGGAAAGAGAGAGAGAGAGAGAGAGAGAGAGAGAGAGAGATACCACATCGATATATATATATGTTTTATGACCATTACCACTGGACCAGCCGGCCGAATTCTGGAATAAGGATGTCTACCATGTACCATGATACGTTACGAAGAGCGTCTCTGTTCCTTGAGGTGCATCGAGAGGGGCACGGCCGGTACTTGTAATTTGGCTCGAAGATCTGAATATGCATAACCAAGGTACCACATGGGCCCACGCCCTGTCGATCATGAAACGGAAACCCCCCGTCCGTCTCCGTTTCGATTCCTTCTTTCCCCACTCCCCAACTCACTACAAGTCACCCGCTGGCTGTTTCAAACCACTCACTGCTCTGGCGGGCTCGCTTAAACACAATAGGTTGGTTGTCCGGCTCCGAATGCCCCGGTGCATTTGGGAACATATCATAACGTATATACTAATATGCTTACCCCCGAGTGTCGATCATTCTCAACCCGCCCTGCCTCCCTCCGCCCCCCCCCCCTCTCTCTACGACACTCAAACGCAACCATTTCCTCTTTGGTTCGCTTCTTGCCTTGACAACCAAACTGCTTTTCCCGTCCACCATCTCGTAACGTGAAAGCTCGAGATTCGTGGAGTAAAGAGGGTCGATACGACCCCCTCCCCAGCAACCCCATTATTTCGTGACTTGACCACCGAGCCCTAGGCTCCACAGGAAGGTGGTTTTTTGTTTCCACTGTCAGGCCAACCTCTCATTCCCCACTGCAGTGGGCGTGTTTCGAAACCATCCAAGGACGAGATGGCAGGGCGGCGGCTGCCGGGGAGGGGAGGGGAAAGGGGACTTGTCTATACGCAACAACAACAACAAGGGCCCCGGTTGACAGGTTTCCCGTTTGAGGAGGTCACAAGAGGCCGGAGTGGGTGTTCAGATTTGTCCTCGAATACGAAGGAGGGAGGGGTTTTATGATTTTATGGTACCGCTGTCAGTCATCCTTGTTGTTTCCCCGTCAAAGCTGTTGATGTAAAAAGGAGGAGAAAGGTCCAGGCAAGGAAAGGGAGCTTTCTTGATGAGCATAAAAAGAAACATGCTCGCCGGGTAAATCTCATCTTCTCGGAACTTTTCTTTTATCATCCCATGTTGTACGGCATCGATAAACTAGGTCATCATCTTTGCTCCACTCTATCCAAGTTCGTCCCCAAGCACGGCGTAATTATTGTTCACTGCATCATCATTCATTCCCTACCACCACCATCACCTCAACAACAACAATAGAGGGGAACAAGAAGAAAGGCCCCACACAATCAATCAATCAATCAATCATGGCCCCTCTACGTGTCCTCGTTGCCCTCGCTCTCGGGGCCGGCCTCGTCACCGCCAAGCACGCCGACCCACTGCGCGAGCGTGACCTTAAGAAGCGCGCAACGACCCTGATTCCCGATACGTGTTTTGACAGCGAGGATGATTTGGAGGAGTACTTTAACTTTGCGTATCCTTGGGGTGACACGGGTTCGTAGTCTTCCCTCTCTCTCTCTTGCTCTCTCTGTTCCTGTTTATGTCAACTGCATCCGTGGCACCTCTTTCTTCCCCCAATCATGAATACATCGAAAATGCAAAATATAATCCCGAGTCCGTGATTATTTAGCTAACACATCATACTAGTAAACATCCAACCTTACTTTAAGATCTGAAAACCTAAACCCAACGAGAAAGCTAACCCTACTCAAACCAGCACAACGGCGCGGCGCTCATGCTGGAGTCGCAAGTGAGCATCATCGACAATGCCTACCTGCAGCTCGAGTCCGTCTACACAGGCCCACAAGCCTCCGACTCGGCCCTCAGCTACAACTCCGGCACGATCTACGCCAAGCAGTACTTCACAGTGGAAGCAGACGGCGGGCTGGACTTCCAGGCCAACTTTGTGGCACCCGTGGCGGAGGGCTGCTGGCCGGCGTGGTGGCTGGACGGCGTCAACAGCTGGCCGCCCGAGATCGACCTGGCCGAGTGGAAGGGCGACGGCGACATCAGCTTCAACACGTTCAACACGAGCACCGTGGTCGCCGCGCAGGACTATGCGTACTCGACGCCCACCACGGCGTGGCACACGATCCTCGTCGAGCTGCGGCCCGAGGACGACGGAACCACGCTCAAGGCCGAGTTCTACATCAACGGGGACCTCATCACCACCCAGTACGGCTCTGACATGGTCGGTGAGCCGTTTTACATGATTATCGACTACCAGATGCTGGGCAGCAGCGGCTCCACCGGCCCGACTGAGACGACTTACTTTGACGTGCAGTATCTCAGCGTTGTGAGTTATAACCCGTAAGAAAAGGGTTGGAAAGGAAAAGCGCAGAAGCCAGCAGGGATGTTTTCTTCTCAGAGCTGTTTATATTTATAGCACACCATATTGTACAAAGTGACCAATGATACGAATGATTGATTGCCAAAGGCTTTTGGTGTTTCTTATTGCTTCGTCACAGCAGTTGTTCATCATTATCTTGTAACAAACCCGTGTTTCAAGTTAAAAACAAGGATGAACCCTATGTTCACTGTGATGAATGCATCATATCATCATCAACAAATCAAGAAGGAAGAATGAAAAGTTAAGGAGTAGAGACTGACAAGGAAGCTGTGGCTGCGCTTATTTATTAGCTAGACCTCTGCAGGACCTGATGAATTACTTGAATCAATTAGAACTCCAATTGCCTTTTCCTGGTGACCGTGATGGTCCCATGCGCGGAGGCTTCTGTCTCATCAGAACCCTTTCTCGCCAGATCAAATGTTTGTTGTGAATCATTCTACACAACTCCTGTTGCTCAGTAAGCATTATGAACCTCACGCGAACCAGGACCGAGGAAGCTGGATGTATTACTTGTATATGGCCCCCAAAGGTGTCCGCCAGCCTGAGAGGCCAATCACTGTGATTTTGCAAGACTTACAGAGTACCTAAGTACTCAACAAATCGCCTTTCCTACCTTTTGCAATGTCTTTTAGTGTGCTTTTCTCAACACTACAATTTGTCTAACATGCAGATCACAGAACAGGTTACTACAATTCAGGGTTCTTCTCCCAGCTCTGCTGTTCCGTCAGGTGTGACTTGTTCTGTAACCTGCATATTATGCAGATCCTCAGGGGTGACTCGGCAACGTGATCCGGCTCCAATTCAGCTGGACAGACATGCATACAGAACGCCACAAGAAATTTAAGTTTGCTGCGATTACTTATTCAATCGATTGAGCTACGCCACAGAAACAAATTACGAGAATCAAGGGCGGTTATCGCTGTAGGAGCTGAGCAAAAATGCTAGTTCAAGTGGCAGACGAATATATCAAGGCTCTGCCACCTGCATTTCTTTGCGTCTGGCTTTTTCTATCTAGGTAGATACGAAATGTGTATTATTTCTCTGCTCTTTGCGTAGTGATCCGTTCAGTCTTTGCTACGTCGTTTGCCCAGACAACCATACCAGCAGGCTCAGACCTTGTAGGCCTCGAACCGCCATGGCCCAGTCCGCCAATTATCTAGCAATCACATTCCTCTTCATCCTCTTGACCCTGACTCCGCTCGTCAGCAGTCAAAGCAGCACTCAGGCTATAAGGACGAACGTGAATTCTACACAGTGTTCCGACGACGACCCCGGCTGCGGGCAAGACGGGAACCGCACTTTGCTATGTTCCAAACCGACACGAGCCTATATTCTACAGTTCTACACTGTTAACTATCTTGCTCATGCGGCGACTACCATTAGCAGCCCCGGCCAAAGCCTGCTCGCTACCATTGTGAATATCCTGATGGCCCTCCTGTTTCCATCGAGCGGCGTGGTTCGTGGCGTGATGGCTATCTGCAGCTGGGCTAAATTCGGCAAAGGGGGGGACCTCAAGACAGCGGCTCGCGCTGGAGCTTTGTGCGCCGTGGTTCCCACACACATAAAAAAGGAGGGGGATGGGAGTGATTCGCAACCTCGAGGACGGACAGGTCTCATTCTGGAACCTGGGTCATCTCATGACGACTTTGAAATGGAGACGGTCCCCGGAGAAGCCCGAGAAAGAGAATGCCTCAATAACTCAGCTCCGTCTGAAGCTGTCTCAAGTGATCCGTCGGCAGCTACGGCGCCCATTATATTAGAGGCTAAACAAGGTATGTTAAGAGACCTTATCAGTTAAAAGCATAAACCAATCGTATTTCGAAGGCCTGCTAAAAATACGAGAACAAAGAACCTTCAGATCTTTTAGCAGTCAAGATTCATGGCTGCTGTGTGCTTCCAAAAGGGTACGAGCTCGTAACCGTCCCCGGATCTGCTACCTTCGACGATGATCCACAGGTCTCAGACGAGACAACTATGCGCACGAAGTTTAAACTGTGGCTCAAGACCCAGTTCCGCCATCGTAACATTGACCCTCCGCCGGTCACTGTCTCTAGCTCTTACAGCTTTGTCAAGATTTTGATTTCCATTCTACAGCTCTGTTACGCTTCGGTCACTCTGTATCAGACTAGAGGAGACCAGATTGAGCGCCTTGGATATGCCGCCTTTGGCCTTACCGCAGCACAATATGCATGGATGTCTTTCGTCAACCTGCTCGGTAATCTAGTCTGTCCGCAATACGATACCATGTTCATGGTAGACTCGCCTGAGCTCGCCAAATTGCGGCAGACACTGGCTTCTGCACGCAATGGTCACCGCTTCGCAGTCTCTGGGACTACAGGCTGCCTTTCGAAGGAGTCGTCCGACGATTTGCTGCTCGATTATGGGAATATGGCTCCAAGGTTTCGTCCAGATGTGGCGTGGGACAAGCTGAAATTGGATGGCGGCGTGAATGACGCATGTTGGTTCAAACGAAAGATGCTTATGGTCTACTTTTCCAGTCCCTGTGTTGCCCTCGTACCACTTGTCATTGTCGGCTGCCTCAGTGGCTTCGCTAAGGGGGACAGTGCACTGTACGAGCGTGTTTGGACCATGATGTGGCTAGTTTTTGGGGTCCTGCTTGGCCTGGCACCCATGATTCTAACAGTTCATGGGCATGTTCTTAACTTCATGAACAACGTCTGGAGCAAGGAAGACCCTCCCGGGGCAGAAGGTCTTCCCAGTATGGGACTTCTTTCCGATTGGCGTACAGTATACCTGATAATGGCACTATATTCGATACCTGCCATCGGAGGCTTTATTGTCGTTGGTCAGATGCTACGGGGTTACGAAACATGCGTTGGACTGAGTTGAAAAGTGAGGAACTCGCGATGGTACGAAGTCGTCTAGTATTTAGGATTGAGTCTCATTACAGGGGGTTTGTATGAGTCTCCTATAATCACTCGCAGAAGCTAACCCAGACCTCTTTCTTCTTCTTCTTCTTCTTCTTCTTCATCTTCATCAATTATAATTACCGAGCAAATACACCCATTTCAGAAACACGTATATGAACAATCCTCATCTACGCAACCCCTCCTACGATCCATGCTCTGATAGATATAGATACTCATCACTGATTGATGCCCCTTTACAGTAAGCCGCTTAGTAAACATATTTGGTGCTCTATAAGTCCTCCGGCGTTAAGGGCGTTACGGACTTTATAAAAGGCGAATCGTCTCAAAGCATGGCCTCCCCCCTCCTCTTCTCTATAAGAATGTCCTGTAAGCAAAGTAGAATCATAATTACACCAAATTAACAAACTTCAAAAAGAAAGAATCATAATCATGTCTCCCAAATACAACAATGTGATCGTCTTCGGCCCCACGGGCGAGGTGGGCGGCGCCGCAGCTCTCGAAGCCAGCCAGCGCGGGGCCTCGGTCTGGCTCGCCATGCGCCAGACCGACAAGCCAATCGCGGCCCTTACCACGGCGCAGGAGCAGTCTGGAGCCTTCCACCGCGTGCAGGCGGACCTCAGCGATGCGGCCTCCGTCAAGGCGGCTGTCCAGCAGTCGGGCGCCAAGACTGCCTTCGCATACGCCATGCACGGGGGCCCGTCGATGGAGCCTACCTTCACGGCCATGAAAGACGCCGGCATCGAGCACGTCGTCCTGCTCTCGTCCTTCACCATTCACCCAGACGAGGCCCTGTCCGACGTTCCCCCGGCAAGGTTCATCCCGTACCTCCACGCGCAGGCCGAGCTGGCGATCGAGAAGGCAGGAATCGCGCACACGGCGCTGCGCGCGGGCCAGTTCGCCAGCAACATCTTCAAGAACAGCCTGGATCGCAGCAAGACGCCGTGGGAGGCCACGCTCGTCTCGGGCAAGGCCGCCGGCGACAACATCTCGCCGGCCGACATCGGCAAGGTCGGCGGCGCGGTCCTCGTCGACCCGCCTGTCGCCACGGGCAAACATGTCATCTACGTGCTCGGCCCACAGCTGTCGACGGACGCAGAGGCGGTCAGGGTGGTCGAGAGGATCTCTGGGCGTGAGGTGAAGGTAAACACGCGCACGGCTGCAGAGAGGGCGGCGGAAGCGAAGAGGGCAGGGCGGCCAGAGGTCATCTGTAATTATTTACAGTCGTTTTGGGAGAATGACGAGTGGTGGCAGAAGAATGGCGCTCCGTTTGCTCCTCTGAATTACGCCGAGGAGGCGGGCAATGTGAAGAAGTACTCAGGCCACGAGCCTGAGACTTTTGAACAGTATGCAGCGAGGTTTCTTGGAGTTTGAATAGGCTCTGTGAGAAGGTATTCTCTTGTTAATATATGATGATGAGGTATACTGAATTTTATTGAGCCAATGGCCGCTATCCTATATACACATTTACTGCTTCTTGCTAGTGTAAGTAAATCAAATGAGGTTCCGGTGGACGCTCTCTCGCGAACAGCTGACAGCTCAACAACTTCGTACCTTTTCATATACAACCAAAAGAATATGTGTGTGAGCGAACGCATCTCAACATATTCAAACAAGTTCACGTAAGAAAATGACAGGAGATCAGAGAACTTTGCATAAGCGCACTTCACGTATCCCCGCTAGAGACCGAAAATGGATCGTCATTTACGCATGCGTCTAAAGTCATACTTTGAGTAATTAGTTACACGAAGCCTCGTAGCTCTTTGCTTAATGCCAGCCCCTAAGTCCGTCTGGACCACTTTACGGGAACTGTTTAGCTCACATCTAGGGGCCACAATGCCTTTCTCTCCTTCGCAAAAGATTTGCGAGGTGTGTGTCTCGCTTTCGCTCGCTTTCGGAGCGCCGGAGTCAGCAGGGGGGCCGTCCCAGGGATCTGGGGCTATGCTGTGGCTAAATATTAAACGCTAGCCCTTCACACAGAACTGGAATGACTATGGAAAGGGGGCTTGAGGGCAAACAAACCAACAGAGCTTACCATTACGCCAATACGACTCGCAAAACAAACAAAGTTCAGGCATAGTGCGGTCTTTTCCATTGGTATGGTAGCTTCGTCGCTCATTTACTATGCATTACCCCGAGAGCCCGTCGGGTTTGGCCTGCCTGTATTATGCTATTTTGCTCCGTACGTATGCAGTGGGTTGCAAATAGAAACGGGCCCGAGACCCCCGTCCGTAAACGACCAACTATCGAGATGGACGGCTTAAAGTACAGTAGCTCATGAACTTTATCAGATCCGGTGCACCAGGCTGTCTTAGCCGGGCCCTTCAGTAATCCGCAGCGCATTGTGAATGACGAATGTTTACCTAACTCCGTCTTTTCTCGGAGAGCTGAGGGGAGTGCAGATGCTTTTCTCTTTTTCTTGGCGGTCTCCGGGTCGAGGTTGATCACCGTTCCATCCTCATCTTTTATATATTTACTCCCTGGACCGGCACGACTGACTGCCTTGGCCAAACTTGGTGAATATTATTTCACAAAGGGAATAAATCCAGGCATCCTTTTTCTCTCTCCTTTTTCCTTCCTCTGTTTTTGTGTGTGTGTGTGTGTGCGTGTGTTTGGTGTTTTTTTCTTCCAATCTTCCTGATTTGGACCCTAGAGTCTGGAATTCTCATAATTCCAGCATGGAGAAAGAAAACACAGCCTCGTCACCTGTGGACGACGCACGTCTCCAAGGTGACAATGATTTGTATGAGCACCTGGACGAAATCGATGATTCGGTTTCAGCCTCGGGTTCAGGCACAGCAGTGGAACAGTCAGACAGCTCCGTTGTCGACAGAGGCTTGATCGATGAATCCGACAGGAGAGAGCTGCACAGGATCGCCACAGGCTTGTCACGAACGGCCTCGCGCGCAGGTGCAGATGAAGATCCCTCAAGACTTCACCAGGTCATCACGATCCCCAGCGACGCTCCAGAGATGAAGCCTGACAACCCAAACTTCAACCCTTACAAATGTCAGTCTCTCCCAATGATTCAGCCCCCTCAAGTGTGAAAGTACTGTGCTCACACAACAAGCAGGGGTTCAAAGCTTCGTCCGACAACTCGAGCGAGAGGGCATCTCATCTGCCCGGACCGGTATCATGTTCGAGAATCTCTCCGTATCCGGCACGGGAGACGCAGTCCAACTACAAAACACCGTCGGATCAGTCCTGCGAGGACCACTGGCTCCTGGCAAACTGGTCCACCTGGGAAAGAAGACGCCCAAAAGAATCCTACATGACTTCAACGGCCTCCTTCAGAGCGGAGAGCTGCTCATCGTTCTCGGCCGGCCGGGCTCTGGCTGCAGCACCCTGCTCAAGACCATGTGCGGCGAGTTGAAGGGCTTAAAACTTGACAGCAAGTCCACCATCAGCTACGACGGCATTTCGCAGCCCGAGATGAAGAAGGAGTTCAAGGGCGAGGTCATTTACAACCAGGAGGTCGACAAGCACTTCCCTCACCTCACCGTGGGCCAGACGCTGGAATTCGCCGCAGCGTGTCGGACGCCCTCGCACCGCATCAACGGCATGGGTCGGCAGGAGTTCTACAAGCTCATGACACAGGTGACCATGGCCGTCTGCGGCCTGTCACACACGTACAATACCAAGGTCGGCAACGATTTTGTGAGGGGCGTTTCGGGTGGTGAGAGGAAGCGTGTCAGTATAGCGGAAATGATGCTTGCTGGATCACCTTTTGCCGCATGGGATAACAGGTATGTCATGTTTTTTCACCTAGAATATATCTTGCGGTATTCAAGAAGCGGGCTCATGGATAGCTAACTCATCATTACAGCACCCGAGGACTGGACTCGGCCACTGCCCTCAAGTTTGTCCGGACATTGCGTGTCATGAGCGACATCTTCAGTGCCACCCATGCAATTGCCATCTATCAGGCCAGTCAGGCTATATACGACCTCTTCGACAAGGCAACAATCTTGTACGAGGGCAGACAGATCTATTTCGGACCGGCAAAAGAAGCCAAGGCCTTCTTCGAGAGGCAGGGCTGGTATTGCCCACCACGACAGACCACAGGCGACTTTCTCACATCGGTGACCAACCCAGCGGAGCGAAAAGCCCGTCTAGGCATGGAGGGAAGCGTGCCACGCACCCCAGAAGACTTTGAGAGATACTGGCGTGCATCACCAGAATACCATGCGCTCCAACAAGGCATCACGGCTCACGCAACGACATACGCCCTGCCTTCCGAGCACAACCGAAATCATCATCATCATACTAATAGTGATAATAATAATAATAACAACAACAACAACAACAACAACCCGACACTGCAGCAGTTCCGAACCAACAAGCAGCAGAGACAGGCAAGGCATGCTCACCCCAAGTCACCTTACACCATCACCGTCCGGCAACAGATCGGCCTCAATACCAAGCGAGCCTACCAACGCATCTGGGGCGACAAGTCTTCGACCGTGGTCAACGCCATCATGCAGGTCATCCTCTCGCTCGTCATCGGTTCCATCTTCTACAGCCCTGCCAACAACGAGGCGACCGCTGGGTTCTTTTCCAAGGGAGCGGCGCTATTCATTGCTGTCCTCTCCAATGCGCTGTCCTCCATCTCCGAGATCAGCAACCTGTACGCACAGAGACCTATCATCGAAAAACACGCCGCCTATGCTTTCTACCGTCCATCCACAGAAGCATTCGCTGGTATCGTGGCAGATATTCCCGTCAAATTCCTCATCGCCGTCTGCTTTAATGTTGTGCTCTACTTTCTGGCGGGCCTCTATCGAGAGCCGGGACAGTTCTTCTTGTACTTCTTGGTCACTTACATCTCCACCTTTGTCTTCTCGGGCCTGTTCCGCACCGTAGCAGCGGCCACCAAAACCGTCTCCCAGGCCATGACGTGTGCAGGCGTCTTGGTCCTGGCGCTGACCATCTACACTGGCTTCGTCATCGCCGTGCCGCAGATGAAGGTCTGGTTCGGCTGGATCCGCTGGATCAACCCGCTCTACTACGCATTCGAGATCCTGATCGCCAACGAGTTCCACGGGCATGAGTACATCTGCTCCTCCATCATACCAAACTACACGCCACTGCAGGGGGATTCTTGGGTCTGCAACGCCGTTGGGTCGGTTCCTGGGCGGTCGACCGTGAGCGGAGACGCGTTCATCGCGGCAAACTATTCATACTACTGGTCGCACGCCTGGCGAAACTTTGGCATCCTGATCGCCTTCCTGGTCTTCTTCACCGCGCTCTACATGGTTGTCATCGAGCTCAACTCGGGCGCCGACAGCTCGGCCGAGTTCCTGGTGTTCCGACGGGGTCACGTGCCGGCACATCTCCAGAGCAAGGGCAGCAGCGGCGACGTTGAGGACCAGGCTCAGGAGAAAGCAGGAGGCGAGGTTGCGCGGGATGCGGCGCCAGAGGTTCGTGCCCTGGAGCCGCAGAAAGATATCTTTACCTGGAAGGATGTCACGTATGATATTCATATCAAGGGGGAAGAGAGACGACTTCTGGATCATGTGGCCGGCTGGGTCAAGCCTGGCACTTTGACAACCCTTATGGGCGTCAGTGGTGCGGGCAAAACGACATTGCTTGATGTCCTCGCACAGCGAACAACGATGGGTGTGATTACAGGAGATATGCTGGTGAACGGCAAGCCTCTGGATGAGAGTTTCCAGCGCAAGACGGGCTATGTACAGCAGCAAGGTGAGCATTCCCAGCCTAATGTTTTCTTCTTGATTACCCGGATTCTTGAGACTCCTCTTTGCTAACCTCATCCTGTCCTTATTTGATAGATCTTCACTTGGAGACGGCAACAGTCAGAGAGAGTCTGCGGTTCAGCGCCATGCTCCGACAACCAAAGTCGGTTAGCAAAGCAGAAAAGTACCAATTCGTCGAGGAGGTCATCGAGATGCTGAACATGGGCGACTTTGCCGACGCCGTGGTGGGCATCCCCGGCGAGGGGCTCAACGTCGAGCAGAGGAAACTCCTCACCATCGGCGTCGAGCTCGCAGCCAAGCCCAAGCTCCTGCTCTTCCTCGACGAGCCCACCAGCGGTCTCGACTCGCAGAGCTCCTGGGCCATCGTCGCCTTCCTGCGCAAGCTCGCGGATGCTGGCCAGGCCGTCCTGTGCACCATCCACCAGCCCAGCGCGATCCTCTTCCAAGAATTCGATCGCCTCTTGTTCCTGGCCAGAGGAGGCAAGACTGTGTACTTTGGGGACATTGGCGAGAACTCCAGGACCCTGCTAAACTACTTCGAGTCCAAGGGTGCACGGCCGTGTGGGCACGACGAGAACCCGGCAGAATATATGCTCGAGATTGCCAACAGCCCACAGGACGACTGGCACTCTACATGGCTCGACAGCCAGGAGCGTCGAGACGCCGAGACCGAGATTGAACGCATCGCAGTCGAGAAGAAGAAGGAGGATCAGGAGAGACACCACCGGCACGGGCATTCAGCAGCAGGAGCAGAGGACGACGACGAAAGTCACTCCGAGTTTGCCATGCCTTTCAGCCAGCAATTCCTCGCCGTCACCATCCGAGTGTTCCAACAATACTGGCGCATGCCGTCCTACATCTTTGCCAAGTTCATCCTCGGCGTGGCAGCCGGCCTCTTTATCGGATTCTCCTTCTACCAGGGTGGCGGCACACTCGCCGGCATGCAGAACGTCATCTTCTCCGTCTTCCAGATCGTCACCCTCTTCTCGACCATTGTCCAGCAGATCCAGCCCCTGTTCGTGACGCAGCGGTCCCTGTACGAGGTGCGCGAGCGGCCCAGCAAGGCCTACAGCTGGAAGGCCTTCATGATGGCCAACATCATCGTCGAGATCCCTTACCAGATCGTCACGGGCATCCTGATCTGGGCCTGTTTCTACTACCCCGTCGTCGGCGCAGAGCAGTCCTCGGAGCGCCAGGGGCTCGTCCTCCTGCTCTGCATCCTGCTGTTCATCTACGCGAGCGCCTTTGCCCAGATGACCATCGCCGCCCTGCCCGACGCCACCACCGCCGGCGCGGTCGTGACCCTGCTCATGCTCATGAGCCTGGTCTTTTGCGGCGTCCTGCAGACCCCCACCGCCCTCCCTGGGTTCTGGAAGTTCATGTACTACCTCAGCCCTTTCACCTACTGGATCTCCGCCATGGCGTCCACCATGCTCCACGGCCGCGCCGTCACGTGCTCCACGTCCGAGACCACCATCATCAGCCCGCCTTCGGGCCAGACCTGCGGCCAGTACTTTGCTGTCTACCTCGAGGGCGCCGGCGCCGCGGGCTCCCTGCAGAACCCCAGCGACACCAGCGCCTGTCGGTACTGCTCCATCACCACGGCCGACACCTACCTGGCTGGGAGCAACATCTACTGGGATGACAGGTGGCGCAATTTTGGTATCTTCTGGGCCTATGTGGTGTTCAATGTGTTTGTTGCCGTCTTCACTTACTATTTGTTCCGGGTCAGGCCGTTGCAACGGGCGGCAAAGGCCAAGAGCAAGTAAGCTTTTCGATGGCTGAGAAAGAGGATTTTGTGATTTTGTTGATCCCAAGTTTTGCGTTTCAAGAGCCGCCTTTTTTTCTTCTTCTTCTTCTTTATGCTGTTATTTGCTATTGGGGCGCAAGGCCTAGGATGGTGGTTACGATTAGATCTAGAGCGTCGACTGGATCATCACTGAAAATATCCACAGGCACAACTGTAATAGACTTTCTTTTGTTGTTTTGAAAAGTCTTTCTTATCTGAATAGATAGCATCGTGTATGAACTTGATACTAACTACACATAATGCACCCACTATCCTTCGAAAGCTCCCTCTCATGTGAAAGACAAGGTCGAAAATGACACTCGACTCTGTGCTCATTACTGTTCTAGTATAGATTTGATCTAGTACAGAAAAGAAGGCTGCTTGAAAAGGAATTCCTTCTACTCTCCCCTGCATGAATAGCTTACAGCTCAATTTCTGATCAAAGATATCCCCCCTCGAGAAGTGACGACCTCTGATAGTGATCCCAGGATTATCGTCATTATCTCATGCTTCATCTTTACTCCAGTCACCACCAGGCCTGATGGAGTATATGCTCCTCGTCCACTGTTTGAAACAAGACAGGACGAATAAAACCAAAAGTCCAGAAAGAATGAAAAGGAAAAAGAGAAAGGGGGGGAGGGAAAAAAGTCATACATGTACATGCAAAAAGAAAATTGAGGGACGCCGGATTTGAACCGACAACCTTGAGGAGTCTCCAGAGTTACTGGAATCTCACACGCTACCGTTGCGCCAGCCCCCCAATTGATGAACAATTCAATAATTCAAACAGTTTATATCTTACATGACTCGTGGTATCATTTTTGAGTCAAATCACGTCCGCCGGCCCACCCACCCGTAAACCACAACCCCCCCTAACTCGAACCAATCAGAGAGTTGGAAAGGAGTTAGACCAACTCCAGCACAGGTTGATGTTTCGATTGCTGGATATAAAAAAAACTGTGAGTATGCTGGTATTCTTTGTATTCTCTTTGATTTTATGGAATATTTGAAATTCTGAAATATCTGGTTGCGGGATTCAGATGTCTCAATTCCGCAGTGTGTGGGACGAGGCAGGGGTCGTGGCCGGCTAGCCTGTAGTCATGTTTGTTATTATGAATATCTTGGTCGCTGTTATTTTCACCAAAACATATATATATAGATTGTTCCTGTCTCGTAAGATAGGGTCGATGTCCTCTCTGCTATGTATCAAATACCTGAGATGATAGATGCTGTCTTGTGTACGTTGCACAAGATGTGATGGGCGACCCTTGGTGCTACCATGGGAACAGAACAATTATTGGAGATGTTTCGACCCGCACATTTCTCACATTCAGAATGGTGCTCTGACTGGTTAATTACATATCTACACGGTGATTTGATTACACAGATGCTCCTCTCCCCTTCTCGGCGACGATCATCAAGTTCCGCGGTGATATCTTGTACTCGAAGATCGGAACAATATCAACCTTCTCAGCAGCATGCTCCACGAGATACCAGTAGCGATCCAGCGCGATGATGCTCTCGACAGCCTTACAGCAGAAGACGCTAAGCGTCCACAGGAGGGCGATCCTGCCCTCTTGGCCTGCATAACGAGCTTCATATGCCTCAATGTCTTCTCTCGAGACCTTGCTCTGGTTCACGCCAAGACAGTGCACCGCACGGCGCGTGAACTTTTCAAAGGTGGCCAGATCGCCTTTCCTGATGCCCCAGTTCGGCCTGTGGTTGTCGGCATCGTCCACCTGTAACCCTTTGTCATACAGCATCTTCTCCAGCAGAGCCCGGTAAAACTGTTTCCTGGCGTAGCTCGACCTCTCCTTGTTCGGATCCAGCCTCTCCCAGTTGTTCGGGGCCTGACAGCCCGTCATCAGCGCCGTGGGACTCAGCGTCACTCCGCGATCCCTCAATCGCTCGCTGATGGGAAAGCCGTCCGGGCATCCCTCGGAGCGCATGACGATGTGGTTATAGCAGCACCCGACAGCCGCCAGGTGGGAAATGGAGGCACATCTGTCAAAATACCGCAGCATGTGTTCGGACAGACTGCCGCACGCGTGTAGGCCCACGAGCACACATCTCTCGCCACCCGCCCAGCACTCAATCTCCTTAGTCAGACTCATCGAGCCGTCGATGTAGCGGACAAGGTGTCTGAGCCTGTCTTCTGGGATACCGAGAGAGGAGGCCAAGGCCTGCGAGCCGGCGATCTGGGACGCGCTGCCGTCGACGGCCAGGATCCGGAGGGAGGGGAAGAGGTAGGCGAGGGTGACGGACAGGTAGCCCTGTCCGGAACCCATGTCGATAACTCGCGTGAGGTTATTCGTCTGGCAGAGTTGGTGGATATAGGCGGCCGCAACAGAGACCTCATTCCTCTTCTTCGTTTTCATGTGGAGGGTCAATTCTTCGGGCAAGGCAAGTACTGGTCCCTGGCGCTGTGCGCGCGGTAGTGAGACCGACTTAAGCTGGCCAAGCCACCTAACGAGCGAATCTGGAGGATTCGACGTTTCCTTGGCATTGGTCTCATGTGTTTTTGTACCTGAGAGTCTGTGTTCACCCTCGTCGATGCTGTCGATCATGTCTTGCTGCATGAGGCGGTGGTCTCGTGACTGAGACTCCGAGTCCCAGTAAGCTGTCCATTCTAGTGGGAGTGTGTTCCAAGCATCGTGTATGAACGCGTCATTCACATGTATACCGCCTGTTATTTGGCGGACCAGGGGAGTCTGAATGAAGTTGTTCAGGTCATCTGTCAACGCCTCAACGCTCTCATAGGAATCCGGCAGCGTAGGCATCTTCCAACCTGCCTCGGTCGAAAGCGGGCATAGGGTGGATTGGTGAGGCACTCATCAACGTGTTAGATGTCATTGTCTTTGTGTACTTTGCACAATTCTTCTTCAAAGACATGACTGCATGTTGGGTGTGCGTTCTTTTGGTGATTGGTAGAAAGGAAAACTTCACAAGGCAAGGGTAATGCGAGCGAGTTTCTCATAGTACCTGGACCCTAACCCTGATATGTATATACCCTCCAGACGACTTACAGTTCTCTTCGTTCTGAGCTCTCAAGCTCTAGGCCTAGGAAAATTCAAGAACCGTTCAATATTTTTGACACGCGTACCTTATATGATACCTGTATAGACTCAACGGCAATCTAACCCGTCGACTTTGATTCACAAGTAGTCTTCAGACCATGGATAGTGTGACCCATACAATGTTTTTCTTTAGTAGCACTTCCTGCGCCTAGATTTGAACGCTACATTATCTCGCTGCAATGCTATGCAAAAGGCAAAGAACCGGGAGGTACCAATGAAACCAGCCAGTTATCCAAGAGGTCATGACAACCACAGTCTTCACTCTGCCCCAATCAGGCTCTTGGGCAGAAATGCCCACACAGTACCGATCAGAGACAAAGCGATGCAGAGGAGCATGAGTACCCAATTGACAAGCTTCTCCGTCTTGCTGATCTGCTGACCAAATAGCTTCAGGTGGAAGGCGAGAGGCAGGGATACACATATCGTAAAACACAGAGCAGATCCTGAGGCACACCTTAGTATTAATATATATTCAATGATGATTCGAGCTCCAGGATGTTCATGAACGAGAATATGCTTACCCATAAAGGCCATAATCGAGTCAAAGGCCGGAAAGACAATAGAGATGATCAGGAATATCAAGACAGTCACCACGCGGATGACAATCTTCATGATCCCTCTAAAGTATGCCGACCTTCCCACCATGACCGAAGATCCTTCTGCGATCGCTTGCTGATGTACACCCAGGATCACCTCAGCAGTCGAGATGATAGGCCTGGCGTTCAAAGGGACCTTGGTCAGAGGGATGATGGCAATAACACCACACAGTATGTAGGTCAGCGCCTTTGGGTATCCGGCGGTGAGGAAGATATTGGAGGTAATGGCGTCCAGCACGTCGTCACCGAACATGAGAAGGCCGACAACAGCAGCGGTGGCGTCAAGGAGGCACGTGAAGGAGAAGGTAATTTTGACAGCGCGACCGTACTTGTGCGGGTGCCGCATGTCTCGGTAGATGTTTGGAAACACGCCATGACCACCCCAGGGAGACATGAGCAGACCAAAGGACAGCGGCAGCGTCAGCCAGTTTGCAGGGAAAAGGTAAGTGACTGCCGGTGTGATCAGAGAACCAGGCGAGTCTGGCTTGAGCAGGCCGTCAATGATTACGATCAAGACAACTGTCGGATAATGTCAGCAATCTTCACCTCGCAAAGATCAAGAAGTGAAGTGTGCGTCAACCGTGTTTACTCACTTGTAAAGCAGCATAATATGCCGATGATGCTGGTGAAGCTCAAGTACCTCAGCGGCAGAAAGTTCAGGGGTACCAGAATGATGGCAAAGATCATCTTCCACTGGTTCAAGGATAGCACACCGTCAAAAAGCAGCTCCATGGAATCGGCAAAGAGGACGATGAGAGCCACACAGGCGGCGAGGAGCTCCAGCGTGAAGAGAATACTCGTGGCAATACGAGCATTGCGGCCGAACGAGATGTATGCGAGGTCAGAGAAGGTGATCAGGCTCGGGTCGAGTTCCATGCACTTAGCGAGCAATTTCGCTGTGTACGAGGTGACAGCCGCCGCACCGAGGAGGGTAACCATGCCGCAGAGCCAGCCTGCGTACTTGATGCCCATGGGTAAACTCAGGAGGCCGACTCCAATTAAAACACTAGAGAGATATGCATTGTCAGCGCTGACACTCACTCATCCACACACACAAAACCTCGGGACAACTTCCCCCCCCCCCCCCTTCCTTTCCCTAAAATCTTCTTTGGAAGAGGCTTGCATCTGTGCACTTACTTGATCGAGTTGAAGACCGTCTGCGGCAGTGTGCTCTGGCCCTTCACCGTGAGCACGATCTTTCCATCCTCAGCCTCAACCTCCTTCACCAAGATGGGCTCCATCTCCCCATCCGGCGCATTTCCGCTCATCTGCTGCTGGCGCCACATCTCCCCAGCCTGAGCCATGGACTCTCTGCCGAGGGCCTCCTCCTCGCCGGACATGCTTCCGTAGTCGCGGAACGAGCCATAACTCCCTATAATGTCCGGTGTGGCAAGCTGAGGGGGAACGGCGAAGATGCTGCCAGGGGTCCCGCCGCTGCTGGTACTGAAGGTCCGACGCAGCTCGTTGTCCAGCGCCTTGCGCTCCCGCTCGCGAAATGAGCCCGTCAGGCTAGAGTGCCGACCCGAAGGCCCCAGGAGTGGCTGGATCTCGCTAGGACCAGAAGGCTCGGGGCTATCGTCCCGGATCGCATCCTCAGGGCTCGAGGCTTCGAGATGCTGACGCAGCAGGGAGACGCGCGGCACAGAATGGCCTACGCCCACCTCTTCGTCGCGCCGCCCGTATGGGATTCCATCGTGTGCGACGAGGGGATCTTGGTCAGGTGCGAAGACGAAGGACGGGCGCTGTGGGATAACCTCTGGGAAACCGGCCGCGCGTTGCAAGGAGCGTTGAAAGGAACGAATCGAGTTGACGCCCTATGAAACATTCTAGGTTAGCATTCCGCCAGTCATCCGGGCAAGGAGCCAATGCGTATGCCCCAGTGTTGCACGACTCCAAGGGAAGGAAAGCACGCCTGAAAGATGTGATGGCTGAACTCAAAAACGTACTCCTACGTCGCCGAGGGCGGAGATGCGGTTCGTGACGGAAGATCTGGAACGGGCACCACCTTTGTCAGTATTCGAATCAAGCACAATAAGGTCTGTCTTGCTGAGGTGGGTGTCGTGCGCACCTCCTCCTCCGTCTCGCCTGAAGATTGTCATCTGAATCTCCTGCACCCGTTGTGCGGAGGCTCTGCCCAAGGTATTGGTTGTCGTCAAAGGCGATGTGTCTCGCTTCGCTGGTGGAAAAGCTCCCAGGTCGATCTGGGGAGCCACCCCGCTCATATGCGTCCCATGTCGAGGGATTACTTCTTCCGTCGGACATGGGGAGTCTGGGGGTGGGAATGGCACGAGGTGAAGACAGCAGCAAGCTCAGGAATGAAGGGAGGGAGGAAATAAAGCGGGAGTGCAGCGCCGAGGGAGCAGAGAGCTCTGGTCTCAGTAGTAAATGAGTGGCAGGAAGTCACGACCGGGCTCAGGCGAGAGCGCGTCTTCTTTCTCGACTTATACCTTGGCAAAGAACCTGCGGCCCAAAAAGCCTCACGATGCTTCCAAGAACTTCTATCGCGTGTCGGGCAATACTCGTTTTATCATGCACACAGAAACCTCTGGATCGTACGTAATAATGCAGCGCTGCTGCAGCAGAGCGAACTCGCACACAGCGGGTTTTGCCAGTGTCAGGCTACTTGTTGCGGCTATTGTTTACCACAGCACGTCGTACCATGTACCTCAGCGCACGCGACACAAACGTCCTTATCGCCGCAGGCATCCCTAGAGTAAAACAAAGTTCATGTAAAGAGTACCGCAGTACAGAGTACATGACATGGAGTCTGGTGGGGTAAGTGGTGGGGGCACAGGAGGGGGCCCGGGACCTCTCGATAGGGGTCATTCCGGAGGAGGCTCTATCGTGATAGGAAACCAGCTTACAACTACGATACGGTCATCATCATTGGCGGATCTGGTTATGGCTGGTTCAGGATCTCGAGTCTGGCCAACTGGTTTTTTCCTTGCTAAAGGAATTTTCTCCAAGGTTCGTTTTCGAGCTATACATAGTACTTGGCAGACCAGGGTCGGAAGGAATTGCAACCTCGCCTTGCTTAAAGTATGGGTGGCGCGCTGGACGAGACTCTTCTCCCCGGAGAATTTCAAGGGTGAAAAAAACCTGATGGCCGATGCTAGACGAGCAGGATAGCAAAGGGGGAAAAACTCTGACGGACAAGTGGCGTTGCATCTGTAAAATCCTGTCGACTTAATACACCCACTCTTGATGAAATTGACCCTGGTGCAGACTTTTTCAGAGATCTGAAAGTGCTACTCACGCAGCGATCACCAGAGTAAGTAGGCAAGAGATACTGTTAGTTGATACTATCAGAAATAAACCTTAACCCCGCTGCTATGAGCGCCGGGTTCTATGACCCCTGTCCGCCGTAGTGCTTCCGCCCCATTGCAGAGTCCACCAAGGCGTGTCTCGACGATTTAAATACTCCGCAACTCTGCGACGATGTTTCCACATCTCATTCCCACAGACAACACAACACCGCATATATTCTGTCTGATCCTCGAAAATTCACACAGGCGCGATGGCGGAGTGGTCTAACGCGATAGACTAGAAATCTATTCTCTTCGGAGGCGTCTGTTCAAATCAGGCTCGCGTCGTCTTCGAAAGTTACTGATGCTTTCAACTTTTTGTTTTTGATTGCTCGTTCTCCTCATACAAACTGCGAAGCTATCCCGGTTTCCTTTGTCTCTCTTATGCAGTCTGCCCATTGGAATACGAGTTCCTAGTTTGTCGATTCCAAGACTATTGTTGGCTGTGCAAGTTGTGATCATGGCAGCAAGTTTCTTAGAGTTGCATTGATGTCAGAGACTTGGTGACTGAGTCTGCAAGACTAAGTACTTAAGTATGCTTCTATCTGTAAGCTCATTGAATTTCAATGGAAGTTTCAAGTGCTTTGTGTGTGGGGTTCGGGGACCAGTCCGACTCTGAGTGACATCTTCTTGAATATAGATTCTGATGGGCGACCTTGAATACCAACCAGCATTTTGAATCACTCTTACATCAGGGTAGCGAATATCTATAATTATAGTGACCACTATCTCAGTCAATGATTCAGTCTTTTGTGCCATTAAGTATGAGGTCAGTGATTTGTTCTTTCTTGTTACAGCATACTGACGAGCGCATGACAGGAAGCAACCTCACAAGATGGACAACATTGATCACGATGCCCTCAGGTCCCCTACATGGTTACATGCAGTACAAATGAATCTATTGCACACATCGATGCTGGTGATAGATCTGCAAGTATATCACTGTCCCCTCAAAAATCACTCAAAATCTCCCGTCATAGACAACCGTCACGCAAGATAATTACTACCAACTCACACTTCAGCCCAACATTCTGAAAGTCACACATTTCCACCCTGACAGACCAACCTGCAGCCCAGTCAAGCTCAGGCGGGCTGCTAGAACACCATGCATGCACACCATCTCAAGGACTCCAGTTCTGGGCGAGGAAGAGCGGATCGACGCAGCATGGACGGACCAGCGAGCGTCCTCAGACAGGTCTGGACATATCACCTGAACCAGAGTACAAATTATTTGGAAACTGTAAAGACAACTCATTAATTACAAGCTCAGTCAAAGCCTCAGTCGCTTTCAAAAAGGCTGGTTATGAACTTAAAGTCTGCTTCCGAACTGTAAGTCTATGAAAATCGTAAGTGACACCAACCTACCTAGATCACAAAAACCATAATATTAGGCAATATTGAAGGCAATTCTCAATCACATTTGATCAACCCCTACTTGTAATCCCGAGGCCACCTCCTTGCACCACTCACAGACAATCTTGTCCAAGCCCATCAGCATCCTCATCAGAATGCGTTACTCACTACCCCAGCCCATAACCCAATGACCATGGACACCACTGTGTGATCAGCCCACAGCCCACAATATAATCACCTTCTCTCAAACCCTTACACTTACACTAGCAACACCAAATATCACGTATCCCCCCGCCGGAGGGGACAGTACCACGTATGAAACGGGTGAGAGACAAGGCGGATCGTAGGGTTGCGTCTTGTCATGCGTTGCACTGCATTGCGATGTGCCACATTGTGTTTTGTGTTCCTGGCCCGAGATGAGCATGGCTAAGTGACTGGCTGAGGAGAGATCAGTGTTTTGCAAGCAGAGACTTTGACGTTGTCCTCCCTAGTACATGCGTGCTCGTTACTATTTCTTGTGGCCCCCAATGGAGTGACTTACCAAACAGTGCGACACACTATCTTGAGAGCCCTTAAGAGTATCACGGTGATTGTGCATTCATTCATCTTTGTGTGAGTGGGTAACTTCTGGTATTGTGTTTGACTAGTAGTGTGGAGATATCTAATACACAGAAAGCGAGTTGGACAAGATCATTGTCTTATCTCTTCATCACCTTGGTCGAGTTTTTTTGTCTTGCTTTAGAGTCAAGAAACTCCATTTGACCATGGTTCGCACCGGTTTTGCCTCGTGTCTGCCGCCTTGCCGCTCTGCCCCCTTCCGCAATGTTTTTGTGTTTTCCTGGCCAAGAAAAAATAAAAATATGTAACAGTAAATGAAAACCCATTCCCGATGCAATTTGTTGAGAACCCTTCAACCCCATACGCGATGCAATCATCAAACAGGCCTTCCCACAAAGAACTAAAAGAGTAGTAGAAGAAGAATGTAACCTCCCAGAGCGGCAAACACGAGGCGTGAAAATGTAGTGTGGTGCAGGTGGAGAGCAGAGCACACTATTCCAAACCGTATTGAGACATGGCGGTGAAGATGAGATAGAGAAAAACAGAAGACAAGATAGCCCAACCACAAGTGGTGAGCAGGCAATGAAAACGGAGGGCTCTCTCTTTTAAGAGTGAGCCTCCTGCCAGCTAGCACCAACCCACTCGGCATCGCCGAGGCGCTTCTCCCGGCGCCAACTCCAGTTGAGCTCGCGCGATTTGCTCTTACTCCAAGGACACTCCTTGGCCCTCTCACGAACCTGATACTTGTTGTTCATCGTATAGTTGTGATGATTGGAGACAGAAAAATTGTTGAAATTCGTCGAGGCGTGATCCCCAAACACACCGTAGTTGAGTACATGGCCAGGTTGACGTCCCGCTTTGACCATGAAGTCTGGCTTGGGCATCGACTCTCGGTTGCCAGTGTACGCGCGGCGGCGCTCACCAAGCTTGGCCCACTTCTCCAGGACATCCTTCTTGGAAGGGGGTGGTGAGTGGCGTGGCGGGTGCAGCTCATGTGTCTTGACTGGGCTGACATCCTGGAAGAAGAAGTCGTCTGGCAGGTCGCCGTCCATATCGATTGCATCCTCAATGGACGGCACGTGGGGCTCAGCGCTCATGACCGAAGACTTGACGGCCGGCGACAGACCCTGACGAGGCGTGTCGTCGTCGTCAGCCTTGCTGTCTTGGCTCCAAGTCCGAGAGTTCATCTTCTTGAGAGCCCGAAACTGACGAGCCCGCTCTTCTTCCTGGTGTTCCTCCTCCTCCTCCTCCCAGAGGTCACTCCAGCTCTTGGACACTGTGTCCTTGCCACCAAAGACCGCAGACATAGACGGAATGTTGCGCGGCTTGGACATGGAGATCGGCAGGGAGCCTGACATGGGTGCGATCTGGGCAGCTGGCTTCAGCAGGTTGGGACGCTTGATGGCAAGCGACTGCATGGAACCAGTAAGGCCAGACCCGAGGATGGACGCCGTGGATGGGGTCTGGGCGGAGGAGACCCAGTCAGCCGTCGCCACAGAGTTGGAGAAGAGATCCTCGGTGTAGCTTTCGTTGTCTGGGATGACGCTGAGCTGGCGGATTGGCTGGGCAGCACTCGTGGTGTGCAGGGCGCGGGCCCAGGGGAAGGCACCAGTGTCGACCTGGGGTGACTGGATCGAGGGTGTGCGCAGTGGCTCCCGGTTGGCAGTGGCCATGGTATCGCGGTGGGCAGAGCAGAACTCGTCATCACCCTCGTCCAGGGTGGTGAAGCTCACGACGCGGTTCAGGGCCCTGCGCGCTCCGATCAGCGACCTCTTCTTGGGGTCCAGGTTCATGCACTCGACGATGACCTCGTAGGTGTCTTGCGACATCGACGGGAAGACATCGAAGAGGGACTGCTTGTCTCGGGAGAAATCCAGGAAGAGGGGATCAGCCTCGGTCGGGGTGGTGAAGGGGTTCCGCGAGAACAGTATGTTCAGCAGGCAGATGCCAATGGCCCAGATGTCAGCCTGCGCGGGGGAATACCCAGCGCCAGCCGAGTCGTACTGCTCTGGCGACATGTAGCGGTCGCTGCCGACGGAGGTCTCGTACGTCCACTTGTCTTTGATGGCCAGTCCAAAGTCTCCCAGCTTCATGGTACCATCCTTGCCGAGAAAGATGTTCTCAGGCTTGATGTCTCGATGGTAGACGCCCTTGGAGTGGATGTAGGCAACAGCGTCCACAAGCTCCAGCATGAAGCGCCTGACATGCTCCGTCTCAAGGGGACCCTGATCGACACGGATAGCCTCATAAAGATCACCCTGTTGACAGTACTCGAGGACGAGGTAGACATGAGCGTCGGTCTCGAAGGAGTGGAGAAGGTTGACAATGTTGGGGTGGCGGCCAAGACGGCGGTGGAGTACGAGCTCCTCCGACTTGTCATCAATGGCGAAGTCGAAGCCAGCTTCGTCAGCCGCTGATTTCTTGGTTAGGCACTTGATGGCAACAGTCTCCCCCGTGACCAGGTCACGAGCTTTGAAGACCATGCCAAAGGACCCATGGTTGAGTGGCGCCAAGGTCTCGTATCGCCCATCGAGGACGACACCGCCGTTAAACTCGTCTCGCAAGCATTCCATTGTGTGAAAAAGAAGAAAAGGATGTGTCCCAAATTAAAATAAAAAAAAAATCGTAGGTTGCTGAAGACAAAAGGATGCCTGGTGATACAGGGACCACAGACGCTGTTTGTCGTAGGCCTCGGTGCCGACCAGTCTATGCCAATGATGAATGACAAATGTTGCCCAAAGAAACTCCGAATATCTTTTTTTCTCTTTTCTTTCGGCTGCTTTGTGTATAGATTTCAAGAAATCGATGGGGCGGTGAGAAGTTGCCGGAGAGAGGAGAGTTGCGAAGAGATGTCGAGTCCCGTTTGGAGTAGTCGGTGAGGTGGTCCAAGTATGTATGCGTGCGAGTCGGCGGTAGGAGGTACCGAGGATGTTGTAGAGAGGCGATATACAGACCGTGAGGTCAGGTAGTAAAACAAAACAAACAAAAGTGCGGATCGTTGATTTTCAGAGGCTCATCGATTTTGGGTATTTTCGGTATGATAAAAAAAGACTGGTAAGGAAAGGTTGACTGGAGAGTTGACTGTGTTTTCGTCGACGAGTCGAGTTGACTGGAGACGTATGCTTTGAAAAGGGAACAAAAGAAAGATCGTTAAAGGCTCATTGGAAAGAGTTGATTGTGGTTTTGGAAGAAAGAGTGAAGAAGGTCTCGCGAAGAAAGGTTTATGTCAAGGAAGAAGCAAGAAGTGATTGAGACCCAAGGGATGACGATGCCGAAGTCTTGTAGTAGATGCCAGCAGGAGTCGTCCCTCAATGGTGTGAAGTATGATAATGCACTGGGCGGCGAGAGCGGAGCGGGACCACAGCAAGAAGGATGGGGACAATGACGGGGCCGGAGACACGAAGCTGTGAGTAATTGTCCACGGCACAGCCGTCAAGTGAGCGGAGCCTCGGATGCTGGGAGGATCCCGGCGCCTGTGGTGGGTAATGAGGTTGCGTGAGATGTTGGCACCTATTATAGAAGCACCCAGTGGATCGTGAGAGGACTCATTCGTAGGTGGGTTCGCCTTCTGGAACAGGATGGAGAAGAGGTTGTGACTCTTCAGCCGTCCTAGTTCAACAAATATCGCACTTCCAGGTCGACCGTGTCCCCCTTGGCGGGAGCTGCCCTCTATTTTTGTGTCTTGTCTGTCTTTTATTCACCCGGGCCTTTGTTGCAGTCGCAGGTAATTGGCGTGAATGAGGAGAAAATCGGGCGGATGACGTGCAAAGCAGCGACAAGATGAAGAGGACTGGTTGCCGATATATCGTTGTTTCAGGAATTGCACTGCCGGTGAACAACAACAGATGGTAGGCTGCCTTGTGCCAAGCCGAAGCAGACCGTTCAGCAAGGGCACTGATGATAGGCAACCGAGGACCTAGCTGCAGACGACTTCAAGACAGGTCCAACGCTGGGTCGAGGCCGTCGAGGGGGAGGTGGTCGAGGCCCTTTTGCGGTTGCAGGTGATGCGCTGGTGCACTGCTTGCTTTGACGAGTCACAACAATAAACCAATTGAGCCGACGTCAGCGTCCTTGATGAGATGGAATTATGGAGCTGAATGAATTGACTTGACGCTCCGGATCGCTCTCGTCTAGGAAGTCGACACTCAAGAGGATAGACCTGACTCGACTTTGACTTTGACTTGTCTTGTCTTGTCTGGATGACCGTCGTAGGGTGAGGATGGGGAGGAGAGAAAAGCAAGCTGGAAGATGCAGGGGGATGACGAAGTGAAGTAGGTTGAGATGGGGGAATGGCGAAGGTGGGATGAGGTGGGTGGGAGGTAGGTAGGATAAGGAGAAGGGAAAGAGGGTCAGAGAAGAAGAGAGGTTGGTCGGGAGGGTGGTGTGGTAAGATGATAGATAGGACTATGCAGAACAAGAGACTAAGGAGAAGGCGGTGGGAACAGCAAGAAACAAACTGATGGATAGGAAGAAGCAGCAAGGCAGACAGAGAGAAGAGAGGGAGGGAAGAGAGTGACCAAAGAGTGGTCGACGAACTGGAACGGAAACGGGCTGGGCTGCTTGGACGACGAAAGGAGACAAGGACAGGCATGCAGGATGAGAAGAAGGAATACGTAGAGTGCAGGAGACATGCAGGTGTGGTGAGGTGTCTGGCCGAGGGGTGGGGTGGTGTGTCAGTATTGACATGAGGGGGCGTATCGGTAGCCAAGCTGCCAACTTGGACATGCTGGGAACGGACTCTGCATGGAGTCCGTAGAGGCCTGTATGGAAACTGAGCGAAGTCGAAAGGCTCCAGTTGCGGCTTGGATGCGCTACGAAGCGAGACCTCAGAGGTGAGATTAGCAATCTCGACTTCTGGAACTGCTGGGATCTTCCCAGACGTATGTATACCTTTCACAGTGCGCAGAAGGCCTCTAGCGAATTTAGCAGTGGATGGTGTGAGTAATGAAGGTCTCTCTCGCCCATCGTGCTTGCCGTTTTGTTGTCCCTACCCTCGTTGGGAGATCTTCCCACCCTTGTACTGGGCATATGCACACTGTGCGAGGACTGACGCACGTACGTGGCCCGGCAGGAGAATGACGAGCTTCTGACGACCAAGGAGAGGCCACACCTTGGCTGCGGTTCCCTGGGAGCATGTCAACGCCTATTCGCCATTGAGCTTAGCGTCCCAGGGAACCAGGCCGCACTAATCCTGTCAGGTTATCGTCTGTCTCTAAATCAGGACCTGATGGATGGCACACCTGCAGAAAGAGGCGCTGCATTGCGCTCACAAGTTCCTTCACCGCCCACTGTGTGTGCATGCAAGCAGGACTCGTCGTGCCTCGATGCACACACCAGTGCACACAAGCCCCGAAAAAAAAAGAAAAGATGGGACGACAAGAAACAGAGGCATGACCCCAGGTTTGGTGCATCGTAAGGTACCCTAGGCCAAACCTAGAGCGTGACTACTGGACCCCCCCCCCCCCCCTAAAACTAACGTCCGTGTGCCTTTGTGGACGCTCGTGTCCCTGAAGAATAACACGTTCCCAGTGCTGGGGGACCCTAACCTCCACCGGATCGGCCCCCAAATCTCCAACCCTTGTTCTGCCCTTATTTGCCCTGCCCCCCTTGCCCTGCCGCGTGCCTTGGAAGAGCTTTTCCCGTCAAGTCACCAGAGGTGCCAGAGCCTTCTCGGTTGTACCCCAGGATTCCACGGCATTCCGTTTCACCAAGTTCGTCATGCGCCCCCTCATTGGCTCAAAGGCTAAACGAAACCTCCTTGACATTGCAGGCGACTGCAACCACCTCTTCCAGGGCGAAAGCTTTACCCGCTTCGCGCTCACGCGAGCCCTTGCCTGCTTGTCAAACGGTCTCAGATAGAGAGGAACGAGCTGAGGGATTCCCCCCCCCTCAATGAAAACCCCATGCCTACCGAGATGCCTGGACCGGAATGAAGGTCTCATCATAGGTCCCCTTTGGCGCAGGCCGGTGAATTGGCCCTGCTTCTTTGCTTTTTGTCTGTCGCAATAACAGCAACGGCGCGCAGAGGCGTGCATCGTGCAGAGAGGCGTAGGGGGCTGGGCTTTGGGCGCCTGGGGAGATGCAGGCTGGCGCAGGAACCGCCGGGTGGGAAAATCAATAGGAAGAGGCCACGTTCTACCTGTCAGGCCTGCCCAACGTGACCCTATAGCCGGCTCCACAGCAACCTCGTGAACCGCCAATCATGTCAATCCTCCTGCCATGTCTCTACGCAGTAGCAATAATACTATCTCTACTATGTGACTGTGCGGGCGGGGGGGGACCAAGCATTGGGCTGGCTCGTAAAGTGACTGAATGACTGACTCCCCTCCCTCCCTCTCTTTCTCATTTGGTCTCTTGTGTCTCTTGTTTTACGGGGTGAGAGGGGGTGTGTGCGAGCTGGAGATCTCCAAAATAGCGATCCGATCTTGGTTGGTCTGCCAAGGGTGTCTGAATTAAGCTCCAGGCAGGCCGTGTGGGTGGGGGAGAGCTTAGGCGGCCAGATCGGGAGATAGGACAGGCGCGTTCGAAACTTATCAGTCCTCGAGACCCAAGTGCATCCATTCCTCGAACCACTGAGGTCACAAGAGAGCAACCCCCCGTACATCAGAGGTGGTGGTAGATGGTGGTTAGTGGTGCCATACTGTAGCACTATCGCCGTATCACTGTGCGTTGAACTTGAGATCTGAGGGCTCCACAGGCCGGATGTGTCCATCTCAATAGTCACTGCGCTATGGCGTATTGCTAATAATCCATCATCTGCCTCGTGATTACCAGAAGAAGCCGAATTAGGGCGATTGCTCATTTTCCCCTTTTAGCACACTCCTCTGCCTGACTGGAGGCCGAGGCCGATGGTCGGGGAGTGACTCTCTTATCTCGACTGCGGCTTTAGACGCAGACCCAAAAGAACTGGGTGACTCGCGCGGCAGCCGTACCTAACAGCCTGTGTAGAGAACATTCTAGCAGATTGTCGATCACGGGACTCACCTAGGACGGGCTGGCTCCTATCTGCATTCTCTCCATGCGGGTGTATCATTACTGGCTCCCCGTCGCATGCGGACAACCCGTCGTGCCCATCAGTTCGCGCAACAAAGGGACGGCTTGGCGTGCTACAACTAGATCGCGCCTGGCCGGCGCCTTGGTGGCGTCGCGTCACGACCAGGCTGCGACGGGCCCTGGGGAAGGGTCCGAGGCAGTGACAAGGGACGAACGTACCCAGCGGTAGGCGACCAGCGGCTCAGCGTTACAGGACCTTGCTGTTGCTGCAGCCAGACAGCAACAAATTTGTTCTTTTAACGCCTGGAACGGCGGCCTGGCTTTGGAGTACCAATTGGAGACCTCCTAACCTCACCATCGATCGTCTTGCGTTGTCTGGCTGTCCAGGTCCGCGGATGCGATGATTCTCTTGGTTCTCTTGGCGGTCAAAGGGTCTTTTTAGTTGGCCCCTACTTTTTCTTTTCTTTTTATCTCTCCCTTCTTTCTAGATCCAGTGTTTTCGTCGCTTGCCCTTTTCGACGACCTGCATACGAGATGGTGTGTAGGCGGGCGCAGACGCAAGGGGCACACCTCGGGGGACTGATGACAATCCCCGTCATGGTGTGCGTGCTTCTCCATAACGACCCCGCCTGTTGAAACACAGGCTTGCGTTCCAGCTGTTCAGACCCAGTTTACTTTTTGACAGCTTTTAATCTGATACCAAATTCCTCATGCGGATATTGGTTGTTTCCCTTTTTTAGTCTTTATTTTTTTTTCTTCCTCCTCGCCTTCTTCTCTACCTCTCTCTTTTGCAGCCATGGCCCCCAGGCCAAGGTTGCTATCAAAACATCGGACGGTGGGTGGTACAGGCCCCAGCGAGGTCGAGGTCGAGGTCGTGTTCGGAAGCTGCTGCCATTCGCTGCCATTTGCTGCAGGCGTACTGTAGTAGCTTGATGTCGTCCTGATACTGCCCTTGGCTTGACTTGTTGAAACCGTAGCGACGCGGCAGCCACAGATGGAAAGATGCTGGGGGCAGGTTTTCGCGAATCGCCGCCGCCGCCGGCCCCCTCTGCTGCATGAGTGAGTGGAACAATAGTCAACTCTGTACTATATCGTAGTGTCACAACGGTGCTATGGTGGCATTGGACAGAGACTAGCGGCAATGCAGTGGGCAGATGTTCTACCCATCGTCTGGCCACCTTATTTTCGAAATTCGTGGAACCGCACACAGCACCGCCGCCACCTCTCTGGAGCGGTCTGCTGCACGACGCGACATGCATAAGAATACCACCTTGGGTATCCAGTAAAAGGTCGTCTTGGCAATGGCGACGGAGGGCACAAGAGCACGGGAGCACGGAGCACGGCGGGAATCCTCCCCTCTCACAGCAGCTATCATATCATGAAGTCTGTTTTTCCCTCTAGCAATCGCATGTTGATACTACTGGAATGCAACCGGACCCAGCCGAAGCTGCCGCATGGTGGTTTCATGAGAAGTGAGGCCTGTAACCTAAGTGCGACGTTGGAGCTTCTGTTATTGTTATTGTTAATGTTGTTGTTGTCGATGTTTATTTTGACACGTGTGCTCCTTGTTTCTCCTGCTGCCGAGAGATGAATCTCCATCAACCAGAGCACCTTGATGGAGCATGTCGGAAGATTCGTAAAGAGCGTGCATGCAGACAACGCCGGGGACAGGGGGGAGGCGGTAGGGGTGGGGACCCGTCAGGGCCGCTTCAGTGGACTTTTAGGGCAGTCCAGTGGGTACCAGGCAGGACCAGGCCAGGATATCCAGGGTCTCAGGCGTTTCTTTGTACTGCGGTACAGTGGTGAATGGACGGAGATGGTGCACCAGGCGCCCAGGTGCCGCCCGCACGGATCACGGGCAGGCCTCACCGCATTTCCCATCAACTCACCACACCTAACCCACCGTGCCCACCACGACCGCTGGCGTCTTTGGAAGGAGGAATCCGCCCATGGGTCCCCAGTCCCTTCCGACAACGCCATCCACCACCAGCACCACCCTCCATACCTTCCTTAGCCACCGCGATTATGCAGTGAGCAATGCAGGCACGAACAGAATTTTCCTCCTCCTTCTCTTCCTTAGCTCGTTGCTACAACAGCCCTATTTGAAAAGAATCATCCTGACCGACTGCTAGTTCCTCAACAGTAAGGGCGTCCTGTCTTGTGGCAGGTCAAAACTCTTCACCGCTCTGACTTTTTCTTCCCACCTGCCCTGCAAGTTATAGATCTCTTGCTTATTATTATATCCCACTTCTTTTTCCTGCATGGGAACCTGAACGCCCGGACGCCTGAACGCCTTGCATAAACAGACAACCCAGCAGCACCACAAGCGTGAACCGTGAACCTCCAGCGCGGTCCAGATTGGTCCTTTTTGTCTCGGCAGCCAAATCCCTCAACTGGATTTCCTTGGTCGGAACGCCGCCCTCCCCCCCCCTACCCGTGAAGATCGCCCTGTCCTTTTTGAGAAGGGACCAGTGAGGAGCCGATACGCCTGGACCTGGACCAAGCGCACGCAGGCGTACTGCCACCGCCATGGCTGAGGATCTAGACTCTGTCAGGGTCATCCTGCTAGACATAGGTAAGTAAATGTCTGTCCAATAGAAGAGAGGAAGGGAGAAGGGAGCGGGTGATGGTCAGAGACACAGAGAAAGAAGAGGCGTTGCTGCAGCTGCACTCACCCGGTTGGGCTGCCAACGCCAGTGTGCCGGCCAGTGACAACGAGAAGCACCAAAGAGGGATGCTCCACTACCCACCACCGCCTTGCATAACCTCAACCACCGTTTTCCCACGCCGTTCCGTCAGTCACCGTGCTCCACGTCGTCCAAGGCCTCATGACTTTCCGGATGCGGGCTCTTGTGCTCCAAAGTGTCCACTTCTTGGCGGTCACTCCCCGTCGTGGAGCTTCCCTCGTTGTGCCTGATCTCCTCCTGGTCCCGCGACGTGTTGATGCATGAGCTCAAACGGGTTGGCTGACCATTGGGGGATTTCTTTTTATTTGCAGAGGGGACCGTGTGTTCCATCTCATTCGTCCACGATGTTCTGGTAAGGAAGATTCCCTATTTTTATTCGTTGATTTATTTATTATTTTTGGGGCCTCCTGTCCCTGTCCCGGCAGTCCTTTTCGTGGCATCTCCTTACCCTTTCGCACTGTTGCGCTACTTAGCTTGCGTATGTTGGCGATGTGGTGCTACGCTGTCCGGATCCCGAACCGTCAATCAGGCCTATGGAATTGCTCCGATCCCTGCCATATGCGGCCCGCCCAAGTGGTGCCTCAGGTTATCATGTCGTGGCCTATCAACAGACGTGCACCTGCTATCGCGTAGCATTACGTACCGGGCAGGCATCCTGATTCAGAATATGTCGATCAGGAGGATGGAAACAACGGACGAATAACTCACGCAATCGATCTGTCGATTCAAGTCGGGTAGCCTGAGGGGGCCCGGGTTGGGGGAGGGGGGTCATCCCGTCGGACCTCAGCATTCGGAGTGTACATCTAACACACGGCCATCGTCTCATAGGGATACGCACCAGGTTCCATGAGAATGACGTCTCTTCATCGTCCAAGTGAAAGAAAGCAAGTGCTTGCCAAACCTGGACGGGCCATCATATGGTGGTTTCATCTCATCTCGTGTCTAGGAGCCGAGAGTTGTCCATGCTTTTGACGTCAGTTCGCAAGCAGGCATAGACAGCCTGCGTTCTCCATCCTCAGACTAATAATACCACACCATCTAGTTCCCATACGCCCTTCAGGCCCTCCCCTCTACCCTGGAGACACAATGGGATAGCCCTTCCTTTGCTCAGTATAGAGAGGCCTTCCCGCCGGAACACCGGACCTCGCCCTCCGTGCTCCAGGCGCACGTCGCGGACTTGATGAGCCGGGACGTCAAGATTGCCTACCTCAAGAACCTGCAGGGCTACCTTTGGGAGCACGGCTACGCGAGCGGTGCTCTCAAGGCGCCGCTATTCGCAGACGTACCGCCCAGGTTCCCGGCGTGGAAGGCACGGGGCATCGAGATCATGATTTACTCGTCGGGATCCGTGCCCGCGCAGAAGCTGTTATTCAGACACACCGATGCCACACAGTTCGGTGACAAGGGTGATCTGACGCCCATGATCTCTGATTACTTTGACACTGTGAATGCAGGCCTGAAGACGGAGGTGGAGAGTTATCAGAAGATCGTTGGGAAGCATGACAGGTTTCCTGCGGGGAACTGGCTGTTTCTGAGCGACAATGTCAGGGAGGTCGAGGCGGCTAAGGCGGCTGGGATGAGGAGCTTCGTTGTGCAGAGGCCAGGGAATGCCGATCTGCCTGCTGGCACGGAGGAGAGGCATGAGGTCATACACAGCTTCGATGAGATTGCCATATAGGTGGTCGGTCAGTTGTCGTCGTTTAAGATCGCCGTCGGCGCCAGTGCAGTGTGTTGCATCCTCCAGCGAACGAGCATTCGAACGGAAAAATTATCAACGTCAACATCCAAGACCATGGCCTCACAAAACAGCGAGAGCAAATGTATTCGATTGTGACACTTGTTGCATCACCCCTCTCAGTCAGGCCCTTGGTGTCGACACCCCCCGGCCAATATGCCGAGTCCCGCATGACTAAGCAAAGTATGTACACATCAATGTGCCTCGGCTCAATTCACACGACCTCGACCTCTTCAACCTGCTATGTTATGTATGTGATGTGACGCCGTTGAGATGACGAGTACGAAATTTGATAGGCACACGACGGGCACAGAGGTCGCGGAGACCTTCAAGGACCAAATCCGGGGAAAGACTGGTAAGTCTTGCCATATTTCTTCCGTCAGCACTGCCGTGCATCGTCTCCAGCCCACCACGAGAGATCGCCGGTCAGCTGTACAACTTGACTGAAACCCAATTCGCCAACCACTTCACTGGTCCCCCCTCCTGCACATGCAAATGAGCACGGACGACCGTGGATCCTCCTTCGGCAGTAGTTGCGATCCGTGTCTACCGCTGTATCCTGAGAATCCTGAGAAGGGGAGGTGAAGGAGGAAGAAGAAGAAAGAAGCTGACAGAGCACTCGAGTGCAGTCCTCGTAACCGGTCCGTCACCTGGGTCCATTGGAAAGGCCACCGCTCTCGCCATCGCTGGCCATCAGCCTGCGCTGCTGATCTTGGCCGGGCGCACACCTGCGAAGCTCGATGCCGTTGCTACTAGCTGCCGCGAGGTGGCGGCCAATAATGCTACCAATGTAAGCAGCCAGTTGATTTCTCTTTGCTTAAATCGGTTCCAGAGGCCTCCTGTGCCTGCCGCTACTTGGAACATAGGAAAGCTATGAGTTCAGTCGTCCTGACTACTGCGTGGATACACACAGGCAAATGTTTCGGGCTCAGAGAATAGTGTAGGCACGGTAGTGAAGACCGTCCAGGTCGATTTCCTCTCACTCGCGTCCGTCCGGTCCGCAGCAAGCGAGATTAGTGCTCTTACAGACCGTTTGGACGTTCTCATCAACAACGCCGGGATCAGCACCGCCGTCCTGCGTTATTCGAGGGAGGGATTCGAGTCTCAGTTCGCAACAAACCACCTGGGCCCATTCCTGCTCACCAAGCTGCTCCTCCCTTTATTACTGCGCGCCAGTCCTGGCGCCCGTGTGGTCAACGTGTCCAGTACCGCGCAGTGGATCTCGCCGGTGCGCTTCAGTGACATCAACTTCGAAAATGAGGTGGACGGGCCAAAGAAGGGGAAGATAGACCTTCCCAAGAATGAAAGGCCGCACTCCAAGAGCCCTGCTTGGACAATGGCTCGTTCAGCGGATGGTTTCCCTGGAACTATGGCATACGGTCAAAGCAAGACAGCAAACGTTCTTTTCACCGTCGCGCTGAAACGGCGCTTGGCAGGCCAAGGGATCGATATTCTGGCTTTGCATCCTGGAGGTAAGCTGATTCTTTACTTTGTGTTGAGGTTCCTCTCCAATCATGCACCAGACTTGGCGATCTAGTGTCCCTTGCTAATGTTTTGTCCGTCACCAAAGAAATCCGTTCGAATTTGGGCGGCGAACTCTCTCCAGAGTTCAAAAAAGAAATAAAAACGTGGCCGGCTCGCCGATTTAAGACTCTGGATCAGGGATGTGCGACAACTCTCGTTGCTGCGTTCGACCCTGAGCTCTCCGGTGAGTGCTGAACCATGCCGGCTAGGCTGCCTTCCAAGCATACTATGTCTCCTAACTGTAATTCAGGCACCCAACATGTCTACCTACAAGATTGTCAGGTCGCCCGCCCTGCTCGTTGGGCTGACGATCCAGACATGGCAGAACGGCTCTGGCAGTTGAGCGAGCAGATGGTGAACGAGTCATCGACCCTGCCTGGAAGCAAACTGTAGCGGATAGTTGTTCATGATAACGAGGGCGCGGCTGCTGTCTTGGACTTCGATCTGCTCTCGTTGTGCTGTAGTAATAAACGCGCTCATCGACCTGACCTTTCAGCCATGTGATGTGACCTGAAATCCTTGACCCGTAAGACAGGTGTCGGAAGCTTGCACAGCGCTCTGACGCCAAGGCTAGCTGTCTACAGCGAAGACCGAGCATCAAGCCCTGTTCTCGAGAGATCATGGGGCCTGCTTTGGTCGGACGTGCCGCGAGTCAATCCGCAGACACCAGGCACGGACATGAGCATGTTCTGGATCTGGCACCACTGTGTAGTGTGCTGCAGAAAGTCTGATTCATCCAATGGGCGTTGGTGATTTGAGAACAATTGCAAAATTATTTCTGGATGCGCCTGAGCGCAGTTCCCGTTTGGCAAAAGTCACGCCGCCGCCAAGGAGAGGGGGCTGCTCGGCAGTCCGCCTGAACAAATAGTAGACGAGCTTTGAAGTCATCTTGGACCTTATCAATTCGTAACCGAGAGACGCCAAGATGGCATTGAGCTTGTCTTGGTCCAGATAACGAGAATTGGTGACGCAGGGTGCGGGCAGGACGAAGAAGAGACTGGGGAAGAATGGTCTCAGTTCTGCCTCTGTCCCATCTCTGAAGCAGGTCGAAATGCGCAGGAAGTCTAGCGTGCGGAGAAGCATGTCGCCACGGCCCTTGGGTTCTGGGACAAAGTTGAGCACAAGTGACAGGCTGAGGATATCAAATCTCTCGGCATCGTCCTTGGGTAGGGGTCGTTCCATGAAGTCCTGTTGGAGGATGCCTTCACCCTGGCTGTTTAAGTCGATGCGCTCGATGTCGAAGTAGCCGCTGCGGGAGCAGGCGTTGGTGGTACTGAGTGCCCCGATCTCCAACATTCGTAGACGTTGTAACTCTTGGCTCGTGCTCGTGGCCTTCAGGTTGGACTCGGTAAGGTTCAGCCACTCCATCAAGACTCTCGAGCTGTCCCCTCCCCGGTCGTTTCTCTGGCCTTGAAGGCTTGCCTGTTGATATCTCTCGAGCCCACCAAGGGAGGCAATTTCTGCTGCTATCTTGGATTCAGTCGCTTTGTCGCCATTTTGCGCGGCCTGCCTTTTCCGTTTCTCCAAGTGGTGAATGTTGTTGATCAGTGTCCTAGTGGCTTGCCTGGAAATTGATTTCGGCTTCTGAGTGATAGGCGGGCGTCCGGCTGCCAACCTGAGCTTGGGCTTCTTTTTCTTGTTGGCTCCCATATTGGCTTCGATTTAATTTCCGTTGAAGAAGGGGCGAGTTCATTCATCAAGAGCAGTCCAGGTTCGCTGTCTATGAGCTGAAGGCACGCCAAAGCAATGCTTATGTAAGGATGCTGACCTAAGTGAGCGTCCTCCACTAGAACCCCACTGTGAAGAAAAACACGTGATACACTTAACTACATCGGGGATACTGGCCAAAAAATCAGTGGTGGGCACACCAAAAATCAAGCGTCTTCGCCTTACTTTTCTTTCCTGCGACAACCACCCAGCACAACCGACAACCCCCGAATTCAACGACGCACCACCATCACTCGCAGAGAATTCGAGATGGCTCCTCCTAAGACAGGTTCGACACCCTGATGCGATCCTTCCATTCGAAAGATCGAGCTCGAAAAAGATGAAGTTGCGCACGCTTTCAACCTGAGGGTCAGGCCGAGGTCGACCGTTTGTCGCCTACCCTTAGGGCAAACGCGGACGACGACGACCTCGACTACCTAGACACCAGGCGACGATGCGATGCATTCCAGCAGCAGCAGACTTTGCGAGTTCTTTCACCGCAGAAAGGGCGATTGCTGATGCGTCATGTTTTGATCAGGTACCAAGGGCAAGGCCGGCTCCAAGAAGGCTAAGGATGCCGCCAAGTCTGCTCTGAAGGGTGTAAGTAATTGACATTTCAGCTCACGTCAGGAATTCGATCGTTAATGAATTTTCTCTTCCATCAGGTTCACTCCCACAAGAAGGCCAAGGTCAGAACCTCGACCTCTTTCCGCCGCCCCAAGACCCTCGTCCTGGCCCGCGACCCCAAGTACCCCCGCAAGGCCATCCACCACGAGCCCCGCCTGGATGAGCACAAGATCATCGTCCACCCTCTCAACACTGAGTCCGCCATGAAGAAGATCGAGGAGAACAACACCCTCGTCTTCATCGTCGACGTCAAGGCCAACAAGGCCCAGATCAAGGCCGCTCTGAAGAAGCTGTATGACATTGACACCGTCAAGATCAACACTCTGATCCGGTATGTGACTTGTTTCTTAAAACAGGCGAAGACGAGCTCAAATGCTAACATCTTTTGACAGCCCTGACGGCTCCAAGAAGGCTTACGCCCGCCTTACCCCTGATGTCGATGCTCTCGACATTGCCGCCACCAAGCTGGCTCTCGTCTAAGCGCTCTCATGGGTAGTTGATGGGTTTCCGGCAAAAATTTGGGGGGTCTTATGGGTACAAAAGGGAAATGAATGATTTAGGGCATTCAAACGGCGTCACACAGGATTTTCGAGGAGCTCTTGATACCAATGGAATGAATTGACAAGTCCTCATCCTGGCCCTAATGCGTAACGCCTCTAATAATGCGTGAACTACCTATACCTTGGATATATCCGAGAGGAAATGCATCAAAAGTAAAAGTGTATCCAATTCGTAATATTCCAGATCGCATTTCATATATGCTACGGCAATTTCCAGCTCTTCTCAAGCCGGTGCCATCGTGTCCTTCCCAAGCTCTTTGGAATACACATGCCTCTCCCGGGACCAGCGCCCGTCATGGCTGTTCAATATTCGGTGTGCATGTCGTCGTCGCCCCAGATCACCCCGTCTGCTGGTACCTCATCCACTTCTTCAATGCTTTTGCGTCTAGCCCTGGCGCATACCCTGCAGGTGCTTGACAGCCAGCACGCTTGCATCCATGAACCGGTCCACACAGTTCGCCAGACACGCCTGCTCGCCCCCCTCCAGCGCATTGCTCCTGATCGATCCCGTGACACATTTCTTGAAGCACATCTCCGTCAGGTCGTGGGACCCTATATTATTATTAGCCTTTCTTTCAGCGCCGGCCAGGTGAGGAAAAGGGTGGCAGTCGGTCAGGTCGCGTGAGCAGGAGGAGGAAGCGGCGTACGCTGCTGAATCTGAGCCTTCTGCTGCTCGTTGTTGATGAACTGTCGTAGCTCCTGCTTGTCCTTGGCGCTGAGCCGGTCGAGATCGGCCTGATCGAACGAGGAGGAGTCCATGATCGTCTTGTAGGAGGGAGAGGAGGGAAGACTTCGGTGGGAGGAGTCGGGTTGCGCGAGAGGATGGAAGAGGGTGGTCGGTTTCGTTGGTAGGCGTTTGGATGCGCAAGATCAGTGACGCTAAGAATCTTTTGAAGCTGGGCCGCGCGGGCCAATGGGATCAACTCCCTGTCAGGCAACTACCCCCTGCCAGACCTTCACTCAAGAGATCTCCAGGAGGGCTCACGGTGGCATCTACATTGTGCAATCAATGCCGCTGATAGTAGAATAAAGTCTGTTCATTTTCGTGAAGTCCTCTTTTATATTTGCTGCTCAGAATTGGAAACTTGGTCCCAATTGCGCCATGTCAGCTGGTGTGAAAATATGAACGCGCTGCAATTCACTCTTCGTTACATGTGTGCCTGGGTCTTCCGAATCAGGCCAACAATAAAAATTGAAATGATAAACAAGGCCTGTCTCCAAGCAGAAAATTGATGATGGAAACTTACTCATAGTTTCTTGCTACAATTACTGTAGTAGATTTCGACTCTTACCTGTGCCCTTTGTGTTCATAATGTGCCAGTCAGTCAAGGCCTTGTACTTCTTCGCCGATGCCATCATTTCCTCCGTCAACTTAATGCTTTATGGAGCGCAAGATCATTGCTATCCGTTCTTCAGGGCAAAAGACAATCGACCCCTTGCAATGGGGCAGGGAACTGTCTGGTCTCTACTTTTTATTTACGTAGATACAGGATACTAGGTGGAAGGTCAGGCGATATTCTGTGCGTCAATTCTTTCTCCAATGTGGGAACTCTATGTGATGAGGTAAAGGTTCTGTCCAGTGCTTGACTCTTCCGTGAATCAAGAGCAGTGCAATCTTGCCTGCAACCACAATCTTCACTTTCTCCACTCTGATCTATGGAAAATGAATTTTTCCAATGCAGATGCCCCAATTCCAATCAGTATGGTCTTGCTTCAGAGCTGAAAAGCCCTTCACAGTGGTACGGCTCCATTCTCACTGCATGATGCGCAGTATCTGGCAACATGTCTACACCCATGTCCCAGACAGAAGAGATCAATGAAGACCAACAGAGCAAAAGGAAGCGGTCGAGACCACCCAGCCTGACAAAGTATACCTCAGCCTCGGAGGGTTTCACACATGGGTTGGGCTTTCATGCGTCAGAATAGCTGCTGTTAATGAGGAGCGTAAATTCAATGGTCCATTGAAGCAGATACTAGATCCTCAAACCTGATAAACAATAAGAGCAAAGTGTTAGGGTATTCAATGGAATAGAATCTAGGATTTGTTGCTTCCTAGCCCTGATTACCTGAGGAAGAGATGAAGGGCTGATCTGATTCGAGACAGGTGCCAGGAGAGAGTTTGTTAATCGAAGGCGCACATATTTATAATTGTGATTTTTCTTCTCCTTTCTCCTCTTATTTGGAGTAATCTCAGCAATCATTCATGTTATGTTGCGGGTGGTTTTTTTGGAATATAAGCTGGAGTACATGGAACATGACGGTTTATATGGGCTGCAGGCTGTCTTTGTCAGCACAATCGCACTTCTGTGCGGAGCCTGTGGCATGCCGGGATCACATTGGCCCCATGTCCTGCCTGGTCTCCTTATCCACCCACGGCACCTTATTCCGACCTCATCCAATACATCCCATCGACATTGTTAACAATTGTGTCAGCCATCAGTGATTTCACGACACCAAAGACGCCTCTCCATTGCCCACCTGTTCCACCACTTTAGGGACCTCCTGCACGAATCTCCGTCCCGGCACGGCTCCTCCTGACCGTCTCCCTTCGAGCTCCGATCCACGACATCATCCAAGCCGACAACACTTCATCCACGAACCGTCAAGTATCGCATCCGAGACCCTCTACAGCCTGCTGCAGGCCGGTTCTATTCCTCTGAACCGCAGAAAGTCGCCAGCATCGGCGGCACTTTGGCCTCGTCCAGCGCGAAAGCGACGAGGCCTGGATAGCACACCATGGGCGACGACCGCAAAGGTGAGTACACACACGGTCGCGCCGTGGTGCAAGGTATAGGACAGACACAACGTCCTAACTGACGCGTCTTCTCCGGTGCAGACGATGAGGCCACCATAAAGGTCGCTTCAAAAAAGAACCATTCCTCAGGAAAAGCCAAGGCTGGCGCCTTCAAACTGAAGGACAGGTTTCCGAAGATCAAGGAACCCGGCGATTATGAGAGAGGCCACGTAGTGGAAGGTCTGTGTATGCAGCTCAAAGCCATCCTGATCCCATCTATCTTGGTCGCAGATTCACTAACAGTCAGTCCCAACAGACCAGAAAAAATCCAAGGCCAGTGCTGCCACGAATCGCGTACCGTCGCCGGGCCCTGCCGTCAACCATCTCGACGACCTCCCGCACGAGACTTTTACCAAAGGCATACCGTTAGCCGACTTCCCAACGTTGACCTCTTGCAGGTGGTGCAAGAAGAGTGTCCTGATGACGACCGCGGTGGACCATATCAACGGGTGTTTGAGGATTAAGAAGGAGAAGGCCAACCGCAAGAAGGCTGCCCGGGAAGCCCGCGAGCGCGCCAAGGAGCAGGCAGCGCGCAAGGAGCGAGAGCGCCGCGCAGAAGAAGAGGGTATTCCCCTGCCTCCCGAACCCGACAGTGACGACGACGACGACGCAGACAAGGCTGCTCCGGGCGGCAAGACGACCAAGAAGGCAGCTGGTAAGAAGGCAGGAGGCGGCGGCGATGGAGACCTAAAGGGCAAGAAGAGGAAGCCGGAGGGCGAGCCCGACAAAGCTCCGAAGCCTAAGAAAAAGAAGGATGAACCGAAGCCCAAGGCGAAGCCGAAAGGTAAGTGTCTCAAAAGCCACAAATCTTTGCGACGATACCCGCCCCCCCCCCCTTCATTTGTATCATCTTGAGCCATGAACAATGCCTCGTTCTCACCAAATTATTTCTCCGATCCTTCTTGGCTAATCTCAGTGTATAAGCAGGTCCTGTGGATGTTGAGAGACAATGTGGTGTGCCGCTGCCCAATGGGCAGCCCTGTGCTAGGTCTCTGACATGTAAATCTCATAGCATGGGGGCCAAGCGGGCTGTAGCCGGACGGTCTCTTCCATATGACATGCTACTGGCTGCATATCAAAAGAAGAACCAGGCTCGTCAACAGAGTAAGTCTCGGATCCATCTACCACTAGGAACAGCCAAGATTCTGACTATCACAACCTGCAGAGGCCGCTCTGGATGCGAATGCTCCCGTCGAGGAAGAGGACGATCCCAACGCCGGGCCCGTCGACTCTGACGAGGAGTATAATGCCGTCATGAGCTCGCTCAGGAAGTGGAACCCGCAGCCCGTCGTGCCGCAGCCCCAGCTCAACTTTCTTAAGAGGGAGACCCAGCTTGTGCGGCTGCGCCACGCAATCGATGCTGCCACAGATAACGGCCGCAAAAGTATCTTCAAGGTCAGGGGCTACGGAGCGCAGCGCCTACCCCCCGGCCATCCCGGCCACCGTCCTCCCGTTCCTATGCTCCCCGGTCTGGACGCTCCCGGTGAGGAGGACGATGATTTGTCTATGCTGGGAGGTGGGGTGCCTGGTAGCGCCATGTCAGCTACTTTTGCGTCCATGACACAGCAAAGACAGCTGTCGGTGGGTGGCCCAGCCTAGAAGTCGGAGGATCAGGATGGCTGAAAGCCCTGTGCTGGGCGGTGAAATACTGGATATGGGATCGCATGGTGTTTGGTGATTCGGACGGGCTTGTTGCTTATGATTCCCTAACTTGACGAGTTGGACGGCGTGATTGTTTCTGAATAATTTCTGCAGCAGGATGTTAGGAAGACTACTACGGAAATGGCTACGTGATGTGAGAAGCATTCCTATATGATTCTTGTTCAATGATTTTTTATTTTTTTTTAAATCACCGCTGGGTTGCATCCTCTTTCACTCTCCTACTCTGGTTTCTATCACTTCATCGGCTGAGATCAAAAAAAGTAAATGAATATAAGGTGATTCTGAACGATGGTAGTATGATCTCGATCGCTACAGAGAGCATTTGTTACCTGCTTACTAACCAATAAAGAGTGTCTTTCGAAAATGTAAGATATCTCACCGAGTTCAAGACCCGTGTGAAGGGTACAGTCTAACCAGGGGCTGTCCCATGATAATCCGGGGTAGATCCACTCAGCTACAGCAGCCGAGGCAGTCCCTTGGCGGGATGACGTCGACCCTATCGCGCCGGTCCCGTGCGAACAGAAACGAAAAGAGGACCGAGAGCGAAACGAATCATCCAGCTCCTTCTGCCCATGTTAATTCAACATTCATTACAGACGTCAAGAAATACTAGCCCTTTATTCTGTACGGCTAGGCAATTGACAAGCTGTCCCAAGTACAAGCCATGACGATCTCGCCACACTGAATCAACTTTCACGTGCTTCGCACCGCATGTGATCCGATCAAGGAAGCAAAAGCTGCACAAAGAGCTCCGAGCTGCCACCACCACCACCATCACCACCATCTTACCTGACCCCCATCGTCCACAACCACACCAAGCCAGCCTTGAAAGGACCACCCAGAACGGCAAAACGATGCCGGCAGACAAGTTCCTCCCGGCCATAGGCCACGCCGTGTCCGGTGCAGTCGGCACCGCCATCTCGACGACGGCGACGTACCCGCTGGACCTGGTCAACACCCGTCTCAAAGTGCAGCGGACTATTGCGGCGACCGAGCAATACGATGGCCTCCTCGACGCCTTTACGAAGATATATGAGCGGGAGGGTGGGCTGGGGGCGTTCTATGCGGGTCTTGGGTCTGATGTCGCTAAGAGCGTTGCTGTATGGGAATCATAAATCTTTTTCTTTTTTTTGGGGCACTTTTCTTTTTTTGAAGTCGAACCCCAAAATAAGCTGACTTTGCTCATCCTCTCTTTCTCTCTGACAGGACAGCTTCCTCTTCTTCCTCTTCTACACATGGTTCCGCTCCCGCCGGTCCCGAGCCAACAGCCGCCGCCTCCCCGCGTGGGAAGAGCTCGCCGTGGGCGCCGCAGCAGGCGCCTGCGCGCGCCTCTTCACCACGCCCATCAGCACTGTCGTGACGCGAAAACAGACCGCCTCGCTCATCACAGCACACGAAGACGCGAACCTCAACCAACAGGATATCACTGGCGGGGGGGATGGTGGTGGTAGGAGTAGGAGCGCGGACCTCTCGTTCGCAGAGGTGCTGCACGTCATCCGCGCCGAGAGGGGCCTCCTGGGCCTTTGGTCTGGGTATAGCGCCACCCTGGTGCTTACGCTGAACCCGAGCATCACGTTCTACCTGCAGCACGCGCTGAAGAAGGCGCTCGTGGAGGACAGGGGCCGCGGGGTCGGGGTCGGCGAGGGCGGGGCCATGACGTTTCTGGTCGCGGCGCTGAGCAAGGTTGTCGCCACGGCGGCAACGTATCCGTTTAATATCGGCAAGACGAGGATGCAGGTCTCTGTGCCGGACAGTCCGAGGTCAGAGACGCCGTCGTTGTCACGGGAGACGGAGGATATTACGGTGTCGTCGTCGTCCTCGTCGGAAAAACGAGAACGTAGCCCGGCCGAGTCCGTCAGCCGGCGTCTTCGCCGGTTGTGTGGGGACAACATATTCACGACTATCATGGACACGGCGAGGGCCGAGGGTGTCTCGGCTTTGTATGATGGGCTGCCGGGCGAGCTGCTCAAGGCCTTCTTCAACCACGGGACAACGATGCTGTCCAAAGAAATTGTCCATGGCTTGCTTGTCCGGTTGTACTTTTTCATCTTGGCGGTCGTCCAGAGATCCTCGACCTCGCAGGTCTTGCTCTCGAGGCTGTCTAGTACGAGGTATGGAGAGCTGAGACATAGATTGATGAGGGGAGCTCTCGTCATGAGTCTCGTGGAGTGGACGCGGAAAAATACGATTGTGGCCAGATAGCAGGCAGAGTGCCGATCCTGAAACTCAGAAAGAAAATCAAAAATAAAAGAAAAAATTGGCAATTAAAGAAGTATGATTACCCTGCGGCAGGATGGAGGGGCTAAGATGACGGTCGATTTCTCTTCTACTATCAGCACTGGAAGGCTGTCCCCGACTTCTTTACCTCGTTCACTCCGCCAGCAGAGAAGCCTGTGCCATCACTCTTCAACTCAACGATGCCCGGTCGTATCCTCTCCTTGTCTTTTTTGTGACTGCTCTTCTTCGGCGCCCGCTCCGTGACATCTTCATCGCACGTGTAGCACCGTACCGTATCCGGGCCGTCCGCGTCGTCAGGGTGAGCGTGCGGGTCCACACTACCCGACGGCTTCATGAACTGAGCCGCGCAGGCCTTGCAGAGCACATGCCCGCAAGGTTTGGCAAGCATGGCTCTGGAGGAGTTTGTCAGGGCCTTCTTGCAGCTGGGACATATCCTCGTCTTGGCTTTGGCGTCCTTGGACTCCTCGTCCTCCTCGGCGAAGTTGATGGTCACCAGCATGTGCAGCGAGTACGGATGAGGGCTGTTCTCCTGCGATGACGGACATATGGGCGTTGTCTTGACCTTCTTTTTGACCTCGTGCAGCTTGTCCTTTGTGTTGGAGGTCGGCACTACTGAGGGTACCCAGAAGGACGGCAGGGACGGTTTCGAGTTCTGCAGAGCCAGATGGTCCAGTCAGCAAACCAAACTGAAAAGACACGTATAAACACCCACCACAGCACGCCCAGGAATGTTCGCATAGTAAAAGCCTACCTTCTCATCCTCGATGGCCCTCCGTGCTTTTGCACGGTCATCCTCAGCATACCGCGCGACCTCGTCCTCGTCTAGCGCAAACTTGCGCTTCGCACCCCTTCGCGCCTCGCCGTCCACGTCCTCTGTGGTAGCTGTAGGCTCCTCCGTCCTCCTCCCACTGCCACCACTAACGTCGAAGCCAGCCTGCACAAGCTCAAACTCCCGCACCGCCCTCGCCCGGGCCTCCTCGTCGCTCCGCGCCCTGGCCTCAGCAGCCTCCTTCTCCTCTGCCTCGCGCGCCTTCTCGGAGCGCTTGATCTCCTTCTTCTGCGCCAGGATGTTGCTCAGGGCACACTCGCGGCAGAAGATGTGGCCCAGGGCGCAGGCGACGGGGTCGACGGCTTGACCCAGGCACAGCGAGCACGAGCCGAAAGGGAGGAACGAGTCACGGCTCAGACGGGCGGAGGAGGCGGTCCATGCGGACTTGGCCATTGCCCGCTCGTGGGAGGTGAAGACGGGGCGGGAGGTGTTTCTTTTGCCTGCGCTGTTAGATCGTGGCGTTCTCTCCTTTTGGGGGAGGGCGGGGCAAAGAGGGCTTGGTTTGAGGAACGTACTGTGTGACATTGTGGCTGATTTATGGAACAGATCAGAGACCAAGAAAATGAGGGAGAAGGATTGATCTGAACAAGACCTTTCTTGTAGGTCTACAGCTTTTTTTCTCCTTTGAATTCAGCTGAGTGGTTGAATCTGTTTTCTGCGGCGTCGTTGGAAGGTTGCGAGTTGGTGGTCAACTACGGTACACAAGGGGAAACTAGCAACAGTATTACTTACATAAGCAATCCTATCCCGATAACGACGCGTCGCACCGCGTCGTCCCTCAACTTCCCTCAACCCTCGACAAACGTACCACAACACCTTTTGCACACCTCGGTTGCGCACAACAACAACAACAACAACAACAACAAACAAAGACAGAAGAGCAGCCAGATGGAATTATAGCAAAGAGAGATTACCAGAATCTGCCCCACAAGACGAGCAAGAACGAGCCCCAAATGACAATGGCAACCGAGGCTCAAGCCCCGCAGCCACAGCGCAGCAGTAGCAGCGCCTCGCCCACCAACGACAACAACCACAACACATTATCCGCACAAGAGCAACAGCAGCAGCAACAACAACCACCGCCGACACAAGATCAAGAAGCCACTACTACTACTTCTACTGCCACCACCACCACCACCACCACCCCAACATCCCCGCCCCTACCAGCCCGCCACACACCCACAACCCCAGGCCCCCGCGCCCAGCGCCTCCAGGACTCCTTCGACGCAGCCCTGGCCCGCACACTGGCCAAGATCTCCCCCGACAACTTCGGGTCCTGCTACCCGACCCTCGCCTCCCGCGCCCCGCACGTCCTGCGCCAGGTCCAGCGCGGCATGGTCGACCGCCTGGGCCAGCTCTGCGCCGCCGAGTTCGCCAAGGTCCTAGAGCGGTACGCCGTCGTGCCGCGCCTGAACGAGCTCGAGGCGCTGGCGGGGGATGCGGAGCTGCGGCGGCGGGCAGCTGCGGCGGCGGCAGCGGCAGCAGCAGCAGACAGAGGTGGACAGAGGGGAAAGGGGAAGGGGAAAGGCAGGGAGGGCGAAGAGGAGGCGGAAGAAGGAGAAGGAGGAGGAGGAGGAGGAGGAGGAGGAGGAGGAGGAGGAGGAGGACAAGAAGCGGGCGGGGGCGGCGGCAACAATAACCCCGTCCCGCCGCACCTGCTCCCGGCCGGGGTGGTGCTGGCCGCACACCTCGCGCCGCACCTCGCGAGCCAGCAGAGCCAGCTCAACGCCCGGCTGCAGAACACGCAGGCTGCCAACGTTGTGCTGTGGGAGGAGGTCCAGGCGCAGAGGGCCGAGGTCGAGAGCTTGCTGGCCGCGCTGGAGGCCGCGCTGGCGGATGTTGACGGCGCCGCGGGTCTGATGGAGGGGGTGCCGGCTGAGGCGCTGGCGGTGGAGAGTCGGACTGTGGAGGTCGAGATGGCGGATGTATGAGCTGGGACAGCGGAGAATGGTGACAAGAGAGTTTGGAGGCGTTTGGGCGCAGCTGAGAGCTGCAACTCAGTTCTAATGCTGCCAATAATATGGTAGCCCAAAGTAAAGAGGGGGCAAAGGGGGGGGGGGGGGGCGTACTGGTCTGCACAGCAGCGCACCTGTCAACGTGCGAGGGCTGTGGTGGAACAGACAACAGACCCATGAGTGATGATGACTACTACTACGACGGACATACCAGGCGTTGGTGGAGGCTATTTTTCTTTCTTTCCATTTTTAACAGTCGGGCAAAGATGATGATGATGATGATACCTATATGAGGACAGTCCTATGTACATAAAATCGACCTCTTCTCTGTCCATGGTTCTGTTCTCATCAGCCCCCATCGACGCGTTTAAAAAAAGAGAAATTGAAAATGCTGGCTGTCTTTTGGGCACAGGATATAGCCGCCGCCGCTTCTCGCAAGGCCTCACTCATGCTTTCTTTCCATAGTTTCGATATGCAAAGAGGTATATAAAGATTAAGAAAACAACAAAATCAACCACAAAGGAAAAAGGAAGAGCAATGCCCAGTCCCTTTATCGCCTTGGAACGCCGGACCGCAAAGGGTCATCAAATGCGCACAAAAGACTAATGCAACCATTTTCGCTGCCAATGACCCACGTGATTGATGATTTCCACATGATGAGATGGGATATCTGTATGTGTATAAGTGCAATGTGATGATGACGATGATGAATGAAATAGCAAGGGTATATGTGGGACATCTGTGTGAGAGACAGAAGAGAGGGTGTGTGTAGGAGAAGGAGGAGGAGGAGGAGGAGGTTGGAAATTAATGTCATATACGCCGGTTATCAGCATGTATGACCTGCCAAGGACCCCAAAACTCGGGCTCGCCATAGGATGGCGGTTGAACCCGTGACATCTGACCCGTAGACCAGTCGATGTGCCACCTCTGACCCTTGAAGATGACAAAGTTGGACTTGCGTGGGCTCTTGAACAACAGCACCGCATAGCACAGCTTGGCGTAGACCATGTCGTGCGTGGTGGACCACAGGTGCCGTGGTCTCCACTTGCCCGTCTCGGGCTCCAGATCTTCATTCGCCTGGGTCGACGTCGATAGTCGATCGAGCGACGGCTCATTGGGTGATGATGCTGTGGTGGTGTGGTGGAAGTTGCTGGGGGACTGTATGACGGACGACCCATCGAAGATGCCCGGCCCGTTATGGGAGATGTCGACACCCAGCGGCCCATCGCCCGGCATGTCTTCCGAGTCGAGGGGTGAGATGGGCAGCGAGTCACCAAAAGAATCCCATATCTCTCCGCCGCCAGTCCCTTGCGGGCCAAACTGGCCCCGGAGCCATCGTAGTCTCTGTATGCGCGGTATGCTCTGATCTCGAGGAAAGTCACGCTCGTCAATCGGAATTGCCACGTCGATGGCGGCGAAAAGACACTCGAGCCACTTGACAAAGGTCACCAGCTCCACACATGAGATGAGGAATTGATCCGTCTCCGCCCTGATGCGGATCACGTAACGGCGCCTGCGACTCTACTGTCAGCCCTGTGTCTCTTTCTCTCCCTCCCTCTCTCTCTCCCTCCAGGAGGACACGAAGTGGCAACGAAAAGAAGGAACCAATCCTGGGAGACGAAATGGTGGTGGCGACTTACTTGTGATAATCAGCGGCTATGCCCACGTCGGCGTGCTGCAGGCTGTAGCTGCGCTCTAGTGTACCTTTTTTCAACCACGAAGGGTTGTCGGGCTTGACGTCGGGACCATGCATCCGGTTCTTGCCCCAGCCGAAATCCTTCTTCTTGGCCGAGTAGATGTGCAGGGCTGTGCCGTGCAAGACGACGAACATGGTACGCCAGTTTCTGTACTCGGCCCTCTTGACGGCATCCTCAATCTCCATCTTCATCTGGAAGACATTTTCCATGTGGACGTCGCAGTAGTACCCAGGCAGATTCTCCTGATCCGTCAACACGCTCTCATCCATGACGGCCTCCTTGCCCTTCCGGGACGGCCCTTCGTATGCCCCGTGTGTGGCGACATGGTAGGCTGGTGGCATGGGCGGCTGCGCAAAGGTCATGACCTGCTCGTAAAAGTAATCCTCCTCCATCGACAGGCGGCGCACCGGCCGGTTGTCGATGGGTGCCAGTTCCAACGCATGGTTAAAAACGTCGAAAGTGGCGGAGGAGTTGTCGTCGTCGTCATTCGGATCCATGACCGGTGTGAAGGGCCACTTGGGAGATCCACCCACGAGCCCTGATGATGTAAAGAATGGGAGACCCCTCCCCTCGGCTTTCCCGATGTTTTTGTTTTGTTGTTTTTAATTCCTCCTTTCTCTTTTAAACCGCCAATCCACCATGATCAAAACACCTTGTGCGAGGATGAGGAGACGCTGCCTCTGTACTCGCCTGCCTCCTCAATTCCCCCCCCCCCACGCACACTCGCACACCCACCGCTGACCGGACCGAGACGTGAAAGTAGTGATCTTCCCCTCCAACCGTCTTTAGATCCCAGGCTTTGTCGTCGTTGGGAACTAAAGACAGCAAATGTCAAGTCCACTTTCGAAACCAGAGACCTTTCCACAACATGTGGCCGTGTAATGAGATGAAGAATGAAGCCGTTTTTGCCAATCTCGTCAGGTCGACTTTGCGTCCTGGAGATGAGGAAGTATCGAGGCGCCAACCAGCCAGCCTCAGGGCGGGTTGACCATTTGAGAAGGTTTGGCCTTGAGTGTGAGACGTGTGACAAAGTCCAAGGGCTGACTGACTGCAAGCAAGATCGGATAAAGCGGGAAGCGGGAAGCGGAAATCAACACAGGTCGATAGAATCCAGCAGCTGTAGGATGGTGGTCCAGACGAGGAGAAATTCTGTGGGAAACAGAAGGAAAAAAAAAAGACAGTAGCAGCAGAAAAGAGAGAGAGAGAGAGAGAGAGAGAGAGAGAGAGAGATGAGAACAAATGAGAACAAGATGGGAATGGAGATGGAGATAGAGGAAGAGCCAGAGAGAGAGACAAGAGAGAGAGAGGGGGAGGGCGCGGGAAGGGGGGTACACGCAGTCTTAGTCCAATGCAAGAGAAGGTAAGGGTAGAAGTTTGGAAGGCGTGCCAATCTGCAAGAGGGAAACGACCCCTGCTCCCTGGTCCCTGATCCCTGTCTGCCTTGCGTAACAAGCAACCCCTGTCGCTCTTCAGTCCTGTCCCGGTCTAGTGCTTCGCAGTACTGGTCCTCTCCGGAAGGTCGGCGGTACTCTTCTGGAAGTCGAGGAAACGCCGGATCAGGTAGTTAATCAGCATCTCCATATTACTCTGTGGATTTCCACTTTTTTCTTTCTCTTTTTTTCTTTCTTCCTCTCATATCATGCTGATCACATCACTTTTGTGCCATATTCACATGCTTACGATCTCCGGTCGTGACTGTATGCAAGAGTGTAGGTTTGAAAGGGGTGGGGCATCATCAAGCCGTGGCAGCTCACCCCTCAAGGATCTGGTTCGGGGTCATGAACACTCAAAACGACACCCATATGAGCGCGAGAACCCACAAACGGCGCCGATGTCTGAACAAGTTACCCTCATCGCGTGCTTACTACTCACCCAACCCGCCTGCAGGTAGGTGGTGGTGGGTGACCTTGCTCTCTCCTCCTCCTCCTCAAGGCGGAGCCCCCAGCAATACGGACAAGAGACCGAGGCAGAGTCGACCCTCCCGGTAGAGCCTAGTACGCGTTCTGGTCGCGGGACCTACCGAGGCCCCCCTCGCAGGCCAAGCTCTCCAGAGACCCCACTAGCAGGCAAAAGTGCCCCCGTCAGGCCAACTCGCCGTCAAAGCGGGCCTAAGCCTGTTTTGGCAGGTTGTTAACGTCCCTCCTGGCAACGGGGAGTCTGGAGTCGACATGCCGGCGTCGCTTGTATATCTTGTTCAGCATAGGTGGTATTGTGCTAATTGCGTGATCCTGTGAGGCTATTGCCATGAGAGGGAGGAGGCAACGACATGGCTTGCGAGGCTGGTATGATCCCCCTCTACGATAGTATTTTTAGATTGGGTCTGGGTGGTTCTTATGCTTTGTTTTCTTGTTTCTCGTCGTTTTTTTTCCCGTGTTCCACAAACCTCGTTATAATCATGCTTTCGAGTCTCCCCCTCAGCGTATCTTCTCCGCTTTGGATCGGCTCACCTACTTCTTCTGAACCGATACTACAACAGCTGAGTTGGCCCAGGGGCTGACTAAACATGGCAATCCTTGTGAATGCTGGCCTAATCTTTGGTGGAGGAGGGAAGGGAACAAGAAGAAGAAGAAGAAACAAAAAAGGCCCGTCTCGATACAGTCACATTGTACACGCCGCCAGGGGGGCACGTGAGCAAACAAACCCACCCATTCACGTGCCCTCATCTCTTTCTCTTGACCGTTCATGATGGTCAGCACCAGTGGCGAAAGAACTGCGGTTTCTCCCGCTTGTCAGGCTTCTGGAATAAATCTGGAAGCAGGCAGTAGCAAGATCGACCTGACGCCACCGCCACCTACTACCTTTGCCTCTCTTTTTCCCCTCTCTGTCATCTGCTCCGACTGATGATCTCGCTCTGCTTCGAGCAACGGCTTGCGAGGTTCATCAAAAAGAGAGGAAAAGGTAGTTGGTGATTGGATGAGGCGTTGATAATCTGCTCTTTCTTTTTCCTTTCTCTTTTTCTTTTTTCCGGCGTCGCTCATTCCCAGGAATTGTTCTGGTTCGGACGAAAATACCCAAAATCATCCTCGAATCCCGATGGACAGTGGCCACCAAAAAGAGAGGGAGAGAGGGCAGGACTTGCTGAGGAGAAGCTCTGATCGTCACTGGAGTGGGTACAGTTTCACCTGGGGGGGGGGGGGGGTAACACATACAAACACAATCAAATCAATCTCCGACCTGATTCCTGTCGGTGGGGATTGGCTGGTTGTTTGGGTTGGCTGGCCCAGGTTCCGACATGCCGATGGCAGGGCCAGACTCGTCCTTTTTTTTTTTTTTCATGGGCGGCAGGGTCTGCAGGTCTGCTTAACAAAGCAAAAGCACCACAGTGCAGTACCTCATACGAGAGCGAGACTGGCAGAAAGCGAAAAAGAGAAGCAGAAAGAAAGGGCCCTGGGCACCACATGGCATGGCAGGGTATGTCGGGACGGCATGTCCGGTTTTTCCTTGAGCCATCGTCGTCATCCAGTCCCACCAGAACAGGAAGGAGGTTGACGGACGAAGGAGAAAAGAACGCTTGTCGAGGCTGACAACAACTCTCCCCCTCTTCACATGGCCATCATCGTGAGTCGCATTCGTAACTGCCTTCCTCCTCCTCCTCCTCCTCCTTCGTGCGGCCACCTTGCCTCCTACTCTACTCTTCCCCCCCTCGTCGGGACTAAGACACGATGCGGGCTGAGACCAGGCAGATCATCGTGCAACACAAGCCCTTGTCGTTTGGGGCATCGAGATGGATGAACGGCGCGGCTGAGACGTGTCAAGATGTACGCCGCGTGCTGATCATCGCCCTCCCTCCCGCTGTTTCGGGGCACGTGTCGGGGTTGCAAACAAGATACAATATCTACTTTGTGGGCGGATGTCATGTGTCGTCTCTCCATACAGCGCACCAATACGTCCAAATACGATATGTGTGTGGAGTAAATCTATGACGGGTCGGTCGTGTGTAGGGAGGGAATAAACTCAATGGCGCGCGAGCGAAAGATCGGCGCTACTTACAATGTAGTGTACTTATCCTCTAGTCATGCATGGGCATTTTGTCTTTTGATGAGTGCGACTATATTCGCCCTGCCTGGCTGCTATTATTCTCTCAACTAGTCATTGCTGTTTGTTTGGACTTCCTGCAAAGTTGTTGTGCTTCTCAAGACACCTCTGGTATCGTGCCCTCACCTCATCTGATTAGTTCATCGTCGAGTAGATGTATCTTTGTTCTTTGAACTTCAGCTGTGATCTGGTCTCCCATGATGTACCCTGTCCGTCCAGCATTTTCTACTCTCCTTTATTATTCCTGGGCTCAACGCCTGTCCTACTCCGCAGCTGCCTCCTCTTTCGCTTCCTCGGCATCCTCCTCGACCAACAAACCAAGAACCCTCCCACAGCTGGCTGAGTGCCTATGAATGAATCGTCGCAATAGCCCCCAACCAGCAACGTAGACCGACAGACCAATCCCGCCCTCAGGACTCACACACACTCTTTCTCTCTCTCTCACACACACATACACACCAGCCAACCCTCCCCCAAGTGACTTGTACTCTTATCTCATCCCCACGCCGTCTCCGTATGGGTTAGATAGGCATGCATGAGCCCCTTCCCCTCCTCGCCCAAACCCACCCAACCGTCGAAAGTACCTAGCCACCCATCTGCCCGTCCACGTCCTCGACTCCCTCTGGAAGTAACACGGAAGCGTCGGAACCTCTGTCTGGTACGAAAGGGTTCCTCTCTCCTCCCCACGACCTCACGGCATACCTCGCCATAGCGCCTGAGTCAACAACGACAGGAGGGGTGGAGGCGAGGAGGGAAGCACCTCCCACCCACCCTCCCTCCCTTTCCCCTCATCGCCCAACACCCTCTTACCTAAGAGAACCCCACGCACCCAGCTCAATATCGTCTTGCTCTCGTGCTCGGCCGGGCACTACGTTACAGAAGAACGTCTCTGCCCAACTCTCCCCCCCCCCCCCCTCCACACACACACACACACACACACACAGAGAGAGAGAGAGAGAGAGAGAGAGAGAAAGTAACACAGAGACTGTAAGAGAGGTGAGGACTCAGTGCCATCTTCACCACTCTTCTCTTCCTTCCGTCTCCACTACTTTCTTGCTGCTGTCGCCGCCGTTTGCATAAATCCCGCCTCTCCGATCCCCCCTTTTCCCCATTCCATCCCGTCCCTCCCTCCCCCATGAGCCCTGCGCCGTCGATCACCCTGCCAGAGGGGACGCCGACATACACCGCCCGCCCACCTTCCAGCCAAAGGTGTATGTCCTGTTCTCTCCCTCTCCTCCGGCCCCATCTCGGCTCTTGAACCTGCCTGTTCGCCGGCGCCCAGGGTCTGCAGATCATGCACACGTGGGCGCTCGGGATGACCTAAGGTGGCCCTCCCACCTTTCCTGTGGGCTTTGTTCCCGAAGCTGTGTGACGAGTTCGACGGGGAGAAAGTGTGTGTTGCTCATCTCGTTGGATGGGTACTCGATGGCGCAAGATTTGTCAGGGTCAACCATCTTCCTGCTGCCACAGGAAGGTTGCATCACTGCCTCCCCCCCAAGATTTCACTCTCCTTCTCCCCAGATGTCATACTCGAGACACTGCGCGTTCATGGCGAACCACTTGCTTCACCAAGAGACATATCGAAACCCTTGTTGATGCCGAATTTTGAATTTGGGAGATAAACTATATGCCAGGTGGATCAAAAACCCATGCAGGTTGGCAAAGACTCGGAGACAATCGCTGGCTGCCGTCATGAGTGCCCGTCCGTTTTCCGAGTTTCGTCGTCAGTTATGTTTTGGTGGTGTACACGTCCAGGTGGAGTTTTTTATCATTACAAGCTTCGTCCTCCCTTCCCGTCCCCGGTGATCCTCGTCCTTGATATCCGTCGCCCTTTGCAAATCTTCCTACCGGCCCTGGTATCACACCCTCCGCGGCCCCTTTTTCCTCGTTGCTCGTGCATATCATTCCCATCTCCTACAGGTGTTTGACCACATGATCATGCAAAATGTGAAGTGAAAACGACCGCCTTCCTGTGCGCTTGTGCCCCTACCAAGTAACGACGTGCGCGCAGGGGACGCCCCGAGCAATCAACGGAATGAGACAAAAGAAAAGGTGGTTTTTTCTCTCGTTTTGCAATGCAGATACCGCAATGCGCCAATTCACAGAGCACGACCACACACCGCCATGACACCACCGACCGGGCCAAAAACTCCCAAAGACTCCAGGAACAACTTTTGGGGATTACAGAGAAAAAGAGAAAAAAAAAAAAAAAAGAAATGCTGACCAGCTCAATCGCTTCCCCGAATTAGAACTGAGCAAGAAAAATCGAGTCGCCATGATGCGGCTTTGTTCACGCGTTGGTGGCCTGGGCACCACCACGACCACGAGGGGCACCACGACCGCGGCCAGTGTAACCTCCTCGTCCGCCTCCTTGGCTACCGGAACGGTTGCCGTCGAAACCACCGCGGCCGCGCCCAGCCACACCGCCACGGTTGTTGCTGTAGTTGGCTCCGCCATAGGCACTTGCCTTAGGACGCCTAATCTCAATGACAATGCTCTCGCCCTGAACTGAGATGGGGCTTGCCTTGATCGCCGCCTGGCAGCCTGCGGCTGTCTGGTACTCCACAAAAGCACATGTCTGCAGATAAAATGTCAGCGGAGGTCTGTCTGTGGAGCGGTACGTTCATAGAGACAATGCTGCCTTACCTTGGAGCGGTTGATATCGAAGTAGACAAGATCACCGTAGGCGCTCAGTGCGGCCCTCAACTCGTCGTCCTTGACCTTCTCGTTGACAAACTTGACGTAGGCCAGGGTACCCTCCTTCTCGCCCGATGGTGTCGCGCTCGAGTGCTGTCGGCTCTGTCTCTTGGAATCGGCACCGGCTGTGCGCCACTCGTTGGCCTCCTTGTTCGCAGATTGAGCAGGGGCCTCGGCAACAGAAGTGGGCGTGCTGGGCGTCGCGGTCGCGGCAGCGGGGGCAGGAGTAGCAGCGGGGGCAGCAGCTGGGGTGGCAGTAGTAGCGGCGGCGGGTCGCGTCTGTGCAGGTGAAGCGGCCGCAGTGGCCTTGTTTGGCAACGGGATGGCGGGCTTAACGGTGGGCTTGCCCGCTCCAGCGACCACGAGGTTAGCCCAAGTCATCTGCTTGGGAGGGCCCTTGGGCTTCTCAGGCTCGGGAGCTGGTGCTTGGGCGGGAGCTGGGGTAGGACTGGGGTCCTTGGGGACCTCGGGCTGCTTGCTCTCCTCAGCAGCAATCTCCTGCACAGCCTGCTCCGGGTCGGGGGAGGGCTCGGCGACCTCGGGCTTGCTTGTGGTCTCTTGAACAGCAGGAGTGGCCTCAGCGGGGGTCTCGACGGCAGAATCCTCGGCCGACTCCTTGGCTGGAGAGCTGGACTCTTCGAGCTTCTTGTTGATGGCGTCGGCGTCCAGCGCGGCAGGTTCGGCCTGGACTGGCTCCTCGGCCTGGACTGGCTCGGGCTCGGCCTCAGGAACGGGCTCCTCAGCGGCCTCGGGTTCGGCAGCAGCAGCAGGCTCCTCCGCGGCGGCCTCGGCGGTCTCTTCATCACCCTCATTGATATATCTCAGGATGTCGTTGAGAAGGTAGTATCCGGCGGGTTGCGCTGCGAGGACGAAGGTCTGCACAAATTTCTTAGGCTCGCCAGACTTGTTGGAGATCTCTCCGATAACCTGAATGACGATGTTGTCGAAGGAGGCCTGGGAATCGACGTTCGAGACGCGGACCTTGCAGTCTGAGAAATCGAGCTCCTTGATACGCTCTTGAATGGCCTGCAAGGAAAACCCATTAGGACACACTGCTCCACGAGAGAGGGAGGAAAGGGTGGCTGCAATGGCCTTCAATGCTGGGGGGGATTTCAGACATACCTGTCGTCCAACAGCAACATTCACTAGCTCAGCCTCAGGACCTTGGACAAACTGGGATCGCTTGTTGTAGAACAGCTAGACGAAGGTTAGCGAATGAATGATGGCAACTCCTTGATCAGCGCGCTGAACTCACGTGGAGCTTGCTGGGGTTCTTGCTCAGGGTGTTGTAGTATTGCTCGACAAAGTACCAGCCGACCTCATCCTTAGACAGGGCAGCGCCAGTAGCTGATTCGGTAGGTGCAGCAGAAACAGCGTCAGAAGTGGCAGGCGGGGTAGCATACTGCTCCTGGTGGGTGAAGTTGCCGTTTGTTGCCATTTTGTTCTGTCCAACTGACTGTGTGGGGGGTTTGACTGCTGCTGCTGCTGTGCTTCCTATCTTGTCGTACTCAGGATCTTCGAATGTTGTGTCTCCTTGCCACAGCGCAGTCTCTTTCTCGACAGATTGTGGTGGACTAGATCTTGTGTAAAGGAGGTGCAGAGACTGTCGGTAGAGGTCTTAGCTTTGCGGATTGGTGGTTGGAGAGCAGGGACCAAGGGGCACTGCTGCAAATGAACCTATCTACGTTAATGATGAGAAACGAAGAACAGATGGAATATGGTGAAAGATTTGATGAAGTCTATTGTTGGACAAAGCAGCAGCAGTGACTCCTATGTGTGATGTTGCTGGCGACTGCCAGGTTGTGTGGCAGCTCGGGAGAAGAAGTATGCGTGGGATGATGACAAACACGTTGCCTATGATTTTGGAAGAAATCGAGTGGACAATGGTATGACCTCGGTGGAAAGGTTGTTGATCAAGATTGTTGCAGGAGGCGTGAATAAAATCGTGAAGGTGGTGGTGTGGAGGACAGAGGCGTCTGAGAACAATGGAGAGGTGTGGAGGTGGTTGAGGTTCAAATTGGGCTGCTCGCTTGTTGACGTGAGGCAAATGAACGTGACGAGAGAAAAAATGTCAATTCTTCCCCAGAGCTGACCAGGCACAAATGTGGAAAGAGCAGGGTTCCCCTCAGGTGGCCAAGGCGCTCTTTTTTTCTCTTCCTGTCGCTTTTAGTGAAATACCCGGATTTTTGGCTGGACGCTGGCCTGTGTGCGGTACCGCTCTAGCACCAATTAAAAGCTCTCCAGATGTTCGCAGCAGCTTTCCTGCCCGATCTTATCCTCCTCCAAAATACCTGTGGTACGAGCTTAAGTTTCTAGGAGAATACCTTCACACTCAACACCAAGCTGCACAGCAACCATCTTTACCTTTCAACGCTTATATAGAATTTTTTTTAATAATAAAAAATTGGAAGAGCAAAAAGAGAGAGAAAAAAAGAGAGAGAAGGTGGCCACCTCATACCTCAAGGAACTGATCCCGGAATTCTGGCAGCTTTCAAGGTCAATGATGTAGCACGCATCCCCAAAAAGGCTGTGATTGTCAATGGTGGGAAGGGGTTCTTACGCCACTTTTACTGGGCTTTGTCTGCCTCGAGTTTTTCACCACTAAACGAACGCGTCCTTGATTCTGGGGATTGGATGACAGGACATGACAAGCCAATGAACAACTCATGCTGCTGCTGTAGCTGCATGTTCAGCATGGCTTGAAACCAAGAGACATGGGACGAGATAGCCCTGGTACTCAAGTACAAGTCTTGGTGAGGTAATGTGGCTGGTGTAAGGATGACAGGGCCAGGGCGGGGACTGGATGACAAAGATGCTCCAGGTGGCTGCTAAGGAGGGACTTCAAAGTCATGGGACAGCTGGGTTAACGAGGTTTTCGGTGCCTGAAGAGGCACCTGCTAACTCATTTCCATTTCTTGTATCATGTCTAGACAATCCGCCAAGGCTGAGAGCTCATCTCTTAATGGCCACTCTCTGCTGCAAGCACATATGAGTTTAGATCAGGGTATTACTTTTTGCTGTGGAAGGCACCAAGAGACCTCACTCGTGATGCTAGCCTAGTCTCCTGTCCAGAGGGCAGGTACCAGATGTGGATGATCTTCACCTAGCGTACTTGGGCATCTGCCTTAGTCCCCAAGTATCGTCCAGATTGGGGAAATCGCAGGAGGTACCTAATGCTCAGGCTCAACAAAGCATCAGTACTGCATCTCCCTCATGCACTGAAATCCATCAAGGTTCCATCCACCCTGATTATGGCCCTCAAGGTGACAATCTTGATGTCTGGTTCCAACCACAGCAAAAGAACCATCAACAGCAGTGATCATCACTCCAACCACCTGGGCACACGAAGTCACCACATCATCAGCTTGCCCTCCCTGTATAGCAACAAACAGGTCTGTGCTACATATAAATCTCGTGTCTAGATTGAAGCAGTCATCAAGAGAGCATTGTGCTCCCTCACTGTGAAAGAAACCTTGGATGTAGGCGGAGGGGAGTGCTGACAAGTGTACCGACTTTGTGCCCAGCTTCAGGTTCATGAGGGTTGAAACGCAGCCGTCGCCCGGATTCTTGGTGTTCCAGGCATGCAGTGGGTAGAGATCGCCTGTCTGCCCCTTTAGCACGCAGGACTTTTTCGCCAAGCTTGCTTTTCGGCAACCATCATTCCTTCCAATTCATCTTCATCACAGACATGGTCATCTAGTGAAGCTGCGCTGCCAGTTACACATGGCCATCTCAGTGTCTGATGAGCCCATGTCCTTTCCCATAGTGTATGGTTCCCAAATGCTGACCGCATCCTCTAGATCAGCGTTGAGCACTGGTTGTGAGAAGCCATGATGCGAGCATATTGAGTGAGAGAAGAAAGTGAATAACATCATGCTGAGGCTGACAGAGTGAACATGGATCAAAGACAACCCACAGATAAGGAGAGAGAGAGAGAGAAATATGTCACCATTCACTCACTCGGCCGGTCGTTCCGGAGAATGTTCTTCTTGGCTTCCATGCATGAGCCAGCTGAGACCCCGCTCATCACCAGAGCGGAGGCTGGCATGTAGATTGGCTGGTGCCTGCGGACTGGCCCGAGACGCGCTTCTGCTGCTCGAGGGTCATAGATCGGCGAGGTTTCGGGAACCGTAACAACAACCTCATCACCGAGCCGGGAGGGGTGCTCCCTTTCCTCGGGAGGGCGGGCGTGGATTTCGTGGCAAATTTGAGTTGAGACCGAGACGCGGTTTATTTTTATGATTGAAGAAAAGTCGAGGATCTGGAGTTCCTGCGCCCCCAACCGTCGGTCGTTGTCAGGATGACTGACATAATATATCCAACGGGGGCTCTCGCCTGCATGTCATGTCGCTCGGAGGATCCCGCGGCCTTGATTCCGATGGCATGAGAGACACGGATGTCGGAGCATTGACTCTAACTGGACCCATGCTAGGTGATCCCAACCGTTCAACACCGTCTCAAATCTCAGTCATGCAACTAACCCTTTGCGTAGCTGTGTCAGCGTCGCCCAGCGACACTTCGCGTTGCCTTGCATCAAGAGTATCGTGACGGCATCAACGCGACGCTACAGTCAAGCTGACCGGGCGACAAGCATTGTGACCACAGCCGGCCGCCCTCAAGAGTCCGCCCTCATCTTTCGCTTGCCCAGAGGGCTCGAAGAAGATGTTGAAATTTTTCATCGCATCCCAGCTCCCTTCCCTCCAACCCACGACCAAGACCATTTGCATCTTGCCATCATGCCCGTCGGTGGGTCTCGCTGCACATGCCGATGATTTCCACAAGGATTACTATCTATTCAGCCAATCAGCTGTCTAAGAGCCGCATACAGCCTCTGACCTCCTCCCGCTTTAGGCCTCACGCTTGAACTCTTCGGGGATGGTAGCACATGTCACCGGAGGTCAGGAAGACCGACACCCGACCACATTCTGGGCTTTTACGTCTAGACTAGGCTCAAACAGGGTTGCCATCCTGCAGGGCCCTCGTGGCACTGCCCTTTCGACACGCAACGAACGTCTCGTGTTGATTCATGCTGCTTCTTCAGCCCAACAAAAACGGCTATTTTTGTTCTCTGCTTTTTTCTCTTCTGGGCTCGTAAGGGCTTGGCCAGGGTCGACTCAAGATTTTTCAGTATGAGGAGTTCATGTTGGTCAGGCCAAGCCATTCTCATGCCATCATGTCGATCCCCATGAATCTCACCGGGTATGGTAGCAACGGAAGTCGGCCTTGCACAGACTCTGATCGCCTATCTGCGCAGCCTTGTGGCCAAGAGCTCGATGCTCCGACCCCGTGGCTGACCAGCACAGCGGGATTGGAGTTACTCCCTTTGCATGCTGGGGGCCAAGGCTCTTCTTTCATGCGTGGCATACGAGAGGTCCTCTGATGCCGTGTCCTAGGCGTGGGCCCCGGGTAATGATGGGCATGTTAAAGATGCCCGGGCCCCAGGTGCTCATCCAAATGTAACCTGCCTTTTCCGACCTCACGCCTCTTAAGCCCTTTATTTTCTTGGGCTGTCCGAGTTACTGTGCCCTGCGGTCGTCTTTTCATCATCTTCCCTACCAGACTTTGATAGTTTTAGAACTTGTCCTCCCCTTAGTTCGCCTTTGCCTGGTCTGATCGGGTCGACGACAGACTCTCCTGGTCTCACCTCTGCAATCAGCACTGGCAACAGAATACGTACAACTCGCGACAACCGGTAGAAGGGTAGCAGAAAGAGATCACTGAACAGGAGACGGTCCTATACTTATCCCCTGCTACGATGGCGTCTCTCGCAGGAGGTGTCACGAATTGGTATGCCTATGAGCCGGTTACGGCCGCGGCCGTGGCCGCGACAGCCCTCTTCGCTTTGACCATGATCGCGCACGCCTTCCAGATGGTCAGACACAAGGCCTGGATCTGGATCGTCATGGTCGTCGCCGTTGCAAGTACGTGACCTGCTGCCGGACTATATACACGAGAAAGGCTCCACCCCCCGTGTTGTTCATGGACTAACGCATTTACATCTTAACCTTCCAGTGGAGTGCTTTGGTTATGGTATCAGGATCGCATCGTCCAAAGATACAAGCAAGAAGCCGCCGTTCGTCGCGCAGTACGTCCTGATTGTGCTGGCGCCAGTGTTGATGACAGGAATTATCTATGTCGTCTTCGGGCGGATAGTCTTCCATGTCGTCCCGGCGGAGCACAGATCGACCAAGCTCCTCTGGGTCCCTCGTAAGTTCCGAGACGTGCTGTTGTTGGCGACAGTCCCCCAAAAAAGATGGACAAAAGGACAGCTCCCTGACTGATCTGAAACCTTGCAGCCCGCTGGTGCACCCCGATTTTCGTGGGCTTCGATATCGCCGCGCTTTTCCTCCAGCTGGTGGGTGCTGTTATGATCGCCGGCACCTCTATCACAGATCCGAACTACGTCCAGAAGGTGCACAGAGGCAAGGACATCGCCTTGGCCGGCGTGTCGGTGCAGATCCTGGCCTTTGGCCTGTTCTCCATCATCGCCGTGCGCTTCCACATTATCGCGAAGCGCTTCAAGGCCGACGTGCAGAAGAGGCTGCAGCCCATTCCCGGCGAGAAATACGTGACGGTCGAGGGCATCGACGGCCGGAAGCTTAAGCCACACTGGGAAGTCCTGCTCTACGTCGTCAACATCTCGTGCGCTCTCATCATGGTACGTTGTCACCCCTCCCGGCGGCCCTGCAAGAGGGGGTTCGTCGAGTTGGAAATCATACCGGCGCTCCAATAGCTGACTCTGCTATGCTTGCCCAGGTCCGAACCATCTATCGTGAGATCGCTTTTGCCGAGGGTAGGGGCGGCTACCCCAGCAAGCGCGAGTGGGTGTAAGTCTTGAAACTTCAATATGTTCTATGATCCACAGCCCAAGTCGAGACTCCAGAGATTCTAACTGACGTCGCTTCCACCCATACAGGCAATACGTCTTCGACACCATTCCCATGTTTTTCCTGACCGTCATCTTCTGCTTCACCCCTCCTGGGCGGTACGTACAGATGAGCTTCAAGCAGAAGAAGGGGCAGGCCCGCGTGGCCTCGTCCCACGGCTCTGATATCGAGGCCCATGCCCTGCAGAGCGTGCCTAAATAAGGCAGAGTGTGAATGCCAGCAAGAGAGGTGTGGCAACGCAGACAGGCAGGCATGAAGAACCTTGTCTTCGTGGCAGGAAGCTCACACCTGGTGCATATCCCCAGCAAATTGGAGTGTGGGAAGTCTAGAAATGTGGAAGTCACTCTTCCCAGGACGGCTACGTAAATGTAGAGGTCGGGGTATCCAGCTTGTACAGTAACTTTGATTCTGGAACCATCTGGTTGTTTATATATTTCCCCCTTGGGTACAAAGTGGTTTTGCCAGAGTGGATTATTTCAAGGGCCTCGCGGAGTTTCTTCCCGCTCAGTCGTACCGGATCATTCTTGCTGTTGATTTTTTCTTCTTCTTTGGGAATTCAAATACCACGAAATCAGATATTAGAAGACAGAGAAATCGCAGTGGCGCCTTGCTATTGATACCCACCACCTCAGCTTCAGGTCCGAGTCTCTCTCTATCTGCTTCGCGACGTCCCTTGTTTGTGACGGGTGAGTGGTACGCGGTTGAACGATGACGCACGACAATGTCAGATCTCGTAGCTGTGGTGGGGAAGGAGAAACAAAGGTAGGTCTCTTCTCTGCTGCTGGGTCAGACATGTGCACATGTTCCCTCTCCTTCCTTTCTGGGTAACCAGTTCTATGCATCACGTCAGTCTCGCGCCGGGACATATTCGAGACTCTTTTCTCCTAGTAAATCTTTTTTTTTTCTTCCCCCTCCTTTGATACGAACGTGGGGCGTCAGAACACGCCCGAGGGACAGTCTTGAGTCGACGGGAAATTCCGTGCAAGGCCTTTTGTGGGTTAGCAGTTGAGGTTTGAACACGCCGTGGTCCGGTCTTGACGGTGTCTTTGGCGAGTATGAGCACTTGAAAATGACATCAAAGGATCATGTATGTTTTACCCACTGTTCAGACATGTGTAAAGATGCGGCGTCGTAACCGCACGGATATTGGCTGCCATCTTTCATAGTACTGAAGGGCTCTCTCTGTTCGGGCCCCGCCTAATGCTTCTGTATTGCATCACACCTGCAGATCCCTGAGAAGACAAAAGCAATTAATTTACTTCGGGATATATGCCGTGTGTATCATGTTCAGCAAATGTCTCTAATACATGACGCAGCAAGCAGCAGCACAACGGAAAAGCAAAGTGCCACAGGTACCTATGTGTCAGGGCAAATATAGTGAGTGGTCAAGCCTCGTGTCTTTTTGTTCTTCTCTTTCTCTCTAGGTGGGTCCCGAGGTTCTCGATACTGTGTACAAAGCCTCCTCCTCTTCTCTTTCTCACACACATACAAAGACATTGTACAAATGGACCCGAGGGCTTGTTCTGTCCGTTAGTCCCATCCCTGCAGGCTTACTATATCAAAGGACTGTTATACCATACTGTAACAAAGCCGCCCTCCCGCGCAGAGTCGGAACATTGTGAAGGGCCCACAACCCGCCTGCATAGTACATCCATCTACTATAGTGAGTGGCTTTTTCTCCCGCCTCCAGGGGCGGGGCCTCAGCCAGGTATATCGCACTCGCCAACGTTCCTTGACTTGGTGTGTGTGGTCCAAGTTAAAAAGAAGAGAGAGGAGGGGGGGGGGAGGAAAAGCTCCTAGTGGGGAAGAATCACAAAACAGGACAGGCAGATGAGGCGTTTACTGTCGGGTGGGTTTCTACTTCCAATATAACAATGAGAGGGGAAAATGAAGACGGGGGAAACAAAAACCCCCGAAATATGTCGCAAGGGCGACGGCTGGATAGCGTCACAGGGGGGGGGGGGCGTTCACGCATGTCAGCTCTTCGAGGCTAACATTGTATATGCTGGCTCCTCTCGTGGGAAACAAAAGCGGTCTGGGCTGTCAACACGTCACCTGCAAGCAGGATGAGAACTAAAGCCCAACCAAACGTTCTTTTGGGCTGGTTCTCTTCATCTTTCGTTCTCCTTTCCCTTGCAGCAAGTAGTGGCGGTAGTGCGGCGACGAGCTTTTTATTCAATCGTCTCTCTCTCGCGCGATCTCGCTCTCTTGGGGACACACGCCTGAAGAGAAGACGAGATTTGGGGCTAAACTCGATGTAGTAGAGTCTTGCGATTAATTTAACTGGGTCTATGGTTTTTTTTTGGGTTTTTTTTTTCCTTTGGAAAAGATAAGACCTTGATTTCAAACAAGAAAGGAATATGTACAATGGAAAGGAGGACAGGTAGGGAGGTGTAAGAATACAGTGGGCGTCTGACTGTTTACCAGGGGGGGCGGGCCGGGAAAAGGAGCTATGTAGTACTGCTACACGTATGCGGAGCTAAGTACTGTGAATTTAAGACGTATACATACTGTATTCCCATCGTAGTACCTATAGTACATTGAGTAGTCGTTCAAACGCCACAGGCACATGGCTCATCTTGGCCTCCATCCCGGCTGATCCGCTTCAGGGTTTACTGCCACTTTACCGTCCGCTGAGAGCATGGGGCGGTACCGTCCCCCTAGGGAGGCAGTGTTGTATTTTTTCTACCACTGGAGTAGTGCTAGTGGCCCACCAAAGTCTGGCCATCTAGTAGCAACAGTAAGTACTTTAGGCTGTGTCCTCCCATCATCTCGACAGGTGTAGGTAGTGATTTAATTATGTGCATACTTAGGTTTTAAGAGCAAAGCGAATCAAGGAAAGACGATGTGTAGCCCATATTATCGAAAAGCATATTGGACTGAGTAAGGAATCAAGCCTGCAATCAGATGGCCCCTCGTACCGCGGCTGAAACGGGCTCATCTTGGTACTTTTGCCTTTCAGCTTTCCAGAAACTACACACCGCAACTGCTCTGTCAAAATTCAGCTTTCGGACCATTGCAGCCCCCGAGGCGTCCTCGGTACCAATGGACGTGCTTGCGCTTGTTTTCATCTCGGGGAAAGCTCTGTCGTTGGTGCCTGCAGTAATATATGTTCATGCCGAGACGAACAACCTCCCTTGCTGGTCCAAGGTTGGCTAGGCTGACAAGAAGTAAATTGTTAGATCCTAAGTAAATGAATAAATAAAACTTTAGGAGTCATGATCTTATTTGTTTCTTCCTTCCTTAAAATAGAATAAAGAAGGAGAGATGGGCTAAAAAGGATGCCTGCCTCTCTCTCCAGCTGAGGAAATACAATACTCGGGATACTGGTGGTAGGCTCAGAGCTTGCTGTGCGGGCGAAGACTTGAGCTGGCAGAGATTCTGGACTCCCCAGCAGAGTCAATATCTCCGTACGCTTCGCAATGTAATTTCAGACGAGAAGTCGATAGTATAGTAGGGCGACTTACTTCGTTTCCCTCACACGCTCTCTCCCCCTCTTTCCGAGGTATCAGGCCCACCCCTGAAGCAAAAAGGAGACGGGAGGAGGGGATCATCAGGGCAAGGGGGGGGTCACAACGAAGGCGGGAAGTGATGTGCGCGCGAGCAAAAAGACGCTGTCGATCCTCTAGGTTCTGGCCCAAAAGCTGGCGAAACTCAAAATTTCACAAGACGCACATGGGCTTTTTTTCTTCTTTTCTTTTGCTCTCCCAGGGCCCAATTTGGCGGAGTATATACCTCGGCCTAGAGGTGGGAAGAGATTGCTTCGTCGCTCAAGTGCTATCATAAAGTTCAATGTAATGTAGATACGGTGGAAAAAAAAATCTTTATCTGTTTTTTTTTTTTTTGTTGCCAATAATAGGGAGACGGGCAGGCATCAAGAGAACGAGAAGGATTGCAGAAACGGTCTGCTTGAGTGATCAACGTTGGATACTATTCTGACCTGTCATGTCCGATTTTCGAAATTGAAACCCAGGGACTCGGTAATCAGGCGGAAAAAAATACTCGACCTGCTGGGAAGACTCGCCATCCACAGCCATCATCACCATCATCAGCCTTGATGCTGGCTGCTGGGAACGCGAGTCCGGAAATTCCGGGCTGAGCTACTCTGTATGAGGAAGAGGAGCACCTCGCCTTCCCCCTCAAAGAAACGATCATCTTTCTCTCTTCTTGTCCCCGTCTCTAGAGTTCATCCCCCCCCCCCCGTGGGCTAAACCCACAACGGCTGTTATCTCAATAGCTTGCTTTCCGGGGGTTGGCCCATAACCATCAAGGGTTGCCAAGTTTCCAAGGGCGAAGACGAATTTCTCCGTGATATTTACCTACCTCCCCTCTCGCCGTCGTCGTCGTCGTCCTCCTCCTCCTCCTCCTCCCTTGACGGATATACCTACCGTAGTATCTTTGGCGCAAAACTCACTATATAGTAGAGGCTAGAGGAGTTGATGGCCCACTCGTAACATGCTCGTAGGTCAACCCCCTCCCCTTTTGGCTGGGCAGAGGCCGGGTGCAAGAGTGGGTACAAAACGACTTGTACCCATGAATGCTCCGAAGGATCTCCTCAATTTTTAATTATTATTATTATCATTCTTGAACCTTGATTCTCTTCTCCCTTCAAGCACTGCAGCCAAATGTTGCAGTGATGTACTGCCATATAGTACATAAATACTGTGTGTACTAGGATGTGTATTTCGGCCATGACAAGCGGGTTCCACGTGGCTGAGATTGGGGAAGGAATCTTAACGCCCTGCACCGGCTCGTGTGCCGCGGGGCTAGGATTACGGACAAGGGGAGGGAAAGAGGGGGAAAGAAGAAAAAGAAAAGAAAAAGAAACAACCTGCAAAGATGGCATGGCAACCATTTTCTGGAGTGGCTTGGCGGTGTATAACACACACACACACACACACACAAGAAAGGCACAGCAGGGGGGGGGCATGCTGGCCAGCTGGAACAGTTGACACCTGTGAGGTTGTGTGTCTGTGTGTCTGGCAGGGCTCTCTCAGCTGAAAGCCTGATGGGGGATGGGGGAAGCGGTACTGTTACAACCTTGACAAGCCGGATGCTACATACCATTAGTCCCTTACAGTCTACCGCATCGTATAATCTATAACCTGTACTCATGTACTACATAGAACAGCGTATTGCTCGGAAATCTGGATTGTGGCGCCAGGGCTCTCTTGGGAAGGATGCCGAACCTGGTGGGCGCCACAAGAGCACATGGTAGCTCCTCCGCGCCGAGGACACCCCCCAAAGAGTTGTTAATTCCTTTTCAGCACCAGCGTCCTCCTTCTGATCCCTTGCGAGGGACGGGGGAGGTCTCGGGCGCCCAACCCCCTCCCCCCCCTTCTCGATCTGACGGGTCGGCATCATCCAGTCGACGGCACGGCACGGGCAGCACACAAGAGGATGGTCGGATGGATGAAGGAGGGAGGGGGAGGGATATGGGATGGGCAAGGACCAGGTTTCAGTCCTCGTCATCTTGAGACGTGGTGAACCAAAGCACATGGAGCCCCACGAGACGAGAATTGGCGATCAATGATCAGACAGATTGGTGGTAGAGTTACCGCATGAAACAAGGAGTGGGATATGCAGGTGACAGGTCCAAAGCCGTTCTTGACGAGTGTACTATGGTAGTATTGGAAGAGGGGCGGGCCGCCGAGGTAGATGACAAATGCAACGGCAAATTGGATAGAGTGATTATATGTATTGGACGGGGAGGACAAAAAGATAGAAGATGATGAGATGTTAAGAATAAGAATAAAAGGGGAAAAATTGAATGCTAGAGTGCAGTATTCGTTCTGTCTCGCCGGGACCATCCAACGAGATGCGGTGCTGTGCACACTCCCATCGGGATGATAGATATTGTTTTTGTGGTTGTTGTACTACTATGTACAGACCTGTACAGCGTGTGTGTCCACGGGGTCGTGCTCGGCGTGCAGCGGAACAGTCAAGTCAGGGGTTTGGAACAGCGGGTACCACCACATCACGTAGTACCTGACAGAGGGGTGACAGGGCTCCACGGCCTAACGGGCCCTAACTGTCATGTACCTGACCTGCTGGACCTGGAGCTTAGAGCCTAGAGCCTGGACCTGAACCTGGACCTTGGGCCGCCACCCCCCTGCGGAAGCCCATTGCGATTTCAACGCGGGTTGTTCGGTACCCCATAAGCTTTGACTAAACGTACAGTAGCCCCCGATATGCCATTATATCATTACTTACAGTACACATCTGATCGCCATGCCCCCCCCCCCCACTGCCCATTCCCAATGCTCGTAAAGGGCTGGTGATGATGAGGTGGAGGGGGGTTCCCTGCACCGTTTTACCTCTTTGTGTGTGCGTATCTCTTGTTATTATTTTATTTTTGATTTTTACTCGCTGGGGGAACCTCGGAACGGAAGCACATCAGTACAGTAAGTACATGAGTAGCACCGCACGGATACACCTGCAGCTAAGGTCATGGATCACAGTCTGTGGGCATGTACTATAGTAGTGGACATGCATGGGCTTTTTGAGTGGAGCATACGACTGAGATCTCTCACTGTCTCGTCTCTTTACAAGCTATCTCTCTCCTTCCCTCCTGGACACGTGCGACACGACGCCAACTCGCAATCCTGTCCTGTAAGTACTGTTACCATACCAAGCAGTTCAGTCTTCTTATCCCTCCTCCTCCACAGTTCCATTTCGATAATCTCCACAAACCCAGGGTTTCGTCCAGTCTATCCATTCATCCATCCATCCATCCATCCCTTCACCCTCGCTCACCCCAAGGTTCCCCCGTATTCTCATCAAAAGGAACCTGGCTGAGCCTCACCTGGCTAAATACGCAAAGTATCCAGTGTCCAGTTTCCTCTCGACAACGAACTGAGCAGATGACCTAGGGAGGGGAGATTGACCCCCTTCAGCGGAAGTGACAAAGGAGCCCTGTGCCACTCACTCCTTCTCTCCGTCTCTTTTCTTCCTTCCTCTTTTTATTTTTTGAACCGCTTTATTGTTCTCCAACCCCTCCGCTGCCATGTCGGTATCCGCTTCTCTTTTATTCTGTTGCCGGCCACACAACACCAGTCTGAGCGTCTGATTTGATCCCTTCTTAAAATTACACACACTCCTCATCATCGGCTCAAGTTCTGCACAGCCACTAAAAAGTACCACACCACCACCACAAAGCATCTGGTTCGAGTTGGCTTTTCGTCTGGATTGTGAATCTTGCTCTTGACCGGGTTAGGAGCCCTGACGGAGGAGCTGTTGTACCCCCTTCGCCCTCTGGTCTGGTGTGTCACGATTCCTTCTCGGCTCACCGGTCAGTCAGTCGGTCATCCAATCAAGCACTTTGCTCCCGCAGGTAAGTGAATTCAATTACTGTAACCTCATCTATCTCATCGTCATCTCACCTCACTCGCCTCAATTTTTTGTTTGTCTTTCTTATCCGGCCCGGCCCACACCCAGCAGATCCACGATGGGGACCTTTCCATTGCGTTATGCGGCACAGGCAAACCACTGTAGCCCTCCCCCCCCCCCCCACAACCCGGGCCCAAGTTGTAATTCCCTCGGGGGGGAAAAAATGAATGATACAACCGTGGTCCTTCAGCAACCTCCTTCACCCTGAGTTTTCACAATATCCCTTATGGTTTAGTTCCGCCGTGCGTGCATACCTACACCCTCTCATACATAGTACACTACTGCTTGCTACCCTATTCAACACCTTAACTTCACACACGCATGCACAAAACTGTTGCTTTCCTCCTAGACCACTTGCCTTATTTGAACTCCCCGACCTAACCGACCCCACTTCCCTCTCTCCCTCCTCCTCCTCCTCCTCCTCCTCCTCTTTCTCCCCTGACCCTGACCCATTCCCGCGCCCATCTCGTCCAGAGCTGGGGCAACCAGTCCATTCTCGAAGCGGTCTGACAACCACCACCAGCACCACCAGCAGCAGAAAACCGCAGAAGAGAAAGGACCTCGGTATAGGCCCTCCACGAACTATACGGGAGGCATAGTAAGGCAAGGCGAGGCCCAAGGCAAAGGCCGTCCCTACCTTGTTCCCCCTTCCTACCACGATTTATTTCCTTTTGGGGACACCTTATTAGTCATATTATTTGTTTTTTTTAAAATCTTTTTTTTCATTCTTTACCCTGTTCTAATACTGGCCCCTCCACACGAGAGTGGTGGCCTAAAAGTACGCATCGGATTTCCCACACACATACACACACACACACAGAGAGAGAGAGAGGGAGAGAGAAACACACACAGAGGAAAGGATCAATCGATCTCCACGATTTATTTCTCGTATATTTTTGGAACATGGTATATTGTGGGAAGGCCTCGCTAGGCTGTTTATCATGCCGCAAACGCCGTATCAAGGTATGTATGCTGGATTTCGTCTCTATCGTATTCCCCGAGGCTCCATTATCTCTTCTTTAACATAAGAACTTGCCTCCACTGCACAAATCAATCCGACTTTGAGTACATGAACTGTTCGAGATTATCGTCCCTCACTCCCCGGCTTCTCTTAATTTTCTTGCTCTCTCTATATGTAAACCCTCTTGAAGAAGAGACTGGTCATGGACCTTTATTTTTTATTCGTTTCTTGCCTCGGTCTTCAGTGTTTCTAACGATTCTTTTTTTGTCCTCTTTTCTTCTAGTGCGACAAGAAACAGCCCGAGTGTACACAATGTGTTCGTCTTTCGAGAACGTGTCCGGGCTATCGGGACCAGCTCTCATTGATGTTCAGAGATGAGACGGGCAAGGTGGAGAAGAGGGCGCGTGCCTCATGGGGAGTCGACGAGTCTTCATCATCGTCATCATCATTAGAAGGAATGTCGTCGTTGTCTTCTTCTTCCAGCGGTTCCAAGACGGCAAGCAAGGAGAAGGAAGTAGTAAACTCAGGACCAGAACCAGCATCGATGCCGACGCCTCCCTCCTCAGTCATATCTTCTGCATCCCCCACAACCACAATCACAACAGCAGCTACAAGTACAACAAGAACAAGAAGAAAAGACCAAACTCCCTCACCTGCCCTCGCACCACCAGCCCTCGTCAACCACCTCGAGAGACTGGAGCCTGGACCCTACCGAAAGATGATTACGCCCCCTTCGGAACTGGGCGTGTCCTTCTACGCGCACCACTACCTCCTGGGCTACCCAGATGAAGTCAGGAACCCAAAGGAGCTGAGCGGGCTGCCGTGGTTCGACCACCCTTCGGCGCAGGCCACCATGGCTGCCCTTGGCCTGGCTGCGTTGGGAAACCGGAACGGGGATCGAGGCATGCAACACCTGTCCAGGGTCAAATATGGCGAGGCGTTACGGTCGACTAGTGAGGTGTTGCGGGATCCTGTGAAGAATCTGGACACGGCCGTCAGAACGACGATCATGCTTGCGCTGTACCAGGTAAGCCTTTTGGGGGAGACATTCTTCCTCCTTACCTCCTTACGACTTACAAAACCCCTTCCCACCGATTAAGTCTAAGCTGATATTGTTTTGTTCTTCTTTCGTCTATTCTAGTGTGTCCATATGCCGCATGAGTCCCACGAGAACACAAGAGTACACCTCATGGGCTGCTTGGCCCTCCTCAAGACGGTGTTTCCCATCCGGTCTGTGGTGGCCAACGGGACCAGGGGGATCCTGCAGCTCTGTTATTCTCTGGTGAGTCTCTCCCTTTTCATCTTCTTTCCCTCTTCTTATTTTTACTACTTAAGACTTGACATGGATGAAAAAGACAAAGACTGACAAACTCTAAAATAAAGCTCTACCCCTGCATCCAAAGTGGCAGCCCTATGCCCAAGAGATTCTTCGAGCCCATCCGCGACGCCATCTCCACAGGCTTCCTCCCAGAAGACGAGCAGCCGGCCGTTTCCCTCATCTACATACTCTGGCGCTTCACGGGCCTCAACGCCAAGGTGCGCTGGACCGCCTACACCGACGGCCACGCGAGCACCACCGACCTACTGCAGCAGGTGCTGGCCGTTGACGAGGCCCTGGCACGGTGGGAGGCCTCGAAACCGGGCAAGTGGGCCTACAGGACGTGCACAGGAGAGGAGGAAAGAGAAGAAGGACGAGCAAGACTATCCTTCCCGCCCGATGCCGTCTTCCGCAACGCCTACCACCGCTACGCCGACATATGGACATCGCGCGTATGGAGCCACTACCGCTGGGCTCGCATCCTCACCAACCAGACCCTACTTGAACTCACAGCCCTGTACCCCATATCAGCGGCAGCAGCAGGAATAGAAGCCGGAGCAGCGGCAGCAGCAACAGCAACAACAACAGGAGATGAGATGTCCTCCCCAGCCCGACAGACCCGCCGCACCATCCAACAAACCATATACCGCCTGGCCGTCGACGTGTGCACCTCAGTGCCCACGCACTACAAGCATCCCAGCCTGACCTGGGCGCACCTCGACGCCATCCAGACGCACGGGGGGGCCGGGGCCGGGGCCGTGGGCATCCCGCACCTCATGTTCCACCTGCAGACGGCGGCGTGTGCGCCGGGCGTACCGCTCGAGGTCTGGCGCTGGGCCGTGGCGATCATGGACACAGCCTGGCAGGACCTGGGCATGCTGCATGCTCGGTCCCTGGCGGAGGTGTCTAGGAACCATAGGGCGATGGCGGATGGGGGAGGGAGGCCCTAACTAAGTTGGCCTGGAGAAGGGGCCAAGGTGTGAGTGGGGAGGAAGGGCGAGTGAGGACATTGGAATGGGATTTCTTCTTTTGTGAGAGGTCCAGAAATTTGTTGTGGATGGTTCACATTGAGCCATTTACTTTCTTTTCTTTGATTTATCGTTGTTAATTTTGGCGAGGAGTTTTGGGGGGGGGGGGGCGTTGGGAAGGGGAAAGGTGTGTAGGGACGTCGGGGTTCAAAAATCCCTAGCCTGTTGGTAGGCTCAGCTATTATATGCTGTGTAAGTGCTTATGTTTTATCGTTTTCCGAATTTTCCCTCTGCCTTGCCTTTGGCATGCTGTACACACATGGATTGTGGGAAGTTGTTGTGTTTTCTCTCTATCCACTGGGAGGGAGTTGATGGTGAGAGGGGGGAAAGGCTTCGTTTATGAGGGCAAGGGAAGTGTGTAGAATCCAATGGGGATATCACTGATTGTATGGACAACAGCTACAAACCAAAACAAACTACTCTCTCTCACTCAAAAAAAATAAAGTAAAAAATGACTGTCACATAACCAAGTTACAACACATACAGGCTTGAATGACATGATAGCAAATGCCACAAGAGGCCAGGAAAACAGCAGGTTAACATGGTGGATTTGACTGTCATCAATCAGTTATTATGCTACTAACTACCACAAGCTCCAATGCGGGGGCGGGAATGGGAGAGATCCCTCGGCCTCTTTACTTATTATGATAGGGTCATTGGATTACTACTCAAATATTTTGATTTAAAAAAATGGATATCATTCTTCATCATAGTAGCACGCAAGCAGTCTTCTCTTTGTGCTGCGTGACAAAGGCCCTGTTCTCTCTCCCCCACAAATCCTCAACGGAGAGAGCCGCTTTCTCCAACAACAGCAGAGAAATGACTTACATTCATTACTTACTCAGGTATTCAGTCTAATTTAGCAAACCAAAAAACCCGACTTGAGACATTGTCAGAATGCCGGAAACAGTGTTCATCATCGTCATCGGCGTGTTGTTGCTGCTGCTGCTCATCCGGTCTTCATGACGAAGTACGCTCGCCTTAATATACAAAGCTTGGGACCTCAAAGTATGGAACATTGAGGCATGAGATGTCACTACTTTCCCATCTTCCCTCCACTCCAGCCTTCGTGGAAGGATCGAGGAATTACTCAAGTCTTTCCAACAACAGAAGAAGGGGACATCTGATCATTCAACATGCAATCATACATCCTTAACCTCGTCGCTCTGGCTGTCGCTGCTGTCACGGCACAAAGTCTTAGCGACCTACCACAGTGCGGCGTGAGTCTTTCTTGCATGATTTTACGTTGGAATTGATTGTCAGGTTGTCTTTTCCCCCTTTGCTGCACCAAACATTCCAAGAAATCAGCTTGCTACAAATTTGAGATGTGATGTCTTTTTGCTTCTTCACTGGCCTCATAGCTCTTTTGATCAAATTACTGCCTCGCCCCCATTTGCTACTGCTCTGTATATAACTCCTCGTCCTCTCCAAACTCCAATGCTTGTACAACTATCCTGCTTTCTATATTTTGTCCTCTTAAAAGTCCCCTTGTATCTTATCTACCGTGAAACATCCTGTCCTAACTCCTCATTCCCCCCCCCCCAACAAGCAATTCTGCATCAACGCCCTCATCAGCGGCGGCCCAGCCTACGACTGTCCCGACTCTGACCCCGCCTGCCTCTGCTCCCATGTCGAGTTCGCCTATGGCATCCGCGACTGCTCGAGCGAGTCGTGCCCCGAGGGGACAGACCTTAGTCAGATCGCCTCGTATGCCCTGAGCTATTGCCAGTCTGGTGAGTTTCTTTTCTTTCTCCTCCCCCTCCCCATCACCCTCTCTTTCTACTTTCCTCGTACTGCAAACTGACAAAGAGAATAAAAAAGCCCAAGCCACAGCTTCAGTTACCACCACGCTCACCGACATAGGCATCTTCTCCACAGGCTTCGAAAGCAGCGCTGCCACAGCCACAGCCACAGGCGAAGGAGGAGGAGAAGGAGGAGGAGGACAAGACACAGCCACAGAGACAGGAACTGCTGCTACCTCGGGCGGGGGCGACTCGTCCGGGACTGCTGTTGCTGCCGGTGCTGGCATTGTCGGTGGCTCCGGCAGCGGCGCCGACACTGCTTCACAGACGGGCATGCCCATATCGACAATCCCCATCATCTCCACCGAGACCATCATGGACGGCTCGACCATGGAGACGACAGTCGGATCGTCCACCATGTACGCCGGCGACGACAGCACCGGCAGCACCGGCACCGCCGACAACGGGACGTCCACAGAGACAGCATCAGGAGGAGGCGTGGCGGGCGGCAGTGGCGGCGGCAGCACCACCGCCGATACGGCATCCTCTGGCGGAAGTGGCACCGAGACCGGCACCGGCGGAGGGGGAAGCGGCAGCTCGACGCCCGTGAGCACCGTCCCTGTTGTGAGCACCATCACCAGCGGCGGCTCCACGATCGAGACGACGGTGGGGAGCAGCACGCAGTACTCGTCTGAGACGGGCAGCGGGGCGGCGTCGAGCTCGTCCACTTCGGCGGCGGCGGCTGCTGCGGTGAGGCCTATGACGCAGGTGTTTGGGATGGCGGGCGCGAGAGGCGGTCTGCTTGGCTGGGTTGTTTCGGGTGTGGTTGGGCTGATGGTTGCTCTTGGGATGATGGTAGCTTTGTCTGAGCTTTAAAATAGGTGAAGGTGAAATTGAGGATTGGGTGGTGTGGTCACCGATTGCTGCTGGTGGTTGGAATGTTCTATTGTTGTATGTTTTCTATTTCCTTTTCAACCTTGGGACGAAGGACCTTGTGTCGTCGACTTGGTTGGAAGTCTATAAGTTGGTAAACATTAATAATCAGTCGCTCTCTTTCTTTAGCTTTTGTCTTCTTTTCTTATGTGCTGGGCTTCTCGATGCTTCCGTCGACGGGACTCTTCTTCGTATTTTTGGGATCTTTCGCCCATGTCTCCGCCAGCCCGAAACTGGGGTCCTCGTCCGGGTAGCCTAGGCTCCTCCGAAGCTTGACCACCTCGTCCCTTACCCTCCTGGCGACCTCGATCCGGATCTCCTGCGCTTCCTTGTTGTACTTGAGCTCGTCCGTAAGCTCGCCAATCCGCAGGACATCCGGCGCTTTCCTCACGCCGCTCGGCGGCTGAGACCTCGCGGCGACTATGCCGTGCCGGCCTGCCTGCTTGCCCGCGGCGACCGTCTTGTCCGACAGCCTCGTGGCCCTCTCAATCTCGTCCTCAGCCGCTCTGATGTCTGCGTCTCGCTTCTCGGCCTCTTTCTTGACGAGCCCCTTCCACCTCCGCCGCAGGTCCCCAAACGTGTGCTCCATGTCCAGCTTGTCGCCGAACGCGACCCTTACGTCCTTGCCCGCTCGGGGGATGAACCTCGGCCACCCCCTGTCCTCGTGCATAACCTCGCACGTGCCGTCGATGAACATGGGCACGACGTCGGGCATGGGCTCTGCCTCAAGGATCAACCGGGACACCCCCCACTTGAAGTAGCGCATCTGCCGCTCCGGGTGCTGGTGGACCAGGCCCTCGGGAAAGACGTGCACCCACGCGTGGCGATTCGACAGGAAAGCAGAGGGCGCCGTGTGCACGTCGTGGCCCGTGGTGGAGTAGGTGAGCCCGCCCTCAGTGAAAGGGTCGCGGAGGTCGGCCAGGAGCGATTGCACGGTGACCGTCTTGGGCTGCGGCGGAGCCACGGCCTGGTGCTCTTTCAGGGTCTTGAAGGGATAGGCGGATAGCAGGCGGATGGCCTGGGTCATGGACGGCTGGAAGAGGCCTGCGTGGGTCGAGTGCCAGCTGCGGTGGATGGGCACGACCTGGCCCAGGGTGAAGAAGGTCGCGAAGGCCCTATTTTTGAAGCAGATGTCGTGGGCGCCGAGCCCCCAGCGGAGGGTCCAGGGCTGGAAGGCGAGGCGGAGGGGGAGCACGCCCCATATGAGTGGATCGTCCATCCTGTGTGAGAGTGAGAAGAGTGAGTGAGTGAGTGATCACAATTACACTGAAGAAGGTGGGCATGGCTTCAATGATCCTCCTATTACTTACACTGATACATGATTGCTGACTGCAGATGAGCCAAGATGAGAGAAGAGATGACTTGTTAGGACGGTCCGTCTCCTGCCATATGTCGAAAAGGTTGGAAGAAGAGTTGTCTAGGCTCCTCGTCATTCATACGTACCTGTGATGAGACCTCTCTGCCTCTCATACGGATCAGATCTACTCTCCAACAGCTCGACAAAGTTGTCCAGACCAATCACCTCCAGGTTATTCAACCCGCTCAGAAACCCTTTCGAGAGGGTCGTAGTGAGGCCCATGATCATGGCAGACGTGCCGCGCCACAGCCCATTTGGCCGCCGCTGCGGGTACTGACCATGAGCAATGGTCGTCATGGTTGCTGTAGAAAAGTCGACGAGTGTGTGTAGAGAGTTAGAAAATGAGAGTGAGTGAGTTTAGGTGAGTGAACGAATGACTCTAAGAGACTTCGAGTGCGAGGAAGCAGACAAGTTGAACTGGGGATGATCTCGAAACGAGAATCTTCCAAATGTCTCTCTCGCTCTTTCTCTTTTTTTCTTTCTTCTTTTCACCAGCAAGGCTCAGGCGCAGATGCCGGCTCGAGAATGACAAGACACTTTCATTGCCCTCACAGCGTTCCTGTCATTGAGATGCAGTACGCGTGATTGTATTTAGTGGGAAGAAAGGAAAAAAAAAAAGACAGACAGAAAAAAGAAGGAGTAGAAGTTGACGAAGATGAATTATGGGCGTTGCGGCTGTTCAGACCGAGAAATTTCCCAAATGTTTGATGACGGGGAACACAGCTTCAAGGCATGATCCCTGCAAGCGCCCCCGGCCGGCAAACGAACCAACCAGACGTAATACATAGCACATGCAGTCCAAGATACATGGGTACATGGTACTTCTTCAGCCACAAATAGACCCACTACGTTTTCCCTCCCAAGACCTTTCGATTTGGGCAAGTAGTTATAATGTGATCTTTTCTCCTCATGACATGAACACCTTTTCATAAGAATCATCTAGAAGACATGAAAGAAGAAACTTGTCCCGGATCCCCAAATTGTTGCGAAAGTATGCACCCTTCCGCAGGGTATATATGAAAACGAAGAACGAAGAACGAAGAACGAGGAACGAAACAGAAACAACGCAAAAACAGCCAGCAATGTCTTTCGTATCGAGAGCCCTCGCCCTCTGAGATGTCTTTAATTACTCCCCAAATGACTCTTTCAACGCCCCGGCAGGAAAGGACTCCATAAGATCCTGCCTCATGCAAAACAAAACAAAAAGCCAATGGCGAGACAAGAAGCAATTACGTAAAGTCCACCGTCCCGGTCGCCGCAGGCCTCTCGTTCCTCCTCTCCAATCTGCGCCGCCTTCTCCTTTCCGCCGCCGAGGCCGTTGCGCTCGCCTCACTAGGGCCAGGCGCTCCAGGCGTACCGATCGGGCTCATCCCGCTCCAGGTCCCGTGGCTACCAGGACTCTGGAGGCTGGCCAGGCTCGACACGGTCGCCCCGGCTGCGGGCTGGCCACCCACTGGCCCGCCTACTGGTGATAGTCCCGAGTAGTAGGCTGAGTCTTTAGGTCGCCTGCCGCCTGCAAACGAAGCCTGTGGCGGCGACAGTGGCTCCACCGTGCTCTCGGCAGCCTCCTCCGCTGCCCGACGTCGGCTCGTATCGCGTCTGTATCGTGATCGGGAGCCTGAGGCCACCTCACTGCCGGACATGCTGCTGACCGAGTCCGCACGGTGTCTTCGGGCTCGTCGCGCTGCCAAGGCCTCTTCCTCGGTGAGTCGCCGCAGAGTCACGTTGCGGTCCTTGTCGTCGTGCACCTTGACCTTGACCGCAACCGGTGGCGTCTTGCCTCGAGACCCGCTCCCTCCCCCCTCTGTACGTCTCTGCGCCTCTTGTTCTGCGGCCAGGACATCGGCAGACGCCGCCGCTGCCGCCGCCGCCGCCTCGCCTGCCCTGAGCCGGCTCTCTGATCTTCTCCTCTCGGACCGCGAAAAGTACGAATCGCTCTCAGAACTCCTTGCGAGTATGCCTCGCGGGTCATCTGGCATCACTGGCATCGCTGCCGGCTCGAGGAGGCTATGTCTCGACTGGGACCTGGAGCGGGACCTGTTGGCCTCGCCCACTGGCACTGCCACTGGGACAGGAGGAGCGCCCGGCACAGGGGGGGCACCTGGGACGGGAGGGGCACCTGGGACAATGGAGGGCGCTGAAGTAGTATGCTGCGCATACTGTCCAACTGGTGGCGGCACAGATGCCGGTGGTGGTGGTGAGCGGTACTGTTGCTGCTGGTAGTCTGCGGTGAGGGGAGGCCCATAGGTCGCGTCGTATCCTGACAGCGGACGCGGCTCAATAAGCGACGACGAGTCCTCCGACATGTGAGACGCCTGTGTTCCCGCCCTGCCTGGTGGGGTCGGACGGATAGAAGCACGTCGTGAGTCTCTCCTCCGTGGTGGTGTGCTGGGTTCATACCCGTCCCCGGTGTATCTTGCCTCGTGCAGTCCGGCCCGCCTCTCGTCCTCTTCGACCCTCAATCGCTCTTCCTCTTTCCGATCCCTTCGGTCTTTCATCTTCTTGGTGAACCATCCGAGGCCCATACCGGCCAGCAGACCTTTCTCGACAGCATGGCTGTCACGGCGTTCTCTCTGAGGGGCCCTCGAGGGGCTGACGTACGACGAGTAGTCCGAGTCCAGGGTGCTGGCGCCAATTCGCGACTCGCCATGGTGGTGCGAGCTCAGTGGTCTCGCCGGCCTCGAGGTCCCTGGGCGCGCCTCGGCTGCGCTGATGGCTGCTGCCATCGTTGATGGACGGCCAGGGCCTGGAAGCAGTGGCGATCTTCGTGAATCCCTGCGGTAGTCATCGTCGTAGTCATCACTGTAGTCCGTCACGACTGTGCCGCCATGCCTCCCGTGGGACCTCGAGTTGCGTCTCCTATTGGGAGTGTCTGGCGCGACCGCCGAGTACTCCTCATCCTCGGCACCTCGATCTCTTCTGCCCATGAAACGCCCGAGGAGGGCACCCGCACCAAGACCGGCGCCAAGCCCCATAAGCCTGTCCGTAAAGCCGCCACCTCCTCCGCCGCTCTTCTTCTTGGGTCTTTCACTGTACCGTTCAGAATATTTCTCCTCATCAACATAGCTCTCGCGTCGTGACGGGATCACCTCTGGCGCGCGGCTGCGACTCCGCAGTCTCGACGTGCGTGACCGACTGCGACTCCTCTCCCTGCTATGGGCCCTCTCTGCCTTTCGGCCTCGCATCAGTGCCCACAGGCCGCCACCAGCCGCGAGCGGGCCCAGCCACCGAGATGCGCCTCCACTCGACTTTCGTTCATAGCGCTCGGATCGTGTGACCTCGGATCGACCGTCGCGAACGACATATTCTGGGCGGTCCCATGCTCGGTAGCTGAAGATGAAGTATAGAACCAGCAGGACGGTCATCCAGACGGCGTACAGCACAAAGGTATACAAGGGCGACCCATATAGGGCCAGACCCAACGGAACCTGTGCCATCCCGAGCAGGGCAATCGTTCGTCCGAACCAATGGTGCAGCATAACACGCAGGGAGCGACCCCTGATGTTCTTGATGAGTCGTCCACCAATGATCTGCAACAGGATGAGAGTGTATATCGCGACACCAATGCCATGATGGGGATTCGTCAAGCTTCGATTCGGCCCGACGGCGAACCAGCCGAGGATGAAGACGACTGTCGTCAGGAGTACGGCGAGGATCTGAAGATATGCGTGGTACCGTATGGCAGAGCCTGGCCTCCGAGTGTAGAAACGAGCGTAGAAGATGGCAGCCGGGACGATGAAGAGAAAGACGATGGTCGCTATTACACCGTGGGCCTTGATGAGCGAGTGGTACTGTGGCATGGTTGAGAAACGGTTGCCCATGCCTGCAAGTCGTGTAGAGCGAGGAGCTCCCTGTTAGCGATTGATTTCCTTGAAATACTACCTGGATACGAGAGATTCCCCTGGAGACACGACGGGGTATCATAACCTACCATTGTACTGCGTGGTCGCCAAGTTCAGACCCTGCAGGTTGGGCAAGAGAAAGTCATTCTTGGTGAAGTCCCATGTGCCATCGCCCACATTCATGGTATCCGAGTCGTAGGTTGCCGTGCCTGGCGCGGACATGTCGTCCAGCGGCGCCATGATGGCGGGTCGCCGACGACAGCTCGCGTCGAGGGCTCAGCAGTCTGTCTCCCTTTGATTGAGCGTGTACGTCAATTTCGTAGTACAATCTACCAGTTGCAGCAGCAAGGAGCAGCAGCCAGCAGAATAGAAAGCAACGGTGTGGCTAGCGATTTGCGTAAGGTCGGAAACTCGGCCCAGTATCATGAATAAGGTTGGAATGAAATGTCTTTAACGCACGTGTGTGGAAAGAAGGTTATGGGGCAAGGGTGGGAAGAATGGGAAAAAAAAAAGTTGGCATGTACAGTAGTGAGAAAGTGATGGTGGTGGGTTGGGTGAGCTGCAGGTTCCTATGGCAACTCCCAGGAACCACGAGCCTTGGCCTGTGTAGGTGAAGTGAGAGCTTGTGGCGTGGCGGGGTAATTGGATGGTTGGTGTGTAGCTGCTTGTCAGCTTTGAGACACCAAGTCCTGGCCCTAGAAACTGAAAGTTCTCGGACAGCTTTCTGGGTACTCAAGAAACAACAAAAACAATTGTTTGCTTGAGAGTCAAGAATGGAGGGACAGAGAAGCAGTTTACAGAAATCTGCGTTACCCCAAAAACCATTGCCTGAGCTGGCCGTGCGTGCAGGCAAGGCGAGACAAGGTGGAAGGAGGAGGACGAAGTGATACTCTGGTGGCTGGTAAAATGTGGGACCCCTGCTCTGGCTGTCTTAGTACAGTTGTAGGCGCTGATGTCGTTCGTTGTTGTTGACGGGTTCTGGATTTGCCCATCAACCATTCAATCTTAGGCTTTATGGTTACTACGTAGTTACCCCCAACATTACTGGGGTAGTGGCAGGGGTGCCCTGCCTGCCTGTCCATAGTCCGGGCTCTACTATGTACCTGCAGCGTAACAAGGCTTTGCTTACTTATCACTTCATCTCTAAGTGTCCTCCTGCCTCACCTTCTGTAGGGATTCCAAGATGGAGTTCCTTCTAATCTAGGAATATCCATCAATGCTTCTCAGATTCTCAAGTCTCCAGAGCTGGATGTCGACCCCCATCTCATAAGAGAAGTTGTAATATCCTTTCAAAAAGGTTTGATGCAACACTGTCTGTACACAGCTATATCATCTTTCATCTTCTTTGTAACGACTTATTGAGAACATCATGGCGAATTTGAATCGGCCTGCAATTATCATATGCAGATGGAAACCCCACGACTTTCAGCAAGAATATTCATGAATGAGTCTTGGTACTGTCGGGTAATTTCTTAACCAGCACAGACCATAGCTACATCGTCCCCTGTCAGCAGCCAGCTGCATTGAGACATGATCATCATGCTGGAGGACATCATATATGTAAGACATGGCGTTAACTTCGCTGATAATCACACTCTCGCTTGCGACTTGGGGTGACTTGCCGGTACCTCATGGCCGAGGATGCAAGCTCAACAACAGATTGGGTGATGGAGCCAGCAAGCAACATCAACGGGTACAGTTTCATGACCTAGGGTACTTTGCGTGTTCTGTTGCTGGCCTTCGAGTGATTCAATTCGCCCAACATGTCCTATTTGAGACGAGTGGAGCTCCTCAGTGGGCAGCTGCATCTCAGAGGCCATCTCAAACACGACGGACAAGACCTAGAAATTCAACTCGAAAATCGGCGATGGGGATTTATGCCTTGGTCATGGGCATGTTCTATGAGGAGACGGGCGAGTGGGACGAAAGAGGAGACGGTCTGATGCAGAACCTTCCCTTCATCTACTCGTGCGAGATTCGCTCAGTGGTATCAGTAACGGCACAACGAGCACCTCCTGGTCAGGCCCGCCGCGGAACCCCTCCATATGCGACATTCTTCAGTTCTTTGCGCCTGTCGGCACCCAGAACACGTAGGAGCTCGGCTCGATGACCAACATCCAGCCGGCCCTGATGGAGCCCAACATCACCAGCCTAGTCGACTACGAGGACCTGCAGCTCCTGGTCGAGAAGGAGGGTTGCAAGAAGAAAAGACCAATACCCTTCTCCTGGTCTCGTGTCTCCGTCTCTCGATAATGACAGTGACATGCAGCGTAGCAAGCTCCTGGGGCTGAACAGTCAAGATTCGTGGGACCCTCTGCAGCAAGACACTGTAGTTTACAGGCGTAAATAATAGTACCAGTAATGATCATAAGAAAAACGCTTGAAAGACACATCGGTCTTCAGTCACTTCATCGGAATTCATTATAAAATCAAAGAACTTGCCTCCAAAGAGCCTTGACATAGTAGTGCATTATTCTGCAGAGGCCGCATGCTTGACCGAAGTGACTGGATTCGCCGGGGGCCGATCTTCCCATTGGAAGGAGCGACAAGATGCGAAAAAGAAAGAAGGGACAAGAAGTTATCACGGGATAAGCTGAAAAAAGTACAGTGCATTGGTCTAAAAGACTAGCAAAAAACATGCAACACCGGGTATTCGCTAATGGTCACCCACTTAACTACTAATCCGGCGGTTAGTGGCTTATTTAGGGGAGAGCAGACGGGATCCCAAGTTTTCCACTACCTATGGTCGCATGTACTGGTTCAGACCAGGTCCGGTACTTACATACCTACTCATTGTGCTGAACGTTACATCCGGAGGGTCTTGACTTCTGATTTTCCTTCTTTCGTTTTCCTCTTCTCTTGTGAGCGCTCAACACTTACACAAGAGACGTCAATACGAGAATATAATCGCGCCCTCAAGTAAAACTGCTGTCTAGTGGTGTTGTTGTCTGTTCTTCTCTCGAGACAAAACAGCTTATTCTCGTCTATCATGAGGGGCACAAGGTTCTCCGCGTTTGCCACCATTTCTCGACAGGCTATAGAACGGTACTTTAAGATAAATCCTGGAAGAAATAATCCTAATGCCGTCATTAAAAGCCAGGGTTCTTCGCATGATTGGTTCTTCCTTTTTTCTTCCTTTCTTTCCAACCAGGAAAGATGATTGCGAGGGATAAGATGATGTCCGGGCGTGAGGAAACGGAACATTATACCTGTTACTTAATACCTCACGCACCAGCGGAAATGGACCGCTGGGGGGGGATGGATGTCTCAGCCTTTCATAAAAGAAAAAAAGATGTCGTCGCCGTTTCTGTCCAAGGGTCGGTGCTCCAGGTTGGTATCTCGCTTCCTTTTCTCCCTTGAGACCGAAAGAGAAGAGACAAGATGACAAAGACCGGACGAGGTCAGCCCGGTAGTCGGCGCCATGTCTTGATAGAGAATGGCCCAGGGTTCCCGTCTGGTTCACCACCCCAATGGGTCTTTTTTTCTTTTTAAGGTTATCAAAACGTTTTTTTTTCCTCTTAGGGAGGGGAACGAGCGGAACCAGCCGTTCATGCAGTAAAACGACACATGACGAGTGGAATACGAGTTTGTTGTCAGACTGTCAGGCTAGCAAACTATCTTAGTCAGTACCAAGAGAGGAGAGAGAGAGACTGTCTCTGGGTCTGCATCATCATCACTATCATCATCACGGTGCAGTGACAGGCAGAAACAGGCATCAGTCAATCCGACGAGCAGATTGGGTCGAAAAGGAAGAGATCAACCCCGCCGAAGACCCCTCTTTTATGGAAGATCGCCATCAGCCAAACGCTGATCCGATCCTGTATCTCACTACCAAATTCTTTTCCTTCCTTTCCAACCTCAGTAATATTTTTCTTCTTTTTTTCCCGTCTTGAAGTAGGAGGAGGAGGATCAACAACACCAGCATCATCAACAACAAAACATGTCTCTCTCTATCTCTCCACACACCTAGACAAAAACGTCAGCACCAACGATTCGAGCAGGTCACATTGACCCCATGAACATCCATCCATCCGCCCCAACAACATGATCTTTTGACGCATAGTCAGATACAATACGGGCACCTGCAGCTCGCGCCAGGCTGCATGTGGCAACCAAGGTCGCTTTTCGTATGACGCAGCACAAAAACGCACGGTTCTCCTTTTTTGTCCTTTTGGTCTGGTTTTTGCTTTGAGGCACAAGGAGGCTCAAGTCACTCCAGTCAATCAATTGCCTGTTGCTGGAGGCTCTTTTTTCACTCGAAAATTAACTTCTCCGTTCGTCCATTTTCTTCCCTTTTTGGGAACTAAGACAAGGTAACCTTTGCCTGTTTTACTACACGGGCTACCCGCCCCTCTTCCTGCTCTGCCCCTCCCTGCCCTTGCTAAGTCAACGTCTCGGCCGGTCTTGTGTTCACTTGTGCCCGCCCCTTCCACGATTTTTCGTCGGGACGGGTTAGGTCGCCTGCGCGATGCCGCATCCACGCTGGTCAAGGGCTGGACGCTTTACCCTTTAGCAGGTCGAGCTGAAGAAGAAGTCGGTCAATTGGTAGTCAAGGTACTACGTAGCATGTAGGCCAAGGTACTAAAAGTGTAGTCTCTTTTTCTTTCCCTTCTCCTCGGAAGAGGTAAGACCTTCTTGGTATTCTAGTGATGCAGAAGAGCAAAGAGGCGGAGCAGGAGCGGTGGGCAGAAAGTGTCTGTGCTAATGTCGTGACATATCCCGTCCCTTCAAGGTTGCTCGTGCTCCCTCCGCTAAAGTCTTTCCTGCATTAGTACGTACATAGTACTATGGTACCTCGAATGCGACCTTCCTCCACACACCGACGATCACCTACAACAGCGGGTTGGGGCTGATCATCGCCACTCCATTTTTCTTCTCCTTTATACAATTAGTATATATTTACCCACACCCGCCCCCTCTCTCCCTTTATTTCTTGGAGGATCGTCAATCATCACATTCCCAAAGCTCCTCCTTTTTAAATTGTAAACTTTCCACTTTCTCTCTCCTCCCTCTCCTCCTCCTCCTCCTATCAGCACTGACGTCAGTGATAATTCATCCATCACCACATAAAATCCTCCTCCACCACAAAACACCCACCATGAAGACCACACCCCTCCTCCTCGCCGCCTCAGCGGCCTCTCTGGCCTCAGCCCAGACCTACAACACCTCCGCCCCCTTCACCCTCGAGCTCTCCAGCAGCAACACCACCATCGACGGCCAATTCCTAGGTGCCTGCCACTCCGGCGCCGCCATCGAGGCGCTCTGCCTCGACGGTACCAACGGCACCGCCACCGACTATAACACCTTCACCCTCAACGTCTCAACCTCCAGCACGGGTAATGCCTACGAGACGGGCATCCTCGTCTGGGTTCTCGAGACGGGCGACTTCAACGTCTCTTCGGGCCTGGTGTTCACCCCGCCCCTGACCAGCAACGTTGTCGCGCCCGAGTTCGAGCCCGGCTCGGAGGGGATTGATCTCGTGGGCTTTGATGATGATGACAACTTGTTTATTTACTCGTCGTATGTGGATGACAAGACCTTTACGGATGGGACGTTTCCTACTGAGATCACGCCGTATCCTCTGTACCAGGTAAGCCGGTCGTGTGCCATTGGTGGCTTTTTGGGGGGTTTTTTTCCCTCGTCTTTTTTCTTCCTTCTTATTTCCTGCTTTTCTGTTTTCTCACAAAATATCTTACTGACACGGTTTCTTGCTAGTGGTATGCCTGCTGGACCTTTGACTTGGCCTATTACTACCAGACTCTCGCCTGGGTGACGGGAGGAGTACCTAACAACCCTACATGCGTGGCCGTTAACGTCACCCGTAACTTCATCTGAAGCAGGGAGTATGATAGCAAGCTGCGTGTATGGGAGCAACGTGGGACGAGGCATGCCAACATCAATGAAATAGTAAAAGAGCCTAATAATTAATGTCATTTACGTTCTTTCGACCATCTCGTGTGCATCTCAATGATCATAATGTGGACAGAGTATATGCGAAGGGTTCATTTTGAATTGTCTGCAACTAGTAAATCATCGCTGGGGGCATGTGTAAATAATCATTCCAAGGAATCCCTGCCTCTTACTCGACTTGTGTGGTTGTATCTTGTCGCTGCGGCCAGTCATTACAAAGGTCCGCTTGCCATTGTGAGGCAACGAGACCCCCCTTCCCGCTTTCTGCGCCTCAACACAATGCCTTTTCCACTCCCTGAAGTATGGTCTTCGGTAGTACCCAGTGCCATGTCCCATCTTTTTTTTCTCTTACTTTCCAGTCTATATTCTATCCCTGCTGCCCCAAGTTGTTTTTTCACCTGCTGTGTCACGGGTATTGTTGAAACCTCAACCTACTGCCATGACGTGGCGGGCGTGGGTGACGAGGCTGAGTCGGGGGGTTGTTCCATCCGTGTGGCCCAAAGTTCCTGTAGGTCGGGTAGGAACCCTGCGGGTGCTGCAGAAAGACATTGTTTTCTTCACCCAAACCAGGTCCGAAATAGTATTGTTGCTGGGCAGGATAGCCTTGCTGATTCGACGGAAACCACTGAAATGCTTGGGCTGGAGGGTCCTGGTGAGGGGGCCCAGGGCCGAGAAATTGTTGTTGATGATCAAAGTTTGCTAAGTGCGCTGGAGGAGGAACTGTCGGAATAACCTGCTGCGCTGGATGGACCCAGTGTCCTGGATGGAACCCAGACTGGTGGTGCTGAGCCCCGTGGTGGGCCACCACGTGGCCGAACCCACCAACCTGAGGAGGATAGCCATGCGACGGTAGCGCGTTCAGGTGATGCAAGAATTGCGTCCCCTGTGAGTGCTGCGTCGAGTCGTCCTAATAACTCGGATAACCGCCCTGAGGCTGCTGTGTTGGGTAGCCCTGAGAAGGAAGGGGTTGCTGTTGCTGGTAGTTCATGGCTTGGCCTGGCTGCACGTGCGAGTTTTGGAACTGCGGCAGCGTCTTGAACCAGCGGTGTTCCAGGGCCTTCTCGGCGCTAATGCGAAGCTCTGGCCGCAGCTGGAGCATCTTCTGCAGCAGCTCGATGCCGTCCGGGTCGATCATGGGCAGGATGGCGCGGAGGTCCTGGGTGGCATAGACCTGGAAGTTGTTCTTGTACTCGGGGAACTGCGTGATGCCTGGCCACGTCCGCTCTGTGGGTGTGCCCATGATCCGGAAGATGCGGTTGATCTGGTCCTCGTTCGTGGTGCCGGGGAACAGCGGCCTGCCAGTGTACATCTCCGCCATGATGCAGCCTGCTGACCAGATATCGATGCTCGTGTTGTAGGTTCTGCTTCCCAGCAGCACATCGGGGGCCCGGTACCACAGCGTCACCACCTCGTTCGAGAAGGTGTTCACAGGAATGCCAAAGGCTCTCGCCAGGCCAAAGTCGCCCAGCTTGAGCTGCCCCTTGCCATTAATCAGGAGATTCTGCGGCTTGAGGTCTCGGTGTAGCACCTTGTTCTTGTGGCAGAAGTCGATGCCCTTCAGGAGTTGGTACATGAAGGACTTGATGAGATCAGGGTGGAGGGCCCCCCGCTCTCCCTTGGTGTCCATGTACTTCTTGAGATCGCCGTCCATGTAGTCGAACACCAACATAAGCTTGTTCTCGGTATGAATGACGTCGTGTAGTCCCACAATATTCTCGTGCTTGAGTTCCTTCATCAAGGATATCTCCCGAATCGCGGTGCTGGGTGTGCCCTCCTCCGAGTCGAGATGGATCTCCTTAAGTGCGACGAACTCGCCGGTCTGTCTATTACGTCCCTTGAAGACCTGCGCCACAACTTGACATCAGCAAAGAGGTCTCAAAAAGGCCTGGGGAAAACGGATGTCAGGGCCGCAGCACCTACCGTCGCGTAGGTTCCCTCTCCAAGCTTCTCCAGCTGTTGGAAGGAGGAAAGATGGCGTTTGCCGTCCATCGTGTCTGGTGAGGTGTTTCGCAATACAGAGGATATGTTCTGGAAAGGCTCGACAGGTGGGCAGCGTCGAGCAGTGCGGTGAGGGTCAAACAGGATGCTCTTCGCGGTTTCTATCTTGTGCGTTGAGGTTTCACTTGACTCTACCCAGGTCAGCACAGGCTGTGACTCGTCAGGTGCGAAAGCCGTCTCGGTGGAAAGAGCAGCTGGCAAGGTTCTGCAGTCTGGTGGTCGTTCAAGGTGTGTTGACGAATCAAGAACAGTACGCGATGTGTGGAAAAGATATCGTGGGTTGCCAACGGACAAGAGGGAGAGCTGCGGTGGTTGTCGGTAGAAATGCAAGCTCGTCAGAGCGCCTGAGAGTGGGCGTGATGGAGTAAGAGTACTGTACTTCTATTTCTGGGCTGCCACTGGCACCGCATGAACCCTGCCATGGGGGCGTGGGATGGCCAACCCCACCTTCTGAACCGCTGACTCAGATCGCTCGAGTATATCGCATGGCAGTGGGTAGCCGACATCAACCTCTCTTGCCTCTTGCACGTGAAATAAATTCCGCCAACTACAACAAAACCTCATCTCTTGACAATATATCTATTGATTCATATAGTTCCATCATAGCTCCTTCATTTGGCAAGTATAGCTTCACTCGTCAGTATTCAATTTCTTGATGTACCTGCAGCAAGATCCTCTTGGTCTCAAGCCGGTCACCAGATCAGCGACCATGAAACAGAGGTTCCTTACTGTGCCCTGACGCCCACAGCATTACCTCTAGGGCAAACCGCCAGCATCACTCTACGGCATTTACCCAGCTTATTCCCTATGATACAGGAAAGAAAAGTTGCCGTAGCGTTGAGCCAGGATCTACATCAACAAACTCTGGTACTGTATTTGCGTTCCTGTTCCATCTTGGATACTGCCCAGCAGTTCAGAATCACACAACCTTTGAACTCATTAGTCTCCATGCCCCCAACCTCCAGCACATAGTAACTCTGATTACTATACAGTATCAATTTACATGTCGCATCTAATTGGATGCCATTGACTTAATGATAGGGCCATGGTGTCCCATAAACAATTTCCTGCCCAAGCCAGTTCAGAACACCACATAAGATGCAATGCTAACCTGCACTGAGAGACAGTGCAATTCAAACATGCTGCCTTCCTTGATAGACAAACATGATCCAAACAGTTATTCTTCTGTCCATACAATCGAACATGATATGGTTCAGCTCGTCTCCTGATCTTGGCTGCTGAAGGACGCAGGATCGGAGCAGACAGCCTTCCAGCGCGACCGCATCAGCAACAGCCGGTCCTGAATCTCATGGCGCTGTCCAAAGCTACCAGACTATATACACCGCCACGAACAGCCCGACGAGACCCTGGAAGCCACGTATGCACTTGACAAGACCGCGGCCGGCAGTGTTGAAAACCCATTTCGTTCTGTATGAACATCTTGGGAAGTTTTGTCGCGTTCAATCGATACCTACCGTGTCTTCTTCGCCGCCATTTCCACGTTGTCCCCAGCCTCATCCTTGTCGCTATCGTAAGAGAATCCCTGCTCCTTTTCCCACATGAAGCGCTCAGCGAAACTTCCAGACATCTGGTTCGGGCTCAACAGGCTTGCCTGGTAGCTCTTAACATTGGAGGCATCGGGGCCGCTTCGCCCATTGACGCTGCCAACGAAGAACGGCACATCAGAGTCGACACTCTCTAACTTCTTGAGCAGTTCTTGGTCCTTCACTGGGCCGGGCATCACAGGCCGCCCTGCGTATGACCCGATGGACGTGCTCAATGATCGAGTTCCCTCGGGCTTCGTAGGATGCTGAGCCGGCACCGTAATTGCAGGCTGCGAGCCGGTGCTGGCATTGGTAGGAGGCGACCCACGTCCACCGCTGTGCGATCGAGTTGCCTTAGTGTGATTATTGTGGTACTCAACGTTCTCAGGCTCGTCATCTTGGGCTTCGGTCAGATATTTTTCAGTTCGGGACCGTGCGGCCCGAGTCTTCTGGCTGCTGCTGGTCTCCTCCTCGTCATCAAATGCGAAAAACCCCTCGTCATTGTCTTCCTCTGGGCCAGCCGACGTGTGCTGGGACTGCTTTTCGAGCTTGTTATTGTCCTGGAAAATTGCACGAGATGCATTTGTGCTGCGCTTTTCATCGCTCGCCTCCACCTGGCCATCATCTCTGGAAGTCTGCGGTATGGTGCGGCTAGCCTGGCCTGCGGTCGGTTCCGATCGTGTAGGCTGAGGCGAAAGTGGCTCATTGAAAGGAGTCTTGGCCCCAACGGTGCCAGACGCCGTCTTCACTTTCGATTTCGTCTTCTTCGAGGCCATAAATAGGGCGGGCTCTTCATCAGAGTCGTCTTCCTCTTGCCTGCGGCCACCCTTGATGCTCTCATGTTGGCGCTTGCCAGTATCGGTCCCGGCCACGGTGTGAGCCTGGACACAAGGCTCTTCTTCCGAACGCTCAGGAGTCTCCACAGCAGATATCTTGCCCTCATCTGAGTTACGCTGCTGGGGCGGTGTTGAGTTGGCTGTATTCTTGCGAAGGACATCTGTTTCGCGAGGCAATGCCTTTTCCGGTCCGGTCTCGGCGTTAACCACAGTCCACACAGTTCCTTCGTCTAAAGGCTCCTTAGACAATCTTCGCAGAGCCTGAGTTGATGACACTTTTTTCGGAGGCCCATGCTGCTGCTGGTCCTCCTCTCCTTGGAAATCACGCAGTGATGTGGCGTACGGGTCACTTGAAAGGGCTGACTTCTCTGCTGCGCCCTCTGACTGCTTGAGGGTGTCGGCGGAGGTCTGAGGTGAAGATGATGGTAAGACCTCCTGACCTTCAAAATCAAAACGCACGCGACGATGATCACGTGGGCTGTCGGGTCTGGAGGAGCCCGACGATCGTCTTAGGGCGCTCTTTCTGTTTTTGGCACTGCTGCTGTCGCTTGCCAGAGAGTCGACCGAAGTATCAGTACCGCGACGTAGCGGACTCGGTCTGTGGCGCTGGCGAGTGTCCTCTGAACTCTGAGTTTCGCCAATGGAAGGTCGACGGTCAGTTCTGGCTGCGTCGACTGAGCCTGGCGAGATAGGAGATGAGTGAGGTGCTCGATCAACGCTTTCGAGGAGCGGTAGGAAAGCTGGAGTAAAAAGGCCCTGGAATTCTAGTTCTCGTTCGTGAGGGCTGCGTTGTCCCGACGCAGGTTCAACCTCAGAACTGCTCATGTCTTGAGGGCTTGGAGAGGTCTTCCCGAGCCAGAGTGTACTCTCGAGATGGTTGGTTGTTGAAGTTGTGGTTGGGGTTGGGTAGCGAGGTAGACTGTTGCTTCCTGGGGGGTACAGAGAAGGATAGTTTCTGACTGACTCCGAGATAGCTTGTGAGACTAGGTAGGCCACATCCTCTGGGACATTTCTGAGGAGCTCCTCAGAGTATCTGGTGAACTCAGAAGCCATGTCCAGACGGTAGGCAGTGACCTTGCCATCCAGCTCGGCGAGCTTGGTGGTGAGCTCTGAGATGAGCTTCGTTGTGGTGTGAAGGTTGTCCATGGCTGCGATGTCGGCACAACGATAAGACCCAGCTGTCTTGGACAGTGATCGTGACCGGAACCCCCCCTGCAGCCTTGCGATACCAACGTAAGAATGATAATTGAATTATGTATACACAGACCCAGCCATCATGGTTGTGTGGTCTCACTGTCCTATTTGGAGGTCGAGGGGGTCTGGTTGGTGGTTGTGAGTTCCGAGTGGAGGTCAAAAGATTGGGAAGAAGAGATTTGATTAGATCATCATTGACGAGGAGTTGTGGTCAGTGTCGTGCAGGTGGTGGTGGGCTGCAAGCAATCTGCATCGGATCTGCTGGGGTTATGAGTAGGGATCTGCCCTGCAAGTTTATCAGGCTGTCCAGGCCTAGCCTAGACCTACTGAAGCGGGGTTTTTCTGTTCTCGGTCGCACAGCATGGGCATTGGCATGTGGGCAGGCAATTCCCGTACTTACAGCACCCCACCTGACAGCAACAACCCTCAACAATACCACCTGAATAAGCAGCAATTGGCTGGTCACCACAGGAGCTACTGCTCATCAAATATACTGTGGTACACCATGATATAAATACAATCTGGCTGTGTGTTGGCTCCGTTTCGGTGTCTGGAGACAGCAGATTTTCCGGTCTGTAGTCAACAGGATCATCCACCACCGGAAATTGATATCAGGTCGCGGTCATGTGCGGATGCTTCCATCAAGGTTATGCTAGACGGTCTGGCCATATGGTTGTCTTGCCTCATTTTTCCCCTGGGTTTTTTTCTATCCTTTGATCTGCACCTTTTCTCCCTAGAACTAGGCATCTCATTCATCTCGATCTAGCCAGGGCTGTCTTACGCTGGGCAATATCAACATCAGAGCTCAACAACTTTTCTGTTTCTGTACGAGTGTGCAAATCTGGGCCATCATCGTCATCTGCGAGAGATGGGGATACAGAACAGTTTCGCGTTCAGCCATTGCTCAGCTATGGCATCCTTTCTCACACAACTTTTCTGAGATCCTCGGAGTAGCACACGAATCCATCTATTTCCCTCTATTAAAATAATCTTCAAATATATATCCTATGGAGTGCGGTGCCCTTGTAGGCTACGGCACTATAGCGTTATTCGTGAACTGACAACACAGTCTCTTGAGGCAGCCAAGTATGTCTCCCAAGATATACTGAGTGAATCTTCGCATGAATTTCAAGCCAGAGTTGTTGCTTGCCAGAAGGTTGAAGACTTTCTCTAGTACCCGCTTGAGAGTTGTTGATCATGCAAACACGGGGCGACTGGATGAAAGAATACATCATGATTCTCTTACATATTTCCAACTTCTGAAAGTCGAAAACACCGTCAGCATATTCCTCATCTCTATCTACCCAGAATTCATCGACTTTGGTGCGGAAAGAGCGATCTGGGCAGGAAGGAGTAATCAACAGTCTGCAGTCTATGCGTAATTCTTGTAGCGGGCCCACTCCCACCAGAGGATTATTCATCATCAACGACATCTACGACATTCTTTTCCTGGAGATAGTGATCCTACCATCACAATCTTCTCCGGCCTAGATCGATTCCCATCTGTCATTAACTGCTCATGCCCAGCCATATGGTAATCCCACCTTGTTGAGGAACTTTCTCATGCTATTGAAATTGGCAAGTTCTCAGTACGCCCTGAAAACGTCTTTTCAACAGAAATAACCTCTATGCCACTTTCTCTCTCTTCCCCCCTCTCTGCTCTCCCTCCTCTGCCTCCCTTTCTACCTCTCCTCCTCTACTTCTCCTTCCTGCCCTATTTTCTCCCCTTTCTTTCCTTGCAGTCACTGATGTGGCCCTCACCGATTTGCTTTCTTCATCCAACAACGATTGACTGATTCCCAGCCTAGGACTTCAGTGTTCCATAGAATTTGCACTTCCAGGCTCACGTCTTTTACCTATTACATTTTGAGGCCAGCATCCTTTCCACAGAATCCGACTGCCAATTTCCCATTTCTGTTTCTAGGGGCATTCAAAATAAGAACGGCAGACGCGGCATCTCAAAACTATTTAAAATTGGGTCACGCCTGTCAACGCGCTGGTTCTAAACCCTTTGAGCTTTTTGTTTGACCTTCTAACTCGCCACAGGTAAGAGCTCCCCCTCTGAGGTCCTTCCTTATCCAGCACTGATCGTTAGCAAAGCAGCAGCTGGCTTCCTTGGCCAAATTTCTCAACAATCTTCCGCTCGTATTCCTTCCTCGCGCAAGGCCACATCTTCAGACAAGGGCAAATCTGCTTTCTTACACCTTCAAACCAAATCACCCTTCCTCAGACTTCCTTCCTCTCTTGCTCGATCGCTTCTCTTAACATACTGTGGCTAGCTCACTTCTGAGCCAGCTGCTCTCTCGTCGCGGACCTCATTTTCCAGAGTCATCCTACTCTGCTGATTTACCACCGCATTTCCGCGGTTCATCCTATCTTTGATAACGTGAGGCCCAATTCCATCACTAACCGATCTATCACTGCCTCCTTCCCCGGCAACTTGGACATCAAATTCCTCCCAACAAATTACGATTTTATTGTCGCTGGAAACTCACTTCGCTACCTCGAACCACCCACCCAGCAGCACCTCGAGAAAGATTTGACTACGCTACATTACAGCGTGTCATTAAGAGTGGCATCATGGACGCCGAGAACACTCAGGCTATGTCAACGAGACCTCCTGGTGATGGGGCAGCCGCTTTGATTGAGTCTCACCCTCAGGTCAAAACAGAACCAGATATTGCGGTATCGCCTAGCTTTACGATGATTTCAACCCCAGCTATTGGCACCATCACCGCCCACAAAATGGAGGAACTTGTTGAGAACAAGGCCACAGTCTATCTCCAACAGGAACCGAAGGAAATTACACTGGACACGGTCCGCTGTCTGATAAACACTGAAGACCTCGCAAAGTTGAAGCTTGGTGTCAGTCATGCGCGCAGAATCCTCACGCGGCTTCGCGCACCTATATATGAAGCGAAGCAGCAGAAGGATCGGACGAACTGGCTCGAAAAGATTGACAAGCTTCTAGCCACGCCAACAGATGCCGGCAGAACAATTGTGGCAGTCGCAGGAGCGACAGGAGCTGGCAAGAGCTCATTGATAAACAGTCTACTAGGCGAGGAAGAGTTTCTGCCAACAGATGGATTTCGAGGTACGGGAATTCTGTTCACTTCATTACTGACAAACCTAGGTGTCGATCGTTACTGACAACTGATGCAATGTTAGCTTGCACTTCCGTTGCGACAGAGATCAGTTACAATACTGTGACAGACCCGAACAAGGCCTACCGCGCTGAGGTCGAGTTCCGTTCCCAGGATGAGTGGGATTTCGAATTGGGGAACCTCTTTGCAGACCTCAAGGATGAGAACGAGGATGACCAAGGCAATGCTGCTGGCAAACAAACTTGGAAGGATCCCAAGAGCGACGCTGGCAAAGCCTATAGCAAGATCCGCGCTGTATTCCCGAAAATGAGTCATGTTGACCTTATGAAGAGCACGCCAGAGCTGCTGATGAAGTGCAAAGGTGCACTCAAGGTCCTGGACACTACGAAGAAAATAGCCTGCACAACCGCGAAGGAGCTGTCTTCATTGCTGGAGAAGTATCTAGTCAGTGCCGAGAAAGAGGTCGGCTGCGAACCGAAAGGAGATGAGACGTCGATAGAGATTTGGCCCCTTATCAAAAGTCAGTATTGCTTCATCTCTTTGTACGCACATCAAATTCGACAACATGGTAGAAGGCTAACATTTCCAAAGTTGTTCGCATATACTGTCATGCCCCAATGCTATCTACAGGTCTCACTATCATTGACCTTCCAGGCATTGAGGATTCCAATACCGCTCGTTGTTCTGTTGCGGAGGACTATCTGAGCGAGGCTAATGGGATCTTCGTTGTCGCACCCATCCAACGAGCAGTGGACAACAAATCAGCCAAAGATCTGTTGGGGAAGTCCTTCAGAACGCAAATCCTGATGGATAATAATTGTACGGCTCTTCGCTCTTTGAGTCCTCGTGGAATATCAGCCGCTAATCGCACAACTGAACAGTCTCGAATGTGGTCTTCGTATGCACAAAGACTGACGACATCAATTTCAAAGAGTCTCAGAAGTCACATGACAAGGACCATCGGATCAGAGACATATTTGCAGAAGAGGAACGACTCAAAATGATTGTGGACCAAAAAGCGGCTAAGATGAAGCCAATGGAGGAGAATCTGCAAGACCTTGAAGCAGGATATCTGGCTAAGGTCCGCGAAGTGGGTGAGTGGAAAAAGCACCAAAAGGCTGTCAAGAAGGGAAGACCTGTCTACCGCAAACGCGTGCCAGCCAAGCGGAAGCACGAAGACGATGCATCAGACTCGGAGTCTGAGGAAGATACGCCATTGACGGCCTCAGAGGTCATTGAGGAACTGACCAAACTCGAGAACGAGGCCGAGGCGAAGGAGATCTCTTACCGCAATGCGCAGAAGGAATTTGATACTGCACAGAACGAGCTCATTGATCTACAAGACAGACTCGCTCTCATTGCTACCGAGGGGCCAAGGATGTGTGTCCAGGCCAGGAATGAAGCCTCGACCAAAGCCATCAAGTGGGACTTCGCAATGGGAATCAAAGAGTAAGCAATATCAAGCATAAAGGTGCCGCCGCACGCAGGTATAGGCTAACCCAATGGTTGCAGAATCGATGATGGTGACGAGGATGAGGAGCCGACCATTGGACTTCCGTCTCAAAAACGCGGTCGCGAGGAGCGAGATTATTCTCAAATTGCGGAATCATTCCCAGTCTATTGCGTGTCCAGCTACGCATATCAGCAATTGGGAGCTACAAGCGAGCGGCGTGAAACCCCAGCCCATGGGTTTCGAGACCTAGACGACACTGGAATACCCGGACTTATAGAGTATGGGAAAAATTTGACATATCGGGAGCAGATTAGGAAGCACAGGAACTTCCTCAATTCCCTGATGACGTTACTTTCGTCGCTCGTGGTACTAACGGCCTGCTGCTGTCGAGTTACGGACGCAGCCAAGGTTGACAGCCACCCTACAAAGCTGTGCGAGCAGGACCAGATTCTGGAGCTAGATCTTTTCGAAATCGAAATCCAGAATTTGAGCAAGGTATATTCTTCTTCTATACAAAATTCTGCTCGCGGCTGAAACTGATGATATCACAGCGTCTGGGGCAAGACATCTTCGAGATGAAGCGCAAGCTTCTGGAGGTTGCGCGCCGATACATTACTCAAAAAAACTCCAGAGCTATTGCTATTGCTGCGAAGGCCGCTCCGTCCGTTACGACTCGTTGGTCTACTCGCGAGAAGGATGGGGGGCACGGCCTCGCTTGCGGAACGTTCAAAGCGATTTGCAGACGACATGGAGCAAAGACAGCGAGTAAGAAAGCCCGGGATTTCAATGAAGACCTGCTGCAGCCATACCTCGGCCCTGTTGCCAAGTCATGGGAGACCGTCTTCGGAACGAGGGTACCAAATATATTGGACCAACTTGTGAAAGTTTTCGGGCAGAGAGTGCGCGAGTTCCACGACAAGATGCAAGGGCGCACAGCGCTTCAAAAGTGCAGGTCCGGATCCTTGGAATTCCTCGGGAAGCATTGCGAAGAGCACCAGATGGCTTTTGCTAGCGTAATCGAAGACTCGAAGAGAGCTATAACGGGAGGGCAGCGGCAAGCGAGTCGAACTTTGGCGCCTCAAGTCCAGACAACAATGAAGGAGATCTACGATCGGTGTGCCGTGATAAAGGGTAAGTGATGTTCATCAGGCACAAGTTCAGCTTCATCCCAAGCACTGACATTGTGCCAGGCAAAAAATGCTACCAGCGGATCAAGGATGAGATGCACACGTGGATCGAATTGAAAAGATTCGACATCTTCAAAAACATAGGCAAGAATGCTCTCGCAGGCATGGAGAAGACCTGGCAGGAAATTGCGAAAATCCTCGACGAGGCTCAAAAAGATATTGTGCTGTCAGTGACCAAGTCTCCATTCCCTCAAGCGCTTCATGATTTAATGATGTTGATACAGTGATATCATGGCCAACGATTACCGCACCATGATCTCGGCCGGGGAGATTATGGAAGCTTCCGCCATTGCCCTCGGACGCTGTCATGTCGTGTTGAGCGAGGTGGACGAAAGCTTCAAGGCAATCTTGGATGGAGACGTGGAGATGGCATCGGGACGTCGAGGAGGAGTCGATCCTACGGTTCAAGCCATGCCCTTCTTGGGTACTGAGCGAGCGGGTTTCGACGGTTGAACTCAGGGAACGGTCAGGAGCACAACATGAGCGAGATGTCTTGATACTAGGATTGGTAGTCTCAGCAGGTAGACTGCATGCAGGGGTAGACTGCCAGCAGGGCATCCCTCAGTAGGCTTCGCGATGCATTCATAAACATAGGTTTTGGGAGTCAATCAATTGACATTGCATTTTCGCGCCTTTTTATTTCCCTTCCCCTTCTGATATATTGCTCAGCCATTTGACACAGTACTGAATGCTGGAGGAGAGGGAAGTGAAAAAACACAGAGTGAATGAACTTGGATATGAAGACCAAGCTCTTCACTTAGGACCTTGACCTAGGCCATTTCACCTAGGCACTTCACTGAATTTATCTGCAACTCACACGGGCCCAGTATTCACAGCCATCCTACTACTGTATATAGCCATTATTTCTTTCCTTGATGCCTATACAGCCAATACACTGACATGTTTCTATCCCCACCATAGTTCATCCAGCCACTATCTCCCTACAGGTAAGTCTTACGTGTGCCCATGTTAAGGAGGGGTGGTGTGCGCACGGACCACTCCCCATTGCAGCTGACATAAGCAGAGCCCCCCAACCAAAGGCCTTGTTGGCTTGGTCCAATCTCCCTTGTCAACCTCACCTGACGACGACACCTGCAACCCTCCGCTCATCTCCTCTCGTCCTTTCCATCCACCGTACCATCCTCCACGCCCACGACTCCGATGCGCACACGGCGTTGATTCAGACCACGAACAGGGTCGCCCAGTTCAAAGGTATCCGCTCCGACGGCGGGTAGCCGCGCACGCTTGCTGGACGAACGAATGCCCCGGAAAAGGCGTGACCTGCGCCTCAGACTGACGGGACGCCTGTCCAGGGCCTGCAGCGTCACGCGAAACCCCCGGGCGAGCATTGTCGTCGAGCCTGGAGCGTGCGGGGACTTGTCATCTTTCCTTTCCTTTTCCTTTTTTCGCCCAGGCCGCTGTGCCTCGACGCCCAACGAGTCGACGTACAACGCGCTCAGATGACGACGCAGTACCTGATTGGGCGCGCGCCTCTCTCTTGGCTGGCAATCAGGGAACCGAGATCGGAAAAGGAACTTCTTGTGGGCTGCCTCATCGGCGTGGCGGCAGTCTGAGGGATGCTGTTGTCGCAGTAGCTTCTGGCGCTGGACTTTCACATTCTGCAAGGCTGACGCTTAACGCGCGCAAGATCATGAAAATATCCGAATTGTACCCCATGGCGGATTCAGTCTGTCGCCGTGGGAACAACCGGGGTCTTGTGGAGAGGGGTTCATCTCAAGAAGTTGCCTGTGAGCGGCGACGACGACTCGTTGGAGTGTTGAGGTTCCGTCGACTTATACCCCCTTCCTCCTCCTCATTCGCGGGACAAGAGCCGAGGCTGCTCTACCACAAAAGCCTGGGAGGGTGGGATCCTGTCGTTAATCTGGCTAACGGCAGGGGATATCAAGCCCAAACAAATTCTTCTTTGGCCAACAGGGCCTCTTTTGATATTGGTAACTAACATGATTGCAGTCCCCTTCGCCTCCTGCACGAAACTGAGCCTCGATGGCGACCTCCTCCTCACAAGAATCAACAGCCTCCGAGTGCTCTGCTACGGAAACCAAAGAGGAATGCCAAATCAACATATCCACGCCGGCCGTTGTGGCCTGGCGAGGGGAGCACACGAGGCTCAATCTGCATCTTCAATATGATTCGTGTACGAGAACGGCCTTTTTCAAGTTCAGGGACAGCCTGGTGCTCAAGTCACGGCCATCAAGCAAGACGTATCTGTACCTGTTCCTCCCGCCAGAACGGATCCAGACCTTGGCTCTCGACGAGTCGCCCAACCCTGATTCTATACCTCCGACCACAGCCCAATCCCTTGGCACAGCATTCTCATGCCTGCGGTTCATACTGCGTTCACCGGCCGATCTCATTGGGCTCAGGGACGTGGCCTTAACGCCCAAGAACAAAGTGGAAGGCCAGGTCTTGGATCGGTTAAGGGCACTCGCCCGAGCTACTGCGCTCGATGTCTTCATACCACATCAGCTGGCCTCAAAGGAGCATCTACTATCCGTTTGTAATGGCATTCGTGATGGCTTGACCTCCCGTCCTGGGCAGGCCGACCTTGCCTGTATGTATGAAGGCAGAGGTGGGATGAAAATTGCTGTTGGCAGCTCGGAAACGGCGCTCGCCCAGGACGGCCATCCTCTTCAGCCAAGTGGCGAAGCCCCGCCGTCATACAGCGAGACCGGCCCAAGTTCTCCATTGGCAGCCGCCGCGGCAGCCACAAATCTCTCGGGACCAGCGCCTAAGAAACGGCGGCTTGACACCTCGGAGCCTGACGAGATGCGGGCGGACCTAGTAGCTATCATAGAAGCCACGTGCCGGAAGATGGTGCGCGAGGAGGTGAAACAAGAAATGCATGCCCTGGAGAAGCGCCTGACGGACAAGATGGAGCTGCTGGCCGAGGAGTATGCCGAGAGGCAGGGCGACCGCCTGGCAGAAGACCTCGCAGGCTCGACCCAAGCCATAGACGAAAAAGTGGAGGATGAATTTTATGGTCTCAGGATGAGACTGGAGGATTTTATCAAGGAGGAGATGGCGGAGGCGGAGGAGAGGATGGTTGAGCATCTGCAGAGTACGGCAAGGGTGCATCTGGACTTTGGGCCATGAGAATAGATTTTTAAATTTTTCTATTTTTGTCAAGAGATAGAGGTAAATATTGGACAATGGAGTCATCCTCCTCCTCATCGTCGACGGCTAGAGAGAATTTAGCCTGAGACCAGATTGCTATCTGGAAATCTAGTAGTCTTCTCCAGCATCTCGGTAGCGTGACCCGTCTTGGTCCCATCGCCATTGGCTTCCTGCCCATTCGTGGCAGCAGCAGCAGCAGCAGCATCTTCTGGGCCTCTGACTGTGGCCTTGTCCTCCTTCTCTTCCACCTCGTCCTTCTTGAGAAGGGATTCCTCGGCCAGCTTCTGCTTGTCCTTCTTGCTCAGCGAGATGGCCCCCTTGGCCATGGCCTCCTTGGGCAGCGGGCGGACGATAGGCTGAACCACCCACCACGGCCTCTTGCACCTCCTGACCGTCGCCACCGAGCTGTCGGGATCGTCCACAATCTCCTCCTCCCCCTCGTCCTCCTTCTCACCACCGCCTCCCCTCGACCCCTTCGCATACGCGCCGTTCCTCCCGTCATCCTCCCCCTCCACACTCTTCCCGCCCGTGGCCTCATACTCCAACAAGCCCTCTGCGACCTTGCGCTCCACCATGTCCAGGATCCGCTCGTACACGGCAATGTCGCCCAGCCGGGACCTGGCCAGCGCGTCCCGCACGTCGGTGTGTCTCGTGACCAAGTGCCGCAGCAGGTGGAACAGGTGGGCCTGCATGGCGACGAAGTTGGGACCGGCCGTGGCCGAGGTCATCCTGGCGGATCTACTGGGCTTGTTGTTGTTGTTGGTGTTGTTGTCGTTGTTGCGGCCGCCACCACCACCACCACCATCCTTCCTCCGCTTTTTTCTTGCGGGTTCCTGAGCCTCGTTATCGCCGTCTCGGTTACCGTCTTTTCCTTCTCCCTCCTTTCCCACCTCCAACCAACTCGCGTCATCCCCCGGCACGAACAGGGCCCTCCTGGCAGGAGGTTCCTGTCCCACCACGTAGCGGTGCATGATGTCCAGATACCGCCTCACAACAGCATCCACACGCCACCCGCCGCCTCCTCCTCCCCGCCCGTCTTTTCCTCGCCAGTACTCTCTTCCTCCCTCCTCCCCAACAACCGCAGGGGACGGCGGCGCCGCAAACAGCGCCGGGTTCGACAGGTTCCCCTCGGCCGACATGACGCCGTCGGCGCCCGTAGCATCCAGACACCGCTGCAGGTCCTCGTGCTGCAGCACATTCCCGTTGGCAAACAGCACCGTCTCGGGCGGCAGGTTGTCGCGCAGGTACCGGATGTACCCCCAGTCGGCGACGCCCGTGAGGTGGCCCTTTTGCTCGCGCCGCCGCCCGTGCACGGTGAGGATGCTGGCGCCCGCCGCCAGCACGTTGCGCGCGTACGCCAGGGTCTCCTCCTTGGTGTCGAGGATGCGGATCTTGGCGGTCACGGGGATCGGGAGGTTCTCGTGCAGGGTGCGCACGAGGCTGTGGACCAGGGCCTGGTCTTCTTGTAGGAAGGCGCCGTAGTGACCCTTTCGCGCGATGCCCTGGGGGCAGCCGAAGTTGAGGTCTACGGCGTCGCAGTAGGGGGCCACGAGCTTGGCGGCCTCGAGGAGGGCCTGGGGGTTGTTGGCGCAGAACTGGACAAAGAGCGGTCTGTCGATGGCGGCGTTGCCGTCGAGGTAGGGTGTGTCGTCGTCGGGAGTGGCTGTGGCAGTGGCTGTAGCAGAAGCAGTAGCAGCAGGAGGGGGTGGAGTGTAGTCGTTGGCACTGGGCAGCATCGAGGCCCTCGTCGGCTGAAAGTGTGAATCGCGGTACTTTTGGCTGTCGGCAAAGAGGCGGGCATGGAGCATAGGTGAATAGGCAAGGACGCTGGGGCGTTCGGACTCGGACATGAAGGAGCGCGTGAGCATTCGCCAGGCCTGTTTTGTCGTGCGCGTGTGTGCATGAGGTTAGCAATGAGCTCTTTACGCCGCAGCCTCGCAGCACAAAGAGAGAAAGGAAAAGAAGAAGAGAACAACAAGGAGAACAAGCAAACACGTACAAACTCGGACTGGTCCACCATCGGCGCGACAATGTACTTGGGACTTCCTATACTCTCATAGAAGGCACGCCCGTGCAGCTTGGCCGGCCTCGTCACCGCGGCCGACGCTGGCGGAGGATTGACTGTCTCGGAAGTCATAGCCGCCGTCGCAAAGGATGAGAATTCGCTCGATGTCGCGACGATGCTTCTGCCGTGCAGCAGTAACAACAATCTCGGAACCGGACGCCCACCCGGCCTTCCAAACCGCCGAATGACAGCCTCCAGAATGGATAGCGGAGGCGGTGGAAGGACAGAATGTCAAGAGATGGAAGAAAGCTTGGGTGAATATTGGTGTGGTGTTACAATTGGGTAGGCGAGACTTGGTGAAGAATGTTGAACATGGAGTGGGCGAGTGAAGTGTTTCGTCCAGAAAAATGACGAACTTTTTTTTCCTTTCTTCCCCTTCTTTCTGGCTGACTCTTTCAGCCTTGCCTGTGCGATAAGATAAGCCTTGCCTCGGCGGGATACTAACAATACCATACTAGCAGCAGCATTTAATTGTACCTAGGCACACGTCACTTACTGCCCTCCCTCCTCCTCTCGCCTCCTTTCTTTTTTCCTCTTACGTATACTACCTACTCGGACCGAGTCCAACCCCTCTCCCACCACACCACCACATCATGTACTGCACTGCACACAATGAAGCTCGCTCCACTTTCGTATTCGAGGTGGTCATCATTGTCAATCTGTCGCGGTTCTAACATCGTTGCTTTACCTATAAAAGGAGGAAGAGAAGGGGGGGGGGGGAATATACGCAATTTCCAGGGTTTGATCTAGCCCTATATGCCATGGTTTTGTCACCTGGTCGAACCGATATCAGCAACTCCTCCGAACCCAAAGTCAGCGCGTGCAGGCCTAACTAGGAGGAAAGGGGGGGGGGGGGGGAAGCTTGGGCATCTTGGAGACTTGTTAGACTCTCTCATCGTCATGTTCACTCGTAATTAGTCGGATATAGAGTCCCACGAAACTCAAAGAGAGGATGCTGCATTGGTTCTTGGACTATCTAGGCATAATTGAGCTTGTAAAGGTGTGCTGCAGGCCAGGACCGTACCACTACTGAGAGATCCCCTCCTTTCCCTGCTGCTTCTCAGATCGCAACAAAGTGTGTCACTTGGATGCTACGAATTTTTGTGCCAATCGCTCCTCACATGTTTACCCCATTTGTCTGCAAAGAAAGAAACAAAGTGAAAGAACAAGAGGAAAAGGAAAAACAATGAATGCCGTAAAGCACACGCGCGCACAAAACAAAATGCCCTAAGTTCGAACCAAAAAGGCCATGCTCGCCTCCCAGAGGTCATGCTGATTGATGATTAAAAATGGTCACGTCTTTGCGCATTCGCAAAACCACTTTGCGTCTGTCCATCCGGCTTGCATCCTGCTTCCACCAGGTTCTGCTTGTCTGTGTCCTGCTCAAGTCCGCTTGTGGTTGTTCATGTGCCAGGTTGCCTCCCTCGAGATTATGTAGTATCTTCGTGTGTCACCACAGACGATGTGCTGCCAAGGGGGCAAAAAATAAAACGCCTCGACACCTTACAATGCATTTCCGATACGCCGACAATGGGCAAAAGCAAAGAAAAAAGAGTACACGACGGGGTCTCCGATGCCCAACTGGCTCAGACACTGAAGAGAGGAGTGATCATCCCGTCGGAGACTGTCATTGTCAGAAGAAATGAGTATAGATCTTGGAGCTCTCGTGAACTTCCATTTCCTATTCATACACACATGGTCAGCTTCCCGTCCCAGCGCCACCAACTCGGCAGACATCTTTGTGCGCTACATACCATCTTGAAGGTGTTCAGCTCCTCCTTGATCTGCTGCGCAAGCATTGGCGTGAGGCGATTGCAAGTTGCAATCTCCGAGCGACGGTCGTATTCCTGGCCCGTCCACGTGTCATAAAACACAATCCGCGGGCTGAAAGTCGCGTTCCGCTTGCCCTGCCCCGAAGGCGTGCCTGGAGCACTCTTGGAGTCCTGGCGAAGGCGCAAGGCTGTCATGAAGTAGTCCTCGCTGCCAATAGTGACAGTAGTAGTCTCGGCCCTCTTCTGGCTGGCATCGTCATTGGGAGTACTGGGAGCGCTGGAGATGGGCGAGTCCGACACGATCGGGACCGGGGGCAATTCGAAAGCAGAGCCTTTCTCGACGGGCTTCGGCGATGGTGTAGAGGATCCGTTGGAGTCTGTAAAAAAGAAAAGAAAAGAAAAAGAGACAAGTATTAGAATGGTTGCGCCCAAGCAATAAGACCATCATCATCATCACTCCACTTACACTTCAAGATGCCCTTTCGCACAGCAGCGAGGACTTCAGCCCTCTCTCGGTCGCCACCAACGATGCTCTTCCTCGAGTTCGAATTGTCCGTTCCAGAACTCCCAACTCGCTCGGGGCTCGTTCTCCCTGCAGCGGCAGAAGCGTCAATCGAATTCCTCTCCAGTCGTGGGTACCCCGTGCCACCGCCATTGCCGGGGGTTGGATCGGCGTTGACGTTCACGCGCTCCCGCTCCGCCTCCACAGTCACCATAGACACTGCAGCCTGGCTGGCTTCTGGGCTATCTGGTGGAGGGATGCCAATAACAGACTTTGGTCGAAACAGACCCGCCAGAGAACGACCGCCCTTCTTCATCCCGCGGCCCATCTTCCGAATCATAATCGAGGCCGACGAGGCGGTAGAAGAAATAGAGATGTTGTCATTTGACCCTGCGAACATTCTGGAGCCAGCGTAGATATTATGCCCGAGACCCGCCGCCTCCTGCTGCTCAGCAATGCGAGCTTGCTCAGGATCGAGCTCGTCACCATTGTCCGGCGTCTTGGCTGCCCCCGAGGACTCGCCAGCGCCCTTGCTTCCTTCCGCTGCACCGGCCTTTCTTAATTCGGCGGCACTGCCAAAGGACAGGGCCCTGCGCAACCTCGAAGTTTTGCTCTTCAGCTTGCCCCCTTTCTGATTGAGAGCAGCCAACTGCTTGACGGCAGGGCTCTCATTGTTGCTGCTGCTAGATGCTGCAGCCTGGGCGTAACTCGGCTTGCTCGCCGGTGCAGGGGCCGCACCTTTCGAGGACTCGTTCTTCTTTGCCTCCTCGGAATCCATCGTGACCGGCTTTGAGAGCGGTGACGGATTGGCGAGACGCTTGGAGGCATCGGTAGATGAGCTCCTGGGTGGAATGGTGACCAGTTTTGGGTAATCCTGTGAGGTCTGGTCGGAAGGATTAGAGAGCTGGGCGGGGTTGCCCGTAGGGTTGTGAACATTATTGCGGTTGGCAGACTTTATGGGGGTCACAGTAATGGTTAGCGTATACGTAACCTTGGATAACAGATCTGAGATGCATATTGAATTGTGATTGGACAATCCGTTCAGGGGGCTGGGGGGGGGGGCTAGGGAAAGGTAAGAAGCGAATGGGGTCGCTCACCGATGAGGGCCGAGAATTGCTGCTGCGGCTCGACACCAGACTCTCAGAACTGCCATTTCTGGCAGAGCTGTTGCTGGGGATCAGCCTCGCAGTCTTGGCCTGCTGCTCCTTGTCTGTGATGCTCTTTGTAGGCGATCGATCTCCAGTGGATTTCTCCGGCTTCTTGAGATCGAGCGCAGCCAAGGACTTGGGCACCTCGGCGGCCTCCAGTGCCGGCATGCTGCGTCGACGGAACCTCCTGGTCTCTTCTGGCCTAACATCCAGCTGCATGTCATCTACTGAGCCCGGTACTTTTGCGTAGAAGCTAGTCGGTCTGCTCGAATTGGATGGGCTGGGCCGCCTCTCCCTGCCCATGTTTGGCGGGGGCGTATACAGGTGGGCAACGGAAGCCATGCCGGAGCCTGAGGGCGCGGCCGAGCCTTGGTACTGGCCCTGCTGTCCTGCCGGGCTAGACTCGGTAGTCCGCAGGGCAGGTCGTCGGTACCGGTCTGGCTGGTTCTTGGCCGGAGACGCTGACGTGAAAGTGGTCTGTACGGTGGAGTTGGCGAAGTAGGCGGACTGGGGTCTGGGGTTGCCACTACCTCTCCGAGTGCCGGGCGGAGGTATGGCAGAATCATCTCGGGACCCGCCAGACGGTAGGCCGATGGGTAGATTGGGCAGGGAGGCATTGTTGGTGTGCCGGGCACGAGGGTAGCTACTGCTCTGGTCGAACGACTGGACCGTAGGCACTGCCGAAGAAGACGAGGCACGGTTATAAGCCGGGAGAGGCTGCCATTGACCCGTCGGGTGAAGGCTGGGTGTAGAGGTGAAGGCGTAGGGCTGGATTGGTGCAGCAGCGCCACGGTATGTCATGGGAGCGTTGGCTCCCCCAGCCATGCCGTGATAGTTATTTCTCTGCTGCTGAGGACCACCATATTGCTGGGTCGGTTGAGCTTGAGAAGACATCATGCCCGAGCCTGAGCCACTTCTTGTCTGGAGCATTGTAACGGTACCGGATTGTTGAGGGTATGTCTGGACCAAAGCTGCCATCGTCGTGGTGACTCAAGACGACCGCCTAAAAAGCCGTTTTGCCCGGAGCCCCGTGAGGTGACGACAGCCTCGTCGGTTTCGATCGAGCGGTCGAGAGTTTCGAGGTGACAGGTCTCTGCAAGGCTTGATAATTAGCGGACGTCCTCGTCAAGAAGTATACAGCAGAGAGCTGAGATGCTGAGGTTTAGATTACTGGCGAGCAAGGGGAGATGAGCACAAAGGGTTGAGTAACAATTGTGGGAGACTTGCCGATTTGTTGACAGGCTATCAAAAGATGGGAACTCCCAAATGGCAACAAAAAAATAAAAAATGGAAAGGTGGTGCTCAGAACGCGTGTGTCGCTAGGAGATTACAAATGATTGTCGGGGGTGTTTAGATGAAGGGGGCAAGGACGCCAGCGGCCAAAGGGATTGGGGATTTGTGTATTTGTGTTTTCAGGGGCAACTCGTCAGGAGCTCACTATCAACGTGAAATCCCTTGAAAGACGGGCGGTAATCTGAGCAAAGCCTCGTGGTTCCAACACAGGCAGACTGGACAATTAAACGTGTGATAAAAGCCACAGCCGTACACCTGGCGAAAGGGAAAAGAGGGCTATTGCCAGGACATGAGGAGCCCCCCCTTAAGGTTCAGAAAAGCTTCCTCGGATGTGGCTTGTTAAATCGAGCGGAGCACGAGAATGTGAGGGATGTCGTAGGTCGTGAATTTTGTCTTTGTCTTTTCGTTCCGGTCGGGCGGGCTAAGGGGTAGGAGGAAATGTCTGACGCGATACACGCTCGTTGGGAAAAGAAATGCCGAGACAAGACAAGGCACAGCTTAGCCAAGCAAAGGAGAGATCGCAGCGGGAGGGTTGGGAGAGGCAATGGCGAGCGATAAGGTGGTTCGAGGGCAGGGGCAAAGGCGGAGGAGCTGAGAAGGATGCGATGATGTTGCAAAAATGTTCGATCAAGACGATCAAGACACACAAGAGAGGTCGAAATAGACAAAAGAGAAAAGAGAAAAGAAGGAAGTTGCCTCTTGGTGCGAGTCGTACTGTTACTGATTTGACTTTTGAAAGCTCGGGACCGGTTAGGACAGAGTTCCCGTCGTCTCTGAAGGTGGGCGATCGCAGGTGGTGGAGGTGGTGTCGTTGTTCTCGTCGACGGTTCGACGATAGGATTGGTGTGGTGTGGTTGGAAAGGGTTCAACAAGGAGGACGTGCCACGATGGAGGAAGAGGAGGCTCGGTAATGTACAATAGCCAGAACCCCGATTCAGATCTCAGTCAGGCAAGATCAGATCGATCAGGCCCACTGCGGCATAGGGGGACGACAACAGGAGTCGCAGCAGTAGTAGCGGCGGCGGCAGCAACAACAACGCAAAACAGAGGGAATACAAGAAACAGAAAAGGGGGGAGAGAAAAAAAAGAAAAAAGAAAAAAGAGGCGGCGATGAACGAAAGGAGGAGGAAGATGACAAGGAAAGGGATGCGAAGCGTGAGGATTCGCTACGGATTGTTACGAGAGAGGAGGTGGAGGGAAGTAGAAGGAGGAGGACACAAAAAACTGCCACTGAGAATTAATTGAAAAGACGAGGACGGGGAAAAAAGGAGAAACAGACACCCACCCACCATACCACCCCTCCTGCACCACCACACCACACCCTCTAAGGGCCTACTGCAAGCCTGCAGCGTACCTAGTCCTAGTGGCTCCCCTGGGGTCCCCCCCCCCGGGCGCGCATCTCTTCTCAGTGGGTGGCAGTGGCACCCAAAGCATTGGAGGAAGGCGAAGGGAGCTGCGGGTGCGGACGCAGGGAACAGGGTGCTGCAGCCTGGCCTGCCTAAGCTAAGGTGGGAAGGGCTCAGGGTACCCTGCGCATCCATCCATGCAGACCAGTCCCAGATACACCGTTACTGGAGTACCGCACTGCTGGAAGATGTGAGTGATAGTACCTACTCCTCTCACTCAGTCTCGGCTCCGGCCATTGAATGTTTAAATCACCTCACACCTCACCTCACAACAGGGTCCCCTTCCCCCACAAGGCACCTACCTCTTGCTGTCCTGTCCGTTTTACTTTGTGAAGTCATAGCATGATGATATGGGGCAATTGGTGCATTTTGTAGTTAGTACCGTAGTAGCTTGGTAGGTACGGCCCATGGAGGTAGGTGCCCCCTCCCCCCTGCACTCATCATCATCCCATGAACCGTTACATCTGGTCCTACAAATTAGCGTGGATGATTACAGCAGTACCCTGAGAATTCCGCCTTCCACCTTCTCGCACAAGAATTGTCCGAAGGGAAAACATAAAGGAAAGCAAAAGTAGAAGAAAGAGAACGTAGTCTGGCGGTCCCTCTGCTCTTTCAGTAAGCGAAAAAATAATATCAGAAAAGTCTCTCGTCACTTTGTCTTGTCCAGCCCCGTGACGAAAGGAAGAAAGGAAGGGCAACACGAAGAGAGATAAAAAAGAAAAAGTGACCAAGACAAGGGTAACAGGAGGCGACATTTCGTGTACGTTCACAGCATTCTGGGCAAAAGGATTGTTTTGGTTGTGGGAGGCGAGATTGCTGGCGTCTATTGGCTGACCTGGGCCCTGGCACGAAATCCGCTCCGCGCTACGTCAGGGCCCCCCTGCAAAAGAAGAGATGGATCAACCAACTGGTGAGATGCAACTCTCCGTATTGGCGGGGATAAGACAAAGCAGCAACGGATCTCACACGCAACGCATCAGTTGGTTGCATTGTTATTATTGTTGTCGTCCCCGTTGTTGTTACGTCTGACGCGTATCCTAAAGGTTTTCCATGTAACTCTATACCGGCAAACCTATACCAGAGTACAATGAATTCCTGAGAGGGAAGCCGAGCTATTTTCTTTCTTTTCTATTTCTTTTTTCTTTTTCTTTTCTCGCAATGCTGTGTGAATGGGGCTCGGGACAAACTCACCATAAGTGCTTTAGTACATAGTAGTGCAGTAGTACTGTGCACAGTACGTACTATAAGCCCTTATCAGTAGCACGTCAGGGCAATTTAGCCCCCCATGCCGACGAGCATGAACGAGAATCGCTCAGGTATTCGTATGAGATTAGGCGCCCCCCAAGAGCTGTTCCAGACAGAGTCTATGTTTTAGAGCGGGAGAGACAACCTCTGCACGACGTTATCGTGTGCTGTTCGGCGATCGAATGTGAGGCCTTGGGAGAATTTGTATTGAAGATAGAGAGGAGAGAGAAGGCAGGGGAGCAGAGAGAGAAGAGGAGGAGGAAAAAGGCTCAATCCGGACCAAGTGTGCTTGAGGCTCGGAACCACTTGGCATTAACTGTCACCGTGAATCTTGTCTGAATAAACTTTCTGCACCCTGACCTTTTTGTTTCCGTTCGTCTACCTTAATTCTTTTTTCTCTTTCTTTCCCCTTTCACCCCCTTTTTTTTTTTTTTTTTTTTTTTCGCTCTGGGAGCTTGCTTGTAGGTATCAAGAAGGCAAGGCTGTCACGTCAAGTCAGCGGGGGGATTTGGAGGAGGGGGTGGGCTTCCTGGAGAGATGATGAGGACCCTTCATCTGATCGCCGTTCCCATTCTCACTCCTCTGACGATTACATTCCAGATGATCCATCCTCTTTCTCCTTGCCCCCTTTGCTCAGCTGGGGTTGGGTGTGGCCTGACGCTCTCTATCTCCTTTAGACTCGTCGCAGATTGTCTTTGCTTCTATGTCAGGGTCAAACAAAACCAAAAGCCCTCTCCCCCTTCTTCGTCTGAACATTTTTGGCCTATCTTTTCTCTCTATCTTTATTTGCCCTTACCTTACTACGGTACTTTGGAATTACCAATTTGTTAGGCGCGGGAGCCGACCTTACTTGTTCAAGTTTTGCCGAGGGATCTCGCTGCTGCGCTGGCCAGGGCCTCCCTCGTATTAAACACGGCATGGGACATGCCGAGCCAGCATGCCACAAAGAGGGTACGTGTCATAGCAGCACAGCAGCACCAGGAAACAAAGGGCGAAAGACGAGACAGAGAGGAGAGAGGCAGTAATACTCCCACCCCACAAAATTCAGTCAGAATGGGCCACACTGGGGTGTAGAGCGGATCCCACCCCCGGTCCGTTCCAATCTCTTCTCTTCATCTTCTGGCGGACCGCGGTCGGCAACTCCACTCATTCTTATTCACTCCAAAGGAACCCCTTATTTTTATTTATTTTTATTTTCTGTCTGCTTCTTTCTCTGGGGTGTACTCTCTCTTTGTTTGCCGCGCAGGTCGCAGGTCGCAGGTCGCAGGCTGTGTTTGTGTTGGCGACTGGCTGCTGCACCAACTGCCTGTTCTGAGAGGGAGGGGGGCGTGTTTATTGTGTATTATACTATAGGCATGGGGTGAGACCAGGGTTAGAGGGGGGGGGGCCTTGACCCAACGGGAAAGAGAACGGGTCTGGCAGGAGGAAGACCTTTCTTACTCTCTCTTTCTCTCTCCTGTCTCGCGACAATGACGACAGTGACGACAACGTCATTACCGAAGCTCACGGATCAGACAGGGCTCACAGCCTCTTCATCATGGGGGATAGGTGGGCGAGCCCGTCGATAGACTCCAGACTGGATAGAGGCCAGCATCTCTTATGAGCTTCAAATTCAGTAGTCCGTCCCTTGAGTGATTAGTGGTGCTACCAAGTCCGGTAAACTTCGTCAGGGGTTACGTATTTCTCTCCGTCTCTGTCTCTGTCATGATTGACGCAGACGTGTTACCCTGTCTTTCTCTCTGTCTTTGTTGAATTTCTTTTTTGATTGTTCTTCTTTCTTTCCTTCTTTTTAACCCCCCTACGCCCACAGGGCACAACCCCCTGCCACCAGGATGGAATACTATGGTACATGGCGGACCGCGTCAAATCTTGGCTGGAATTGCCCAAGTTACCACTATGGTATAGTGGGCAACGTGCTATGGTACCAGCCCCAGGGATGGTCCATTCCAACCCGCAGCCCCCGGTCCCAAGCACATGGGTCATGGTCTGAGATGAATCATCTCGTTATCTCTTAATCGACAAAAACGAAGATGCGACCGTTTCTTCTTCTTTTCAAGAGAGAGAAATTAGTATACCGACACTAGACATTATAAGCATTACCTGGCCTTGTTTGTTCGGCGTCAACACGGAGCCGACGATGCTGAATGGTATGGTAATAGTAGGATGGGCACATCTGTTGCCCTAAACTGAGATTCCATAGTACTTATCCAGACACACAATCCTTCGAGGCGGCTGGTGCACGTCTCTTTTACTTTTTTCTTCTTTTGTCTTGCAATGTTTCTCTCTTGTACGATTATAGCCTCCAAGGGCCATCCTGTCTATCGTTGCCGTTGAGCTTCAGATATATCTCTCAGGCACAACCTCAAATCACCGAACCAGGCCAAGAAATACAGCCGAGATTCCGCCCTTCCTCTCTTTCCCGGGGCCCCGCAAGGCTGATTGACGGACTGACCCTCAACTAGGAAGAAATAGGGTTAAAGAAACAAGTTAGGGAAGGATAGAAGCGAGAAAGAAAAAAGGCCGAAATCTCTCAACACTAATTTTGCCATATGCCCCCCAGCCAAGCCTGCCCCCAACAAGACAAGGCGACCGCTTGTTCAAGCCCACCAGCGACAGCTTATCTAGGGCGGGCCAGCTGAGATAAAAGGGCTCTTATTCAGTGGAGAACCTGGCTTCTTGAGTTAGAAACATTGAACGGCTCTGGCGATCGCGGGAAGCTTGAAACCTGGCGGGCGGCAGGACGGAAGGACTACTGCGCGCTGCGAGTAATTTAGGGCTTGAGGGCGAGGTCAATACCTCCTTTCTCAGGTACTACTGCTTCCATCAAACAGAAACGCATACAAGAGCGTCTGGCGATGATCCTTATCACTGCTTACACTGCATCAAATGTTGTTGATGTTGTTTCTTTGACCGCGCTCGGGATCTGCTTGTCTCAAGTGATCATCACCATGGCTTGGAAGGCTTGCATGAGGCGCCACCCCACGGAGACAAAAGAGAGGCGCCGGTCAGTGGATCTTGTTTTCGGCGCGGGATGGCGTCTTATGCGGTCAGCTACTTCCCTGCGGTTTTTTTTTTCTTCTTCTTTCTGTGTGCTTCTGCTGAGGGATCTTGTGTGTTTAGGCCGTGTTGCCGTTTATCAATGCCTGAACAAACAAAAGTCATATACGGTCTTAATTGGTCCCCACAGACAGAGCCGAAGAGTTACTGATTTTATGCGTGTGTGTGTGTGTGTGTGTGCGCGCGCGCGCGGACAGCGTACATATTGACAGTACATCCGCCCCGAGAGAGAGAGAGAGAGAGAGCTCTGATCTACCGTGTTGCTACCTGAGCGCGACCCAGACAGAAGCGCTTCTTCCTCTTCGTCACCCTGTTTCTTCTTCGCACGGTACGAGACTGGCCTGTGACCTGCGTGCCGCCGCAAGTGCGTCTGCATGCACTCGCGTGGAGCCCCCTCCACCTCCGACACGAAATCAGTCCGCTCGGCAGCAAGTCCAGTCAGCCAGCCAGTCAGCCCTCCAGCTAGCCAGCCTCCTTTGGTTCTTGAGGGACAAAATGCACAGCGGCATGAAGAACGGACTGCAGACCTTGGGAACTCTGTTTACCTCGACCTGAAGACACCGACATCAAGAAGAGAAAAGGGGGGGCGGGGGGCAAGCCATTAAACAAACCGGTAAAGCTTTCGAGACGTCGTCCGCACGAGGTCATGCAAGTCTCAGCTCAGGCCTTCACCACCTCCTCCATGAGTTGATTGTGGCTTACAGGTAAGGTCTCGTGAGGATGTGTGTCACATACAAGAGAGGGAGAAAGAGAAGAGACACGATGATGTCTGAGCAAAAAGTCGGGCCGCAGTCCACAAGGCCAAAAGCAAATGACTACGCTTCCAAACCGCCTGGCATGTCACCGCCGGACCAACTCGGCTGGCTGTTATCCTCCGGACACCGGGGGAGGACGAATGGGAAGAAGCCTTCCTCAGCCAGCCTTCTCTTTTTCTTTTTCTTCTTCTTCGAAGGTTCTTTTCCCCAGGGCAACGATGTTGCTTTTCTCGGAAGCATTGTCCCGGCGCTTGATCCGGGCGGGACACACCAAAAAAAAAAAGAAAGAAAAAAAAAGACAATATGCGCGTCTTGGACCCGTGGCGGCTCGCGTGCCAGAATGTCGACTGGATCTTCCGAGACGATCTGTTGAGAACAATATCAGATTGTCTCACTCCTCTTCAGGATCGTCGAGGCTCATTACACTGGGCTCACAAGTACACAATGATCTCCAGACGTCAAGCTATTCCTGAGAATCGAGGCCCTTTTTCTTTCTTTCCACCATACTGTACGACGATGCTCCGGTCCGGAACACGTTGAGTTACACAACGTTTCGCTTCCGCACGCTTTGTCTCGCCTCGGGGGCAGGACGGCTGCCAGATGTGGACGAGTCCAGACCCTCCTTTCTTCTCGCCTATCAAACCTCAACCAAAACTCGATCCCGGCACGGCTGGCACAATCTATATTGTAGATGGTGGTCTTGCACGAGCCTGGCCCCTTGACTCGTTTCTTTCCTCAGATGCTTTTTAGTCATGGTCCTCAAAAATGACTTGGGGGGGAAAGCCTCTTGTCTCTTGACAACAGATGACCGATAGATCAAAGAGATCCCAAAGAATGCAAGAACATGCCCACCCCCCCTGTCGTCATCATACATTTTGGATCACATCACCGACACGTGCTGGATGAATTGGGGTGTGGCAGCCCACGGCATTGAAAAGGGTCCAGAGAATTGGTCAGCTTATCCTTCCATCCACCATCACCAGTACGACTCTTAAATCTCCGTAAAACGATCCAAACCTTGAAAATCTAGCTTCATCCATTTCATCTATCATCCGTTCCAATAAGCTAACACCAGACCCATTCATACAACCACAAGAAAAAACAAACTTCGAACCAGCCTGCCGCCCTGACGAGTGCTGAAAACCCTTGGCTGGGCTGTTGGGCCGGATGGAAGAACCTTTTTTTTTTTTTTTTGTGATACATACGTACGTACTATCTACTTCGGAAATCCGCACGTTGTCGGTACCCCGACAGGACACATCATGCATGCATGTCTCTTTCCCTCTTTCGGTCAAGACGGCGCGGGTTCCTATAGGATATCACTATGATGAAGTGTTCCAATGAATTGTGTCCTCTCGCTAGTATTGTGGTACCGCGGCACACAAGTGTATGTTGCAAGCAATGCCTGGACCCTCTCAGCTTACCATGCACTTCACAACCCCTCCCAAAACCACATCCCATTGAACTATCCACGTTCTGTGGCTGCATTACTTTTGTTTCAGAGAGTCTCGCGTCTTTTTTGCCTTTACTCCTTCTTGCTGTTGTGGGCGTGCCGACCGGGTCCTCCGTCTTACGCTGTTCCGGATCCTAGGATCATACATGTATATGTATACATACGCAGTCCTTTGACTTGTGTGTTGTTACTTGTTATTGACATGTGAAGGAAGCCTTGGCAACTAGGTCTAGACAGCTTAGGGTGTCTAGGTTGAGGATACGAACAAACAAGGAAATGGAGAAGGCGGGCTGTGTGCTCGGGCTGTGTGCTATGCTTATGGTACATCGCGATGATACAGGCTAGGTTGTCTGAGAAGGACTCCACATTCGTGCCGGTTCGAGGCCAGGTCTGTCCTGGGTTATGCTGCCTTCGAGATACTCAATAATAGGCAGTAATATGCACTGTACTTCGATTAGCACCAGGCTAGAAAACACAAGGCCAAAAGTATATATTTAATACTGTGTGGTACTGTAGTAGTGGTATACTGTAGAAGAAGAAAAAACGTAGACTGTTCCGAAACCATCCATATTGAGTCTGGGACGCAGACTCATCTACTATGGTACAGCGCCTTCGAGTTGCCAGCCCCCTCCGAAATAAAATAAAAATAAAAAGCAGAACGTCTCTTTGTTGAGGTGTACAAAATTACTTTATAGGGCACTAGCAAGAACACGATGGTATGAATACGAGCCATGTTATCACTGCTGCCTTGTGCTGCTACCACCACCTAGTACTATCACTTCCACTACTACAACCCTGTTGTTGATAAAGAGACTGACTCTCTCTCTCTCTCTCTCTCTCTCTCTCTCTCTCTCTCTCTTTCCTTCCAGTGCATTCCAAAGCACAACTATAAACCAAGTATCCATTCAAACCAGTCCGTAAATCCATCGTGTTGCCTAAATAAGGTTGCACCGTAGTAGCGACAGTGGGGGCCTTTCAGAAGTGTGGGTGGGCGGGCGCGCTTTTGGCGCTGGCTGACGGGGGGTCCCAGTGCAGTGGTCCCGCTACAGTACTCTGCCGTGCCAATGGGGAGGCAGCCCGGCCAAGGTCTGATTGTTTTTGTTTATCTGCTCAGCCTCACTAAACTATCCGGGCTTACTCCTCTTAGGTGATCATGACGACAAAGTTCTGGAGTTGGAAGGAAGTGAGTAGACCAGGAAAAGAAAACAACGACAGCAACAACAACAACAACATATCGTGTGCGATAGGAAGAACAAGATTATGAATATAGTGATGAAGAAATATCTGTAACACAAGTCCTGAAAACGAGAAGTCAAAAGAAAGATGGTCGGCGTGCCTCGTAGCAAGGGATGCCACCTCTGCGTCAAAAGGAGGGTGAAATGCGATCAGGCCCGTCCCGGTACGTCCACACGCGCGGGAAGAAGGGGGAAAAAAACGAAAAACCTATCCCCCCTCCCCGACCTCCCCTGATATACACAGCACAGAACAGCACAGCGACTGACTAATGTATTCTTCCTCCGCCCTGTGTGTCATATAGCATGCGGAAACTGTGTCAAGTACCGCGTCGAGTGTCCAGGCTATGACAAGACTCACAAGTTCGTCGACGGTAAACATGCCGTCCGGACCAGGAGGGGTGCTCAGGACCGGGAGCTTCTGCCGCCCTTTGAGACCCGGAGGGACTTCTCTTCGTCCTCCGTGGTCCCTCCGGAAACGCCGGCAGGCCAGACTCTCTTGCTGTCCCAAGGAGACGAGGATGCCACTACTGCTGCTTCTGCTATGGTTGCTACTGCCGCCGCCGCCTCTGAACTTGGCAGCTATCCTCATCAAAGGGACCGAAGCGGGGGCCATGCGTGGCAGCCCACGCTTCCTGCTGCCCCACACGAAGATACTGTTCCGCTGGTGTACAGTCTGATGGGCCAACTGTTTACCTTGCAGGCCCGCGAGGAAGTCGGGTTCTGTAAGTTTGTTTTTTTTTCCTACTTTTTCTTCTTCTTCCCGGCTGGCACTCTCAGAGGCATCATCATCATCATCATCATCATCATAATCATCGCCGTCGTCGTTGGCTGCCCGTTGACACAGAACTTCTTGACAGCCGCACCATGGTTTACCTCTATTCTTGGCCACATTGGCAAGGTTCCCTTGCTGGACACGGCCATCATGGCCCTCGCCATGCAGCTGATGGGTAGGTCCAAGGGTGATGCTGTGGCTCTCTGCAGGAGCCGAGAGACGTATGGGCGGGCCCTGGCAATTCTACAGAAGACGCTGAATCACCCTGTTGCTTGGAGGAGTACGGAGACGCTGGCTGCTACTATTATATGTTGTATTTTTGAGGTAAGTTATCCCATCTTTGTCTCTTCCTGGGGCCATGTATGTTAGTTGTATGGAACCGAACTCATTGTTCACAATGCTAACTTTGTGGGTGGGGTTGGGGTTTGTTTCGAAAAGTTATTTGCTGGCACACAAGATCCCCTTACCTGGATGCTACATGCCGCAGGTGTTGGCAAATTGGTCCAGCAGCGTGGCCCCGCTTCCTTCTCTTCTTCCTCTTTTGATAGGGCCTTGCTGAGAAGTATTCGGCCTGTCTTGGTAAGTAGTATCTTGTGTCATATGTAACTGATCTTGGAAAGTTCACAAGTTTATCCCATGTATGATCTCTGTATTGACGCGTCTACCAAAAAAAAAATAGATTTCCAAATCCATCTTCGCCGGCGAGAATTGTTTCTTAGACCGCCCCAAATGGAGGAGACTCTCTAGCAGCCTAACAAAAGACTCTCAACACAACCAAGTCCAAGCCAGCCCCGGACCTCCAGGCATGTCCTCCTTCTTGTCGCATCCCTCAGCATTTGGCTCCATCGCCTACCACGACCCCTACTTCGTCCTCTCCGCCGAGATACCGGGCGTAGTGCGCGTAGGCTACAACGTCCGCCGCAGCAGAAAACGAGGCATCGAGCCGGACCAGGACCAGATCGACGAACTGCGGCCCAAGTGCCAGAGGTTGCGCGCCGACTTCCTGGCGTGGTTCGAGCAAACCCAGGCCATAGGTGCCCTGGCCGACCCCATCGATGTGCCCTCTGCCGACCCGGCCTCGCCATTTCATACAGTGCTCCGGTTTCGGAATCCTTGGGAGGGAGCTATGGTTTTGGCGTACTGGGCCAACCTTCTCATCTTGCAGGAGTGTCTGAACCAGTGCGAGGCTGGACCGGAGAGGCCGTTTGAGGCGAGCAATCGGAGGCTTGCGACGGATATCCTGCGCTGTACGGAACATGTTGGGCACGGTGTCATGGGGCCGTACAGGGTGGGATATGGGCTGCGGATCGCTTATGACTTTGTGGATCGGCCTACGCAGCTGTGGACACTGATGATGGTGGATAAGTATAACAAGCGATACGAGGCCTTGTCGAGGGATGTCTATCCAGAGAATCCCCTCATTCGAGACGAGGATGGTGGTGGTGATCCTCACCAACCCGATCAGGGAAATCTTTTGTCATGGGCATAGGACTTACATGGACAAGGTGGTTTGAGATGGAGAGAACGCGAGCCCTCGAGCATGACGAACATGATCACTAGAGCAGGTCTTCACATTTCAAGATCGTCGTCGTCGAGCAACACCCGGCTTGAAACATTGCGTAGCCTTTCACAAATGACTGCCCACCCCAGAGAAGACAGTGACAGGAACACCAGAAACGAAACGCGATGAAGGACGAGGGGGGTTGAGGGTGTACCAACGTGGTCCCGGCAGTGGAGATTTCCAAGGTTCTTTCAAGCAATGTGGTTGAGATCCATTTCCTTGTACATTCTTGGTGAAAAGGAATCTTGGTCTCAAGTCTGTTTCCTGTGTACCACGATCTTGTCGGCAGCAGGTGACCACCCGTTCCTTCCACTCATTATCTCACCTGTGTTCCCCTTTTCCTCGGAACAGATTCATCTTGATCTCGTGTTTCCCGCACAAGGAAAGCACGGATGACGGCATCGAGTCTTGCGGTATCAAACATACAGAATCCATGTCGAACTTCAGCCGCAGCTTCCTGGAAGGACAGCCACTTGAGTTATCAGGCAACTTTTCGGGCCTTCTCTGTGTGGAGCTACAATCATCATCGTCAGCGTTATTTGTGTTTGACGAGAAACTCAGTCTTACGGCACGGCAGGCGTGACAGTGACATCGTGGAAAGGAAGGACGGCAAAGATAAAGAAAGGGAAGGAAAGGGCTACTTACTACTGATGGCACTGCTGTTAACCTTGTCACTTGAATCAGTGCTGCCTCGTCCAACATAATCACAGCCTCTATCTTTCTCTTTCCTTCTTTAATTGTCGTCTGTCTTCTTCGCTTCCTCGTTCCTCTCCACAAGTTTTCTCACTCACCTTCTCACTCTGTAACAGATTGAGTCTCTGTCCCGAACAACGAGATTCTCTCATCCTTCACTACAAACACCTTCAAAGCTCATCTGATATCCACTCATTCATCCACGATGAAGCTCAAGCTCCTTCTCGCCCTCTGCTTCACCGCCACCAGCGTTGTGGCGGCTCCTCAGCTGCCTCTCTTGTCAAGAACTCCACTTCCTCCTCCTTCAGTTACCACAGCTGCCACAGACTGTGCCACATCCTCCACTCTCATCGCAGCACGCCACACCATCACGACTGACCCGACGACTAGCCGTGACGGTCCAAGGTCCTGGCACCCTTTCTCATGGCCCTCGGACTGGCCTTTTGTTCCTCATGACGACGACCAAGAGAGTGTGGATGCGGCCGCCCCAACATCGGTCACTTTGAACGAGCGCAGCGAAGTTGGTCCAGGCCAGGGGGTTCAAGCCGTCCGTGCCTCCCAGGAGAAGGAGGAGAAGGACGATGACGACGACGACCTCATCGTTGTAGGAAGTAGGATTTCCATCGTGTCGACCGCTAATCCTGGGCCTTGGCACCCGCTCTCTTGGATCCGGGGCTGGTCCATCGTTCCCAGTGGCGACGAGAAAGTCCTCTACAAAACGGCTCACGACGACTGAGGGCTCAGGCTCATAGGGTCATTCGAGCACCTCGGGTACAACACATGCTGCTTCTGCCCTGCAAACCGGCCCAGAAAGTTATACAATCTTGCCAAGCGTCTCTGCTACGGTCCCCTACGATCTTGATTCAGTCCGCGAGGACGGATGCGCGTGCTGATACCAATACCTTGCTCACTGGTCGTTAATGAGACCTTGCAACGATGAGAGACTTGTTCTCGAGGGCGTTCCAGCGACGGTCAAGTCTATAGATATGTACTGGCTGATGAGCACACAAGGCCCAGGTGGGCCTGTTTTGAGAGGGTATATACTTTCTCTTTTCTTAAAGATTGAAGGGGAGGTAGTTCTCACCAAAGGTATTGTTTGGGGGTGGTCCGCTACCTGCTCAGCTTTATGCAAGACATATGCAGGGTTGTCCATGATTCTGGTATCTTTTCTTTTCCTTATTTCTTTCCTTCATTTTCTTTTTCGTTTTCTCTCGGAAGACGGGGGAGGGAACCAATTCTTCAGATTTTGACCATTGATCCTTTGGGAGGCTGTTGTATTATTTTCTCCCGTAGGGGAATTTGAAGTATTCAGTCAATTCAGATCCGCATTCAAGCATATGCATATAGGACTGGTCTTGAAACCCTTTACTCTATAGACTAGTCTGCTAGTCGCCACGACCTTGCGTCTGCAATCCCGAGAATCCCCTTCCATCAGGCATAGTCTAGCCCACTCGAGCTCTTATTCCTCACCAGCGTTGCTCGGTCCAGGCTCCGCCGCGAGAAGCTCTTAGTTCCAGCAGATGCCGTCGTCGCCAGCCCCTCCATACTCTGCCGCAGGGTCGCGCCGGCCTGCTGCTGCTGCTCACCCTCGCCGGCCTCCATGGTGTCGACAGCAGAGTAGGAGGGCCCCTCCTCAGCCTCGTCGCGTATGAGGTGGATGAACCACGCAGAGGCACCGACGGTCACACCTCCTATGGCCATGACGATGGCGATGGAGTGGTCGCCGGGGGTGCCGCGGGGTTTCTGGAAGATCTTAAAGATGAGGCTGGAGCCGACGGTGGCGATGATCTGCGGGGCGGCGATGGCCATGTTGTGGATACCTAGGATGACGCCGGCCTGGTCGGTCTCGTGTTCGTCGTCGTCATCGTCAAGCTTGTGATCCTGATCGGAGGTGTAGCCGTCGAATCGGGATGGGCCGGCGGCCGAGGCAGGAATAGAAGAAGAAGAAGAAGGGCCGGCTGCAGGACCGGTGGTGGAGGAGGATGCTTGCTTCCTCTGGCGGGCAAGGGCGTCGCGGCGACTGATCTCTGCACTGATGATGGCGAAGGGAGCCCAGAGGGTTAGGGCCCAGGTGATGCCCACGAGGCCGACAAGAACGGTGGCGGCGGGGACTGTGCGGACGATGACGGTGCAGAGCATGCTAACCATGAATAGCAGCTGGGAGAACATCCAGGCGCGGCGGAGCGTCAGGCCCGGGATGATGAGACGGTCTGTCCAGGACTTGCTGTTGTTTTCACCACCGTACGTGTGAAGGGACGTGGAAGGGCCCTCGCCTGGCGCCTCGCCGACGGGTTGGCTGTCGTAGGTCGGCGCGATGAAGAAGGGCAGGAAGACGTTGGTGGTCAGGCTGGTGATGGCAAAGATGAGCAGAGCAAAAGTGCCCACCCTGGTTGCCTTCTCGTAGAGCTGGTCAACCTCCTCGGGGGTCATATGGGGGTTCTCCTCGAGATACGGCTGGACGTAGATCTCGCCAATGTAGGAAGACGTATAGAAGAGCATCGGGAAGAAGCCGATCCACGCGCAGAACTGCACGATGCACACCTTTTTAGTCTGCGGCGGGAGCCTCTTGATGGACGTGAAGAGCTTGATGAAGAAGGAGAAGACCCCCGGCTGCCGCGAGGCTTGCTTGGGCCCTTCGAGGCGCGGGTCTCTCTCCTTGATGACCATGCTCAGCAGCACGGTGCATCCCAGGGCCACGCTGGCAATCGCGCACAGGCACTTGAACTGGCTATCGCCGAGCCACCACATGATCTTGGGGAGGTCTAAGTAGCCGGCAATATAGCCAACAATGTTGCCGACGCCGGTAATCCTGCTGGCCATGGCGTTGGCCGCTTCTTGCTGGTGTGCTGGTGCGCAGTCGACGATGAAAGCGCGGATCGCAGCTTGGACTTGGTTTTGGGAGTTGAAGATTTAGCGAAATTTTGTACCTCGCAGTTGCAGCCAGAGAAAGAGAAAGAAAACGAAACCTTACCTGTGTTGATGGAGAAGTCGAGAATATAAACCCATAGTACCGCAAAGACAATAACGGTGACCTTGACGCCCTGCGAGGCCGGGTCTGCCCCGAAAAGACTTAGAAAGCCACCGACGATATCTTTGGACCAGGCGAGAATCATCAGGGAGGCCATGGTGGCTACAGCGCCCCCGAGCATGAAGGGCTTCCTCTTGCCCCAGGAGATCCTGCACCTGTCGCTCAGCATGCCGACGTAGGGCTGGACCAGCGTGCCCGTCAGCGGCCCAGCTATCCAGACCAGGGCCATCAGCGACTTGCTCAGGCCCAGCGAGAGCAAATACGGCGAGCCATTGGACATCTCTACCGACCAGGCGATCTGCAGGCCCCCGATGCTTATGGTTAGCAGGATGAGGTACCATATGCTCTTGGTCGACTGGAACTCGTCGCGGTCCGCAGCGCGAGGACGGCCTGGCGCCAGGAAGCCATGTTGCTCGTGAGAACTCGAGGCTGAGGAGAGCAAGGGCGATGCCTCGTCGACCTCGTCATCCTGTCTGGCGCCTGCAGCATGGGGGACTTCGACCGAGATGCTACTTCGCGTTGGCGTGGCCGGGTCTTGACTACTCGATGAAAGGGCCAGCGAATCGGGACCCTCGGAGGCTGCGGCCTCTGCTCGATCTGAAGAGTTGGCTTTTGACGAAGTCATGCGGAAAGTTGCCGAACAGCTGTATACGTGATTGTGTGTCGTACCAAGTCTCGAGCATCCAATCCTCGGAATGAAACCTCGATGATAATATCGTGCCTGGCCACCTTTTATAGCTGTCTCTCCCGAACAAGTCTCTGGACGGATCTCGGCTTTTTTGGCTGTGTAAGCCTCTTGAAGGGGGATGTCATATGGTACTCATGAATCCGAGTAGTCAGGGAAGAAAGAGGAGGGGGAAAGAGAAGGTGCCTGGGCGAGCAGTCTTCGCAGGAGTAAGAAAGGACAAAGGAGTGTTGTCGTGCTCCTTCCAGTCAAGAACACAGTTGGTGATGCAGACGGAAGATGGGAGAGTAGATACTTTAGGGCGAGAGGATGAGCTGAGGAGATATGTACGATTTCCCCCTTCTCTCCGAGGATGAATGTGTGCGTCTAAGAGGTCTAGGAAACTTGATAGTAAAAGAGGGAAGGGAGAGAGGACATAAGGTAATCCGTTTGAAAGACGTCCATACCGCGTGCTGCACGTTTGAAGAGCAGAGCGCTGAGCTGAGAGGGCTGTGCGCCAAGACTAGGCCTGAACTTGAGCCTGAAGTTCGATGTCACAGGGTGCTGAGGTCCCCTGTCCTCCACGCTGTTCCCATGCCCGAACAGCATGACAGGGGGGGGGGGGCGGAGAAGGGTCTTCTGGTGAACCGCCATTTCTCCAATTAAACCACTTTTTCCCCAGACATGTATTGTCGACTTTCCCACGTGTCTCGATGTGCTTGGGGTTCCATCAGCAGACATACAGACCGAACCTTGGTTTTGGTTTTTTTTTTCCTCCGGGTCCTCTGGCCAAGCATATCAATCACCATCATAAGCTTATTATTACGGGGATATAGTAGGTGTGGTGTGTAAATGCGATGGGGTGTCAGCAGACAAACAGGCTCACATGCACTTGGGATTGTTCAATGCAGTATCTATTAGGTACTATGGTAGGTCTCGTTCTGAAACGGGGACTAATCTGTACTGATACTGCAGTTCCACAGCCATGCTATTGTAGCACTATGTTGACTGGCTGGTCCCAGCAGCTTCTAGTGGCAGCGACACAGTATCTTGTATCGCTACAGTATTTTGTGATTGTGGGTCTGCACATGCAGGATCCATCATTACATTGGCAATTCCAGGGGCCAGAATGGACACACTATTAGCCTGAATATCTATAAATATGTGTGTATATATTGGATGTTTATATATCGTAACGTAGATTTACACATGATTACTGTACAAATAATGCTTCTTGGGGAGACAGAGAACGGACTCTTGGAACCCTAACCCTCGTCTCGTCTTCTGATCATATTAAAAGACACATGGGTGGATCTAGGGTGGGACCGAAAGTGGACAGGTTGACAAGGGCAGAATAGCGCTGAGGCCAAACGGCAGAAGTTCCCAGCCTGAGCTCTGTAGCCGATATTGGAATCGCGGATTGCGTCGTCATGCCTCTCACTCTCTCTTTTAATCATCATGTGCTGCTGTTGTCATTCATCCCCTCGTCCAACATCCTCGCTCCTTCATCAATACTACTCGCTCTTGACGAGTTCACTTTTTCTCTCACGCTCACATCTTTGAAGGCTGGTTGTTGTGTCGACAAGTATTCTTGACCTGCAAAGGCCCAGTTTAAATCCAAGTCCAAAGTCCAAAAGTCCAAAGTTCCCCCCGAGATCCCTATGTGTCGGCCACGTCCTTTACGAGGCCACCCATCGTGACGGTCCAACCCCGTCGCTGCCCATTCTTTGACGCCCAGACCCCTCTCTCCCCCCTACCATCGACTCATCCGAGCGACCCTCCTGAGTGTGGACCCCGACCATGCTCGACAACCTGTTCTCCAGTTGCGTCGACCTTTCCCGTATGCGCCACCCCCTCCCCCTCTTCTTCCTTCGTGACGTTTGCTCGACGGTGCTGACATTTACTTTTGATGATTGCAGGGCGGGCAGCTGAGGAGACTGACCCTGACGGTACGAGCCCTTGAACACCGATTTGCCCCGTCCATGCGACGCCGGCGCGACGAGAGAAGCTGACGAGATACATTACGAGCAGGAGAGGATGCCTCCGAGAAGGAGATCTACGCATCATGGGCTATCTTCATCCTCATCATGCTGATGATAGTGGCCCTCTTCACTAGCTACTTCCTACAGCAGAGGAAGGTCACGGCCATACACGAGACTGTCGCATCCATCTTTGCCGGTGCGCGCGCCCTCTGCCCACCCCTACTTCCCTCTACCCCTCTTCCAAGCTCGAGGAGGAGGACAAATAATGAGAGCCAGGACTGACTAAAACGTGATGCGCCTAGGCATGATCGTTGGACTGACGCTGCGAGTCGCCGGTGGTGAGACGCTCCAGAACCTCGTCAGCTTCGACTACCAGATCTTCTTCAACCTCCTCCTACCCCCGATCATCCTGTCCTCGGGCTACGAGCTGCACCAGAGCAACTTCTTTCGGAACATCGGCACGATCCTGACATTTGCCTTCGCCGGAACTTTCCTTTCCGCCGTTGTAATAGGCGTCATACTATGGGTGTACACGCGGATTCCCCTCGACGGCCTGGACATGGGCTGGGTGGACGCCATCTCGGTCGGTGCCACGCTGTCCGCCACTGACCCCGTCACCATCCTGGCCATCTTCAACTCGTACAAGGTCGACCCCAAACTCTACACCATCATCTTTGGCGAGTCCATCCTGAACGACGCCATCGCCATCGTCATCTTCGAGGCCGCGCAGAAGTCCAAGACCGGCGCCGCTCACATGTCTGGGATCGCGAGTCTTTTTTTCGGTATCGGGACCTTCTTGTTTGACTTCTTTGGCAGCTTGGCTATCGGCGTCGCTGTCGGCATCGCCGCTGCCCTCAGTCTGAAATACACATACGTGCGGAGGTACCCCAAGATCGAGAGCTGTCTGATCGTGTTGATTGCCTACTCTACATATTTCTTCTCTCAGGCCATCAAGATGTCAGGTACGTTTATCCTTATCTGCCTAAGCAATCTGACTTCTCTGGCCCAGAACCATAGACTAACAGACCTTGCCAAACAACTAGGTATCGTGTCTTTGCTCTTCTGCGGTATCACGCTCAAGCATTACGCCTACTTCAACATGTCCAGGAGGACCCAGCTCACAACCAAGTACATCTTCCAGGTCCTGGCCCAGCTCTCGGAGAATTTCATCTTCATCTACCTCGGACTGTCGCTGTTCACCGGGGACGGCCTCGAGTATAAGCCTCTCTTTACCATCGTCACCGTGTTGGCTGTCTGTGCGGCGAGATGGGTAGCCGTATTCCCGCTGTCGAGAGCGATCAACTGGTTTATTCGGTATCGAGCACGTCGCCGCGGGATCATGGACCAGCCGGACGAGCTACCTTACAACTACCAGGCGATGCTTTTCTGGGCCGGTCTTCGAGGTGCCGTGGGTGTGGCCCTCGCCGCGCTCATCACCGGGAACGACAGATTTGCGCTGAAGGCGACAGTGCTAGTGGTGGTGGTCCTGACCGTGATCATATTCGGCGGCACGACAGCGCGAATGTTGGAGATCCTCAACATCCGGACGGGCGTGACGGAGGAGCTCGAGTCGGATGACGAGTTCGATATCGAGGCCGTGCCGGGAGGCAGCTACTACAAGCGCGGCGGCTCAGGCATCGGCTTTGCCCCGCGACGGGCAGGCTCCAGTGTCCACCTCGACCCTGTCGATGGCGGCGCCAATGGGAAGCGCAAGGCCGACGACCCGGCCGGGTGGGCATCCGGGCACAGGAGCCCGCACGGGATGGGCCGGCCTGTGAGCATGAGCCGCAAAGGCTCGAGGAACGCGCTCGATCCGGAACAGGCGGACCTGCTCGGCAGCACTTCGAACAGCGTGACCGAGTCGGAGCTCGACAGCGACGTGGACATCTCGGACCTGCCGCCCGCTGCACCAAAGCGCAGAGCGAGCCCCGCCCCCGCGGCCAACAACGGGGAAAGCTCGTCCACATCCGCAGGAGCAGCAGCAATGGGAGGATCCCGCGAGAGGTCTGTCACGTTGTCGGAGGGCGCCAAGTCAGCCGCGGGGGCGCTCAAGCAGCTGCTCACGGCCGAGGACCCATCGGCCCTGTTCAAGCAGCTGGACGACGACTTTATCAAGCCGCATCTACTACTAGACGATGGCCGGGGCAGAGGAGGAAATGGACACGGGAGCCCCGGAGGAGCCAATGTATAGTAGACAAATGAGAACAAAGAAGAAGAAGACGAAGAAGAGAAAGCGGGAAAGTACAGACAAAACTCTGACGTGCATTTCGAGGGCGTTCTGGGGTGTGGGGGGGTTTGTTCACATATTTATGATGAATCTGATCTCGGAAAAGGGGGTCGAGGTGAACCTTGTTGCTGCTGTTGTAAATCACACGATCCGAGGCGTTAGGTTTGTGGCATATTGGATCGATCGCACTCTAGACGGCGGTGGAATGAATAGCTTGAAACATCCATTTTGACCTTACCAATTGCTGAATTTTCTTCTCTTCTTGTTTTCCCTAGTCTATTCTTCGTTCTTTTTTTTTTTTTTTTTTGTCTACCAAACAACTTTTCTCCCCTCCCCCCCCCCCCTTTCTTTCTCTCTCTCTCTCTCTCTCTCTCTCTCTCTCTCTCTCTCTGTCAGTCTCCAAAAGAAGTCTATTCAAGAAGAAAGAGAAGTCTATCTCCCATATTTGGCTTGGCCTTGTCTGGTCAAGGATGCTCAGCAGCCCAGGTCCGGAACCACTCCAGCGCCTCCGGATTCGCCACCGAGGCATTCGTCCGCACCGGCAGGCCACTCAAGATCTGCTTCACGGCCACCTCGATCTTCTTACCGTTGCCCGTCCTCGGAACCCCGTCCGGCCCACACTCGGCCACCACGGCAGGGACATGCCGCGGACTCAGCCGGTCCCGGATCACCCGCTTCACCTCCACGTCCGTCTCACCCTGCACAAAACGGTGGCCCTCGCGCATGACGAGGAAGAGGCAGACGGACTCGTCTGCGTCGAGTGCGGGACGGCGGCGGCCGATGCAGACGGCGTCGGCGATGGTGGGGGCAAAGTAGCGAGTGAGGATGTTGTAGATCTCGGCGGAACCGAAGCGCACGCCGGCAGGCTTGAGGACGCCGTCGGACCGGCCGAGCATGACAAGGCCGCGGGTGGGGGTGAGGGAGACGAAGTCGCCATGCGCCCAGATGGGACCTTTGGGGGTTGTGAAGCGTTCGAAGCTGAGTGACGGTTGGGTTGGTTAGTTGTTGTGGTCATTTAGGTGATCGTGGAGTTGAATGGATGGATGGAAAGTAAGGAAAGAGAAGAGAAAGAGAAAGAGAGAGGACGTACTAGGCAGCTCGGTACTTGTCATCACCGCCCTTGCCAAAAAAGGTCAGCGGTTGACAAGGGAACGGCTTTACACAGACCAGATCCCCAGGGCTCCCAGACGGCTCGACAGGTCGTGGGTCATCCTCAGGAGAAGCGCTATCAACCACCTCTACAGCCATACCCAGGCCTGCGCACTGGATCTCCCCAGCACGCACAGGCAGGAACGGACAGGGCGCGCCAAATAGTGAGATGATGTCGGTGCCACCCGTGATACTCCCCAGGTTGATCGTCCTGGGAAACGCCTCGTAGACGAAGGCAAAAGTGGAAGGCGGGAGGGGGCTAGCAGTGGAGTAGATGGCCTCGAGGGCGGAGAGGTCGAGGGTGGGGTCTTCGACGGGCCGCACACCGTTGGCCTCGAGGGCGACGAGATAGGCGGCGCTGGTGCCAAAGTGGGTGACGCGGAACTTGGAGAGAAGGCGAGGGAGGGAGAGGTGGGAGTGGGGGCGAAAAGGGGAGCCGGTGTAGAGGACCAAGGAGGCGCCGACGGCGAGAGCGGAGATGCTCCAGTGCCACATCATCCAGGAGGTGGTCGTATAGTAGAGCATGCGGCTGGCGGCGGTGAGAGAGCAGTGCAAGAAATGCTCCTTCTTGTGCTGGAGGAGCGTACCCGCCGCCGTGTGGATGATGGCCTTGGGGAGGCCCGTGGTGCCGCTGCTGTAGAGGATGTAGAGCGGGTGTGACGGCGGCAGCTGTTCGAAGCGCAGCGGCTCGTCTGGTGAGGAGGCTGTCAGGAAGTCATCCCAGGTCTCGACCCGCCCCGTCTTTTGTCCTCCTCTCTTCAGCTCCGCGAGGCCCATCTCGGCGCCGCGCAGCGTCTCGATCACGACCACCAGCTCCAACCCACCCGCCGCCCTCAGCTCGGCCACGATCTCGGCCGTCTTCTCCGTGCTCGACCACTCCTTGCCGTTATACACCATCGCATTGTCGGCAAACAGCACCTTGGGCCCGATCTGGGCCAGACGATCCAGCACGGCAGAGACTCCCGTATCAGGGCTGATACCCGTCCACACCGCACCGATGGAGGCGGCAGCCAGCATGGCCACCAGCGCCTCGACATGGTTCGATACGAAACCCGCGACGATCTCGCCCTGCTGCAGACCCGACGCCCGCAGCGCGCCTGCACATTGCCTCACGGCCTCGCGCAACTGGGCCCAGCTCGTCTCGCGCACGCCGCCCTCTTCGTCCTCCCACCGCTCCGTTACTGTGATGACGGCCGTGCTGTTCTTGTCGACCCACTCGCCGGCTGGGAACAAGAGGTTCTCTGCAAAGTTCAGCCTGGCGCCGGCAAAGAAGTCTGGCCTGGGAAACATGGGCGGGGACGAGGACGACAGGACGTGCTCGTAGGGCTTCGAGGCCTTGACCCCGCAAAACTCCCACACGGCACCCCAGAACCCGGCAATGTCGTCTATAGACCACTGATAGAGCGCCTCGTATGAGTCCAGGGTGAGATCGGGCCGTGTCTTCTGGCCTACATGGCGCATGAAGCGGGCGAGGTTGGTGCTGGACGGGTTTGGGTGTTGCCAGAGGATGGGCGCCTCCCCGCCATTGGACCCGTTGACGGGTTTCAGGGTGTCTTGAATGGACATTTCTATGGTGGTGAAGGAGCGGTTTCTTTTCTTTTTTCTTAATGAGAGCAGCCAGCAATCAAGGCATGGTCGTGGATGGAAGAAAATGGGACAAGATGGTGGTGATGAGGAGAAGGTAGATTGAGAAAGCCACCACAAGTATAGCAAGCACTACCGAGGGTGAGATTCAAAAGACTTGCCGAGGATACCCGCCTCCTTTCCTTCTTTCCCGGCAAGGAAGGGGCACTGGGTTTCCAACTGCTCGTAACACATTTTGGGTTTTGGGGGTTTTTAGGTGAAGATCAAGAAGAAGACTCCAGCTTTACAATTTTTCTTTTGTAAGGGACATATTGGGAAGGTAGAAAAAAGAGACAGCTACGATATTGGTTCGCGGGCTCCGGCGGACGGTGTGGGTGACATCGAGGCTAGCTAGGCCTACGTGTGTTAGTGAACGGTACGTACCAATCAACCATTGAGAGGGTGCGTAGGTCCTTGCTTGATAATCGACCTGGTGAATCTTCTCACTACTGATACGGTCGGACCGAGGATATAATTCATAAATCCTTCCAGCCTATTCACGGGCCGTGATTTCTCTTTAAGTTTTTCCTGACTGAAATCTTGTGAATGCTCCTGTTGTCTGTGTATGGGTGCAGCCCTGGGGGGGCTGAAAAAAAAAACAACTCCAGGCGGTGGGGGGGGGGCAGGGGGCAGGAAGGGGGCTGTAGCCAGAGACTTCTACCACCACCCACTACTCCCTAAATCAGTCGCCCGTTCATGGCCCAACACTATATTTATCCTATCCCAAGGCTCTCAACCAGTCTGTCTATGTCCAACTCGTTCAGATGTCTGTAACATTGAAGACGAGGTTTTAATTTGGTATCTTTTAAGCTCTCTTTCCTTTCCTCTTCCTCTTCTTCTCTTCACTTTCTCCTCCCCCCCGCTAGAAGAACTCCGGCTCTCTATGTCGTTGCCTCCTCGCGTTCTTCCGCCCACAGAATAAGATCATTATGTTGTTTAGTGTGAATAAATATTTCTCTTTGCCCCAGAGCCAGCCTCCGCCCCTTTTCCCCTCTCCCAATGCCCGGCAGGATGAAATGCAATATATGATATGCGTGATCAAGCCCCTCCCCCCCCCCCTCTGCCTTTAGGAAAAGAAGAAAAAAGGGAGAAAAAAGGTACATACAATGCCGCCCTGTCTTGCCCCCAGAAAAATACCTGCTGGTTGGTTGATCCATGTTCCGACCCCATTCACGCCGCCTCCCCCGACCCCCATTTTTTTCAACCCGCAAAAAGGAATATGATCACAATCCCCCCCCCCCCAACCCATGAAATGTATGTGTGGATGTATGTACCGTCAATGTGCGTTTATGTAATGCATCAATCATCCTACCCACCCTCTCTTCCTTTTTCTTTTCTCTTTTTGTTTTGCCTGCGCTGCAAACAGAGACAAAACACGTCGAGGCCATAAAAGACACGGCACCGCATATATACAAAGACAATTAGTCCCCACGTCCTCTGGTCTTCCCCAAGCGAGGTGCCAAGCGTGATGCAAAGAATCTCTCATATTGCAATAAGACAATCCCCCAACCCAACCAAGCAAATGCTCTGTCCCTGTCCATCCGTTGGTCTGTCCCCCAGGAAAGAGAAGGTCCAATTCCTCTCCTCTTTTCTCTGCGCCTGAGAGCGGGTCGGGAGGAAGCAGGCGGTCACCTCGCCGACCGGTTTGGGGGAGACAAGAGACCCCAGTGTAAAACCTCCCTCAATCGACTGTCTCGTGTATTCCTGCGTATGTGTATACGTGCCGTTGTCACCTGTAGGGATCCGTCGCCGCCAGGCTTCCCGCTCCCATCCCATTGATCCATTCATCATCGCCTCCTCAAACCACACCCAAAGGCATCACACCACCTCCCATTACTGCCCTATGATCATATGCTTGGCACGGCCACCCCCATTATCAATGTTTCTATCCAGATCACCCCCAGCAGGACCTGGAGACATGTCACTCATGCGTCCGTTGACGATCGCTGCCGCTTGATGGTGGCTCTGTTGCTCCATCTCGAAATCCCTCATCGCCTCCTCGTTCTCGCGCTGCAGATCCTGTTCCTGACGGAATCTATCCTGCTCAGCTTCGTCTGCGAGGCGTTCTGCCTCCTCCTGCTCGCGCGAGAAGTCCTCTTCTGCCTGGGGTGGCGTCATGTTCAGATCGCCCGCCATGGCCACATCTGGAGGCGGCGGCGGCGGTGGAGGAGGGGTGGACTCCTCAGTCAACTCCTCGTCCTTGACACGCTTCGCCGACGGTGGGTCCTCGGGCGTCAGGCTCAATTCCATGGGGTCAGCCTCCTCCTCTCGCTTTCTCTTGTTCGCCGGCGAGCTGGCCGGGACGTCCTCTGCATCGCTCATAGTGACATCGTCGTCCCCAGCAACGTCGCCCGGTGTCTCTACGGACGCAACGGTGGCCTCCTCTGCTGTACCCAGGCCCACGCCCGCCTTCTCCGCCCCGGCCCTGCTGCCATGTGGCACTGCCCGCTCCGTCTTGCGCTTCTCGTGCTCGTTGTGCTTGGAGACGGCTTTATCTAAAAAGTCCTTGACGTATTTCTTGACCTTCTTCTCTTGCTTCTCCGAGATGAGAGTCGGGTCGTCGACTCGCTTGTGCTTGTAGTCCGACGAGACAAGGGTCTTACTCACGTCCTTGGCATGCCGCTTCAATACTTCCTTGGGTAGCTTGTGACGAAACTTGTCCACGACGTACTTGACGTGCGGGAAAAGCTGCAAAGGTGACCAGTCAGTCAGCTGATGTGATCTTTTGAGAGAAAAAAAAAAAAAAAAGTCCGCCTATTGACCGGGGGGGGGGGGGCCAGGCGTCCGACACTTACCGTGTTCTCATAAATCTTCATCTGTTTTTCAACCGGTAGAGAACGCCACTTTTCCTTTTTGGTCTCCTGGACAGGTGTCGGCTGCCGCTGCGGGGTCAGCGATGCAGAGGGCTTTGGGGTAGGCTCCTTGGTCAGGCTGTCAATAATATCCTGAAGTGCCTTCTGGTCCTGCTCCTTCTTCGACGGGACCTTGGCAGTGTCTGCAGGGGCCGTCGGCCGCTGCCAAGTGGTCGTGCCTGCATTATTGTAGTAGTACACATTGCCGCGGGGGTCCTTGGCCATGTGCCAGCCAGTGGGCAAGGCATGGCTGTTGGGCGTAAAAACCCGTCGCCTCTGCTGATGTGCGAAAAAGGAGGCATTTCGCTGCGGAATCTTGCTCTTGGGGCCCTTGGGGATGACGGCACCAGGGAGGAAACCAGGCGTCGATTGTGTAGAAGAGGCCTCGCGGTCCAGGTTCCGACGCTCCTCGAACGAGTTGGCAGGCTGGGCGGTGGGGTCAAATTTCCGCCGAGGGATGCGGTAAGCAGTCTCCAATTTGCTCCACTCCTCCAGCAGGCGCCTGGATTCCGCCGCCACGTCCTCGTGGTCTGCCGAGGTGAGACCCTCGATGACAGTCTCGATCTTGGAATCCGAGATCTTGTTCTTGGTCAGTCGTGGGAACCTGTAGAGGATGTCGAGGACCTGCAGGATGATGTTATCGTCGTCCTGGAAGGTGGTGAGGATGGTCTTGAGGATCTGGTAGCCGTGCATCTGTACGACTCGGTTTCGCACCCGGTCGTCGTCTGCCCTCTGAATGCGCTGCAGCAGCTTGACTGCGATCCACTTCTCCTTGCACTGCATGAGGGCGGCCATGACCTTGGTGACGCCATGCTCGTCAAGGCTCGGGAGCTGCACGCTGTTGACATACTCCTCGTCGTCCTCGGTGGCCTTCTTCTTGCGGGGTTTCTTTGCCACCATGGTGTCCCAGCCGTCGCCGTCGTCGATACCGAGCGCCTCAATGGTCGCCAGGGGCAGTTTGGTGGCACGCTCTGTCTGGGTCTTGCCGCCAATGAAGCCGGTGCAGTTCAGCTCGCCGCAGTAGCAGGGCTGTGGTTCCGCACCGTAGCGATCCACGTTGTAATTGAAAACAAGCTCCTCTCCGGCCCTGATGGCCCGGCTGGTGAAAATGCCCATGCGCAGCTTGTCGCCCACCACCCACTTATCCACATAGCAGTTCGGGCTGCACGAGTGGTTGCAGAACCGGCCCAGGTTGCCTTTTTTGGTCGCATCCACGAACTCGGTCCTCGTCAACGACATAAAATAGAAGTGCTTGATGCCCTCCTGGTCGTACTGCATCATTCGGCGCCGGAACGTGGGCTCATTGATGACCTCGCCAATGTACTCGAATACAAAATCATTAGTTTGTAAATCGGTGTTGGCCCGTAGACCGTAGCCCTTCTTCTCCGTCTTGATGACGGACACGTCAGCATACTGCTTGCGCTGGAAGCGCTGGTTCTCGCAGCTGACGCCGCAGTTGCATTCGCTGTCGACGCATTCCATCTTGGTCGCCCGATTGATGCAGTCAGAGTCTTCACCGCACGCGTAGTTCTGTCCATCGCCTGTGCACACACACAAACACACACACTAAAGTTAGGGCTGGGGAGACCATCCAAAATGGAAAGAGGTTGGAGGAGGAAGAAGAAGGAGGGGTGAAGAAGGCCCGGTTTGGGGGGGGGGGGGGGTGAAGCAGCTAGATGCACACACGACTTACGCCATTCTGCCGAGCAGTCGCAGTCCAACGCATCGTGCTGCGAGGCGCCCATGTTCTTGGATCCATAGAGACAGTCGTATATAACCTGAAAGGCCTTGGTAGACTCTTCTGTTGCGTCGGGCAGGTGATCGAAGAGGGGCGGTGTCCGAGACCGCACCTTGTTCGACGACGACTTCTTGGACTTGGGCGCGGGCTCGGTATCTGGGGTCGAAGTGCTCTCGTTCTCGGCCTTGACTCCTGGCGACATGCTCGAAGATCGTGAGGGCGGCTTGGATCCGTTGGGCGATGTGGAGGCACTCCGCCTCTCTTTCTTCAAAAGCGATCCATCTTGTAGAAAAGGAGCAGCCTCAACCTTGACAGCTGCGGGCGCCTCGGCAGCGCGATCCTCCTCCTCCATCATCCAGACAGGCAACGACTTGCTTTCCACGCCAAAATATGGAAGCCAGAGAGGAAGACAACACGGGGAGCGAGCGTTTTCGAGGTAGGATGCGGTGGGAGGACAGGTGAGAGAGAGGAAGAGAGGGGAGGGAGGGAGGGAGGCGGTTATGAGAAAGTCGGAGCGTTTCTTGCGGGATTTGCGCGGGCCATAGACTTGCTCGTGTGGATCGAAGGGTAGCGCAGCAGTGGAAGCCAGTGGAATCGCTGGTCGAGGAGGGAGGTGGGAGATGGTGATGGGGTCAACAGGCTCAGCTAGAAGCATCAACGGATCGCTATCGCACTTCCTCACCCAGCAGCACCTGCGACATGGCAGCAGCGCCAACTCCTCCTTGAAGATGGTAGGCTGTTCCTCCGGTTGATCTTCTTCTTGTCAGTCTCGAGACTCCTAGACGGTGTTTGGTTCAGCGGCTGATTCACTTTCCAGTCCAGTCGCTCGGCGGTCGCTCGGAGGACTTGTTGCGCAGATTGCAGGTGGCCAAGGGAAGAAAAGTCTTGGTGTGTGTTTGCGACGGGTGCGGAAGTCGACCAAGTGCATACCCGGCGGACGCAAGTGCCATCAGCCACTGCCCTCTCACTGGCTTTCCCATGTGGGTCTGGCCAGGTGCAAAAGTCCAGGTGGGGCTAGGCCATATCTAGTGGAGGGGTGGTGGGTTTGGGGCAGACCTTGGGCCCCCAGGGGGCTGCTGCAAGTCCATCTACAGCACTGTGGTACTCGGTGGTTAGGTGGTCTGAATTGAAATGACACAGTCAGTGATCTATTGAAATTCTCAGAGGTTCCCCCCCCCCCAAAAAAACCCCCCATTTCTCCATGGAAGTGACCAGTCATCATCCTCATGATTTTTTCAAAGGGAAACAATCCACCGAATCATGCTTGTTGTCCCTGATGAATGTATCTTGAGAGAATACACCCAGACAGGAGATATGGGTTCAGTTAGACCTGCTTTGGAAATGAGGTGAGGATCCAGGCGTGAGCTAGGAGGACGCTTGCCAGGTGTTCGCCTTCTGATGGTCAATCTACTTCCGCCGTGCCATGCCCTGCCGTGCCGTGCCCTGCCCTGCTGGAAAGGCTTTCCAAACAGTGCACACAGGACATTCAAAGCCCTTTCGTGATGATCTTTTGCATGACAATCAAATGAACTTCTTCTGGAAAGCTCAGGGTTTCGGGAGGAAAAAGATAAGACACAAGGGCAGGTCATGGTTTGCAGATTGCCCCGCCACCATCTGCTGCCAGAAATACCCACCTGAACCAAAACATTCATAGTCCAGATGTGTGAAAGGTTGAATTATGCCATGTGACAATGCTGCGAATTATCAAAGTAAGGTAAGCCCTTAGGTAACTGATGAGAGGAGAGGAGAGGGAGAGGGTACTTATACATTCTCAAAGCTGGCCCGGGGGTTAAGGACCTAGAAATGAACATGACAAAACATCAAATGCAATGTTATGTACCTCAGCCTCGCCTTTGATCACTGGAGTGATGCTTTTGATTCTTGAAAATAGGTACCGTCACCTAGGATCCCACACGCATGGTCAACCAGACCACACTGCAGGTGCTGAGTGTCACAATGTGTGTTGTACAGCACCATGTACACTGCCAATGCACTACTGGACTTCAAGATCACAAGAGATTGTGCCCTTGACTAGCAGCACAGCATAGGATACGGGAAGCCAGCCTGGTCTGATATCTCCTGTGGAGATGGCATCTCTAACCACGAGAACAAGAAACAAGAACACCAACCCCCTCCCCCCCAAATTCTTAATTTTTTTTCCTTTTCCTTCCCCTCTTTGGATGCTATCAAATCCTATGCCTATGCCTGATATGGCGAGTTGCTGTAAGAATATCACCTCATGACCTGCAGTGGTAACAAGGAGTGTCTCTTAAGAGGCAGATCGCCGAGGGTTCTACAAGCCCCCCCGGCCCGCAGAGAAGAAGCAAGTTCGTCCGTCCCCTCTGGCGTGACACCCACACAAGTACCAGGCGGTCAATCGGAACCAAGGAAAACCACTGCGGGTGCTAAATTGCTGGCCCATCCCTGATGTTGGGCTGGGTTGGGTTGGGCAGGGCAGATAAACCTGGGTTGGATGGTCACGAAGATTTTCTGTGTGTCGTGGCTACGGTGCCAACGCATTTCTGCAGGGCCGGTGTGTGTGTAGTAGTAGTGGACCCTGGGCTAAAGAGGTTTCGAGAACGGAGCGGTGAGGAAGTACAAACAAGGTTGGAAAAGAAGGAAAGAAGGAGGAAAAAAGGAATTCATATTGACCCGGCGGTGCCCACTTCTCAATGCGAAAGAGAGAGGGAAAGAGAGAAAGAGAAAAGGACGCTTGGTGCTTGCTTCCTTTTCTTTGAGAACTCATCCATCCTTCCTTCCCCAGACAAGAACTCCCACACCCACACGCGCGCGCACCCACAAAAGACACACACACCTACCTTTGCAGACCACAATCGAGACCACTGCACAAGCAAGGCCCGATCAGCATGCGGCTCCATCAATCCTCAGAGAACTGCTGGCTCGTGCCCCAGGATGGCTCGTCGCTCACCCACCGGTCACTCTGCTGATGGGCCCTTCTCATTGGTGAGACGGCGCAGGCGCTGCCAACCACTCAGAACGTCAAGATGCGACCGTCAGAAAAGGCTCTTGTCCCACCCTCGACGGGGTGCCCCCTGGGCGATTGAAAGAGAGTAAGAGAGGGCCCCCAATTGAAACATCTCATTGGGCTGAGCACTGGCCAGAGGTGATCTATGATTTGATAGCCTTGCAGCAAGTTGTAAGTCAAAATTGAACCCTGGTCGCCGTATTCTCTTATAATGGGTCAACTACGGTAAAGAAAAGTCACGATTTTCTCCATTTGATTTGGGACAGGATTCAGTCTGCAACGAGCGACGGGCGACTGAGCTCGTAATCGCTGACAAGAGCTAGCAGCAGCAGCACCCAGAAAATCCAAAAGAAGAAAAAGAGAACAATCATCGCCGCGGTCCCGTGGCATCCAAGTGGCCCAAAAAGGGGGTGTCATGTGCACCAGTCGGGATGCACCCCATTGGCCTAAACGAGGCAGTCGGTGTCATGTTCGCGATGCTGGCGGTGGTGGCGCGCCTTCGATTAGAAAGGGGGGGGGGGGCATGTGCATGCACACAAAGCATGACGACAGGCCGGCCGCGCGACGAGAGAGAAAGGGGAGTGAGCGCGAGCGAGTGAGCCTTGGGAAGCTCTGCCGCATTGGTGCTGCATTAGACCAGACCCGCTCCAGTCAACCCATGCCATCCGCGCTGGCGCTGGCACACTGCCGCTGCTTGCGACAAAATGCGACAGATCGATTCGGATGCGAGTTCACGATGGATGAGTGGCATGACAGCCCCAGCCCCAGCCCTGCGCTCACTACCGCCCGCCCGGTCTTTGGTCTTTTCTTTCCCCCTTCCATGGGCGGTAGAGGGAAGGGAGATGGGCGGAAAGCCAAGTTTCAGCCCTGCATGCTTCTTCTTGATGGCAGTGCAAGACCATCACCCTGAAATTGGTTGGGCTAGACTGAGATCCTGTGTTTCATTTTGTTCCTGCCTTTCGACTTGCTCCTACCGCGCCTCTGCATAGAGGCAGGGGGAAACAAAGGCAAAAAGAAAACAAGAAAAACAAGGGACGCACACGAGTTTCTTAAAACCCTCTGGCTTGGATCTGGAACCAGGACCAGGACCTAGAACCGGCACCCAAGACCCAAGGACCAGGTTACGCTGGCTGGCTGGTTCATCTGACTGGTGTTTTCCCCGTCTTCATCTCATCATCTATCGAAAAGCCAAGGAATGGCGGGAGAGAGATATATATATATCTCCCTCGGAATACACGAGAGACATTTGAGAACGCCTCTCTGAGATCTCAAATATCAAATTCTGGGATTTTTTTGAGAAAAGATTTGAGTTCTTTTCTTTCTCCCTCTGCCAATCTCCGGGGACCACCAGCACGTGGGAGAAACATTTTAACCTTCTTGATCCTGGCTGCCAATCTCATCTCGGGCCCCAGCCAAGATTTACCAGACTGCCTCACCTAGTGGGCCAGTCATTGTGACCTACAGCCGGGAGGGAGCTGGGACGAACTTGCGACTTGGGAACCGAACGCCACACCTTAAGAGACAACAAGTCAGTCAGCTATCTGGACGAGAAGAGAATCTTACACCATCGTCGTCATCATCAGCATCATCATAGCAGCGGGAGACGACAGGCGACCTCTCGATCGGCCTGGGGCGTGCTGCGTCAAGACTCTCTGGTCGTTGTCCCATTATCTCATGTCTTGGTTCCAACAACCAGCCAACTAGCCATCACCTCGCTCTTTTATTCTGACCCGACATACGACAGACGACTTGGCAGGCGACAGGTCGCAAATTGGAAATAAGGGTGTTGGTTTGGCATCACGATTTCGGTAATTGTCACCAAACCCCGACATAATTTTCAAGGTCAAAATCAACCCGAGAGGGAGAGAGCAAGAAACACACAGACCACCACCAAATCCACTCGCCTCGAACCACTTCTTCCTCGTTTTGGGTTTCTTTGTTCCCTCAAGCGAAAGAGACTCGACCGACGGATCAGGAATCTCACGGACCACCACCCACACACGACAAGGACTAGGAAAAAGCTGGGGCCTGTACTGGGTCTAACCCATCCCAGCTCCCAGCCCTTGAAAAGAGAAGAAAGAGCGCGAAAAAGAAGAAACCGGATCCTCCTCCAGGAAAAGGGTCCCCATCCCCCCCAAAAACGCTCTCGCAAGGATACGAAAGCCCCAGAACCCTTGATCAGCCCGTTGGGCGGTGTCAGGGTATTAAAATTACCAGTGGAGGTGTTCGCCCTACCTGTCCATTTTGTACAACCAAATCTCGGCTGCTCTGCATCTACCTCTGCTGGTTTCCGCTGAAGAGGTTTTTTCTTATTGTTCCTTGAACCTTTACCTTTTACTGCTAGCCTTTCCTTCATCCACTCCCCCCCCCCCCAGTGGCCTCGCACCCATTAATACATACACACACCCATACCAGGCATACCCATACCACCCCCCCCTCTTCTCAGGGATTGTGCAGCGGAAGGTCTTGATTCTTCATTCTTTCTTGTCTCGACCGCACCCTGCTTCCCAGACGCGCGCTTGGTCGCCTCCTCGCGCCTGGTAGTCCCACTCGACTAGACGTTCCCTTCTTCTCTTCTGGAGCGCGCCCCCAACCATTTGGGTCTTTGAACTCTTTCTTTTGCTTGCCCTCGTTTCTCCTCTTTCCCCCACCCCCCATCCCCTTTGGGCTTCTTGTCATTCGCTCATTACTATCATTTCCTGTTTGGATAAGTGGATAAGAGGAAGGAAGAAGAAGTAAAGAGAGAGGAGCGAGAGAGAAAAGGAACACGGGATTCCTCCTCCATCAAGCAAGACATCGACAAACAGACTGTGTGGTTGTGTGTGTGTGTGGTGTGTGTGTGTGTGTGTGCGTGTGCGTGTGTGGTATAGCAATCACAAGCTGAGCCAGGGTCGTCCTCCTGCGCCTCCCCATGCTCCACAGCCAATATTCCGCCCATCCGCATTTCACTCACAACCCGTGACTCTCCTGCCTGGCTTGTGCACTTGGATTTTTCGTCATTCCCTCCGACTCTGAGCCCTGGTCTCGCGTGTCTCTTTTATTTCTTCTTCGCGATCCTGGCCTCGCCTGACATGAGGCTAGTTTGGCACTCCAGCAGCGGCTTGTGATGATGGACGCGGGGAACTTTACCGAGGACGAAAAGGTGCGCGCCCCTTCCAACTAGATCGTCGAGCCCATGATCATCATCGTCATCGTCATCACCTCTTCTCTATGCTCCCTCTATTCTTTCATCTTCTGCTTCTTACGAAGGGGGCCCCTCTAACCAACATGTTTTATCTGTAGCGTTTCGTCCTCGCTGAATACATCAAGGCCAGTCAGGTGGATACTGAGCAGCTTGTAGCTTTCATTAAGATGAACCAGCTACAGACAGACTGGTTCTCGATGCAGCTGCCCGGAGGTAAGCCCGGCCTGGGAGAATTATCTTTACTTTTTTCTTCCTTCTTGTTCTCTGTCTTTATTCTCCCTCCCTTCTCTTCCTCTTTTCCTTTCCAAGAACTCAAGAGGAAACGACAGCCTTTTTAACAGCCGCGTATGGAACAGGCCGGAACATGCATCAATGTATGCGCGCAGCCTCGAGCATGCTCGACATAGAATTAGACCTGCCGAGCGTGCCCAACCTCAAGAAGCGCAAGTCGGCAAGCGACCTCCTGACCGAGCAGGCACCCAAACGCATGGCCTCGATGGCGCATATACCGTACCATCAACAACAGCAGCAGCAGCAGCAGCAGCAGCAGCATCAACAACACAGACCGCCGTCCCGACCCCAGGACCAGCAGACCCCGCCCCTGCCACAGCCCTCGCCGTCTCCGCTAGCCCAGCAGCAGCAACCCGGTAGCGGCGGGCTTCCCCCACCGCGCGTGAACCTTAACATCCAGCCGCGGCCGGCACTCGAGTCGAAGCAGCCGACCACCGAGGGCTACAACGTCTTCCAGTCCAAGACACCTTCCAATGGGTACGGCGTTTTCCAGTCGAATCCCACAGGAAGGAAACGGGGCCGGCCCAGCAAGGCCGAGAAGGAAGCACAGGCCCGTGCCAACTCCAGCTCTTGGACGACCACAGGCCCAATCCCGATCAGCCCGAAACCAGCGGGCCACCCGCCCACGACTCCCCTTGCCGGACCACCACCACCAGCACCACCACCACCAGCAGCAGCAGCAGCAGCAGCAGCAACAGGAGGAGGAGGGGGCGGCACCCAGTATCCCGTCCCATCGCAGGCATATAACACAGCGGCGACATCAGCAACGTCAGCAACATCAGCAGCAGCGGGATCTATGGATTCTCCGAGGGATGTAAGAGGGGGAAATGCAGGCAGCGGGCAAGCTTTGCCGCGCCCTCTGCAGCCACAGAGCTATGCAGAGCATCAGGCACCACCGCCAGCGGCGAGCATGATGAAATCGGAGAAATCGCCATCAATCGGAAACCTGGTCACGGCGGATTCGCCTCCCGAACAGCCCAGAAGTGTGCCAACGCCGATAGTGGTACCGCATACTCGAGATCCCCCGCCCGTGACAAATTCGGCGTAGGTTGCCAATCCTAAAGAGAAGTAAAAATATGGGGACCGTCGAGACTGCATTGTTTGTCAAGAGGGCGCGAACAAAAAATATAGAAAAAAAAATCTATCAGTATAAGAAGAAGAGGGGAAAAAAAAGGCGACTGGAGCCTCTGTGGTGTGATTTACGGACGAAGTGCGAGCAGCAGCAGTGGTAATCAGGAGGATCGAGGCCGAATTTGCACGGAGCTTTCAGAAAGAAAAAGAAGAAAAAATACTTGGTCAGTCCGGTTGAGAGACGCTCGTGGATGGGTCAGTTGTGTGACGACGCACTTATTTGTGGGGTTTCTGGGTTCTTTTGTCATAACGTGGAGTATCATTCGACCTCGACATATACGGCCATTTCGTTCTCCCAAGGCTGCTGGGCTCGGCCAATCTTATTTTCTTTCTTCTTTTCCTTTTTCCCTCCACTTGTTCTTCTCCTTTTATAATTTTCTCTTTTGGTGGCTTGTCCCCTCGAGAGAGCGAGTTGGGTTCTGGGCGGGTGAGACTGATGAAAAACTATATGTACGTTGACGACGCGACAAAAGCGGACTGACCACTTTACCACATTTGCATTCCGCAAATTATTTTTTTGTCTAAGGAAGAAAAAAATTACACCTAGGGCAAACAAATGGGGTGGAAAGGGGGATCAGGAGTCTCGAGGGGATACAGAATTGGCATGCGAATACGTGCCTTATTTTCTATTCGTTTTTCTTTCTTTTTCCATCTGTCCTTGTTGGACCCCTGTTCTTCTACTTTTACTTTTTCAGTGTTGGGGATGCGGGGAAAACGCAAGCGGAGTTTTGACTTTTTGTTTTATGGGCGGCATCAGTGTACGATCTGGACCAGCAGAGCATTTATAAGAAGGAAGAGACGGGCGGGCGAGGAAGTCTCGAATGCCTTTGTTTGGGGGGTTATGTGTGTGTTCTTACTTGGTGATCAGCTTTTCTCCCTTCCTGTGTCTCTTGGGCAAGGCTTTATGATTAGGCTAAGGAGAGAAGACAGAAAGAGAGGGAGGAAGAGGCTGACACGGGTTAGCCAGGCATTTTGTGTCTTCATGCAGAACAGGACTAATGGTGAATGTATAATTTCATCCGGTCGACAGCCAAGAACAGAGAAAGAGAGAGAGACAATACTTGACCATTTCAGGTACTAGACCAAGTAGATACTTTGCCGCAGTGCAACGCTGATCATACAGGTAAGCAACCAAGTCTTATCAAGTAAGTTTATCCAACATCGAGTTACATTTGCCCAGGGGAGGCGGGGCTCCTTGAGAAGATAATAGAATGGCATTACAAACAACCCTTCTTCCTGTTGTGACCCGTCAGGAAGTGCCGTGATAGGTCCGGCGGGCCATTCCCCGTCCACCTAAACTGACCTGATCTGACCTGGGTTTGTGGTGGGTTGGTTGTGTTGCAGTGCAGCGGGTCGTAACACCTTTTTGAGTGGGCGGTGTCGAAGGCCGTGGGAAAGTAAGCATGGATGGGGTCGCGTGGGGGGGGGGGGGGGGGTTTCCACTTCTTTTTCTTTTCTTCGGATGAGTCTTGGGAAATTTGGGAAAGATTGGTTTCGTTACAATCATAATGGGATGACATGTACATTTTAAAGGGATTTGTTCACCACTATGGAGCAATCTGCCATCATTCTTTCTTTCTTTCTCTCTCTCTCTCTCTCTCTCTCTCTCTCTTTTCCTCCTCCTCCTCCTCCTCCTCACACCCTACCAAATCTAATCAACTACACATACTGGCTCCGATCCGTCCACCCAGGCTGCAGGGCAGACCAGTCCCGAGCAAAGCCAAAGGCCGTCTGGTACACATCATAAACCACCAGCTCCAAGCCATCCAGCGCGGCGCCGCCGTCCTCCATAGCCCACAAGCTCACCGCCAGAGAGTTTTGCCCTTGATTGTTCACAACCCCGGGGGGGAACGGAAAGACGGTCTGCGGGCCAATGTGCGGCTCGTATTTCCCGTACTGGTACCCGTTGACCCAGAACAGGACGCGGGCGACGGTGCCCTCGGGGGCGGAGAAGGCGAGGCCCAGCGGGGCGTCGAGGTCGTCGTCGATGTCGAGGGTGAAGTTGGCGACGTAGAAGCGGACGCCGGGCCCCGTGAGGCCGTCGAGAGGGGTGGCGTCGTCCCAGGCGCCGTAGGAAGTCGGGTACGAGGTGCTCGGGGAGAAGCCTGGGAGGTGCCAGCCTAGCCGCTCGCCGTACAGGCCGCCTTCGTTGAAGGGCCCGCGGACGGGGTCGATGTTGGCGGCGCTGCCGCCTGCGCTGCCTTGGATCTTCCAGGTGGTGAAGCCCGTCGTGGTGTTGGCGGTGCTGGTGCTGGTGGTAGGGGCGGGGAGCAGCTGGGCGCCGTAGAGGCCGCGGGGAACGTTCATGCCGCCTGCGACGGAGGTCTCGTCGTGGCCGTGGTAGTCGACGAGCACGGTCAGAACGTTTTCCTGCTGTTGGCTGGAGGAGGAGGAGGAGCCGTTGGAGGAAAGCAGCAGCGCAGAGGGGGGCAGGGCCAAGACGGCGGTGGTGGTCTCGAGGGCGCTGGTGTTGCCTGTGTCGCCACCGATGAAGACGCCGTTGAGCCAGGCACTCCAGCCAAAGGCGTCGCCGCCCGAGGCAGTGATGTTGACTGAGGTGTAGTTTGAAGAAGAAGAAGAAGAAGCAGGAAAGTACCCGCGGTAGATCTTGGCCCCTGCGTAGTAGCCGTAGTCCGAGGAGAAGAGGACAGGTAAGGTGTAAGGGGCGATGTAAGCCTGGGTGGTGGTCTTGTTGCAGACTATCCAGGACGAGTCGTCAAAGGAAGGGTCGGACTCGGGGAGAGAGTCGGCCGAGTGCCAGTCCAAGGTGGCGATCTCGGGCAGGACAACGCTGCGGGACTCGGTTCCTGGGATGGTGGCCGTGTATGTGCCGTAGGATGTCCTTGTTGCATTGAGAGGGATGTCGTTCCAGGTGATGGAGGTAATACTGCTGCTGCTGCTACTGCTCAAGGTCTCGATGGTTGTGGTGACGTTGTTGTCGCCTGAGATCCGGAGCACGCCGTCGCCACCTAAAGATGCGTTCCTGACGAGGTACGAGCCCAGGATGAAGATCTTGTCGTCAGGAGACCCATACACGTTATCAGCAGCACTGGTGGACGCCGGAGGGGCCCAGAATGTCCATGCTGAGGTCTGGTCGAGCAGGTAGACGAGCACGCCGTTGGAAAACTTGACAAATGTCGGGCCATCTCCTTGGGTATACGTGAAGATCTGGCCTGCGGTGCTGCTGTTGGAGGTGGTGACAAGAGACGTTCCATAAGCCGTGTATGTCAGCCCAGCCTCGTTGGCAAAGGCAAACTCGCCCGTCTGCCCGGCCTTGAGGTAAAGAACCAAGGCTGTCGTCGTGGCCTCGTCATCGCCCCCATTGTCGTCATTATCAAAAGTGGCCCAGGTGGCAATGTCGCCCGAGGAGTAGAGAAGCGTGTGGTTGTTCCCAATAGCATAATCTGTCACGAGGATTCTGCTCTGGTGGCCAAAGAGAGAGACATTCGGAACATTGACAGGGCCCAGAGATGTGTTGAGGGTGGCGGTGAAGGTCACATTAACCTCGGAGCTCGACGTGGTCTGCTGCGTGAACAGGAAGCTGGCCCCTGTGTCTGGATTCTGGAGCAGCCACGTGAAGATGTCGTCTGTGTCGACCTGGTAGCCGGTGCCGTTTCCGATCATGTCGGTCTTGAGCAGGTCGGGCGACGAGCTGGCGAAGAGGTTGATGAGTTTTGTCTGGAGCACCTTGGGCCATAGCTGGCGTGTCTCTCGGATATGTGCCCTGATTATGGATAATGTACATGATTAGCATACTTTCTCTCTTTTGGGAAGGCAAGAGATCGCTCTTTTTTTTGAGCATGTTTCAACGTACGCGTAGTCATAGGATGTGTAAACTACTGGAGCAGCTGAGTGTCCCCAGTTTGTACCGCCATAACCCATATAACTGACAACTGACTGTTAGAGAGCGAGAACAATCTAGTATTCAAGACACGATGAAGAACTTACAAGTTCTGCATCGTCACTTTCTCTGCAATGTTGTTCTTGTAGCTGTCACCTTTTGTCAGTCTCTGAGAGAAGAATTCCTGCACAGGCATAATGCTCACAAGAGATCTGGGTAGGCGGGATCATGGTACGAAACACACTGTTCGTAGATATTCAGCCAAGACTCATAGAAGGCAAGATTTTGTGTAAATGCATGTGGAGCGTGTAAAGTACCGTATCGTAAAATGTGCCACTGCCCCAGGCAGTAAAATACCCTCCCTCAAACTCTGGTAGGAAGCTTGGCTGAGTGTAGCTGTAATTCTGAAACCCTAGAGCCGTAACGTATTAGTGTTCAGAGGCCACTACCTTGTAGGGGAAAAAAAATGAAAAGACAATAGACAAAATGGAGTTTATAATACATACATTGGTAGTATGTTCGAACAAGTGTCCATCCAGACGCCGGATTCGTGCAAGACAGACCGCCTGGGTAAGAATCCAGGCCATACACATTCACGGCCCCTCCGACATCTTCGTAGTCGACACTCCAACTCTCTGACCGCATTCCCTGGGGTATCGCAAGTTAGTTATGAGGGCTGTCTCTTTATGGCTGAGTCGGTCTCTTCCTTTTTGGTTAGGGGCTCAGAGGAAAAAAAAAAAAAAAAGAAGACTGTTGTGTAGGATCCTTCATTACCTTCTCGTTACTCGTAAAAGGAACAACCACGCCAGCCTCTCGAAAAGCAGCCTCGATCTGCTCCATGTACACGACCAGGGTGTTGGTGGCAGAGTGCGTCGTCTCCTGCAGCTCGTTCTCGATCTGGTTCAGGATGACGGGCCCGCCCTCGGTGATCTGGTTCGCGGCGATGATGGCGCCCAGCTCCTGCACCCACGGCAGCCAGGCCTCATAGTACGCCTCGTCGCTGGTCCGGAGCGTGCCCATGCTCCCGTCCGAGCCCCACAGCGCCAGGCCCCCGGCGGTGTACTCGCCGTTGCTGTAGGGGCCCGGCCGCGAGATGACCCACAGGCCGGCGTCCGAGGCGGCATCGAACAGGGCCTGCAGGTCTTTGCCTGGCGAGGTGAAGTCGTACACACCCCTGGCGGCCGAGTGGTAGTTCCAGAAGAAGTAGAGGCTGACGGTGTTGAAGCCGGCGGCCTTGAACTTTTGGAAGATGTCGGGCCAGAGGGCCGGGTTGGGGAGCCTTGGGTAGTGGAACTCTGCGCTGTTGATGAAGACCCTGCAAGGAGATGGTAAGTAATTTACACATAACATTGACACCCTTCATGGTCTTGAACTTACCTGGATCCATTAATTAGCAAACTGTATTCATCCCAGGTCACCGCAGAGGTGAGGTTATCAGTGGTCGACGACACGCCACAGACCCACCAGGCCAGGAGGGCGGTGAGGAAGTGGAAGGACGCCCGCATCTTGACGAGTACTTGGCACTGCGAAGAAGGGGAGGAGAAAGAGGAAGACGAGATCTGCTCTGAGCTGGTCGAACCATTCTCTTCGACTCTCTATTTTTCTTCTTTCTTGAATCGAATGGCCTCTCTTTTCTCCTTTTATATACCATAGTATATCTACTGATTATGTACATATGTATCAATACGCAGGACAGATGACGATTGGCCTGTGCCAATCCAATAGAATCAACCCCATAGTTACATTTCTCCTCTTGTGTAACAAAATTCTCCCAGCAATCATGAGCGGCGTTTGAATCCCCTCCCAGCCGGTAAAAACTGGAGTAGCCTGGATCCTCTTGAGGCTTAGCTTACTGCGACCAACGGTTGCTTGGGAGGGGCAAAAACGACGGAAGAGGCGCCGAGAGAGAGTCTTTAAGTCGTGATCAGGTGGCTTCGACGCATCATTGTGCCGAGACTTGGGTATGGGCATCCTCCACGCTATTGACTTGCCATCAGCACAATTGGGTGGCAGTGCTAGAGCGGGAAGGGCTTTGCCAGAGGCGCGTTTTATTTTCCCAGACTTGGTTCCGTCTCTCTAACCATGGCTCATCATATCTACTTCACCACTGCGTTCACGTAATAGTACGAAGCACATGACACCTCTGTTTGTTCATATAGAATAGGAATGTATATGATAAATGCAGAGGAAGAATTCATCGTCATGAGCATAACCTCCACTCTTTCTGGATTCGCAGTGCCCGCGGCTTCCGGCAACCGAGGCTCCCTCCTCTCCACCACAAAGTTTCCTCCTTGTTCGATCTTCACATGAATCCAACAAGAAAGTCTTCGTCATCGTGGGTATGCGCAAACACTCATTAAAATGACTCCCTCGCATTGGGGATAAGATAAAGAACACAGGATATTTCGTCGATTTCAGGAAGGACGGGAGAGCAGTAGAGGCTCACCGAGTCAGTCAGAACCCCCCCGGCACGACGACCAAGACGCAGGTGGAGACAGACGCAGGGCCTCTCTCGTCGCTGTTCAGAGCCCATGATGACCCTTAATATGGCAAAGAGCTGCCCACAGCAGCCTTGTTTTCCCTTTCCCCCCTATTGAGGGACGAGCGCACGGCCATTGATGACCCGCCGGGGAAACAAAGGGCTCTCAGGAGGACTCACTTCTCGATCGGGTCATCATCATCATGGCATTGTTTGAAAAGAGGCGCGGGCAGAGAGGCACGGGCAGAGAGGCTCACCAGGCAACCCCTTGAACCCCCCCCCCCCCGATCCATGTCCAAGTCTTAGAGAACAAAAGTCCGACGTAATCAATGAACACTAATAAAAAAAACAAAAAAAAACAATGGCTACAATGCCTTTGACACCTGGCGCCAGATTGCTAGGCCAGGTCTGCTCGAGTGGTGGCCGGTCATTCCAGAATAGGCCGGTGGTAGGTAATTGGGCTTCTCGACTTCTGCACCCCAGATGGGAAGAAAACGACGAGAACAAAAGACTATTTAAACAGAGATTGATGCATGTCCGTCCTGTCAGCGGTCGCCTGCTGGATGGAAGAAAAGAGAAACGAACAAATGAACGGATCGCTTTTGCCCAGAAACAACATCATCTCCTGGACCTCTCCGGTGTCTGGCCAACCCCCACTGTACTATGGAGGAGCTCGGCACAATCATCACAGGGGTGTGCCTGTCTCGAGAGGCAGCGGAGAGAGTGGGACGCTTGTGGAAGCAATATACCTTCAAATAACCTGTCGAACTCGGGCATGAATCACGGCAATGTCCTTTCAAGAAAAGACTGACAACAATAATCAAGATACACGGAGATTGCGGCCTGGCTTAGCTGCACTTCCTGCTGTTGTGTCCGGATCCGTAATCTTCAGCAAGACTTGTTTGTGTTGATGAGATTTTTTAAAAACAAAACAAGCAAAACAAAAACACGAGGTCGTTTGTTGAAGAGTACCATGGTCACTCACTATGAAGAAGACAAAGAGGTGGGGGAAATCCCTTAAAACCCAGCCATTGGTTCCACTTCTATCTGTACACACACAGACCTCTCCGGGGGGGGGGGGGGAAAGACCCGTCACACTGGGCACCATCTCTCCTTTGGTCGGAACAAGTCTTAGCAAAGGGCGAAACGTTACTTGGAAATACTTCATAGTTGAGGTTGAGAGACTGAAATCATGTTGGCTGGCGAAAACGGTTGGATGTCACCGTTGTGCCGGATTTTCCGGGCTGTCGAGGATCGGATACGCAGCAATCTCAAACAACATGCAGGTTTGACTGACGATGCTTCAATTATACGAAACTGTGACCCAGGAATCCTATTGCAACGTGCAAGATGAGGTGATGTTCATATTGCGGGAGTGTTACACAGATTTCACGACCCAGGATCGTAAGAAAGGCAGCAGGTCTTGTTGCTTCCTTGCTTGTTATCTTCTCTCTTCCTTCTCTCACACTGCTGCAAACCTTTCGTCGTTGATTGTCGCGAGGCGGTCCGGCTGAGACATACTAAAGTCGGATTACAACCTAGACCAGGTACACTGCAGCCGTAAGACATCGTACCTAAACAAGCTTATAGCTTCGACCCCGGCGACCTCGCTGCATTACACAGTGTTTTGGCCTGGATCGGGCTGTTCTGGTTCTTGCCCCTTGATCCTGGTCTGTTTGGTGTCTTTTTTGGGAGTACCTTTTCTCTCTCTCTCTCTCGTTCTCTTCCTTCCTCTCTTCTGGCCTCTACTAACTATGCTTGCGCACGGAGATTGCTACACGATCTCTCTTATTAAAGCCTTGTCCTGCTCGACGTTCTGGCCACTCAGGATCCGCGGGACGATGCTACGCTCGCCTTGACTAGTCGGTAATTTCTTTCCTACCGTGTACTACGGTAAGTGAGGGATACCACGACAAAACACGATGGGGACCCGCATATATGACGACGGACTTGCTGTCATTAGATCTCAACGGGATCATGCTTGCGGTGGTGGATGGGGGAAAAAAAACAAAGAGGGGCAGGAGGAGGGGGAAAGAAAAGAGAGGAAGAGAGGGGGAACAAACAAAAACAAAAAAAAAAAAACGGAGGAGCCAAAGCAGAGGCTCAGACAGGGAGGGGGCCTACATTGTTGGTTTGCCGAAACTTTACATGTGGTGTGGTGAGCAGAGCTTATCTGATTTTTCCTTTTTCTTTCTTCTCAACACAAGTTCCCTCCCCCCCCCCCCCCATCCAACACCTGCGCCCACAAGCCACACTGCCACACATATAGCACCCACATAGTGCTCATAGATAAGTCCAGCCACCTGGGTACTACTATGGTATGTGAGAACGCCTCTTTGATCCTTCAATACATGGCACACACATTACATTACTGTATTATGTATTCTATAGTACCATCAGGACAGAGTGGTCCTTGTTAGGAAGTCTTGTTGTTTTACCACGATCACGCCTCGATCGCGAGATTTTTAGTTTTCCCTTTCTGCCCCCGCTCACTCATTTCACAGCCATGTTTTTTTGTGTGTTTTTAGCTCGTGTCTTGCATGATCCCAGCCCATAATACTCGGTCTCTCACAAAAGTAGTAGGAGGAGTAGCAGCAGCAGCAGCAGCAGCCAAAGAAAAGCAAAAAGCCCTTTTCTTCTACAGAATCAAGGCCCCCTCCTCACTTTGCACACCCCATTTATACACTGCTGCTACGTGTGAACATTGTAGAAAGCACGAGAAGTAAACAAAACCCCAGACGGCGGCCCCTTCCCAACCCCATTCTTCATCCAAAACACCACTCGGACCCAGGGCTCATCATCAGAGGGGCTGGCCCTGCCCGACCCATCGTTAGCCCAAAGTACCCAAGCAGCCAAGCCAAGAAAACGAACAACGCCCCCCGGTCTATCCACACCACTCCCCGGTCGCACAGCTGGGAGCGAAGAGGTGCCCACTCTTATGCAGGTCCCGGTGTCCCGGTGCAACCCCCCCCTAGAAACGTCCGGGGGGGGGCCTACCAATTGGAACAAAAAACAAACACACACACAAGAAGACTACAGTCTGTACTACCATGCATAAGTAGGAAGGAGGCTGACCATGTCATTGCTCCGGAACCAGGATCATTCAACGCGACGCACGACGCGTCTGGGTCCATGACCTGGCAATTTGTAAAGCAGAAGGGGGGGATGGGGGGAGAGGCGCGACCCAAAGAAGAGAAAGAAGAGAAAAAACCTGGAGAAGGAGGATCCATAATTGTCTCGTCGTCCTCCTCTCATCTCTCTTTCTCGCGTTTGGGTCTCTTACCAGCGCAAGGACATCGTCACGTTCAGACCACGATCCTGCTGCCGTTTTCTCTTCTTCTTCTTCTTCTTCTCCCTCCTCTTCTGTTGGCCCCTAACAAAAGCCACCGTGCGTTCTTATTCTTTCTATGCTACGTTAGCATAGAGTCTGTGATCAACCCTAAAAGGCCAAAGTGGCTCTGTTCCCCCCCCCCCCTCCAGCCCCTGCTGTTCCGCCTCCTGGGTCACTCTGGCCGGGGCCCTTTTTCTTCCCCTTCTCTCCCAGCTGTCATAGCGGTGAGGGGCCTCAGGATTTCCTTTTTGAATTAAAAGCTGAGAGAGGGCCCATGTTTACTCCTCGTCGCTGAACCTTCTCTGCCCTCCCCCCCCTTACCGCTATCTCACTCACCCTGGAATTGTTTAACCAATCAATCACAATCTATCTCTTTCTCTGCCTCTTCCTTTTCTTCTTCTTTGTCGCCCCTTGATCATCTTCTTTTCTAATTATTCCCTTGCTGGGTGTGCGGCACTTGGGCATTGCCACGCATAGACGAGTCAAATCTTCCTCTTCGGAGAATTACACCCCTACACTTTCCAAGGCCACACTTACAAAGGGAAAACCTTTCCCACTCAATTACCGGCGTCTGCCGCCGCTTCATTCATTCATGACCTTACAGTATCGTAACACAAACAAGGCCCAGCCATTTCTTGTCACCAGCCCACACATGCAGCAAACAACCCACTACACTCCGTCATAATTAAGCCACAGTGGTCTTGGTTTTTCTTTCTCCTCCTCCCCCCCCCCCCCCGCCGAACCCCGGGTCGTCGCAACAGCTATCAACCCGGAACCAAGGTGGATCTCAAAAACGAAATATTATCCCCCAGTCCAATAAGCACACGACACGCCCATGCCTGGGCAACCCACAAACGGTCCAGCTGTCTGTCGCATATACATACTCTTGGAAACGAGCCCTGCTCCCTCTCACAACTCAATTCAAAAGAAGGACAAAAACTTTGATATCAACATCCCAGAAGCCACTATACCGCCGTCCCTCCCTCTCCCTCTCCCTCTCCCTCTCTCTCATATCCTTCAGAAAGGCGCCTCTGCTTCATCCGAGACAGAAAGACAGACAGAATCCGACCCAGCTTGGTGCTGTCAATCTTCCTTTCAGCCTTGCCGGTCCACTGTTTTTTCTCCTCTACCCCACCAGAACACCAAACCTTGTTCTTGGATCTCCTCGAGCCTGTTTCATCATCCTTTTCAGCTACTTACCGATTCCCACCGCCCACAACGGTCCCCACTGTTCCTGGCTTCCCAAGTAAACTCCGGACGTGCCGGTCCACCGGCTGGGATCTCTTCTGATCGCCAAGCCAAGGGGGGCCCCGCCCACAGGGGACATTCTCGACTCGATCTGGGCGACAGCCCTGTGTGTATCGTGTGTGTGTGTGTGTGTGTGTGTGTGTGTGTGGCCAGCGAATTACTACCACGCACATCTGCTTCTTTTCTGAAATAAGACCACCCGGCGACCTTTTTTTCTTTCTTTTCTTCCAACTTTAATTTTTTTTCCCCCTTCCCACGCAGCGCGCATCCCAACATTTTCTTCCAATAACCCAGAGAGGGCTGATCGACCTTCGTCCACTCGTTTCATCACATCACAAGTTCGCTGCAGAGAGGCGTTGACAGCCCCGGATCTGCAGAAAATCTCTCACCACTTTCGTTCTCGCCTCAGTGGTTTTCTCGATCTCGAAAGTGTTGTCGATCGATCTGTCTTAGACCCCGCCGCCGCACATGATCTATCATTCCTGACGACGCATGAGCCGTCCCCACAGTTCAAACCCACCACAGTATTCTCAGTCTCAGTCTCTCTCTCACACCAAAAAGAATGGACACATTCCGGGGGATGGCGCCAGCGGTGCCCGGGACAATAGCTTTGTCGTCGTCGACCATCTTACTAGTTCTCCAAATTATCCTGGCCCTCCCTCGCGCGGGTCACATAGCAGCAACCGAGGCCGTCGCCGTCATATCAGCAATACTCGAACTTGCAGTGCTGATCCTGTTGTCATGGATATTGTTCACATCTATGAGAGGGGGAGGAGAAAGCTCAGCAAGAAAAGTGTCGCCGCTGCTGTTTGGGTCCGGTATAGGGCTGTGTGTGCTCGTCGCCGTACTCACAGTTGGGTGTCTCATCTCCCTCTCCATCAACAGGAACCTCGGAGGCGCCACGTCTGGTTTTCTGGCGGGGACAGCAATTATGCTGCTGATCTCATTCATCACACAGCTGCTGTTTCTTGTCACGCGCCACCTCGCCGGCCGCAGCCAGGACCACGGCCGCTCGAGCACGCCAGGCATGCAGGAGATCGGCTGGCAGCCTAGCTGGCAGCCCGCGAGGCGGGTCAAGGCAGTGCCCTACGAGAGCACGCTCCCGCCGACCGAGCCCTCGTCGCGCGCCGTATCGATGGAATCCAAGAGCCCTCGGCCCTCAACTGGTGGCTTCTCGGCGACGGACACCATCTCCACCATCACGTCGACTCTGGCCCACGCTGTGCGGCCCATCACCTCCAGGAACCGCCTGATCTCCGGCAGCGGCCGCAGCCAGCGGTCGGTTCGGCGGGCGGCCTCGATCGAGTCCATGGACAATCGGGCACGCTCCATCGCCACCATCGACAGCTTCGACTCCTGGGATACCTCGGGCGTTGATGCGCAGTGCCGCCAGACCGTGCTCGAGTCCGGATCGTCGCCATTAGCGGGGACCCGCTTCCTCGAGACTATCCCGGCCTCGCCGACGACGAGCCGGTGCCCCAGCCCGGGAACGCCTCTGGACCTGGACTCGGACCTCGAGGCGCCCTGGCGTGTGGCCAGACGCAGCCGCAGCTTCAGTCCCGCGGGGTCGGCCCGCTCAGAGCTACCTGCGCCGCCACCGAAGCGCGGCCTTACCCAGCACACCTCGGCGAGCGAGTCACACATCCACCCGCTCTTCCGCTCCGACTCGCCGACCCCAGCACCGCTCGCCAGCCCAGGCACCATCGTCATTGCCGCGCCTCAGGCCGGCTGGGTTATCTCGGATCGGCAGAGCATCCGCAGCCTGCGACGCATGCGCAGTGGCAGCTTGCCCGCCGTATCGAGCCCACTGACGTTGAGTGGGTCATCCGACAGTTTTAACATGGCCAGTTCGAAGACGCTGAGCGCAGCTAGCGATGAGAGCAGCCTAGAGCCGGCAGAAGAGGAGGAGGAGGACGACGACGACGAGAAAAGACAAGAGGCCGATGTGCCGGAGAGGGAAATTACGCCTCCCATCCCTGATTTCATCCTTAATGCCGGCTCACGAACGAGCCTGGTCGGATATCAGGTGAGGAAGACAGAGAGTCGCGAGGGACCCTCGGGCCCGGGGCTCGAGGCGCTGCCGCCCACTGACGGGTGGTGAGAACCGCAGGTGTCGGTCTCTTTTTATGACTGTGGAACGTTTCTCCATACTCGCATTTGGCTATGTCCCATGCTTTGACGCTCCTTACACATAACTTTAGTATCTTATACATATTCAAATATATAGGGGTCGAACTTGGCTCAAGTTGGGGGGAAAACCATCAAGGGTTTCGAGGGTTGGACTGGGAAGGCCTGGACTAGTCAGGCGATCTTTTTTTGATTTTTTTTTTTTTGATACCATTCTTTCTTTTCTCTTCTTGTCTCTCTTCTATACCCAATCTTCAGGCGCCATGGTGCTTGAGGCTTCTTGCTTGAATGGGATAGATGGACTGAGGAGTCACGATCAAGAGGAGGGGAGTAGCTCTGCTGGAGGATGAGGACGTTGGACTGTCCATCCATGATGAATACGGTTTGGTCCCAGCTTTGGATCACAAAATGCAAAGTAAAATAGCACAGACAATAAAATGAAAGATACAATCAAATGAAGAATCGCACTTGAAAGCTGCAGAGGATGTTGATGTGAGCGCGTGTTGTAGTCTCTGGTGCCCAGCAAAGTTGCTTGAGATTGGTCATTTCTCAGATCAGATTATACATATTAACCTTCAAAATGACCTCAAGAAACCAAACGAAAAGACTGACGGACAGGTCTGACTGGTCTTGTCATTGGTGGGATTGGAAGTGAGGGGCCAAAGAAGAAGCAAGAAGGTGACGGGGGAGAGAGGATCCTAGCTGCAGCTGTCACAATTGCCTTCCCAAGGTTCTGCAACATTTGCAAAGGCAGGCAAGACCCAAGGCTGCAGTCTAGCTACGTCGTCACCCCCCCACATTTCTTTTTCCATGGCTCGCCTTACCCCACTGCCTGCCAGCAGAGCGTCAAACCTAGGCGCCAGTCTCTAGAACCCCCGCCAACTAGCTAACTTTCAGCACATGAACCGAGACCACAGAACTCCAAAACTGACCCTCTCTCTCTCTCTCTCTACACCACCACCACTAAATCAAAGGTAGCATCATCCTGCCACCACCACCAACCACAACATCACAGGCCAACCTCCTCTTTTCCTTCCTGCTTCGGGACTGGAACTTCGTCTTTCCCCTCCAGAGTCTTTCCCCATTACCAATCCAGACGGACATCCTCACAGTCACAACTAAGAGCAGTCGATAGCTGCAGCTGTGTTGCCCAAGATGAAGGTTACTTTCAAGGTGCGTCAGATGCGCCCACCACCATGACCCCCCTTTTCCATCACCACGTTCCACCTTGTGTCTGTTGTCAAGGCGCACAAGATATCAGTAATTGAAGTTGACATCTCCTCTTCTGCTCATCAGGACCTCAAGCAGCAGAAATTCGTCATCGACTGCGAACCCTCCGACTTGGTATGCGATTGCCCCTCCCCACCCTGGTCAAACACCCCCAAAACCACCTGGCACCAGGCCAGCGCAACGATGATTTTACCCTTCATCTCTCCTATTGTACTACAGCTGACCTTTGGAATCAGGTTTCTTCTGTCAAGGACAAGATCTCTGCTGAGAAGGGGTGGGATCGCGGGCTGCTGAAGTTGATTCATGCTGGTAGGATGATGGCATTCATGTCCCCAGGCGCCGTGATGCTGCTACAATAATCAACTGACACCCCACCATAGGCAAGATCCTCAAGGATGAGGAGACTGTTGAGAGCTACAAGATTGAGGAGAAGGGCTTTGTTGTCTGTGTTGTGAACAAGGTATGCTCCGCCATGCCAATTCCTCCTGCCTTGTTACGTCCACATGCTGATCAAGACCAACCCCTCCAGCCCAAAGCTGAACCCAAGCCTGCTGCCTCCTCATCTACTCCCGTGCCCGCAACGCCCGCCCCAGCCGCCACCTCCTCCTCCACGCCTGCCCCTCCAGCCGCTCCAGCTGCAACGACCTCAGCGCCCGCTGCTGCGGCCGCGCCGGCGACTCCCACTCCAGCCGCCCGGACTTCAGATGCCAACTATAACGACCCCAACGCCCTGGCCACGGGAGACCAGCGCGCCGAGGCGGTCGCAAATATGGAGGCTATGGGTTTTGAGCGGAGTCAGATCGATGCTGCCATGCGCGCAGCCTTCTCCAACCCTGATCGCGCCGTGGAGTACCTCTTGAATGTGAGCACCCGTGCCGAGACACTCGTTTCGGGGTGGCAAACATGGCTTACGTTTATACACAGGGTATCCCCGATAATGTGCAACAAGAGCAGCAGCGCCCCGCAGCCCCTGCCGCACAGCAGCCCGCCGCCTCCGCTCCCCCGCCAGCTTCCGCCGCTGCCGCTGGTGGTGACGATGGCAACGTGAACCTGTTCGACCTTGCTGCACAACAGGGACGTGGCGGTTCTGGAGCTGCTGCCGGTCGACCTGCCGCCGCTGGTGCTGGGGCTGGAGGTCTGGCCGCAGCTGCGGCTGCTGCTACTGCGCAGGGATTTGGCAATCTGGACTTCCTGCGCAACAATGCCCAGTTCCAGCAGCTCCGTCAAGTCGTCCAGCAGCAGCCTCAGATGCTCGAGCCGATCCTGCAGCAACTCGGTGCTAGCAATCCCCAGCTTGCCCAGCTGATCGCTCAGAACCCGGACCAGTTCCTCAGCCTGCTCGGTGAGGATGCCGACGACGATGCTCCTCTGCCCCCTGGTGCTCAGGCCATTGCCGTCACCGAGGAGGAGCGCGATGCCATCGAACGTGTACGTACCCTCACAAAACAAAAATTCACCTTGGACATGTGAGACTGACCTCTTGCGCAGCTGTGCCGCCTCGGTTTCGACCGTGACCAGGCCATCCAGGCCTACTTCGCATGCGATAAGAACGAGGAGCTCGCTGCGAACTTCCTGTTCGACCAGCCCGACGACGAGGACCCTCCTGCTGCCCAGTGAGGGAGTAGGAGTTCCTATGACCAGCGTATCGGGTGTGTCCGCTTTCTCTTCATTTTCTTTTTGGTGGAGGCATGGCCTTTTGGTAAGAAGATGGAGCAGGCATGAAAAGGGTCTAATTTACATCTACTCCAAGCGTTGGGGTCTACGAATGCATCTGTGTGTGCTCTGCGCAAGGTTGGGAATACACTCGGGTTCCTTTTCGAATGGGCACTTATCTGGAGCTATCATGAAACGCTTGCTATGCAATAACAACAATCCCAGATCATTTCACAAAAAGAAAATGAAGATTCGAGAGTTCCGGTCTCCAGCCTACAATGTATATAACGTGCGAATGGTTGTGCCGAGTCTCAGTATCTCGTTAATCAACAGCCATAGAAATCAGCTTCAGCTGCGGTATACGAGACCCAAGCGGGTCATGTGGTCAACAGATCTGGAACAACTCACGAAGTGAGGGCCAAGCCGGCCAGACGAGACTCGCAAAGCAGAACTTAAGAGTAATAAGAAATTGCTCATTATGGATATCGTGGAGTATTCTCTGTCGTTTAAGTCCTGGGCAAACATAAACATATGGAGTGCGCAGCTTGAGCAGGTAGTAGGAGCGACGAGAAGAGGTGACCATCCATCTACATGCTGGAACCAAAGTCCATACTGTACGACATATTGTCCTGCCATGTACGATAAAGATATTATCTGACCCGGGGAGATGACCTCCCACTCTAGCCTGAGCAAGCACATCGCAGCTACTCCTTTCTGAAAGACACCAACCGGGCTCAACCTGAGCCGAACGCCATGGTGACAGCAGTCAGTGTCTACTTTCATCCTCCCCCTTCATGAATCTCGATGCTGATCCGTAGCCCAACGCCCAAGAAGGTGACAACTAAATCCCAATCCTACTACGCCTTGATCCTGCCGGAACCAAACTTTATTCAAACGCCGAAACCGCTGGCAAATACAGAGGACACCTTGCCACCGCGCCGCCCACCCCTCCCGCCGCGCCCACGGCCGGTTCCACGGCCATACGAAGAGTTTGTGGGCAGGTCGGTCTCATCGATGACATCGGGATCGATGCCGACACCATATTTGGCACCGGGGTTGGGCTCCTCCTTGTGTTTGGCCTTGTCCTTGGCTGCTGCTGCAGAGGATGAGCCGTTCGGGGCGCCACCCATGTCGCCATCCCCGCCGTGTCCCGACTGTTGGCCCTTGCCGCCTTTGTCCTTGCCGCTGATGGGGTCGCCCTTCCTCTTGCCCAGCAGCTCATCCCGCTTCCTCTTGGCTTCAGCGGCGAGCTCCTCCTCGAGGCGCTTTGTCTCGGCCTCGCGTTCCTCCCGCAGGCGGGCAAGCTCATCCTCGATGACCTTGGAGTCCTCGAGACCCTCTGCCCCGCCGACGGCGTCCAAGTCCATGGCGGTGTCTTTCTCCCCGATAATACACTTGTTTACACCGACGGGATTGGCACGCTCCTCGCGGTTGAACTTGAGCTTGATCTGCCGCCTGGTCCTATCGCCACCAAACATCTTGGAAATCATGTTGAAGTCGGTGCCGAACATGCGCAGGCCGTGGTAGAACTTGGCCGTCTCCTCATGAGTCCAGTTGCTCTTGGGCGGCAGCCGCTTCATGTGCGACTGTTGGTTTACGCGGTTGCTGAACTCGTTCTCCTCCCTGACCTCAAGCTCGCCGCGGTTCCTGGCCGCCTCGGCATGGCGGTCGTACTGTGCCGACTCCTCGTTGGCAACAATCTGCCCGTTCAAAACACGGATAGAGATGCCTGTAGGCAGGTCCTGGACCGGGGATGGAGGGGCTTGTGCCGGCGCAGGAGTGGAGCCATTGGGCACCGGCGTGCCGGCCTCTGAGCTCTCCTTGGGTAGGTCTTCACCCTCTTGCAGCTTGCCCTGGTTGATGAGACGCTGTTTCAGGGCGTCGCGCTTTTTCTCGAGATCAGCTTCTCGGATCTTCTGGCCGTCTTTCCATCTCTTGCCCGTCTTGATATCTCTAGTCAGCTCCCCTACGGTCATAGTCATGGGGTCGATCTGAAGATGCTCGGCGTCCTCGGGAGTGACGGATCGCTTGCGGCGCTTCTTCTTTGCTTTGCCAGGCTCGGCATCCTCCGCCTCGGTGTCTTCGACGTCGGGCTCTGGGCCGTTCTCGTCACCATGTTCAGCCGTCTTGCGCTTCCTAATGGGTTTCCGCTTTGAAGTTGCGCTCTCGCCATTCTCAGCCCCTTCTTGCTGAAATTCACCATCCGCCCCGTTCGTAACAGCCTTTTTCTTTCGCGGTGCTCTCTTCTTCTTGGTCGCATCTGCTGCATCTGTGGCGGTCTCCGCCTCGCCCTCGCCCGTGGTGTCCGCTGCCTTGCGCTTCCTGGGTTGTCGGGGTGCTGGCTTCTTGGTCTTTGCAGGCGCTATGCTGGTGCTTGTCTCGGGTCCTTCACCGTCAGCGGAAGGAGTGGATAAGGACAGAATTGCGGGAGGAGGTGCTTCGGGTGCAGTGGTCTCGGCAGCGGACTGTGGTTTCCAGGCCGACTTTGTTCGTCCGGTACTGGTGGTGCTCTTGCCACGCGGTGTGGCTTTGGAAATGGTCGCAGGTGGGGCGTCAGATACGCTGGTCGCCGATGCCACTCCAGGCGCTTGTTCCGCAGACTCAGTAGATTGCTCTGCCTGTGGTGGTGCGCCTGAAGTCTGGGGCTCAGCTGGGGGCTGCGCGGCTCGTGAGGCCTTGGCAGCTGGCGCAACTCGACGCGCCTCGGGGCTCTTGGAAGCTGCCGCACGTGTAGTTATGCCTTGTTCCCTTTCCGTGCTCGTGCTCGTGCCCGTGGATACCACGTCGGTCGCGGCTGCCTCTACAGTTTGCTCGAGTCTTGACTCAGCGGTAGTTGGTGGAGTCACAACGTCTTGCGATGGGCCTGGTGTAGAATCCTGAGCAGGTGATGCGCTTGACTGCGCGTCGACGGCCTGCGAGTGCGCTGGAGACTGTGCAGCCAGGTTTGGCGCGGGCCTCCGTCTGGCGATGGGTGCCTTGGGCTTGAAGGCACCCGCGCCGGGCTTCTTCAACATGGAACTCATCCTGCAGGCTCAGTTTTTTGTTCAACCTCCGTCTTCCAAATGTCTCTGTGTTCTAGCGTCCAGTGGCTTGATCTTCATGGCAACCGATCGTTCATCGAGAGGCCAGTAGTCGATGTCTTAGTAGCTGGTAGCTGTGGGCAGGCAGACACGGGGCGAGAGGGGACAGCAGGCTTCGTACAATGCTGCTTTGGTTGGATGCAGGAACCAAACGTCAAACCGATGCCGATAAAGTCGATCTTTGAACGCGACAGCCAGATTTTGGTGGGGATGGACAAGCACCCCTGGCGACGGTGGGGCAAGGGCTGCTAGTGCCTCTGCATAGAATCGGCAGGGGCTGCTAACAGCCTGATAAGCAACCCCTTCTGCGGCCAGATCGATACTAGCCTGAATCTGCCGCTTAGCGCATTCCGACGCCTGGTTTCTGGTCCAACTCTGCAACTGTCGCTCTGCTCTAGGCGTGAAAACTCTCCTCCATTCTTCCCAAAGCCAAATGTCGGACACTGGCCACAACTCCACCCGTCAACCTTTGATCGCGCACCACCACGACGATATCATCCAGGGCATAGCCAGGCTAACGTGCACTCTCGAGAGCCTCCATGACCGTCTCATCCGCCCGTCGGTCTTTCTGAGTCGCACCGCGCTGGCCCTCCTCTGCGCAGCCTGATTGCACGACCTTTTTCCATGCCTGTTGCCACCTCTCCCTCTGCCCTTTCCCCTACTTCTCCCATCGTCAAGATGGAGGACAGGAAGAGACCGATCAGCAGCGCTGAGGACTTGGCACCCCCAAGCAAGCGACAACAGGTCAATGGAAGCAGCAAGTCGCGTGACGATGCTGGCGACGAGGCCTGGATCGAGGTGAGTTTGACCCCTCCCCATCATTGATCTTATCAGGGACACTGTCTTGCCCTCTCCCTACCACAAATCCACACGCGCACACGTACACTTCTGCACTGGCTATCTACTGTGCACTATGCGAAGATTGATGGCGCCGTTCCTCTGATCCTTGGGGCCCGAGTCACCATGAGCGTCTTGCTCAGTCGTTCAGTGCTAATGCGTGGCTTGCTGGCCTCAGCATGCCGGGCTGTCAGGTCCACAAATGCTCCTTCACAGCCGACGGGCACTCTCCTCCACCTGTCTCTGAATGGTCGCTACACTTCCCATATCATCCCATCGAATATCCCGATCGAACATGGAGGCTGACCTGTTGGGTTTTCAGAGCTATCAAAAAGATGCGATCTACCGCCAGATGCTCGAGTACAAGAGAGAGAAGACGCGTTTGGAATCCCGCCTTGAAGACCTGAGCAAACAGTACGAATACTATGATGACCACCTAAGAATCATTGATGCTTGGTGGTTGCAGGTGAGACGCGGACTCCTCTTTGGTGGGCTTACACATTGCTGACATCATAAAGCTCCTGCAAGAAGTCCAGCTTTCAGCAGAAGGTATCATAACTGATGACAATGGAGGTAGGCCTCTCCCATGGTGGAAACTCCCCCTTTCCCCCTTCTCGCGCATCATTGGTACTGATGAAATAATACTTTCAGATGTCAAACCTTCAACAGGTCTTGGGTTTCAAGACAGCCCGTCTTTTAAGAGTCATCTGTCAGGGAAAGCAAGTAGCATCAAAACAGCTCTCGATTCCCTGTTCCGGCGTCTAGCTGCCAACAAAGGCGACGTAAAGCCAGATATTGCCGACCTCGAATCAAAAGTAAAGACGCTGTTGGCAAAGCAGAAGGAGGACAAAGTCCAGCTGGAGGGCCTCATACAAAAGAAGGATGAGTTGTCTGCAAGTTTGGACGCGGCCATGCTGCGCGCCGTCAAAGCCGAGAAGAAACTCGACAGGGCGAAGAGCGCCCAGGTCCAGAAGATGGAGCAGCAGGCTATAGGTCAGGCGCTCAGCCGTCCGTCCCCAGCTGCAGAAGAGAAGAACGGAACCGGCCCCAGCCCGACCACAGGCAACGACGAAGCACTGCAGCTCAAATATGAGGAGGCGACGGCTGGAGAGACCAAACTAAAGGCCCAGCTGGACGCGGCAATGTCGGAGATCAAGACCCTGAAGGAGGAGAACTCTACCCTCCAAATGCGCAAAGAAGGCACCACGGACGAGGACTTTGTGCGCACGGATGTCTTCAAAGCCTTCAAGGGTCAGAATGAGGACCTTATCAGAAGGGTCAATGATCTAGAGGTCATTAATAAGCAACTACGACACGAGGCTGAGAAGCTACAGGCTGAGCGGTCGTCCTTCCGAACCCAACTGGAGCGCGAGGCACAAGCCGTCACTGCAGATCTTGAGGATCAGATATTGTCAAGGGATCAGGATCTAACCCGGATTCGTTCGGCCAGGGACGAGCTACTCGCGGAGCTAGGTGTACGGAAGAACGCGCAGGATCAAGAGCGCACGTCTATTGAGAACATGAAGGAGCTGGTCGGTGCTAAAGAGGATCGGATCTCGGCTCTGGAAATGGAACTCGAACGACTGCGCCCGGATGCAAACGCCATGCTGTCCGAAAACGACCCCGATCTGGAGGCGCTCGGGCCCGAGGAGCTGCGTCAGCAATACACCAAGCTGAAGAGGGAGCTCGAAGCGCTCGCGCAAGAGCTGCCGGCCATTGAAAAGGCCTACAAGCGTTCCATGACGCTCTCACAAAAGAAGGTCATGGATCAGGTGGCGGCGGAAGAACGGATGTCGATACTGATCCAAGAGAAGAGCAAGGCTGACCAGAAATACTTTGCTGCGCGGAAAGATGCCGACATTCGCAACAACGAGATCAAGACTCTTCGGCAACAAAATGGCAAGAGCTCGGAGATCATTGCGGCGTTGAAGGACCACGATTCGCAGGCTCGCACGCTCAACAGCAACCTGGAAAAACAGCTTACGGACCTGAAGCAATCTAATCTTGCCATTCTGGAGGAGAACCGGACACTCAAATCGTCAACGGCTGATGCGGTCCGTCGGGCCGATCAGGTCAAGACACAGATTTCCGAGCTTCAAAATCTGGTCAAGTCCAAGGATGCAATAGCGATCAGCGTCAAAGAGCAGGCCAATATCTACCAAGTCGAGGTCGAGAAGCTGAAGAAGCGGGTCGATAGTGCTCATAAGGAGCGCGACACCTGGAAGAAGAAGAGTCTGAGCAACATTTCTCCAGGCGAAGAGCTGCTGAATGTGAGTGGACTGTTGGGTCTCTTGGTGATTTTGTGGCGTCTTACTAACGTATGGCACAGAATATTCTTTGGTGTAATGTCTGCCGCAAAGACCGCAACGACAGGGTAATCACGACATGTGGTCACATCCTCTGTAAGAACTGTGCAGAGGATCGGATCATCAACCGCATGCGAGGCTGTCCCATCTGCACCACGAGATACGACAAGAATAATATCGTGCCGATATACTTGACATCAGCAGATGAGGAGACTTGAGAGATTCCCATCCACCGAGACGATGGATGTATTCTCAGACGTTCTTCTGGATCTGTCGACGACGACGGTCGAGTCCAGCGCAGGATTTCCAACTTGGGTGTTATTGAGGAAATTCTCTTCGTTGTTTTAGTACGGATGTCGCAGCTGCAGATTTTTCGACTCAACCTAGCAAAGGGCCCGAGTAGAAGGGGCGGGGTTCTGTGTATTTTTTTTTTTGCCAGTCTCGGACCCAAGCCGTACATACCAATGCTTGAGACAGCACGTCAGAAAGCAGGAAAGGAAGGGCGGGTCATCTGAATTGAGTGGCGCGCGTGGCAGAGTTGTGTGCATGTACATTGAAACTGTTTGACTTAGGAAAGAAACGTACCCACGGCACGGTATAGGCGGCATCGTCATGATCAGGCGGGCCGGGCAGGCAGGCAGGCGTCTATGAGAGTGGAAGCTTGATTACTTGAAGGGCTGTTTCAGGATGGCTCTAGGCATGCAGATGGATATCGGCCAAGATCAAATGAAGCTTTTCTTTTTTTTCTGAAGAGGGAAAAGTAGAAGAAGGAAGGCTGTTGTCTTCAGAACAATGCCTGTCCCAGAGCAAAGCGTAACAGTACAAGTACATTGTGTAGAAGCGTAGTTAGTATAGATGTACAGCAGCGCTCTTCCAAAAGACCTACTAGGAGGGATAGTGATTCTTAAAACTATGGGCTACGTCTATAGCCAACCCTAGCCCTTTTAAGCTTATGGTTATATCTCCATTCACAAACTATGTCTGTAGGTGCATGTGTGCACGTGCGCGCTATGCCATGCACCAAAGTGGTTCTCTCCCTATCAACGCCGACTTGTCGAGCCAAAACCAGTACTCTCGTATCGTGAACTGCTCACTCCCGATCCGCTGCCAGATGATGATCTTTGTGGCGAGTCCGACCTGGACGGAGCAAATCCGCCGCTTGTCCTGGTGCCCCCAGACCCAGGGCTTCCAAACCATGAACTGCTCGGTGCCGGGGCGTTGCTGCTGTTGTTCCGCGCCCGACTTCCCGCGTAGTACCCTGCTGCTGCTCCAGCGGCGCCGCTCAGGATATTGCTCTGCCAGTTGCCCCCGCGAGATGAGCTGCCGCTGCCGCCCCCAGCTGTCCTGGAGCTGCTACCTGTCGACTTCCTTGTGGCGCTGCCTCCAGACTTCCGTGACTGACTCCAGCCGCCACCAGCACCTGGGTAAGGCGGCGGAGGGTCATCCCATCCATCACCGCCGCCGCCGCCGCCTCCTCCACCACCGGTAATGCGACGTGGGGCCCTGGGACGGTTCGGTGCGAGCATCTCCTGCACCAAGGAGTACACGATCCACAAGGCCACGGCACCAAAGACGATCCAGAACAGGGCGACAAACAGCCGGTCCTTACGACTGCCGGCCGTGTCTGGGTTGTCCAAGTGGGAGTAGGGGTTGCCTGCCGCTGGGCGACGGCCCCATTTCTCCTCGCCTAGGGGGGTGAGGGCGAGGCGGTACTCGACGCCGCAGGAGCCCTTGAGGACGTAAGGGTCGTCTGGGCTGGTGTAGCCTTCACAGATGACATCGGTCGAGCCTATTCCTCAGCAGGTGGGAATTTGGTCAGCTTTGGTGGGGGCTGGCTCTCTCTCTCTTTCTCTCTTTCTCTCTCTCTCTCTCTCTCTCTCTCTCACACACACACATGTACGCACGTACCTAGTTTCAGCTCTGGAGGTAGCTGCGCGGTGCAGCTCCACTGGATCTCCTCCGAGTCGTAGCCCGAACCCCTGTTGTCGCAGCGCATGACGTCGACGGGGAACTTGTCGCAGAGGCCCGGGGAGGCGATGCATTGGAGCTGCGGGATGGCGGAGACGCGGCGGTGCGAGGTCTGGCGGTCGGCGCGTAGGGTGATAGACTCGACGTGGGAGAGGAGGATGGCGTCGCGGGGTGTGGCCGCCGCGACGGGAGAGGGCAGGACGGAGAGGAGGAGGATGAGGAATACGCTGGGAGTCATGGTCGCCACGACGGTGGAGGAGGAGGAAGAGGAGGAGGGGAAGGTCGGACTGAAGCGCATGGTCGGCGGGTAAGTAGAAGAAGAAGAAGAAGAAGGGAGGCTTGGTGGTCGTTTCGAGGTTGACGGGGGAGGATGGGCAGCTCTAAGAGGGCTTGACGAGATGCACCCTAGAAGGCTCTGTAGATAGTATAGGATCTAGGAGGAGATCCATCCATCCACCCATGTAAGTAGGCTCAAATGTTTGTCTAAATGAATTCAGGGAGTTTGTTGAAATTTCAATAAAATATGTAAAAAGATAGGTGGCTTGTGCTGTAAGACACACACCCCTGTCCAGCAGCGTGCTTGCCAGTTGAAAGGCTGTGACGTATGTGGGGTAAGAAAGTATAAGAAGCTATGCTGCATCTCAAGGGTTGCATTACCATGTGGATAAGACTCTGCTTACCCTTTCCAGTGAAATACAACAGCACACACTTTCTTCAGGTTTAAGCATGATGTTTTGTGTCGAGATGCACTAGCAATGGCCCATCTCTCATGGTCCCCTCCAGCACCACGAAGCTGCAAGAGAGCATTTTGCCCACCGATATTTTATTTGACAAAGTTGCCTACAGGACAAGTTGCCTGCATTTATCTCGGCCCATGATGTCTCTTGACTTTCTTCCTTGACTTGGTATCTTTCCATCCTTTGGGATGCCCAGACGGCTTCCAAGTTATTTTGACTTGAAAGGGGTTGTCTTGAGAGAAGAGGATGGAAAGGAGAAGCCGAAAACACAGCGATGGGTGGGTGTCCTCTGACTCGAGATTTCTCCCAAACCCGCCCGTCTTACTATTTTCTTAGGCAGCTGAATCTTCTCACTCCAAAATGACAAGACTTGGGATCATTTCGATGTATTTTGTGCCAAGACGGCCTGGCTATGATTTTTTGTAGCCTTCTTGTGAGATGAGAGTAGATGCAACAGGAAATGTTGTTGCTCCTCCCCTGGTCGTAAAGGACAGGCCACGTGTTCTCCGGCTCCCTCCGAAGCCGTTGGAGATGCGGGCCCCGTCCTACTTGGACCGCGGCGGCATGCGAGCATCTGCTGATATTGTATTGGAAACATGCAAAAAAGCCACACACGAGACATTCCAAATAATCTTTACATATATAAGCCCAAAAGCCATTGAGCCACAATGCTACATGCAGTCAGCTGCGACAATGTGATCCTGTCTGCCTAAGTATCTGCGTGACAGACGGGAATAGGAACGTCGGTCGGGAGCGCGCAAGTATCTTCCGAATTCCGTACGTGAAGGGGGAGAAGAATTGCCCGTCCAGTATCGTCCAATCATCATGAGGGGAATGCTGCACACCCATTCCACACTAAGTCTGAGCGAAACCGAGACCCGCTCATGCAAGGCCCGGAGATCTGTTTTTGGGGAGGGCCCAAGGAGGTACAACGTAGTATGGTATATTCCTCCACACATTTCGGATATGAGGGCCTGGGCAAAAGGGCCCGGCGGAGAGGGCCGGGGTGGACACTTGATCTCGCCCGCTGGATCTCACCTTTTTTTTTCTTTCTCTTCTTCTCCTTTTCCGCCGACAGTCATGCGGTGTAGCTGTTTATTTAGAGAGCCTACCTATACAGTAGAGTATGTGTGTGTCTCCGACCGACCATCCGAGCATCCAATCCAAGTGATGACCGCATGAGTCAATGGGTGCTTACACAACAATACCATGTAGACTAGTAGTATGATAGTAAGTAAATAGTACATAGAATTGTCATTGAGCCGCGTTGTTGTGGTGAAACTACCCCGCGGAATTGTTTCCTGGGTGCATCAAGATACGAGGTCAAGTACCTCCGTGGCTTACAAGAGCGGGAACGAACAGAATACTTGCGGTATGACCTTGTTGGGAAACGTTGGGTGAAGTGTTTCGGTAACACAGTAGTATTGCGCCGACACAGCAAATGGCCCGCAAGGAGGTCATCGAGACTCTGCTGAAGAGTGTGTACCAAAACCAACTACTCCGCCTACCATTGACAGTAGTGGCGGAGTCTAGCACAACTGTATTGCACGTCTCCTAACTGTATCTCATGTCCACAATCGCCTGTATCCATCCATTTCGCCAGATTAGGGGGACGGACTCAGTTGGCAGAGCTATGACTCCACGCCGAAAGTTGATCCTACTACCCCTGGGCGGCGATACCCGAACCCATCGCTGATTGGCTTGAGACAACTACACATGCTGTTTGCCTTCCTCCTCAGAGACTTGTCAGCATGCCTCGAGGGATTAGCCAAGAGGATCGGCCAAGAGTCATCGGGATCATATGCAGTACAACATTTGTAGTAATCAGCGGAGTTCGTTTGCCCGTGGGAAGTTGACAAAAGGTGTAGGATTTATCGTGGTAGGAGGAAATATTGGTGAACCACTATGACGGGAGTACTTTATTTGTTGTAGTACTATAGGAAATACATTGCTACCGTATACTATACTGTATGGAAGCAATAGGTAGAACCCCGCTGTTGACCCGCATGCAGCAGCAAAATGACAGGGACCAGGGCTTTCACGGGCTTGGGCAGGTGCCATGGGGCTGGCATGGGTCATTATGGTTTTGACAAGCTTCGGGGTCTCGACTTCGCCCGCTGTCCGAATCTCTTGCTAGCGAAAGACATTACCATGTATCTCCTGTTGCGAATTGCCAGTACTATACGCGCTGCATACCTGGCCCACCTGGCGGGGAAGGGGCCTGGAAAAAAACAAAACAAACAAAGGTGACTTCGATTTGCCATCTTCATCATCACCTCTTTTGCTTGGTGGTCACTACGGATTTCATTCTCCCAAGTCCGAATGTTTCGGGCCCGAGAACCAGTCTTCAAGGACAAAAACACCCAAACTCCCCCCCAACCCGGACGTCACCCACACCATCACATCTCCTTCTCTACTGATTCTGGCCTCTCTTATCTACAAAGCTGCACTTAATTCTTCTTTCTTTCTTCTGATTCTTGCTGTTTTCCCCACATTATTCGCCCTTGACTTGTGCAGCTGTCATAGCAAGGTGCTCTCATCTAATCGACATCCAGCTTTGAGACTCTCTCTCTCTCTCTCATCTCCCGCGCCCCGATCTATCTTTGAATCTTGGAAGATCTGTTGACATCAGTGAAGAAGACGACGACAGGACATCCAAGGAACCCAGGATTACATACACACAACCCTCAGCTTTCATATTTAATCAGATCCCGTGCGCACATCTCCCTGCACTTGTTTATAAGCTTTTTGAAAGCGCGACTCTGGTCGCCCAATCATTGTGCGGCTCGCCATCCGCCAACCAAACCTTTTCACAAATATGGCTGAAGACACCTCAGAAAAGCAGCCCCTCCAGCAGGGGGCCGAGGTTGCACATGTTTTGAAGGAGGAGGAGGACACAAGGACCACAACAGAGGAGCCGTCCCAGCAGACGCCTGATGACAACCCAGCAAGCGAGAAGGCTCAGGAGCAGTTAGTCGACGAGAATGCGGCTGTGAAGATGAGGGATGATTCAAGCCAGGAGTTGCAGAAACTGGACTCTGTCCCCCCAGGAAAGTTGACGGAGAACAAGAACCCCGACGATCCCTTTGGTCACCTGGCCCCCGACGAGGCTGCCATCCTGAAGAGACAGGTCGACACGCCCAACATCAAGGTCGGGCTCACCACGCTCTACCGCTACTCGACGAGGACCGACCTCGTACTTCTCGCCATCGGCTCTGTCTGTGCCATCGCGTCGGGCGCCATCCTCCCATGTATGACCATCGTCTTTGGTAGCCTGCAGGGCACGTTTGCAGGCTTCTTCAACGGCACCGCCTCCTACGACAGCTTCATGGCCGAAATGACCCACCTGGTCCTGTATTTCGTCTACCTCGGTGTTGGCATGTTCTTTGCCACCTACATCTCAACCGTCATCTTCATCTACACCGGTGAGCATATATCGGGCAAGATCCGCGAGCATTACCTCGAGAGCTGCCTCAAGCAGAACATCGGCTTCTTCGACAACCTGGGAAGCGGTGAGGTTGTGACCCGCATCACGGCGGACACCAATCTCATCCAGGACGGCATCAGCGAGAAGGTGGCCATCACCCTGACCGCTATAGCCACCTTCTTCGCCGCCTTCATCATCGGCTTCATCGAGTACTGGAAGCTCACCTTGATCCTCCTGTCCACTGTCGTTGCCATCGTCTTCATCATGGGCAGCGGCTCGCAGTTCATTGTCAAGAACAGCCGAGCCAACATCAACGCGTACGCACTCGGCGGAACCGTGGCCGAGGAGACGCTCAGCTCCGTCCGCAACGCCGTCGCCTTTGGCACCCAGGACAGGCTGGCCACCTCCTACGACAGCCATCTGATCAAGGCCGAGTACTTCGGCGTGAGGCTCAAGGGCTCCCTCGCCGTCATGGTTGCGTTCCTGATGATGGTCATGAACTGGAACTATGGCCTCGCCTTCTGGCAGGGCTCCGTGTTCCTTGTCGACGGCAGTACCTCCCTGTCCAAGGTGCTGACTGTCGCCATGGCCGTCATGATCGGGTCCTTCGCCCTCGGCAATGTCACACCCAACGTGCAGGCCTTTACCACCGCCCTCGGTGCCAGTGCCAAGATCTTCACCACCATCGACCGCGTATCCGCCCTGGACAGCTCCTCGGCCGCTGGCGACAAGCTCGACGTGGTCGAGGGCGAGATCGAGCTCAGGAGTGTCAAGATGATCTACCCCTCGCGGCCCGAGGTCACCGTCATGGACGACATCAGCCTGAAGATCCCCGCCGGCAAGACGACCGCCCTCGTAGGCGCCTCGGGCTCGGGCAAGTCGACCATTGTCGGCCTGGTCGAGCGCTTCTACGAGCCCGTCCAGGGCACTGTGTACCTGGATGGCCGCGACATCTCGACCCTCAACCTGCGATGGCTGCGGCAGCAGATCTCCCTCGTCTCCCAGGAGCCCACCCTCTTCAGCACCACAATCTACGACAACATCCGCCATGGTCTGGTCGGCACCCAGCACGAGAACGCGGGCCCCGAGAAGCAGAAGGAGCTCATCGAGGCCGCCGCCGTCAAGGCTTTTGCGCACGACTTCATCACCGCCCTTCCCGAAGGCTACGAGACGAATGTTGGGGAGAGAGGCTTCCTGCTCTCTGGTGGCCAGAAGCAGCGGATCGCCATCGCGCGTGCCATTTGTTCCGACCCCAAGATATTGCTCCTGGACGAGGCCACTTCAGCTCGTGAGTAACAACAGTCTACACTTGTTCTCCTGCTCCTCCTCCTCCTCTTCTTCCTCTTCTTCTCCACTAAGAAACACATACAAAACACTGACACGTTGACTTTAGTGGATTCGCGAAGTGAGGGTGTCGTACAGGCTGCCCTGGAACAGGCGTCCGAGGGCCGCACGACTATTGCCATCGCTCACCGTCTCAGCACCATCAAGGACGCCGACAACATCGTCGTCATGAGCCAGGGCAAAATCGTCGAGCAGGGAACGCATAACGAGCTCCTAAAAATGGAGGGTGCCTACCACTCGCTAGTCACCGCACAGGCAATCGCCACAGTCAACGACGACGACGACGAATCCAACCCTTCGGAGGACGACGACGAGATCGAGCTCATCAAGAAGAAGACCTCACAGGGAGAGACGGCCACAGCTGTCGAGGGCGAAGGGGGTTTCGAGGCCGACCCCGACGACACCAACATCGCCGCGAGACTCAACCGCCAGGCGACTTCCAAGTCGGTGTCCAGCGTGGCCATGCAGAACCGCAAGGCCCCCGAGGAGCGGGAGTACTCGCTCTGGTCGCTCATCAAGCTTCTCGCCTCCTTCAACAAGGAGGAATGGCCCATGATGGTCGTCGGCCTCTTCTTCGCCGTCTTGTCTGGTGGTGGTAACCCGGTCATGTCCCTCATCTTCTCCGAGATCATTGTCGCCCTCTCGGTTCCCGTCTCGCCCGAGACAATTCCAGGGATCAAGTCCAGCGCCCACTTCTGGTGCTTGATGTATCTCATGCTGGGCTTGGCGATGCTTATCGTCTTCGCGGTCCAAGGTGTCATCTTTGCCTTCGGGTCCGAGCGCATGATTCACCGGGTCCGCGACAGGGCCTTCCGCGCCATGCTGCGCCAGGATGTCGAGTTCTTTGACCGAGACGAGAACGCTGCGGGTGCCCTGACCTCGTTCCTCTCGACCGAGGCCACTCACATGGCGGGCCTGTCTGGGGCCACCCTCGCAACGATCCTGATGTCTCTCTCGACCCTCGTCGCCTGCTGTGTCATCTCCCTAGCGATTGGGTGGAAGCTTGCGCTCGTATGCATCGCCACCATACCTGTGCTCCTCGCTTGCGGCTTCCTGCGTGTCTGGATGCTCGCCCAGTTCCAGCGCCGCTCCAGGAAGGCCTACGACAAGTCCGCCTCCTTCGCCTCCGAGGCCATTACCGCCATCCGCACTGTCGCGTCCCTCACCCGCGAGGACGATGTCATGCACCTGTACCGTGACTCCCTAGCCACCCAGCTCCAGGCCTCCACCAAGTCCATCCTGCGCAGCTCGACCCTGTACGCAGCCTCGCAGAGCCTGCTGTTCCTCGTCTTTGCGCTCGGGTTCTGGTACGGCGGCACGCTGCTCGCCAAGGGCGAGTACTCTCTCTTCCAATTCTTCGTGGTCTTCTCGGAAATCATCTTTGGCGCGCAGTCCGCCGGCACCATCTTCAGCTTCGCGCCGGACATGGGCAAGGCCAAGTCTGCGGCGACCGAGCTCAAGAGACTCTTTGACCGCCAGCCGTCCATCGACACGTGGTCCACCGAGGGCGAGAGGCTGTCCCGCGAGGACAAGTACGCCATCCAGGGTACCATCGAGTTCCGCGATGTCCACTTCCGCTACCCCACGCGCCCAGATGTCCCCGTGCTGCGGGGTCTGGATCTCCAGGTCCGCCCTGGCCAGTACATTGCGCTCGTCGGGCCCTCTGGGTGCGGCAAGAGCACGACCATCGCGCTGCTGGAGCGCTTCTACAACCCGCTCGCTGGCGGTGTATATGTCGACGGGCGCGAGATCTCCAGCCTGAACGTGAACGACTACCGCTCCTTCATCGCACTGGTGAGCCAGGAGCCGACGCTCTACGCGGGCACGATCCGCGAGAACATCATGCTGGGCGCCACGGACCCGGAGGCCATCACGGACGAGCAGGTCGAGGCCGTGTGCAGGGAGGCCAACATCTACGACTTCATCCTGTCGCTCCCCGAGGGCTTCAACACCGTGGTCGGGTCCAAGGGCACGCTCCTGTCGGGTGGCCAGAAGCAGCGCATTGCCATCGCGCGGGCGCTGATCCGTGACCCCAAGATCCTGCTGCTGGACGAGGCCACATCGGCGCTGGACAGCGAGTCCGAGCACGTGGTGCAGGCCGCCCTGGACAAGGCGGCCAAGGGACGGACCACCATCGCCGTCGCCCACAGGCTTTCGACCATTGCCAAGGCCGACTGCATCTATGTGTTTGAGAGGGGCGTCATCGTCGAGAAGGGCACGCACAGGGAGCTCATGGGCCTGAGCGGCCGGTATGCGGAACTGGTTCGGCTGCAGAGCCTGGAGAAGAAGGCATGAAGAAAGGGGGGGGGGGGGGGGATTCTGGAGGGACAGGACATTTTCATCACGTGATGACGGCAGCGATAGACTTTTTGTCTTGATCCTGTTTTCCATGGACATACCATGAAGGGACACACACATACACGTACATATGTATACATTCTCACGGACTGGGAAGAGGAAAATGAAGAGTTCATGGCATCTTGTTCATTGAGGGGCGTTGCAGGTATTGCTTTGGTCTGAAGAAGACATGGAGGACAAAATGCCTTTGACTTTATTCCTTCTAAATAAAAAAAAGAGAAGAGAAAAAAAGAAAAAGAAACCCAAAAAGTAAAAGGGCATCTTGTCCCTTCTTTTTCCCTTAATTACTCCTAAACCTAGTCAACATGTATAGTGGACAAAATTTGATACCCGGTCACATAAATGCTAGACAAGTATTGAAAGTAATGCATCCTTATAGTGAAGGCTTTCTCTCTCACTCTCTCTTTCTTGAAAGGGTGTTTGCAAAGCTAATCTTGGTGGTTCTTAAATTTCGGACTGGGAGACTAACATGACTGGTTCATGGGTGGCTGGATGAGTCTGCTGTGGCGGAGTTATTGAAAATGGTCCACGAAACTATGTCGTAGGCTTACCAAAGGAAGGAAAGGTACACATATATGTTTTATACATTTTGATTTATTTTTGTATATACAATATACATACACTACAATGATATCCACATTTGACACAGATCATGGCACAGAGTCAGAAATACGGCAAGAGTATCCGAGCGAAGAGCATGGCCGATCATGCCCGTTCTCGTTACTGATGAAAACGAAGAAGAAGAGAAAAAAAAAAGAAAGGAGCGGTTGTACATTGTAAGAATGATGGGGTATGGAAGCATGAATAAGTTATTAACTTTGGTGGGAGAGGCGTTTGGTTCCCCCAAGAGGGGAAGGGGGGAAGATGAGGGCCATTGAGGAAAAAGGTTAGAAGAACAGGAAAGGGGAAGAAGGAAAAAAAGAAAAAAACAAGACTGAGTAAAAAGAAAAGGAGGTGTGCGCCGGTCCCAGCAGGTACTAACAAACGGATAATGTCCAGTCCCCCAGAAGAAGCATCTCCAGTTCCTATCTGTCCCATCAATCACTTCATCTACATCATCCCGCGCGGTATGGAAAAACGGCAGCAAGTAGTTTTTACTTGTGTTACATAAGTACTTACAGTTACTAACTACTACTTGCCCGTGTAACCCAAAGATTTAAAATATATATATATATACATATATCATTACACGCGTTCGTTCCAGGCTGTGCGTGAGACATGACAACCCGTCCTCGGGATGTTTTATGCGGTTGACATGGGGTTCCACGACATTGAATACTTGTGTATGTCTCGGCCGTTTCAGGGGAGGGAGTGTAGATTTGTGTCCAACCACCAGTCTTTGTCCGTTGTTGACTTGGCAAGAGGTGGAGAATGAGGAAGAAGAAGAAGAAGAAGAAGCAGAAGAAATGTGTGCCTGTTTCTTGTCCTCCGGCAGGCTATTGGAGCTCAAAGGAGGCGGCCCATTTCTTGATTTTATTTACCTTTTTCGTCTTCTTTTCTTCTTCTTATTGTCGTCTCTTTTCTTCGAGGAAAGGACGGCAAAAATATTATAGGAGGTCGGCCAGAGTCTGGGCAATTCATCCTGGTTCCAGCAGACACTTATAAGAAGAGAAGAAGGAGAAAAAAAAGGAACTCCCCACAATGGCCAGAGCAAACTCACAGCGCAACAGCAGAAAGAATGAACACATGTGCGTACATAGAGCGTCCCCCTCCCCCCTTTTCTCCTTTCTTATCACCCAGCCCCCAAAAGAAAGGAAAAGAAAAAAGAATCAATAGTCGCGTCACCCGTCCCAACCTAAAGATCTTGGCTTCTGCTGGTTCGAATTGGGCTGAGCCTTATCCCTTTAGCCAGCGGAAGAATGGGGGGGGGGTGCTGTGGAGACAACGTTGGGCCGGGTTCTCACAAACAGCATATAATTTTACACAGTCAAGTACATACCATGGTACACACATACACACACACAGAGAGAGAGAGAGAGGCTCATTTTGCGGCAGGCCAAGGAACCACTAGAAAACCTGCACGAGTGCGGCGGGCTGGGCGGCCTGTGTGGTGTGTGGTGGCGCAACGCCAGAAGGGCTAGAACGACCCATGAGTATGAATTGGTGGTGGGCCAGAGTACATTGCATGAAGTGGTGAGACTGAGCACAGCCCGGAAGTGCGCACGCGCGGAGGAAGAATAAGAATAAACTCTTTTCTTACTGCGTCGATGCCATGTTTGGATGAGGCTGCAGAAGCCATCTCTCTTCCCTTGTGTTCTTCTTCTGTCTGTGTTACCGATTCTGGGGGAGGAAAGGGGGGGGGCCATGGGGCGGGGAATGGTTTCCGGAAGGTGGCGGTGGTGGTGACTGTTGACAACCTGGCTAGGCGTGCTGACGGAGGATGAATGGATGGGTCCGATCGTTCTCGATGTGGTGATTGGCGTTCTTGTCTGTCTGCAAATATTTGTAGACGTAGTACTTAGTAACATTATGACAAGCACGACGAGGACGACCCTTTTTTTTTCCCTCTCTTCGTCCCGGGTGTTTTTTTCTGGCAACCCATAGCCTCGGGACCCATCTCGTATGCGATATTGGGACCCACCGACCGTGCACTTGGCGACAACCGTCTATGGGAGATAGCTGGGTCGTGAATGATGTGTCGGCAGGACTTGTCGGTTTCTGATGACGAAGACGCGTGATTGTGGACCTGAAGAACATGTTTTCCATACACTGTCGTCTGTGTGTATGTATTTTCGTACGCACTATGGTAAGTATCGATAGTCTGTATGCATCTCGGCTCCGAAATTCATAATGTGGAGCCTCGCGCGAGATCATGTTGTGCAAGAGAAAAAAAAGAAAAAAAAAAGAACAATGTTGATGATGACATACAATACACCACACCCTTTTTAGATCAGATCCTTTAGGGCTGGTGCTGATACTACTGTAGTATAGTATGTTGTTGGGTGGGTCTCAGGATGGAAGGGCGGAAGGGTGAATGGCGAGGCGAGGGGTGGTGAGCGAGAAGCCCTACGGGAGGATCACATAAGTGGAGGGGATGGTGGATGACCATGTGAAAGCTGGGCACAAGGCCAAGCGAAGACGATAGTGGGACTATGTACTCGTGCTTGATGATACGTAATGTAATGCTGTAGAGTGAGAAAGAGAGGGAGAAGGAGAGGTTGACGCCAAGGCTTGGATCCTGTGCTTAATAAAAGAACAAAAAAAAAAGAAACCAAAAAAAAACCGACAGGAATTTGATCTATCATCAATAAGTCTGTGCTACAGATGGCACGGCTTGTGGGGTGTAGAATGGTGCTGACTTCATCTCAGCCCATTCAGTCACCCTCTAGGCTTCAGCTGCAGCTGATGATGGTCAAGTATGGGTGGACATGGTATGTGAGAATGATCAGAGAAAATGCGAACGAAGGAGTACAGGGCCTAGAAGCATTGATCGTCGGCTCTAAAAACTGGGGTACTAAGCACCTCGTGGGTTTGGCGGCATGCCATGCTGTGGGATGGAGAAGGACGATCCTGATCGACGCTGGCACGTTTTTCTTTACTCGGTGAGCAAGCTTATTCTCCGTTCCTGATTCGAATCGTTTTCTTCTTGATCTCTGTGATTATTAGAATGCCTCTCCTTCTTTTTGGCTCCGCGCTAAAAGTTCCTGCAGGTCAACAGTCTCCCTTCCCTTTCTTCCTTCTTTTTCCCTGTTTCTCCTCTAGAAGAAGACAGAACAAAAAAAAAAAATACGAGACATTGTCTCTGTCAGCCCACTTGATCCATCAGAAATCATGAAATAAGCAAGAAACTCCATACTCCATACACATACCATTAGTACATAGTAATTTGATGATGACTGGTTGGATGATGACTCCCTGGCGGGCGAGTGCTGGCGCGTCCCAATCAGTCGACCTTGCCACTTACGGGCGGGCTCTAGGTCCTTGATGGCTGATGGATTATTGATTTATTGATTTTCCAGCCTGCAGGGTGTCCCGCCCAACGTGACATTTTCCTCCTTCCCGCCTTGCCCCCTTCTGTCGTGCAGCAAGCAGTCAGGGTGTACTTACTGTACATAGTACTGCGGTACGTACTGCTATGTATATGAGATGGCCCCTCCTAGGGGCACTAGACCCTCGGGTTGGCCCCACCTGCCTGCATGTTCAAGGTCCTCCGTCTTATTTTCTGATCTTAGTAAGTACTAAGGACGTCGTGCAATGTAGCAGTGCTCTACAACAATATGCCCGAGTACATGCGCGTGAACACACACATATAGTAAGTTCTGGTCTGAATCAGAATGGAGTCTGACCCAAAAGCCCTCTTCTATTCTTTCTCTTTCTCTCTCTAACATAGTACACACACACACACACACACACACACACACTCTCTCTCTCTCTCTCTCTCTCTCTCTCTCTCTCTCTCCCTCTCTGATCCGATCGACGTTCCATCGCGATCTCCACACTGCCACGGCCAGCTTTGCCAGACTGAGAAGCTGTTTCTGGTATAATACTATTGTAATATGCTAGGGTGGTACATGGATAAGTACGAACTGGGGGACCTCGCATCGCGGGAACGACAGCCAACAGGGGCCGAAAGGTGGTGGTCGCTTGGTTGAACCCCTGACGCTACCGTTTGCTCATTCCCGGGTGGTCCCTGTTTTCTCTACCCTGCCCCATTTCCGCCCTTTGCGTTTTTCAAGCTTCTGGAGCCCTGTAGCTTGGACTTTTCTCATGGGGCCTCTTATCTCTTCATGATTTGCTGTGTGTTTCACTTCGACATCGGATTTTTTGTTTTTTTTTTCGTTCTTGTTTTGTTTTGTGTTGTTCTCTTGTTCTTTGCGACTCCCTCTTTGCCACTTTTCCCACCTCGACTTGTTCAGAGTGAGCAAAGTGTGGGTGAGTGAGGGTGAGGACCAGTTCGATCTCCTCTCTTCCCTTCTCACTTCTCACCTCTTTCGGGTTTTCAGCACAACCGAACCCCTCAAAGACATATATACCCCGACCTGCCAGACCTGCCTGCATACGGTGTACCATATACCAGGTACGGTTCCTACACGCACACTACGCGGGTCCCCTTCTCTGTGCAGGAGATTCGATCCACCTTGGGAGCGAGCCTCTTCCTCCCCTAGTCAGGAACCGGCTCTCGATTTGACACGAGGCGTTCAATACTACGACACTACTCACTTGGTGCTTAGTACCATAGCAGTACACCCTTTCGACCAGAGACCCCTCTTCCAGCCGCCATTGCAACCCTTACAGTCTCCCCCCCTCCCTCAGTAAATAGATTCATCTTCTTACGCCCCCGCCCGCCTCTCACCTGTCGTCTTCTGACCGGGCCTCTCCCTCGGTATTCCGGTTCCGCAGAGAGTACCATAGTACTGCGCAGTCCTTGTCACCTCTCCCTCTGTACCCTGCGACTTGCGTTATCGTCTCTCCTTGGTATTTTTATTGCCGGTCTGCCGCCTCCCGTCGGCTTCGAGGACTCGCCGTGCACGGCACTTCACTTCATCTGGTTTCTATCCACAGGAGCGGTCAAAACCCGGCTCTCTCTCTCTCTCTTTCTTTTGCCCTCTCTTGTTCTACCTATCTACCTTCACCCCCACAGGTGATCACCCCTTCCAACATCGCTTGCCACGAGCGTGTGGCCCGTTCATCTTTTCGGAAGAAATAGACGAACGTACATAATATAATCTTTACCAAGGAGACTGCGAGGCCTGTGCTGCGGCCTATACTGCCAAAGGGAAAAGATCTGCGACCGCCGATATTGACGATCGCTGACAAGCACGCCGCGATCAGCATCAACGGGACGATCCCCCTCCCCACCGGTCCACCGTCTCTCTCGTTGCACACATGTTGCATATTAATAGTGTTACTGCCTCATTATAATCATGGCCTCCTTCAAGCCTCTCGGTCACCGTCGTCTACCTGCCGTAACGGGCGTGGTCACAACCCCTCTCAAATCTTGTGCAGCAACAGCAACAGCGCACCACAGACCACGGACACGATGGGCAAGGACATTGGCCATTGCGTTGTCGTTCGCGGCCGTGGCCGTGGCATACCAGGTCGACGAGCTCCCGGAGCCCACAGCTGTTGCAGATCTCCAGCTGGCCGCTCTTGACGGAGTTCCGCAGCCGACGCCGACGTCAGATCCTATACCTGCGGCGGCAGAGGTGGAGAAGATGGCGGAGGAAGGAGTAGAAGAGGCAGCAGAGCTTTTGATCGACACGCGGATACGGGTGAAGAATGAGGGCGTGTGGACGGTGCTTCAACCGGAAGAGCATGAGCTGAGGAGGCGGGAGACCGTCTCCTCGACGTTCAAAATCCCGGTATCGACCGAGTCGTCCACGACCCTGAAGACCTCGGCAACGAGCGAGGCGAGCTCGAAATCAGAGACCTCGACCAAGACGTCAGCCTCGTCGACGTCTACCTCCACCTCCACCGCGACCGTCTCGACAAGCCCGCTACCGAGCTTTTTTGACGGTGGGCTGTCGAGCTCTTACGTCTCCTCGACCTGCCCGACCTTTATCGACAACATGATCGCGGCTGATGAGTTTCAGGCCTGTTACCCCATCTCGCTGCTGCTTCAGGTGAGTGCAGACCCCAACTCCTGGGTCGCATGTTGCTCCTTTTAAAAATTTTTTTTTTTTTAAAAAATCCCCCCACATACTAACCACCCAACTGCCAGGGCTCTACTTCGTTCTTCGCCGCTGAGGAGTCCCTCGTCACTATCTCTACAGTCCTGGACCACGCCTGTGCAGCCAATGTCACCAGCTGCGCGACGTACCTAGCGGATGTGGCCACAAACCTGACCAAGACCGAGAACTGCGGGGATGACTACGACGGCGGCACCTCGACCGTGGTAGATGCCTACATGGGCCTGGTCGCCTACCAGGTCGTGTACAGCGCGACCTGTCTCAAGAACGACGACACCTCTGCCTACTGCTTTGGCGACGCTGTTACCAACTCGACTGACCCTACCGAGACGTACTTTTATTTCCTGCCTCTCAACTCAACGCTGCCCGGCAGCACCGTCCCCAACTGCGGAAGCTGCCTGCAGGACACCATGAGCATATACCACGTCGCCACCGCCAACAGGAAACAGCCCATCGCCAACACCTACGTGAGCGCCGCTCAGGATGTCGATGTCATTTGTGGCCCGACCTTTGCCAACACCACCCTGGCCGAGGCCATGACTACCAGCGGGGCTTTCTCAGCACTACGCCAAGGGTCGTGGTCGTCATCGTCGCCGTGGTTGTTGATCGTTACGACGTCTGCGGTTTTGGCCATGAGTTGGCTAATGTAAAAGTTTTCGCATTGAGAGACGAAATCCTCCTCCTGATGCAATGCCCCCCGGGATATGAGACTCCCTCTTTCTCCATTCTTTTCTTCTTCCTCATTGGCTGCCAAGCTAAAACAAACTTACGACTATACACCATCTATCTATTGCACTCGCGGTCACAGAAGCATCACTGTTCTGTTTTCTTGTTTAATTTTTCGTTCTTTCCCTCCTTTGGTTTTAGATACCCTCTCGCGATGGACTGTTTTCCTCCGCCCACAACCTTTTCCTTTCAAAGAAGTCGGCACACGACTGTCTCACTCAAACTTTTCTGGGCTGGCGTTCTCAAGGGATTCCGGAGGCTTTATACCACAAGCAAAAGCAAGGCTTGGATGATTTTTTCATGTCCTCTCCCTTTTCTTTCCTCTCTATATTCTTCTAGGGCAGCAAGATTTTGCTGAAGTGGGCGCTTGGTGTTTGGCCAGGGACAGTTGGGCAATGCTGGCTAAATGGGCCGACCAAGCCCTGGGAATGTGATAAGGCTTTCGAGGATTATTTTGGGGCGGACATATTTTTTCACTGCTGATGATCTCTGTAAAGGTATATTTATGATATACATCGTATAAATAGTATTTGATAATTATCTCACAAAGCCTCAAAGGTGTAGAAATATGCGAAGAAGGTGATGCCTGTTCTCTAGACGGACCTCTTACCACACACACACATACACACACACACACTCTCTCTCTCTCTCTTTGTGTGTCCCTCCTGAAAATGGAGATTGGTCGTTGCTTCTTGGTTGTCTTCACGTTGAGCAGGATAGCAAGATAGAACTTGAAGTCTGTTTTTCTCTGTCCAAATATGCGTCGTGGGTATATACCAGGTACGTAGCACACGCTTGGCTGGGATAGATACCGAGGCACCAAAATCTCGCCCTTGGACCAGTCTCTCAGCCATAAACTCCGACGAGTGTTCTGCCCATGAACGCTCTCCCATCACCGCCGCACCAGGAACCCCTTTCTCGCACCACTGACACCTCCTGTCCTCCCGCGGGCCAGCAGCATGTCCCTCGCATTCCGACTGTACTTGCCGCCCTTGGGCGCAAGCTTCCCATCGCCCTGCTTCTTCATCACGCGGTACACTGCGTCCCCGAGGCGCTGATCCACCGGACGTCGGGCCTCCGACCTCGTCACCTGGCGGGCGGCGGTATTAAACTTGATTTTCCTGGGACGCGAGGCGGCGGCGTTGTCGTCGTCGTCGTCGTCGTCGTCGTCGTCGGCTTCAGAGTCCGAGGCCAGGAACTCGTCCGGCAGCACAGCGGGCAGGTTCGTGCGCCTGTCGAGGCGCTTGCGCGAGGAGGTGGTTGCGGTGCTGATGTCGGGTAGGCGGTGGTGACTGTGGTGGCTCTCGCCTGCTGGAGCTGGTGCGTCTGCTTGTGTTTGTGCTTGTGCTTGGGCTCGGGCGGCGGTGGCTTGCTGCTTTGTCTTCCTGCGCTCCTCGGTCTGCTTCTTGAGCCTCGCGTCGCGCTCCTGTCTTCTGCGCCGCAGCTCCTCCTGCTGCTGCTCTGCGGCTCGCGCGGCGGCCTCTGCGGACTTGGCAGCCTGGGCTGCTGACGTGGAGGTAGAGACGGCTTCGGGCGCCTCGTCGTCGCTGTCCTCTTCTGCCTCCTCTTCTCGTCCCTCTTCCTCTGCCTTCCCACCGGCTAGCCGCGCGTCGAGAGCGTTCCGTGCCGACCCCTCTAACGGCGTATAGAATTCGCTCGGGCCCTTGCCGCCATCATCATCATCGCCGTCGTCATCGTCGAATCGGATATGTTTCCCAGTCGCAGGCGCGGAGATGGGGATTTCTGCCTGGATGTCGCTGCGCTTTAGGGACGACTTCTTCCCTGCAGAAGATGTAAAAGTCGCCTCGGTGGTGTGACTGGCCACTCTGGGCTTCTTGCTCTTCTTGCTGCTACTGCTTGCTGGGGCTGACGTGAGCCCGTCTTGAGGGGCCTTGCGCTTGGGTGTGCGGGCTGAGGGGGTTGCCGTTACTGCTTCTGTGTCGGACTCTGCGTCTGCCTCTGGGGTGTTTTTGTCATCGTGTTCGAGGGCTGGTTCTTCGACTGGGAGGGTCACGGCAGGTGGAGCGGACTTGGGCGTTGTGACCTTGGACTTTGACTTGGGCGTCGTCGAAACGGCTTGCTTGGAACTCGGGGTCGAGGTTGCAGATCTGGTACCCTTGGCCATAGTTTTTGTGCGTGGCTGAGTCCTTTTCGTGGTCCCCTGTGGTCTTTGTGGAAAAGAATGATAGAGATTGTTGCGAGCAATTGGATGGAAGAATGTTCGTTGATTATCAAGGCGAGAAAGCAGCACTATCCTGCCTCACAAAAATTTGTACTGGCTGTTGTTGATGTTGATGAAAATCTGAACTTTTTTGTTATCGATATGAACGGGGGGTCCCCCGGATGACTAAGTGCAGTAAGTCTGAGCAGGGTTCAAGGTTCATACTTGGTCAGCCTCGTTGGACCTCCTCCTTCTTTCAACGTCGCGGACCTCAGACACGGTTTTAGTTGGAGGCGCATACAATTTTGTGATAACATAAAGCTTTACTTTTTCAGACTTGACTCGATCTATTTTTCATGTTGGCAAACTGTTTTCAACCTCGTGACAACCACCATTCAGAATCCAAGATCCTCCGGGCTTTGGAGCGTGTCTTGTCGTCAACATTGTAGGGTTACAACAACGTGGCTGACCAACTTTGAGATTCTTCGTCACACCTGTCACAGCATGAAAGATACTAGTTAAGGGTACCTTGATTGATAGCTCGGATCACGTTGTACGTGAAAAGGGGTGAACGGGCGTGGTAGTACAGAGTAGCCGTCGCATGTGGGAGGAAAAGCGAGGTTGCATCCGGATGCTATGTGAGCTTTGCATCTCAGGACTGGAAGGTCAGGCTGTGCCGATTACCTTGGCGGACGGTCTGCCAGCTAGTTGGGCATTTGGCGCTCTGTACAATCAACAGAAACAGAAACAGGGCGCTGTAGCCAGAGGAGTGGTGACTTGGGGAGTCGTAGGTCGGGTAAATGATATGCCTATTCTCGAAAATTACGTTCTACGAGCGGAAAGCAAAAGGTCTGGGAGGCTTGAACACGTCAAAGGGCAGTAAATACACTTTGACTACTCCCTCGGATGATGAGGTGGCTTATCTCCTTGTGAGTCTGGTTCATCCAGGCTCTGGCCACCATTCGGTCCCAGATGACATTCACATTTGCTATCAGGGCCCTCTCTCCCTTTCCAGGTCTTGTTGCATTCCAATTTTTCCCCTTTCATCCGCCTCGCGTTCTTAAATTGGGTACACCAGATATGCTTCGCCTGTCGCGGGAAACAGGATGTATTATCAACGCACCACAAAATTGCAATGTCCCGATTCGGCCATTTTCAACCCCGTATGTCAGCCAAGGCTGTGGGATCAATGCATTTCTGAAAACTCTCGGCTGGGCAAGAGACTATTGCGATAGTTTGGGGTTACTAGAGTTGGCCCATCGCCCAAAAGAAAAGTCTCTGGGATCCATCAACAGATGAGCTTTGGCTGAATGTCAATTTGAATACGGCTGATCTGTCTCATTTATAGTCCATGGACACCTTTCTAGTCAATGTGATCAGCAAAGCAGAGCTCATGGTTTTCTTCCATTCATTCTCCTAATGTGGTTCAGTCTGTATTAAATTGATCTCATTATGCTTAATCACTCAACCACCACCCCCCTGCGGCCGGGTATTTGATGACCGGCAGGCTTTGATCGCCAAGATTCGACATGGCTCTTCGGCTGGACATGCTCCAGATGAAAGATGAAGGTGGAGTGGAAATATCCAGAAGTACATGGGACTTTCCAGGTTCGCCTGGCCAGTACATATGCTCCGTACCAAGCGAGTGAAGCCCACAGACCACACCTCCTCTCCGGGGATTGACCCCGTTCGTCTTCCAAGGTTGTACTGCCTCGGCCAACTTTGTCTGCTCAAAAAGCTCCGACTGGTCCACCCAGGTGTTCCATCGAATGGACAGGTCTACATTTAAGTGGCGTTGAGCGGGGACACGACCGGCACATTCGGCACACGATCCACATTGCGAAGTATTGTGGCTTGGATCGAACTTACCCAGGACGGTGAATGAGGGCGAGTTGAGTGATACTTCGGGACTCTGCCGAGAGTGTGTCACACGAGAAATGACTGGATACACAACAAATGACCTTTTCCTTCCCCTAGGGGTAGGAAGGTCTTGCACCGTAATGTACAGCAAAACGGATCACGATTGCTATCACATTTGACAGCCGAGGCGCGGCGGGCGAGGCCGCTAGGCGAGACCGCATTTGTGGTGCCAGCGCAGCCGTGCGTTTACCCACGACAGACAAGAAGTGTTATTGATGGATGGCAGCAGCAAGCATCAAGAACAAGGGGTACTGCGCCCACCCTTCCGCCCCCCCCCCCCTTCTGAACACCTACAGAATTGCTGGTAGGGGTGGGAACATTGTTACCGTGCTGCGGGTACGAAGAAAAGCCTAAATGGTGATGAAATAATATAGTACGTAGCAAGTATGTACTTTGCGTATGTGTGGTGCAGAATCCAAGGTGGTTGTTCCCGCCAATAGTTCCATCATTATGGCCGAATGCCACCCTCTCAACCTCGGTTCAGGAGAAAGGTGGCCTGATGCATAAAAGCACTTATGAATAATACCTACATAGAAGTAGAGCCCTGCTGGACCACCAAGGCGCGGTGGATAGGTCACAGTGGGTAGTCGTCTGGCTGGCTGGCGGGCGGGCGAACACAGGGGGCAGAACTTTGATGAGTCAGTCTGATGGCAACTTGGAAAGGGCTGGAACAGTAATGAGTGTCGGTGCAGGGTCATGGCCTGGTCAGGGTGACCATTCCATCTTCCTGGAGAAGACTTTCGAATAAGACAACAACAACAACAAGAAGAAGAAGAAGAAGAAGGGCAGAATGTGTCAGGGAGGTGCGATTAAGCAGTTGGCCCAAGCTCCTCACTGAGGGGACGGCCCCACTTGCCGCCAGTGGGCCCATCTCGTCTGGAGAAAAGGAATTGGTGCCATTGCACCTTGTTGCTTCTCTTTTCAGAAGGAACATTTGGTGCTGCCCTAGCCTCATTCAAGGTTGGGCAGCCCCTGTCTTGAGAAAGTCACTTTAGACGACCTGGAACTTTTGTTTTTTCTTCTTTTTCTTTCTTTTTCTTGTGCACGTTCATCCCAGAGCCCAAGCCCTTCATTTCCTCACCGCTCACTCTATGAACCTGGAAGAAACTGATACCCCCTCCTTTATATATTTCCTGAATTCTGCATGCTTACAAAGAAAATGCAAGACCGATGCAGACAGTTATCAGAGCCCCGGTCCTCTTGAAGCGGAACACCAGATGTACTCCTGGCCGCCTCACGGAAAAGCCATTTTGGGATTCAAAGGCCACCAGAGAGGCTGACTTCAGGACTCATCGTCATGGACTCGCTCATCAGCACATTCTCATGGATGGTGTGTGGATGCTCTGCCACTGAAGTAACCCGGCTTACGTCTTGACATTGGATGGTTCACACTGGAAACCCAGATATCTGGAACTATTACCATCACGGACTTCCTGGCCCATGCAACCATATCTGTCACTGCAGCGTAGCATCACAGCTGCAAGTTTGCCTAATCATGAAGGGGGCACATAGAATACTACGTACTGCACCTGACCTCCTTACGAGGCTCAGACTAGGCTCGCCTCCTATTTCACTACTCGTGAGTGCACTCTCACCGAGTCCTACAGCCCTCAACCTTGGAACCAGGGTTCATCATTTTCTCTCTTTATGATGAAACAGAGGGACGAGTGGGGAAACAGGGTCGGCTGCAAGAACAGTCCCCCGGCCCTACTACGTCCTCGGATCGTGTTGAGGAGCAACGCAATAGGGCGCCTCACATCAAGGCTCACCCCCCTCCAACCTACAGATTGCCAACTGCACAAGACGTGTTCCCGCCGGATCTGGTCTCCAGTACCGGTGTGCTTAGCGACGGGATGCAGCTTGTCATCATATTGCACCTCCCATGGGCCATGAGGTGGTGTTATGGAGCAACGATCTGCGTGGTCTAACTCGGCCCATTGGCCCTTTTCGAACATTCTATCAACCTGATCTACGGACACGACCACCTTCAAGCTGCAAGATACTGCAACATGGTTGCCATCTCATCACAGCACTGGAAGCATCCACGCATCGTACCCAGCAGTCATGCCGCACACCATCAGCTCTTGAACACAACCAGGGCCCCCTACCCCTGGGGACCGACCCTAGATGCCGGCACAGGTTTTCCATTACCGTGTCTGATGTTTCCTGGTAACCCAGGAATGAGGACTGCACAGACTACATAAGTTACGTATCCATTCGTACCCCATGCAGTGAGTTACTTCCGAGTTACAACACCTTTCATGTCGCTGTCCATGTATGAAAGGCTAACGTGGGGCGAGCATAAATGAAAGGTGCTCACAAAGCTTCTACAGCAACGAGCCCCCCCCCCCCCTTCCCGACATGTCTACACGGCATAAGAGTTGAGCTATAAGCGCCGCAATGTGAGATGTCTCTGGATAGTTTCGAACAAAGTGCGTTTTCATGGCGAAAAGCAAGAAACAAATCCTCGAACAGGGCTATCCATGGCGGTCATCAAAGGGCTTTAAGGAATGCTGAGAGGCTGAAGATGGCGCGAAGTAATGGCATCCCCTGATAAAAGCCGGGGGCTCGGACCGTGTGGCCCAGCCCAATCTGACACATCCAGCCTTTGACTTCGCCAGCCGGGCCAGGCAGATACTTATTCATCTATGGTTATTGTCCCATGGGACAGACCATGGGGCGGTATCCGTGTCCGATCTCGAAGGACGACGGCCCCATCTGGCCGAGATAAATGGACGTAGCCAGGTCACCTGTGACAGTCGCAGGACAATCTTTTCAGAAAAAGGCGGCACGCCGACCGCCATTACTGCCACTGATGTCACTTAATTGGCTAAGGTGCCGCCCGAGGGATCCCACGCTGCTCAGCTTTGATTTGCCCGGACCCTGTGCCGTGAATCGACCGATCACCCGGTTGTCGAGGCTTCCTGGGTTTCTACAAGATTCGAAGACGCCAAATCCCTCCACGATGGGGGGTTGCAGCTCAGACATGTAGGAAAGCAAGGTCTAACCCGCTGGTAGTCCCGGTCCCACTGGACGCTGCATACATTTGAAGGAGAAATGGGGTGGGGAGGGTGGATTTTCAGTGCATATGCATGCATACGGCCACTGCCCTATCAATGGTAACCTGGATCCTAGTAACAGACCCGTTGCCGGGCTTTCTCGCTCACATTCAAAGCACAGCAGGTACTTTGGGGGTAGCCTCGCGCACATAAATCCTGGTACTTGGAACTTAGCCCGACTGCAAGCTCCTACAGGTGGCGTGTGCTGCACGGCACCCCTGCCCTGCCCGCCTTTTCCCACTGCACATGCTGCACCTGCACGGCTTGGGAGAGGCAGAGATGAGCAGCCAACGCATCGCCGGCCGCAGTCGCTTTCCCATCTGACCAATACACCCCAACCTGCAGGAGATGCTGCTGCTGGGTCGACGGAGAGGCATGCCGCTGTCGAGCCACCTCTCTGGGTGTGCAGTCTTCTTGGCCTCCAACCCATTGTTTCATGCTCAGTACATGTTCAGAGGGGATGGGATCTTCCCACAACGGTACAAAACCAGGTGGTCGCCTGTGCAGGACTTCTCAGAATGCTACTAATCACATCACTGATGAGATCCCTTATAGCACATACAGCATGTCCTCCCGGGCTGGTACGCCACTGCACGCCGCTCATCTGGGATGCCGCCTCATCACAAACACTTGCGGTGGTACCCTGCGTGAGCCTGGGGGCTTATCGGCAGAGGACGCCATCAATGATCAGAATCAACATCGCCTGTTCCGGTACCAGCTGCATTTCCCTCCTCACCCCCCCTCCTCTCTCTTTACGCAAGCCAATCTCCCTGCGTATATCCTCCTTCGCCATAGCTGTCGCAGGACTATTCGTCTCTCGGGTTCAAAAGGGCTGACCAGGCCTCCTTCACCGAGTCAACCCTTTTCATGTCGACGACAGCTGCTTCATTTCTCTTTGACATCTGCGTCCTCCCGCTTTCCCCCTGCGAGGACGCGGCCTGTACATACCGCTGAGGGCCAGGGAATTGACATAGGAGGATATCTGCTCTTTGGGCAAGTCACTCGAAGCGGCTATATGCAGACTGCCCTTTACCTAATACCAACCCCTGTTTTCTTGTCCACCCACGCCGACGTTTTACTTTTTCGACACATAATTCCGCGAGTGTACCCAGGGCTGTATCATGATCTAGACCCCCAAGACACAGCAAGACGCGGCGGGAAAGGGTCACACACAGTGACTCGCGTCTGGCGCTACGTGTGCCCTCAATGTATGGACCCCACGCCGGCGTCTTCCTCCATCGCTTAGAGTTGCTGGATTTTGCGTCAACGGCTCTCTCCGGCGCGGATATTTCATCGTCCCAGATCCCAGGACCACTTAGTGGTACCACAACACACAATCTCGGAATCAGCATGATGGGAGCTATGGCCAGACCTTGGAGCCAATGGCACCACGATCCGGTCGAGGAGCCTGACCAGAGCTCTTCTTACCCAGGCTTCAGAGCAGGTGCAGGCGAGCAGCGGGCTCCTCAGCTATATACGCCGCCGAACCTCCCCGCGAGGCTGCCTTTACCCCAACCTACATTATCGTATCTGCCCCGGAGAGAGTCGGCGCAGAGCAGCAGCCATGGAACCACGCCCTCCCCTCTCGAGCGACCGTCGCCGACCGGCCCCCTCGCTTTTGGTGACCCCCACCATGTTGCTGCTGGGACATCGCGAGGCCCGTATCACGACTACTGGAATCCGCCGTCTCAGGCGACTGTTTCTGCTGTGAACGGCAGCAGAAGCAGTGAAGCCGACCCGTCCCATCATCCTGCTATGTACGGCAGGGGCTATGCGGACTCACCTCACCCTGCTGCTGTGTATAGCAGAAATGATGCGGACTTGTCGTCTCGTCCTGCTGCATACGGCAGAAGCGACACGAGCTCATCTCAACTCTTGAGACCTACACATGCAAATGAGATTCTGTCAACAACAGGTCACTACGGCTCCATGAGGACCCCTCCACTGGCGAACTTGCCAGGAAGCCAGCCAAACACCTATTGCCCAGCGCCTCCGAGTTCCAATCAAACTCGATCACCTGAGGATTCGCGGCTCAGCAGTCCGTCAGAATCCGCCTTCGTGCCCCGGCCCCAAGAACCTCGCAGCAATATGGCCGTGCAGTCACTGCTCAACAATGAGACTATTTCGGCAAAGGCAGCAGGCAAGGCACCAATGCCACCTGTGCCAACGGTGCCAACGGTGCCCACGATGCCAGCGATGCTCACGATGCCCACGATGGCCGCGACAAACCCACCACCTATGGAATACCGTGTTATCCTACGACAGCAGCCCGTCAGCGCCCGGTCTTGTGGATTCGGCGACAGGGACCGAAGAGTCATCGACCCACCGCCCATCGTACAATTGTTCATCACAGGCCCCAGTCTCTCACATTATGAGATGAGGCAGAGATTGAGGAACCCATTAAACATCATCCACTGCTCCATATGGAGCGAGGATGGTACCCAGGACCTGTCGGGAATGCCTGAGGAATATACGCGCCAGAAGCGACTGATGGGCAACCTGGTGGCCTCCCCATTTGTGGGTTACGACGAACATGACCAAGAGGGCTGCTTTTTCTGTTTCCCGGACGTTTCGTGCAGGACGTCCGGTCGGTATCGACTCAAGTTCAGCCTCGTCGCCCTCAATCCGCGGCCACAGACCAAGTCGCCCGTCAAGGTTGAGGTACTATCGGATGTGTTCCAGACGTTCAATGCCAAGGAATTCCCCGGCATGTCAGAGTCGACTCCTCTGGCCAAAGCTCTTCGGGAACAGGGCTGCAACATCCCGACCAAGAAAGGCAACGACGGGAGGGACTGGAGGAGGAAAGACAGCGGAGACTATTCGGACGAGGGCGGAACTTCCCGCAGGAAGCGGACGAGAACCAGCCAGTGACATATATCCTTTCAGACTCTTTGTCCTTCTCCTACCTGAAGGCTGAGCGGCCCACGCTCCAGGGTGTTGTTGCTCCCGGGGTCCTTTCCCGAAGTTGACCACCGGATTCTTCACACGTTTCTTTTCTTACCTGAAGCATCGGGTTTCGACGCTCATTTACGATATCTCATCCGGCTTTTCTCTTCATACCATATCACACATTGTGTCTCAAGTCTTCATGAACTCAGCTCATCAGTGGTACGACATGGCGTTATATATAATTTTCTTCCCGTCTTTCCTTTTTTTCCTTTTCTTCTCTTCGGGATTTAGGCGGCATCATATCACACGAGACGGAGATATTGGCTTCATATCTAAAAAGCAGGAGGGTCAGGTTGAAATGGAAACAAGGCTAAAGAAGCAGCAACAAATCGACGGCGCTAAAATATATGGTTCGTACAATGATGAAATGACAAGGGCGTTGAGACAGTGGAACAAAAGTTTATACTTTGAGAAGAGTGATGCCCATATATATATATATATATCTGGACAGCGGATCTCATATCGACGGCCACCGGTAAGATTTCTGGAAGAGCTGCAACAATGGAGGGGAGAAAAAAAATCCCTTCGCTCGCATATCAGTTGAGTGGCTTGGGAATTCCCCTCAGCGGGATATGAGACATGAGGTTCGGGCATGACTTTCACGCAAATGGCGCAACGTAATCAGCTCTCTCCTTTTTTCCTAAGCCCTTTTATCAATAGATGGGAACGAATTCTGTTTTTTCCCCTCTTAACTTTCTCTCTAGTAAGTTGTTTGGTCTTGCGCGTGTTGGACTTTGAAAGAAAAAATAAAGCGAATGCTAAACTCCAGAGAACTATCGAGGACGCCTGCCCTCCGTCATCATAGATGGCCGACACTGTGCCTCGAAAACCTAGAGGGCATATGCAACAGCAAACCCAGGGAAGAGACTCGGATTCGACGCCAGTATGGGATACGCCTGATGAGCGCAGTCTATGCATTCAGGTCTAGATCGACCTCAAACCAAGGGCAAAAGCCCGTGATGAAACAATACAACCAATTCATGCTCTTCTCGTTAACGATGAGCACAGCATTTCCGCCCCGCCCCGTCCCGTCCTTTGACAGTCTCAGAGCTTTGACTCTACTGCCTGCCTCCCCACATGGCCCATTTCCCTTTCCTTTCCTTCTCTTTCTTTAGCTCCTCTTCGGTTCGAAAGCTGAGATTGTCGTCCTCCCCCCGCCTAGCCTCCCTAGCCTCGACCGAACGCCTCCTCGAGTGGCCGTCCCAGCACGGGTAATATATTGAGCAGCAGAGCCTATCGATACCTAATCCGGGTGAAATCACGCCCTATTGAAGATACTATTACTCGAAAAACCAGGGAAAATGACGTCCATTTGCATTAAACAGCTCTGCACCCCCTCTTGCCGTTGGCAGGCAGCGAGGTCGCCCAGCTCGCCGATGTCTCACTTCTTGGCTCCCATATCGACTGATGTCGGGGGGTGTGGGGGAAATAGAGACCGCTCTTCTCACACACACTCTCTCTCTGCCGCTTGTGATTAGTCACAAAAGGGAGATGAAGCATGCATAAAATGGCTAAATTATCTTCGAATGCAGGTATGACGATCAGAATATCAACCTGTAGTCGTAGAGGGGGGGGACCAAGCTTGCTTCTGTTTTTGTTCCCCCCCCCCCCCTCTCTTCTCCCCCTTGGTTTACCAGAACACTGAACGTAACAAAGACGGGTGAACTTGCAAAGAAAAAAACCAGACGACTTTCTTCGAGTCTACACCCCCCTTCACGAAAAAAGAAAAAAGAAAAAGAAGAAAACCAAGCAAGCAGAGTCCGAGTGGTTACTCAGGGAGCGGTCCCTAGTCACGCGCCTTTTCCCCTGTCCAGGTTTCTCATGAGCTGCTCGCTTTTACAGAGCGGCTTCAGCTCGCCCCCTTCCCACTACCTGCCTGTTTCCCGATAGCACGACGCCTCGCCTCACTAATAGTACAGACGTGGCAAGAAAAGAAAAAGAAAAGAAGAAGAGAAAGAGAAAAAAAACCAAAACCAACTAAGGCCGGAGCGCATGGCGTTAGACCGGATCGTATGAAGGATGACATGGAGGGGTAAGCCACCCGATCTCGCCAGTGTATCAGATATTGATAGTCCAGCCTGCAAGACAGACAACACCAGTATTATTATTGGCTTAAAAGGTTTTTTCTTCTTTTCTTTTTCTTTCCCCGGTGTTGGGGAGAGTCCCGTGCTTTGGTTCCCGCTGGTGCGTTGCTTTTGATTTGCGTGATGGGGATTTGCAGAACAGCTTTTACCACGTAAGCCAGCCACGGCCTTATATGAGAGGTTGGGGGAGGGGGGAGGGCTACCGGCGGTGGCGGGACCCGTCCTGATCGATTGTCGTGTGGAGGAAGTAGTAATGAAATGATGAGACAATGATGGCAGGCGTGTGGTGAGGAGGGTGACGAATCATTTGAGATGCCTGCCACTTTTCGATACAAACACTCTTTGGGGGGACGCGCGTGTCACCCGGGGATCCGATGCGCAGACCATTTTGCTTGCAGCTTTTGGTTTGGCTGCCAATCTGCGTGTGTTGACGACCAAAAATCCCCTAGCAGCGCAGACAACCTCGTAATAGCGGATCCAAGCCAGGCTCGAAGGCGACCGGTGTGTGTGCGTGCCATGCATGAGGGGAAGAAGAAAGAAAATCAAATAGAGCGGCAGGACTTTAGAATGTTGCCCCCCCCTCCAGTCCAGATCGCAAGCGCGTGTAACCCAAAGTTTTCCGGGTCTATAGACTGGAAAAGGCTTGGTAACCGGGTTTCTTTGTTTCTTTTTTTCTTGTTTTTTATTTTTTTTATTTCTTTCTTTTTCTTTCCGGTCTGAAACCTTGATCTGCAGCCTCGGACGTATTGCCTCCATCAGGTAGCCTCTTCATTTCTCTCTCTCTCTCTCTCTCTCTCTCCCCGGCCGTATCAAGGTGCATGCCTATGATTCGCGATAATTGCTGGTGTGTGCGGCGCGGTGGTGGCGTTTTGCGGTGTGGTTGTCGTCTGAACATTTCTCTAGCTTTTTATTTGTGAATTGATTGATTGCACCCAGAGGGGGTAGGTGCCTAGAGATTCTTGTATTGTCTTTTTTTTTTTTTTTTTTTTTTTTTTTTTCAGTTGTTCATCTTCCAGGCTGAAGAGAGAGAAGAAGCCGATGAAGAAGCCGCAGCCATGACCAATTCAAGGGCCGTTCTGTCCTGCAGGTCAACCACCAAAGGCCAGCGATCCCTGGGGAACTACTTAGCAATGTATGTAGTTTTATATAGCGCACTCAAGAGCTTAAGAAATCTGGTTCCCTTCAAGTTCCTCTAGGCCCTTGCGATGGGTTTCACCTTGTGACGGGGGCGGCCCATTCAAGGACAAAGATGAAGCCATCGAGAACCGTGCGTAAAGAAGATCTTGGGACTGCCAAAGGCTGTGTTCTTCCTACCACGTAATGTTGATTCTCTGCCTCATCACACACCCACTAGTCAACTCATGCTTCACCAGCGCCGGCGAGATCCTCTGCCTTGACAGCCGCCAAGTAGTCTCCCTCGCCAAGACGAAACCACTCCTTGCTCATCAGCACATGGTCGGCCCTCTCCCTCTCGGGCAGAGCCTTGTCCTCGGCGGCCAGCCTCTCCAGCTTGCCCATCTCCCGGCATGCCTCTACCTCCCCGGAGATGGCTGCCTTGAGCAGGTATGCCCGCCGCTCGGGGCTGTCGCGGGGACCACTCATCAGGCGCGCGAGCTCGAGGAACGCGCGGGGGTTGTCGAGCTCCAGGGCGGCCACCCTGTACAGCTCCTCGGCGGCGCGCTTCTCGCCCTGGCGGCGCAGGATGTCGGCCTGGCCCAGCACACAGCTGACCTCCCATTCCCACAGGGGCTCACGCGGGGCTGGGAGGGTAAACTGCTTGACAAGGCCTTTGGAGGAATCGTGCGGTGGTGGTGGTGAGGGGGTTGCTGGTGGTCGTGACGGTGGGTGTGCCTTCCAGTATGCCTCGGTAGCGCGTCTGAACATGGCGAGGGCCCTCTTGAGGTCGTCGCCGTGGCTGGCTTCGATGATGCCCTGCAGGGTGAGCGCATCCGGATCGGTGCCCTGCCGGAGCAGCTCCCTGAAGCGGGCGTCTGCGGACTGGAAGAGCCTCGTGCCGGCGGCTCTCTCCTGGAAAATCCTGTCCGGCATGCTCCTGAAGGTGCGGACGAGGGTCAGGGTCGAGGGGCTGTAGCCTTGCTCGGAGGCTGAACGGAGCATGTGCGTGCCTAGGCGCCAGCGCGTGGCTGTGTTGGCGGTGAGGAGGAGGATGCCGATCCAGTGCAGCATGTATGGGGAGAGGTTGTAGTCTTGAGAGAAGAGGGCATTGTTAGCCTGGGACTTATATATATATATATATATATGTACACACACGCACACAAAAAGCTTGCCAGCCATCGACTCAAGGATTCTCATCAGCCTGACATACCTCTTTCGAGCCTGCCCCGCCAGGCACTCTCATGCTGCGTGGCAATAGATACGTAACGCAGTGCGCCCTCCATACATTGTATGGGTGTGAGGTCGCCGTTCCCGAGACCCTCGAGGCTGGTCGTCCATTCCGGCAGGGTGGGCACGTCTCGGGCCGAGAAGATGAGCCTCTCTGGGTCTCTCGTCGTTGGTGCGGCTGGTGGGCCCCCTCTAGCAGAGAGCCTTGGTCCTGGAGATGAGGATGAGGGTATTGGTATGGATGGTGATGACGACGATGATGCAGTTGGTGAGTGCCTTGCGGGCCGTGGAGATTTCGGTCTGATGGCCTTGCTTGCATAGTGCCGCCTCCACTGCAGGTTGCTGTCTGGGGGTTGGCCATGCGAAAATGACGCCGTTTGCCATTGTGCTCTGCGACAGGTGCGACACAACAGCCTTGTGGCCGGGCCATTCTTGAGAAATGTGCTCATGAGTTGGAGCGAGGTGTGAGAGCAAACTCAAGTTTGAAGAAGTGTCGATAGGAATTTTCTTCTTCGTCCTCACTTTTCCCTTCACATAATGTGCTTTGGGTTTCGTTGCCTTGTGATTCTGAACACGGGCGTCGGAACTCAATGACAAAACGGATTCGGATTATGAGTGAGAGGGTGAAGAATAAACTTTGAAAGTTCTGTAGGTTCAAATCAGAATGTGGTGACCACTTCAGACTGACGACGAGGTTGGACCAAGAAGAATGTGGACCCGTGAACCCTTTCGCAGTACTACTGTACCATACACAGTATTGGTGCAGGTATCAGACCTGTAGGATCCCCCCTGGCATTTGACCCTGTCCCGGCCTGAGGAGCTTACCGGCCTCAACCCCCCACCCCCCTGCTTTCCAGGGACTCGGAGCTGCCTTCAGGGCCAGTGGCAGCAAGTAAATACAGTACGTGCTGAAAGTAAATAGCAACTGCCGGAGACACAACCCTGACAGAATCTAGTAACGCAGCAGCGCGTCTGGCGTAGAGTGGAATGCTGCATGTCAACGCCAACCAGCAGAAAAAAGGAACAGACACGCCAGAGGCTGAGACAAGGCCAGCATTTAAACTCCACGCCATGTCATCTTCCACCTCGTCAACAACAGCCACTGGAGTGAACCGATCGCGCTCCCTGCGACAACCCACTGCAGGCCTCGCCAGAATACAAAGGAGCAATGAAGCGAAGAAGGGCGGCGAGGTAGGCAGAGCCATCCAGCCTGGACAGAAGAGACCTTCTCCTCCAGTCGTTACTGCTTCAACCTCTACTACCGCGGCCCCAACATCGTCTGATGAGCCACGAAACATGTCACCAAGCAGACTGCCCAAGCCTGGCGCCTCCTCGATCCCGGCGAGGACTCGCTCTGTGACGACTGCGACAGGAGCCAGCACCACCACCACCACCACAAACATTCGCTCCACTAGGGTCGCTGCCAGCACGAGAAGCAGACCGACGTCGGGAATCTTCAGCCTCGACCGCATGAGCAACAGCCTCGCAGCAGCGCGCAAGCCTCCGACCAGAAGCCACGCAAGCGAGGCACCAGAACCTCTATCGAGAACCGCCCGGCCAACGACCAACACTACCAGGACAGCGAGGCCGAAGTCGATAGCCTCCCTGTCACAGCTCTCGTCGACGGCCTCAGCCCTACCGCCTCCTTCTCCCTCTACTACGACGACGACGACCTTCAAGTCATCCGCTACCTCAACAGCCAAGCCACAGTCATCACGAGCCACTGCACATGCCCGAGCAAGATCAACCGCAACAGCGCTCAACTCCACCACCACCCTCCGCCCGCCACGACCGCCCTCAGCAGGATCCATAGCCTCGACATCCACAGCCGATACCTCAGCAGCGGCGGCGACGACGACGACGACGACGACGACGACAGCTAGCAAGCGGCCCCTCGGTCGTGCGAACACAGTAGCCGCACGAGCGTCCCAACAACGCCAGACAGCACCGCCGACAGGTCCTTCCTCCACGACGCCAGCAACAACAGCAGCAGCAGCAGCAGCAGCAGCAACAGAAGCCGTCCCTCGTCTCCGACCCGCCTTCAACACGCTCCAGCAGCACTACTCTCCCGCGCGCAACCTCGCCCCGAAACCCCTCACGTCAACGTACCTCGCCCCGCCCACGCCCTCCAAGCTGCCCGCCAACATCGCCCTCTCCTCCGAGACCGCCAAGGTGCAGGCCGAGCTGCTGCAGCTGCACCTGCTCCACCGCGATGCCGACGTCGTCGCCGCCTCGTGGCATGCCAGCGCTAGGGAGAGGCTGGGGCGGAGGTTTGCCGAGCTGGCTGAGGCCGATGCCAAGGTCGCCGCCGAGGAGGCTGCTGTGCAACAAGCGCGGGACCTCGCTGCCCTGCGGTCGTGGGGAGGAGCTGCTGCTGCTGCTGCTGCTGGCGGCCGAGGGAAGGGCCTGGAAGACAGGATCCAAGTTTTGGACGGAGTGCTGTCAGGTCTCTGGTCCGTCGGCGGACCGGGCGGGCGGCATGCGCGCGCGGTCAGGAGGTTCGAGAAATGGTTTGACCACTTGACGGCCGCCATGGAGGCCCGATGTCAGGCTGGGGGGCTTGGTGCGCTGATGGCGTCTGGGGAGGTCGCGTTTATAGGCGAGCTGGACCCGGCCTGGCGGGACGAGGTATCGTCGCTCTCCAGGAAGCTGGACAGCTGGCGGACGCAGCTGAGCCAGCTGGAGGACGGTATACCTGATGACGGCGAGGGCAAGGGCGAGGGCGATGATCAGCCGCAGTCCAGTCTGGCGAGAATCCTGGCTGGATGCCGCGGCATGGTGTGCGGGATGCTGGCCGAGCTGAACGTCATGGAACATATCGAGCGCGAGGCCATCGCTGAGGAGGCGGCCTGGGTGAGGAGGATGAACCGGGACGAGGATGGGCTGGATGAGAATAGTACTCCGAGGGCTGGTGCTATCTGGCGGGCCTTTTGAAAAGGGTTGATCCTGTTCGAAGAGGATGAGGAGTGGAAAAGACATTTGCCTTGTAAGAGTAGCAATTGTAGCTGCAGTAGCTGCAGCAGGGGCGTCAACTTGGAATTGGGGGGGGGGGGGCTGGTGTATATTCATCTATTGGGGCTGAGCTTGATTTTACCGTGGCAAATGATATCCTCGAGGCGTATTGCAAAGCGTCTAAACACTTGGCTGTAACCTTCATCTGCTGGTTTTTGGCAGGATTGCATGCTCTTCTTTCTTCTTCTCTTCCCCCCCCCCCCCCAACCCAACTCCCTCCTTCTCCAGCGTTACAATATTTCAATTGCTAGTTGCAGTTATTATTCTTTGCCATGTGGACTTATTTCGTAGCCGCCTCTCCCTCCCACTCTGTATAGAAGGCTCAGCCTCAGCTCAGCCGTCAAAGATGGTTGACAGACTATGCTGTCGCCTGGTGTACACGCGCAAGCTTGCCTGAACCAGAGAACTGATTTGTTTCCAACGTCAGACAGATGCAGCGTAGGTACTCTTTTGGCATCATCAACAACACGGACACTTGGTATCTATTCTTGGTCTCTCGAGGATCCCTTGCGGTCATGATCACTCTGGGCTGCAGCGTATAGTATAAACATACCATAACAACCTTTGCTGGACATTTTCCGAGGCGTCGAGCATCTGCAGTACCAGTATCTCTCCCATCTTGAAAGAAATAGACAAGACCCGCTTGGAATGGTCTATCATGATTGATCATATTCACCGAAACGCTGATGGTGGCATAGCACCTAAACGAGCCGAAAAGGAGGGCGCACTGCCATCATTTTCATCGTGATCCACGGCCCAATCGTCATCTCGCTCATCAAACTCCTCCAGGTCGGACGCGTTGCCCGTGCGGTACTGATAGGCACCTCGATTGTACTCATCATCCGAGTCGACCTCGTCATCTGGGTAATCGGCGGTGTAGTAGTTTTCCGCTGGAGACAATATTAGACTTGTGCGCCAAGAAAGAAGGGGGTATTTGATTTGTGCCAGTGGTGAAGGGAAAAGAAAGAAGAAGAAAAAGGGGGAGAAAAGAAAAGAAGAAGAAAAAAAAGGAAAACCTACCGTTCTCATCTTCGTCGCCCTCGGGCCACTCATCATCACTGTCTCCCTCTTCGCCGTAGAAGATATCTGCATCAGGCTCGTTGTCAAAGACGAGCAGGCCGACCTTCTCGGGGGCTATATCTTTGCCGAGTGCAGACGCTGGGACTCGTACGTAGGTCTCGACAACGTATTCGTCCTCACTGGCCGGCTCAAGGTCATCCCGCTCAACAGAGCTCAGTGTCTCCTGCTGAGCCGCCGCGGCGATCTCCGGGTGGCGTTCTGCGAATCTCTTTGCAGGCGGCTTTGGCTTGAATTTCTGCGGCGTCGAGGCAGTAGAGGACGCCTCCTTCCTCGCTGCCGCCGCCGCCAACTCTTTCTTGTCACGTTCCTCCGTCTCAGCCAGGTTGGCCCCGATGAGCTGCAGCGCGAAGCTGTTCATGTTCCGTGTGATCTCGTCCATGTCATCGCCCGCCCAGTGCTGTTTCATCGACGCGGGGAGCTCCCTCTTCAGCGGCTCAGCGGACTTCTGTGCCCGCGGGCCCTTGCGGTCGGAGCCCGGCAGCTTAAGCTTCCTCGGCGGCTCGTCCGCACCCGCCATTTCTGGTGTATCATCTGCGTCCCTCATCTGTACATCCTCCGTCCTCGTCCTCTTGTGACCGCGCTCGACGAAGACAGTCGTCGGGGTATTCAGCCGTGACCGCTTGCCCGTCTTCAGGCCCGTGGTCAAAAGGGATGAAGGCTTAATGATAGGTCTGGAGAAGTGGAAGCGCCGCGGCTCAGGGGCTGAGGAAGATGGAGTCGTGGTTGGTGTCTCAACTCGCGAGGCTGGTCCATTCTGGGTGTTCTCCTGTGGCTTCGTGACTGACTCGAGTGTCTTTGTGCTGGCTGTTTCCTCAAGTGAAACATTCCCATTGCCTGCGAGTTTCGAGGAATGAATGATGGGGATGACATCCCGTGAAGGTCTGGGTGGGGCCCTCTTCTCAGCCTCAAGGGCTTCTTGCGTAGTTCGCTGGTAGACATAGGCATCACTGCGGTATCGTTTTCGGTCCTTATCGTCAATACCTTTTGTGAGTGACGCAGTCAGTAAGATGCAAGCTAGTGGTATAGTAGAGTGGGAGGATTGAGAGTTCACGAACGAAGGTAGTTCACCACGCCTTGTCCATCATCATCATCGTCATCATCATGGGCCTTGCGCTTTAGGCGCTTGACTTGGATAATTTCTGGTGGCATAGACATCTTGCACGATAGGCTCCAGGGACGACAGCTCTGGCAAGTGTTCGAATCTGAAGGGTATTAAGTGTGAAATTGATTGAGAGATTTGCAGTGCTTCAATTGTCATTATGGAGCTTTTTGTCAAGTGATTTTCAGCTGCTGGGACTGTTTATTGTTTCAAGAGGAACAAAAGGCCAGGAACCTGTGGTGATAAGAGATTCTTATCGATACCGCCTGGCAGAATCCTAGTGGTGACGTAACTAACAGCTTGTTTAGCTTAGGAATTGGGGAGGGTTTCATTGTTGGTAGTAAGAGAAGAGAAAAGAGAAGAAGAAAGGGAGAATCTATCTTGAGGTATCATGGTGTCTTCCACCATGTGCCTAAGTGATCACCATCTGGCTGAAGATGTGCAATGGATTGATGAGAAAATGTAAGGGCAGCATATCTCTCTTTCTCACATATACTCTGTCTGGGGGTCCCTGACTAGAGGCTGACATGTGATAGTCACTGCTACTCAATACTCCACTCATACGAAATATGTATCATCTGACAACATGCCTATATAATTACAGATCAGGCTGCGAATATATGGACCTTGCCATTGGTTTTTGATTGCCAGAACAACAGACAGGCTCTGCAATATGGCAGACCCCCGCCAGGTGAGGAGGGTGGGAGAACAAACGGTGAACAGATAAGAAGAGACCCCAATGTGGATAAGAGCACCCCTGTCTGCAGGACAAATCATCCCACATGACGCCAGCAGCTCTTGCAGCCCAAGTGGAAATTCTGGCACCAAAGTTTCATGTTTTTCTCTAGGAGTTCTTGGTCTGGTTGATTTGTTTGGTTTTTCTGATGATATCGGAAATCAGGGTAGAAAGAGAGATACAGAGATTTTGTAAGGAACCGATGCAGTAGATTGAAATGGCTGGCTGTCCTACATAGATCTTGGGCTGGTCAGCAGGCCTTGCAGGGCAGTAACTACAGCCGGCGTAGTACAGGCTAGGCCTTGGGACTTTCCTGCAGCAGGTCACTGCAGTCAATTCAAATGAGAGAGAGCCCGGAAGGCGCGGCATAGGTTTCTATCCATGGCCCTGATTGCCGCTGGAGGTCTCACCCTCCCCCACCGGAAATGGAGAACATTCTATAGGTTTCTCTCAATTTACTCTGTACTTCCAATATAAACTCTCTGGATACAGACCGACATTGGGAAATTCTGCTGTGCAGATCCCTCCCTTGACTTTGCTGTCTAGTAATGTTGGGGTAGGAAACCTGGTTGTTCTCGTTTGTGAAATACGACAGTACTATGCATTATGTATGTGCATCCAAAATACGGTTGGCTGTACACCACCCTTTCCTGCAGCTGCCCCGCATATTGGCGCCCAGGGCAACAAGACGAGCTCCATCCCAGAGCTGCACCTGCAGCTTCCCAACCTCCCCCAGCACCATCATCGGACCACCCTGCTTTCCCCATCTTCTCTCCTCTTGACCCTCAACTTGGACGTGTTTGACGTGTTCAATCTGCCAGGATCCACTCGGTCTCAAATTTTCTTTTCCTTTTGTGACTCCCTCTGTGTCAACAAAGTCTCTGCCATCTCATCTTTATCAATCCGAACACCCTCAGAGTTGCAGGCCTAATCTGACCACACGAGGAGCTGCTCGTTGTTGTTGGGTCAACAAAACACCCAGGCCCTATCTCATCATACCACTGCACTGCACAGAAACCACAGCACTAGTTGCTCTGTCTGTTGGGGCGTCTATTCACCCTCCTCGTGTCTTCCACCAGAGCACAACCAGCTATTTTCTCAACCTTGTTTCTTCCCCAGCCAAAGTGACACCATGGGAGATTCCAAAGTCGAAGTCACCATTCGACACAGGGCTGTAGGCATCCAGCCACCCCTCTATGTGGCCGGCAGCTTTTCCAACCCAGAATGGGTTCCTCTGCCCATGGAATATACTTCTGGTGATGATGGAGTATATACCTTTACCAAGACATTCCAGGTAGAGCCACTGGCCAAACACCAATACAAGTTCCGAGTCGGTGAGGGTGACTGGTGGATCCTGGATGAGGAGGCCCCAACTGGTAGGCACACCATCATTGACTACCACTTCTCTAGCTATGAGAGATAGCATGCTGATGAGTTATCAGTGACGGACGAATCAGGAAATAGGAACAATGTCCTCGAGGCACCAGAGGTCATTGACAGTCCAGAGGCCCCCACAGAAACAACCCAGGCTCCAGATGCCCTGCCTTCAGACGAGTATGTAATGTCCTGTGTCACTAGTCTTTCCCTCTTGCTAACACCGTACAGAGTCAACGTCTCAGAGAGCTCCATCCCCGAACCTAACGAGTCCAGTACTGAAGAACAGGCCGAGCCCACCTCCGAGAGCATCCACGAGAACGCCGATGCCGGGTTCGAACAACTTCAGTCTGAGACAGAGAACAAAGCTCTGCCCGTCCATGCCGACATCGAGCGAGAGAGGGCGGATACCCCAGACTTTGTGAAAACATCTATCGAGGTTGCCGACTCCGCTGCCATACTTGATCGCCCAACTCCTGAGCCAGATCATCCCAGTGAGGCTGTCGGCGAAGGTGAGGGCGAGCCACCACATCCATCGGGTGCTAGTACTGCAGAGACCGCTGCTGAAGTTGCGGATACTGCGGCAATGCTGGATGAGAATGAGGTATGTCTTGTCTCTTGTCAGGAGAGGGGGCTGTAGAGTTGACGAAAAGTCTCAGCAGGATGCCCAGCCCGAGGCTGAACCCTTATCTGTCGAGCACGAGCAGGATGTTTCGATCACAGCCGCAGAGGTCGCCGATACTGCACAGGCTTTGGATCGCGCAGAGGTGAGCTGGAAAAAAAAGTTGCGTCTTAAAGAGGATAGGAAATTGACACTGCGTGCAGTCTGCATCAGACCCTGAGGCAGAGAGCGCTTCCACAGCACCGACTGAGGACACAGCAGACGTGGCGGCTGAAGTCGCTGATACCGCTGCTTTATTGGATGCAAATGAGGTGAGTTCTTGAGGCTTATACTTGCGATGGCCATGCGCGCTGATATATTTATTAAGCCTGCGGAGCACATTGAGGAAGTTCCTCTTGCCAGTGGGAGCCTGGCAGGTGTCAAGTTCGACATGAAGGATGATGGTCTCGATATTGCCGGCCACACCGAAGGTCCAGACCCGGTGCCTCTGTTTGCACACGAGTGTGCTGGTCTCTATGAGGACGACGAGGTGCCTGCTGTGAGCCATGTTGAGGCCGACATCCAAGCGAACGACTTTGCCCCGGAACACGACAGCCAGCAGGACTTCAACGACCCCACTCTTGAGCAATTTCCCTCGACAAAGGACGAGATCATCTCAACCGTCAGAAGAGTCTCGACCAGTCTCAATGCTGACCAGACATCTGTCGAGGGTATATCTCCTTCACCAGTGGTCGAGGCTCAGAGTGAGGCTGCTGGCGATGCTGTCAGTGACTTGGACGAGCAGGGTGTCGGCTTAGCTTCCGATCGCGGACAGGATGACAGTATCCCCTTGGCCCGGTCGCATTCTCAGAAGTCTCTGAGTGAGCACCCGCTTTCCCTGCACTCCATAGCCGAAGGTGCTGAAGAGGAAGAGGCCGAAAGGCCTGCAGACGAGGGCGTTTCCTCGGCGTTGGAGTCAGATGAAACAAATCATGTTGCTGCTGCGGGTACAACGGAGCCTAGCACCGAGGTTCTTGAGGAGTCAGCAGCAAGCCAGGTAGCCCCGGTGGCTGAACAGGCACAGACTGCAGACGAGGTAATCGAGGCTGCGCAGGAAGCTGAGGGGGAACAAGCAGCAGACGTCAGTCTCGTGGACGACGAGTCTCCTGCGGTTGTCCAGGAGGATGGCCCGATCGTTGAAGATGCTACTCCCGAAACAGACGAAAATCCTCCTGCTTCCGAACCAGTCACAGCTACTACAGAGGAGGCCTCCGTGGCCGAAGAAGGTCCCGCTTCTAACGAGGACGTCGTCAAAGAGGCCCCTGTTACCAGTGGGGACGTTGCTCCTGTCGAGGGCAGTTCTACTATCGGAGAAGCTCCATTATCCATCGAGGATGTCGTCGAAAGGGATACTGCCGTTGACAAGGCTCTGCCTGACGAGGAGGTTCCTGCTACTCAAGAGCCTTCTGCTGAGGCCGAGGCTTCCTCTAGCATTGAAGAGGCGGCGCCAGTCCCTGAAGCGGAACCTTTTGCTGCTACGGAGACTGCTGCTGTCACCGAGGAGACTCCTGCCACCAGAGAAGTCTCCACCGCTGTGGAAGAGGCTCCAGCTCCCTCTGTACAAGAAGATTCTATTGTTGAAGAAGAAGCTCCTGCTGTCAAAGAATCCCCTGATGTTGAAGACGCTCCGGTCCTTGAGGAAGCTGCTCCTATCGAAGAGGTCACAGCTGGCAAAGAGGAGGCTCTGGTAGTCGAAGACGCACCAGATGTTGACGAGGCTGTACCTATCGAGGAGGCACGGGCTGTCGAAGACTCCCCTACTCTTGAAGACGAAGAGGCTCCAGTTGCCGAGGAGGCACCGGTTTCCGAAGAGGCTGCTCCTATCGAAGAAATTTCGGTTGTCGAGCAAGTTGCCCAGACCAAGGACGATGCCCCTGCCGCGGAGGCTGCTAGTGTAGGATCGGCTCCTGAAGATGTCCAAGATGGTTCAATTACCGAAGCCGCACCCACTGTCCAAAGCACTGGCCCCTCGAACGAGGAGATACTTCCTGCTACAGAGGAGTCTTTAAGTGCTGAGGAAACGTCGCCCGCAATAGACGAGCTTTCTCGAGCACCTCAAGAGGCGTCAAGCATCGGCGAGGAGGCTTCTCCCCCGGAAGAAGCCTCCGCTCTCTCTACGGTTGAAGATTTCTCTGTTGTGGTCGATGAGGCGCCATTGGCGACTGAGGAGACTACCCCCGCTGCTGAACATGCAGACAGCACTGACAACCCCGCCGACTCCTTGAGAGAAGCAGACAGCGAGGGTCTGCAGGAAGCTGAAGCTGACCAAATCACTCCAGCAGCTGAGGCAGCCGAGACGGCTGGTGAGGCTGCTCCACTCGCAGAAGAGGGCGAAGACGCTCTGATTCCTCCCAAACCTCATCTACAGTCACTAGTCACAGTCCCAAGTCCGTCGGTCAAACCAAGTAATGGCCACTTGTCCCCAGTTAGTGATGAGGACGAGGCTGTTGTTCTGAAGTCCAGCAAGGGCGAGGACAAGAGCACCGAGTCAACACAGCCGGAATATTTAGCGCCGGAGCCAGTCAAGACTCCGGGACATGAAGAGCCTGGTAGCCCGATGGAGCCTCCGCCAAATGACGCCGATCCGGTTGCCGACTTTGCTCTTGAGGATGAAGTATCGAAGGCAGACCTGGAGCCAACCCTTGCGGCATCACGAAGCCCTCAGATTGTCGTGTCCAATGCCGAGGTGACGGAGCACGAAGAGCTCGTGCCGGCTTTGTCGTTGGGTGAGAGCGCCTCCAAGGAGATCAAGGGCCCGGAAGACGTCGAGCCCGCCAAAGATATCGACGCTCCACAAGGCGTTGGTGAGGCTTCTGAGACCATCGAGTCTTCGAAGAATGCCGCGTCCCCTGAGGCATCTCCGGATCAACAGACCTCTGACGCTGCTGCTGAAGCCTCCAGTCCTGAGGAGGTTGTCAAGTCCAGAGAGATCCAGGAGGGCCCTCGCGTCGAGGCCGTTGCTGAATCCTCCGGGGCAGAACCGAGCCAGTCCGGCTCTTTGACGAAGCGGACGGTGGCACGACCCAGCTCGGCAGACCGCGCAGGTACTCCTAACCCAATTACCGACTCCCACAGGGAGGCAGCCAAGGGTGGCAACTGGTTCTCGGCCTTTTTCAGGCTGATCTTCATCGATCTGTTTGGTGGCCTCATGTCAAGGCTGTGCGGTGGCAAGCGTAAGACGTAAGGAGCAAGAAACCAAACCCCTTTTATACGGCACGGCACACTCTCTGACGACGGTGCTTGTTAGAATCGTCACGACTGTGGTCGCCCTGACTGCCGTGGGGCTGGTCTTTTATCAGAAATCTAAGGATCCGGGGACTGAAGTGGACTGAGGTTTAGGTCTGGAGAGACGGTGATCGGCATTTCCTTTGACAGCTCTGATGGTTCCTCTATTCTTCAGTCTGTGATGCGATATGTGTGTTTCCAGGTCGAGAGAGAGAGAATAATATGGAGGAGCGTGATGAAGACAGGTGCGCAGAAGAAGTATGGTTCAGCACTGCGCATTGCTTGTATGGATCAATTCTGCATGTACGATCACATTGGTGGACGCACACGTCTCATAAGCAGCGAAAAGGTTTGTTTATTTATTTCAAGTAGCTATCACCATAATTATGTCGTTACTGTAGGTGCTTCTTTGGCAGCATTTGTGGCAGTGGTCCTGCCATCTCGTAGAGTTGGTTCTTTACAGTATGAGCTTACACCCACTAAATGGGGCTCGACCTGAGAACCAGATCGGAGCAGTACATTCAGAGGTACATGCATATAGCATGAGCTTCTTCAGCTGTCGGACGACTAGTCCAGCGCTACACGGGGCGTCCAGGCAAGTTCTATCGATGCTATAAGGCGCGCCGTCGTTTACTGCTCGTGCGGCTATCTTCTGAAAACAGCTTTTTGCCAAAGTGGTGTTCTTTTGAAAAAGATGAAGGAAACAGAAGAAGAAAAAAAGGAAGAAAAAAAAGAGGAGTTTCAAATCCTTCCATCTGCAGCGTTCTTCAGGAACGAAGTGATGGATCACTTATCATACTAGTACTGAACCATACTCGTGCTGCTCGTGCGAGAGTGGCTATCTCCAGGAATTACTTGTAGCTTTGCTTAGTCACCATGGTCGATATTCTGAGGGGAGGTGCGATCGCTGCTTGCGTCTCGCTCCGGTCGTCGCTGTAAATAGCACACAGTACCTCGGCTTAAGCCTTTCCCCTTCAAGCTCTCCTCAGACCTCAGACTTGACCTGGAGCATCCCTCCGCTGCCAAACCGTGGAACTTTTGCTGGTTGCACGACATGTGAAAGTTTTGATTTTCGTCTACTTCTGCATTTCAGTGGTCGAGAACCTTTGATCAACCCAGGAAGGGAGCCAGTCCTTTCAATCATTCCGGGCCCTTTTCCCTTCCTCTTTTTTTTTTCTTTTTTTTTTCTTTTCCCACGTTAAGCGCCCTCTCACGAATGCGAAGGCGGAAAGAAGAAAAGAAAGAAGAAGGAAAAAAAGATGTCACTCGAGGTGATATACGTGACGCGGCATGGCGTAAGTAGCTTCTTTGCTGCACTTTCTCGGACGTGGCTACCAGCCTTCTTTTATTTTAGAAGCTTCGCCGCCGTTGCCAGACTGACACACACTGTCGTTGTTGTCACAGCAAGCCTTCAACAGTAGACGGACGCAGGCTGACAACACACACACGCACGCACCCCACCTCCCAACTATTTAGTTCCGTTCCAATTGGGTTGTCGATCCCACCAGTGGAGAGTATGGCAGCCACCTGAGATCACCAACGGGCATAGCCGCCGACCCAGCGCTGACGGCCCACGGTGTCGACCAGGCAAAGGAGCTGGCAGGTCACCTGGTGAGGCTGGACCCTCCAGTTGAGCGCATCTACTCCAGCCCCTACTACCGCTGCCTCCAGACGGTCCAGCCTTTTGTGGAGCGTCTTGAGGGTACCAAACGCGCTGTGCTGGGAGAGACTGGGCTGTCAGAATGGTATGGCTCTGCCCCGTTTGAGCATCCCACCTCGGCACCGCCAACACAGCTCAAGGACCTGTTCCCGGCCTACGATACGAGCTACGTGCCCAATGTGGTACCCTCCAGGACGGGCGAGAGCATAGCCCAGCTCCATGAGCGGGTCGCCCTGACGCTGGATGCCATCATCAGGCGCTGTGACGAGTCAGGGGTGCGCGCTGTGCTGCTCTGCTCGCATGCCGCCACTATCATTGCCATAGGCAGGGTCCTGACCGGCTGTATGCCGGAGCATGTTGAGACGGAGGACTTTCGTGTCTTCACCTGCGGTCTGAGTACGTTCAGGAGGAGGAAGACGCGATCCGGCCAGGACGGCCCAAGTTCCCCGGCCGTTGACACCACTGGATCAGAGACGACTCTAGACTGGGAAGGTGGGAAGGGTGTTGGTGGCGGATGGACATGCGAGATCAACAGCGACTGCAGCTTTCTCTCTGGAGGCGAGGAAAGAGGATGGTAAGTGGAGTCAAATTGTTTTATGTCTTTTCTCCCGCAGGTCTCAGCTACTGACACAAGCTAGGCGTTTTTCTGGGGACGAAGCATTTGCCGGCGTCCAGCAGGATTCGTCCCAGAGGGACGCTGGGGTGGAGTTGGGAGTCATCGTTGAAGGGAAAAGGAAGCCTCCGAGACTATAGCGGTTAGCCTGTTTGAGACGAACCCGCTGAGAAAATGGGGGTGTTGAAACCCTTTTTCCATTCTTTCATTGTTCAGGAACACACAAGAAGTAATCAAACACTAATCTTGTATGTGTGGGGTGAGAGAAAAGAGAGAGAAAGTGAGTGAGTGAGTGAGAAAGTGAGACAGAGAGCGCGAGGGGAGCAGACGGCGGGTGGTCCAGCCTGCCAAGTCATCCCGCACAGAAGCGAGGTGGTCTCATGAGAAAATCTCGATACGATGTTTGTTTCTGCACGAAGAGGGATCGACTATGCAGGTCCGGCTCGTAAGTTGGCTACTTCTGCGCACTCATCCAAAAGAAAAAGCTCGCCGAACAGACAGGATTGAACGCCGAGGTGCATCCCGAACCGCCATGAGGCTCTCTGATGACGCCGTGGTGTTACATCCACCAGAGAAGAAAACGGGCGCGTCGAGACCCCAGCGAGCGATCAGACAAACCGTTCCATCTGGGCCAGAGAAGGAGGAAAGAGGGGGGGGGGGGTGAAATGGTGTGTCCACATACTGCAACGGTGGCTAATCTAGTCGACGCAGGCCGTATTTTCCCCCCGCAGTCACCGGTACTTTGTATAGAAATGTGGCGTCCTCCAACGACTCAAGGGCAATATCGATACCACCCGGGTGATCTGCCGCGCCCAATGGGTGGATCCAAGTGGGAGATCTAGGAGCCAAGGCAGATTGGCGCTGTCATCCCTTGCGTACTTGGATTTGCTGCTAATGAGCCGTGCGACAAAGTGACATGGAGGGGAGCGAACTGCGGGCGAGTCGTATCAACCCCCCCCCCTCCCCACCCACACCGGTCACCCAAGAAGAAGAAAAAGAAAGGCAAGGAAAAAAAAACAGCACAGTCCTTACTGCTTGCATGAACAGAGTTTGTTAGACTGGTGGATGTGGGCAGGGGTTCGAAAGAAGTAAGTATGCAGAAGCGATTATGGAAAAGGAAAGGGGAAGGGAAAAAGTTCACCAGTCATATTCCCTGGGCTACATGGGACAGAAAAGCTCCTCTTCGGGTGACACAACGATAGGATCCCACATGAGGTACAAAGTTTCGAAGTACAGAAGTCCCGAACATTCGGAAGCATCCGAGGAAGCACACTACACAAAATGTGTCGTATCGAGAGAGGGGGAGCGAAAGAAAGAAGAAAAAAAGAGGGGAGAACTGGTTGAGCGTATGCATGGCAGGGCGATCGAGAAAATGCAGGGAAAACTGCCACTTGTGCTCTACGGGTCGCCGAGAATCACTGTCCAGTATCTTGACGACAGAAGAAGAAAAGAGAGGAAGGAGAGGAAAAAACATGATATCGAACCACCTTGGCCTGATACCATGCGCAAGACATGGCCAACGAACCCCACAGTTCCTGGTCTTGGACCAAGGCAAGGGGCTAGCCAATTTTATCCAAGCTGGCGGCTGTCAAAAGGTTGCCATGGCTTCTGGCAGGGCCGGCCTGTGGCCCTAGCACTGCAAAAGGCAAGGAAGGCTTCTTTTTCCATCGCTTCTTTAGTCCACTTGACGAGACTACCAGCTAAGCTCGCCATGGCTCGCCTCACGAGACGAGCTAATTCTACCGGCCTTGTCCAAGTGTCTATAGATCACTAGGCAACAAAATGTGCCAAAGAGGCACTAAAAGTCCTTGAGTTGGCTGCAAGGGGGGGGGGTTGGTGGTGGGGGTCCTATGTACAAGCAAGCAAAGCAGTTTTGAGGAGGCACGAGGAGAAGGTCGACGACGGCACTCGAAGTTTCTGCCAAGCGCAGTAAAGGACCACCGGACGACCACTCGGCTTGTATCCTGGTCACAGTTGGTTATCAGAACAGGCCGCAGTCTGGGGTGGCGTCAGAGCTTGTGGACATGGTTGGGCATCAAGGCCAGCGTTCGAAGATGATTGTTTCGTTCATCCGGACGGCTCGTTGTCGATCCCTACCTTGGGTTTTCGAACAGACGCGGCCCATTTACGCCCACGGTAGGGTCCTGCTGGAGAGAGATGGCTACCGATGGCGTTCCCGCAGCAGAAAAGCCTCTCGAACCATCTCAAGAGAAGGAGGGAGGGGAGGGGAGGGGGGTTCCCAGTAGACCCCCATGCGTTAGTTTGGACTCGGTAATCTGTCATCGACCGTCGTCTACTTGGTCCCGCCACTTCCCCAATGAGGTATGCAGGTACCGCTTCACCTTCCTCCTCCTCCTCCTCCTCCTTCCACCCTCCTTGGCCGTGAACCTCCTTCAACTTGAGATCTTTTGCTCCTCCAGATAGAGAGATAGAGAGGGAATGAGAAAGGCACAGTGTTTAGAGTTTGGCTACTCAAGGACATCGTTCTTCCTTCTGTACAACAGCTTGGCAACACACAAAGTTTCCCAAGCCACGAGCCCATGACCAACCACTACACTGTTCAACCTTTTCGTTCGCGTATGTGTGTGTGTGTCTGTGTGTCTGTGTATGTGTGTATTTGTGTGGTGGAGTCCGTGGAGTATGTCTTGTAGTACTCTCAAGGCCCATGCCCACAAAGTACGCTTTAGCTCGACACGGCGGCCTCAACCCGTCATGTAAGGACGGGCTGTCTCTCTGCAAGATCCTACAAGGATGGTTTTGCTCGTTTGAGGACACTCCAAGCCACAGACGGCGATCATATCGGCTCGAGTGGGCCTTTCCAGATCTATCACAAGTGACACTGGTGGGCTAGAGATCAGCTCTGGACCCAAACTTGCACCTGCTCTGGTAGACCTGACGGAGCTCATACCTATATTAGGACCCTGGAGATCTCTCGCCTCCTCGCCTTTTATCCACCTGTTCCTGGTTTGTCGTTGCCTTCTTCTCCATCATTCTCTCTCGGACGAATTGCCTATTGCGTGAGCGTGTGTATTCCTCTGCCTTGTATTGTCCTTGCATCTCTTTTTGTCACTTTTTGTGTTGAATACGATTACCATGATTCTGCCACAGACTTATCTGAACGGTCGAAACGACTTTGGCAGGGCTCTTCCTCCCCCTAGGCTCAACACCAGACATGATATCCCAAGAAGGCCAGACGTTCATAATGAAAACCTAGAGGATCTCGCCGACATTGCAACAAGACAACTCAAGGCTGCCGTACCAAGGCTGTTACCGCTGCCATTCTCAAACTACACTCTGTGTACGTTGGACCTTTCTCGTACCTGACTTTTGTTCTTCTTCTTTTATTGTTTTTCATTGGCCATGTCGCTGACTTGGACCACAGCCGAGAAACCATTTGGCTACTATGAGGCTCAGCAGAATCGTCTTCCTTCTTTTCAGGATACATTCTCGAATGTAATAGCTACCGCAGACCGGTCTCCCAAGCATCAGGACGAGCAACATCAGAGATCCCACTCCAACTACGAGACAACACGAGCGAGTCCTGGCCTTGAATATCCATGGCGCAGGAGCATTAGCAGCAGCCTCCCGACCCTATCCCCTCTTTCCACAGCCCATAGCTCTCCAGTTATCACACCTGTCACACCACCAGCTCACTACAGCAACCAGAACAACAGTAGTAGCAACAGCAGCAGCAACAGCAACAACAACAACACCATCTACACTACCCAAGGCCCGGCTGAAGTTCCAATACCTCTGTCATCAGCATGGAACGATGACCAAGCACGCCAGAAACAGCACTTTGCCGCCCTTACCCGCTCACGACGACTGCAAACCCGGGCTGCACCATACAGCCTCGATCGCCCCCAGACCCGCAGGGCACCGCTGATCCAGCAGCTGATCCAAGACGGCGAGAGGAAGCGCCACTTCAACCAAAAGTACAAAAACCCAGACAAGCTCTTCATCCTGTACCACAAGGTCGACCTGAAGTGGGGCTGGCCTGCGATCCAGGCACGGCGGCTCCAGCTCCTGCCGGTCCTCCTGGGTAGCGACTACGACCGAGAGGTTGAGGAGGCCCGCCAGGTGGCCGGGCTGAACGGCATGTACTACCGGGAGAACGACCTCAACATGCCAGTGCTGACACCTGACGGGAGCGGCCTGGTCTTTGTCGAGCGGGACGGGCGGTGGTGGGAGCTCACACAGAGCCAAAAGTGCCGGAGCGGTGATAATAACAATAACAGCAACAACAACAACAACAACAACAACAACAACAACAACAAGATGGGAAGAAAGCCTGGCGCCGCCGAACAGAGACCCAGGGGCATGGTGGAGAGGTACCCTGAGGAGGTGCTGCTGTACTGGGATGACCACGTGCGGTACTTCATTCCTGAGGAGAGGAGATACGAGGTTTACTCCAAGGCGAGGAGATACTGTACGTGCATTTTGAAACAAAAAAAGAAAGATAAAACACCTTCTCCCTTTACCACATGAGCCAAAAACATCAGAATACCAAGAGAGAGAGGCAAACTAGGAAAGCTGACCAGTGTTTTTTTTTTTTTTTGTATTCATGTAGGTGAGATCCGGGCCGAGCAGAGGAGACAACATGACGTCCCACAGTGGGCTCTCGACAACAAGGAAGAACGGGTGCTCAACCCAAAGAGACCCAAAAAGACAGCAGACGAAAGCCAGTCCGCCTCAAGAGGCAGGATGACTAGAAGGACGAGGCGTGTGTGAAGAGAAAAAAGCACCGTCATTCTTTGCCTCTCCTTCTTTCCTTTCTTTTATCGTGCCTCCTCCTCCTCCTCCCTCTCTCCCTTATCTCTCTTCTTCCCGGCGCATCATCATCTCGTCGTTTTATCCGTCCGTCCGTCCTCCGCTCGTTTGAAAACCCTTGTTGTTGTTATCGTTGTTGGAGGGGAGGCATGGTTACAGCAGGGGGAGATTCTTTCCCTCTCCATTTGTCCCGACATACACATATTGTCGGCGCCAGCGACCCGTTTGTTTTGTCTTCTTTCTTCGGGTCGCTTAATACCTAAAAAGATAATGGTCGGTCGGCCGGCTTTGAGCTGCGCATGAGAGAGAAGGGAGGGGAAGGGTGAAGGAGGGGAGGAGATAGGCTACTGAAAATAGTGGGACAGACGAGATGTGGTGGTTGTACGTGTGAGTTGGGTTGAGGAGTTTGGTCTTTTCAAAGGAAAGGGGAAAGGGAAAGAAAAAAAGAAAGAAGAAAGCAAATGAGAAATCAAGACAGACAAGCAAGGAAGAAAGCGAACGAAAGAAGAGAAAGTCAAAGGAACAAATGCGGTGGTTGGCCTTGGTCAAAGGCCGAGTGTGCATATTGCTTATTCACTTTTTATCCTGCCCAAGACAATTATTGGTCCTGCTTGTACAATGAAAAACCTTGTACGATGCTTTGTCGTGGCATCGTCTATCTGTCAAAACAAATACAGTCCCACTTTGCTGTGTGAAGAATGCTGAAAACCACAGACGCTGTATATATGTGTGTATATGTATATGCTTGGTCGTGAACATCGTCAATCGTCAAATCCTTGCCTCGTGGTGCTACAGTTGTTGTTGTATGCCGCTCCTCTTCCCCCCCCCCCCCCCCCTCCACTCCCCTTTTTTTTGTGCATGCTTCTCTATACGCTCGCACCAACTGCCACAATATTAGCTATCCCCGATAACCTCTCCCCCGCGTCCTCCCTCTCATGTCTCATTTTCTCACTCGACCTTTTCCGGCGCATGTGTCCACGTGCGGACTTTATTCATGGTCCGCCGCCGCATGGTAGCCATGATCTTGCTCTCCATGCCGTCGATCTGGCTCTCGAGATCGACGTCCTCTTGTTTGTACCGTCTCTCGCGTGACCGGTCCCAGGCCCACCAGATTACGACGATGATGACGGTTACGGGGATGGTAATGACAAAGTAGATCCAGAAGGTGGAGTATACCTGGAACCTTCCATCTAGAATCCCCGTGATGCTATTAGCGATACATACCAAAGAAGGCTTTTGATGAAGAAGACAATGGGGAATGAGGTGTGGGAAAAAAAGGGGATGATGGGTAGAGTGGATTGGGTAGCTAGTGTGTGTGTGTGTGTATTCTTCCAATCTCGCTGTGCTGTCTTGCGCTGGAATGGGACTTACTGTCTCCAGTGTTGAAAAAGACCATGCTGAAGATGGAAGCGAGTAGTGTGGCAGGCAGGAAGATGGCGCCGAGGAGGGATATGGTCTTCATGGAGGTGCTGTCTCGCTTGCTCGCGTGGGCCAAGCGGCGCTGGTCGGCGGCCATCTGAAGATTGAGTTTCGACTCCTTCTGAGCGATGATGTTGTAGAGCTGTTGGGGAGGCAGGTCAGCAGGCCAGTTCGGTCAGGATAAGGGATGGATGCGTGCTGGTGATGATGGTGGTGATGTAGTAGAACTTACTGCGCTCCTCTGGATGGCCAGCCTCTCCAGCGTCGTGTGAGCATAGTTCTCGATGCCCACCAGCTTGTTCCGGAAGAACTCCAACCTGCTCAGCATGCTTTTGTGACACCTGTTGACCTCTCGGAACCCGTACTCGTCCCGCACGACGACCTTCCCGCCGCCACCGCCGCCCTTCTTCTTCTCCTCCTCTTCCTCCTCGCCCTCGCCCTCTCGCCCTCTCGCCCTGTCCCTCTTGACGCTCTTGGAGTTTCGGTACGCAGGCAGCTTCTCCATGAACCGCGCCATGCCCTTCTCCATCTCCCTGATGATCTCCTGGTAGGCCTGTGGCCGCTTCCACAGGACCTGGGAGTGGCACTCAACGAGGTCGCGGTTGATCTGGTCGAGATCCATGACAGCGTCGCTGCCGACATAACCCTCGTCCTCGACGATCTCGTTGCGCATGCTGACGGCGTGCTCGAGGCGGCGCAGCCAGTCGCGGGCGTCGCGCTGCTTCTGGTCCGTCTTGGGTGAGAGGTCGTGGCTGAGGATAATCATGGGCAGGAGGAAAGGATGGGCGGCCTGGCGGGCGCAAGCACGGAGGTGGGCGATGCTCTCGCTCATGTCGCTGCTGTCGGTGCCCTTGACGTAGCCCGAGGTGAGGCCGGTGGCGAGGTCGTGGGAGAGCATGAGCTCCCAGCCGCGGGTCTTGCCCTTCTTGCGCACGTCGCTCTTGCGCATGATGATCTGCAAGTGACCTGGTTTGGAGCTCTCGCTATCGTCGTCATCTTCGTCCTCCTTCTCTTCGGTCACATTATCGTAACCGTCGCCGTCAGGGACGTGGGCACACCAGAAGAAGGGCCCCACGACGGAAGTGCCCTCGATGGCGCGGTAGGGCAGATGTAGGGCACGGACCATGGACTCGTACTCAGCAGCCGTGAAGGAGATGTAGTTGGAGGTGAAGGTTTCAGGATGTTTAGCCTTGAGCTGGAGCCTGAGTTTAGGTGAGTGAATGTGTGTGGATCAAAGGAGTCTTCATATATATATATATATATATATATATATGAGAGAGGGAGAGTGTGTTCCCATTCTCAGGGCCATGATGTGATGGTGACGGCCAGGACTTACACTATCCGACAGCCGTTAAGGAGCTTCACGCCTGAAGGTAATTTTGGCGCCACGAACGCGCCCTACGTCGTTGAGGACCCAGATTAGCCAAAATGCAATGAGATGTATCTGTCTCTCCTCCCGGCACGGCTTGATGAAAGTTGTGTGTGAGAGAGAGAGAGAGAGAGAGGAGACATACCCTCTGGTGCAGAAAGTTTTCAAACTCGTCCATGGTCAAGGGATGCTCCTCAACAGAGTTGTAGGCCGGGTCCTGGATTCTCCAGATTAGCCACTGGTATCTTTCAAGAGACCCTCATTATGCCCATGCAACATCAAAACTACACTCTTCTCCCTTCCCCTCCCCAACTTCCACCCAACTTGGGGGAGGCAGGGGAGAAGGCGACAAGCAAAGCGAAGAAAGAACGATAAAAAAAATCAAAAAAATCCATGGCGCTCTCGAGGCAGATTTATTGGATGGGGGAGGGGGCACACCGAGTAGTTGAAGATCTCGAGGTAGCTCGTGGCCTCGATGACATTCCTGCAGGAGCGGACATGGTCCTGGAAGAAGTAGTCGTCCATGCCGAGAGGGGGCCCGGTGGCGGCGGCATGGTCGTCGGTGTCGCCCGTGTCGGTGGTAGCCGTGTCGCTGTATTTGGCGAGGGCTTCCTTTCGATCGGCCCAGTCTGTCCAGGATGGTCGGATACTCATCTGGGGCGGCTGGCAAGGAAAAGAGCCGGGGTGGTCGGCGTACAAGGGAGGGGGGTGTGTGTATGTGAGGTCAAGGTGAAGGAGGATAGTTAGTATAAGAGGAAGGAAGACTAGGGATGAAGAAGAGACGCAGTCAAGATCAAGTGTCAAATATCTTTTTGTGGAGACGGTGAGGTTCCGTGGGGCCTGTCATGAGTTGTTGACAAGGAATGCAAGAAGCAAAAGGCAAGAAGCAAAAGGCAAGAAGCAAAAGGCAGGAAGAAAAAGTGCGATAATCCAAAAAATGGTGGTCGAGATTCCTCCAAGATGATGTTGCAAAAATGTCGGTCAAGAGATAGCTCAGGCGGCGGCGGCAACGACCCCAGACTCGGCCACAATGAGGCGAGAGGGAGAGTTGAATAAGCCCTTGTTTGCTTTCATATGTGTGCGTGTGGATGCACTGCATGTATGTGTGTCTAGTAATGCTGTGGATGGACTGGACGAAAGGTATGGTACGTATTGAATTGATGCACGTTGGCAGGCTGTCGTCCACATTCTTCTTCGGCTGTCCTTCTTCCTCGCTTGTGTTTTTTTTCCCTTCTTGTTCCTCTGTTTCCCCCCTCCTCGGCCATAAACGAAGGAAAAACGCTTGGCTTGGCTTGGCCCGCAGATAGATTATTAAGAGATAAAAGGCCCCGTAGATAATCGCGGGGCATTGGACGATCTGCCCGCCGCCACCAAAGCATGCAGCATGTACTGTGGCGGTAGCAGCATGCAGCAGGAAGGAAGGGGGCGAGCCGCAAGCTACTGTAGTTGGATGGGCAAGGTCGTCCGTCCCTCAGTCAGGTCAGTCAGCCATCAGAGCAAGGGGGAAGGAGACAGGGTCTAGAACCCAGCCATCAAGAATATTATATGTGGTTCCTTCCCACTCTTCATGGTCAGGTAGGGCAAGAAAGAGAAGGAAAGCAGAGAAGTAACAACCAAAAAGAAGAAAAAAGATATATTCACCTGCCTACCTGATCGGCCAGAGATCCTAGAGAGAGCATTCACATGTTGAATTCAATTGAAATCGAATCCACCTTGATCTGGCTGTTCTGGGCCATACTGTATGTACGGCATAGTTAGTAGTACATACACACGGTACTTCTTCCATTGTCGGTGGCCGGTAGCGAGTATTAGTGCGGCGGGGATTGAGGAAGGACCTACTCTTACCATTTCCCTTTTGTTCCCATGTACTTGTAGGGTTGAAAACAAAAAAGATGGCCACTGCTTGCCACGGCGATCTGCTGACGGGTCGAACACCAAATATGCAGTAGTTTCTAACTTGGCCCCCCCGAAAGGCCGCAGCACAAGCTTCTACCATAGTATAGCAATCCGGTCACTCAATCACCCCCCTGGCCAAGGGATCGATCTTCCTGGAAGGTTAACTGGTTCGATCCGACATAAGTCGGTGAAGAGGGACGACGAACGAGGCATGTATGCATGCAATGCCCATGCAATCAGATGCCGACTACGAAAGAAACGTATGCCCTTCTTCCCCAGTGCCGACTTCACATAAATCTCAAAACGGCTGGCCCATACGGCTTGTCCCGCCCCCCGTTTACCGTACGCTGTCAAGACTTGGAACCAACGGACGCACTTTTTCGGGGGGGGGGGGGCAGGTAAGCGTCTAGTAAAAGAAGGGCCCAATTTTGAAGGAGAAGGAGAGAGAGAGAAATGGGAAGAGTAAAACGCACCCAAGCCCAGCCCGCACTGCTCTTTCCCTCCCTTACCGAGCGGCAGCGCCTTCTCCCCACCCACCACTACCACTGCCCCCAGCAGAGCTAGCATGGCACTGAATGCGGGGTGATCCTTGCGGCTCAACCTCTCTCCACTACTTGGGGAGATCGCATAGTAGCTTGTGGTCACGTAGAATACACAAGTACGTACAGTACTCAAGTGATGCGCAGATAGGTAGTACTATGTTAGATGTGTGGGCCTGCATGGTCATAGCGCAATCTCCTTCCTTTTTTTCTTGTCTCTCTCTCACAATTTTTTTGGGGGGGGGGGTGGGAAGAAGGGGGGGGGGGGTTCGAGAGGGGCAGGATGAATTCGCAGCCTTATGTCAACTCCGCTCCTTCTGTCGATTACAAGAAATACCTCTCGTCTACCCTCCGAGATCTGTTGCCCTCGACCCGAGCACAAACAACCCAAGCAGGACGAGCCTCCCTCCTGCTCCTCCTCAACGGTGAGCAGTGATCCGCCGGGGATGCAGGCGGATTAATAAACTCAGGACGGCATCTCCGAGACATCCCTCTTTTCCCCTGTCCTTCCCCCGTTACCTGTCTCTACCATAGTAGCGAATGAAGATGGTACAGGCAGATGGAGTGGGTGGTACAGGTGTCCAAAAAGTCTTTGAATTTAATAAGCTGCTGCTCCTCATCATGAGGCTGGCTTTCTTGTTTTGCCCTTCCCATTTCCGCCTGTGTATGCCTGCTATCCGATGCGATGCTTCTGCGGCCTCGTATAGGGCTGATCAGGGTGATCAGGTCTGTATAAGACGTGTTCATGGTGAAACGTAGGTGATGTAGAAAATAATGATACTTCCTTTCTCTCTCTTTCCGTCTCTCTTTCTCTCTTCCGCGTACCCAAAATTTCCTCTGCTTACTCCATCCGGCGGCGCACTTTCTTTCTTTTTTTTTTTTGTTAATGTATGCCTCGCAGCGTCTTCAGGACATTCGCCCAAGAACACACTCCAACCATTTCCATCTTTGCACCTGCAGGCTGTGAGGAACCGAGGAAAAAGAAAATACGGCCAAAAAATGAAAAAGAAGAAGGAAGACCCCCACAGGAAGGAGAGGAACGCATTGCCAGCTGCAACGTAAAAACACCAGGTCTTCTCGCACAGGCTGCGCACACTAACTGAGACAGTCTTCCTGGTACTGCTACATGACCACCCTGTTGTTTTTGGCTCTTGTTTCTCGTAGATCCCAGGGTGTTGTTGTCGTCCATCCGCACGAAGGCTAGAAATCGGGGAAGAGGGATCCGTATCTGTTGAAACAGGTTGTCAGCTCAGTTCAGCCTGACCAAGCGGGTGGGTTGCTCATCTGGTTTAGGACTTACTCGTCATTGCCCCCCGCGCCGTATCTCTCGGGGTCCTCAGGATACCTGTCAAACTGGCTGGCATCGCCGGCACCGGCCTTGACTGGTGGCGTGTACGGGGCATCGATGTCTTTTCGGGCGAGACGGTCCCATGTGACCTCGGCAAACCAGGCATGCTGCTTCACATCCTTGGGGCCGCCGTATAGGTTTCCCAGCCTCTTCGTCAGGTCCGCCGTGATTAGCCGCTCCAGCAGGTCCTGGGCGTCGGGGTTGATATACGCCGGATACTTGACCTTGCCGCGCAGGATGTTTTCGTAAATCTTCATGGGTGAGCCGCTGTCCCAGAACGGCGTGTATCCACACAGCATCTCGTATATCAGAATCCCTAGTGACCACCTGCAGCTCGTCTGTCAGCGTTTCTCTCTACGTCCCTCCATTCTCTGCTTCTCTCTGCCCCGATGGGGGTGGGTTGGGGGGTAGCATACCAGTCCACCGATTTATTGTACCCCTTATTCGACACGACCTCCGGCGCGAGGTAGTCAGGTGTGCCGCAAAGTGTCCATGTCTTGTCTGGCACTCTTTTCGCAAAGCCAAAATCTGTGATCTTGAGGTGGCCGTGCCGGTCGAGTAGTAAATTTTCCGGCTTGAGGTCTCGGTATATGATATTCCGTTCGTGTAGATACTCGAGAGCAAGGGTCACCTCGGCGGCGTAGAATTTGGCGACCGGATTTGGAAAGCGCTGAGAGTCAATTGATGTGTCAGCGGAGGGATTGTCATTCAATTTGGGAAAGAGAAGGAAAGAAAGACGAAAGGAAGACATACACCGGATTTTCTCAGTAGCGAGAACAGCTCGCCGCCCTCGACAAAGTCCATGACCATGTAAAGATTCCTCGAGTCCTGGAAAGTCCCCCACAGCGTGATCAGGAATGGGTGCTTGACCTCGCCTAGCATCTTCCGCTCGTCATTGGTGTGTTCGACCTGCTTCATCTTGACAACCTGTGCCTTCTTCAGCACCTTGACGGCGTAGAACCTCTGGTTGTGCCTCGACTGGACGAGATGCACCCTGCCGAAGCTACCGGTTCCGAGGGTCCTCAGGATCTCGAAGTCGGCCAGCGAGTATTTTCCCTTTGTCTGCCTGGCCTGCTGCTGCACAACAGGCTGCTGCGCCTGTGGCGTCTGGGCAGGCGTTGGTTGTTGTTGTTGTTGTTGTTGTGACATATTGGATACCTGCTGTTGCTGTTGGAGTTGTTGTTGTTGGGGCTGCTGCTGCTGGAGGCTGGCGGCGGGAGCTGTTCCGCCGTTTGCGGGCGGCGCAGGGAATTGGCCGGGTTGATTTGAAGGCTGTTGTTGTTGTGTTGCAGGTATACTCTGTTGTTGTTGCTGTTGGGCAGCACCGTCATGCTGGGGGTGAATTAGGTTGGCGATACTCGGGAGCACACCCGGGGCGGCTGCAATCTGTTGCGGGTTGGTGCCCGGGGACGGAGAGTGCGCAGGAGGTGCATAAGGGGCGGCCAGGTGTGCAGTGGCAGGATTCATGGCCGCCTTCTCGCCCTCAGACGGCCTCGGGGCCGGTGCGACCTTCTGTTGTTGTTGTTGTTGTTGTTGTTGTTGTTGCTGCTGCGGGTCGGTAAAGGGCTGGGCGGCAGGGGAGCTGAGGTTAGGCGTATGGTCGAAGCTCCGCGCTGTGTTGGTAGGCGTGACTGGGCTCGTGGGTTGGCTGGTCGAGCTATTGGGATCACCGTCCCTCGTCCGTTTCTTCTTGAGGAAACCGAGGCTAGGCATGAAGACGTTGCGATCGGGACGGGGGTTGGAGCACGAGAAGAGCAACCGGGGCTCGTTCGACCAGGGCCCAGAGGAGAGTGGGTAGGAAAAGGGGAGGGGGGGCGGCACGGAGTGCGCCGCGGGGGTGTGTGGGCAGGGACGAGGAGGATCGGAATACGGCGGTCGTCAGCGTTATTCCCTGCTTGGCCGTCGCTGTCTATAGCACCTGAGCTGCGTGTATGTGTTGTCGTCGGTCGTGTCTCCCTTCCTCTTACTCTCTCACTCTCACACCTACTCAGTCAGTCTCTCTTTCTCTCTCCTTCGCGCCCTCTTTCTTCCTCTTTCTTCCTCTTTCCCCCTCCAAACTGATGTGGTTGTGAAATAAGAGATATAGGTAGACGGATAGGAGGAAGGCGTGTTCTGTAAGCTGCAAGAGCCCGAAGAGGGAAAATAATAGAAAGCTTGCTCGATTGAGATCCTTGGCTTTGGCCCTGAGAGGCAGGTCGAAGGGTAGGGCAAGGAGGGCTGTCAAACCCGGTTTGGCTTCCGACCTGTCGTGAGCGGAAGTTGCGTAGCTAGCTGTCTGTCGAATTGATGGACTGCAGATTCGACCATGGACAGGGAATTGTTTGAGCTGTTGGATCTGGACTGGTCGGGTTGGAATCTTCTGGTGACTCGCATATATGTGTGAGGTTGTAAGGTAGCGTGCAGTATGGGTGAGTGGCTAGCTGAGAATAGTCTGTGTCTGTGTCTGTATGCGTCCCTTGTCACGAGAATCCCTGAGACAATCTGCAGGTGGATACGTATGAGATCTTCTCTCTTTTCCTCTTCACCTCCCTAACGAAGTGACCCTCAAAAAGAGGAAGAGAAAAAAGACAGAGAGGATCAGGGGTCGGACTCAGAAGCGAGAGGGGGCCAGCGCCTGTGCCTGCGTCCAAGGTCGGGGATAATTGAAGGAGCAGAGCGGCTGTGAGGCACTTCTCAGGGTTGGTTGAACCCAGTCAGTGCAAGGAGGGAAGAAGTGTGCGCTCCGTCGCAGGGAGATGCAAAGCAGCACAAGACGGCCGCAATTGGTTGCAGACCCGATGAGAGAAAGATCTGGCTAGAGGAGGGGAACGGACTGCTCTGGACCTGTTTACTGCAGGATGATGGCGAGCGACTTTTGAGGAGCGGACCACGGCGGGTGGGACGATGGAATGAGGACGTGTGTATAAAGGGGGTCCAGGCCTTTTCCTGGGCTCTCTCTGGTAGAAAGAGAGAGCAGCCTACTTGAGGGCTGAGGACGGCGAAGTATAATGGACTGGCGACAGAGCTGGGACGGGATAGGTATTTTACTGGTCCGCAGAGGAGGCCAATCCAGTCAAAGCTGTCGCCGGATTAGGACACCTGAAAAGGACCGGGATCAAGTCGAGATTATTCGGTGTCCGGGAAAATATTGGATCACCACTGCAGGCCCAGAAAAAGAAGGGAGCAGAAGAACACAATTCACATACAGGCGTGCAGCTCTCCCAGCAGCAGGTTTGGGTTTTGGACGCAGTACGATGAGCTGTACAGCTGGGAGCAGAGAAAAGGGCTCGAGGGGGGAATGTCCTGCTTGAGAGTGGCACCGGCAGCAAGAGAAAGTTGCCTAGGTTGAGAGCTGGAGCTGCGGGCTGGAAACTGGAAGTGGCGCGCCCCTCTGCTGCGGACGGGGGGGTGTGTGTGCGGTGAGGAACAAAGGCGGGGGTAACTGTGGAGTTGCTGGAGAAGAAGGGTGGGTGCCAGGATGGAGGGGGCTATGGCTTGACAGATGGTTGCAGCATGAGTAGGAGAGGCAAGTGTGGAGAGGATTGGAGGGATTTTTGCTTTCAGACACAGCAGGAAGGAGTCGACAACAAACTGTAAGGGACCCCAAGAAGGAAGAAGAAAGGGAAGAAGAGAGAAGGAACGCAAAGAGGTAAGAGAAGAAGGCAAAAAGGAAAAGAAGGAATATGGTACAACGTGGAACCCAGTGCGATCTATGAGCTGAGTCTCGTTCCAAGACAAGACGTTACCTCCACAACAAACAAATGTGGCTTATTAACGGTAGACGAAAGCAAATTCCTGAGGGGTCAGTCGAGGAACAGACGGAGGGGGATGATTGTTTGGGGGGGGGGGTGGTTGCGATGGAGCCAGGCTGCTTTCAAGCAAGAGGGATATATGCAAAATCATGAGATAGATCTTTTCAAGAGGGAGGCGGGAAGTAAGGGAGGGAGAGGGGAAATAACACCAAAATCAACACAATAAAGCAGGCCTCTCTCTGCTCGTCTCTCAAATGGTTATTTTCTCCGTCAAAGAAAGGGTCTCGATGCCTCCTCCTCGGATGCCCTCACTTGTCTTGGTGGTTAGTGAGTGGCGCCATTGGACTGCAAGTAGTACCACTGCGTGTGTACGCAGCAGTCGGTCACCAGCTACTATGTGTGGTATGTACTATTGTACCATGGCTATTTTCCTGGCAACGACTAATTATTTCCCCCTCTTTTGCCTTTTCCCCTTTCCCTTCTTCCTTCTTCTGCTTTCTCTCTCCTTCTTCTGCCTCAATCCTCAGCCGCCAGTGAGTCCATTGTCTCTCTTTTTCTGTTCACTTGTCTCTGCACATGTCTCTGTCAACCCCGACGGCGGCGTTCATCGTGGATGGATGGATGGAACGAGATCAGTCGAATGGCGGGGGGGGGGGGGGTTTACTTCTTCGTCAGCCCCCAAGGTACGCCTTGTCTGAGGGGGCCGCGGAGCTGTTGGCTAGCCGTGCCGTTGTACTATACCATGTGCAAAGTAAAAAAGAAACGTACGGCATGGCGGCCAGCCGACTGACTATTCAGCGTTAGCGCTTGGCCATGATCGGACTTGGAGAGATAGTAGTGTCGAGATGTATGCCGGGTGCAGCAGCCCAAATCTTGATCAGGACGCTGGAGAGGGGTAAGTAAAAACTGCCACTACGGAACGATTGAACCAGGGTTTGCAGAGAGCGGAAAAGAAGAAGAACGAGGAGGAGGAGGAGGAGGAGGAGGAGGAGGAGGAGGAGGAGGATGCAGAAAATAAGTTTCAAATAAAATACTTAAACGGACTGACATCCGTTCCAGTGTGTGACGGGAACTTTTGGGGTCTGGAATCTCATCCGAAATGTGATGTACGCCCTACGTCGAGAAGGTTCAATATCCCACGCTGCAGGACAATCACACTGCACCATTATGCTGCTGCTGCTGCTGCTGCTGCTGCTCATGTTATCATCTAGCAGACAATAACAGCATATGCGGCATATGTATGTATCATAAAGTCTGCTTGATTCTGCACCTACATCAACATTCGACAGCCTGGCCTTGTGTTGGACACACACATCGATCAGCATATACATGTTACTTTTTATTTATTTTTTTTTTGATCTGAATCTTCTCCCTGAACTCCCAGGACCTGTGCAGTGAGAAAAAGAAAAGAAAAAAAGGTGAATGAATCTCCCTTCGGCACAATTGGAATGTTTTCTTCCGATCGTCACAGTCATTCATTTCCCAACACGTCCATCGTTGAACCCTTCCCTGTTCCACCCAGATGCCGCTCAAAGCCACCACTACGCCTCTTCTTCGCGCCTCTCTCAGAAACGACTTCGCCGCGCGGTGTTGGCACGCCACGCAGTATAGCCCACGTAGGAACCGCCGGCCGCGAGGATGAACAGGATGATCTTGCCAAAGAACCAAAGCCAGCTGCCGCCCTTCTTCTTAGGGTTGGGCCTCTTTCTCCTGCTGCTCCCGGGGGTGGACGAGGGGTTCGACTGGTACAGGTTCTTGGCGCTGATGGAGACGATGTCGTGGTTGTCGCTCAGCTCGCCCGTCTCGGAGCTGAAGCCCAGGTACGCCACGTTGGGGATGGCCGGGGGCTGGAAGGTCTCGAAGCACAGGATCCAGTCGCCGTCCTTCTTGTACTGCAGCTCCAGCCGGAGCTCCTTGTCCTGGAAGTACGTCAGGCGGAACTTGCTCGGCACGGCCGAGTGTCGAATGCCCCGGGCCGAGCACCCCGCAAACTCCTGCTGCTTGCCGTCCGTGTTCTTGTCGTATGAGGTTTGGCCGTCGCCAACCATCGCCATCACGTAGGGGAACACGGTGCCCGGTCGGTTGTTCTTGTACGTGTCGAAGAAGATGCCCAGCCCCTCGAAGTTGTCCACGCTGCCAAACACGGGGCCCGGTTGCGCGCGCGTCTTGGTGAGCCACATGGCGAAGCCGTCACCGAAGAGGTTGCCCTTGCCGTGGATCTTGAACTCGACCTCGATCTCCCAGTTCGTCGCGGTCAGCGGGACCTTGGACCACAACCAGCCCATCTGCGAGGGCTGGTCAGAGGTGAGCCGAATGTACCTGTCCCAGAAAAAGAGAGACACAGATGTTAGACACTGGGGCTCCGAGAGGACATGCGAAACCAACGTCGATCATCGACGATCGTCGGTCAGTATTATACGTACGCATCCGTCCTCACTACTGCATCACCTCCAAAGTCATACCAGCGACTTTGCATGTCAGAGTCGAGGTAAGGCTGGTATCAGAAAAAATTGTCAGGAATGTCAGCATGTTGATTGTCGCGTGAGGAGCTGCCGTTGCGGTCTCGGGGTTCCAACCTGTTGCAGGGTGTGGGTTCGCAGCTGTGAGGACAAAGGATTGTTAGCTATGCAGTCCACAATATATCTTTCTCTGCCCAAGGGAGAGAAGAAGAAAAAAAGGGTGACTACAAACCCCTATGCTCTTGATTGTACTCCCACTGTCATCTTGCTTATCCTGCTTGGTGGCTCCAAGAGCAAGTGTTGCCAGGCACAAGGCCGACAACCACGCGCTGAACCACATTGTCCCCAGATACGATGACACCAGAATTGAAGACCAAAGGGAGAACAGACAAAAAAGGAATTAAAACAACCAAGAGTGCAGTCAGTGTTGATGACCAGCAAAACAGAAAGGAGAGGTGGTCGGCAGTTCGCCGTAGGAGGAGAGTTTGTCCAAGGTGAGAGACAGAGGTGGAAGTGGAAGTCAGATGTCCACTCGTCAACCTGCTTGCTGCTGGACCTGGTGAACCGCTAGCTGGCCTCTTTTCTTGTAGCAGGTGTTTGGGGTAGGGGTTCTTTTGCGGGAGCTTGTGGGTTGCCTGCCGCTGGGGGGGGGCGGCGGGACCTGAGTTCTGGCCCTAGGCTCTGCTGGGGTCTGGAGCTACCCCTGCAGCACCTCACTGAGAGGCTCTCTTATGAAATACATACAGGAGGACAGGGATTGCCTGTTCCCCCAGGTGAGGATCTGGGCAGAGCAGCACCGCCACAGGCAAGGCTCTGGATTTTCTGGAAAGCGATCATCATCATCTTCAGCCTTTTTTCTTTTTTTACATGTAAACCCAATCTCTCCGAAGCTCAGCCCCCCCCCCCCCTTCCAACCATACGCTCCTCCTCCACCATGGACTCCAGCAGCCTTCTCAAAGATGCGGTCATGCGCCAGGTCCAGCTCGAGTCGAACACGGCCAATGTGCGCATACTAATGGAGGTAAGTCCGCATACAGTTTCCCTCCCGCTCTACATCCTGCTTGCTGTCTTGCGCCGGCTGATCCGAGAACTGTAGAAAATGAACGAGAACTGCTTCGAGAGATGCGTCGCTAAACCCGGATCCTCACTATCGAGTGGCGAGCAGAAATGCTTCACCAGCTGCATGGAGAAGTACATGTCGGCCTGGAACCAAGTGAACTCGGCATACATTCAGAGAATAAAACGGGAGCAAGCATCGCTCTAAAATCCACACGTTGCCCGACAATTCGACCACGATGTACGATGGGTTCTGGGATGGACATGGTGAACAACAGGAAGCGTATATTATGATGCTTTACACGGAGCCATGGCTTGACTGTGTGTGAAATCTGCAGGCAAGGTGGAGGACACAATATGGCGTATAGAAGTCGGATAAAACTCTCCAATCTGTTGAGGTCCTTTTCTGGAGGACTTTGGGTATCAAAATCTAATGTTATGGCACATCCTCGCCGTTCTTTTTTGCCTCCTCCGCTGCCCTCTTCCGGGCGAGATATCTCTCCTTGGCGCTCGAGATGTCTGTGGCCGTCTTTTGTGACTTGGACGCCTGCTCGATCTTCTTCCTCTCCTCCTCCTCCTCCTCGCGCGCCCTCTTGAGGGACTCTTCCAGCTGCGCCTCCAGCATGCGCGTCTGCCGCTCGCGCATGGCCTGCTTGCCTCCAGAGCCAAAGTAGCCCTTGGACTGGTCGCGTGGTTTCGTGCCCGAGGACGATCGGCCAGCCTCCTTGGGCTCATCTGTCTTCTTTTTTGCGCCTAGGTTCAGCCCGCCCCTCAGCAGCTCCCGCTTGTCGACGACCTCGCCCTCCTCGTTGACCACAACCTTCCCACCCTTGGCGTTGATCTCCCTTGCAATATCGGTCTCCGTCTTCTCCTTGTCATCATCCTCCGCTACCAGGGCCCCACCGCCCTTGGCCGCCTCGGCCGCCAGTTTCTCCATATCCGCCCGCTTCTGGTCGTCCCGATCGAGCAGTTCCTTGTGGAACCCCGTCATGCCGCCAAACTTATTCTTCTTGCGCTCGTCCTCCTCCCGCTTCCTCTCTTCCTCCTCGGCCTTCCTGTCCTCCTCCTGCTTCCGCTTGTACGCCTCTGTGACGAACATCTCCTTGTCCGCAAACTCGTCGCCCTCCGCCTCCCGCTCGCGCTGGATCTTCTTGAGCTCTGCGACGCCCCGGTCCCGTTCGCGCTGCTCCGCTGCCTTGGTGACGTCCGCCATGTAGCGCGACTTGCGCTGGGCGCTCTCCTTCTTCACCTCGGCCTCGCGCTGTCTCTCGGCGGCCTTGAGGCTGTCGTAGGCGGCATCGTAGTCGTACACAGACGGGTCAAGGGACTGTGCGGCCTCGGCATACTTGCGTGATGTAAGCGCCGAGGACAGGTCGCCGAACTGGCGACTGGAGTCGGACTTGGACTTGAGCTTTGGCGGCTCGAGGGGTGTCTTGCCGTGTTTCCTCTTGGATGTGCCGGTCGTTGTGTCTGTGCCTGTTGTTGCTGGTGATGTGCCGAAGCCGTCGAGCTCTGTGATGGCCACTTCGTCCTTGGGGCGGCCCTGCGCCTCATCGTCTGAGTCGTCGTCGGCTCCGCCGCCAAATGCTATTTTTCGTTTCGGAGGGTGCGGTGCTCGGGCTGAGGCTGGTTTCTTTGCATTCAGGCTGAGCCCGAAGGATAAGCCAGGCTTGCTCATGGTGCGTTTGTTTGGCGCGTTGTGAAAGCGATGTGGAAAGGCCCAAACAGGAGAGCACGCTCTTGCGTATGGCAGCCCCAGTTCTGACGTTTTGGAAGGGGGGCCGGCAGGAACACACGCACCAGCCACAGTGCCCCACCCCTGGAGACTTACTAGAGATTGGACCCCTGTCATGGGCCAAGTCTGCATTGATCAAGCGTATACGTTCAGTAGAGAGTTTCTCAGTTGTGCTATAATAATAGTACCAAGGTACTCAAGTACAACTCTTATCATCCTCCTGAAAGGAATTCCATCCACCTTCACTTGAGCTCTATAGCTTCAAGAAGGTCTGCATATCCGCTTGCCTCCAAATACTAATAATAAATTGTCAGATGAATTTGTTCAGCCAGCGGGCCACGGTTTGATAGCCGCGTTCAAACTCTCTCCTGTTCAATTCGTCATCCAAGTTGGCCCTCGCGCCCATCCAGCCATGGAACATGGGAGGGCCAAACGTCTCGACATATCCAACCCTGGGCGGCGTCTCCACGATCTGCTTCACTTTTGCGACCGTATCTGCGTCCTCACCTGGGGAGGCGAGGCAGATGTAAGGGACGTTCATAGCCTTGGTATCCTCGACGTCGAGGCCGCTTGATCCGAGGAGAACTCGTTAGCATCCACATCTGAAACGCTCTATACCACCAATTGTCTTCCTTCTTCTCTCTTCTTCTTCCCCATTAGCTGTTGACTCACCCAGGATGCGCCGTCCAGGCCACCTCAAACCTCCTTCCTTGCCCCTCGTTCCCCTCTCCAGAGACCTTCACAGCAACCTTGCCCCCCCAGCACAACCCCCCCACAGCGACATGGCGCTCGACGGCAGGGTACTTCTTCCCGACCGCGGCGCGTACTCGTAAGAGGCTCTCTACAGCAGTGCTGATGTTTCCCGGGCCAGAGCGGAATTCCTGCAGCAGCTGCTGCTTCTCGGGCGTGTCGGCGGGGATCCAGTCGTGCTGCACGTACTTGCCCTCGAGGAGATCCGGGAGGACGACCAGCGTGTTGCCCAGATGCTCGGCGAGCCGGTCTGCGCCCTGGATGGTCTGCGAGGCGAAACCGAAGACGTCGTAAATTTCTATGACAATGCGCGTCGCGTCTGCTGGGCCCGTGACGTCTTGAGGAGGAAGAATAAGAAAAGAAAACAGGATGGTCAACGTTCTGTCATTGAAAAGCCGGGTGGGTGGCTCGCTTTCCGGCCCAAATTAAGGGTTCCCTGCGGAGGTAGAGTAAACTTACACGTCTTGAACCCAGCGATGGTCTCATATCTGCCCTTCTCGCTGTACTGGGACGACACAGGAGGGATCTCCTCGCAGTCTTTGCACGACATCGTGAATGCGTTTCTTACGGTTGGAGGGCGGTAAATGTGTACAGCTCAGCTAACCTCCACACGTGAGCAGAGGAGAATGGGTAGACAAGCAGGCTTTATCAGAGACAAAGAACGAACTGGTTTTATTTGCGCGGTGATGTGCATGCCCCCCTTCCAACATGGCGTAAGTCGGGCTTGCAACCTTAGCCGAGCACGGTACCGAAGACGCCCCTCTGTCGGCCGCTTCGGCGCCGACGATGGCGATAACATTGCTGGTGATTTGCGTTTATAAATCCACGATGAAGACAGGCTATCATGATTCATGCTATGAGATCTGGGTGGAGAACGTCTTTGGCTTGGATGATAGGCGAGACTAGAATATATCTAGTGAGAGCATGAAGAAATCTGCCCTGAGAAGCATAAGACCACCATGGAGGTGCATCACCAGCTTGGAAGTAAAAAGTTTTGCCGTCTCAAGATATAGACATGCCCCTCCCCTTTTGTTACTATATGTACAAGTATATAGCATGACAAGGAAATATCTCGAAAACGCCAACGCAATGCCAGTCCTGATCTATACGCACACAACCCTTTTAGAAAGAAGAGAGAGAAATGTGAGAGAAAAGAGCATGCACAGCGCCATAGGTGACTATACAACAAGGCGAGACATGCTCCTACTACTACTGCTGCTGCTGCTGCTGCTGCTTCTTTCACTACACCAGCGCCTGTCCCATGAACATGCTCTCCTTGACCTCAGAGACGATATCCCTCCTGTCGTCCTTGCCCATGATCACAATGCCCCTGCCGCGGCGACCCATACGGCCGGCCCTGCCCAGCCGGTGGATGAAGTCGATGGTGGTGTGCGGGACGTCGTACAGCACCACATGGCGCACGCCCAGGGTGTCGATGCCCCTGGACGCCAGGTCCGTGGCGACGATGACTTTTGTGTTCTCCAGCGCGCGCTTCCCGCGCACGGGGCTCTTCCGGTCGATGGCCTCGATCTGCTGGCGGCGCAGGGGCTCGGCGGACATGAAGGTGGCCAGCATCTCGCTCTGGCGCTGCTCGGGCGTGTCCCTGTGGAGGGCGACGGCGTCCACGCCCTTGGACACCAGGAAGTCGGCGACCTCCTGCGTCTTCTCGCGCTCGTTGACAAAGACCATGATGCGCTTGACGTCGACCTCGCCCGGCACCATGCCCTCGTGCGCCGACGCGTCCCGCCCGATGGACCAGATGGCATCGGCGCACGCCAGGTTCTTGTTGTTGCGGTACGGGTCCTTGGACGCGTCGATGACGCCTAGCTGCACGCGCCGCGGGATGGCGTGCAGGTTGGGGGTGGTGATGCGCTTCATGGCGGGGAACTTGGTGGCCATGTAGGTGTCGAGTCGCCGCGGGATGGTGGCCGAGCAGAGGATGAGCTGTCGGAGGGACGGCATGCAGCGGTCCATGATGCTGGTCGTGACGGGGCTGAAGCTGCGGTCGAACAGGGAGTCCGCCTCGTCGACGATGAGGTGGGACACCCGGGAGAGGACGTTGGGGTCGGACTCGGCCATGGACGCCAGGAGGTGCGGCGTCGCGATGACCACATCCACGCCCTTGGGGTCGTAGATCCGGCGCTCGATGATCTTGGCGTCGAAGTTGGCCGAGAGCTTCTCCGACCTGAACTTGACGTAGTGTGAGATCTTCTTGGCCACGGCACCCACCTGGTCGACCAGCTCCGCGGTGGGCACCAGGACGATGACCCGCGGCCGGGCGGTGGTGGGGTGCGGCTCCATGACGGACCTGCCCCTGAACTTGGGGTCAGCCCGCAGGGCCTTCTCCTCGGCAAAACGCTTGTTATAGCGCTGAATGTCCTCATCCTCCGCCTCGGCTACCTTCAAGGCGTTCACTGAAGGGAGAAGATAGGCCAGCGTCTTGCCCGACCCCGTCTCCGCAGCCAGGAGGAACTCTTCCCTGGCCTCTGCCTTCGGCGCTCTCGCCCTGGCGCTCCGCCTATTGGCACCGATATTCTGCCCCAGCAGTGCCGGGATGGCCAGCCGCTGCACAGGCGTTGGCTTGATATCGTTCTTGTCCTTGAACACGTCGAGCAGCACCGCCTCCTGGACCGACGGCAGCAGGTCAAAGGCCTCAAAGCTCTCAACCTCCCGCACGCGGTCCTTGAGCGTCATCCTCTGCCCGTAGCTGATCGTCTTGAGGGCGCGGTGCATGCGCAGGGCCTTGAACCTGGACTTTATAGTCGGTGCCCTCTCATCCTCGCCTCTCTTGCCGCTGCTGTTGCTGCTGTCACCGCCGTCTTTGCCTCGCACGCGCGACTGCGCTATGCGGCGCATGGGGTCGATATTGGCCACCGTCCTATTCATGCCTGCGAAGGGCCCGTCCACCGCTCTTCGCCGCGGCTTCCTGTCGCCCGAGTCGTCTTGTCGAGAAGAGGCTGGCTGCGCGACGCGGTCGGACAGCACCATGCGCGAGGGTTTCTGTCGGTAGGTCGAGGCGAGCCGGCTGGCGGCGGCGGCGGCGGCCCATGGCTGTCGTGGCGGGTTGTGCGCGGCGGACGAGATGCTTGGGTCAAGAGTAAGCCTGCAGAACGGACATATCGAGTCCAGCACAGGCCTTCGGAGCATGACTGCGACTGGTGGCGACAGAGAGAGAGCGCGGACTCGGTTTGTCTTGTTGGTGTTGAAGAAGGAGATGTGGTGGTCGAGATGGTCGAGAATACTTGCAGCTCGAAAATTTTGGGTATACCGTAGTACAAAGTAGACGGCGGAAAACTAACTGACCCCTGCCGCGCTGGCGTATCATTGACAGGGGCACCCCTCACTCGACTCGGGACGAACCGAGGAATGAACAAGAGCCTTTTTCATTACACGGTACATACTTTAGCAACATGTTACATAGTAAAGTACCTTTGTTTACAAGGCTTTATCCCGTCCACCACATGCTCAATGAGAAGCCTTGCTGCATTATTTGCAACGAAACGAGTATGAAGCAAAACAAGGGATGTTTGTGTCATTGAAGACTGACTCTCCTCTCATCGAGACAAGTACCCTAGACAAGAGGCCAGATGCCTCCAACATCCACAATCAAATTTCAGCCCCCATACGTAGGTGTTTTGACATGAAAATTTCCCCATCATGATTCCCTAGCATAAGTGCGAGAGAGAGAGAGAGAAAGAGAGAGAGTGTGTGTGTGTATGTGTATGTGTATGTGTATATATGTGTGCAGACATGCAACATTCCCAAATATTCATCTGTCGCTAGTAAATATCCAACGCAAGATGGCCCAGGCCCTTAGAGTCGGCGGCTTCTCACCTGTCTTTTCATCATCGGCCCGTCACCACAGGTGGAAAGGTGCTGCTGCTCGCGTTTACTTTCCCATGCTACCAGGGGGGCACCCACGTTCCAAGTACGGTCCGATTAGCAAAAGTCATTGTCGCTTTCCAGATGCCCCTTTGTAACAAGCACTCTTTTGAGGGACTATGTGTGTGTCCGTCCCTCGGGCATCTCTAAGATGTGCCGACGAGGTCAACCCCGCCTCGTGGCCTGAACTGCACTGAAAATCATCCCTCCGTCTTTACACAGACCTTTGCGCCTTTCTATGCTCTTCTTTCGGTAATCTTGGGGAATCTGCGGAAGGAAATAAAATGCATAGTACCGACCTCCCAGCAGATTTGGATCAGTAAAACACCTCGTGCTGTTTGCGATGCTCACAGCCTTCCAACAGCGCGAGCCTGGTCTCCTAGCCATCCTTGATGCTCGCTCAAATCGACCCTCCTCTTGGTGTGCTCTGGACGTTATAGAGCCGAGCTGTCTCGCACTACCCCTGACCACTCGACTTTTTTTTCTCCACTTTTCTCACCCGGTTTGTCGCTGTTTCAGTCGTTGGCCATCTTGCACCATGGATGATCCAAGACCTGGTTGATGTCGTATCTTTGGGCCACATCGCGATTGAGCATACAACGGATCAGGTCGATACTCTCATCGCTGATGGTGTAGGGCACCCGGAGGTCGCGATCCATAATCTCATCAATGCTGTAGAATGGGTTCTCCTTGTAGATGATCGTGTACAGGAGGATGCCGAGTGCCCACACATCTTGCTCCTTGCCATTGTAGGGCTTGCCTGCAAGCACTTCGGGTGCGGCATAATCTGCGATACGCTGTCAGTCCCTGTGGCGCCGGTGATGCGGGTAGTCGTGATGAGAGTGTTTTTGAAGAGTGAGGACTCACCTATAGTACCCACAAAGACATCAAAGGGGCCACTTTTGATGTACGCCGCGCTGCCGAAATCGATGAGCTTCACGTGGCCCTCTCCGTCCAGCACGACATTTTCGTCCTTGATGTCGCGGTGTACGACCTTGGCCTTGATGTGCAGGTGATGGATTGCGCGCGCAACCTGCACAAAGATGCTGCGGCACTCATCCTCCTCCATGTTCGAGCGCAGTTCGATATAGTCAAACAGGTCCATACCCGGCAGACCATGAGGAACCATCTCAATGTAGTAGTTGACGTCATCTTCGAAGAAGTCCTCCATCTCTACAATATTAGCATGCCTGAGATCTTCTCTCCGCAGGTAGTTCAAGACGTGAATCTCCAGAGGAACGGTGCCTAGCTTCCTGTCCCTTGTCCAGGTGTCCACGAGAATCCGCTTTTTTGTGACGTATTTCAGGACCACCTTCTTTCCGTTTTCTTTGTACCTGGCGAGCTTGACTTGGCCGTAAGCGCCCTGGCCCATCTCCTCAAGTATCACGAAGTCGTCGATCGACTTCTTGAGCGGAGCTTTGTCGGCTTTTGCCCCAGCCGGCTTCTCTTGCGGCTTCTCCGACTCTGCTTTCTTTGGCGGGCTGGAGCCGGTGAACCTCGCAGCAGCGCTGGAGACAGCATCCTTGATTGACCTGGTGAGCATAGACGATGACTTGGCCTCCTTCCTAGGCTCATCAGAATCGTCCGAGGCCATTTCCGCAGGTGTGGGCGCAGGCGTTTGACCTGGCGAAGGCTGATGAAGCGGAGTTGCCGTTCCCGAAAGCAGAGGGGAGGCAGCTCCCAGGTTCGATCTCGTGGCATGGATATGCCGGGAGTAAGTAATCCACAAGGCGTAGACCATCTCACTCTGTGTCACGGGAAATCGGTCTTCAGCAATCGCAGACTCCTCGTCGCTGTGTTCAGCCAAGGTCTCTTCGTGCAACATCGTCTGTTTCTCGCTCTTCACGACCCTCATCTGAACATCGATCTTGAGCTCACTGCCGTCTCTGTATCACATTGTCAGCACTGCCAATAGGTTGGGAAATGAGGGCTTTTCAGGGAAAGACAAACCTGTGCCTTGCGAGAAGCCCCTCCGGCCGCAGAAAGCTGTTAGCAGCATCTGGACGGCCCTCGCGCAAGCCCAGGAACGCAGATGCCTTTCGGAAACTATGCTCAGGCACAACAATTCCATCAACCAGCTGAACGCCATCCTCCTCGGTTAGAATCCGGAGGATCTTGGCAAAATCCGGTAGGAGCGAGGTGATCGCCATGCCGTCGGACTTCTCGTGGCCGAACAAGGCGCCGCAAAATACCGAGTTGGAGCTCTTGATGGCCAGTGTCGCTGGATTGATGACGACAATGCCTGCGATATGTGGGTAGCTGGAGACGCGGAGCTCGGTCTTTCCCCGTACCTGTTCGACGGTCGCTGGGATGTTGACTCTGTCGCAGTTGCGGCAGGTGTAGTATTTTCGCTTCGCGATCTGAGCGTAGTCGATGGCACCGTATCTGGGGTCGATCCCCTGCCGCGGTACACGTGGTATCAGTTTCCCAACATCTGCCCCTGGCTGCAGGTTCTCGTCTCCCCAGATGGACCTCAGGTTGCCTGTCAGCTTCGTGACGGTGCCCTCCTCGTCGAGGGTGACGTATGCAACGTCTTCATGAATCTCCTCAAGCACCCATATCAAGCCTATGCGTTTCTCCTTCACCCACAGGCTCGCCGATCCTGTAGCGCCATTGCGCTTCTGGATGGGGACGACATCTCCGCACAACAGGACACCCCTCGACTTGTTGCTCTTGTGGTTCGAGTGCCCTCCACCACTGACCCTGGGTGGGCGCCAGTCGCCGCTGTGAAAAGTCTCCGGTCGCCTGACAGAAGACATCTTGGGGGGTGACGGGGAAGGCTTTTGCTTTTTGCGCTGTTGCTGTGTCCTTGAATTTGGCTTGGACAGAAGTTTCGCAGTGATACCGCCGCCACGGGCTCCCAGAAGACTCGGTGACACCGTCTTTTCCTGGACGACCTCTGGTTCCACATCGACCTCGATCTCGCTTTCGAACTCACCGTGCTTGAGCTTGTGCTCCAGCCAGGATCGTCTCTCTTCCTGCACGACCTCTAGAATGCCCATCTTTCGGACCTCGGCCTTGGTGACACCAAACACCAGGCAGGCGAGGTCGTTGGCGGCGAGGATCGTCCACGGTGGCTTGGCTTCGGTTGTGAAGATCGCCTGCGCAGCTGGGACCCACCTGCTGGAGTGGCCATGTACCGAGGATCCTATCGTGCTGGTGTTGTTGAGGGATGACAGGGAATTAGACATTGCAGGAGAAACCAGGCTGTCAGCGTACCCGGACTGTCCGGCGACGTAGGGTTGCGCCATGGCATCCATGAGCTTCAACTGCATCGACGCATGTGCGGTATCCGTGTACGTCCGCCTCAACATGCTCGGCCTTCTCGTTTCTGGAGGTGAAGTCTTCTGGGTGGTCCCGCTCTCGTTGGTCGGTGTCCTTGATGAGTTCTCCGAGCTATCTCTTTCGGCCGCGGCAGAGGATACCGTCGGGCGAGGCTCTGGAGTTTTGGCTAAAGCTGCAGCCTTCCCCTTCTTCGACCTTGGCAAGTGGATCTCAGGGGCCCGGGTGGCGGTCGGGGGGGATGACGACGGCGTCGTCTCAAAGGGCTCTGGGCTCTCGGTCCTGGGGAAGAAATCCTTCTCGAAGACATTATCTGCAGACAAATTGGCTGGCCCGGTGAGTGGGCCGTTGGGATGTGACGGGTCGTCAACGCCCACGAGGTTGGCTTTCGCCAAAAGGTCTAGCATGTTTTGTGTTTCGACATCACCCGAGACTCTTGCCTGGGCGCTCGCCAACGCCGGGTTGGAGCTGGCTGCCCTGCCTATCCTGTCCTGCATGTATTGTATGGAACGCTTCAAAACATTGTTTCGGTTGGCTATGAATTCTTCCGACTGGTGGGCGAAGGAGAAGGAGTGCAGGGATTCGGATGGGAACCGGTTCAGATCTTCAGACATGATGGCGGGCGAAGAAGGACCTGAGGCCAAGGCCTGCAACATGGTCATAGACGTCGAGCGGGAAAGGCTGAGCGATGGACTGCGCGAGGCTGGGTTTGAGGGTCCGATTGTACCGGCGTTGCCACCGCGATGTTGCGACTGGCGTATTCTCCGAAGCCCGGACAGCCCTAAGCCATGATCATGGTCCGTCATAATGGGGGATCTGTTCGCGACATGACGGATTAGTTCACTGGCAAGTGAGGTAGCATGGAAGCATAAGCAGTCAAGAAGACAACAAAAATCTCCATGGCAGCAGAGGAGAGAAGGCCGACGCGGCAGGAGGCGCAGTCACAAACCACACAAGGCAGTCGGGCACTCGGTCAGTCACAGCAAAGCATGTGTCAGAGGATTGCTGAGTTGGGCTCTAGCGACGCACGAGGACAACCTTAAAAACGTGACATGGAGGGACAAGACCGCGGCGAGGCCTGGAAAAGGAGGGTGGGATTTTGGAGCCGCCTTACCTTGCAAAGCTTCCGTCCGTCGCTGCTGACCCGACATCAAACGACATGCGCATCCGAGCCTTTTCGGAGTTATCTGGGGGTATGACGGCCAGATTGCCCGTGCTCTTGTTCTTTGGAATTCCCAAGGGCAGAGATAGGGCATCCGAATCTCTACCGCGACCTTGGGATCCGACTCCTGCAACTGGACCAACATCAGCATCAATCATGATCCAATATTTATTCGTCTTTGCATCCCGGGCCAGTGACGCCCCACAAGGCGCCCTGGGGCCAGAACATACCATGTTCGCGATGATCCTCCTTTATCCCGAACATTTTCGACCTGGAATGGTCACAGAGGGGAAGCCTATCGTTTATCGAGGTTGGTCTGCTGAGGAGGAGTTGTCAAGACCAGCGGAACCGAGCTTCTTTAAGAAGCTGGCGCGAAGAGCGCGTTTTGGGCTGCGATCGGTCGGTCGGTCGGTCGGGCAAAAAGACAAGCTCAGGGCCTCGTCGCCACGCAGCCCAACCCAGACCAGAACCGCAAAAGGGTTTGTCTCGACCTCCCAGTCTCGCGGTAGACGGGGGCACTCTCTCAAGTCGGCGAGCGATCGTTCGGTAGGCAGATCGAAGGCATGAGGTTCGCGGGGTGGGTCAAGGTAGACTGCGTTGCGAGGAAAACGCGCGGGTGTTGAGTCGTTCTATATCAGCTCGACGCTGGTCGTCGTTGGCTGTCTCTGACAAACAAAGCACCGATGCCACCCCAGCTGCAGTGGACGTGCGGGTGCTCACTGCAAAGACCTGCAGACGCGCGGGGGTATAGGTTAGGTAGTAGGTGCGAAGTCGTCCGTCTCGCGTAGCGCGGCGCAAGACTTAAAAACAAAGAGAGAGAAAACCACCAAAAAAAAAAATGGACAAGACAAAACAATGAGGAAATGAAGAGGCAAAAAAGGTTAATACCAACTCTAGAGAAATGGGTATCTCTGAGGACAGGAGGACGACGCTGAAGTGAGGCGAAGTGAGATGGAAGTAAAGTGTGCAAGGAAAAAGAAAGCAATGACGCTTGGTCTCGTCCCTGTCCCCCTCTAGGCTGGGCTTTCTCCAAACAAGGCCCCCGCCTCCTCGTCCTTTTCTATTTTGGGCCTTGGAAGCTAAACCATCAATTGCTCAGGCAATCGAGTCTGATGGTGAGATATAGGCCGCCGGCTGTCGACAATACACCATTTAATAGATTTCGAGATTTTGGCACGCGAAGGTAAGGTATATAGATGTGGGAAGATTGGAGGTTGGATGTCGAGGTCGGTGTTTGGCGAAAATCTTCAAACACTAGAGGTGGCGTGAGACCCAGGGTTGCTCTTCCGAGTTCCATCCAGAGCGCGACCACAAATTGCGTTTGATGCAACGAAGCAGGAAGAGAAGAAAAATGGAAAGGAAGAAGAAAAGGGAAAAAAGAAGAAGAAAAATTAAAAATGTCCCGTCACAGTGCAGTGGAGTGTTGTCTATGCACCTCTGAACCTTGTTACTGGTTGCGCCCAAGGAAAACCAGAGGTTTATTTTGAGGCTTCTCGAAGGCCTGTAGGATGACAGTATAAGGTGGACGGTGCCCCCACTGCGATTGCATGATACTTCCAACTATGGCACACCAGGACCAGCAGCATACCATGGTAGCATAGCAGCAGCAGCACCATATCATGGTCATCTTCCTTCAGCGTTCCTCCTCTCCGGCCATGGACACGGCCCGCGGTATCTTTGTCTCAGACCTGGTCTGCACGCATTTGGCCCTCCTGTGGCCAGACAAGACTTGAGATACTCTGGGTTTTGAAATCCTGCGACGACATTCTCATTGCAAAGCACATAGTCTGAATTGACGAGCTCTGCCCCTGTGAAACATACAGGCTATCTCCCCAGTGGGCCGGCCTATGGACCCTTTCACCTAGGACAAGAAGTTTTACTATACGTACGAAGCTGGGCGCAGCATGTCGCCGTACGCGTTCAACTCGGCAGCACATAGCCGCAGGACAAGCACATTATGTGCCATAGTACATACTAACCAGCACGTGAAAACGCCTCGTGTTGCGGTTGCGCGGACATGATCGCCCTCAGGGAAGACCCTTTCAAATGGGGCCAAGCCCCTGGACGATCTTGGCCCGTCCGCCCATTCGATTTATGACTTGCCATATTTACGAATCTAACAAGAGCCCATTGTGGGTATTTTGGCGCCTTCTCAGAAGAGCCATTGAGAGGTCCAGAAAATGGCATTAATCTGCTTGCTCCTTCGTGCCGGCACTGTTCTTGGACATGCGGTCGCCACAATCTCTGCCCCGCCAGCCGGCCACTATCCGGCATGCCCGCCCCCTCTCGCGACCCTGACGACGATCTCTTGCGGGGGCGGGCGAGGCGTAAGAAAGATCCATTAGTCTTCTAGGAGGCGGCAATTGCTCGGTCCTAGAACCCCGAGGAGGGCAATAAACGTCTGTTCGTACGGCCGCAGAAACCCGCCCAGAGAATGTCTCGCGGAGGAACAAAAGGCTACAGCAACAAAGGCGGGGTGCTCGGCTGAGCAGCGTTTTGCTATGGTATCTCATTCTCATACAGAAAAGAGAGAGATAACAAAGGGAGAGAACCAGAGAACCAATCCTTCAGCAGGAAAAGCAGATAGGGAGGTGAGACATGGTCTTTTTGTTTCAGTAAAGATGGGCGTCACTAGACCCCTTTACATGCGACCCGGTGCAACGAACGGTTGTGGTGTCAGCTGGCACATGCTGGTTGCTCACCTCCCCGTCGTACCATCAGAGCCGTCCTGCCGCCTGCAAATGAGAACGTAATACAAGTTCAGAGCTGACAGCTGACCAGGGCCTTGGGGTCACGGCCACGCCTTCCAAGCTAGTCTCACAGTGAAATACAGAATTGCCTGGTTCTAAGAATACCCATTTGAGCACCTGATTTTGAGATAAACTGGGCACATCATCTCTGGTTTTAGGTCTCCGATGATTTACATATAGAGAAACCAGGTGATAGTTGACAGCTCCCGAGTTTCTTCTTTTTTTCTCTTCCTCCCAGGGTGGAGGGGCACTCGCTCCTGAATACAGCATCTGGCCGACTCTTGAAGGATCTGGCAAGGATCAAGGGGGACCGACTGTCGTGTGCTTGCAAAGAAGAATAAAAGCCTCATGGGAACCAAGTCAGTTGGTGGAAAGGCGATCCAAGATGGCGGCCTACTGTAGGTGGTCTTGGGGGCGGGGGGTTAGGTCGAAGAGGGCGAGGAAACTACCAACCGGGGAGACTCTCGGTGCACTTATCGATAGCGGGAAGGACGGCTCTCCGGCCCCTTTTAACCAGTAGGACCCGCCTGAACCCCACCACCTGCATGCCCCGCGCTGTCAGGTATTGGTGGGGGATTCTGTAGCGAAAAACAAGAGGTCTCTCCGCTTGCCAAGGGGCCCAGCGAACCTCAACAACGACAATGAGTTCGCTCCAAAAGGATCTTGTGTGGACGGTCAGTCAGAGTTTCATCCACGTTTGACAAGCTCCAATCAGAGGCATGCCTCATAAAAGTGAAGTAAAAAGTAAACGAATTGTGGTTTCCTTGTTACCATAGTACGAATTTGTACATTTTGTATTGTTTGGCCAAAACAGGCTGAGGCGGCAGAACTGACCTGTCCGCCACGTGGTTATGTGCTAAATGCTGCGTGTATGTTAAGTAACTCAGTGGTGCTACGATCATTCTACTACGGTAGAAGGCCCGATGGCTAGAGCTGACCTCCCAGCCCGCCTCACCTCCCACCACCAGTGCTCGGAGAATCTCAACAAGGGGTTAGCCCTTTACGTAGAAGACTGCAGCTATCATGTACATAGTACACAGCACGACAGTGTACAGGCCCGGTGGCGAGCTGGCCACGCGACTCAGGACAAACCATGATAAGGCCAAGCTAGCCACACAAACGCTCAGTTGCCCTTCTCTCATGGCACTGGCTGGTCATACGTACTGTGAGGTTTCATGCCAGACACAGGATGATAAGATAACAAACAGAGAGAGGGAGCAGGAGACCCTGCATCTTGACAGTCACAAGGAGGGTGGCCAAGAATGGTCACGAACGACGTGCTGAGGAACACACGGGACTGGTCACCTGGAAACTTCTGGATAACAGGGAAACAGATTCCCCATCTATTGTGCCGTACTGGGCCCGCGTGTCCAGACTAGTCTTACCCCCAGCCCTGTCGCCGATAGAGCTACTGCACAGGGTCCTCCTGATACGGGGCTCGGGGCTTCTTTCATGATGGAGAGGTTGGCGCGGTCTCGCCCAACGAAATGCAGGGTCCAGGTCGCTGTGAGCCAGTTCGGGTAGGTGAGTTAGGCGGTTCTCTGCAGGGGATACAGGCGGATAGTATACTAGAACGAGTGCTGTACTAGTACTTTAGGGCCCGATTAGGCAAAGGCTTAAGAGGGGTGTGGGATTGATGGGCAGAATACCATGTACCACAGTACTTATTGTAGTGTTAAGGTACGTTTACCATGCAGCTGATTCCCCAGCTACTTACTGTTGGACCCTTCTTTTTCTTCTTCTTCTTTTCCTTTCCTTTTTCCCTCTAGCCCTTTTGCCCTTCAAATGAGGTCCTCCTCATCTTCAACACTTCACTCCTGTTCGACCTCTTCTCACCCTACCTCAGCCTCGACATCCAGGACTTTGGTCCTCACTCTATATTTGCACACAAAGAAAACAAAAGGTAAGGGACACAAGCTAGGGATTCAATCGTGAACCCTCCGCTCTCAATGTAACCCGACTAGTCACAGGGACCCGATAGAATGGCATACATTAATACGAACCTGATTCCCATCTCTTGGGGTGGAGGAGAAACTGGACCCCCTCCCAACTGAGCAGTCGTCACTGACTTCCTGTCAGACCAGAATCAAAACCTCGACATCTTCTACAAAGCAAAAAGCCCACAGGTTTCAACCTGAGTCGACGCATGCGGTAGGACGCAGAGCAGAGAAGAGCAGTCCGTGCTTGAGTTCAGTGGACAAGGCCTAAAGTCAGGCATGTCCAGGGTCCAGGTCCCCTTGCAATAATAGCCTTCCTCTGCCTTCGCCCCTCACTCCTCGCCTTTGTACAACACCAACAGACCACACCCCGCTCTTTAAGATCGACACCACCTCCTCCAAATTCACTCACCTCGCCGCCACCATTTGGAGATCCTCTGCCAGTCTTTAAAACCCATCAACCCTCGCCTCCTCATCGTTAAACTTCAGGCTGTTCCTCCTTCACCGAGTGTCAATTGAACAGCCCACACGGCGAGACCGTGCTGAACACGGACCATCGGATTTCGTTGTATATGGCTGCGAACCCGCCAATGGCAGCTTGAGAGCTGAGCTGCGATCTTGCACTTTATTCCCCCCCCCCCCCCAGGCTGCTCTCTCACCACCTCACAACGCCCCTCATCCTCAACAGGCGATCTGATCGACCGACCGTGGTGGTGGTCTACAACGCAGCACTTTTAGACGCTAGAGTCTATTCGACGTACAGTAAGAAGGGGTGCACGAAATCGCCACCACCTGGAGGCTTGTTCTGACAGCTCGACTAACATCCGGAACTCCTTCTGGCGCACCCGATTGGTCACCATTGCGCGTCTTGACATCTTGGAAGAGACTGGGCCCCTCAACTTGTCAACAGCTTGTGTTCGAGATCTTTCAGACTCGTCGAAGAATCAGCGTTATTGATTACACTATGAGCAGCTTCGGAGCAGCGGCCGCCATGGCCGCCATGGACATTGGCGCTGAGGAATTGGAAGCATTTTCCAGCGACCCGGCTGTCCTGGACGCACCCTCGGTGGTGGAACCGGATATTCAGCCCAAGAAGAAGAGCACACGCCGCCGACTCCTCCAAGGGCTTCACAGCAATCTGTCGTCCCCCTCACTCTCTCGTGCCGGTCGTGCGAGATCCTCGAGCAGCCCGTACCATGGCCCCGGCAGCTTTTCCTGTGTGAGCTTGGCCTCGAGCCCCTCGCCCTTCGGACCGACAAGCCCTGGTTACTTCTCCGTCCACTCACACGGCGGGCTTTCCACTGCGCCGACATCAATCCCTGGCACTCCGGGCCATGATTACTTCGACGGCGCGGAGGATTTGCTTGCAGCTCGCAGGCTCACCAAACTAGATATGGCTGCAACTTCGACCCTCACCGTCCCGCTACCCGCCGAATTCAGACCAAGAAAGGTCATTTTCAACATATGGGAGCACCTGCCGCGGGAGATCAAACTCCAGGTTCTTGAATATCTACAGCCTAGGGAGCTTGTGCTCCTCTCAGGGGTGAACCGTGAGCTCCACGAGCTCTGCTACGATGGACAGCTGTGGCAATCGCTCGACGCCTCCGAGTTCTACACGGAGATCCCAGCAGATGCACTGGCCAAGATCATCGTAGCCGCTGGTCCGTTCATCAAAGACCTCAACCTGAGAGGCTGTGTCCAGGTCGAGCATTACAAGAGGGCAGAAGTTATCGTGAGATCATGCAAGAACCTTATCAACGCAACGCTCGAGGGCTGTCGGAACCTCCAACGAACGACCCTGCACAGCCTGGTGAGGAACAACGAGGGGCTAGCTCATCTCAACCTGACTGGGCTTACCGCCGTAACGAATACGACCTGCAAGCTGATTGCGCATTCGTGCCCGTCGCTGGAGCTGCTGAACGTCTCTTGGTGCAAGCACGTGGATGCCACCGGTATCAAGGCAGTCATCGAGGGATGCCCCAGGCTTAGGGACCTGCTCGCTCGTGAGATCAAGGGCTTTGACAGTCAAGAGGTGGCGCAGGTCATGTTCAAGACGAACAACCTTGAGCGCTTGCTGCTCAGCGGCTGCACCGATCTATCCGACAATACGCTGAAGACGATAGTTCACGGCGTCAACCCTCCCATTGACATCCTCACAGACCTGCCCATGGTCCCTCCGAGGAAGCTCCGCCATCTAGACCTCACCCGGTGCAGCAGCTTGACGAGTCAAGGTATCAAAGCGCTCGGTCACTTGGTGCCCAACCTCGAAGGTCTGCTGCTTCCCGGCTGCCACAATCTCACAGATGAGGCTCTGGAGCCAATCCTGGCCACGGCCCCTCGGCTCACGCACCTGGATCTGGAAGTATGCAGAGGACTGACGAACCGAATTCTCTCCGAGCACCTGGCCAAGGCGCCCTGCGCTCCTCATCTTGAGAATCTCTACCTCAGCTCCTGCGAGAATCTTGGCGACGCAGGCATGCTACCTGTGATTCGCAACTGCAAGTCTCTGCGTTCTGTCACGCTTGACAACACTCGCATCTCCGATCTTGTCCTCGCTGAGGCTGCTGCCATGGTCCGGCGCCGTTCGCAACGCACAGACAATCGTTCACAGAGACCACAGATTGGCCTGCACATGGTTGTCTACGACTGTCAGCACGTCACTTGGACCGGAGTCAGGGAGGTCTTGTCTCGCAATGCCGAAATTAAGAACCCCCTCAACGGTCGTGGCGAGCGTCACCAGACTTTCCCCACCGAGATTATCGCGCTGAGGTGCTTCTACGGTTGGACCATGACGGTCGACGAGCACACCAAGCGCGTGCTGAAGGGTGACCTGGCTGCTGCCAACCGCCTGGAGCGCAAGTGGGCTGATTACATGCAGGCGAACGAGGAGGCTGGGGCGATTGGAGCTGGCGGTCGGAGACGTCGTAGGAGGGCGAGGGAGGCGCAGATGGCACATGCAGATGAGCAGGGCGGTGCGGGCGCCGGCGGTGTGGGCGGTGGCAGGCGGAGGGCGAGAACAGCGGCTTGCATCGTCATGTGAGCTTGCCAACATTAGACACCCAACGCCACACAATGGGAGGACAGCCACTTCCGTCAAACATCGCAGATCGATTGGATCAAGTGAATATGGGCACTTCTGTGCTTGGAGCGTGAGTATTACAACAGGCAAGCGGGGATTGGACGGCTCATGGATATTACGAGACCGACACATATGATTTTCTTTCTTCTTCTTACGTTTTAGTCTGGCGCATCACGGAACATGGCAGGACAGGGTGGGCTGGTAGCTTTGGGACGTTTCATCCTCCAAACCTTTTCTTCTCTCCTCGTGTACTATTCATCGGCTCCTGTACTATTGTTCATCAGATTTTGACATCGCCTGGATTTCTCTGTCCCCCTACTCTAGATTACCTTTCTCTCTCTCTCTCTCTCTCAATCTTGCAAATTGTAGCATCAACCTTAGTTGTAGACATGGCATGAAAATACGGACAAAGAATTTCGTTTACAACGTTCGGCTTGCTTGATATGATCTTTTTCCCCGGGGGGGAGGGGCAAGCTAATAATTATCTATGCCGTTTTGAAGCAAATTTTCCCATACCAGACACGAACTTCATACATCCAGACCCAGCATTTCAACAGATTACCCATTTTCCCTAGTACAAAACGCATGAAGCAAGATTCACATGGCTTCCGTCGCCTGGTAGCCCCTCCCCCCTCCCCACCCCCCAACCCTGGAGTCGGAAAACATGGTGTCTTCTCTTACTGAAACCAATAGTCTCTAGTAATAGATCCAGTCCTGTCATTATGATGCTCGTTTTGTATGTGATTGACGCCTCATTCCTAGAACAAGTCCTTTCTCTGCGGCAAACAGTCTGTCATTTGGCAAGCCGTATGCCCCATGAGAAGGTGGTTCAGGCTCGTCAACCTGGCTCGAATTCGAACAGTGATCCGTTCTACGGCGATCAGGATCTTCGTGTAGTGGCTGGCCTATTTTGCCAGAGTTAAGTCTCAGGGCTGCTAGCTCGGATGACAGGCGAGAGTTTTCGAATGTTCAAGTGTATGGAGATGGCTGCAGGCGAGGAGGGGTTGGATAAGTCTGCTCATGTTGTTGTGAATAGCAAGCTAAGATTATAGGAGTTGATATCAAGCAACTTGTCGACTTTATTTGAAAATGAAGTAGGACACTGGCATGGACCCAAGCCAAAGGAGGTTTAGGGGCCCGGGGGGGGGGGGGACCTTGATCATCGTTGCTGAGATATAAACCTTGAAGGTGTTTCCCCGGCGGAGACGAGGCCTGCTGGTCTGGAGGGCCTCACTCCAACTTTCACAATGTCCGACGCAGAAGGGATACAAATGCAGCAGGTGTCGCTATCGTATTGATCTTGAGAAGCTCAATTGATCTCAGGATTCGCCCTGAAGTTACACCGACAGCGACACTCCGGCACAGGACACTCATTGTGTCTCGCAAACCACTGCCGCGCATGGTCCAGGTGCAAGACATGCTCGCACTTCAGACAAAAAGTAGGGAACCGCAGGGCCAGCTTCGTGGCGTCCGGGTCGGCCGCGGTGGATGGCATGTCCGACCGTGGCACCCCGACGACCTCGAGACAGACCACGCAGCGCGGCAGGTGTCTGTTACATTTTGGACAGGTGATGCCGGGCGCCGCCATCTTCTCGCTATACGAGGGGTTGTTATGACTGTGGGACGACCTGCCATTGGCGTGGAAGGGACCCGGTATGCTGCCCGCCGCCGGGCCGTGGCTCACGATGTTGGCTGACGACGACGCCGCCGATGTCTGCAGCAGCGAGGTCTCGGCGTCACAGTAGACGCACCGCAGGGCTATCTGGCGCGAAGGCGGCTTGATGGTCGGCCTGCCGTCGCGCTTGCTGCGCTTGGTGCTCTCGACCTCGAACTTGGTGCGCTGGTAGAAGGCCTTGTGGCGCTGGAGGTACGCGCGGTAGGCATTGCGCCAGGCCGTGCAGCGGTGATCGTCGATGTAGCGCGGCGCACAGAAGGACATGATCAGCGTGGCAGTCTGCACGTCATGGAACTTGGAGACGTAGGTGGCGAGGATGTCGACCGTCTTGTCGGTAATTCCCGTCAGGACGATACCCTCTATGTCCCCTTCCTCGATGGCCTCCTGCACCTCGGCGGCCAGCCACTCGGTGAGTTGGTCATCATCAAAGTTACGCACCGCCACAAAGGTGCGGTCGCGAAGCGGCAGAGAGCGCTGCGTGGCGATGGCCGCCCAGTCGCCCGTCGCGATAAAGGATGAGATGGCCCGGAGGTACGGGTCCGTCTTGGCAGCAATCACCTCGTCGAAGTCGAGCTGTTCTGCAGCCTCGCTCCGATCCGCCCTGCTGACGAGCTGGAGGGCCAGGGAGACGAAGAGGAGCTTGGGATGCGCCTTGCTCCCTTCCTTTAGGATTCGGATGGCTTTCTGCGCGTCATCTCGGAAGAGCGCGAGGGCCGTCATCTTCGTATACCATGACGCGCCTCCTTCGGCGTTCTTGTAGTCCACTTCACCATCCATCAGGGCATCCTCTATGGCAGTATCGGCACCCCATCCACATACGTCGAGAAGCAGTTGGCGGTGGTGAGGTTTCTTGGTGGCGATGCCATCGAATTCGGGTAGATCGCGTCTCTTACAGATTGCACTGATGCACCGTGCCCAAGTCGCTCCGTCCGGAGGGCCTGAACCCTCCGCCAGCCGCAGTGTTGGCCTTTCGCCTGCGCATGATTCGTCAATTAAGGTGTATTCCATAAGAAATGCCAACAGAGATTCCTCCTTACCAAGATACTCTGTCCAGATCGCCTGAACGCCTAGAAAGCCAAGATCAAGAGGGTGGGCCAGCATTCCGCCATCGAGGCAGGCTTCCTCGGCGTCTAAGTACATCCCATTTTAGTCATTCTCAGTTCTTCAGTCGGTCTATTACATCAGCTTCGTGAGGAAATGAAAAGTGCATATACCTTCTATCCAGCCCCACACGTCTTTTAACCATGGATCGTCATCTACAACCGTACGATTCACCCTGCAATCAAACAGGTACTTCTCCTTGGCTCGGGAGAGCATGGTGTGGTCCAGGACAAGCTGCGCAGCTCTTGGGAAGCCAGCAGTCTCCATGGTTGACCTGAGCAGGCTTTCGTGGAGAGAACGACTGGCGACGTTCGACGACTCTTCAGGGAGGCCTTCTTGCAGTTTGATTAGGGTCATCGGCCCGTACAGCGTCAGGTCCTCCTTCTCAGCGAGGTCTGGGTTGGTAATCCCCCACTTGTACCCCCTCAGGGCCTTGAGCTTCTCGCTAATCGTGCTGGCACTGGTAAACGTCTCTGGCAGAGGGACACTGCTCGCCATTTCATCTTCCAGCCGCCCATGATCGGCCGTGAAATCGCCTCGGGCCCTATCAGCCATGGCGGCAACACTGGCCCTATCCGGCCCAAAAATTGGGAGGTTTGACAAGAAATTTTCTAAAACGAACGGGCCCAATGTATCCTTGGCCTGGTTACTTTCGAGACTTAGGATATTATGATAAGAATCGCCATCTGTATCGTAATTAGCTTTCCAGACTCGAAATCAGATGAGCAGTGGTCCAGACCATACCTGCCAGATCTCGGTATGGTGCCTGCCACGGGGTCAACTTGTAAGGGTACATTCTTGTAACACAGGGTGCTTCTAGAATTTCCAATGCCCCGTTGTTGCGCAGGACGAGTAGTCTCGGTCCCAGCCAGGGAGAGGGCGAGGTGACCCAATCAAATGAGACGATTCGTTCGTTTTTCCGGTCCGTGTCGGTATAGAAGTTGTCCATCTCGTAAGACCTTCGAACCTGCAGCAGCTGGGGGCTCTCCAGCTCGGTGTTCCCTGGCGCGTGCCCGGCCTGCTGTGTCGAGAATACCTTGAGCTGGCCAGTTCGAGACAGCACGGCGAGCATGCCTCTCTGGTCCCGGCAGTAGCCCAGCTTGCGGATAAGAGAGCTCCTGGAGCTCCTGGCCTGGGGGTCTCTCTCCAGCTCCATCGCCTGGGAGAGGCAGAGTGCGCCGCCCAGTGGCATGTTGTCCACATCGACAGCCTCGAGATACGCTAGCGACGCCACGGTCCGGCTGAGCGCCCTACGGTCCCACACCATGACGACGGGTGAGTCGAGAGCAGAGGAGGCAAAGTAGTTCTGGTCGGCGTAGTCGATGGCGAGGTTGTTGTTGCACTTTGTCTGGAAATTGATGACGGAATCATAACCTTCGCGGAGGTCGTGTATTCGCAGCCCGGACCCCTTCATGCCAACGACCAGCGTGTGAGGATTGTCCTCAAAGAACTTGATGCTCGAGATAGACGCATTGTGTTCAAGGCGCTTCCACGGATCTCTGGCGATCAGGGCGCCGGATGGGAAGCCAGGGCCGGTGTCATGGATGGTTGAGAGGCGATTCACGTCCCAGATATGGAGACACGGGTCATTCCTGACCCTGTCCAGTCCGACAGCCAGAAGACCGGTTGTGTTAAAGGCCACTGCCAGGCAGGTCCGGGCCACCTTGGGAATGAGCTCCTTGTAGTCGTTTGAACCGTCATCTACCCTCAGAAGGTTGACAATGCCAGTAGACGTGCCGACGGCGACCAGGCCCTGTGCCGAGGGAGACCAGTCGTAGGTGGTCAAGGGCGGGACCTCGTCGTGTTTCGAGATCTTGTCGTAATCGAACCGCCCGTGCTGCGCATGGCCAGTGGGACGGTAGAGCTGAACAACTCGATGTTGTAGGTTCAGATGAAGGAAAGAATCGTGACTGGCGTTGGGGGACCATTTGATCAGTCCTGGCTCGGGGCGATCCATCGTCCCTTTACTATGGACGCCCGCCTCGAAAAGAGTGTGGACAATTTCTCAAGCAATTGATAACTCAAAAACCACAAAGATCATACATATCCCTGCGTGATCATGGACTGTAAAGCGTTGGTTCCGTTCATTTCTCATATTGATCCATCTCAAGTATTGTGTTGGTCGTCATCAAACTGTCAAAACCAAGGAAGGTCTGATCAGTAACCGCGAAAGAGTCGACTAAGGTGCTCCTTGAACGTTAGTTGCGTTAAGCCTTCTCCCTGTCTCTTTCTCTATAAGCTACGCCTCACCCACTATCAACACGCCCCTAACCTAGCCCGTAGTGGGCCTGTAGCGGCAGGGAGCCCGGGGGGGCGGGGGGGGGGGGGGCACTGCCCCAATGCCTGGCAGGTATTAGTATAAGCCTGCTGATAAGATAAGTTAGTACTGAAATTCAGGGTATTTCTTCGAAAGTCAAAAAGAGAATTTGAACGCAACCAGACATTGAGTCGAGAAGCACACTTCCTTCGTCCCAGTACATTCCCCAATCCACCAAAATTCAGCTCGTAACAATCTTCCACGGGTTTTCTTGCCCTCGGGAAACCTCAAGATGGGCTCCAAACGATCCTACGCCGAAGTCGAGGCATCGGCAACAACGCGCGGTGCAGCAGCGAACAAGAGGAAGCCCTTCAATCACCAACACAGCAGGCCTAGGGACTACAACAGCAGCAGCAGCAACGCCCCACAAAACCAATCGCTCAACGAGATCAAGAAGCGCGCACGAGATATAGAGCGATGGTTTGCAAGAGGTGGCGACATGCCGTCAGATGTCCAGCGGAATCTGGAGCTGGAGCTGGCGCACTGCAAGAGACAGGTCGAGGACCTGCAGCACAAGAAAAAGCGGAACGAGATGATCTCCAAGTACCACAAGGTCCGCTTCTTTGGTACGTCTCCTCCTCGCGTGCCCCTTCCACAGGAGTGGTAGACCTGATAGCTAATGTGAGAGTTTTTATCCACAGAGAGGCAAAAGGCCGAGAGGTTGAAGAAGCAGCTGAGAAAACGCCTTGACAAGGCCACCGACCCACAGGAGAAGGCTCTGCTCGAGGAGGACTTTCACAAAGCCGAGGTTGACTGGTATTATACAAGATATTTTCCCTTCATGGAGCGCTATATTGGTCTCTACCCGGCAGGCAAGGCCAAGGAGGATTCTGGCGAGGACGAGCCTATAGCAAAGAGAGCCCTGCACTCGGAACGGCCACCCGTGTGGAAGGAGATCGAGGAGGCTATGGGGCAGGGACCACGCGCGTTGGAGCGGATTCAGGAGCGGCGGCCAGAGAAGCCAGATGCTGCTGCGGGTTCTCCTCCCCAGGCGGAGGTGCTCACATCGGTTCAGGCCACCGGCAAGAAGTCGGAGCGCAAGCAATCGAAAACGGAAAAGGCACATCAGAACACGAAGGCTGGTGTCTCCAAGCACCAGGACAAGAGGAAGGGTTGGCAGAATCATGCAGAGACGGAGGAGCAGGACTCGGGAGAGGAGAGCGACTTTTTCGGCTGATGGAGTTGTTTCTCATCGCAAAGGCCTTCTCTCCTTGTTGGAACAAGTACAACAATTTTACTATTGATACCCACGAATGGCATGAAACCCAAGATTCAAGAACCATCTCTTCCTAGAGAGAATGCAGCAGAATATCTTATCAAGAAGCAAATAAGCTCATCCAAGGTCTTCTCATACCACTTCATCCGCGAAATCAAACTGCTAGCCTCCGTGTCTGATTATCACACGCACGTCCACAGTGGAAGGCTGGCATCCCGTCCCTGCCCGATCTGGCGAAGTAGGTATTGTATTGTTGTTTATTCGGACACTGACCACCTTCTGCCAGGGTTTGGTTTCTTGCTTTCTTCTTCTCCATCTTCCACCCACATCCAAACCGACCACAGCCCCTTTTCCACTTCATTTCTTTCAAGACTGCCAACAGCTGCTGTGACCCCGTACCAACACACTCAACGTCCCATTTGCTGGCAAGGCAGATTGTTGGGTGGTCTCACATCCCGCCCGGCTGCATGAGAGCTTACTTTTTACCCCACCACCCATGATGCAGGAGGCCGACCACCACGGTCCGTACGTGTAAGGAACCTACGCCCTAGGACTTATCAGAGCCTTATTTTGGGCTTCAGTTGCACCCTGCAAAGCCGTTCTCTCTCTCTATATGTATCTCTTCTCTTCCTCTCTTTCTCTTTTGTTGATACCACAGATTACATTCCAAAGCCACGCAAGAAAACAGTCCTCAAAGCCCGCTAGGCCAACTACTCACCATGACCTCAAACAACGTCTTCCCCAGCGCCGTCTACCAGGAAGTCAAGGCATGGATCGCGCGTCAGGAGGAATTTGAGGCTACGCACAATAAACCAGCACCACTTACTCCAGCACAACGGCGAGCCCTCGAGACGCTTCGTCCCGTCCCTCTCGCTGCCCTCCCTGACAATCTGAACTTCATCGGCATGCTGAATGGTATAGATACTCTCTCCTCTCCCTCTCTGCTTACTTCTTTTACTCACACCAGAGAGCGGGGGACCAAAACATACAGAATTCTCGCAGACCGATTCCTGGATGGGAAAGATACATTACACGTCAGGTGGTAGTCCCGAGATGTGGACGTGCACCGTATCGATGGGACAGGCCTTCGTCCATGGGTCAGAAGTCATCAAATCCTTTCCTGCCCCAAAATACGGCGCTGGCAAAGACGGCCAGATCCCGACTTTTAGCAGCAAGAAGGCTGCCAAGTCACATGCCGCCCAGTCGGCCGTGAACTGGCTGGTCGCCTCTGGGAAAATGGACCGGAGCTTTGCGCTCACCTACTTTGGCTCCAATGGCACACCGGCCGGCGGAGTCCAGGTCCACCAGCAGCAGCCGGCGGTCGCTGCCCCAGCACCGCAAGCGGCAGTGGTGGTTGAGAAGGAAGACAAGCACAAGAATAGGAAGGGGGAGGACGAGGACGAGGAGGCGACAGTGGTGGGGGAGGAAAGTACCGGTGGCGCGCCGCTGAAGAGGTCGTTGTCAGCGAGGACTGCCGCATCCAACTCGCCACTGCCTCCCACGCCAAAGAAACTACAGAAACCCGTGGGTACCATCGACGGCACCACTGACGAGCACGACGACCAGACCCCGCTAGCGCCTCCAACGACAGAGAGCGTTACTAGCCTCTGCAGAGAGCTCAACTTCCCCCTTCCAAAGGTCCGATTCGTCGACTCCAAGGTGGGCTTAGGCTTGCTCGACGCCTGGCCTGAGTTCGAGCACTATGGCGATGAGGAGCTCATTGGTCTCCAGGAGTCTGCCACCGTCCGGGGCCTCCAGGACCGGGCCGCACTGCAACGGGCTGTTGATGCTCGGCTGCTGAACCGGCTCAGGGCCATCAGGACCACAAGGGAGGAACAGTTCGAGTCGCTGGAGAAAATGCTTGGTAGGGATTTGTGAGGCGCACGCATACATGTCGGTCTTGTGTCTTCTTTCTCTTTTCTCTGTTTTCACCCCTTCTCTTCTCTGGCAACGCCAAGGGACGGTTTGGAAAGGAAAAAGCTGTGATAATTTATTTTACTGGAGCACACGAGAAGCACTTTGGGAAGTTTGATTTCTCCCTTGGTTGAACATTCACGGTTGGACTCCGTGGAGATTAACATTTCTTCTTCTGTCTTGAGAGAGAAAAGCAAAGACTCCCACACCAGGATGATGATGACGATGACGATAATGATAAATCCTAACGCCGTAGAAGAAGTCGGCAGTGACATCTTCTTCTATACCAAAATGGAAATTTTCTGTTACCCTCTTACATTCATAAATCCTGCGAAGTGAGTACAACTATGTCTCTCATGTGGCTACGAGAAAGCCTGAACGCAGCCCCCCCCCCCCCCAACCACAAATCATCATCACATGTTCCAAACCCTCCTTTATCACGTCCCTCGTCCTCGCTCCCGCCCTCGACCTCCCCCTCGCCCACGCCCACCTCTCCCACCTCTCCCACCCCGTCTCCCAGATTTGCCAGGTGGCGGCCTCCCCTTCAACCCCTCGGGCAGATCCGCCACCTTGGAACCATCCCTCCACAACACGCCCACCTCGTCCTCCTTCCTGCGGCCCACGACCTCTTTGAAGTACGTAGCCGGAACCAACCCTTCCTCGCCCACCCCAGCCGTGAGCACGACGCCGTTGTCGCTGACCCACCAGCTCATCGCGTCGTCCTCGAGGCTCCTCCGCACGTCGATATACACCAGCAGCTCCGCATCGGTCCGCATGCCCGAGATGACACCGGGTGCATTGTTGTTGTCGTCGTCGTCGTCGTCGACGACGACGTTGTTGCTGTCACTGTTGCGGGGCGGGCCGGTCGAGAAGTGCACGTGGTTCCGCCCCATCCGCCGCAGTCCACCGTTCTCGACGATGGACGGCCAAAAGGCAAAGTATGTCCCGTGGACCACGGTGGGCGGGATGTTGTCCAGGGTGATGGGATTGAGGAGGCCCTCGTCGTCGAGGGGGATGGAGTGGCCCTGGTTTGCGCGGATGAGCCAGTATGACGCGTCCGCCTGCTCGGCCGCGGTGTTGTCGACGGCCTTCATGGAGAAGCGCTGTTTCTCGTTGGAGGCTGTTATGTCGATGACTTCTTGGACGGAAACATTGAGGGTGCGGAGGGGGCCCCATTGGAGCTGTGGTGGCGGTGTTAGTTTGGGGATTTATAGTCAGGTGAAACTCATGAAGGAAGAAATGACACAGGCCAAACACGTGCCTCATCTTGGATAGAGAGACAAGGAGGTAAGGAGGGATGGAGAGAAGGAGATTGGCATGTAGTCTCTCACGACACTCGAAGAAGACGCCCTTAAACTCCAATCCAGAAAAAGCATTCATCTCAAAAGGACACAGAACCTCCCATAACAAGCAGAACGTCACAGCGAAAATAAAACTCACCACCTTCTCCAGCGGTGCATACCCCTCCCGATCCAACTTAATTCCCGCATTCAAAGCCTGATGCCTCAACAACCTCGACAGCGCTCGCGAGACCTCCTTCTCCCTCTTCGCCCCGCCCCCTGCGCCCTGTCCTGAGCCCTTGGATCCGCCGCCTTTTCCCTTGGCCCCATGACGGTGGTGCTGCTGCTGCTGCTGCTGCGAGACTTGCTCCTCGAGCTGCTCAGCCTGGTCGTTTGTGTCCATGGCCGTGGGTGACGAACTAGAGAAGGAGGAGCAAGGAGGAAGCTTGGCCTGGCTGATGACGAGGAGCGAAGACCGTCTTGGTGGGAGCTGGGTGACGAGCTGATGGTGGTGGTGGTGGTGGTGGTGAGGGACTGTGGCGCCTGATCTTGAACCAGACTGAGCAGCAGCAGCAGTCGTAGTGGACAAGAAACGCTGATGGGTGGCGAGGCTCTTTCGCAATGTCAAAAGCTGCATTCATGCAAGATGTGTGTCTGTCTAGGAATAAGGATGGAAGTTCTAGCAATCAAAGACTGTGAGAAGTCATGGAGTTGGGCGGTGTTGTTGCCTTTTCTTTTTAGCTCTGAAGCTGGTCCATCAAAATATGGCAAGTCCAAGCTCCTATGCTGCTTCTCTGGAGTGGAGCAAAACTTCCGCAAACAGCCTCTGCCTAAGTATTGCACTTATACATGCAAATCCAACATCAGCCGGCCTGACTCACTCAGTCACTCAAAAGACCAAGATGAAACCATTGACCTCACTTGTGTACACCGCAACATTCTACTAGTTTGGTCTCAGCCAAGTCTCCATCAAGAGGAAACGACAAAGAGCTAGACACCTTAATTTGAAATTGTTTCACTAAAACAGACTTACACATTGTAAACGATTTCTCCCTGCACAGGACAAAAACATATAGTACATTGATACAAGCTGCCTAGGAATGCACATGCAAAGACATATAATCATGAAGAAGAAAATCAATATGAAGCGGACGGACCCTTCTTTCATCATTGATTTCCCTCCCTTTACCCCCCCCCCCCCCCAAAATCAAAGTCAGCCGATGGGGTATTGATGCTGCGGTCTGGCGCCCAAAACTCCTCCTCTGCCACCACAAAGAGAGAGCGAAAGGGAGAAGAGAAGAGAGAAGAAGAGGTTGTTTTCTCGTCTCATGTTGGAGTTTCCATTCGTTTGAACTGCCCACCAGCCGCTTTCCCCCATAGACCTCGGATGCCATTAGGCGTGTCCTTCCCATCGTCTTCCACGGCCCCCATTGCGCAGATAAACGCCGTCGGCAGCCGCCGTTGATGTCCTCGAACACCCTCCCTGCTCGTAGATACCGATGCAAAGAAAAGAAGAAAAAGAGAACACAAGAAAAATGAAGTTCTGCGGATCAAACACACCCGCTGATACTATGCCGGCCCTTTGTCATCCCATGCATACGTGAAGTCTCGAGTCTTTCTGACTAAAAAGAAGAACAACAACGAACAAAAACGCCCTCCTCATGCTTTTTGAAAATCTTAATACACACCCTTGTGAACGTTCATTCTAATCATGGGCCGCTCGCGATGAGCCATAATCCGTTACACAGGCAGCAACAATGGTCTGCTCTTTTCTGCCGCAATCACCTGTAGCCGCCCACATTAGACGCCGTACCAGAGATGCTGGGAATCCCGCTATGTCTCTTGCGGTGCAGGATGGTAGGCTGAGAGGCCGAGGCTGTGGGCGGGGCACCAAGCGAGTACCGTTGTCCGCGGGCCTCAGCTAGTCGACCCGTGATGTTGCTGGTGTCGTCCCTATCCTGCTGCTGCTGCTGCTGCTGCTGCCGGCCAACCTGGAGGAATCGACGCCCGCTGGGTGTTGTGGGCGTCATCAGTCGAGACGATGATGGCGGGCCCGGGGTTGGCAGGGCTGATGTGAGCAGGCGTCTCGTGGGCTGGGCTGCACTTGCCGACACGGGTTCTTGGCCCACAGGCCGACGTGGTGTGCTGTCCCGGGTCGGCACGGCAATCCGCAGACCCCTTCCCACCTCGGTGATAGCTCTCGATGGGGCGCGCGAGCCCGGCTGTGGCTCTTCGTCGATATTACTGACGCGGCTGATGGTCGTCACGCGCCGTGGCGCGATCGCAAACGACATGCGCCGCGTCTCTTCAGGGTCCTCCGCGTCCTCGGCTTCTGCAGTAAATGCTCGTCGGGTCCTCAGCAGTGCCGTCTTCCGGCCCTGGTCGTCGGGCTCTTCTGTCACACCACGCCGTGCCCGTGACACCACCAGAGATGATTTGCGGCCCTCCTCACCGCCGAGCACGCTGGATGCATACCTCGGCCCCGCCATGCTGGAAGATGCACCGTTCATTCCCGTAAAGTTGAACGTCGCTCTCTTCTCCAGCCTGGTCACCCTAGGACTGCTGAACTCCTCCACGCTGGGAAGGGGCTCATCCGGCCCGGCGCTCTTCCGCCCGGTGAAAACCTTCATGGTCGGCGGGCTATTTGGCATGTCGTCTTCTCTGGTGCCCGCAGTACCCCGCGTCTGTGGTCTTGACAACGATGTGTTCTTCCGCTGGGATCCCTCCTCTGTGAGGGCCACGCACAGCTCCGTCAGATTCCGACAGATGCTCTCTGCCTTCTTCCGCAGCTGTCGGTCCGTGATCGTACTGGAGCCCCCGAGCCCGATGGTACTTGCGCCGCTCGAGATAGGGCCTGGCTGGCCTGTTGTGCCCATTAGTTGCGACAGAGAAGATGCATCGTTGGCGGCCGCCTCGATAGCATCATAGACATCAGAGCTCACGAATGGCTTTGTCTTGGCAAGGGCAGACCGCAGTAATGGCTGCGTCTCCTTTCGAGACGCCGAGAGGCTGACGATTTCTGTCTGCGAATCGCCAACGCCTGGCGCGCGTTTCGGCGAGCCTGAGAGCGTGGTGGCACCAGTGCCCGACGTGGGCGGCCTCTCGTCCGATATTCTCGAGATGGCTGCGCCTGAGGTCTTGGGAATCTTGCCAGTCAGCTCCAGCCGGTGAATTCGCGACTTCAGCTCGTCGAGCTCATCCCAGACCGTTGACGGCGCTGCGGTAGAGTTGGACGATTCAGATGCCTCGGGAAGCTGCCCTCCGCCCACCTGGTGCGAGGCATCCCCATTTCTCAGGGTCATCGTCGAGGAAGAGGTAAAGGATTTAGACAGCCCCGTAGGTTGGCGAATGGACGAGGAACGGCTGTGGTCGCCAGCCTTGGTTGATGGCCGCCGCGCAAAGATGGAACTTCTGTCGCTCGAGTTGTCAAGAACGCTCTGCGTGCGCGGTGTGATCGGGGACGGCTTCAAGGCTGGCATTCTGGTCGGCGCCCGTGCGGCTGAGTCCAATTTCAGAGAAGGACGGCCTACCACACTGCTCTGGTATGACGAATCCCGGTTGCCATTGTGCTCAGACTGTTCCTCCGGTGCTCGCCTTGTACGAGATGAAGGCGCCTGCTGCTGGTGGTCGGACACACGTCGAGAAATCGAGGGTGGGGTGGCAGGTCTCTGCGCTGCTGCTGAAGATCCACCATAATATCCAGAGTTTGGCCGTTGGCGGCGCACAACGCGAGACTGTAAACTGTCAGTTTCCATGCAAATCTCTCTTTGATTCCCCAAGAAACGCGCTACTGCTCAACCGTCGGGAGGTGATAAGGGAAATAAAGTGTGTGTTTGTCTGTGTGTGTAATACAATCTTTCCTATCAAGAGAGATGAAGGGTGATCTGCCCAGGTACACAAGCAGCGAGCCGAGACAAGGTCGCAATTGAGGAAGTCTCCACATCGACTCATAACCTGCTGGAACCCCCTCAATGGAGACCCAGGAACCGCTACTCCATCCAGCCAATGATGATTGGAACGGCACCGATACACCATGCTGACATCTAGAGAAGACGAGCCGCGGGCGCAAGAAATCGAAGGAGAAGAAGAGCAAGAGACTTACCACTGTGCCGCTTGATTCCTCCTCGGCGCGTCCGTTATTCGGTTTTGGCCGGGGCAGCGAGGTGGACGAGTCCTCCCGCGCGATTCGCATAAAGATATCTGCCGTATTGTTCTCGCTCTCCGGGGTCTCATCCTCACCATCCGGCGGCGCAGCGTCTCGCGACCAGTCGTTGCCAGCCCGGCCCTCAAGCGCCCGTAGTGAGTGATCTCTGTGGTTTGCGCCCTGCAGGTAGTCGTCACCATCGTCGTAGTAGCGATAGGATGATTTACTCATGTCGGGTGCGGAGCTCTTGCGGGAGCCTGACGACGGGCGAAGGGTGCGTAGCAGGGGGGGATTGCGGCCAGGGGTCGTCGCAGAGCAGGGCGTGGATGCTGATCGTCTGTTCGATATGAGTGGTCTCGATGTGCTCGATCTCCGTCGTCGTGGAACAGCAACCTCCTTGATTTCATCTGTAAAGGTTGAGGCCAGGGCCTTGGGCGATATGAGCCCGCGATGGCCGTGGGTCCACTCCTTGGTCGAGGACCCCGGCGTGGGCTCGTCCTCCTTCTGCCGTCCTCGCGAAGTGAGAGATGACGGCGCGCTGCACGAGTCCCTCGAGGAATCTCGGCGGCGTGTTCGCGAACGGGTGATGGGCGTGTAAAAGCAGGGCGACGACTCCGTGTCGGCCTGCGATTGAGGAGTAGGGGGCGCTGAGGAGGAGAAGGAGTCGGGGGCGGCGTTGACGACGGCGGCTAGAGTCGAGATGGTCGTGGTATTCGACTCGTCAATTCGTGAAGAGGCAGGTCGCTTCGTTTCTGTGGCGTTTGGGGTGACGGGAGCCGAGGCGGAGGCAGTCTCGTACGTCGACGCTCGCGACCTCTGGTGGCTCTTCTGATCGGGCGAGGTGGTGGATGAGGGTGAGCGCAGCGAGTCGGCTGACGTAGGAGCGTGAGCGTCCTGGCGTTGATTGTCGCTTTCGGTCACGGGTGCCGGTATTAGCAGGTGCTGTGCAGCAAGTGTTGGCGGGAGTGTAGTAGCAGTGCCAGTGGCAGTGGTAGTAGTAGCAGCAGTGGGGGTGGTGGTAGTAGTAGAAGAAGTAGTAGTAGTAGTAGTAGTAGTAGTAGTAGTAGTTCTGGCAGTATCACTGGCACCAGCACTAGGGAGCGTGGGTAAGGGGGAGGGCGAGGCCGATGCGGAGGCAGCTGGAGGAGGGCCTTGACTGCTGCTGCTGCTGCATCCCGTGCTATTTTCCAGGGTGCTGGTGGTATTTTGGGGGAGGTGGTGCGCTGCCGTGCCCACTAAAAGGGGACCTGGATTCGCTG